GGAAACCAATTCGGTTCTACCCCCTGCTTGTCAATTCGGTTCTACCCCCTGTAATCATAGCGCCGTTTTATTTTGTATGGGGTTTCAATTCGGGTCTAAGAAGAACCGAATTACAGTTTGTTGTGAGAAGAACCGAATTACAGTTTGTTGTGAGAAGAACCGAATTACAGTTTGTTGTGAGAAGAACCGAATTACAGTTTGTTGTGAGGGTAGTTGCTCAAGAAACCTTCAACGTCCACAACGACTCTACCATTGATCTTTGGAAAGTGATTTTATATAGAGAAGGATCAGAAGTTTGGCCAAGACGACTTATAGCGCTAGATAGACTGTCATGCATCTGACAACCGCGTCGGCTGGACCTGCTCCCCGTGGTCCAACAAGGGCCTTCATATACCATTGTCGTGGCTATTGGCGGCTTCGAGGCCTTGGAGCTTTTCAGGCAGTATTGCTCATACTTTTGGCCCCGGACAATTGCAGAGTTCGTCAGCTGGTTGTTCTGCGGATAATAGTGCAGTGGATAGGCCGGCAATTTAGTGATGTTCATGATCCCAGAAAACGACGGAAAGTTGAACACTGTCTTGACATTGCCGAAATTCTGGCCGTTAAACCCTGTATGTGTCACCGTCAGGATCCAGGAGTGCACGCCATTGCTGACGGCCGTTTCATAGGACTTTGACACTGCACACCACTAAATCGCGGTGGTGGTCGCTGATGTATTCTGTATAACAACCTTGCATCCTGGGGGGGAAAGGCTCCAGAGACAGTCAAAATCGATGGTTCCATTACTTTGGAATGATGTTATTGTTGCAATAGTAGGCGACATGAATTGCGTCTCAGAATCGACGAGTAACTGGAACTCTCGTCGTGTCTCATCAGTTGTCGCTTCGCTCACCGCTCTGTGGATCTGCTCCCTGCAATAGTAGAGCTCCGCATATGGTTCTGGGACAATGATAGGCTTATGGTTGAGGCTGATACTCTCGATCCCCTGTGCCAGGCCACGGAACAATCGCCTTAGAGTGTCAGATTGAATTTCCAGCTGAAGTTTAGGCGTCTTCCTGTCGTCTAGATCATGTATACGTCTTAGAAGCAAGGAGTATTCTCCGAACCGTTTCTTGTTCTGCTGTGTTCGTTTGTATTGACTTCTGTCAATCCTGATGCGCTTAGAGTCGCGCATTTTCCTGGGCAAGTGCGGTCCTTTCAAGAGCATATTGGACCGTAGGGCCGAGGGCAGCTTCTTGATCGACGTTCCGCCGACTGTCAAGACCGCCGTTGCGGGCAGCCACATTTTTATCCGCGTCGAGAGCACCGACGGCCCCGCGCTGGTTGGCCTCAGGGCTAAAAACCGCGAGAAGTATAACAGTATCGATCCCCAAGACTTCAGGGAGTCTGGCACGGGATATATCTGTCGGGATCTGGTCGGCGCGGGCCAGTACCGCATCCCGCCAACGAGAGAAGAGAAAGAGCAATGGAAGGGTGAAGGGCGCAACTCGACCCGAACTCTGCCACTCTACGATATTTGTGCCAACGAGTTAGGTTGGCACCGTGTTCAGGGGATCTTTGTCGAGGATGCGTTGTTCTCATGAGCTCAAGGAAGTCTCTACCTAGGTATCTAAGCTATCTACTTAGGTAATTACGCGAGGGTGACCTCACTAGGCTAAGGACATTGAAGTATGCATCGGGGGGCGCGACCCTGGTTTTTCATGGTCAGCCTGGGGCGTGCGATCTCGATCTTATATGTTCGGCTTTGGGGGCACGCGACGACCTCAACTTTTATGGCGCGCGTTCGACCGGCGCATGAGTCAATTCTTGACGGCTAGCTTGGAGGGCGCGACCTCAAACTTCTATGACATTATACATAGCGGTGTTCGCAGGCAGTTCACAAACCGGCGGCCCGGCATGCAATTCCGCCCCGCCCAGGAGAATGACAATCCTGAATTCCCATCGTGAATTGTTTTCTATTGTGATATTGTCGAGCTAGCCAGTTCCTTTGGAGCCCTATTCTATGTATTCAAAACTCTGGTGGCTTGGACATTTATATGTTTTCCGAGTGCTGCGCTGCGTGCTTTTCCTCATCATGGATGTGCTGGATTCGTGACGCCAAAGCAAGCCCGTTTTGTGGCATCTTCTTCTCGACTTTGACAGGATCGAAGATGTTTGCGGATTGAATAAAGATGTCGTCAATCTCCTCCAGAGTGCGGCCCTTCGTCTCGGGGTAGAAGAAGTACAGCATCACAAAGGTGAAGAGGGTGATGCATGCAAACACAATGTAGTACTTGTAGCCGATGCTGTCCATCGCGTGGGGAGAGACCTCGGCGACGAGGAAGTTGAAGAGCCAGTTGGTGCAGGCGCTGATGGCGGTTACCTGGTGGCGAATGTTGAGAGGCGAGATCTCGGCCGCGTACATGAACGGCACGAGGAAGAGGCCCACGGGGAAGAAGAACATGGCCACAAAGTAGAAGAAAATGGCAGCCTCACCCGCAGCCTTGTTGGACAGGTCAGACATGAGTCCGGCCAGGGACGTCTGGGCTACGCACATGCCGAGGGCACCGGCCATGAGCAGCTTCCTTCGGCCGAATCTGTCGATGAGTAGGACCGCGATACCGGCACATATGAACTGCCAGATCTGGATGCAACCTGAAAAGATTCGAGCGTTTGTGGGCGAGTAGTTGAGTTGATCTTCAAAGATGGTTGTCGAGTAGAAAGTGACGACGTTGATGCCCGACATCTGGGCCAAAAGGGCGATGCCGACCGCAAGCACGGCGCGGTGAAATTGACGTTCGGGGCCCATGGAGAAGACAGAAGCTGCGGCTTGGCGCTGCTCCTCGAGGAATGCGTCGCGAATGAGTGAGAGCTCCTCGTTGACAACCTCGTCGTCTTCTGGCATGCCCTCGAGAGCGGCCATGACCTTCTTGGCGTCTTCGAACCGATCCTGCTTGATGAGCCAACGGGGCGACTCGGGCAGGAACATGACGAGAGAAGTGATTATAAGGGCGAAGAGGGCTTGGAACGCGATGGGGAAGCGAAAGTTGACCTCGTTGTTCTTGACAAAGTATAGGCCGAACTCAATCCACGAAGCGAGAGCAACGCCGCCGATGGCGAAGAAACCCTGTAGCAGCACGCGGCGACCGCGTTCCTGGGCGTTGGAACACTCCGACACCCACATAGGAACGGTGGCAGTGAAGGCGCCGACTCCGAGACCTAAAGGGAAAAGATGGCGGCGGGGGTTAGCGATTTATTTCCAAACATTGATGGAATGAGCGCTTCTGTGTTGACACACCTGTGATGACCCTAGATGCGATCAGCTGTCCCAGGGAGAAAGAGCTACTCTGTATGGTCACACCGATGAGGACAATACATCCGGCGATGAAGATGGTGCGACGGCGACCGAGGACGTCGCCGACAAAGGCGCAGGCCAAGGCTCCGATGGCACAACCGACTTCGTAGATTGCGACAGCGGTACCTAGGTGAAGTGGCCCGCCATATCAGCGGTCCGTCTCTTTGGCTTTCTCGTGGCCAAGACCTATGTCCTTGGGGGACTAGGAACGCCGCTCAGTAGGCCATAGACTCACCTTCCACGTTGGCATTCTTCTTCAGCTCTGGGAATCGCTCATTGAAGGTATCCAGCGTCAACAAGCCGTTCATAACGGCTTGGTCGTATCCCTGTAGCGCGAACGCGGTGGCAGCGACCAGACTCATTGTAATGCTGAGGGACTTGCCCCGCAGGCCCAAATACGATGTCGGCGACATGGCTGGAGCAAGGAGAGCAGTGGGGATGCAAGATACCTGGGAAATAACGGCAGATATGAGAAGTGTTCCCAGATGGTAAACACAAACCGGAGACTAGATGTTCTCTGAGTTGAGCGCACTTCTCTCGCCACTTTAGTTCACGAACAGGAAGTGGAGGTAAGAACACAGGAACTTGTAAGAAGAGAAAGGAATAACACGACTATTTGAATTTTTCCCCTCTACTGCAGATGGGCAGTGGAGTTGGCCTGGTCAAGAATATTTCATCCTAAGAGATCCAGTGTTAATCTGTGGGGAGGGGATAGAGCGAGATGGAGAGCGAGGGGTGGCCACATCCATGCGCCAACAAACCTTGTCATTGCACGAAAAGAGGATCTGACTTCCGGCATTTGTGCTTCTTCTCTCTGGTCCGGAGTTCTCCGCGCCCTGTCCCCCCCTCTCCGCATCTACAGGTCTAGTGGCGAGCGAGCAGGAAGGAGCCTGGAGAATCGTCCGGGATGCGCGTATGATTGGTGGTTCATTCTGTCATCTGGCAGTCAACCCACAATGTCTCCATACCAGCGAGTCCCCCAGCCGAAGCGGACTCAAGATGTGGAGAGCTTCAAGAGGGCCGCGGAGATTGTTGCGTGACAATATCTATCTGAGCTTTTTCTAGCTTGCTTTACGCGCGTCAGCTCCGCGCGTGAGCTGGATGTACAGGCGGTCCGGATGCTCTGCATGTGCCTCTCCATCTTGACGGTCGACCCACGCCTCGGTCACCTTCCGAACCTTGCTTATTGAGCTAGAAGTCGAATGATTGACGCAGGGGATTTTGTGTGGGAGGCAATGTGACCTTTCGTCAGAAACATGATTCCTCAAGGACCATTAGCGACAAACTCACAAAAACCACTCTCCGCCATGAGGGATAGCTTAGCGTGACACGCTGCCGCGTCTCCGTGGCCGTTGTCGTCTTTCCAGATTATTCCCTCAGGGAGTTGAAACAAGCCTTCTTAGGCTGCGAACCCCTGCACGGTGCCCCGCATAGGGTCATAGTCGGTAGAAAAGGCCGAAGTAGTTCCGAACCTTTCCAGGGCAATTCTGTGTTCCCTATGCACAAGTAGTTCAATGCATATTAATAGAATTGAAGGGAAAACCCGCACTAGAATGAGAGCTTTGGTGGGCTGCTTTGCTGATAGTATGACACTATCCGTCCTGACCAGTGACCTGACCCCAGGACGCTGTTTCTCCATACATAATAGCATCTCGATTTCCTCTTATCCTCCTCCTCCCTAGTCACTTTCCTCTACTACTTCAAGTCACTCTACTGAAGGCAAGTGGCATATCATCAAGTCTTTTAGCCCTCACTCATGTACACTCTTGCTTCCATGCTAAAAACACGCATCAAGTCCTTCTGCTTGGCCTATGACATGACTCCACCCTGTTGAGCCTGAATAGTGGAAGTGATTAGTCACTTCTCTGAGATGGCGCCTTTCTCGTCGCCCCAGTGATGGAGCTCTTTTGCAACAATCTGATCCGTTTTCGGGTCTAGATCATCACAAAAGCAGACCGAAATCAGCCCCAAGGCGCAAAAGGCGATGCTCGTTAGGAAACAAGTCTTGTAAGCCTGCGCACTCGCAGTTTGGTATGCATCAGTACCGACTGCCAAGATGGTTGGAGTAAGCCCGGGAACCTTGTCTGCCGGCAGCATTCCTTGGAAGAACTGTAACAAGGCCGGGAGGGAAGCCGGCGGTAGCCCTGCCTGTATGACAGCAGCAGGGACCAGGGCGGGGATTGTCGTTTTCAGGCGATTGGCAAGGATCGTGCTGTAGATCGTTGTCGCCAGTGCTCCTCCAAAAGAACGAGCCGAGCCCGAGAACCCGACCGCCGCGCCGATGTCGTTCTGGTCGTCAATGGCAATGCCGGCAAGAGTCTGGACTATGCTTTCGACAACTCCTAGGAAGAAACAGCCGAGGGCCATGAGTGTGATTGTTGTTCCCATGTTGTGCTGCGTGCCGACAGCAACGGCGCCGGCCAGTGCCGTGCCAATCACCATGCACCCAATCATGAAGTACCGTAGACGACGGATGAAAGAACCGACCAGCAAGCCGACTAGGTCTCCAAAGGCGAATAGTCCAGAGGCCGCCAGGTTCATCCAGCCATTTGTGGACGGGGAAGAAGGATAGAGAGTAGCTGCCATTGTCGGCCATATGATGCTGAGCAAATCTTACGTGAGCCGAGGCGCCTGGCGGAGATACGGAGTAGAGGGAAGAGAGATTCTTTACCTAAAGCCGTAGTAGCCCATTGCAACAACTCCGATGGCGAAGACGGAGGCGTTGTATGCGCGCTTGCGAAACAGTCTCATTGGGATGTATGGCTCTTTGGGCTGGAAGACAATTTCATAGATGACAAATGCGATCATCGAGACGCCTCCAATGGTGATGGTGCATATGACGTGGGCACTCTTCCATTCTATTGTGGTGAAGTTAGGGACACTGAGCCTGACAACACTGCAACGGCCAAGCACCAAACGTCGAGCTCACATACCGTATAGCTGACCTCCCCAGCTTAGTCCAAGCATCACTAGGGTCAGACCGGCTGAGAAGAGTACAAAGCCGATATAGTCAAAGCCTAGGATTAGGCTCTTCGCGGACTGATCGTGATGGAGCATATGAAACGTCGGCGGGTGATAAAAGGCAAACCAACATAGGCAACAAATGCCATTGAGGATGATCATGATATAGTAGATCCATCTCCAGCCCAGGTTCTGAACGATGACGGTGCAGATCTTGGCGCCGAATATGTTGAACGGGGTTCCCAGCATGTAAACCGCACCGTTGGCGATGAAGCGCCAGCGTATCGGTACCAGCTCCCCGGTCACAAAGACGAAGGAGGCTTGTGAGGCCGTTGCTAAGTAGTATCAAGTCAGTGGGGAAAGATCTTAAGTCTGACATGGTCCAACCAGAAGAAAAGAAAGAAGGGATGGGGAGAGGAGGTCGAGATGTTTTGGAGACCCGCCTCCCACTACTTCTTGCATGCATAGAAGTCGTGTCTTACATACCAGCGCCAATCATGGTCATCCCACCAATCATTGTAGGCACGCTCTGGGCTCTTGAGCACACGATGTTTCCAATGACGGCTAGGAATGACCCTCCAACAAAGAACCATCGGCGGCCAAATATATCGGTCAGACGGCCAACCATCAGACTTCCAATGCCGAGCATGAGGATGTAGACGATAGCAACCCAGGTGATGTTTGCACTGGGGCCAATCTCGGCATTGATGACACCCAGGACAGGCGCTGTCATGGCGAATACGCCAGCTCCGCACGTGAGGCCTAGTGCAACAGCCTTGATCATTGTTCAGCAAGTCTCACCGTGGCGAGACGATCGACCTCGTCTGGGGTTTACTTACAAAGAAGGTTCCTAGGATCAGCGGACTGTAGTAGTAGCCCTTAGGCAACTGGGCAGCATTGATCGGGTCAATTCCATGGTCGAGATGCTTCTCGGCGGAAGGCGCAAAACCATCACCATCAACCTTGCTGGAGAGAACCCCTCCCTCGCTATGTTCTGCCGTCTCCGTATCGCCTTTGGCATTGTAGACAGGATCCATATTGCTGTCGTAGGGGAAAGAGGATGGGGTGAATATCGGAATGCACAGCACACACGGGTTGAGCACATTTCACCCAAACCTATATGTCAATTACCATCCTGTCGGGGTATAGATATATATACTCATCAAATACCTACCACGGTGAACATCCTTCCCCATCTTTCCCCACGTTTCCCCTTGGGCAAGCCCCAGCCCTGCAGGCAGTAGCCTTGTCGGAATGCTCGGGTTGTCTGCGAGTCGTGATTGGTCCGTGTGTTAGCGTTGATAGAGACTAACACACAACAGTGGAGCTAAGCATTTGAGAGAGATGCGCGCGATACTAAACTTCGGGCCGGATTCTCAGAGTCCTGTCTAGAGCTGCCCGGCGTCAGCGGTATATTCGGCATCGATTTCGGGCCGGCAAAACACTTTTGGTGTTGACCGCCTGTTCACCAGCAGCCTGGAAAAGGTTACACTTAATCGAAGCCCAGGAGTGTGGTCCGCGCCACCAGGGAGGCCTTCGATCATGCAAAACTAAAACTCAGCTGAGCGCTACAGGCTATTTCAAGACCTGCTTTTGGGTGTTGTCGCGCATGCAAATATATCTAGATTCTCACGCTCTCATCCCCTTCCCTCCGAACTGGCCATTGATCGCATGATGCGCCTGTAATGTGTCAATCAGTATTGCTAGCGGCGACAAAGCGGCCGACCGCCACAGCTTACGGGCTTGTTCTCAAGATCTCTATACGTCTTGTCATCACCGCTTTCGCCTGGAGCAAAACATGCCGATATGAATCTTGCGAGACATCGTGTCGTATTGTGCAACCAGGAACTGCAGAAGTCTCCGAGGCGGGGGCGGGATCTGGATCAAGTCCACAAGCTGCGTATGTCAGATTGCCATTGCATGGGTGGACCTGATCCTCACATATGGTTCTCATGCGGTGTCCTAGAAGGGCTTAACGCTAGGCACTAATTGTACTCTGAGATGAGAGATTGAGCTAAAGAGGTCATTCGCATTAATTTCAAGACGAAGTCGAGACTGGGCGCGCTCCATGTACCGAAGTGTGACTTGCAGACGGCCGGCACTTTTGGTGGTGCCGATCATTATATGTAGATCCGGCGACAAATAGTGCAAGGATCTATGGAGCAATCCGCCGAGGAAGGTTCGGAGGGCGTTTCCCCAAGGCGATCGTCATGGAGAAGGAACGACATACCATACTAGAACCATACTAGAGAGGGTATGTAGGAAGTGCGCTGGTGTTAAATTCGTTCCGAGTTTCGGTGAAAGTCACCTGGCCGAAACGCTTGATTGCCGCATTCCCCAAACAAGTGATGCGTTGCGTTAAGTCTTCATCAATAGAGCACCGTGCCAATAACCTACTTTTAGCTTTCATCTATATCCCTTGAGAGAAATATACCACTTCTCAAAAGAAAATCAGAGGCCACCCAATGAGGGTAAGGGGCATGGCTCTGGTCGCTTCACACTCTCTGATCTTGACATACAATGTGCTTCGTGACATGAAGCTGCCATCAGCATTCTGTGCAGAACCCCATGTCTCACAAAACGGTGGCAGTATCTATGGTGCCATTGAGTGGTAATAAGTCTACTCGGAGATATGTGCTTGAGCTTGCCGTGGAGTGGGTCACCTCGGGATAGCCATGAGAGCGTCACGACAAGCTCCCACAAGCGCGGGTGGAAGCTTGGACTCTCACCTTGGCTGATCCTGCTGTGGGTTTGTGGAGGAGCAGTGTGTAACCCTATTGGTCGATATCTCCGAACAGCCGGTTACTTCCCATGGGTTTGATCTTGTCTCATTCCCTCTCCTGAAGCTTGGTCCACGATTATTGAGATGGAATGGTTGAATCAATCTAGGCAATCCGGCCGAGAGACTTACCAATTTCTCCTTGTGCACCCCATATCAGGCGGGGATTGTTCACAGTGCCTTAGATCAAAATGACTTCTTGTATAGTTCAACTGCTCCTTCGATCATGGAAACTGATCAGTCGCCTACAACCCAATTGCCAACCATCTATCCACACAAAAGATACAAAATACCCCTAGCGTAGTATGAAGCGCAGGTCAATTAGTTGAAGGGCTTGTAAGGAGTACCGTCGATCTTTCCGATCTTTCCTCATGTCAAAGACTCTACCAAGGAGATAATCCCTTCTCGGAACAGACCACAGGAAACTAATTATATCCGGCAGTGCATTGATCTCCCAGCCTTGATAACAATAAACCGATGTTGATTTCGACGAGACTCTCGCTTCACTAAGAACAGCACTGCAAGTGCAAGAGTACAAGCTGCCTTGGAGGTCCTCATTCGAGCCAGGTCGTCAACTCATACATTAGGACCAATAATGGGAGCAACAGCGTAGCGATGCAGATTCCGCACAGAAATCTGCAGCCGGACGTAACCGAGCCTACCCAGGTCTCACATGACATCTCGAGATCCGTCATCCAGTCTACCCATTGCAATATACTCCTCCGCCATGTCCGCAAAGTATAGTAAAAGTCACCCAGCAAAACCCATCCAACACGTACGCCCGAGTCCGTACGGGCCATGTGTGCCGCCCTCCCGTCATACCGATAGTAGTTCTGACAGCCCGGCGTCCAGCACCAGAGCACCCCGTAGGATTCGGAATCGTCTGTTAGGCAGTAAGACCCGGGGTCGAGAGCTTCGTGCCACGCCCGGCTGACTGCAGCTCCAGAACCGTGGCCGACGTCGATGGCACTCGAGTAGCTAATAACTATGCACTGCTTGTCGCTAATGCATCCACTCAGAGATATCTGGGTGGTTCGGGTATCAAGACAGTATCGCGTGTGAGACATCTGCTTCGTGGTGTGTTGCTCAGCGGCAATCCACCTCCGTGAGCCCTCCACCAAGCCGTCGCCGCTCATCGCCTGCATCGAGGGGCCGAGGTGTCCTCCAGGACTGCCACGGCATCTGACGTCAAAGTGTGCTCCTCCTGGGCTGAGATACCATCCCGATGGTAGTTGATCCATGCCTGGTAATGATAGGCAGCGGCAACGATTAGGGTCGAAACATCTCATCTCTAATAGCCGACCTGGTGCCCGCTCAGGGGCGATAAACTCGGCTGCACCTTGCCTGAGCTTCTCCAACGCACTGCGGACCTCATCTGCCGTGACCTGACCATCTTGCCGGCCGTCTGGAGTCCCCACACTCAGGTGCCCTAGCCACTTCCGTTCGAGTATGACAGGACTCGTTAGAGTTGCTGCCACCAAGTACGCCGTCGGCCGCAGGTCTGCAGGGTCGATGGAATTGCCGTTATATTGATGTCGCGGTAGATGGCTCTCATCGTCACAGGTAACCAACCGCCACCGATAGAGCTTGAGCTTCTTGAGCCTCTCAAACCCGTTGTTGATCTGGTCCCAAGATATTGTTTGGTGCTCACACAAGCGAACACCAACGCCCTCTGTCCGCGCAACGCAACTTCTCCGACGACGCGGATAGAGACCGAACCAGCCAGGCCTCTCGCTCGGCATAAACATCCACCGAGGGTGATTAACCTTGCACCCGCTACAGTACGCCTTCCAACCCAGCCAGCCCGCGCGCGCCATCCACCCCGGCGCCGCCCTCGACGCGCTGCATGTCCCACAGCACCCCACGCTCCGGTCCCTGGCCAGCAGCTCTTTCAATACCGGTTCATCCGCCTTCGAGTCAGCCCAGATCGTGATCCACGGCGTATAGTGCCGATACTCGTCATCTTGCCGATGACCACCGCGGAACTCGGCCGAGCTGCACAGGCGGAGAAACAGCCTGCTCGCACGGCGCAGGCACGCTAGTTCGCAGAACCCTAGGTCATTCATGATGCGCAGGATGAGTTCCTCGGGGAGACGGCAGAGAGGACTGCAGGTCAAGTTGTGGAAGCCTGCTCGCACGAGGGGGTCCATGGCCGCGACTTTGGGGCTGTCAAGACAGGGGCATGGCTTGTGAGGCGCAAAGATGAGTCCTGTCCATGGTGTGGGCTGTGCTTTGCTAGATATCGGGGTCTCCACTCGAGGGTAGGATGCATGTGAGGATAGTGCCTTCCACCAGCACCGCAGCCCCGCTCCTAGGATTGCTCCGACAAACAGAAGGTACACTGCGAAGATGAGTATTTCTGAAGACATGTTCAGGACGGATGTTGTAAGGTTTGACTCTTTGTGCCCAGGATCGGATATGGAGTGCCGTATTAGGCTCCTACCCCTTGGCCGGTGAGTTAAATCGTCTGTATAAGCAAGTTTACGAGGCGGGATGCGCAAGATATTCAGCACTGGACACAACCAGGTTGCAGCAATGAACGGTTCTCAGCGATGAGCAATATGTACATTAACTTTCTCAATGTAAAAAGTAACTTAGCAGGATTCATATCTGGTGTCGACTTTATTGTGATTCATTTACTGCATCGGCTCGTAACTGAAACTCCGTCGATGCGACGAAGCTATATATCAGTTGCCATGTTGAATAAATCTATGAGTCAAGCGCCTCTAGCCTCAGCCCTGTCTAACGCGTGTATCTAACTTTCGTCGTGTCCATGCTCACGAGAGATCGGCGTCCTCACGCAGAATACTGTTCAGTTGATCCCTCAACTTGCACTTTTCCAACGAGAAGCTCGCAGCCAACTCATCCAACTCCTCCATAGTCTTGCCAGCAAACAGCTCCGCCATTTCCCAGCCGAGATACTCGCTAACCAGTGTCTCTCGCACCGCGCGCTCTACCTGTCTATCAAAGGTCCAGATCTTGGGGTACTTCTTCTTCAGCAGATGCGCCGGGATGGATTCCTTCAGCTTGGAAATGAGAGGCTGGTACACGGAACTGTCAATGGCGCTCTTGTCCGATACGCCCCAGAAGTCAACGCCGAGACGCTGCTTCTTCTCAACGAAAGGTCTGATGAGCTTCATGTATGGGCTCTCGGGGTCGAGATAGACCATCCCCTGGTACCCGATATCCTTGTAGAGCCAGATGCTCCAGGAGATGTCGTCAAACTCACGATAGATCTGAAGCTGCTCCTTCAGCAGTGCGAACCGCTTCTGGTTGGTTTGTTCGGCATTGGGATCCGTCCTCGGGTCTTGGTACACAGGACCCCACTCGCCGTTCCAGATCGGCACCCCGGCCTTCTGCATATACTCCACTTTCCTCTGGAGGCTCTCCCGGAGCTTCTTCTTCTGTTCGTCCGTGCCTTCGTACTGCTCCGGGAGTGGGAATCCGTAGAAGCTGTAGTCATGGCAGCTATAGACAGCATTGGCAAGGGGCTTGTCGACCGGAAACTGAGAAAAGTCCATGGCATAGGTATTGCCGTCCAAGAAGAGGATGTGGTCTGGGTCCTTGGCCCGGATGGCTTTGGCCGCGCGCTCGTACCAACCGATCAGACGCGTGTGCTTCGGGTCGGCAGGCTCATTCAGCGGGTTGTAGCCCGCGATAACGGGGTTTCCCGCGTATCTGGTCGCGATAGCTTCCCAGAGCTGTATGCCTCTGTCTTGAAAGTCTCTAAACTCCCAAAACAGCGCCTTGTTGATCCCAGAGTCCGAGTGCCAGTCCTGGTTCTGACCGCCGGGGGCAGTGTGTAAATCTAGGACCACGTAGATGTTAAACTTGGCACAGGCGTTGATGACGCGGTCGAGGAGATCAAACCCAGACTCCTTGATCACATCTGGGTTGTCGTCATCCATAAAGTGTCGATAGTTGAAAGGGACACGCAGGCAGTTCAGTCCTAGCGACGCAAACAGGGCAGCGTCTGACTCGGTGAAGAAATAATGGAGCAGACGATCAAAAAAGAACTGGGCCTTCTCTTCACCAAGGACCTCTGCCAACGCCGCCCGATGCTCATGCTCGTGGCCCGAGTAGCCCGTGATGAAGTTTTCCATATTTAACATGCCGCCTATGGCCGAGCCCTTGAGGACGATCCGCTTTCCTGCGGCATCGACAATCTGCGTGCCACTAACGCGTAACATGCTGCAGGGTGAATTCTGAGCATTTTTCAATGCTGGCGGCGCCTGGAATCGTGTGCTTGTGGTGGTGGTGGTAGTGGTTGACATGGTGAGCCCAGGAGTTTGCGTTGGATTAGTGAACGTGAACATCCGTTCAGGCATGACCAGCAAGAGCCATCCTGGCGACCAACTACTTTATACCGAGCATTTCAGGAGATATACATTTGTTGCACTGCCTAGTGCTCGCCTTGCCTCTCCACAAGTGTCGTCAACCCCCAGTATCCCTTAACTGCGATATTCCGCGGCAAGCAAGTTATGTGGGGATTGGCAATGCCCAAGAAAAGCTAACTAGACTAGCTCGGGTGCACTGCCGAGATCAATGTTCAAGGTGCAAGCCGCCATCGTCACAAGACCACCTGACCGGGTGGCCCTCGCTCATCAGAGGCTCTCTTTAGGCTATTCTGTTTTGTCATTTGCCCCGACTGCACCCCTGTTCAATTGAAAATAGCATACTGACTAAGAACAGAACGCACATCGTCAAAGTCGTGTGTTTCCCCACTCCAATGGTCCAACATTCCGGAGACGCTGGTCACCAAGTCCCTCCATCCTGCAGGCATGACCAGCGGGGGCGGCACAGCAGGCTTCCCAGCAGACAGAGACTCAATATGCCAAGCCGTGAGCACGAGGACTAACGCGCTTCTCGAGCAAGACCCTATCATGAAATACGTCCCGTGATGCCGATGCCTGAACCCGGGCTCGTTCGCTCTCAACCTCCACGCGTGATTGTCAAGTGCCTGTTGCGCATAGCCAAGAAAGTGGTCTAGCAGATGCAAGTCTAAGACGGGCGTGACCAAACGGGCGGCCAAGAAGGGCCAGTAGATGGATTCAAATGCATTGATAGCATGCCCTTCGAGTACGAACTGGCAAATATCGGTACCTGACGTGTTGTCGAGAGACAAAGACGGGGGGAGAGAGTTCATCCACTCCTGGATTTGAGCCTCATAAGTGGGTACTGCTGCCGCTGCAGCATGTAAAAAGGAGTCAAGGCTGGAATGGGTCCTCTGCAGGGTCCGTATCTCATCACTGATGCGTGCGACGAGGCGACGCAGAGAGATCTCTGCCAAGTAGAAGTACCATGCAGTCTGTTCCCTTTGCCTTCCCGAGCCGGCCAGATCTGCTTCAGAAGATGCGGCCGGAGGAGTTGGGAAGAATGCCGGGTACAACCCGGAGCCGTGATCCTTGCGGGAAAAGTCCGGAAGGGACAAGACGTTCTGCGCTTCTCGCTCCGACTTCCACGCTGACCAGTAAACAGCTTGGTGGAGAGTGTCGGAGTCCAAGGTCTGCGGCACCATTTCCAAGCCCGTACCAGTCCCCGGCTGAGATCGAAATGACAAGAACTCCATATCCTGGCAATGCGCCAAGGCCTGCAGGAAGAACCTCCATGCCTTTGGTATTTGGAATGTGCACATCATAAATACCCCAGATAGGAAGAGACATTGTGGCGCCAGAATGTCATCAGAGCACAGCACCATACCCAGACGCTTCTGTGCAGCTTGAAAGAAGCCCTGCGCCCTGTGATATGCCTCGCATGATGGCATGGTGTCAGGGCTTGGTCCAAAAGGGGTCGCGATCGAGCCCAGGGCGCAGACTAGGAGGAACAAGCACGAGTCCGCAGACCAGTCGACACCGTTGAGCGCGACTGACTGCACCAGCCGCCAGAGAATTCTCTCATCAAATATGGGGTTCTTGATGTGGACGTAGTTGAGGAAGTTCTCCACCAGATTCTGGGCCCGCCCGGGTTCCAGGTCCACAGTGCCCACAACTGAGATGGGCGATTGCGCAGACGGCCCTGGCCGACTCTGTTGGTGGTGAGAAGATTCTGGAGACGAGAATTCTAGGCTTTGGGGGGCAATACAGCGGAACTTGGGCCAGGAGAGGATTTGGCGCGTAGACACAGGCATGACCACGCTTGGGTCCAGGGGCTGGTCCGGTGCCTTTGTCACCCGCATTTCGGGGCTTGGTACACTGTCCGCATTGCATCCTGAGGCCGATCCCTGCAAGCTCAGTGCTGACTTGAAGACCTCTTCGAGATCGTCCAGACGTTCCAGTATCTTGAGGCTCGCCGGGTCAAAGCTCGACAGGTCGACTGGTGACTGGATGCAGGTTGCCCCGACCTTGAGGCAGAATGAACATGACGGCTTGCGATTGTCACACTTGGTTCGTCTTGCTCGGCAAGTTTGGCAAGCTTTGACGGCTCGTCGTCGGGGATAAGAAGCAGTGCCCCGAGGCGAGGGTCTTGGAAAGTGATCGGATGCATTCTGTGGGGTTGAATCTAGACCGATGTCCAACTCCATGTTTACCCCAAATTGTCTGACTGGAAATCGATCGAGAATATGGGGACAGTAATGACCAGGACGGGAATTGAGATGCTGTGGCAATTTGGTTTCATCGGGCAAAAAGGAGGAGAGCAAGGGAGGAGGTAGGAAGCGCGGAATGTCGCTCATATAACCACGAAGAGGAATCTAGTATTCGAGGCTAGCCCGAAGAAGGTCAAGCGGTGATGCATCCAAAATTTCACACGTTTTCGGCTCGCGGAATGTCGCACTTGAATTAACTAGCCCCATCCTTTCCTCATGCGACCTCCAGATTTACATTCTGGGGAAACAATGTTGGGTCACGCAATCCCACCTTGGATCGGCCGTCAGCGACTAGCACAATACTCTCCGTCCCATTCAGGGGCTCGCTCACCCGTGCGATGGAAGCGCCTCGGTTAGCGGGCGCCCGTTAGAGTCGAAGAAACGGAAACTGATCCAGTCACCGAGGGTATGGTGTGACTGGTTGTCGAACCTGGCTCGAGATATAAAGACGCCAAGTTTCCCAGCTCTCACGCCTATCCGAGTTGATGATCAGGCTCTTGAGTCCACAGTCTACACTCGGCAACTTACCCGGTTACAATTTTTGACTTCTGCCACCACGAGAATTCTTCAGTCTTTTTCCGTGACCACATCATGGACAAAGTCAACGCTGCCCATGTCCAGCATGCTGCCGAGTTAACGGCCTCGCATCCCTCTCCAAAAGAGGCTTTGGCTTCCGATGCCATCCAGCAAGAGCATGAGCTCACCTTAGCTAGTGTCTTCCAGAACCACAAAAAAATCATCTGGTGGTGCTTCTTCTGGGCTATGGCCGCTGTTGGCTGGTGAGTCAAGGCCTCTGGACTCAAGCCCCTATGTACCCCATAGGATGGAGACTAATTCGTGCCACTTCGCAGGGGCTTTGATGCACAGATCAACGGAGCGATGATATCGGTAGCAGAGTTTCGCAAAGACTTTGGATACGTCAAAGATGGCGAGGCCATCCTGCCGGCCTCTTGGCAGACTGCCTTCAACGTCGGGAGTACAGTGACAAGTTTGTTTGGTGGTTTCTTGGCTAGCTGGGTCGCCGACTCTGCCGGCAGGAAGACCGCCTTGTTCCTCGGCCTCGCCGTCGCCACTGGAGGTATCGCAGGTGAAGTAGCGAGCCACGACCGCGTGGCCTTTCTCTTCTCCAAACTCATCCTCGGTGCCGGTCTCGGCTTCTACCTCACGCTCGCACCTCTCATGGCTAGCGAGCTCGCCCCGGTCGCCCTCCGTGGCTTTGCCACAGCTGGTGTCAATCTTGGTATCGCCATAGGTCAGCTTCTGTCGAACGCGGTTGTCAAGGGCTTTGGCGAGCGCGGCGACCGCTGGGCTTATCGCGGCCCTTTTCTCACTCAGCTATTCTTCGTTGCTTTCCTTTTAATCTGCCTTCCCTTCTCTCCAGAAAGTCCCTGGTATCTAGTGAGGAGGGGAAAGCAAGACCAGGCGCTTGACGCTATTCGGAAGCTCTATGGCCCGGACTACGATGCTGAGAAGAGGCTCCTCAGCGTTCAGGCTACGGTCGAGGCAGAATCGCTGGACAGGTTGCACGAGGTGGGGTTCGTGGACTGCTTCAAGGGCACGAATAGGCTACGCAGCGGCATATCTACCGGTGTCTTCCTTTGCCAACATCTGGTAGGAATCATCTTCGTCCTCGGCTACTCGACCTACTTCTTCCAACTTGCTGGCCTCGACGTGTCGAAGTCGTTTGATCTTGGAGTGGGAGTTACGGCATGCGGTGTTGCCGGTAACATCTGCAGTTGGTTTGTCGTGGAGAGATACGGCCGGCGCATCATCTTTGTGTCAGGCATGGCTATGCTAACGGCGCTTCTTCTGCTTATTGGAATCATGGATGTGGTTCCCACCAGTGGCGCTGGGTGGGTGCAGGCAGGCGCTACAGTAGTGTACGCTTTTGTATACTTTTTGACCATCGGCGCCATGGCATTCGCGATCCTCGGTGAGGCCTCCAGCACCGTTCTGCGAGCCAAGACCATGTCTCTGGCCACGGCTACACAGTCGTTGTGCGGTCTTGTTATGAACTTCGCCATCCCGTACATGGTAAATCCGGACGAGGGAAACTTGAGGGGCAAGGTTGGCTTCGTCTTTGGTGGACTGGCGCTGATTGCGACTTTTGGCAGCTGGCTCTATGTACCCGAGCTCAAAGGCAAGACGTTTGATGAGATTGATCGGCTTTTCGAGGCTAGAGTTCCTCCCAGAAAGATGGGAGACTATCAGGAGCCCCTTGAGTAGGGAGGAATCATTGCGCCCGAAATACATACATAGTGTGTATCTCAGGCTATGATCCAAGAACGTCGCCATTTTTGAGCGAGCCGTAGCAGTTCATCCCTCGAGCCGCATTTCATCTGCAGCCTAGTCTGCTAGTCAGTTCTCGGGATCTAATACTGCGAGAACCATAACAATCAATTGGAACAATGAAGCTTCGCCAGCTCTCCGACCGTGGACCAAAAGGTTGACTAAGTGAACCGAGCGATATGAACTGAGAATTTACAGTTCCCAAAGCTCTATGTCAGGGGTAATTTGAATCGTAATTTATAAGCATTGCTAACGCTCGACCTCAAAGGCACCAAAGCACGGTGGTAAGAGCTTCACTGTGGGTTCGGAGCAGTTTTAGACGCCTTTTGGGAGTTGCGCTCCATCCACAGCCGTTTCTTCTCCGCCTCATTCTCCTTCCCTCTGTATGACCGGCCATTTAAATGCCTCAGGCCCAGAATCTTGCCATTGTCGGGGTAGTACAGCCAGGTAGCCCATCTATGCCAGGAGCCTTGCTTCATCTGCGATCTTGCCCGGTGGCCAATCGTATCTTCGATGAAGGCACCTCGTGGAATGGCAAGCCTTGTTGGGAAGATCCGTTCCAAGTAGTGACGAGTCGATGCAAGGTGAGGCTTGTCGTGCCAAAAGAACATGGGTGTCAATGAGACCGGTCTTTCAGGCTGAGAAGATGGAACAAAGTCCCGCTTTAGAGTCTTGGTCAAAGCCAGGAGTTCTGGGTGTTTGATGACATGGTCCGAAACAGCGTAAGACTGCATGCGTGGTGCCGATAAGCAAATATATTTGATGGGGACCTCCGAGTCGCATTCCGATGCCAGCATGATCTCCAACAGTGACTGCAACGGCAGTTCGTTTCTGAGTACCCAATCGTGCTGCTGCACCCAGACATACTCAGTCTCAACTAGCTTGAGGGCAGCATGAACTGCAAGGCCAAAACCAAGTCGTTCGTTGGGTTCGATAAATGAAACACGGCCATTCTTGGTTCTCGTGATGGTGTATTTGACATTGTTGGAAGGTATGAGTGGGTTGCCATACTTGACCTCATCAGTGGAAAGATGGAAGTCATCAAACGCTTCCCCAAAACCATGCATCCCGAGCATCAGGCGTTTGACTCTGTCTTTGTAGGTGCCGTAGAAGCTTGCCTGGTTTTCAGTAACGCGACCCTTTTTGAGTCGAGGTTTGTCCACGACTTGCTCATATGTATCCATCACCACGATGATGCGGCATCTTGCGAGCTCCGCGCAGTGCTGGCGGAAGCTATCGAGGACGTCGCAGATCAGCTCAGTTGAGGGTGCTGACGGAGTTGGAGAGGTTGTGAGCACGACTGTCACCCGGGCCTCTGGTGGAGGGGCTGGATCAGGCCCAGATTGAGCCAGCGTCATCGCATTTCTTCCGTGGCTCAATCGTCGACCGTGTCAAAGACAGGTAATGTACTGTCTGGGTTGTAGCGAAGCGGTTTTTTCTCTCAATCATTTGCAGTGCAATTCCTGGCCGGGACTTGGCGCTACGTCTGGAAAAGTTTTGATAAGATGCTTATCGCGTTATCCGTTGGTGGGGCATCATCAACATTGGTGAATAGGCACCCACCAATCACATGCATGGTCAAAAGAGTGAAAGGACGCCCTCATTTCGACGTATTTTGAGGAGCAACATCAGAGACTCGACGAGCCCAAGGGTGGATACATTGGTGAGACAGGAACTCAGGAAGCCGATGTCTGAAATAATCTGTATCCAGTACCATCTAACTCGATAGCCGTACTGCACATTGCCCAAATGCTGTGTTCTGATACATTTTGCTTATCACATATGACATGAACCTGTGGTCTAGGATAATATGGGCTGGACTTCCTTCTGATATTGCCAGTAACAAATTCTTGCATATTCAATAGGTTTCATAATTTTAAACTGGATACATCTTAGACCGCACATCTTGAGCCGAGGCAATGGCAGGAATACATATTTTCTTCATGCTAGTGACGTTGAGCGAATCGATGCCGTCGCTGAGAAGGGGGAGGGGGTGCCTACAAAATTATCTCTTCCTTTGGGGCGTGGGTTTGTATCCTAAACCCAGTCTCAGTCTTGATTGCCCCTTCGCACGGCCATGAGGTTGGCTGCAGTGCACGGAGAGAAGTCCGAGGGACAGGATGGGCACAACAGCATGACCAAGATCAATCAACTACATAAGCTTACCTTTGCCAGGTAATATCAGGGGACTGTTGACGTAGCCAGCACTTCGCTCTCTACACATCTGTTATTGTTCTGAGACCTCCACAAGAAAGGCGCCGTAGTGCTAGAGTCAGCCGTCATCCGTAACGGATGTGATAATCCATATGCGGAAACGAAAAATGCGATGCGGACACTTTTAATATCATGCCTCGTCTAATTTACTTATGAGTGCATCATACAACAAAAATTGATTACAGGAGATCTGTTCCTTACTGTGTACGATAGATTCAAGTGAAAGTACAATATCTTTCCTAATCCTCTTACATCATGAATTGACAAAACATTCGACATCCACTATTTCAACATGTCTGATACACTGTCGGTGGAAAGTATAAGATGCATCAATGTCTTTCGGTCCGCCTCTCCCGCCCACAAGCATGCCCGGATAGTTGCTGTCACAATTCAACTTGTTAATGGATCGTTGATCAATCAATATCCACCACCTGCTTCCAGCTGCTTGAAGTTCCATGCCTAAACCCCGTCTTTAGCGACACTAACACGCAAAGTCTTTCTGAGATTGTCCCATATAGCTGTCTTTCCCTGTAGATCAGGTTGCTCCGGCCTAGTGTCCTCTAGAAGGGTAATGTCATCGTAGAGGCCTCGTCTCTCCTTGGCATCAGTGACGTAGCCCTGAGAAACCGACAACTGCGGGACGGTTCACAAATGTACGAGGCCGATCGAGCTAGGTACTTGAGCCCAAACCCAGGTCTTGCCGCCCTCTCTCGTGAATTTCACGGCCGACATATCATCGTTCCCGGTCCAACGAAAGCCAGGTTTGGTACAGCAATAGAGCACAGGAAGAAGCCATGTCCCATCTTCCAACACAACCCCCAGTTGTCTCACATCGCTCCGCGATTATCGGGAAGTAGGAAGAATGGAGCTGCCCATGTCTGGCCATTGTCGCTAGAGGTCCGAGCTATCATCTCACACTGGCCCTGGTCGCCGAATTTTTGAGCAGTGTAGAACGCCATATCTTCTCCGTGACAGGATCTCGAGATGCACGAGATTTTCGATTCCATTGACACCAGTGGCCAGGAGTGATGTGGAACAAAATAACAGGGGCGCTAGGAACAACCGTCAACTGTTGAACCAAATGCAGATGATGTCTTTGAAACCCCGAAAATAGACCATGCCTGAAGGCACAAGGGTGTATAGTCAAAGCCAGTTTGCGGTCGGGGGACCGTGCTTGATCAATCCACGATAACAATTGTGTCCTTATCATTGGGTACTGTCACGGTGTCTCTGGAACATGGGTATTGTGTTCATTGTGTCTCTTTCAACTGTGTCGTATCGACAGTGTAACTTGGCTTGTACCTAACAGGTACACCAAAAACAAACAAAATAGATAGATAGATAGTCAAAGCCAGTGTCTACAACTCTCTATGTGGCCGTGCTAATTGACCGAGTTAGTCGGAGGAAGCTCCGGCACCTCGGACCTGCACCTCGGAGGTTCCTTCAGCCACGCTGAGAACATGGCTTGAGGGGCGAGATCCATCATAGGAATCAATGGATTGATTAATAAGAAGCATGCAAATTTTGCAAAGCACTCCACTGCTGTTTCTAACCAACAGGAACCAAGTGGAAGTCGGAAGTAACGAGCCGATGTCCAACCTAGTCATCTCTTATCCCTACAATTCCGTCTATTGCGCCGCTCCGCTCACCTTCCGATACCGCCTCACATGGCCTCAAGGACACTAAATCCACGAGAGACGCTGCGTGAATTCTTGTCGACGCGTCATCTCCAGCCAACCTGGACCGGCGCGGTGGACATCTTGTGAGTCACCAACACGTTCCACTCGCGCTCGCACGTGCCCGACTCGAGGCCTCGCGGTGGCCACGGTGGTGCACCAAGCGCAGCACAGCGCTGTTCGAGGTCGGCGGGTGGAGCATCGGGGAGACATCTCGGGGCATCTACGGCAAGTTTTCGCTGGCCCTCTCGACTTCGCCGGCGGCTCGCGGCGGACGGCCAGCGGTTTACCCCACTTGGTGTGACATCACCCTATGCATGGCTGGGCCAGTCCTCAAGGTGCCACCCCCGGAATCGCCCCGCCCAGAGGGGTCGGCAGATCCTCGAGAGGGGCTCGACTCCCGAGCACGATAACTAATAGGAGGAATTCGATTGGGGCGGGGGAGACGAGACACGCTTCGCTGTACCCCACGGACCTCGACGGAATTGTCTCCCGACCCCTCCTTATACTCAACCCTCTGCCCTCCCCCTCTTTCTGCTCTCAACTTCTTCTCTGTGATCATCTTCATCCTTCCCTCTTTTTTTTTTTTGGAAATCGAATAAGCCCACTGAGAGAGACATTGACAATGACGGAGAACAAGTGTCCAGTCCACCGCGTTGGCAACGTTGGCGGCGGCGGTACCAGGAACCAAGACTGGTGGCCCGAAGCCCTCAGGCTCAACATTCTGCGACAGCACACCAATGTCACGAACCCTCTTGGAGAGCACTTTGACTATGCCGAAGCCTTCAAGTCAATCGACTATGAGGCGCTCAAGAAAGACATTGCTGCCGTCATGACCGACTCCAAGGAGTGGTGGCCGGCCGACTTTGGCCATTATGGCGGTCTTTTCATTCGCAGTAGGTGTCCTCGCCGCTAAAAATGCTTTGTTCCCTGAAAGTCAGGTCAGCCGACTGACAACGTGGTCCAGTGGCCTGGCATTCTGCAGGTACCTATCGGGTTCAAGATGGCCGAGGCGGTGGCGCCCAGGTAAGCAAGGATGTCGGGTATACCTCCAGCCCCGAGACACTAGCTCATGCGTGAATCCCCGCTCTAGGGACAACAACGGTTTGCTCCTCTCAACAGTTGGCCTGATAATGTCAGCCTCGACAAGGCACGTCGTCTGCTGTGGCCGGTCAAGCAAAAGTACGGCAGCAAGATCTCTTGGGCCGACTTGATGGTCTTGACTGGCAACGTCGCTCTCGAGACGATGGGCTTCAAAACCTTTGGCTTCGCTGGTGGCCGCGCAGACACGTGGGAAGCGGACGAGTCCACCTACTGGGGCAATGAGATGACTTGGCTCGGAAACGAGGCCCGATACTCGCACGGCCACGAGGGCGTCAAGGGCTCTGGCGTCGTCGATGCCGATGAGCCGATGACGGGCGATGGCCACTCTCGCGACCTGGAGAATCCTCTAGCTGCTGCCCACATGGGTCTGATCTATGTCAACCCCGAGGGTCCTGACGGGAATCCCGACCCTGTGGCCGCCGCCAAGGACATTCGGGTCACCTTCAGCCGCATGGCCATGGACGATGAGGAAACCGTTGCCCTTATTGCCGGTGGCCACTCGTTTGGCAAGACCCACGGCGCGGCCCCGTCCGACAATGTCGGTCCGGAGCCCGAGGGCGCTGATATTGCCCAGCAAGGCCTTGGCTGGAAGAACAAGCACGGGAGTGGTGTCGGCCCAGACACCATCACTAGCGGTCTTGAGGTGACCTGGACCAAGACCCCGACCAAGTGGAGCAACAACTTCTTCGAGTATCTGTTCAAGTTCGACTGGGAGCTTACCAAGAGCCCTGCTGGCGCAAACCAATGGGTGGCCAAGAATGCCGAGCCAATCATCCCCGATGCTTACGACCCGAACAAGAAGCAGCTGCCGACCATGTTGACCACGGATCTTTCCCTGCGTTTCGACCCTGTCTACGAGAAGATTTCTCGTCGCTTCTTGGAGAACCCGGATCAGTTTGCCGACGCGTTTTCCCGTGCTTGGTTCAAACTCACCCACCGTGACATGGGCCCGCGTGCTCGATACATCGGCCCCGAAGTCCCCAAGGAGACCCTGATCTGGCAGGACCCTATCCCCGAGCTTAACCACCCGGTTATTGACCAGAACGACATTGCTCACCTCAAGAGCGAGATTCTTGCTTCTGGTATCGATACCGGGAAGCTCGTTGCGACTGCCTGGGCCTCCGCTTCATCTTTCCGGGGCAGCGACAAGCGCGGCGGTGCCAATGGCGCCCGAATTCGGCTGGAGCCCATGAAAAACTGGGAAGTCAACAACCCCAAGCAGCTTAGCCAGGTCCTCCAGACCTTGGAGGGCATTCAGCAGAAGTTCCAGAGTTCCGGCAAGAAGGTGTCGCTGGCCGACTTGATCGTGCTTGCTGGCTCTGCAGCTGTCGAGAAGGCAGCCAAGGACGCCGGAATCAACGCGGAGGTTCCGTTTACTCCCGGCCGTATGGATGCGTCGCAAGAGCAGACCGATATTGAGTCGGTCTCGCATCTGGAGCCCATGGCCGATGGTTTCAGGAACTATGGCAAGTCCACGCCGCGCGTCAAGCTCGAGCATTTCCTGGTTGATCGGGCTCAGCTTCTGAACCTTTCTGCGCCGGAAATGACAGTCTTGGTTGGTGGTCTGCGCGCCCTCAACACCAACTGGGATGGTTCATCTCGTGGTGTCTTCACTAAGCGTCCTGGTACTCTGACCAACGACTTCTTCGTCAACCTTCTTGACATGGATACAGTCTGGCAGGCCGCAGACAGCACTGGCGATGTTTTCAAGGGTACCGATCGTAAGACTGGTGCTGAGAAATGGACTGCCACTCGTGTGGACCTGATTTTCGGTTCACAAGCTGAGCTGCGTGCTGTTGCTGAGGTTTATGCCAGCTCCGACAGTCCTGCCAAATTTGTCCGGGACTTCATTGCGGCTTGGACCAAGGTCATGAACGCGGACAGGTTTGACTTGAAGGGCAAGACCAGCCACCAGGCCCGCCTTTGAGTTTGCGGCAAGGAAAATCTCTAGCTACTAGGTAAGGATTCAGGTTTTGCATAAGTCAGATCTAGTAATTCAGATAAATTGATTTATCCAGTCCTGTATGCTCTATCTGATCATTGGTTCCACGTCAATTGCTTACGAAGGATCGATATACGCTACCTGCGAAGCATTGGTAATATTGGCCGAAAAGGCCGGAAGGGTTTCATCGTTTCGCGTGTAGGCTTGGTCAACATTGGAGAAAAGATCCCACATGGTCCTAGATATTATGTCAGTGTGATGGTTAAAGGGCGGGATTGACAGACGTGTGCGCGCATGACCTACTCATCTCCTCGACTGAGACGAACCACCAAGCCAAGGGTAAGCTGTTTACTTCCTGGGGGTGGCTGACGGACCCAATAGCCAGCTGTGACCCAACGGGGCTCAACAGCACATTGCGCGTATCGCAAAGGGACATATCCCTCATTGTATTCGTAAGACCCGTAGCCTTTGCAATGAGCATTGAACCTTGGAATAGACCTCCCTCCCGTGCCATAGTCAAAGTCAGGCCCAGTAATGTTAAAGTCTAGACATGTCAGTCCTGAGCTCCGGGGAAGCTTTAGCAATTCAATGCGGAAGCCTTACCCTGGGTATATGCGACCTGAGAAACGTTCCAATCAACAATACTGAATACATACTCCGAAGGGTCTGGAGGCCAAAAGTTGGCCGCTGGCGGAGATTGTGCAGGACACGGAGCGGGATGATTTAGGCAAGTTTGTATCTCAGTTATTGAGCTAGGAAGAATTTTGAATGTAGAGTTTCTCCAGGATTGTGAGAGATATGCGTCACCATACGCAGTTACATTGAAGCTCTTGGATCTAGGTTGTGGAAAGATGTTTAGTAGGGCGGAAATCGATAACTTATACAAAGCATCACAGTCAACGTACCTTTCCCGTGAATGGAACAAGTATGACAGCATGAAAGTATGATTAGCAGCGTAGGCCTCGACAGTATACAAAATGTTGTTGTCTTCCTGGGCTGTGTCATCTCTCGTGCATTGCGAGGCCTCTCGTCGTGAACCCCCGGAGCATTTTCCTTTTGTGGCAGGTATAATTATGTCTCCGATAGCGACCGACGGAATTGAAACGTCGAAGACTGAATAAGAGTCGCTGGTCAGCAGATGTTGGGCCTCGAGGGAGTTCCAACTTGCCAAAATTGCAAAAGCCATGCTCACAATGACCAGTCCAATTGGCGATGAACCACTCATAACCGGCTTGTGTAAGGACCGCAGACATGCCCTTGCTGGCAAACGCCGCGGCAACGAGGCCTATAAGTCCATACTTCATATTGATCGAGTAATTGATTCACGCAAGACGGTTTAATGAAACTGTTGGGACAAGACAGGGACTCGAACACAGTTATACACAGTTAAACTAGTGAGAAATGACAGCGAGATCTGAATCGAGTAAATTATGCGAATACAACCATATGTCTCAAGCTTATCTTACTCAATGAGGGAACACGAAGGGTGCGCCTAATATGGATAAAAGCATAAATCACACGTAACTTACGCACTTCGTATCTATTCAAAGTCTGAGAATCTGCAACAGGATTGTTACATCTGTTATGTCGAAAATGAACAGCTCAGACTATTGCTCCGTGAATGCCACATATGCAATGTGTTAAGCGTCACTTGCCTTTGAAGGGTCAACGTCGTAAGGTAAACCGAGCACGCTGGTTGGTTCCCATCAGGTATGATTGGTTTGAATTTCTCTTAGCAATTCTACACATACTCTCACTGCTTTCAAATGGTTATACTGAAGTTAAACTTCTCTACTCAGGCAGTGCTTTGAGCATCGGACTTGAGTAGCCATGACCTCCAATTCAGTATCCGCCAGCATGAGACATCCAACACTTCGGGATCCTCGAAAATTTTAATTTCAGGGCAGTCCTAGGGTTGGTGCCACATGTGCTCATAATGGCGGTGTCCTGCAGCTGGAAAGTCGCCTGTGCTTCACGAGACACTAAGGGAACTAGATACTAAAGCAAAGTCGAAGGTATTGCAAGTCCTGTCTTATAAGACAGAACCGTATAATATGATAGCAATGCCAGGGCAAGAACGTGAAAGGCGCAGAAACTGACGCGCAGGGTCCGTTTCATGTCTAATAGTCGTCTACAGCTACGAGCCTAATGACTAGTAGATAGATTCAACTATTGCGTTAAGCATGGGAAAGGTATTCAAAAGTTTGATTTTTGCACCGCTGTAGAGCTCATTGACAGCTCGTCCAAAGAACAAAGTTTCCTCTTATTTGCTCGCTGCTCCCCCAAAAAAAGATGGGTATACTCGCGAACAACTCTGTTTATAACATGCTAGGGGGAACTTGGACACGGCCAAGACCCCAAATATCACAACGAGAAACTCAAGTTCATATTTCTTCCCGTATGAACTTATACACTTGATACGTAAGTATCATACGGATAGAGACCAAATAGTTTGAATCCACTTCGAGGTCACCTTCATGCGAGGACTTATCATCCTTCGTGACGGTTAGGTTCTATGATAAGACTCCTGAGGCGCACCAGACAGTTTAAGAGTAGTTAGAAAGACCAAGCGGAGTCCCCTGAAGATAACCAACTCTCTCCACTACTAGGAATGGTACTTGCTATGCTCGATATGTTGTATACAGTACAATGTTGGGGAGTCCTCTCAGTGCTGTACAACCGAGATAGCTTGTTGGGACCGTCTGAAAGGATGGTTTAGCAACATATCTTGAGCAAGTAAGCCTCTTAATACTGAAAGTGCTTGCATCATGGGCGAGGAGCTAGGAGATCAGCCTAAATGAACACAGTGACTATTCCACAATCACGACCGTTCTATCCAGGTAAGAGCTCGGGACTGATATATGTATTGCTATACCCTAAGCCCTGAGGCCTCATACAGTGAAACTCTTTCAAGGTACCATTACGAAGCTCGACGCAGTACTACAACTTTGCATGCTCCTCAGTACTGTGCACTGTGATCTTGAAGGATGTTCGTGGGTTAAGAACTTTCAACACTTGAAGACAGGGGGCCCAGCAGGAGTGTACTGCCTAGGGAAGCCGTTGTATATGTTGATCATGATTCCCGGATCAGTCGCTTTGTAGGCTCCAGGAAATGAGACCAGGTCAGTGGGTGTCTTTGACCCGCTTCCTCCTGTGACGCTCAGTTGGGCACATGATATGTAAAATTGAGCACCACCTGCAGTGGAAGCCGAGTGCAGCGCCACATGCTCAATGCGGAACAGGTACTCGCCACTCTCAATGCATGCGGGTATCTGGAAGCTCACACTGGCCTTGTCTGTGCAGAAAATGTCGTGGGTCAGCGGATTGATGAGATAAGTCTTTGGAGGCAAGAGGTGACGTACTCATGGAGGGCCAAGTCATTCCAGAGTTAGAGACTGAGGGATAATCCTGGTACACTTTGAACCATACTGCCCCAGCGCCATTCCATGAAGCAGCTGTCTGCCCTGCGGGTACTTTGGCCATGTACGCCGAGAGCGCCCCAGGATGATAGATGTTTGGGTTGGCACTCCAAGTTATGGAGCCCCCAGCGTTTGCTTTAAATGTCTGCGTGACACCACCACCTCCGGGAGCGAGCTGATAGCAGCGGATAGCCTCCGAGCGGACATCTGTTACGGGCCCGTTGCTGTAATGATTTGCTGTAGTGCGCACGACCTGCCAGTCCTGTGTGCCCGCCAGCTTGGGGAAGGTGTCTGGGAGCGTTGGAATGCCGTCAGCTATGACCAATCAAGCAGCTCAGCTTAACCTACAGTGAGGTGCCGCATTGACCACAGTCGCAACGGCCACTGCAAACACGAATGAGAGCTTCATCGTACGATTGAGCTCGATACACTGTGGAGAGATACTCTTCAAAAAACCTGGTGTCGATGGGTGAATGAAGACATAGTACCATCTGTATGGCCTGGCCTTGAGATGCTACTGCTTTTATAATGCTACACTCCCTCCACTTAAGCCTGGTAATCGACAGAGGAGTGGCCCCACTGCGGTTGCAGATACACTATGATGATAAATGAGGTACGACGGAAGGTCCACTGCCGGTTAAATCCATCATTTATATCCATGTCACAGGCCGTCATGTGAGTGCCGGCAGTGTTCTCACGTCTCGGAAGCGATCAGTTCTCATTCTACAGTGGTCCTAAGGCACGATAGTAAAGTAATACCCCAACTCGAAAGCCAGAATGGGTGGCACACAGGTAGCAAAGCTGTCAATATGTGGATAGTGAGAATGCGCCCATGTATTAACAATGAGAAGGATACCACCATCTGGGCGATAGATCATTGGTGGAGCACAGGAGAGCTCGGTGCTATCGGGATTCGCTTCCGCCATGGAGCATACGTGTGCTGCAGAAACTACTTCATCGTTCATTCTCATGTGCCCTTCATTTCGTGATGACGCAGTCACTGTTTGGTGGCCATTCCCCTCAAAGTTCATAGTGCGCAGTAAGTTCTTCAATAACTTGTGCATACTAACCAAGGTAGAATGAGACACAACACCGCAAGTAAGCGGCCGCAGTACCAGACATGTACTGTTGTTCCGGACAAACTTGGATACAGACAGTGCTTTCGGGTCCGGTTCTCGACCTGATGCTCAGACTAGCATTCACTATACTGAAAGGTTTAAAATCCTCCCAGCTTCCCAATCTCTAGCTCTATCCTCGGAGGGATTCTGCGTGTGCGGTTGACCGTAGTACACCATCTGCCTTGGTCACAACCTGGGAGAAACACCGGTGATGTTTTCAAGGGCACCGATCGTAAGACTGGTGCTGAGAAACGGACTGCCACTCGTGTCGGAAGATCGGGGTAATCAATCATTTGTAGCATCATATTTAGCTCTCAGTACAGAGGGGTACCTTCTCAGTAGCATGTCATTTATTCAAGCGTTATCGTCTGTCAATAATGACCACAAGACCCCTCCTTGGCTTTGATTGCATGTACCGTGGCGCTCTTCGCGTTTCACGCTCTCTGTATACGTACATTCCTGTACTTCACCAAGACCGCCTCCGTCTGGTCTGATGGAGGATCTTCTGTTGCCTGTACCACTGTGTGCCCACACTATCTACCGGAAATTCTCATAAAGGGGACCATTATTGATGATACATATTGGCCTGCGGTGTGGCGTGGATGTTTTGTCAGCTCCCTTGCACTAGCTGGGCTTACGCCTCGGCCCCTATCTTCAGGTCCAAAGCCCTTGTATCATGGCAGTCTGTATCAGATTTGGGATAATCAAAATCAATCCCCAAGGTCGTCTACTTTTCATGCCAAAAGCCACTGCTTCTATTGTCAAAACCGTTAGGGCAGCGCTGCTTTAGATTTGTGTGGCACAACGAATAACAAGGCAAGCGCTGCATGCCGCTATCTTCCTGAGTGTAGCCATAAAAACCAGTGTATGATGACCTATATTATCATTCTTCTTCTCTATATACTTCAGGGGATATCCAGTGATCACAGCCGGTATGTGCAGCCACCGTAGCACCGTAGCATCACGACGATCAATACAAAGCAGGGAATCTAAAGAAAAGAAGAGCGATAGTCGGAGAAGAGCACAGAGCGTGAGTAGGAGCACAACGTACAGAGCATAGACTTAGGAGGATCTGATAGTAAGTACCCTAGGACATAGACACCCTGGAGATTTTGGTTGCGACTCTGATACCAAAAAGTAAATCCCTCGAAACTAGTCGCTCTAGAGGAATGAACGGAATCCACAATCCCAGATGCGCCAAGGTTTCGATAGGGTTTTCCAAACAACTTCAGGACTTCACCGAACAGATTTGCGGGACATCAAAGATCGAATGGCCGAGTAGCTTCAATATTAAACTTGCCCAAAACTATCTTTCAGTGCATAGACGTTGGCCTCAAGGGCCTCTTTCTTGCGGCCTCAGACGACGGGGAAAATATGAGGCGCGTTGCTTAGGATCAAAGCCAACCCCAACTCGGTTAGAGATGTCTGTCCAAGTTGGTTGGTAACTTCTCCGAGGGTGTCACTATCTACGCTCGTAACCCGTCTGCTCCTTGTCAAAATAGCCAGAGATCTTCTCTGCGCTTGTTCTCCCAAGAGCCATCTCGGACCAAAGTTTACCACCCGCATAGCTTCCCACAGGGCTAAGACCATGCTGAACTGGCGCGGCATCAGAACTTAAGTATTTCCCTTTCAAAGTCTTGAATCATGATATTCCATCGGCGTTGAAACACAACACGGGATTCTTAGGGTTTTGCGTATGTAAGCCGGTGTGTCAGAGATGCCAAGATACCTGGCAAGTTGTGCAGCATTGACATCGTATGGTTACGCTGCTCCGACGACTCAGCAGACAGGTTACTTATGCTCACCACCATTGCATTTTCTACCCGGCGAGATATCTAACTTGGCCAGAAACCATGCACAGGACACACCGACTTCCACCGCCACGACGCCTTGAACAATCTAACCCTCACTCAAATCTGAGGACATACTCTGGTCGAAATCTCAGGTCGAGCGCCGAGGGAAGCCGATTCTAGAGGCCATGTCGACAGTACCCTCACGCCTTCACGAGCCTCCATTTGATGGCTATAATCGGCCACACATAGTCCGAGTAAGATGCACTTTGTCGGAATTATCCCTCAGTCATGTAGAACGTTCAGTGCATGGCCATTTGAGTAGCCTTCAAGCCTCCAACCACAGTCAGGGAAAGCACTGGAGAGATGAGATATGAAATCTGATTCGAGCAGAGTAAGCGCATGGCTAGCTAATAAATGGAGAAACTTACTGTGAGGAGCTTCGCGATGCTTGTCTCATCCTCTTCACCTGCATCGCTGACCTGGACCAGGGTGATGAGCTTCATTGCTGGAGGCCCAGTAGGCATCAGCATTAGTGTAAACCACAGCATCGGATCGTCACCGAGTATGGAAGTCCTGGACGCCATCAGATATACACAGGTAATAGACGCCACTGGCCAGATGATAAAGCGTATGCCGAGGATGAAAATCGTCGGAGCCCACGGCAGCGTCTTAGCGGCCTGGCTGCCCTGCGCCTTTGGCTGCTGCATCGCCGTATACAGAGATACTCCAGCAATCACGACTGGCAGCGGGACAAAAAGCCCTCCAATGTTTCTCAAAGAAGCAGTAAACCAAGCGGTGAAGATCCCACCGTCTGTAGTATCGTTGAAGAATGCCTTGTGTAGCATCGGTACCAGACCAATAACGGCACCGAGAAGCGCGCCGATCAAAGGGGCGTTGAAAAAGTCCGAGATCAAAAGAAGCCACCATTGTGCTCGAGGGCCAAGACGTTGCCAAGACCGTCTTGTCACGAGATACGCGCTCCTTGTATCAAGAGAGACGCTCTGGCGTTGAGATGGACTCGATAGCGAGTGACGCCTGGAGGGAAAGAACGAGTTTCGTATGTAAGGACCGTCCACCGAGGACTGGGTCTGATTCGACGGTAGAAGTTGGCTTGACTCATCGACTATCTCGGTGTCATTGTGGTCCAATATCTCACCGGACGAAGGTGCCGACTGCTTGTCGTCCTCGTCTGGCGCATGCTCTGAGTCAATCAATCTCGGACCAACCGCGAACGTCAAGCAACTAGACACCGTGGCGAATATAAGAAAATATGACTTGGCACGCTCAATCGCCTCCTGGGTCGTTTCGTCTGCGACGATCAGAGCTTTCAGGATGCCAGTATCTCGGAGAGCAGCAATCAGCAGTAGAGGGTAGCTGGTAGTGTTATTGAACATCAGTGCCACAGTCGTCCAGTCGGGCATGCCGAGACCTATATGTGCCATAATCCCGAGTAGAAAGGATGCCAAGTGGCACAATAATGCCCAGAGCAAGATGACGACGTAGCGAGACGCTGACTTTTGGTGCAACTCGGATCCGATTTGTGTGACAAGCAGGGCTGGAAGGAACATCCGCACACAAATCTTCGACACTGCCTTGGTATTGCCACTATTGAGGATGCCGAGCCATGCTGCAATGCCGCCATACAGTATAACGAGGAGAACAGAAAGACTGGCCTGAATCGCACCGAGAAAGGACTCCAGCAAGCCAGTTGGCGCCATGATAGCTCGGCACAGTCGATGCCCAGATATTGGCTCTTTCGCTACTCTTTCGGACTCCCAGACTTCCAACAGTTCCCTGCTCGCTGGCTGGTGAGATAGGTGGGTTGGGAAAGCAATGGGGATATGGCAAACTGGCAGAACTGGAGGCATCGCGCAGTTGAGGTACAGGTAGTTGCGATGAATAGTGGGGAAGTGCTATCCGCCCCGCGCCCTTATCTCAAGGTACGTCACAGAAAGGCGAGACTGTGCAGATAAGTCTAGTCTCTCCAGTTAAATCAAGTGCCTACCCCGCCCGCTGCGCTGCTTGGCGAATCCTGCACGAAGATGACCTCATCCACTCTCCTAGACAGGCTATGGGCGACAGTCAAGCTTAGCTGCAACTTGCAGACTAAAAGCTTTGTTTTCTTGTACTCATCGTAAGCGTCCGGCAAAAATAGCAGCCCTAGCCTTCGTGAATCGTCAATGACTATTCGTCATACCGCGACCTCGATGTGGGGTTGCTAGAGTCACCTCTAGACTCCACTCTGAGAGAGAAAAAAACCATCGAAGCAGGGCCAAGCGAGCATTCACAAACGATTTTGTTGTACAAGTTCTCGAATTCTCTGGAGGCGCACGTTCTCTTGTCTTCATAATGGCTCTTAAAGTCTGGCATCGCCGTGATAGCGGCGTCGAAGGAACGTCTCCTACCCAGTCGCCTAGACCCATCCCATCGCCCCCGACGAATGTAAGCAAATCACCCAAGTCCAGACATGGAACCTCACACACTGACCGCTGAACCTTGTGCCTCGCTAGGCGGAAGAAGTCAAGGAGCAGTGTGATTCGTTTACCCTGGACTCGTTTACCGTGGATGACGCATGGCATTTGGGCCATCTACTTCATGCAAGGCTGGCTCCACTGGCAGCCGAGAAGCCCACGGTCATTTCCATCGCAACTGCCAACACTAGCCAACTACTCTTCCATTGCGTGACCGGTGCTGGAACATCACCTGACAACGAAGTCTGGGTACGCCGAAAGAGGAACACCGTGCTCCGCTTCGGCTGCAGCACCTGGTTGATGCACTGCAAGTTCGATGGTGACGAGGATGCGTTCCGGGCCAAGTATGGAATCAACCCCGAACAGACCAACGAGTATGCAATCCATGGGGGCGGCATCCCTATCCGCGTACGTGGAGTTGAGGGAGTCGCGGCCGTTGTCGTTGTGAGCGGTCTGAAACAGCATGAGGACCATGGAGTTATCGTGGATGTGATCCAGCAAAACTGGGAATAACGTATTGCCGCGGGAGAAGTTCTTGGAAGGCATAGAACCTTCTGAGAATTCACTTTTGTTTTGAAATCAGTGCGGAATACCGCTTGCTCCCGAAATTGCTTTCGTCGTCATGCTGCAGACCATGTGCTACGCGAGGCCTCCTCAGCGGGGGAATCAAACCCCCCTTCCCCTTCCTTTTGCTTGAACTGGGGGGCAAACCGAGCTCCAAGCATCGGATATTATCCGAAAGGATCGGTAAGGGGGGTTTCTTGGCTTCCCGGGGCCGAAATATTAATTTAGCCCGAGGTTGGTGTTTACATTGATGAAAAATGAGCATCTCAATGCACACACATGCACGCTGTTGCCCAAGTGATCCCCAAGACACTTAGCAGCACTGCATCATTGCACGTACGCCGGCGTGCGAAGGTGATGAGAGAAGATAGGAAGATATTATCCCTGTCATGCCTTGAGTCTCATTACATATGGCAAGACTGGTAAACGGCTCGCCCCCTCCGTGGTCGCAACCAGGCAAAATGGCTAATTACACCGAGTGAAGCCCCCAGGGCCGCTCAAAAAGCACCCTAAGCAAAGCGACGTAGTAGGTGGATGCTCCAGCGAAAGTTTCAAATGGTCATTGTCACCTCATCTGTGCTTGAAGGCTTTCAGACTCGCGCAGGTTAGTGTTACCTTACTCTTCAGCCAACATTGAGATATCACCTTATCAATGCCCCCCGAGGACCGGCATTCCGGTGCCAAGCGGACACCTCATTACAGTAACCGAAGATGAGAATTTAGCCTTGGTTGGGGGTTTTGCTTGAGATCTTCTCCGTAGTAATCTATGGATTAATCTCAAGGAATCCTCTCCATTCTGCCTGGGCTGACCTTGTTGACGACACTCCGCGGCCGAACTTCCGGCTTTGGGTGGGATATTGAGGCCTGTTCAGTGTGCTGGTGGTGGTTGCTTACCCAGTGAATGGATCGATATTGAGCCAATATCGGGCTCTGCTCGGTGCCTGGGCCCAAATTGGATGAGGCCGATTTCATGGTCTCTTTATATTCCGATGCATGCTGCCGTTCCAGCCCTGCAGATCTTTCAAGAAGATTTCTCTCTGGCCGCATGCCTCGTGATTCATGAAATCGGAGGGCACAGCTTCCTAGTTTTGCATGCTTTTTGTCGGCTCGCTCAGACCTTGAAGAATCAAGCAATATGCGGTGGGCGCGACTCAGCCTGGCTGTCGGCCTCGGCTTCTCGGGGCTTACCCGTTGTGCGGCAGCCTCCAGCGACAATGCTGTCAACCTGGAGATGGGCATCAATCAGCTGGAGTTTGAGATGGCCAACGCACTCGGACGACGGCAAGGGAGCGGTCGCTGCGGCCAGGACGGCGGCAATGCCCGGTGCCCAGACAACCTCTGCTGCTCCCAGTTCGGCTACTGCGGTGAGGGCGACCAATTCTGTCTTGCAATTGTCGGCTGCCAAACTCAATTCGGATGTTGCGGAGCCAACTGCGGCGGCGGAGCGGCGCCGCCCACAACCACGCCTCCCACAACAACACGGCCGACGACTCCGCCAACCACCAGACCAACCACGCCCACCACATCGGCCCCCGTGCCTACCGGATTGACGATCAGTCAAAACGGTATGTGTGGCAATACCACAGGTTGCGTCGGCTCCCGCTTTGGCAGCTGCTGTTCACAATTCTTCTGGTGCGGCTCTGGCACGGAATTCTGCGACACTGGCTGCCAATCTGAGTTTGGCAATTGCGGACAAGGACAGCCGCCTGGATCATCGGCACCACCAACCACGACAAGGCCGCCTACTACTTCACCAACCACACCCACGCCAACCTCGCCCACTTCTACAGCGGGCCCGTCCCCCAGCATCCCAGCCGGGATGCGGTCAAGCACGGATGGCACTTGCGGAAACGGGGTCACCTGTATCGGGTCGACCTTTGGACGATGCTGCTCTCAATTTGGGTACTGTGGGAACGATTCACAGTTCTGCTCCTCGATCGTCAGATGCCAACCTCAGTTTGGCGAGTGTGACTAGCCCGGAAACGATCTTGGCTTGCTTTTATCGCTCGCTCTTCGGCAGCAATTCTAGTAGATTTAATAGGTTCCTCATTCATCGCCTTCAAGGATAGCGATCATGCTAGTAATGACGAAGCTTTGCGGAGTGGACTGCTCCTGGTAGAGGTAGAGGTAGAGGTAGAAATCAACACCCCATGAACCCATGTGATGCTCCCCCTCTTGCTTGGCAATGTGCGGAGTGGCTGCCCAAATCTTACAAGAGCACTGGTCTACCGAATTTCCGAAGTGCGGGGGTGGGAGCGGAGGTTCACCTGTCTCTTCCCCGACAGACACGGTTCTGACCCACAGGCGATGATGCTCGGGAAAATTCCCGGGGTAGAGTCCGTGGTCAGGACTGTCTCTAGTCTTTCTCTCGGGTCAATTGGAAGCGGCCTGCGCCAGGCGCCTTTCCGTCTTGGATAGCTTCGTCCTCTTTGGTTCTAGGAACCATGTCGATCACGGCCGGGAGAAAGCGGCCGGCGTCCTCGCTCAAGGCACATAAAAGACGTGTCGAAGGAGCTGGCTTCCATACTCTATCGTAAGAGCACAGCAAAGATCCAGCTAGTCAACATCTAGCAAGATAATGGCCTCCGCTTTCTTTTGGTGTGTGGCACTCCTCGCCAGTCCAATCGCTGGCCAGATCGATAGGTATGGTTTCGCATACATCCACAGTGGATACGTATACAGTTCCTGGTATGATATTCGCTCACGCTCACTGGTGTCACTCAGGCAGCGAGTAGTGTCACAGTATAATGTCGTCCGGAGAGAGCTAGTCACCAACATGTCGACACCTCTACAAGTGGGAAACGGCAACTTCGCGTTCAATGTTGACAACACGGGCATGCAGGTATATCAGGCCTAGGCCTGAATCACTTTAAGGTGTCTGGAATACTGTGGTGTCGAGACTAACTCCGTTTCTTGTGTGTCCTGATAGACATTTCTGCCATTCAATACTCTTTCGAGCTGGGCTTGGCACAACGACTCCTTGCCCAGTAACGGGTGGGTTTATCCAAGAATGTGTTCATCCACGTTGCTCGGGTTCTAATGGCCATCCACCAGTGAACAACTAAGTGATTATCATGGCGTCCCTTACCTCACCCATGGAAGAAATGTCTCGTATGATGATACGGATAAGAACCTCCCAAACGTTACGCAATGGTTGATAGGGAACCCCAATCGCATTAACCTGGGCCGGATTGGCTTACTCTTCAACAACGACACGATTTCACTTTCACAGATATCTGAACCTCACCAGGAGCTTGATGTGTGGAATGGCATAATAACATCATCGTTCAAAGTTGACGGAAAGGATGTGAAAGTTGTCACGCAAGGCGATTTTGACTCGGACTCTGTGGCTTTCCAGGTTGAGTCTGACCTTGTCAAATCGGGGGCACTCAGTGTTTACTTCGACTTCCCTTATCCTCCGGTACATACCACAAAGTACAAATTCGAGGTCTTTGTCGGGTCCTACGACTTCCCATCCAACCATACAACTAGCCTAAGCAGAGGATGTCGGTCCGGTGATAGAGCGCATATCCTACATCGGCTCCCAGCCACAAGCTATCACGTCAACCTCCGCTGGCCAGCAGAAGCCCGTCTCCAGCTCTCTGCGAGCAAGTATCACGGTACTAGTGATCTCGCCGCTCATCGATTCATGCTTTCGCCAGTATCTACAAGTACCAAGATGAGCTTCACCGCTCAATATTCCCCAGATAAGAGGATAGCAGACCTGCCGAGGGATATTCAGAAGCGCAATTCTCTCGCTTGGAATGACTACTGGACTGATGGCGGGTTCATCGACTTGAGATCATCAACAAACCCCAACGCGGACGAGCTGCAACGGCGTATCATCCTCTCGCAGTATCATGTGCGAGTGAACAGTGCTGCGACAGGTCAGTCACCGCAGGAGAGCGGCCTCATGAATAATGGCTGGTACGGTATGTGCATGACCCTATTCTCTTCAGGCACTTGGGTATCCGATATCCTTGTTGGCGGGCTAATGTGACTGCAGGGAAATTTCACATGGAAATGCTAGTTTGGCACCACGCTCATTGGTCTACATGGGGTCGTGAGAGATACTTCAATAGAATATTCCCATCCTTGTACGAGTCGATGCTTCCTTCATCCACCGAAAGAGCTACATATATGGGCTGGAGCGGTGCGAGGTTCGTCGGTTCCTCTCTGTAACAGTAGTCGGCATGCTAATGGCTCAAACAGGTGGCCCAAAATGACGGAATTGGTGACCAAGCATAGCTCACCTGGTGGCATTAATGCATTCTTGAATTGGCAACAGGTAGGCCTGGCCTACACACAGCCGACAGAGGCATTTCTTTCGTCCGCTAACATGGCCCTGGTAGCCACACACCATGTACCTCGCGGAGCTGTCCTATCAAGCTTCTCCGGGCATCACTACACTGCAAAGATGGGATAAGGTCTTGACAGCGGCGGCCGATTACATGGCATCGTATGCATGGAGAAACGAGACTTCTGGACACTACGACCTCGGACCACCGTAAGTATTGTCCAAATCGTGAAATCGTATCTGGGAAGCTAATGATCCAAAGAGCGATAGGTGTCACGGAAAACACTCCAGTAAAGGAAAGCCTTAATCTGGGATACGAGGCATGTTCTCACCACGTGTGAGCGGACATCTGGAAGCTCAAACTAAAGTCTTCTTTTTAGGTTGCGTATTGGAAATATGGTCTCGACATTGCCTCTGAGTGGAAGAAACGCCTTGGTCAGCCTATTCCGGAACAATGGCTGCGAGTTTCGCGAGATATGGCGCCCCCTCCTATCGCTGATGATGGTCTTTACACCGTATACGAGGGTCTCGACAGTTCCTGGTGGAACGACGCAAAGCTGATCAAGGACCCACGTAGCGTCATCATGCTGCGAGGTATTCTCCCAGATACCCCAGTGGTCGACCCCAAGATAGCGCAGAAAACAGCAGACCGTGTCATGGAGGTCTGGCATGACGAGAAAATCACTGGTTGGGGCCGCCCAGTATTTGCAATCAACTCAGCCAAGATTGGAAACCCAGAACGAGCGATCAAGCTCCTGACGCAATATGAGTACTGGTCATTCGATGATGCCGGCAAGTCTCATCTCTGTCCTAAATTCACTAATAAGTTAGGCTACTGACTGTGAATCGTGATTAGGTTTTGCCTCACGGTCTGATGGTGGTCAGTCTACCTATTCTCTCATTGCACCGTAACAGTTTCTAACATGTCCCGCAGGTCAGACACCTCCACCGTTTATCCCGGGAAATGCAGCCTTTCTCTACGCAAGTAAGTTTCAGTGCTATTCTCCCGCATCATTAACTCATACTCTACTAAATGATCTGCTCAGTTTCATTCATGACAGCGGGGTGGCAAGGCTGTCAAGAGGAGACGCCCGGTTTCCCCAAGGATGGGACATGGACTATCATTCATGAGGACATGAGACCTGCCCTATAATGAAATACTACAACTCGTAGAGATAGTCAATCACAATAAATGAGTCATTGTGGCATAGCCAACTGAACATGTTGTATCGATCAAAAGCTAAAACTGGGGCGAATGATCAGCGCTCTTGGTGACAAAGTCAGTACATGCAGCCCTCCAGCACCGCCAGGAAGCAGGGCTTTGTAGTGAGCAACATAGCAAGATAATTAGGTAAACTCCAGTTTCTTGCTTAGTGTGTTTAGATAGATCCGAGCACCTGCAAATTTGCCAATACGCGACCCTGCGCATCCAGGAGCTTCACCTGGAGTTTTGTCCAACATCATCAAAGACGGACAGGACACTCTGGAAAGCATGATAAATTCTAGCAGTCTGTTTTAGGCCACTGCCGAAATGGAAGGCGTGCAAGGTTTACAAACAGCTAATGATCAGCCTCATGGGCCATGCCGGAGCGCGGAGAAAACCTGGGCATGAAGCTGGGTGGTCTGTGGCGCATTGTGAGACATCAAACCCCGACTGCCTCAATGCGGATCTGCGACGCAGGTCGTGCCGGACCCATGCCCTCAGAAATTTGTCAAGCACCCAAGCCATGAATTTGGTGCTCGACAGGACAACCACGGTCGCGCGTCCATTCGGGACTGCCACGGTTCATCAAGTGCCCGTATCTCGATTTCTACGCGGGCCTGTCGCATCCCGCCAAGGAGCACGGCTCTGCCCGGGCCTCTGCGCTTTGGCCTCTGCACCATCGACTGTGCGCCCAGAGTCTGGTTCGACACTCCAGATCGACATCGTCTAGCGTCTCTCTCTTCAGGCTGATGAGTTGCAGATGAGCGAGACAACTGGAAATTCCTGGATTGCCACGTTCAAATGCAGCGATGCCGAGCCGTCCGATATATCGCATGGCCTTCCCCTCCCCGCTCGACTTCGGAAGAAGTCTTTCTTCATCTGTTCTGTTCTCTCGGTGTTGGTTTCCCGGAATTCATGTTGCGGTTCCCAAACGGTAGCCACGTCGCGCCAGCTACGTGCCAACTTAATGGTCGATGACCACTTCTACAGACTGCATCATCGACTCACACTCTTTTTTCATACTCTCAGGACGGGGCAATGGACGACACAGATACCTTTCCGTTTCTGTTCAACAAAACACAGTCGGCAGGTTCGGCGCTCAATGGATCTAGGCCAGGACCACCGGGGATTTGGAAAGGCTGGTCCATTGATTACAGCAAATTTCCACATGACGACTTTGGACCGCAGCTCAACTATGCGATATGGTCCCTGACAATATTAGCAGCGGGCTTTATGGGATTGCGCATATACTGCAAATTTCTTCGACATCGCGGACTGTGGTGGGACGATTATGTCCTGATCTTGAGTTGGGTAAGAATATGTTTCTAGGCGTTGTGGCTAGACAGCGGCTGATAGGAGTCTAGGTAATGTTGGTCGTGCAAACGGCGTTGATCTCCTTCAACATCACCATTGGTTATGGGAAGCATACATGGGACTTCGAACGAAAAAACATGCCGACGTTCCGGTTTGTGTCGAATACCAGTGGCTTCTTCTCCATCTTGGCCGCATCGTGGAGCAAAACGTCGTTCGCAATCACGGTTCTTCGAATATCAGAAGGCTGGACTAAGCGCTTCGTGTGGTTTGTGATTGTTTCGGTCAACGTGGTCCTTACGTTTGGGGCAATTTCAACATACCTCCAATGTACGCCAAGCGAGAAACTATGGAAACCGTGGGTTCCAGGTTCGTGCTGGCCGAAGGAGGTCATCATATTGTATAATATGCTCACTGCTGGTACGTGGTGTCATTGGAAGACGACCAAGAATACTCGGTCCCGGAACTGACCAGAATGTCTTCAGGTTACTCCGGTGCGATGGATATTGTGCTTGCAGTCTTACCCTGGAAGATCATCTGGTCCCTTACGATGAACAAAAAAGAGAAGATTGGTGTTTTGTTTGCGATGAGCATGGGAGTTTTGTAAGTGACCGCATCTTTTCAAGAAACACATAGGTCCTAACGTGAGAATCGCAGCGCGGGTATTGCGTCAATCGTTAAGATAACCCAGCTTGGGACGATCAAGAAGTTCGATGTTTGTAAGTTGTAACGAGCAGTTCAAGAATATCCCGAAGCTTCCTTCTGACTGGCGACAGTTAATGGGATAATGCTGTCGGCGCTTGGGACCGCAGAAAGTGCCGTGACCATAATGGCCGCCTCAATCCCAATACTGCGCGCTCTGATCAGAGATGTCCCTTTGAGGCCTGCCCCAGCTCGATTCTATCACGGATCCAACATGTACACGGGGAATAGAGAGACAACGGGACGGAACAGTACAACTATATCATCAAGGCGGCGTTCATCCTCACAGACGAGATCGACCAGATCTTCCCTGAGCTGGGCTCATTCATGGATGGCCAAATACAAGCGGGATTCAGACGACTGGTTCCGAAAGATGGCAGCCACACCGGAACCTCCACCGGGGAAGATTGTGCAAACAGATGAGGTATCTGTGGAGTGGGAGAAGAAGGAAAGCATAGGGAAGGCGTTCTAGGATCATTTCTGTTCTGTAGCTGTTATGAGTATGTATGAGAAAGCTTACGGAGTCCTGCTTGCGCTGTTCAAGGGGCTTTGTTCGGGGCGTTTGGGCGTTCATGGGCGCAGTATGCCATGCCAGGTCATTATGGGTCTAGGCAGCACAAATACCAGGTTAAATATATTTAAGATACTTGACAGATCTAACCTATTCACCTAGCTCACAAAGGTCCACACATTCTCTGCATGATAGCAGACACAAAGATTCTAACGAGAAGAGATCATCGAGCGATGTTGTACTCAGTTTCCAATACCCCCGCAAGCCATTCATCAACACACAGTATTACATTCTGCAGATTCCAAAAAGCATCAAGTGCAATGTGACGCGAAAACGATTTATACCATCGTGTCAGTAACAGCTCGGTGCGACTGGTTATCATACCATACCTGTACTTTACACACTAAAATTATGCTACAAATCAGTTCATAATTCAACAGTTTTCAATTGTTGAAGCTCTTGAATTTTGAAGTCTACGTTTTGCTAACAATGTCCAAACAGACTGGTTGCAACAAGGCGCCAAGGATGCTCCAACACCACCAAATCTCTCAGTAGCAATGGTGAGCAATTGGCGCTCACCAGGCAATGGGTCTGGAGTCACAATCTCTGCCAGAATCCCGTCTCTCGAAAGCCTTTTCTAGTCATCCCGAGGAATGTCTTGGCGGTTGAGTTTTGCCGGTCCTTGGCTTCTTGGCTTTCTTGGCTACACTGGAGAACCTCTCGGCGTTGCGGGGAAGTGGGGAGAGGGTACTCCCGATCTCATGGCTGGACATCTCAAGGAGGTACTCCGTGTATGCCCGAGAGTCAGCTGGATCGACAAAAGGGTGTGTGCTGCTACAGATCATTCCCAGTATATACGGACTTCGCGGGATACAAGAAAGGAGCCTTAGGTAAACCTCGGATTCAAAGTTAAATCGATTCAACATCAACTGAACAGCAGGTTTAACAGACCGTAACAGGCCAGTCAGTTGTTATATGGAACCTAGCCCATCGTAGCATGCCGCAATACAGCCAAAGTGCCCAGACCACTTGTCAAACCATAGCCCTTATTGAACCAGTAATTAGCCAGAGGCTTGCACCCCTGGACGGTCTTTGATATGATCGTCGGGCCTGTGGATGTTCAGAGCCCCTCAATAACCTACGACCGGGTTTGCCAAGCAAGTACCTTGTCCACAGCCATACGAGATGCCGAATTCCAAACGAAGCACATATTCAGTATGAACTCGTACATACGGCAGGAACAATAGCGTTACACTCCAACCATTTGACAGCCTAACAACGGGGCAAAGGCAGGTTATACCACGGGTGGTCTCTAGTAGCTCCGATCCCCATGTTGGCTCTAGGCCATCCTCGTTTGTATAGCATTCTAGGATGTCCATAAATACGCCGATGAATGCCGGCCTCGACTGTCCGGAAGTCATCCTCACTTTTTCACTCCCAATATCCCCGAAGCTCCTAAGCTGTCATCCCGCCCTCTTCAACAAATATGATTGGCTCGTTGTTTATTATGGCAGTGCCAGTCCTGGCACTGCCAGCCGCCAATATCTTTGAACGCCAGGATGCGTGCAAGGCATCGGACAACTACGCGGCTGTCGATGTGAAGGGTCTACCTGATCCTTGGAAATTCGCAGACGGGAAGGCCGTCACCACTGCCGAAGACTGGACGTGTCGCCAGGCCGAGATGAGCAAGATCATGCAGCAGTATGAGCTTGGTGATTACCCGCCAGCACCGGAGTCTGTTAGCGCGACCATGTCGGGAAATAGTATGAGCCTGACCATCAAGGTTGGGAGCAACACCAAGACACTCTCTGTTGCCATTACCAAGCCCAGCGGCGGAGGCGCGTCGGGAGGCCCTGCTATAATCGGTGTTGGTGGCATCTCGATCCCGGTACCCGCTGGCGTTGGCAGGATCAATTTTGGCAACGATGCATGCGCTGCCCAGATGAATCCCAGAAGCCATGGAACTGGATGGTTCTTCGATCTCCACGGCAAATCTCATAGTGCCGGGGCCACCACTGCTTGGGCTTGGTGTGTTGGCCGTATTATCGATGGCCTCGAGCAACTTGGACCCGAAAAGACCGGCATCGACACCAAACGCCTCGGTGTCACGGGCTGCAGTCGCAACGGCAAGGGTGCATTCATGGTTGGCGCTCTTGAGAAACGCATCGCTTTGACCATTCCTCAAGAGTCCGGCTCGGGAGGTGCTGCGTGCTGGCGAATCTCCGATTCGGAAAAGAGTAAAGGAAAGAACATCCAGACTGCTGGCCAGATTGTTGGAGAGAATGCTTGGTTCTCTCCCAAGTTCAACAGCTACACGAGCAAGACAACTTCCATTCCCGAAGATCACCACTTCCTGGCTGCCCTCGTCGCCCCCCGCGGTCTATTCGTCATTGAGAATGACATTGATTGGCTTGGACCAGTCAGCACTACCGCTTGCATGAAGGCAGGCCGCATGATTTATGAAGGCCTCGGAGTCAGGCCCAACATGGGTTTCTCTCTTGTCGGCGGCCACCAGCATTGCCAGTTTCCTTCAGCAACCACGGAGAACCTCAACTCCTACATCAACAAGTTCCTTCTCGGCCAGGGACAGACCAAGGATGTCGAGACTAGCAAGGCTACTGTCAGCATGAATGACTGGGTTGGGAGCTGGTCTGCTTCTCCAAAAATCAGCCTTACTGCGGCGTAAAGACGTCATGAGATGGACAGAAAGTGAAGCAGGCTTTCGGGTGACCGAGAAGCCACAGTGCTTCCACAGTGCATACATCAAGACCTAGGACAATCGTCTGTTTTTTGTGAAGATTCAAAGTAATATCAAAATACTAAAGTTCATTAGCCTTGGCTAGCGAATTTAAATTTCCATTGCAACTTAAACTAGACTCGTCACTCTTTTGCCGCTGGCGATGGCTTTGGTGCTGTTCTCTTACGGGAGGGAATCGGGAATTCTAACAGCACACCTGGTCTCCCACCTGGTCTCGATATAACCCTCCGCAACAACCGTCGACCCCATCGTTTAAACCGTGACAGTATGTACATATTTCACCTTGCCGTCTTCCACCCGAATCTCGTGACTGTCTGGCAGACTACCAAGAGAGTCGAAGGAACACAATACATCAACAGACCCAATGACTTCGTCGATGACGTACCGTCGCATACCGTTGTTCTTCGCACTGCCTCCGCGCGGGAGCGAGACACCGCATGGTTTCGTTAACTGAGAACCCTCCACGCGCTCGCATTGTGTGCCCCACGGAATGGAATCTGCAGCGTTCTTATCTGTCCACATGTCCAAGTAGGCGTCCCCCACTTTCTTCAACAGCTCTCGGCTCGGCCTCTGACTTTCTTCAAGGGGCGTCCAGGTTTCTTGCTGGATGAGGCTGAGGGTCCTTTTGGCGTTGAAAAAGAGTGATCCCGTTGTGGCGGCAATGGTATCAATCATGGCGATGGAGCTCATATCGTTGTCGTCATGACGAATCTGTGTAGCCAGCACATAAGGCTTTGATCCAGAAGTGGATATGAGCATAGTGTAGCTTGCGCACGCAACAGTGTCGGCGGTGCTTCTGTTGAGATCAATCTTGAGAGGCTGGTTGATTACCCCGCGCTTGATGTCCACGACTTTGTTGTTCTCTCGGTACGTGAAGTTTGTGGCAGACATCTTCAATCCGTCGGTCTTGCCGGCGGTCTGGGCTGTAATGTAAGCAGCCGCCTCAGACAGCAGACTTTCCCTGGTGCACTCGGCCAGCACACAATGACCGCTGAGCATGGCCAGAGCAGTGACTTGTGCCAGAAGTGGTGTTACTCTCATCTTGAACGACAGCTGGCCAGAAGCCTCGCAATGTAGGCAAAGAATTGCTCAACAAGCTCTTCTCTTCGCGGCAAAAGAAGCAATCGTCGCGGAAACGCCACTTATACAAAAAGCTTGTCTGGCCCGCTCCATGCAATACATAACTGCCGGGAGTGCATTGAGGGTGATTTGGGGTAAGGGGCGGGACTTGCCACATGCACCCCACAAACAAATCGACTCGACTTCAGGCGGATTGCTTTATCCTTTAGGCAGATCCGAGGTGCTAATAGGAAGAGGATGTACAATACATTAGAGTCCGATGCTTTCTTAATACTGCTACGGATGCGGATGGAGACCTATAGATGAACGAACCCCTACCAAGCAAAGATTAGGGTTTCTCCATGCATCACATCAGGAAATATGATAATATGCATCAACACTAGTACTGCTGCCCTTTCGCATACAAAAGTAAAGGCGCCTCCTACCAGGGCACAGCCGACAGAATTGCCCGTTTGCCGCAGATGATCAGCCCTACTTTGTTCGGACCCTAGTTTTGTGAAGCAGAGTTGCAAATAACTACAGTAAGTACTTGGGACCTCGGGTGTCTGTAGTGGTCGTGATGAAAGGAACTATCACACCCCAGAACTTCGAGATGTCGTGCACGAGGGCGACATCCGCATTGACTTGGTCACAAGCCACGCCTCGTGCGGTTATCTTCCCCATTCCCAAGCCAGCAGTAAGATCCTTATATAATAACTCAAGGACATAGGAGTGCACCAACCGAAGGCCCTTTCTTTCTCGGACGCAGACAGATAGTCATTCTCTTCATGAGTGTGAACGGAGAAATGAGGTGGAATGATTTCCAAAAGAATCATTATTTTCTGTTTCCCGGTGGAAGAATGTCACGCTAAGCTACTATCTGACTTAGAATCTTGGATGCAGTGGTATGTCGCCGATGTCCATCATCTTCTTTTCCAACAAGCGGGTCATTTTGATGACAACATCTTTGTAAGAGGGCTCATTGTAGACGTTGAGCAACTCGAGTGGATCTTCCTGGCAGTCGAAGAGCTCCCATTCAGGCTCAGTACCCCCGGGGATTGCGCCTTCGATACCGAGATCGTCGTTGTACCAGTATATCAACTTATACCGATGGTCTCTGACTCCATAGTGCGCGTACGCGTTGTGGCATGCGTCGTTGTGCATCCAGTACCTATGGAAAACCAGTTGCTCCCAAGTCTCTGGAGTGGTGCCCTCAAGTAGCGGCCGGAATGATACACCCTGCATGAAGGAAGGCACAGATATGCCCGCCAGGTCGCAGAATGTCGGAGCAAAGTCGACGTTCTGGATCATATCGTTGTTCACACTCCCGGCTTTGATCCCGCGGGGATACCGTATCAGGAATGGCATCTGGAAGCTTTCCTCATACATGAAACGCTTATCACACCAGCCATGCTCCCCTAGAAAGAAACCCTGATCGGAGGTATACACGACTATCGTGTCTTCTGCGATGCCCTCCTGCTCAAGCCAGTCAAGCATGCGGCCAACGTTATCATCGATGCATTGAATCGTACGTAGATATCGTTGCATGTAACGCTGAAACTTGAACTCAGCAAGCTCCTCGGGGGTCTGAAACCGAAACTCGGTTCCATCGTCAGAGTCACGCAGAACCATCTTGGTGACGTCCTCGGGGTGCGGTACTTTGCGCTGAGGGAAGCTCCAGACTTGATCGAAGAGCTTGGCGCCGACATCCCGGCCACCCTGCGGCTGCGCAAGGCCAAGATCAAAATACGTCAGGTCATCAGCTACCCGCATCTTTACGACTGCAGCAGCCTTGGCCCTGTTCTTGTAATCGTCCGTGAATGTGTCTGGTATGGTGATTTTGTCGTTGTAGAGATGTTTGTGACGGGGATGGAACTCCCATCCTCTGTGAGGTGCCTTGTGGTGACACATGAGAAAGAAGGGACGGTCCTTGTCTCTGTTCTCCATGAACTGTATACATTTATCTGTGATGATGTCGGTGACGTAGCCAGGGACGCGCTTCATCTCCTTCTCGTCCGGGTTGATGAAATGGGGATCCCAGTATTCCCCTTGGTTTGGAATAACACTCCAGTCGTCAAAGCCGGTGGGCTGATGCGTTGGACCTTCACCCAGGTGCCATTTTCCAAACATGGCAGTCTGGTAATTAGCATGGGCACGCAGTTGCTTGGCGACATTGGGGCCGCGGTTGTTGATGACAGAGTTCAGCGTCATGACATTGTTGACATGGTTGTGCTGCCCAGTGAGAATGGCCGCACGGGACGGGGTGCAAAGCGAGTTTGTCACATAACAGTGGTTGAACAGCATTCCCTCCTTGGCAATCCTGTCGATGTGAGGCGTCGAGTTCATGCCGTGACCGTAAGCAGAAATTGACTTGGCTGCATGGTCATCAGCCATGATGAAGACAATATTCGGTGCTTTTCTTTCGGCCATTTTGATTGTTGCCGCCTAGGGGTCGCGGATAATTGCTCTGCAGGTCACTGTAGTATGCGTTGCTCTGCAGCAGATAAAGGAGGGTTAGAAGGGATGTTTCGATGTCCGCATCGAATATATATGCTAGGACTCACCGAAAGTCCCCGTGAGCAGCAGTCCTAAAGAATCCTAAAGAGTGGGTGATGTCCTCCTGGTGCGGAGAAGTGGACAACAGAGGATCGTGCACCGCGGAGTGTCGGGAATCTGAGAGGTCATCACTCCAAAGTGTCAAGATCAGAACCGACGTGCCCGTAAAAGCCGGGTAGTCCGGCCGACTCCCGAGATCCATCTGGCCGACTCCCGAGACCTAATCGGCTGCTCAGTCCCAGGGCTGTTGTGGGGCACACCCGGCAACTTGGGGTCGGCGTCTCCAAGGTGTGGAGATCAAAGTCAATCACTCAATACCGAAAAGACGATGGAGGAGGCCTTCACGTGGCCTTATCCGCACCTTTGAGATGGCGTCAAATAGTCAATTATGGGTTTTGTGTCTTTGGGTCTGCCATGAATAATATGACAGGCAGATGGGGTGATAGAGGATCGGGCACCCATTATCGGCCCAGCAAGCCGACGCCTTCAGCTTTATGACAAGCAAAGCATCGTGACCATCTCGACCCAACCAGTGTCGTGTCGTACGGCCGAAGCATCCATCCATCCATTCCCATGCTCTCAGGATGCTCTGAGCCCGCCACTATCCCGTTGTGCCTCCATCTTCATGCCTTTCCCAGAAGCTGCTGCGTCATGATATCCGAGAATAATCCCTCTCTCTTTCTTTCTTCCCCTGGGCTATGAGGTCCATAGCAAGTAGAACAGGACAACAGGCCAAGCCGTAGATAGAAGAAACGCCGTGATAACTGAGCAGATATTTATCGAATGCTTCCCATGGGGTCCCCTCCACCGGTCTATCAAAGCGATTGTCGTCCCGATCATGATGATGCCGTAGATGGAGCCCACCCAGAGGATGGCCAGCATGATCTGAGAAGCTGTGTCGCCCGCGCCCATGACGGGCCTCGCCGGGTCGGGAGAGACGAGTGATGATATGCTGTTGCCCATGTTCTAGGTACTGGGCCTTGGCTGGCCGGGATGCCGAGAGGTGTATCTGATTAGACTCGGTAGGGAATTAAGTATGTCGCTCAGGTCGGTCTCATCCACATGATATTCAAAGATCCAAAGCCCAAAAGATCAATGAGTGATCTATGTGAAGAGAACTGACCGGGCAGAGTTGACCTGCAATTACTCTGAAGATCCCACGCTAATGAAGCCAAAACAAATGAAAGAGAAGAGAAGGGTTAATGAGAGGATGGCGAAGCTGAAAAGGGAGCCAAGAACGGACATCAGGGCATCATCTAGTTCATGTATGGCCGCGACGAGGGCGATCTCGCCTTGGCCCAAGATCCGCCAAACAGCAGGCATCGATCATGCGGCCTGCCAGCTATCCGGACAGCTCTCCTCCAACACGGCTGAGAGCTGGGCGTTGCATGTACGCGCAAGTCTTGGCGGCCCAAGCGGATGGGTGTATCTGGCAGGGGCTGGGATAGCGTTTTAAAGTTTTGCGCTCAGACGAAGCTTGTTTGGCTTTGCGCAAGCCCGCAAATCGGCAAAAATCTGAACCGTAGATCTGAGACAGGCGCTGAAGCACTTTGGGGGGGCAACTCTGACACGGCGGCATCGCGGTTTAGCCAATTGCCAGCCAGCCGTGCTCGGGTTTGGCCTTTGGCCTGCCATATGCATCGTCATCAGTCGATGCCACGTGAGGCATTACGCTGCACCCCGGATCATTCGATAGCTAGTGTGACACCATCTGAATTGGCGTGTCTCATCTGCCATGTAGCAGATGTTGACGGCGGCAGCTGTCTGTATCATCTTTTTGGAAGCGCGTTTGGCATAAATCGGACGCTTGCCCGCCTGACCTTCAAAGCTGTCCGTCAACCTAGGCTGGCAAGAGGAACCTCTGGTGCTCGTGAACATACGACGCGCAGCTTGGATGACAGGAAGCATCATGGGAGTGATCACCGTGATAGTAAGCACGGTGTGCAAGCATAAGCAAGACATCTGAATTGAATCCGGCCGAGTGAGTATTCTGCTGAGTATTCTTGACACAACTCTCTGCTCTTCTACCCTTGCCACAGTTGGACGTCAAATTGTCCATGATTGCGGAGAGGGGAACCGTTTTCTAAGCTGCCTTCTCATCACCCGCGGCAAGGAGCCTGCCGACAACCAGGTACTTGCTGTTGAACCTTTCCTCCCAGTCCCGCAGGGCCTCAAGCTCGTCCTTGCCCAAGTCTTCGAGGGGATCCAGAGGCCCGTCCAGATCCTTGGTCAGCATATCTTCGTCAAAGCTATGGTGTGCCAGGCCGCGGGAGGCGTCACGGCCTGCAAAGTTGGCGTAGGGACCGCCGGGTCCGTAGAAGTTGCGGCCCGAGGTCACGTCAAAGACCTTGCCGCGGACGGCCAGATACACAGGGGCACCGTCCTCGCCGTTGAAGGGAAGGAGGGTTCGCGGGGTAAAGGTTCGAAAGACGGTGGCCGGGGCCTCTTTTGGCAAGACGGGCGGGGGTGAGGGTCGAAGAATCACATAGGTAGTGTAGAGGAGGACGGCGACGAGGAACAAGTTGAGCGGGGTGAGGAAGGCCGTTCTGGAGTAGGTGAGTGTCAGCATCCGCACCTCGCGACGGGCAAGAGCTCCGAAGGGTTCCCTGGGGGGGTAACATACGAAGCCGGATTCGCGGCATGCTTCTGAGCCTCCTGGGCCATGCGCTGCTCGACGTAGTCCATGGTGTTTTGCGATGTGCTTCTTGATCAGGCACAGCTTGAAGTCGAGCTGGGGATGCGGAGCGCAGATCGTTGGCGATACGTAACGGAATATGCGGTAATTCCGAGAGGCGCTAGAGGTCCACAGAGGGAGCTTGCGATGCTCGGTCGAGGGCGATGATGGTGGATGATGGATGATGAAAGACAAGGAGGCCGAGTGTTTTCCGAGGCGGATCTGACGGACTTTCCCCGCACGATTGCGATGGCCCGTTCGTGCTTAGCTAACTGGGAGAGGTACCCGCGTTCCCATTGCTTGCCTGATGTGCCAACTGATGTCACCTGCTTCCCGGCGCTGCACCCTAAGCAACCTAGAAATCAGTGAGCTCAGCCAAGTGGGCGTCTGAATAGGTGACTGAAGTTCATCAGGAGCTACCTCAATCTTAACAGTCAATATCCTTATCACATCCTTGTAACTAAAACTCAAAAAGGCTATCTCACTACCTGAATCCGATGGGCTTGGTGAATAGACAAGTACTTCTGTTGGCAGTCCGTCAACTAATCTGGCCCTCACTTGCTCAGCCCACCTGCGGTGTGTGGGGAGCTTCAGAGCTGGATCCCTCGATGGATCGTGCGAGCTGCACTAGCTGAGCCCCTTGTTCAGCTGCTCAGGGACCTGTGGCCCCCGCTAAAAAGATGCTGATCAGTGAAATATCGGCGGTCAGGTACCAGTATCAACGACCTGGCCACTGCTCCCCTCAAGTAAGATACATACATGCATGTGCATCAGTTGTTGGGGTTCTTCTTTACAGGTACAAGTACCCAGGGGAATATGCGATCCAGAGTGCTACTATTGGAGACAACCTGAAGCATTTCCCTTTCCACTGGCAGCATATGTGCTTGCATATGTGCTCAGAAGCCTGGAAATCATAGGGCAGGGGCAGCCCGCCAAGACGATAGAACCCTCAGCTGTGACATCACTTGGCCTGGCTGCATGCGCTTGCGTTACGTGCGACATCCGAACCTGCTTGACGACACTTGTCGTACGCACCATGACACCGTCTTCTCGTAACCTACCCTCCCTTATATAGCTCACTCCTTCGTGTTCTGGACTGGATCCAAGATTCCTCCTCCTTTGACTTTGCCATCTGCTTGACCACAAACAACAGCCGCCAGAATCATTCCCCCCACCCCAGCTCAGCCACATTCAGATTCAGAGCCATCATGGATTTCGTCAACAAGCTCACGGGAGGCGATAAGAAGCAGGACGAGCAGCAGCAGAGCCAGCAGTCCTCCGGCAGCAGTGGAGGAGGAGGCTTCATGGACAAGATCAACAGCATGGCTGGCGGTGGTCCAGAGAGCGAGAAGAATGAGGACGCGCTCGACAAGGGTGAGCTTTCTCCAGCCTCCTACTTCCATTTCTTCTCTCCTGCTATAATGTTTGGGCAGTGACTGACTTGCTTATTTTCTTCCCTTGCCCGTTTCAGGTGTCGACTGGGTACAAGAACATGTCCTGGGCCAGGGCGACCAGAGCAACGAGAGCGCCATCGAGCAAGCCAAGGACGAGCAAATCTCCGATTACATCCGCGACCAGTACAAGAAGACCACCGGTAGCGACTTTCCCGTCAAGGACAAGGAGCACAAGTTTGGCCAGTAGAGCAAGGGATAGACTCAGTGATGGGGACGCGTTGGTCGGACTAGGTTTTGGGCCTGCCATGAAGAGGCATGACGAATAATGATCTCTATGTCTATTTCTCGTTTACTCATACGTGCCGTTCCTTCTCATCCTTGGCCATTTAATTTGCTTGACATGTTCTGTTCTGCCTCCAGTGGTGACATTTACATGCCCAGAGATCGGCTGAGAGTTCCCCACAACCAGGATGCCGGGCGGGCACACATTGCTGCTTAAAGACCCTAGACGTTGAGGTACTTTGTGTGGCTTCCCGTCGCGACGACGGTCTTCTTGTCCTGTTGGCCAGCGCCACCCAGCTTTCTGATCTCGACGTTTGTGTAGGCCAGCGACCGTCCGACCTTGCTCACCCACGTCTCGATCTCGAGCGTGTCGCCCTCGCGGGCCGCCGACACGTACGAGACGTGAATGTCCACGCTGACGCCGGTGCGCTCGAGCCCCGTCGCGGCGATGGCCATCCCGCCGGCCCAGTCGACCAGGGTGGCCGACACGGACCCGTGCAGGATCTTCTTGCTGTTGATGTGCTGGGGGCCGAGCGGCAGGTGTGCGATGACGCGCCCCTGGTCCTTGGTGGCCGAGACGAGCTTGATGTCGCCAAAGAAGAAGCCGTAGACGGGCGAGTTGGGCCGGATAGCATCCCAGTGCTTCTGCACGTGCGCGAGCTCCGGAGACGGAGGAGATGCGGGGGGTGCCGCGGGGTCGTGGGTCATTGTGGTGGTGTGCGTGTTGATTGAGCGGTCAAAATCACGTTTGATTGCTGGACTGAGCGAAGTATTTCTTGGACGGCTTGGCTGTGATCTGCTTTTCTCTTGAGGTGGACAACGTAGAAGAAATTTTCTTTGTAGCTCTCGCTGTGGAAAATCCAACCACTTTGATTCGGGAATTCGCTGGTGAGGTCCGGGCTGGCCCGGTTGGCGGACGCTAAGCATTCTGTACAATTGAGCACCTGAGCCGTTTCCTTCTTACTACGCTGCACTCAACTCAGACTCGGGCAGTTTAATTCTCACTAAATTAAGATGTAGTCGAAATGGACAAGGTAGGTCATCAAACGGATTGCTTATTTTTACAAGTGGCAACCCCTATTCCTTTCTGTGACGCGGTATATGAAAAAACACTCCCGGAATTACTCCTTCTTGTCTCCCGCCAGATTTCCGTTTGCCTTGTCGTTGCGCCTTTTCTTGAGCGCGTTCGTGCCGTGGATCCAGTCCATGATGCCAATGACGCCGTAGTTCAGATTGAACTTCTCGTGGTGGGCGTCGTGCTTGCGCGCCGCGCCGGCAAAGAAGTCGTAGCCGCTGTGCACCGTGGCCGTCTCGACGAGCTGCCAGGCGAAAAAGGCCCAGGCCGTCAGGACGTGCGCGCCCAGCGCCGCCGGCGGCAGCGCGATCGGCAGCACGTTGGCCACGACGTGCTCGGCCGGGTGCGCGTACTGCGCCGCCAGGGCCACGGGCGCCGTGAACCGGTGGTGCGTCTTGTGAATGACCCGGTAGAGCCGCGGCGAGTGCAGCAGGCGGTGCGAGTAGTAGAAGAGCACCTCGCGCAGCAGCCAGCAGACGACCAGGTCCCGCGCGAACTCGGCCGGCGCGGGCAGGGCCGGGTCCACTCGGAAGAGCGGGGGACGGCGGCCGGCGGCGGCGGAGAGGGTGCCTGCGAGGGCGATGGCCCGGGTGATCAGCTCGTTGCGGAGGACGTAGACGAGGCAGTGCCGGATCTCGGCGCCGGTGGGCTGCCGCGGGGCCGGCTGGATCTTGTGCCGCTCCGAGAAGGCCGGGAAGAGGTAAGGGAGGGAAATGTAAAAGGCCGACGTGATCCAAAAGGAGAAGATCTGGACAAGCACACCGCCAAAGAAGTCCACCTTGTATGGCCCGTACCGCGCAATGAGCTGGGCCCAGAGGACTTGGAGCTGGAGCCCAGGGTGGGACAGCATGTTGATCAACAAAGACGCGTCTACCAGGTTAGCAAGCATCTCTGACCGTTCAGGTCAGGACAAGAACTGTATGGTAGGATCTCGAGGCTTTATCAAGTGAGCTGAAAACACGCCCTTGGTAATAGTCTCTTTTCCCCCTCCCGGGTCTACCCCCCATCATCCTGCTCTGGGTGGCAAGTGCCTTTCATATGAGGGTGTGACGATGCCTCGGCTGGCGTTTTAGCTTTGCCCTAGTCGGACAAGGCCAGCAGCAGTGCAAAGAAGCATTACGACGAGTCCAATGGCAGATTGGTCATTGCAAGCAAGGACCCAGTGTTTCCCGTCCTCCCCCGCACGATCATCTCTTGTCCTGCGATGCCCCGAATGCATGTTTGGCTGTGGACCAGCCTCGGCGTCTTTGGCCTTGTCGCCGTTGTTGCCAGAGGCCGTCACGGATCGAGGCGCACACCAGACTTCAAGAACAGCTGGGAGGGCTGCCCACTCCATCCGCGATCAGTTGAGCAGGGCATTCCTTGCCATTGACGCGAACTTTGACCCCAGCGAGGAAGTCTATGTCTTTTGCACAAAATGCGCAATGTCGTCTGAGTGAGAACACCAAACAGTTCCCAGCCCAGTGGTTTGGGTAACATGCATGGATGGGAGTGCAAATGGATGGATGTTTCAGGTCACTTTGCCCAGGCACTACCAGGGCATCCACGGGTGCTTTGGCACTACTGGGGTAGGTCGTGGTGGGGCCAATCTCACCCCGCTGAAATTTCATAACTAGCAAGCAACCTGGCGGCACTGAGATCCAGGTTGATGCAAAGAACAAGGGCACGGCTACTCTGCGCCATCAGAGTATGTGCGGGATCCACGCCGTCATATCTTGCGGGGTGCAAGATCCCGTGACAGACTGCTTGTCCTCGGATCTGCAGCGCCGGCTCTGCAACCGAGGCCCAGATCACTTGGGTGAGCATCGCGCACGCCGCGACTTGGGGCCTGATCGGGCTAGCATCACCCTCGACTTCACCTCGACAGTCTTGTCTCTCAGAGGCGATCACATTGCGAGACAGCCGCTCGTGGACTCTCAGTCAGGATCGGCCCTATGCTGGAATGGCGAGGCGTGGAAGTTAGGAGGCTCCGCAGTCAAAGGCAACGATGCCGAACTGGTGTGTGAACAACTCCGACAGGCAGCTGCCCTCGGCGAGACTCAAGACCGAGAACACGCAATACTTGACACTCTCAGAGCTATCGAAGGGCCCTTTTCTCTCGTCTACTACGATGCCGAGTCCGGCAAAGTCTTCTTCGGGAGGGATCGGCTTGGTCGACGATCCCTACTTACAAGACACAGCGAAACGTCTCTAGTTATCTCGAGCGTGGGCGACTTCCCCACCCATAAATGGGACGAGGTTGAGGCTGATGGGATCTACGTTCTGGATCTTGGCTCTTTTCGCAACTCACCAGAGCCGCACAGCCCAAAACAGCACCTGACAAGACACGACTGGCTGTCGACCGCGGATGATGACGTGAGTGTTCCCAGGAGCTGCGATGGGCGAATGTGTAGAATAACCAACTATCAGACTGTACTGAGCATCGGGCATTTTAACACGGACTTGCCCCATGGGAAGCATGAACTGCTCGCTCATTCGCCCGCTGTCCGTCAACTCCGCCATCGCCTGACCGAGTCACTGAAATTACGACTTCTCCACATACCGGTTCCTCCAGCCAGAACTCCTAGCAATGATACCCGAGTTGCTGTTCTCTTCTCAGGCGGCCTTGATTGCACTATTCTTGCCAGGCTAGCGCATGATATCGTACCTCCTAATCAAGGCATCGATCTTCTGAATGTCGCGTTCGAGAATCCTCGCGTCGCTGCCCAGCTCCGCAAGGCGGCATCGGCATCGGGTGGACAAATAGATGTCTATGAGTCGTGCCCGGATAGAATCACTGGGAGGAAGTCGTTTGCCGAACTCACTTCCATTTGTCCCGAGCGTAAATGGTGCTTTGTTGCGGTGAGCAAGAACTCGAGGGCCGAGTATGTGTCGAGATATGTACTGATGGAACTCTACCTGCAGGTCAACGTACCCTACTCTGAGACAACTTCTCACCGAGCCGAAGTGGTGTCTCTCGTCTATCCTCACAATACTGAGATGGATCTTTCTATAGCATATGCCTTGTACTTTGCGGCACGCGGAACTGGTCTCAGCTACTCACACCCATCTTCCACCGCAGTTCCTTATGCGACCTCTGCTCATGTATTGCTCTCTGGTCTGGGAGCAGACGAACTATTTGGCGGTTATGGCCGCCACGCTGTCGGCTTCTCCAGGGCTGGATATCGGGGTCTCCTCGAAGAAATCAAGCTTGATGTCGGCCGGCTAGGCAAGAGAAATCTCGGCCGAGATGACCGGGTTATGGCTCACTGGGGCCGCGAAGTCCGCTTCCCATTCCTGGATGAAGATCTAGTGCTGTGGGCCATCCAACTCCCTGTGTGGGAGAAGTGCGACTTCGAAAATCCCGAAGCAGGTGGACCGTCCATTGAGCCTGGAAAACGAGTACTGCGGCTAGTTGCTAAGGAGTTGGGCATGAGTGGTGTAGCCCGGGAGAAGAAACGAGCTGTAAGTCATTCTTTATGCTCTTTGGTGCCCTCTTGTTTGTTAACTGCATTGTGTTCATACAGATTCAATTTGGCTCGCGTACTGCCAAGATGGAAAGCGGGCGTGTCAAGGGAACGAATGTTATATCATGAGTTCACGACGTGATGCGGAACTCAGAACAAATGTGTTTGAAACAAGGTGGCTTTATTGCTTAGTTCCCTTTGTGGTTCGAGGTCTTTTGGGGATTTAGCATGTCTATGGCCGAATCTGTGCTCTTTCGGAAGAAAGTTTCGTTCACAGTTTCGTTCACATCCCAGCTGGGCTGATTCTAATCTCCAAACCCAAAGGCACACCAACCAAGTGATGGCCAGAAACCCATCGGTTTTAGGTAGTGGGATAACCCTTCCGAGTTCCCGGGCAAGGATATGACAAGGATGCTGATTGTTACCATTCAAATAGCTCCTGATGGACTTCCGTCAACTATCCTGACGCCCACTTGACCGACTTTGGGAAGTCATCCATGCACTGTGTGATCATTGGATAGCGTAACGCATCATCTTTTGACTAGCCACCTTGATCGTGATTCGTACGTTGAGTGTTTCAGCTGACTCCACTGGACATGGGTTCCCCTTTACCTCACTTGAGCTTACAGTCTGTGGCCTCCCCATTAATTTTCTCTTGATCTCTCTTCAGTACAGAAGAGGCCCGTTTCAGTCTGCTAAAAACACTGCAATGGGGCTTACCGATCTGCCCACGGAGCTTGTTGACTTGGTCTGCCGGCAGCTATGCCCGCACTGCAATGGCGACAGCTATGATGGACATGTTGCACTAGCCCAGCTCGCTCGGACATGTCAGGCTTTGAGCAAAACTACTCAGTCGGTCCTCTTCCATCGGATCTGCGTCTGTAGAACTTACATTTCTTGTATTGAGACTCTCATCAAGCGGTCGGATCTCAGGTCGCAGGTGAGGCAGATCCGGTATGTCCAGGGTGTGGGATTGGAACGCAGTGAGGATGCCCCGGAAGTCAAATACTACAATCCAGATGAGGACGGGTTACAGGATTTCCTATCGAAGGAGTCGATGGCCTTCTTCAACGCGGCCGGCCTACAGAAATGGACCGAGTCCGAGTTCTACGAAGAATCCACCGCCAGCCTTTTCGTCCTGGCACCCAACGCCGACAAGATCTATTTCCGAGACTGGTGGAAAGATGGAGAGCTGCCCGCGCTTTTCAGTCGCAAACGGCCTCGCCTGCCGGCCTTGAAGGTGTTGGAGCTCGAGTACGATATCCGTCAGGACTTGGATTACGATCTGGCCGAGATATCGTGCCTCCTCCGTGCCGCGCCCAACCTTATCGCGCTCCGACTGGGCGACTACCATGAGATGTCGGGCTTCAACGCTCACTTGCCAAATGTCGTTGAGCTCAGCTTATACCGCTGCTATCTGCCCCAAGACAGTGTCAAGATGCTCGTCCACGCCTGCCCAGTGCTCAGAGAGTTTGTCTACCACTCCAGGGATTGGCCATATCCCTTGGAGGAAGATCTCGGTCCCCAAGATATTGCCGAGGTCTTGCTGGAGCGAAGGAAAAGATTGACCCGCATCGAGATGGACTTTACCGAGGCCCAAACCTTTGACGCCCAAGTGGCAGACCTCAGAACGTCCTACGACTTCAAGAAATTCACAGCTCTTAAAGAGCTGGCGCTCGACGGGCCGGCTCTTTTCAACCATAGATATAACGATTTGCCGGGGACGACTTTTGCTGACCGAGACCTGCTCATCGACATGCTTCCCCCGCAGATAGAGTCACTCGACATCTACAGCGGATCGGAGGTGGAGAAGGCCGGGATCAGGAAACTCATCGATCGACTGGTGGACGAACGTCGCCGTTTCCCCAAGCTCGAGCTCGTGAGACAGGATTGCAAGGTGGTCTATGGTGACAGAGGTGCTGCGGAGAGACATCGAGTTCCGTTTGTGTACAACTGGGGATGGAAGATTGAGCCGTGGGAGAGTGTCCTGAGCTAGTTTCTTCGTAAAGGCAAGCAAGAATCTCCTATGTATCAGGATGAGCTTGAGTCTGTATTTACAACCATTTATCGCTGGGCAACCCGTCAATGAAATACATCTCGAGTTCCGCGTGCTCCTGTTACAACCATACCTCTGTCACTGTTTTTAACGAAGTGGGCTGCCAGGTCTGCACTTCCACCGTATATCATGCACATGAGTACTCCTAGAACTATAAAATTCAAATAGTGTAAGTCAGGGCTAAGAGTTGCAGCGAATCGGTATCGCTATTAACTGTTCCTAAACTATTCAAAAGAGGAGACAAACAAAGAGCAGTGGTTCATTGTTTAGTATAGTAAAAGTAATAAGCTGTCAAAGAAAGTCTTTGAAACTCTTAATGGGATTTCGTATATAAAGGTACCCCAGCACTGAAGAGGCGGGAAAGTCTGGATCTGAACAGCTCATCGCTGGATTTACTGCCTAGATTCGGCCAGCATCTTTGCGACTCTCTTCAGTACTCATGTCCGTCACGCGACTGCATACCACAAGCGCCCAGCTACTGAGTCGAACCCTCCATGACCACTTTCAGAAAGTCTGGTTCTCGGTTCCAGATAGTCAGAAGCAAACTTGGGGACTGAATTGGACAGATTTCAAGTACAGAACAGAGTGGCCTACATATGTGAGGGGAGTCAAGACTCGGCAATACAACGACTTGAGCAAGTACCAAAACACCGTCTTTGACGGAGTCTTCTTTTGGGGGGCAGCCGCTTACCCTTCGTTCGTGTTTCAGGTGGACTTCTCACATCCTACCCCGTCAAGTGCCCTGAAAGGTACGAAACGACTCTTCCCTAGGGTTGAGTGAGCTTTACTAACGCTCTGCGTCAGCATATCTTGACAAGTCCAATGGAAGAATTCGTACGGCAATCTCACTGCAAATTCCGTATCGAGACCCAGACGAACGCCTTTCCAAAGGCAAAAAGCCGTACGCTCTGAAGATCAGTTTGGCCCGCATCGGCAAACAGGGGAAACCACACATGATCATGGATCGCTGTGATGTTGAAAACTTATCCTGTGGCTCACTTCGACTCTTCGCCTCAGACTTTCATCATTTTTTACCTGCTGACTTGAAAGTTGATATTCCTTCGTCTGATCTTTCGGAGGCAGTTGAGGAAGCTGCAAGGGAACAGTATGAACTGGATCAATCCAGGAGGGGATGACATGGGGCACAGGGTGTGATTTTGAATGTATCTATAGCACTCATAGCCGAGATAGCCAGCCTGCATAATGAACTCCTAAATCTACACAGCCATGCCGTTCTCTTCGACTTTGCGACCGTTCAAGTTGTATATGACATGGCTGAAGGCTTCATAGTCATCCTTGTCCACAAGGAGGTCATCGCCTCCAAACAGAATCCTGTCGTGCGGTCCTTTTCCTGGTCTCGGCCACGACTTTTTCAGACCGTAGGGGTCTTCTTCTTCCGGATCAAACGGTGTGTAGCCCGTGAGCTTCTCCTCGTCCTCAATTTTGAGGCCCATGTCCCTGTACATTGAAGATCCTAAGAATATGCCACCACTTCCGTTCTGTACGGTGCCTGGAACCTTGCGAATAAAATTGACTGGCCCGTTAGGGCTGGCTTCTGCGCGAGCGAAAAGGCCGTCGGTGGTTGAACCCGCAAACAGGGAGCGTGCGGTACTCGTGATGGCGGTTGCACTACTCTCCGGGTTTGGAAAGATGGTAAGATTAGGCTGCAGCTCGAGGGCATGCATGACCATGTCGATAAGCGCTGCCTGTGAAAGTCCGTTGAGGTAGGCTCGTTTCTGGGAATCCCATTAGTCATGACGGAGCGAGTAATCTAACACTGTCATAATCACCTGTCCTGCTGTCCGGTTTACCCATGCCACGAACTTCGGCGGCGGGGGCTGCACTGGTAATGGTTCGACCTTGATCTTCTTGTTTGCGGAATGTCGTTCCTTCTTCACCAGACAAGCGGAGCAAAACCACTTCGCGTTTGGGTTATTGATTACGTCCGGCTCAATATGCGGCTCGTGGCACCGCTGATGCCAGGCACCTTCGCATCCGTCGCAGAAGACGATCTGGTTCGCGTCTGTGAAAGCCAGCCGCGTGCAGAGCTTGCACATCGCTTCTCCGGGGGTGCGCTTGCCATAGTGAGCACGCTTTTTCGTCGCCGAGTCCATGGCTGCAGGGTTGTACGTAGTAGGCTTGAGCACCTGCCTGCCCGACTTTGTCGTCGTGGTAGGCGTTGTAGTCGCGGTGTTCGTGTCGTCAAGCTCCTCATCGCTAAGAGACGAGAGAGAGCTTGTTTCCTCCGCGTCACCCCCTTTGCCTCTCTTGCGCTTCCCTCCACCGACACGTGAACTGCCAGAGAGCTTGATCCTCTTGCTATTAGTGGCGGCAGACGCCTGCTTGGCTTCGGCAGCGGCCCTCTTCGCAGCAGCAGACGGGGTTGGCTTCCCTGATGCCGTCAGTCCAGCGTTGACCTTTTGAATAGCGGACATTCTACCAGCTGGTCTTGGAGCCGGAGCGGCAGGCATAGGTATGGCCATTGTCGCGCTCGATGCGGTGCCTATTCCGACGCTGGAGATGGGTGTCGGGAGGGTGGGCATCTGGAGAGTCATGTTGGAAGACGTGTTCATGCTGGTAAGCAGGCGGCGCTTTACATCCTCGTACGTCGAAGCGTTGATCGGTGTCCGGTCTGTAGCGACGGTAGATGCGAGGGTGGAGCTGAGACTCGTCGACTCCCCGCGCATTCGCTTCAGAATCATCTGGGTCGCTGCCGTGAATTGGGGCATGTAGGGCGGCCTCGTAGGCGAGAAGCTAGTCCGTGGAGCAGGTGTGGGTTGAGCAGCGGCTCTTGTAGCATCATTGTTTGCGCTCGTGGCTGTAGTCATGGATGCATGGGTGGTTGTTGGGATCTTTACAGGCGCGCCAGTCGGTTCTGCGATCAGATCCGCCGCCGCCATTGCCGGCCGGCTCGGCGCGGTTGACGAGGCATCATTTGCTTGAGGACGCAATGGTTCCATGATCAACCATGATTAAGTGGAAAGGGTTTGGTTCAGTATGTCGTCCTATTTGTTTGAATCAGCATCCACATCTATTCCCGTCCAGAGAGCTCAACGAGGGCGTCGTGGTGTCGTGCGATGCAGCAAGACGAAAGGCGTACTCGTTCCCAGTCACAACTCCGTGTGACCGTGTTTCTTAACTCTCACGATCCATCAAAGAGGCATAATAAGTATAAAAAGCCGTGGTAGAATCCCAATGCACAATAGTGACGACGTCGAGGAAGGTCCGACTAGGGCTGTTCAAGGAAGGAGGTGCTACCAAAATCGGATGACATGCTGGTTTTTGCACTTCACGTGATTAGCACGTGCACGTGATGGGCATCACCCTTTACCCCTGACTCGACAGTGGACTGGACATGTTCTTTACGGGCATTTCGCACGATTGCATATTCGTGCATATTGGGTATGAGGCTCGAATTCCAGTTATTGTAGCTTTTACCTGTATGCTATGCGACTTCTATGGGGTTGATGTTAGGCATCCTAAGGGACAAGCTCCCGGTGGGAGAAAAGACACCAACAGCGACACGGCATAGCCTACCTCACGACGCCCTTGCTTTTTAGACCTCGTATCCTGTCCTCGTCGAATCCAAGATGCTCCCTCAGAATCTCATCCGTGTGCTGCCCGAGTGTCGGCGGCGGCGTCCGCACACCGGGCGTGCTGTGGGAATACTTGACGGGTGTGTTGACCAGCTTCATGGGTCCGCACTCGCCATGCTCGACCTCGACCACCATGTTTCTAGCTTTGGTGTGCGCGTGATTAAGCGTGGCCTGCACATCGTTGACGGCCGCGTAGGGCATCCCTTTGCCCTCGTAGATGTCGAGCCATTCCTGCGTGGTCTTCTGCGAGGTGATATCCTCGATCATGCTCTCGAGCTCGTTTCGGTTGGCGACGCGCTGGGCATTGATCTTGAACTTGGGGTCCTCTTTCCACTCTGGCTTCCCGATACCGTCGCAGAGAATGCCGAAGAGGCGGTCGTTGCCTCCTCCCAGGAGGATATCCCCATCCTTGGTCTTGAAAGATTTGTATGGCACGATGGAAGCTGAAACCGCATGGACTGGTTAGTCACAACGGCACCCTGCGAGGCACTGAGAGCATTCATTGGACCAAGACCTACGATGCGCAGTTCCCCACCGTCCGCTATCCTTCTCCCCGCTGATCAGGCAGCTGCTGGCGATGTTGGCAAGCGTAGCCGTCTGGCAGTCGCTCAGCGCTACATCGAGGTGCTGGCCCTTGCCGGTCTTTGCGCGAGCTAGCAGAGCGGCCATGATGCTATTACTCGTGTAGAGTCCGGTCGTCAAGTCCGTCACTGCAACGCCTACCTTGACCGGAGGACCGTCTCGGTTGCCGGTGATGTGCATCAAGCCAAACTCGGCTTCGACCATGACGTCGTAGCCTGCGCGGTCAGAATACGGCCCAGTCTGGCCGTAGCCGGTGATAGAAGCGTAGATCAGGGCCGGGTTAATCTTATGTACCGTCTCAAAGTCCATTCCGTACTTTTTGAGAGTGCCAGGAAGGTAATTCTCGACTAGAATGTCGCATTTGGCGGCGAGTTTGTGCAGGATGTCAACCCCAGCAGGGTCTTGGAAGGACAGACCAATGGACTTTTTATTGCGATTGGCCTGATCAAGAAGAGAGGAGGAATTCAGCATGCGGCATCATCAGGTGGGAAATCAGGTCTCGTTACTGCGCACCCCAAGGAAATAGGCGGCTTCTCCAGGACCTTCGAGATCCGAATCTGCGGTGTACGGAGCATATGGGGGACCCCATGCTCTGGTATCGTCGCCGCGGGTAGGATGCTCGATCTTGATGACCTCGGCTCTGCGCAGTTGCCATCAATCAGCATCACTCGTGTGGCAGGCAAGCAAAAGGCTGCTACACTCACCCGAGATCGCCCAAGATCTGAGTGCAGTATGGCTAATCGTCGCAGATCAGTGAAAGTCCTGTTCGTCACAGCAGCGCATCACTGGGTCTGTCTGCTCTTACTCCGGCGAGAACCCTGGTCATGTCAAGGACACGATATCCGTCGAGCGGTAGAGAGCCGGGAGCGGCCGGGATGGGAGCCGAGCTCGCCATGGAGCGGCGCTGCCATGACCTCGGACTTGCGGAGACATGAATGCGACCGGCGGCGTGTCTGCCGGTGGTTTGTTGCCTTGTCCAGCTCGTCGCAAGAATCCTCTGAGCTCGCACGGTGAGATTCATTGAGCCGCTCATATTGGCGTGTAGAAGCCGGGCGGGTGTCAATGATTCCGGTATGTGTTGACTCCAGCGCACGATCCAAGCCCGGGTCAGCGCAGGCAGTCAAAGTTATTCGGCAAGAAACATTGAAGTGTCAAGTCGAAGCCGACCGCAATCGGCGGATTGCGGGTCAACCTTGAAGTTACCCCCAGCCCGGCGGGGACGCTTCAGCGCCTCGGCTCGCGGGTTTGGCGAAGACAGGTACCCGCTCTAGCGCACATTGGGCCTGGAGTGCCCTAGCCCCGCAACCTGAAAGGCGAGAGCCATCCACTGTTCGGTGTGCCCCAAAGTTGGAAACTTGCAAGTGTTCCTGCATCCGTCATCGGTGATAGCCAATGATGCATCCATCCCTGAACTCAAGAGCATGAGGTCCTCGAGTGCAGCTGCTCGCACGTTAAAGGGTCCAACTTCTTGAGACATGCAGGCCCCTAATGCTTAGCCACTGCGCTGAACCTATCCGTTCAACCCAAGGCCATGGATGGATCTGTTGGCACGGAAGCGCCAGGACTCGCCGAGCCTGGACAAGGTGGTCAGTCTCATTACTTGTACAGTCCTAGCAGCCCCAAAGAGCTGAGCAGCTTAACCCAATAAGTACCTAGCTGAACAGAGTAGGTAAAAATAGGCGCGCCAGATCCGCGGGGCTGGCGAGGGCTGTGCTAGGCAAATACCCAACAAGCGCGATGCAGTGCCGGTGTCATCCTTGTCCCTCCCTCCATCGAGCATGTAAGACGCTTGGCTCTGGCCCCAATCGCCCAATTCATCCCAGATGAAAGCAACCCCGGCCCTTTGGCTCTTCTCTCGGGGCTAAGCATGCCTGTCGGCCACCCGATTGAGACTGCCTTAGAGCCGACCGCGCGTCTCGGGGAATGCGTCCATGGATTGGGGTGATGAACAGTGCCGGGGTGCGTGAGCTATCAGAATATCCCGGGGCGAGCTGTCCAAGTCAGCCCAGTAGGATCAAAGACGATCTGATGGCTTTGTTTGGGTTTCCCGTCTGACAGAGCTCCCTCCCGAACTGTGTTACTCTATCCTTCTTGAAGTACTACTTCCATGCCCCCTCGGACTGAACCTGCTCGCTCTCCTCTCGCTCTCCCTCTGTCCGGGGTCATTTGTTGCCCACTTCCAGCACATCTTTACCGCACGATCATCACCATTCTGCATGACATCTTTGGCCTATTGGAAAATCTTTGATGTAACCTTTAGGCAAACGTTGAAATAATAAGAGAGAAAGATAAACAATGTCAATATGACATCAGCACCAGAGGCGGCAGACGGGTCGCGAGCATCGGGCCATGATGTTCATCACGATGCCTACGCCGTTCCCTTCACTCCGCAACAGAAGATACTCCAGTCCGACAGGTCCCATTACGGCCTCAAGGACAGCTACGGCCTTGAGATAGCCTCGACCCGCCGTATTGCAAGCTCCCACCCACATACAGCTTCAGTACCGCCGCGGGGTCCCAGGCCGAGCCCACCGATGCCTTCGCACCAAGAAGCCCCAATACATGTTCCAGAACAGGCAGCTTATGCACCGAGTCCGCCCTTCCAGCATCCTCATTCCCCACCTCAAACGTACGCTCAACCGCAATTCATGGATCCCGAGCATGGCAGCCCACAGGCGCCGTACCACCACGTCCTCGGCCAGAAATGGCCTGTTTCCCGGGAGGAGGAACGCTTCTCCCCGGACGGCAGCACGTACGCCTCCCCCTCCCCGCCAGCCATCGTCAGTCTCGGCCCGGCTCCTCCCAAGAAGCCATATAGCAGCGCCAAGGTCTGGATGATATTCTTCTTCACGGCCGCTCTGGTCGTGCTGGCCGTCGGGCTCGGCGTCGGCCTAGGCCTCGGTCTAAGGAGATCGTCGTCCAGCAACTCTGCGCAGCACACGCAGACAGCATCGCCCACCTTGCCCGCGGGCAATGCAATAACGGCGACGTCGGGCAACCCTGCCATCGCGACATCCGGCACGACGGGGACGTCGGCCAACAGCTGCACGTACAAAGACCCCCGTACCTATGCGGCCAAGGACCAGAAGACACGCTTCACGACCTATTGCTTCACGGACTGGTACCAAAACGACCCGGCCGCCGACGGCAACGGCCAAGTCAAAGACATATCCAAGACCATCAAGTACACCTTTGAAGACTGCATGGAGGCGTGCGTGACCTGGAACGCCAACCCGTCGCGGAGCTCGTGGTGCGCCGCCGTCACCTACAACTCGAACCTGACGGATTACATCCCAGGGCAGGGTGCAAACTGCTTCCTCAAAGATAGAAAAGGAGTGGATGCCCAGGGGACCGCGGAGAGCGCAAGCGCCGCGATTGTTCCGTAGTGCTCGCTCGGGTGTCGTCTTTGTCAGGTGTGCTTCCAAACCATGAGTGGGTGTGTATAGATATTCTACTTTGATCGGGTATAATAAACATGTAAGGCTTCTCAAGTAACACGGGCCACGCCTACTATGATGTATATCATCCATCCATCTCGTGATTATCCGATGTCTAAGGCCGCGCATCGAGGCCAAGATGAGGCTGACGTAGAGCGAAGGAAAACAAATCCACCTGGATGCACGCTCAGGCCAAGAGACCTTTCCAAGGCTATGCTAGAAATTCGACTTTAATGCATTTCGGCCTCCTATTCCTCGTAATAGAAAATGACAATCACAGTCATGTCGAGAGTGCGAGACAAGCGTCAACAGCTTGACCAACTCTGCAGGAATCGTTAGCATCGACCAGGCCGTGGGGGGTGGGACAAGGTATGGCGCAGCTTACCTTCCCTCCTTCTGATAGACCACATCGCTGATGATGTCCTTGTCAAGGTCCGGGAACATGCCAGCAAGAGTCTCGACAACATTGGCGTGCTCAGCGCGCGATAATCGCTGAGCTTCTGCGGCCTCGGCACTCGCCTGTCTCGCAGCTGCTTCTTCGGCCGACAAGCTGTGCTTCGACGCCGGCCTCGGCCCCTGATCGCCCTCGGGAACCGGCGTGTGAGCTGGGCTGCGACTACCAGTGGGCGGCGGCGGCGGCGGCGGCGTTGAAGGCGCCTCCTCCGAGAAGATCCGACCAATGGTGCTGAGAGGCTTCTGAATCGTGCGCAAGAGGCCGGTAATAGCAGCCTTCTCGTCTTCGGGGCCTTCTGACGATGTAGATCTTCGCGGAGATGGGAGACCACCCGATAGTTCGTTTGACGGCCGACTGGACGAACTTTCCCCAGCCACTGACGGCTGGAGAATGAGGCCAACTTTCTCTGACAGCGGAGGGGGCGGCGGTGGTGACTCGGACCGGTGCTTTTCCGCAATTGCGGAGACTGCAGCCTCCACATGCTGCTCAAACTCTTCGTCCGATATCGTGAGAGTAGTCCGGTCCATGTTCTCGATGAACTGTACAGCGCCCATCTACTCAAAGGGTCAGAAGGCAGGTAACACAAATAACACTACAAGGGGTTGGTTGGACATACTAGAGACGAGAGGTAGTAGCCAGCCTCACCGCCAAGCTTCTCCTGGTTTCGAAAACGAAGAATGTATTGAACATTTGAGACCAGGTGTTCCGGATTCGCTTGGAGGACGACATATATGAGCAATGGCATGAAGGAATCAGCAGACGAGTCCGACTTGGCATGCTTCAAAAGACCTATGATGGCGTCAACACATCCGCACAGCCGAGAATCGAGATCGAACGGAGCCTACCAAAAATAACTTTGCAACAGTTGAGAACGCAGATGATCTTGTCTCGCGGGGCACGATATGACTTGATCTTCAGCAACTCTTGTTGTGCAAGCTTTAGGAACCGTTTCCCACTATCACCAACAGGGGGGATGTCGAGGTGCTCCTCCTTGACCCATCCGTAGATGTTGACCTTCTGGGCGAGGACCTCATCTCTCTCCACATCCTCCTGGTGTTGACCCCGACGCCCGGGCCCCATAAGACGTTCGCCGCCACGCTTCTTGGACTTGGCGCCTGGTATGGGCTGGGGGGGCGGGATGGCGGGAGAGAAAGTCTGCGAATACAGCCGGTTCATGACCAATTTCTCCATGCCTTCCCGAGCATTGTCAAACTCCGCATCTGGCACATCGCGCCACACCTCGCAGACAGCCATCTTGTTGGAAATAAAGGCCAGGAAATCGCTGATGATTTTGACCTGCTCGTGGACCATCCACTGGCGCTTTCCAAACTCGGACAGGAACGACTTGAGGTACCGTGCTACCGGATCAGCTTTCTTGTTGCGGAGCTGCTCGAGGAAACGGTGAAAGTCGAAGGGGAGAGATGGCTCGGGTTCGGGGTCTGGTGGAGGGGGTCGGTGTAGAGAGACTGTCGGCGACAAGGGAGAGTCGATGCTGCCATGGCGCTCGTCATGTGCAAATGACGGCATATTGTCCTTGGGCGGCACCGGGGGGCCTTGGTCTTCAGGCTCTTTGTGCTTTGACCTCAAGCTACTGGAAGAGGGGGCCATCCTCAGACCTTGAAGATCCTGGATCTGCTGGGCGATGGTGGGAGCGAGCGGCTCCAGGCTTGATTTCCGGGGAGGATGCTGGACAGCGCCGCCGAGGAGGGGAGATGCGATCTCAAGTCGCGGGCTCATGACTTCGTCTTCGCCTGGGCCACCGCCCTCTTCGCTGAATTGCTCCATGATACTCTGGATCTCCGACCTTGAACCCTTCTCCTGCTCGTCCTCACTCTGGTAGCGCCGGTCATCGTAGCTGGTGTCTATCCGGCCGGGCGAGCTGGCCTCGGTAGACGGGCGCGCAGCATTAGACGGAGTTCGAGAGGGCGGTAACGAGGTCGTCGGGGTACGAGGAGTAGGGTCCACGTAGGTTGTTGATTCGATGTTGAGGTACTGGGTGGCCGTTGTGGCAGCAGGTGGAGTCGAGGGTTTCAGAGTTGCGGTGGAAGCCGACAGGACATCATGTGAACCAAGGGCCTGGCTCTGTTGAATGTCGGTAGCTCCAACGCTGGGGGCAGCATTGTTTGTGTCGTCGTCGGTATCGACATCGCCTGCGGCAAAGGGATCATCGGCTAGCGAGGAAGCTTCATCGGTGTCTGTGCCGGCGCTCTGGTTCAGCTTCTCCGACCCGGCTTTGTTGTTGCTCTGCTCCGCCGATGAGCTGGAGGTGTCGTGTGAGCTGCCGGTTTCGACGGCTGCTCTCACCTCAGCCGTGTTTTCTCGAATCCGACCGTCATTGTGGGCCTCTCCCGAGTCGGGTCTGGTTGTTTGCGAGGCGTCGGTAGAAGACATACACAACTACTAGCAGGCGAGTCCTTGTGGTGCTGGTCGGTGAAGGCGTCGTTGAGGGCTGGCTCGCGGGGTCCCGAGCTGTGAAGGTGGCCGTGTCTAGAGGAAAGGGGCAGTCATGGGAGGAGGTCACTCGTGCTGCGGACTCTTCTGGTCTGTGGGAATGTAGCTGCGAACGATGCTCGAGCTTGGTCTTGATGGTGGAAGTTGCTTGCTTCTGTTGGAGGTGCGATGTGTTGACGTGGGCAGGGCATGACGAGGGTCCCAGATCCCAAATGTCAACATCCATGGACGGTTGGGGTAGGTACTGTGGTCCACTCTAGCCGCTACAGCCAGTTGGAATGGATGGGGCGGGGCGAGCTGGGGAGGTTATCTTGGGGCATTCTGAGAGCTCTGATTAGGTTTCTCGCCAGGCAATGTTAGCACGTATTTCCAGCGACCCATGGGTTTCCCGCAGGCGCCGCAGGGACATCCATAATGCACCCCGCCCCCACCAAAACTTCCAATTTGCATTCTAGGCCTGCCCTTTACTGTCACAACAATCATCAGCCCAAGTAAACTGCTGACTTACAGGTAGACAAGCAGCAGAGAGACAAGCATACAGTTGATCTTGGACCTTTCAGCTAACAGGTAGGCTGGCAAAAGGGACGCGCCGGTATTTCCATGAGGCTGCTGAGCTGAATCATCGGAGACCATCTCGGCAGTCTATGTCATCGCAGGTACAAGAATTGAACTTTCACTTCAACTTCTACTCTTGGGGAGAAATGGCATTGCGGGACGAGAGTGCATGATCAGTCTCTATTCTCTAGCCAGGGATCGCGTCCAGGCTAACGTCCAGGAGGCACACCCTCCCAGAATTTGAACGAAGCTTCTCGTTCACATCACAGCTTTCACCAGATCCACAAGATGCCACGCCTCGGGGCAGTCTGTTCACTTAAGAAGCGGGCACTAAGCCCTGGGACGGCCCATATGGCGATATCGAGCCTTGCCTGCAAAGGGTAATAAATCCTAGCCTGGAGGTTCAAGTCAAAAGGCAAACAACACGTGCGGCGACATTCACGAGCAATCCGGGGACCGCACGTTGCAGAACGATTGGCCCCGAAGCTCACGGCAACCGGCTAGCTGCCCTTAGCATTGATGGAGCCCGGGCCACAAAGCCTCAAGCGCCCAAGCTTCCCTAGCTTTTGTCAAGCTTTCTGTATGGAAAGTGCCGGATCACCAGATGACGGCGCACATGGTTAGGTAGCGGCTCTCCGCCTCGCTCCGATGATGATATATGTAGCCCGGCTGGGTACCTAAGGGCCGGCAATCCCATACAAAAGCAGCGCATCCTTCTCAAACTGCGGCGACAGATGCTCGTCGGTTCGCTCTCTCCCTGTAGCTAACCCCGAACGCTAAGATCTGATCGCGCGCCAAATCACCAGCCAATCCATCTTCTTTCTTCTCTCCCCAGATGTACGTGCCTTACATCGTCGCCGCTATGGCTCTCTCCCAAGCCACTGCCGCCTGGGAATGGGACAAATCGGGCTACTGGAACGACCGACAACGCACGCTATGCTCCGGTGGTGGCCAGACACTCATCAAATACGAGACCGTCACCGGCTTCTTCCTCCAGGATCAGCCCGATACTGATTCCAAGAAGTTCGACTATGTGAGTGCACAATGCCGGCCATCCATGATCAGGTAGTCTTTACTGGGTCTGACAAGATGCTTCAGGCCAAGAACAACTTTGGTCTGATGAACCGCACCTACGAGACAGATGCCCGGTTCGACCCAAGCGGTGTCAAGACTCAGTGGCAGCGCTTCGCATACTACGTCAACACCCTGAACCAGGAGGCCGACCCGCGCACCCAGTACAAGGTGCTCTTCATGGGCCGTCACGGCGAGGGATATCACAATGCCGCCGAGAGCTACTACGGCACTCCCGCCTGGAACTGCTACTACGCCGAGCTGGACGGCAACGGCACCGTGACCTGGGCCGACGCCCGTGTCACCGAGGCCGGTGCCGCCGAGGCCGTCAAGGCGCACAACTTTTGGGCCTCGCAGCTGGCTGCCCAGGGCCAGCCCGCCATCCAGAGCTACTACACCAGCCCCTTGACTCGCTGCCTGCAGACAGCCAACCTCACCTTCAGCGGTCTGGACCTGCCTGCTGAGTCCCCGTTCGTCCCCACCGTCAAGGAGTTCCTCCGCGAGGATATCAGCATACATACCTGCGATCGTCGTTCAAGCAAGACGTACATCCAAACCTCGTTCCCGACCTTCAAGATTGAGGCCGGATTCACGGAGCTGGATGAACTGTGGAGGGGTACCGAAGGCGAGCCCGAAGCTGCCCAGGCTATTCGCAGCAAGGCTCTGCTCGACGACATCTTCAGCCATGATGACAATACCTGGCTCAGCTTCACAAGCCACAGCGGCCAAATTCGCAGCATCCTGAGCGTCCTGGGCCACCGTTCCTTCAGCTTGTCCACCGGCCAAGTCATCCCCGTGCTGGTCAAGGCCCAGAACTTCCGCAACGAGACGGCCACTACTACGTCAGTCGCTTGGGAAGCGGAAGCCACATGCCATAGCCCACCCGTGACCAGCTTGAGCAATGGCGGCTGTGTGTGCTCCAGCACAACGGTTGCGACGAATACCGCCACTGCCACGCCGTAGACAGTCATGGATATAGCAAGCAGTGGTTGCTGGGCGATGCAATGATGATTTACTTCCTTAATGAAGAGTAATGCAGATATGGGCTCATCTGACGAAAAGATCGGTCCGTCCAGACACCGAGTCCATGCAATAGAAGCATTTGGGCACACATGAACAACCCAATTGTGCGCGTGTACCTGCGTTGACCCATGTGAGGGTACTCGTATGCGGCAATGTTTTCCCTGGCCAATTGTAGGAACCCACGTCCATGACCGATTCCACTTGGCCACAGGTCCACTAACACGCTGGGCAGCAATGGCGATATCGCCAACTCGAGTCCGCATGAAGACAATTAATCTTTTTGGTCTTTCGTCCTAGATTCGAGATCAGATTCCAAGATCTCCATGAAAGAAATGTCAAACTTTTCAAATCGTTGCTCAAAAATGACCCAAAGTCAACAGCCTTTTTGCTCTTGCGGTGATACAGCAGAAGTTCATGGGAATGGCAGCCAAAGAACCCTCCCTAATCATTCATTGCCCCCTCCTGAAAGAACTATGGCGATATTCGTGGTTTTATTCTTCCTTGGAGTCCAACAAGTCACTGCCATAAACACGGATCTACCAAACCAACCTCTCTCTCGCCAGAATCACCACTACGAAATGGTCTCTGGACCTATACGTCCCCTCGACAAACGAGCCATGTCCGCGGGCTCTGATTGCGGTGGCTCTGAAGGGCAGTGGAACTGCATGACCAACAGCTGGCAACGCTGCGCCGCGGGCCGCTGGAGCGAGGAGATACACTGCGCCGCCGGCACTGTATGTCGTCCCTCCGGGCAGACTTATGAGTTTCACGTCGAGTTTTCCGGGTCTTCAGCTCCCGCACAAACATCGCAGGCGGCTGTGGGTGCCGGCACAACCTGGTGGCCCCGGCGATCAGGAGGATCCTGGGCAGCGCCTGGAGTCATCTTGGCGGCTTTGTTGTTCAGGATCATGCTTTCTCGCTGAATTTGTAGACAGCAGAGAATAGCAACCCGGAGAAGGAAGTCAAATCAGTTTTGTATCTGATGTAGTGCTCAGGCCTGATCATACTTCACTCTTAGAATTCTCAAATTTTAGCAATGGAAGAGATGGGAGATAGAAGAAAGAACAGAGAGGAATTTTTGGCTTTTCATCAGGGCATTAGGAAAGGAAGAGACTTGAACAATCGCTCAGTTGTCTGTTCATGTAGAGGCCATCAATTCGACTCTCAACATCTTTGTCAAACACCATCATGTTCCGCAAGAGTCGGATTTCATTGGAAAGGCCCTGGATGACGGGTACTTCTTTTTCTCATCTTTGATTTCTCTATTTCGGTTTTCTTTCTCTTTTCTTCTTGCCCCCTAAGTACTCCTAGACATAGCCTCATAGCTCTACCCCGATCAAACCTCACGAAAACGGAGAAGAGAAGAAGAAAAAGAAGGACTAGAAACCGAACGCGATGATTAAAAGAGCAATAGTGAAGCCAACCGTGCACTTCCAATCATACGAGGCCAATGGTTGAGATCTGCCTATGATCTGTAGAAGTGAGACCAGCGGCATAGATATCGACCTCACGTGCTAGCTCAGAATGTTGATACCCGAATTGGCGCGGGCCTCGGTCAATTGAAGATCTACACTTGGCTTGGGAGGAGAAAATGTTGCAGGCAACCAACCTACTATATCACTTCAATTAGCAGCGTCGATAACATGCGATATCTTAGCATCTTCTCAACTTCTTCCCAAACTCACGATAGATCAGCACAATGAGCAACACAGAGCTAGTGACTATCGCACGGCCTGAATTGGCCCGGAGCCCCTCCGCATATGAAAGGAGCGACAGATCAGTGTCACAGCGGCAGCAGCACTATGTTGAAAGTGAACCAACAGATGGGAGGGGCGTGGAGCAAGAACTTTCGCCTATTGATGGAGGAGCTGCCGCTTGGAAACTTCTTTGCGCTGCCTTTGTCTTCGAGACACTACTCTGGGGTAACGAACCCCCATCCCGTGATAATCTGATCGGGATCGCTGGCTGACAGCCGAGGAACCTAGGGTTCCCCCTCTCTTTTGGCGTCTTCCAGGAGCATTACTCCAAGATCCCAGAATTCGCCGATAATCGCTACATCCCTGTGGTTGGCACCATCGCCTCGGGGCTTGGCTACCTCGGGGCACCAGTCATCATGCCCTTCATCCAGCGTTATCAGCGCTGGCAGCGGCAGATGATTTGGATCGGTTGTACGTATCATACATGTCTTTCTGATCTTTGTTGACACCATGAGCTCAGTCATGTCATAGGGCCAATTTGTATTATCGGCCTCGCCTTGGGGTCCTTTGCGTCTACGCTGGAGGTGCTGATTCTCACCCAAGGTGTGGCATATGGGCTCGGTTTCCTCATATTCTACTACCCTATTCTAAGCATGGTGAACGAGTACTGGGTTGCTCGCCGCGGCATGGCATACGGTGTCCTTTGCGGTGCGTCTGGTGTTTCCGGGTCGTTTATGCCTTTCGTTCTTCAAGCACTCCTGGCCAAGTACGGATACAAGACTACGCTTCGTGCCATGGCTATCGCTTTGGCATTGCTCACGGGGCCATTTATCCCTTTCCTAAGAGGCCGTCTTCCTTCTTCAGAGCGAGCCAGTATACCTAGGATGAACTGGACATTCTTTCGCAGTCCCTTATTCTGGGTGTACTCAACCTCCAACCTGTTACAAGGCTTCGGGTACTTCTTCCCTTCGTTGTACTTGCCCTCTTTTGCATCATCACTCGGTCTCGGAGGAAAGAGCGGCGCGCTGCTCCTCGCGCTCATGAGCGTCTGCCAAGTTGCTGGCCAGTTCATCTTCGGTATGCTCTCCGACCGCAGAGTACCGCTGGATGTCCTGGCTTGCCTATCGACCATAGTGGCAGCAATTGCTTGCCTCACCATGTGGAGGCTTGCTACCTCTCTCCCCGTCTTGATCCTGTTTGCCATCTTGTATGGGCTCTTCGGCGCAGGGTTCACCGCCATCTGGGCAAGGATGAGCACCGCCATAACCGACGACGTGACAACAGCCCCAATCGTCTTCAGCCTGCTCAATTTCGGGAAGGGCATCGGGAACGTTCTTGCTGGTCCTATTGGGGGGTTGCTGGTTTCCGACCTGAATACCGCCGGCACACCGCCCTCCGCCTCGTATCGTTGGGTCATCGTTTTCACCGGCGTATGCATGCTCGCCAGCGCTTGCACGGTCTTCTTACGACACTCAAAGGCCATTGCCAGCATAGGTGTACGGTAGGTCGAGGGCCTAGGCGAAACATTCTTGCCTTGGGTCGCCAATCAAAAACACATCGCTGCCGTCTCCGCAATGGCGCATGTACCTGGACGTACCTCCACTAAGTACGATATTCCGGAGCACTTACAGGAGCACCCGGCTCGTCAAAAGCCACCAATCAATCCTGCCCAAAGCCGTCGGGCCTCACGATCAGTAGGTAGTCAACCTATACGATGCCGGCCATATAACCGAACCTCAGGTACCGACTGGTATAAGTTGGCAGTCCAGCCCTTGACAACCACACAAGTCCCAGATCTGCCTGGCACCATCTCGACGTCCTCACGATGCACCTCCCCACGACGGCAGACCCGCCCATCACGGTCTCAACCTACGAGCAAAACCTAGTGTTCAGTCTCAATGGTATCGGCACCTCGTACCAGTTCCACGCTGACCACAACTCTGGCGACCTGGTCTCCAGCCACTTTGGGGGCAGGATTGACCAGCCCCTGCCGGCTTCCGTCACGGAGCGCGGTACCTATGCGCATGAGGACAAGCTGCGTCGCCGCGAGTTCCCAGAGCTCGGCCGCGGCGACTTCCGAGTGCCCGCGGTCCATGTCCGCCACGCTCAAGGCCATTCCGCCTCCGACTTCAAGTACCGTTCTCACAGCATTGTCCCCGGCAAGCCCAGCCTCGATAGTCTCCCGTGCACGTTTGGGACCGAAGACGAAGTGCAGACCCTCGTTGTCCACATGCACGACGCCTCCAGCTCTGTGACCGCCGATCTCTCCTACAGCATCTTTGCCCGACACGACGCCGTTGTCCGAAGTACGAGGATTATAAACTCTGGCAACCACCCCATCACAATCGAGAAGCTGGCCAGCTTGAGCTTCGACCTCCCCATGCCTGCGAGGGTAGGATACGACATGGTCGGTCTACACGGCGAGTGGGCGAGAGAAAGACAGCGAGTCCGTAGCAGGATCCGTCCAGGCGTGCAGAGGTGAGTATCGTTGCTTTGCCCCTTTTTCATGACGGCCCATCCTGACCGACATCTTGCAGCTTCGGCAGCGCGCAGGGTGTATCCTCGCACTGGCACAACCCCTTCTTGGCCGTCTGCTCCGGCGACGCGGGGGAGACTCACGGCGAGATCTGGGGCATGGCGCTCGTATACTCCGGCTCGCACCTCTGCGAAGTCGAGCTTAGCCCCCGCGGAGGAGTCCGGATATGCATGGGGATGAACCCTCTGTGCCTGTCGTGGCAACTCGCCCCTGGAGAGACACTGACTTCGCCAGAGTGTGTGGTCGTGTATTCTGAGTCCGGGTTCGGCTACATGTCGCGCAACCTGCACTCGCTCGTTTGCCACAACCTCGCACGCTCAAATCACGCCCGACTGCCTCGTCCCTTACTGCTCAACGCCTGGGAGGGCGTCTACTTCAACATTGACGACAAGATAATGTCCGAGATTGCGAAGCATTCTGCCGCGCTCGGCGTGAAACTCTTGGTCATGGACGATGGCTGGTTCGGGGCTAAATATCCCCGCGTCGACGACCGTGCCGGGCTCGGTGACTGGGTGGCCAATCCAGCGCGATTCCCAGAGGGGCTGGATGCGTTCGCTCGCAGGATCCAAATCGACCACAAGCTCCAGCTAGGTCTGTGGGTCGAGCCTGAGATGGTCAGTATCAGATCGGCACTCTTTGAGGCCCATCCAGAATGGGTGATGGATATCAGGGACCACCCTGCTACGGAAATCCGCAACCAGTTGATGCTCAACCTGGGACTCCCCGAGGTCCAGGACTATATAATCGAGGCTATCTCGGCCTTGCTGCGACCAGGACTCATAAGCTACATCAAGTGGGACTGCAACCGCGCCATCACAGAGAGCCCATCCCCAGCCAGCCACCACAGGTACATGCTTGGCCTCTACCGCGTACTGGAACAGCTGACACAGCAGTATCCCGACGTGTTCTGGGAAGGCTGCGCCGCGGGCGGCGGCCGCTTCGATCTGGGTATGCTCCAGTACTTTTGCCAGGTCTGGACCTCGGACAACACGGACGCGCTCGACCGCATCCACATCCAGCTCGGCACGTCCCTGGCGTACCCGGCATCGAGCATGGGCGCGCACGTGTCGCGGTCACCCAACGAGGAGACCCATCGGGCCGCGAGCCTGTCCTTCCGCGCGCACGTCGCCATGATGGGGGCGGGCTTCGGCGTCGAGCTCGATCCCCGACGGCTCTCTGACGAGGAGCGGGCGGAGCTGCCAGGCCTCCTCGAACTTAGTGGGAGGGTGAACCCTATAGTTGTTGAGGGCGATATGTATCGACTCAATCAGGCTGAGAGCCGGGACGGCGGAGGCGGCGACATCTCCAACTTCCCCGCCGTTCTGTTCGTATCTGAGGATGGCGCGCGGGCGGTACTCTTCATGTTCCAGATCCGGTTGACGATGGTACAAGACCGCCCGACTATACGCCTCCAGGGCCTGGAGCCACGCGCGCAGTACACGCTGGAGGGGAGGGGCCAATATTCCGGACTGACCTTGATGAATGCTGGAGTCGTCCCGAAGTTCAAGAAAGATCTGGACAGTGAGCTTGTCCTTATTTCTCGGGTAGCATGATAAGAGAGGGCTGGATGGGAAGGAAGTAATGCTGGGGAAGCCCTGTCTAGATGCCACGTACCGAGCTCAGATTTAACATTCTGCTCGCAAACAGGCAACTCAAGATCAAGTTTGATTCAGAATAACTAATTAACTGGAGCTTCCTTATTTGTCAGCCTCAATAGAAGATGCAGAGCGGTCTTCAGAGACGCGAAAGGAACGCAAATCTTTTGGTGTCCAGGGACAACGACTTCGATTCTTGGAAGTTATAGACCTAGGCAATGGCAAGCTGCTGTCCGACATTCTTCGATCGTCGAATCATGCCACCGCCCTCGCCATGCAACAATACCGTCAGGCCTAACAAGCACAGCATCGTAACCATCTAGATACTCTTGCCATCTCCCAGACTCATCGATCCATTGTCCCGGGGCGACCAATTCGACATGAACTGTCTCATCCTCTAGCTGGCTCCAGGCTGGGCCGTTCCCAATCAGGAGCAGCTTATCCAAAAGGAGCAGGTCCCGTAAGGCTATGGTTTGACCGTGTTTGGATATCCATACATGAGGGAGGTTGTGCCCTGGAATAGTTGAAGGACTAAAGACGTCCATTCGAAGTTCGCCATCCTCGTCCAACTGACCCTGATGCCGGCTCGCCTTCCCCTCTTGATGGGTATCGGCTGATGGATAGAACCAGCCCAACTCGGCTCCTGGGGCTTTGAACTCGAGATCAAGCGTTTGTGAAGCCTTGTGCACAGCCTCGAGTTTCGCTTTGTGCTCGGGATGGGATTCGTCCCAGAATGCTTGTATGGCAGCCAAGTTTGTCTCGGCAGTATTCGTTGGGCTCACACCCAGCGCAGCATCCATAATCAGACCATGGCTTCGCAAGTTGTGCAAGCTCGAGAGACCAACCCTACGACCTATAGGTCTCCGTTCGATGTCATAGCTGTCAAGAAGCTTGTCATACTTGTTCGGGGAGCCGTTTGCGTCTCCCCGGAGAGCAAACTGAATCTTCCAAACCAGGTTCTGAACATCTTGGATGCCACTATTCATTCCCAACGCACCCCACGGCGGGATACGATGTGCGGCATCTCCAACAAGGAAGACACGCCCCGACCGATACCTTTCTGCAGAGATAGCGTGTACATGCCAGTGGCTCAGGCTGATCACCTCGACTTGCAGGTCGGGGATCTTCAGGGTGTCACGAAGGCGTGCAATCATAGCCTCGTTGTCAAACTTTTCCGGATCGCTAGCAGTCGGCGCACAAGCAAACACCCACTCCTCGTTCCCCTGCGCTTCGGGGCTGTCGAGGGGCCAGGGCCCAATTTGATATAGGTAGCCAGTGCGAGTGCTCCCTCCGCGCTCGGGGTGGATGAACCAAGTGATAAAGTTGCGGTTGTCGGGATGGTGTTGCCGTATGGACGCTCGGAAGTGCACAGAGACCATGTCCATGATATCGCGCTCGCCCAACCACGCAACACCAAGCTTGTCCGTGATGCTGCGTCCACCGTCGGCAGCGATGACGTACCTGGCCAGCACTTCCCTCTCCTCCCCTTGCTCGCTCACCTTGACGACGACTCCTGCATCCCCTCTGTCGTCTAGGCCCAGCACTTCAGCACCGAACCTCAAGGTGTCCGGTGTCGCAGCGAGTTCCATTGCCCTGCGAACCAAGATAGGCTCTAGCCGTATCTGGGGAAGGATCTCATATCTCGCAGGGGAATACGTCTCGTACTCGGTCGAATAAATCCCTCCGCCCCATGCATCTCTGCTCCAGACTTCGCGCCCGTCGATGCCATTGCCTTGACCGCCAAGGCTGGTGAACCAGCCAGTGCGGCCTTTGATGTCGTCCGGGGCTGCCACACGCCTCACCTCCTCATAGATGCCCATGGCGCGGAAGATCTCCGTGGTCCGCTGGTTGATGCCACATGCTTTTGGGTGTATCGAAGTGCCTGGATGGCGCTCAAATACCACATGCCGGATTCCCCTCTGTGACAGCAAGATACTTGCGCAAAGGCCAATGGGTCCCGCGCCAACAATGACGACGGGGACGCTTTCATGCGCAACCATGGTAGACAGGCGGAAGAGGAGTGGTTGACGGTGTATCTCGAATCTGTAATCCTTCTCGTTTGATAGAATCGGGACGGGGTGATTCCGAGTATTTCAACAGCAGATGATCGGATGTCGGGAGCGGACGTCGGCGTGATGCTCAGGAACGGCAGTCCCACACTCCCACCCGGCAGCATAGTGCCTCCGGCAGTTGCGCGCCGATGGATCGTCGCCAGCCACCTATCAAACACGGTGGCCACATATGGCACGAATGGGCATTCTTCAAGAAACGAAAGGCCAACGCAAGCAACCGGCAAAAAGATCCAGACCTTGTGCCTCTGGGCTACCGGGGCGGGCCAAAAAGAACTGGCTCACAACTTGCTCTGCATCAGCCGTGAATCGAACACGGGGCCCTACTATGGCAAAGTAGGATTTTACCACTAAACCACTGATGCGTTTGCTGAGTCATCGGCAGAACCATGGTACTAATAAGGGAAACTTGCGCATGGAATTCGCTGGACTGTGGAGGAAGAAGGAGATGATGAGTCAGCAAGCCTTAAATCCAAGGCCCCTAGGTTTAGGCAGTACTTGTCTCTGCCTCATCCTCTGCTGGCTTCGTCAATCTTCTTCCCCTCTACAACCATTCTCTTCACCTGCTGCCGCTTCTCTGCCACAGCCATCATCATCCAGATCACTCGCTCGCAAGGATTTCAGGCTGCTGGACGCCTCTCGGATCGAAATATCGACAATCCCGACCGCCTCTTCTTTGTCCTGTGGAGCAGTCGCCTCTCGCAGACACGGACACCTTCACTGGTTGCAGAGACTGTCAGGACCGACGAGGCAGAGAGTCACGCACAAGCAATCCATCAAGCAAAGAGGAATCACCATCATCAGTGAATCGGTTTGCGAACCTTGAACTAGAATAATATCACAAAAAAAACAAAGAAAGAACAAAAGACCGAAAGGAGGAGGCCTCGTGGACATCCGTTCGGTCGCGCGGTTCTCTCATTTCCAGCGTTTTCGTAGAAGAAGGACATTGTTCTTTCTGTTCAGTGGCTTGACCGAGACGGTCATTTCCTCATCACTCTGACTCCGTTCGCTTCCTTCCTCTGCGTTGAGGCCTGTTCACCTCCACCTCGTCCCTCGTTCCAGTCTCGGGTCGCCGTACTTGGCGACTGTTCAATACCGTCAAGACGCATTCGCCGCTCTTCTGCAACCTTGCCAACGCCATCCTTGCCGACAAAGAGCAGACAGTCGACCACCGCGTGCGTAAAGCGATCACCGATAAGCGTACAGCCGCAAGAAGACAGAGGAAGCAGAGGAAGCACAAGCGCCGCGCTCTGAGCGAACTGAGCAACACACCACCTCCACCACCACCACCTGCTGACCATAACCAATCGGTCAACATGTACGCAAGCGCCCCATTCGACGCTCACAGCGTCGGCGACTTCAAAGAGAATCTGAGCAACATCCTCATCTGCCCGGATTGCAAGGAGTACCCGCCGCAGCTGGTGGAGGAGTTCTCGAGTGGAGACATGGTCTGCTCAACCTGTGGACTGGTTGTGGGCGACCGTATCATTGACACCCGATCTGAATGGCGCACCTTTGCCAACGATGACCAGGGCAACGACGACCCTTCGCGTGTTGGTGAAGCTGCCAACTCGCTGGCGGACGACGAAGGCCTACGAACCCAGGTCGACACCAAGGCCGGCAACGGCAAGCTTGCTGGAAAGCTGAACAGCATCAACAAGAAGTCGCAGACTGAGAAGGGCAGCAGCGAGCTGATGGCGGGCTACAAAGAGATCAACCACTGGGTTGACACCATGACTGCCGGCAGAAATGTCAACGAGAGCGCCTGCCACATCTTCAAGCTGGCTCACGAACATGGCCATATGAAGGGCAAGTCTCGCGATGCCTTGATTGCAGGATGTATCTTCATTGCCTGCCGCCAGTCTGGTGTCCCTCGAACATTCCGCGAGATCTACGCAGTCACGCGCGTGCCCAAGAAGGAGATCGGGCGAGTGTTCAAGTCGCTCGAGACCTTCTTGCAGAAAGTGCAGAAGCACAACCCGTCGGCCAGCATCAGCCAAGGAGTTAACGACTACAAGGCATCGAGCTCCACCAGCGCCGAGGAGCTCTGCACCCGCTACTGCAACCTGCTGGACTTCAGAAACACGCCTCGCATGGAGAAGATCTCCAAGGCGCTGGCGCGCAAGACCAGCTCTGTCTCGGATCTTGCCGGCCGCTCGCCTCTCTCGGTTGCTGCCGCCTGCATCTACTTTGCATCCCACTTTGTCGAGGAGCCCAAGTCATCGAAGGAGATTGCGCTTGTTGCCGGTGTCAGTGACGGCACAATCAAGACGGCTTATCGCTTCCTCTACCAGAAGAAAGACGAGCTCATCGAGTCAGACTGGCAGGGTAACGCGAACAAACTCCCAGCCAACTAGGACAAGCTGGGAGCCAGCGAACTCTAGCTGATCGCTGCTTCGAATCTTGACACGTGGTCGGCTCTCGGTCGATCTGATACACGCCAAGCTGGTATCTCCTTGGGCACGATAGGCTCATGTCCATTTGTGTGCTCTCCAGCTGAACAGCACTTTCCCGTTTTCCACCACTCGCGACGACTGGTCGACCGACAGATGTGGAAACGGTCCTCACCGGTTGATCTTTCTGCAACACTTTCAGCTTGGTATCTCCCGAATCAGACTGCTATCTCTGAGGGAGGTTGTGTTCGTAATGAGAAGGTTCTGCAATTCACTTGCAATGGCTCTTTGACCGACAGATTGAAGGAAACTCTGCGCCTCTGCGCCATGGCGGGAATCAGGCATGAGCGGTTTATATCATTCATACAAGAATTAGAAGGTTGCATTGATCACCAGTGTCTCTCTACCTGTGCTGTGACAAAGAACCTCCCTTCTTTGGTGGGCTGTGTGGCCTGAGGAGTGCCGCAGTTTGCTTGTTTCTGTTTGCCAACCCATGCATCGCGCCTCGCGGCCGCTTCTGCTGGCATTGATGTGATGCTGTTGAAGTTTGATGTTGATATCACCGTAAATGGCATCCCACGAAACACGCTCGTAGCTCTCAATTTAGAAGAAGAGAAAACGATATGATTAATATGCAATAAGATCGATCTCACCCGCAAGATTGGTAATGTCGTGTTCGCCTGAAGACGTTCAAACCTGCTTGTGCAATTGCTGGGCGTAGAGAGAGTACAGTGAATTCATACAGTGTTATTCTGGATTTGGCACTGAGCCAACTGTGGGGCCCCCTCTTTGGCAGGCAGCCAATGAAAATCTCCAATGCCCACCAAGTCGTGAAGCGCGTCCAACCACCACCCAAATTTCCACAGGAATCAACGTATCCCTTCGCCTGCAACGCCCCCAGGACCATCACCACTATCATCCTCTCCCCCTCTCCAAGCCTCCCGAGATTAGCTGCCTCGCCTTAACAAAGGTTTGCGACTGGAAATCAACCACCATGGGAAGGCGCTCTGGCCGTGCCGCCGCTCGGCGTGCCGCTGCCGCCCTAGGTAAGACTGGCTATGCTCTCTCCCTCCACACCTGAACGCGACACGTATCCTACGGCGTCGGCGCCTAGGCACTACTTGTAGACCATGGACTTGGCTGACTGTTATTCTGTGCGGCTATAAACAGAGAGCACCCCGAAGCACTTCGAACCCTTGGACGATGAGGACGAGGTCATGCCCGATGCCGAGCAGGATCAAGAAGCGAAAGCAGAGGAGCCGGAGCCAGAGCCAGAAAAGGAGGAGTCAGGCGCCGAGGAAGAGCAACATGCATCTGAGGAAGAATCCGCCAAGTCACCATCGCCCCAGCCGCGCATGGTTTTGGTCCGCCGCAAGCGCCTCGGTCGACCGCCCAAAAACAAGCCTCCAGACTGGGATGAGATGATCGAGGTGCCTGCGCGCGACGTCGAGACGCCCCGTAGGCGAGGCCGCGGCGGCTGGAGAGGGCGTGGCGGCCGCAAGGGTCAGCAGGCCCAGGTCACGCAGCAGCCTATCGACAAGGAGGGCAACATGATGGATATCATCGATGATGAGGTCGCATTGCCGGAGGACCCCGAGGGCGAGACCAAGGTCGACAAGATGGGTAATCTGCTGGGTGGTCGCGAATACCGGTGCCGCACGTTCACTGTGAGCGGACGCGGTGATCGTCTCTACATGTTGTCGACGGAGCCGGCTCGCTGTGTCGGCTTCCGAGATTCGTACCTCTTCTTCACCAAGCACAGAAAGCTCTTCAAGATCATTATCGATGATGACGAGAAACGAGACCTGATCGAGCGCGAGATCATCCCCCACAGCTACAAAGGCCGTGCCATTGGTATCTGCACAGCGCGCTCCGTCTTTCGCGAGTTTGGGGCCCTCATCGTTGTGGGCGGCAAGCGCATCATCGACGACTACGAAGTGGCCAAGGCACGCGAGGAGGGCGTTATTGAGGGCGAGATAGCCGACCCCAATGACAGGTTTGTCCCGGGTGAGCCGTACAACAAAAACCAGTACGTGGCCTGGCACGGCGCCAGCGCGGTGTATCATTCATCAACACCTGCAGTCCCGCAGCAGAGCGGGAAGCTGGATCCTAAGAAGAGACGTGTGGCCGTCAACGACACCAACTGGCAGCTGGAGCATGCCCGAGAGGCAAGGTGAGTTTTCTCATTTCCTTCAGGATCCCTTCCTCGACGCCGTTGTACTAAGACGTAGAAAAGCAACTTCAATACCATCTTGACTGGCGCCCGCCGCGTCAATCTCAATGGTGTCTACGACATACATACCAACACAATCCAGTATCCCGCCATCATGCAACCCACGAGAGTCCGCGCCGTGCAGGTCGCACCCTCGGAAGAGTCATCCGAGTCCACGTCGACTGTCTTCCCCCCGCTCCCACCCAAGGTTGCACGCAACTTCCTGGTCACCGATATCCACCTCGAGACGCCCCCAACAGGCATCTCGGCCGCCGCTTACGAGCGCCCGTTCCAGCTTGACTCGTCTGCCAGCCGCGAACGGTCATCAGACTTCCTCGGCCCCTTCCGCGGCCTGGCCGCTGTCCCCGACGACATCAAGGACCTGCTGCCAGAGGACTGCCGCAAGGCCTTTGATGAGGCGCTGGGCAAGGAGAACAAGTGGCAGGAGCAGTGGGGCGAGGAGAAGGACACGATGTGCCGCCAGCAGCCCATCGTGGACAAGGCTATCGTGCCCTTCTCCATGATGATGTAGTCAGTGGCTCGCGAAAGGAGTTGCCCCTGACTTGGGGTGCGACAAGGGCTAGATGTAATACCAGCGAAGGTTTTTCGGGCTTTTTTTGGAGTTGGAGTGTATCTTGTCAGAGTTCATTACGGCGTTTGAATTTGAGCAGCGAGACCCAGGTCATGAGAGGGCTTTATCCTGGGGTAAACGGGCTTGCAATACGTGTGTTCCAACCCTGTAGCAAAACTCAGGATTTTCCGAAAGGGTTCGGTAGCACGACCTTTCATCATCATAGGAAATACATGATATGCCAGCGGCCATGAACAATTAATTGAGCATTTTCCAGATCGTGCAGCCATATATGGATTGTTGCAAAATCTGACATCATTGCTATCATTTTTTTACGAGACCTCATAAACATCAAAGTATCATACAGATTAGAATTTGTCAATTTCATGGCTCTCAACAAAGTTTGTCGTCTTTGCTCTGGAACGTATAAAGTCTTGCATCTTGGACAAACCTCGTCTCACAAAACCTGACGCATGCCCGGAGCCTCAAGCGACCCGTGGGTTTCTTCTTGTCGGGGGAGCTTCCTCTCAAAATGCTGCACGTCAGCCTGACCTGGACGGTTGGCCAACATCAGGCAATGCAGATCGTTGGCTTGCAGAGGGGCGGGCTTGTACTCTTGCCAATCCAACGACGCATGTACAAGTACAAACCAAAAGCCCATGGTGATTGGCCGCCGGAAGAAACCCTGGAAAAGGGAGTACCCAACCGACGGACTGATCAGCAGTGATCAGCAGTCAAAAGGTCACGCAAAGCTCGCCCCCGCGGCCGAAGCATTGCTCGTCCCCGTCGTCGTGTAAGCCACCGCGGACCCAGGCGACCGCTTCACGGAACAAAATTTTCCACTCCACTCGGCGGAAGGAGGAGGCATGAGATCGTGTATTGTTGGGATCCTGGACCCTTGATCATCAAGTTGTGACCAAATCTGTACGTTGCGCTGATCTTGGGCCGCTTCAACCCACAGGGTATTCGAATTTCGTCGCATGTGCATGTGTAAATAGATGTACGTCATGGAAATAGATCAAGAACCACCAAAAGCCCGGAAGCATCCGTCCGGTTACGCTTCTCCTTTGCTTGCCATGGATATTCCATGTCAAAGGGAGGTGCAAGATGTACGTACACCTCGTCTGGGCCAAGAGACGTACTTTTTCTGTCCTCGTCATCCTAGGGTCGCGGTGTTACCGTGACGCACTACTGCAACCACTTTAACACCCGGTCGAGCGAGACCTGCGGCTAATCGTTTGGGGAGTTTGCCTGCGCTGGAAAGAGGGAACAAAATAGTTCCCTCGACATCCTGCATATGTCTGCTTTGGTAAATGTAGAATTGCCCATAGCAATCCGTCTCTAACCTTGTCCACCCGTCCGTTCGTGTCTGGACATTACTACAGTGTGCGGCAAAGGACAGCAAGTGGCCGAATCCCCCCTCCTCGTAGAACCCGGAAATGTGACCAGAGGTAACAGCCACACACCCTTTGAAACCTGTTCAAGGCTTCCGTGACAGCCAAGGCAGGCCTTGTACTCCGGGTTCTGACTGTCTCGGACCCCGAGCGAGACCTTGTCACGAGATGACGCGGGCCTGCCACTGGCGACTCATTCGATGGACCAAAAAAAAGCAATCACTCAGCTGCCTAGACCACAGGCAGTCATTGGCTCACTGCCTGGTCACACATTTGCTGACTGCCTGCCCGCCGTGCCAGCCAATCGTCATGTATGCTGGAGCTACGTCGTCAAGTGTCGTCCGCCAGAGGTAGGTAGGTGAGCAAATCTCCAACCCTGGCCCAATCAGCGTGTGTCGATTGCTACGGCTCCGGTCCACGCAAGAGGCATCATCACACTGTAAGAATGAAGAAACACTAGGCTGCTCTGTGTGCGTGCGCTGCCATCAATGTCCACTTGTTGGAGTACTCCACATCGCCTTCGAGTTTGTTCGGCCCGGCCAGGTGGGAGACGCACCGAACTAGCACCCCCTCGTTGGCTTGCTTGAGTGGCGGCTACCAGTGAAAGGAAATCAAAACACGAATGTTCAATAGTGTTTCCACCCGGATGCTCCGCGACCGCTGCCTGCCTGTCCGTCACAGGCGAGGACCCCGGTCGATGACTCCTGCGAAGAAATCCGGGTAACCTTGCAGGGGCGGAGTTCCAGAAGAGGGGCTCACGGGGACGTTCTCTCAGGTGCATGGCTAGTCTTCCAGATTGACCTGCAGGTGTTGAGGGGTTCTCTTGAAACCAGCGACGAAACTTACAAGTACAAAGCCGTTCCTGTAGGCCCGGAGCAGAAGAGGAAGTACAGTGGATCTCCTCCACCAGCTTGCACACGCCTGCGCTGTCATGAAGGGGGGTTCGTGCCTTCCAGGAGACTCCATCCGCCGGCCTCTTCATTTCTTACCCCTCACGATGCTTTAGTAATTCCTCACCGCCGCCTGCACGAGCACCGATCTAGGAGCACTTCCAACCTGGGGACAGGCGTCAGGAGACGAGCGAGTGGGGGAGAAGAGAAGACATGCGCGGACCATTCTCGGTTGCTCGTGCCGGGTCGGGTCTCCCAACACACAAGAGAGCAGAGATGCCGAATCATGGCCAGATGCAGTTCAAACAAAAGGCTTGGTGTGATGATGCACTGCATAGCCGCACTGCTGGCAAAATACTGCGCTTGACCTCACACAGAATTGACAATTCGTGAGCCGTGGTTTGACTAATGGCCATGATGATGTCTTGTCTTGGGAAACATAAAAGAGGTCCCTCATGTTTCGGTTCATCTGCATCATTTTCTCGAGGTCCTGTGTTCACTTACCTCACCTTGCTAGCCAAGCTCGACAGCTTCTCCTTGATGAAACCCCGTGACAGAACAACTCTGGCCATGGGAGGTCTACTGCGTAGTCTGGCGGGCTTTGCTGCCCAAGAGGCTCCACCTGTACAGACATGATCACGAGTGGCCCAAAAAGGTCGAGAACGTCCAACTATCTGGGCAGCTCGTGCATATATCGGAGTTCTGGGCCCAGCAATTGGCTGTGCCTGGTGTTGGCGGGTATTGAGCGTTGACGGAGCTTGTACGGAGAGATCGGATACTGGCGCACCCAAGGTCGGGAATGGAGCATGCCCGTCTGCCATGGCTTTGAGCCGGCGGGGTTGAATCAAATCACTCTGGTCCGAAGAGGGCATGCAGGTGGTATGCAACCCCCCCGCGCTGCCCTCGGTCGAAGTCCATGTTTCTAGGGAAAAGTCGGACTCGCTTGGGTGATGAGCGACCACTATGGAATAAGGAGAGGTCCAGGCCGATGCCGCGATGCGCTTTGGAAATGCTGGTCGCTGGCAGCCGTCGATGTGGATTACCGAGACGTGCTCTTTGGTAATACCTTCGTCCATCTAGGCGTAGAGTGAAAGAGTCTGGCGCGCCCATCATCACAAGTAAGACCTCCAGGACGAAAGGTCTAGCACCGATGGCTTGTGTGTCCTCGCCTCGCCTTTAAAGGACGCTCTGATTGGTCTTCGTAAAAGTCGAGCAGAAAATTTCTGAATCGATGGCTTCATCATGGCAGCGACTAGTATTGCAAAACCGTAAAATTTATCGGATTGACCCATCAGAAATACCAGTTGTTTGACCAGGGAATGATGCCACAAATAAGTAGAGTTGTTAGTGATGGTGGCCATGCATCAGGGACCAACCTACCTCATGACGGGGCAGAGACACGACAGTGGATTTCTGGGAGTTTAGGCCGGACCTGAAGGATATGAACAACGGCTGGCTGTGCTGATTGGATCCTCTGGGGCTTGTGGTGGTTCCTGCAGGCCTGTTAGCGGCCTGGAAATGGTCATCATCGTCACTCGACCTTCCCAAGCAGGTGGAGGGTCGCCCTTTTAACGCCACAACGGAGCATACATCCACACGACACACCAACGATTCCTCCGGTGCGTGCAGTGGTGCGTGTGTGCGTTGCTGAGCTCATCCACCTTCTCACAAGATCGACACACGCTTCAAGTCTGCTGACAAAGTTTGCTAAGAAACTCCATGACGCCGTACAGCGAGGCATAGTAGCACCGCCTGGTCGTCACCATTGCCACAACTCGAGGACGCTCGGGCAGGGTTCGTCAAACGCTGGCGAGTCCGCGTTTGCCATCAAAGAAGTGCGTCAGGTGCACGATTCATTCGTCAGGGTCCAGGTTTTTGCCGGGCAAGACACGAGGACTCTCAAGCAACCCAGCGTTCTGGAAGACCAACTAGGATCCACCGGATGGGTCGGGCTCAACCGGCGCCAGCACGGGGGTCAAGCACTGGGGACAATTTTTTTTTTTTTTTTGGCTGGGTGCAAAACCTTATGTTCACCCCGGGGTAAACGTAGGTCACTGTGCATGCAAGTCGGCTGTGGAGTGAACTACCTGGGTAGGGGCGGACCTGCAGCCAGCAGAAATGCACTCCGTACGCGGCGCTCCTTGACAAGTTGAGGGGCACTGGAAGAGGGTAACCCGATTTGCGCTCTCGCCCGTTGGTGCAGCATCACCTTCGTCAGAAGCTCGGTGCTCTGTAATGTACGCAACTACCCAGTCTCCCAGTGTGGTACAAGTACTTGTAGTCACGTCAGTGTAGGTAGGTAGTGTTTCTCATCTTGGCCTGGCCCTCTGCAATTTCCCCCCGACGTGGTCCCTGCCAATTTCAGGGTTCAACGCCAGTGGTGGGGATCCAGGGTCCGTTGCTGGGGTTCTCGTTGTGTTGGATTTCAATAGTCCAGAAATGAGTGCAGTGTCGAATCTTTGCTCGAGCGACGGATTGAATGAGCCTCGGACATGGCTCGAAGGAGGATTGCAACAGTAATAACCGTCTCCCAACGATCTCTAGTTGGTCTCTGGTCTCCTTTGACAGCCAGCCAAAGTGTGGTGCAGGCAGAGGCATAGAGGAGTACAGTAAGCCATCCCGAGCAGTGTAGGAATAGAACCAGGCTAGAATGTGAGCTCGCCAACGCGCGGAATATGTACCTTGGTACGACGAGACGGCATGGTGTGGCCGATCAGGATTGTCAACAGCAAACAACCGGCCGTTGGAGGTGGTGCTGCAGAACTTTTGCTGCCCCTTGCTAGGTACCTACTCCCTCGTTACGTTTCTTCTGCTGGCTGGCCTGGGACGTCTAGGGTCTCAACAGTCAGTGAGTGATGGGTATTTGGCACATTTGGGTACCTAGTTAGGTGACGCGGTGGATACGCATGCGTAGGCAAGGCGAGATTGGCTTGGTGAAGCGACCTGGAAGACTTGGTCAGCAGCCTCGCTGCCACCCGAATTCCAAGGCTTGTACCGAGGAAGAATAATCGACTCAGTTGTCGGTACCGGGTGACTGTAGCGCAAGATTGCTAAAACAATTGATCCGAGACAGGCACGCGAGGTACGGGTGGGAACATGTCCCTGTCTCTTTCTCTGGCTCGTCTCTCTCTCTCTCTCTCTCTCTCTCTCTCTCTCTCTGTGTGTGTGTGTGTGTGGCCCTTTGGCTTTGGTGAGAAGTGGTCCAACTTCTGCCTCGAACATCAAATGTTGTCATGACGAGTCGGGTTGACTTCGAATTGGTGGTGGTCTTGTCAACAGGGCCGACTTTTCGGAGGTGAAGACGTTTGTACAAGTACTGGGGACCTTCAAGGTTGAATCCTGCAGGCTGCGTGCCACCTGTAATCTGCCCACTGCCTCCAGCGCTGCCTGCCTGATCTGGCTGGAGGTGGTGCTTCCCGCCACTTCCTTCCTGCCAAGGTGCCAGCCAAGCCTGCGCCAGCTTATCCTCAGTGCCTCCCTCATCCGTCGTTCTTTGTACGGAGGTACGAAGTACGTACTTACCCAAATAATCCCTCAAGATTGGACCTATCCGTGGATGCGTGTGTGGTGTGTGTGTCTGGGTCCTTCCCTCATCCAATCCTGCACCACCCGGCACAGCGCCCCCGCCCGCTAAATTTGGCATCGTCCATCCAGTGTGCAGCCAATTCTTTGTCCCTCTAATTTTCCCATCTCGGGACCAGCCCAGCTCTTCTGCAAATTGGCCAATTTGTATTGGGCAATAATTCTTCATGAATCCCAATTTCTTTCTCGAGATGTACCTACACCATGCACTCCCATTGTTCGGATGCGACGGCGATCGGCCAAACGAGACTCTCACTCACTCGGGACAGCAACACCCTGAGTCACATTCGGGATTACGAGCACGTTTGCTTGAGAGAGAAGTGAACGCGGCATCAGTGATGATGTTGTTTGTTCTGCTTCTCCCACCGTCCACATCTCGAAGAAAGCCCTGATTTGAGTGTACGGAGTACATGCTAGATCAATGTACAGTGGAGTTTCAGCCGTGGGACCCGAAGCCTCCTTCACGACGCCGCCAAACCCCCTAGCGTCTGGAGACTGGGGACGGAGGGCTGATCCAAAACATGCCATCTTTGCTTTTCGTTCTCCCAGTCACTTCTTTCTTCACTGTCTCGTGGAGAACGGGGCGCGTACTTCGTACTAGGCTCCAGACGCTACTGATCTGTCGTTGGGATGGGGCGCCTCTTTCCTGGCGCGAGAGCCGGATCAGGAGAGAGTGCGCACTGGACAAGTTTCATTTTCCTTTTTCCATAACAGTGTTACACCAGCCCAGAGCAAGGACGTAGGACGCAAAGGAGGGTTGACTACTGGACTTGAACCTCTCACTGGCTCCATGACTGCAATGCTCCATACTTGCGTCAAGTCCCGCGTACGTGCCTCAAGAGTACAGTGAAAGGGGGCCAAAGGAGAAATACCAAGAGTACCTAGGTACTCTTTGGAGTCATTTCCTCCCGAGTCTCTCTCGCGAGCGCCGCTATTTGCTGGATTTTTAGCAGAGCTCATCTTCATTTGCTGGGGCATGTCGGGTTGGCTGGGTACTTCGTAGGCTTTTGCAGCTCGCTAACACGAAATGGAACTGGTCAGTCAACAAGCCATCGTGTTATGATCCACCCGCACCTTGCAAGGTACCTCACTCGCCCTAGGTACAAGTAGAAGGGAAAAAATTGCAGCAGCTAAAAAACTTGCTGGATGGACAAACCGGTACCGACCATTGGTCCAGCTGGCAGGGAATGTACCCCGTACTGTCTCGCTCCAGCATCAGTCGCACAGCCCCTCGCGTCAAAGAATCTCCTTCACACGGTGTCGCAGAGTTCCTGGCTCTGCCTGGTACAATCCCACCCCTGAGGTTCCCCAAACGGCTAGCCGAATAGGGCCCATGAACATCCATACCCACTGTACGCTAGGTAATTTACACTGGGCGCTGCTCTGGAAGGCCTGTTCCGGCTATGTACCGGCCATGACAGGGGGGCGCTCTCTACCTAATTTTGCAGGCTGCTGGCCATTCACCAAAACAGATGGGCTACTTTCGCTACCGTCACCCCCTTCCTCCGCTCCCATGGCCCATCCCCCATCAATTCCCTCACGCCCACCTCCCGCCGCCCTCGTCAATCGTCCTGCCTGGTCTGTCTTCTGACCCGGGCCAACGCCCCCTTCTTTCTCATCCACCCACCACGCAGACACACCCACCCGAGGAGCGAAGAGAGGAGACGGACACCCAGAACAGACACAGTGAGCGGGTCGAGTGCGTGAGCGAGTGAGCCAGCCAGAGAGACACAGAAGAGACAGACCACCAACCCACCAGTCGCTGTCCTCGTCTGGCCACCCCCGTCCCCATCCTACCACACACCCGCTCCGGTCCGTCATCATCATCTCTCCTACGGTCTTAGGTTCCCTTTTTGGTGTGCCCTCGCCTCTCGTTCACTTTTTTCCCTTCTCCTCCTCCTTACATCACCCTCTCCCACCCCCGTCTTCACCCTTCTGCTCAATCCTCCCCCGGAACCCGTCGATTTCTCCTCCTCCTCTGAATCGCCAGCGACCAATTCAGTTCTGTGTCGTTGTGTTAATTACGGGATTCGGTGCGGTGCCCAGCAACTCACCCTGAGCAAACACCACCACATCAAAAAGTACGAAGAACGGCCGTTGTGTTGTCCAACCCCGACCTCGAGACCTGGGTTTGTGGTGCGAAAAAAAAAGAGCCCGGCTCATCGACGAACTACCCTCGATTTCTTGCATTTCGACGACGATTCTCCTCTTGACCACTTTCCTGGCAGAGTTGGCTTGATGATTCTCGGCACACTTCACGATCCTTCTTGTTAGGTTAGTTGCTCCTGTTGTCAAGGTCCTTTGCTTTTCTCCCGGCACCCTTTCTCGACAGCCCCCAGCAGACAACCGTGTCCAACATTGGTTTGGACTGCATCAACTGCCAGTTTCTTGATACCCTGAACAAACAACACGTCTGTATGAGCTGGTGGATCTGAGCGATATCTCACCCAGACCTGGCCTTTGACCTGGGATCCTGGTTGAAACGCCGACACAGCAGCAATCCTCTTTGGTCGCATCAGGGACCTGAAAGAAAAGTTGACTGACATCTGGTATATTCTCAGCGCTTAGAAAAGCCTCCTTAAGCTCGTCAAGCTTGTCGAATTTATTCACCGAGCTCTCGACCTGCAAAGAACAGCAGTCACCTTTCCTTCTTCACGACCACTACTGCGAATTCACGACTTGCCCTGACCACGTCACTGATTTGTGCGACACAAAAGTACCAACGTTCTTGAAAAAGTGTTTTATTCACCCTGTTCATCTCGCAACCTCTTCGCTAGTTGTCGATTCGACTCTGCGACACACTCCTATGGCTCGGTCGCCCCAGTAGACTTTCAGTCTCCCGCCTCTTCTGACCTCGAATCATCTCTTCGCCCTTGGAGACCTTTGCCAGTGTCTTGTGGACTTTCCACTGCCACTGAGCTTACGATCCTACGATCGCCTCCCAGGTTCACGAAGCAGATCGATCACTCCAGGTTTCGTCGAAGCTCCTTTTCGGCGAAATCTACCCTCAAACTCACCTTCAAGATGCCCGGAGGTGTCTGTGCCGTCCTCGACTATGAGGTCGAGCTGATGGCCGAGTATGTCGGCGAGATGGCCACCCGTCTTGCCCTTGGAAGCCCGGTCGCGCCGGCGCCCTTCCGCAAATTCATCTCGCAGATCCTGTCGTCAACCCGACTTCCCAGCACAACCATCCTTCTCGGCATGAATTACTTGTCTAAGAGGATCAACCTCATGCGCCACAACAACCAGGCACTCAAGATTACCGAGGGCCAGGTCTGGCGCCTGCTGACGGTAGCGCTTCTACTCGGCAGCAAATTCCTCGACGACAACACGTTCCAGAATCGCTCCTGGTCCGAGGTAAGCGGTATTCCCGTACGAGAGCTCAACTCGATGGAGTCGGATTGGATGCGAGCCATCGACTGGCAGCTTTACGTCGATCTCGACGAGAGCCAGGACTACACTGCCTGGCTCAAGAGCTGGGAGGACTGGTCTGGACACAAGAAGCGCCAGCAGGCCATGGTAAGCCGCGAGCGGCTGCACGCTGCCGTCCCTGCCATCGACACCGACGTCGCACGGGCGCGCCAGGCACACGCTGCTACATCTTGGTACGAGGAACAAGTCGCCGAGTATCGTGTGTATGAGCAATTGTCGGTCCTCAAGCGCAACGAGCACGCCCTTCACCAGGGATACCGTGGACGTGAGACGTCCTGGCCTACGTACCAGCCTGGCCCGTGGACCAACCCACCCCTCACCCCTCCAGATTCCGGTTACGGCACCCCCGAGTACCTCAACTCGACTACCATGAATTTCCCTTGCAACGACTGGTTTGCTCAACAAACCCGCCAGTCCAGCCAGGCTCTGCCTGGTGGTGGGTACGCCAGACAGCAGCCTTTCCGCCAGCACGGTTCCTCCCAGAGCGCATACCATTCCCGCAATGCCTCGTCGTTCCCCGTATACAACATGTACGGCCACAACATCTGGGAGCACAACACCATGGACTGCAACTGCGCCACCTGCGCCATGCACAACAAGCAGCCCTATTTTGCTGCTCCATCTCATGCCTACGGCCAACCTGTCATGGGCTAGAGAGGATCATCAAACCTGGCTTGGCTCTGGGGTAGGCGCATTTCAGTGACTCGCATTAGCGACACTCGTCCGTCACACAACCCGGGCTCGCATGACCGCAGCGCGGACATCCATGGACTATGGCATATTGAATTGCTTTTCGGAGGGACGGTGTACAATCGGCATAACTCGCATTTGATACCCATCGTTCGTTCATTTGTCGCAGAGGCATTTCCTTTTGGCTCTGGATGGTCCTTTCCTTGGACCGGTACCATCCATCCCCTTCTCGACGCGGTTTCTTCGCGCCACGGGCGACCTGCTTCCTCGCATTATTGCTGTGACCTAGCTCTCAGCAATATGGTGGCGGCGTTGCATTTTCTTTTGACCTGAGCATTGCCACGCCGGCTGCTGCTCAGGGGTAATGAGTCTAAAATTTCCTTGATTGGTATACGATTCGGTTCATACGGCATTTGGCGTTTTCCGGAATATTATCGATTCTTCTGGACTCGAGTCCACGGCATAGACCTACGGATTTTCATTCCCTTCTTCACTAGGATGTCTCAATGGTACACAGAAAAAAGTTGTTCTTTTCACCTTCAGTCTCGGCTTGGAAGAGCGGCAAGGCAGTCGGATGGTTTATGGCGCGCGCTCTTGATGAGAATGTGCTCCCGTCGTTTGGACAACAGCTTTGGCCTGTCACCGAGACCATCAGTTATGGTTACTACCCAGATTGTCCCGACCTGCAATACTCGCGGCTCTTGAGCTCTTCCTGGCTCTTACACTTTGTTTCGGTACGAAACCTTGTAATTTTTCTGATCACGGTTTTACGCTTTCCTCCCCATCCTCGCAACAGCCTCGGCTCTCCTGGCGCCGTCGGGCGAGGCCGGAGACGCTGCAAGTTGATTGCGGGTGCGATGGGTCGAGTTCATGAGACACTTTTAAAAAGTCGGCGTTGCATTGTTTTCTTTTTTTACGGAATACCTTTGGCGGCTCAAACCGGAAAATTGGGAGGGAATCTGGATTTGCATGCATTTCGTGCATTATGTTTGGAGGGCATCATTACACCTTTCGTTTTATATTTCTTTCTTTCTTGGTTCCGGCCTGTAACAACAGCTCTCCCGTGTCCCGAGCTCTTGTCCAGAGAAGAACTGGGAGACGTGGTTCCGCCGCCTTGGATGAGGCTGCATAGCATGCATGGGCAGAGTTGCGCAGGCTTGGGTGCCCTCGTTGTTATTCTTTTTTCTCACTTTCATCTGGGGTTGGGCATAGGATCTCTATTTCTTTAGAGGATTGATGGACTTGGAGGGGGAAGTGAGCCTTGTATTTTTGTGTTTCTTTGTTTCCGTTCGGAGGTCCACTTCTTGAAGTTGCCAGGTTGGGCTTTGGATTCTCCTTTCGTTTTCCCTTTTTTTTTTGTTCACTTCATGCATACATCATATCCATCCTTGACGATGAACGAGAACGGACAGAGACGGAGTATTATACATAAAGGAGGTCAAAGATTGGAAGGGTACAGATCTCGGTATATGGACCCCCCGCGCGGGCGGTAATCTTCCCTGGCAACAAGAGCAGTCCTGTCGAGCGAGTTTGCCTGTGTGCAGGCCTCGCATCTAGCGAAATGCATTGGGGTCATGTCTCTGGAGGGTCCACCAGAAAACAAAAAGAAGGGTTTGGGCCACAGATATCAAATATGGGCGATTCCCTTCACTGTCGCTACCACGCGAGACGAACAACATTTCCGCCTCAGGGTTGATGTCCTCTTTGCGTTCCGGTCAAGTCACAAGTCGACAGAGGGCTGACGCCACCTGAGGAAAAGTATATAAATTAAAAAAAAATACATGACTACTCGAAACACACGCATAAGCACGGTTCATGTTTACTCTTCCGTTTACATTGCAAAGCGGTGACATTTTCTGTGCGCAAATGGTAAATTTTGCTGAAGATATGAATTCCTTATCGTTATCGGCCACATTGGCCAATTGCCTTGTCAAGTCGGGACCAAGCTTCTAAGATCCGTTCCCCTCCAAGCTTCAACATCTCGACGTGACGAAGTCAAAAGCCGCCGCCAGAGCCTCCGTTCCCGGATGTAGGCACCCTTGAACGGCACCTGCCACGCCATTGTACCCGAGTTTTCTATCTGACCGGGGGAGACGAGGCCTCAAGCAACCGCATACGCCGGCGCATTGCGACAAGCCTTGGTCGCACCCGCGCAGACGATTCACCGACCGCGTTAGCCGCTCACGAGTGGCCAGAGCTGCTACCCTCGAACTCCCCCGCGTGCTCCGGCCGGTCTGTAAACATGTCGTCGCGCTTCGTGTCCGGCGGCGCCATCGACGCCGCGAGCGGCGAGGCCGTCGAGGTCTCAGCTTCGGCCGCTGGCGCCGGCGGCGCAAGCATTGGCAGCGACGCGGGCGCGGGTGCCAGGAAGCAAGAGTGGGAGGCCGTGCAGAAGGAGCTCGAGGCCGAGCGGAGGCGGCGCGAGGAGAGGCAGAGGGCTGCGGCCGAGGGAGGCGAGGAGAAGAGCTTGTATGACATCCTGCAGGCGAATAAAGGTGTGCTTTTACTGTCTCTGTCTCTCCTTCATGGGCGGGCTGGGCGCTGTCTGTGTATGCATGAGAATGCTAACGGGTCTTTGTGGCTTCTTTGCTTTGGCTGCAGCTGCGAAACAGGCGGCCTTTGAGGAGGCCAACAAGATCAAGAACCAGTTCCGCGCGCTCGACGACGACGAGATTGACTTTCTGGACGAGGTCAAGGCCAGGGCGAGGAGGGAGGAGGAGAGGCTGAGGAGGGAGACCGAGGAAGGGCTCGGCGCGTTTAGGAAGGAGCAGCTGCGGCTGGAGAAGGAGGCGAGCGGTGGGGGAGGCGAAGAAGCTGACGGTGGCGAGGGGGAGGGGGAGGCACAGGAGAGCTGGGGCGGCGGGCGGAAGAGAAAGAGGAGGGAAGAGAGGGCCGGTGTGATCAAGGGCGTCAAGAGGAGACCCTCGAGCTCCGGTGTCGCTACGGGAGAGGGTGCTCGCAGCTCACAAACAACAGGAGAGACTGTGAAACAGCCCGATGGCGAAGCAGCAGCAAAGGATAGCGCGAAGACGAACGAGGGAGCAGAGGGTGTAGCCGCTGCCAAGCAGCCACCGGCATCAGCCAAATCCGCTGCTCCGACTGCTAAGCTGGGACTCGTGGATTATGGCTCGGACTCGGACGACGACTGAAATAACTCACCACGATCCTGGAAAGCATCAAACGCCTACCCACTACTCAGTCTGGCACGAGGACACTCGTGGAGAATCGCAAGCAGAGGTAATCTCTCACCTCGAGCACTGGGCGCTCTCGGAGTGTTCTTGCTAGGACGAAGCGCTCCTGCATATCTTAGCACAGGGCGTCGAGACAGTCCAGTGGGGCGAAGTAGTGTGCTAACCCATCGCTCAAAGCACCTTGAAGAGAGGTCTATTAGCTAAGTGGTATACATGGGGCAAGCCCGATGGATGGGGAGAGCTTCAAATGGAGCCCGGTAGTCTAGATATACCCCCCAAATAATGGTACAATAATACAGTACAGCAATGTACGAAGCCTCGCTGTCGCGCAGTCCCGCGTCAGGCCCTTGCTGGTGCTCTACTCATCATCCAGATTGCCCACGTTGGGCTGCCACGCGTCGCCCTTCCACTTGCGGGCGCCCCATCGCCAGAGACTCCTGATGCTGCCCTTGGTCCAGCCCTCAATCTCCTCCTCGGGCACGACGACGCGGCGAGCCCGCTCCTCGTCCTCGGGCGTGATCTCGAAGCGCCTCATACGGCCGGCAATGCGCGGGTCCAGCACCATGGGCGAGGCCCAGATGCGCTCCTTGGGCTCCTCGACTTTTTGCACCTCGCCCTCCTTGGCGGGCTCGGGCTTCTCCTCCTTCCAGACGCTCTTCAGCCAGTCCTTCTCCTCGCGGGCCAGGGCGCCCTCCTGCTCGTACTCGTGGCTGTCGCCGGGGGTCTCGCGGAACTCGCGGTAGGTGCAGAAGCACACGGCGGCGACCTCGCGGCCGATCTCGTCGGCCAGGTAGCGGCGGCCGAAGAAGCGGCGCATGCGGGTCGGGGTGTTGAGGAAGCCGAGGATGTGCGGGAAGCGGACGGGGGTGGCAGGGCCCAGCTCGGCGGGGATGAACATGGGCAGCGGCTCGGAGGGGTACTGCTCCGGCTTGTTGTGCGGACGGGGTTGGGGCGGCGTCTTGGGCTTGGCCTCGGCCTCCTCGGGCTTCTCGCCTTCTGGCGTCTCGGGCGCCGGCAGGGGCTCCGGCTCTGGGGGCGGCGCCAGGGGCCCCAGCCAGCCCTCGTGCAGACCCCTTACGTACTCCTTCCACGTATGCCGTCCGACGACGACATCACCCCTGACGCCGTCGTACTCGGCGATGCCGTTCCGTTTCCTGATAGCCTCAATAGCATCCTGCTCCGTGGGCAGCTGCGCCTCGTCGCCGACGTCGCGGCCGAGGAGGTCCTTCTCGACGTCGCGCCTCGTCCGGCGCACCCTCTCGGCGACGGCGGCGCGGACGTCGCCCTGGCGGCGGCCGACGACAAAGTCCCAGTCGATGCCGCTGCCGGCCAGCACGGGCTTGATGTACTCGGCGAAGTGGTCCTGGGCGACGCGCAGGCCGTCGCCGGGCGGGGCCTCGAGGTAGACGGTGATCTTGCGGGGCATGGAGGACGGGCCGGCGGGCAGGGGCTCGGCGGCGAGGTGGGAGACGGCGCGGGCCCATTTGGCGGTGGCGCGGCGCTTCTCGCGGCGGTCGTAGATGATGGCGGCGGAGATGGTGGTCGACAGGGTCCAGAAGATGAGCCAGTTGCGCGAGGGCAGCTTGCGCGGCAGGGCTGGCAGGCCGAGCATGCGCAGCGCGGCGTTGCGCTGGCGGACGGGGAGAGAGCAAATGGTCAGCATTGATGATGTGCGAGAACAATTCGGTACAGAGTTGTATCCTGAGCAAGCATGGAGTAGGGTCTTCTTACCTGGACGGGCTTCTTTTCGCCGGCCATGACGACCGCGGTCTGTTGGAGTCTGGGAGAGCGGTGTGGAGGGGAGCTCGTGGTTGGTACAATACAGAAGACTTAGAAACACATGCTTGAGAAGAGAACAGCGGCCTGGTATTACAGCTCTGGAGAGAGAGAGACGGCGGAGCAATGGACAGCAGCCCTGATGATGATGATGCGGATGGGGGTACCCGAAGATTGGCCTGTGAGATTGGTACTGGCGCGGCTGAGAAAAATTATCGCCTGGGCGCGATAAGCTTTCGATAAGGGAGTGCCTCCAGTCCAGCTACTTCAATTCTAGATGGATTGACCGGCGCACCCCCCCTGGTCGACATTGCAATATTGGTGCCTGGTAAGTAAAGTACGCACATATCAGTCTGCAACCTGATGATATCATGCTACGAGTAAAATAGTAAAAGAGTGACTCCAATCTCGCTGTGGTATCTTTTTCAACTTCATTGTCACGAAATGTTGTTCTCCGTATGGGACAGATACACCCGGACTTTGGATGCTTGTCATGGTGAGCGCGGACGGTGGCCTTTGCCTTGACCATGCTTGGCTCGGATGCTGCAAGGACGCTTCTAGAAGCCAGCAAGTATGGGAACGGGCCCTGGGTTCCCAAACTGTGGTTCCGACTGGACAGATAGATACCTACCTAGGTAGAGTACTGAATTCACAGTCTCGTGGCCACCACCGTTTCCATGTGCTCCAAGTTCCTATATCATGTACTTGCCCATCGCGTACTCTCCAGCCCCAGTTCTCACTTCATGGGAAGTGATGCCAAACTCAGGAGCACTCGAATACCATCAAGCAAACAATCGAAAAGGGGGACTTGAGAGACTGCTCGGTAAACCTGGCCTGTGCATTCGGGTGATTGACCGGGCAGCCTCGCTACAGTAGAACGCTCGAGGTCCGTCCCTTGCACCCCTGAACCGAGCCTGATCCTCCGGAAGAGTGCGAGGGCAACATGCTCGAAAACGCTCCGTTTCTCCAGCTTGAGCATTTGCTTTGAAAGGGATTGAAGCCTCGAATGCAAAGGACACCGAGAACGTACCTAGTCTACCTACCGAGTGTTCCCTCCGTGTATTTGTCGGCAACCATCACCACAGCATCACAGGAGCATTTGCAAGCTTTAGTTGCCGTCCGTAGCGCCAGTAATTCTCGCTCTAGGGCACGACCCGCCCAGCAGGTGGAGCACTGTGCCCCTGGAGCCGCCACCCCGCCCGCCTGCCACGCGCCTTCTGGTTAGCTGGACCTGGGCCCGAATCACTTGAACCCCTCACCTCACCTCCTTTCTCTCTGCCCGCCCGCCCGTTGATTTCTGTGCTCGCTTTTTCTTGGCGGGAGCAAGCGCGCACCACCACCACCACCACCACTGAGAGACCTCCCTCCAGGGCCTCGTCTTTCACGTTTCAGAGGCATCCAGCTTGTCCGTCCCTGGTCGAAGATCACAGACACCAGATTTCCACGGCTGCAAGGCACGGGGGACCACTGTCTCTTTTCTTCTTCTTCTTCTTCCCTACCTCTCCCCTGCCCGTCCTAGGTCTAATCACTGGTCTTTTTGTGAGACCGCTCTCGCACGCAGCAGAGCGCGGGGAAAAGCAAACAAACCACCCACCCCATTTACCTAGGTACCTACCTACTATAGGTACCTCGCGAGACCCTCCTTGTAGCGCCTCTTTCCCCCTGCTGTCTTACCGCCCCAAGCTCCTAACCTCGAACCCCCTATCCGACCTACCTCGCCTCACCTCCACCTCACCGCTCAGCCGCTGTCGTCTTTGGTACCAGTCGTGTGCTTCTCTCCAGGCGCAGGTGGTCCAATCTCGAGGCCTCTTCAGCTCTCCTTCAACATTTCCTCCCCCGAACTCGTCGAGTGTGTCGCCCACCATGGACAACCAAGGCAACCGCCTGTATCTCAATTTTGGGAACAGCAACAACGACAGGCTCGCCGCCAACGACCGCGCTGCCTATCCCACGACGCCCTCGACCTTCCCTCAGCCCGTCTTCCCCAGCAATTCACGAGACCAGCAGTCTCAGTCCGCCACCAGTGCCTCGTTGCAGCCCTCGCAGCAGGGACAGCAGTACCCCGCCGGTTACGCACCCCAGGGCTACTTCAACAACCAGTACTCGTCACAGCAGCATGGCCAGCCCGCCATCGCTTCGAGCAGGGGCGACTATGGTAGCAGCGGAGCCCAGGCTGGCAATGCCAACTACCAGCAGCGCCCTGGCGCCCCCGGCACTGCCAACAACGACCCCAATACTGGTCTGGCTCACCAGTTCTCCCACCAGAACCTCGGCGGTGCTGCCCGCGCCTCTCCCTACGGCAGTCGAGGGCCTTCTCCCGCCCAGCGCCCACGAACCGCTGGCGATACCCGTCAGCAGGCCGCCGGCTACGGTAGCTACCTGAACGCCCCCATGCCAAACCAGTCTTCGCAGACGCCCGTCTTTGAGTTCGCCGCCGCTCCTGAGCGCAACCCCGACCGCTACGGCCCCAATGCCAACAACAACCAGAAGAAGTGTTCCCAGCTGGCCGCCGACTTCTTCAAGGACAGCGTCAAGCGTGCCAGAGAGCGAAACCAGAGGTATGTTGACACAACCTGATCCCCAGGGACTCCTCGCCTCCTCCCCAACGCGCCTCGCAACTCGACGATGATGTGGCACACACTTGGATGCGAATCTGTACTGACATTGGCCCACACAACAGGCAGAGCGAGATGGAACAGAAGCTGGCTGAGCCCAACCAGACGGCCAGCCGGAAGGAGCAGATCTGGTCTACGGGTGGCCGTCGCGAGGGATCCTACCTGCGCTTCCTGCGAACCAAGGACAAGCCCGAGAACTACACTACTGTCAAGATCATCGGCAAGGGCGCTTTCGGCGAGGTCAAGCTGGTGCAGAAGAAGGCCGACAACAAGGTCTACGCCATGAAGTCGCTCATCAAGACCGAGATGTTCAAGAAGGACCAGCTGGCCCATGTGCGCGCCGAACGAGATATCCTGGCCGAGTCCGACAGCCCCTGGGTCGTCAAGCTGTACACCACTTTCCAGGACGCCAACTTCCTCTACATGCTCATGGAGTTCCTTCCCGGTGGAGATCTCATGACCATGTTGATCAAGTACGAGATTTTCTCCGAAGACATAACGCGCTTCTACATTGCAGAGATCGTCCTGGCCATTGAGGCTGTTCACAAGTTGGGCTTCATCCATCGGTAAGCCAGTCAAGCCTCCTCTGGTCTGTATCTGCTTGTGTACAGTCTGCTAACCCGACACCTTATAGTGACATCAAACCAGACAATATCCTGCTCGACCGTGGTGGCCATGTCAAGCTGACCGACTTCGGTCTGTCTACTGGCTTTCACAAGCTGCATGACAATAACTACTACCAGCAGCTGCTCCAGGGCAAGAGCAACCGGCCTCGTGATCGCAACTCGATAGCCATTGACCAGATTAACTTGACGGTCTCGAACCGAGCTCAGATCAACGACTGGCGTCGCTCGCGTCGTCTCATGGCCTACTCAACTGTTGGTACGCCTGACTACATTGCCCCGGAGATCTTCACAGGCCACGGCTACACCTTTGACTGCGACTGGTGGTCCCTCGGTACCATCATGTTTGAGTGTCTTGTCGGATGGCCGCCATTCTGTGCCGAAGACAGCCATGACACCTACCGCAAGATTGTCAACTGGAGGCAGAGCCTGTACTTCCCCGATGACATCCAGCTTGGCGTGGAAGCCGAGAACCTCATCCGAAGGTAAGCTTGGCGCTTTGGAATTGATATCCCTTTTGACACGTGATTGCTGACATGCCCTTGCAGCTTGATCTGCAACACAGAGAACCGTCTGGGCCGTGGCGGTGCACACGAGATCAAGAGCCACTCTTTCTTCCGCGGCGTCGAGTTTGACAGCCTTCGCCGCATCCGCGCGCCCTTTGAGCCTCGCCTGACCTCCAACATCGATACCACCTACTTCCCCACCGATGAGATCGACCAGACAGACAATGCTACTTTGCTCAAGGCACAGCAGGTTGCTGCGCAACAGGGACGTCACACCCAACCTGTGCAGGAAGAGTCACCTGAGATGAGCCTTCCTTTCATCGGCTACACCTTCAAGCGGTTCGACAACAACTTCAGATGAACAGTTTCTCGGCAGAGAGACCCCCATGCACGGTGGACAGTAGCATGGATCACGCGAGACTCTCCAGGTAGTGGGAAGAAGCAGGGGAGGAGAGGCATGATGAACGTCGATACATGTCGGGCTACACTCTTCATGAACAGACGGCGTGGGCTTTGAGCGATGACTTTTGAGTTGACAAGACAAAAAGATCCATGCTTGGTGGATATGCGACCCGAGATGACATGTAATGACTGGAATTTGCGTGGCTTATGGCCAGGTCTGCCCCATGCGGCTCGCTGGCACATACAGCCACTTCACGATGATATACCTCATGCATGAACAAGTAGCAAAATCAGAAAAAATGATGACATGAACTAAGAAAGAAGAAAAAGGCCCTAATCAGTCTGTTGATTCTCAAAATGTGACAAACACCATGTTCGCTGCTTCCAGTGTTCAACTTATGTTGGGTGTCCGAGCAAAGGCTGTGAGACAGTTGGTACACCTTATGATTGTGCTGTATTGTACAAAGAGGCTAGATCTAATACTTTTAGCTCGGGCATCTGAAGAGGTCTAACCCGGTAATCATTTGAAATGTTGGTCGTTCTGCTCACGTCCTTTAAGGATGTGACACCAGCCCCTATCTTCACCTCCAGCTGTTCTAGACAGCAATGAGGGCATCCACCATTCTCTCGAGTCACTGGTGTCCATAATGAATTTTTCGAGTTCGAAGCCATCCCTCCTCCGGGGTATCTCTTTTTGTAATCGCTTTCTGAATATCCATCCTTCAAACCTCCCCCGCCCATCGTGAGATGCTGCGTATTTGCCTCGTAAACTTGGCCTCGCAGCCCACGCTACCTCGTCGGAAGAGCCCTGCGCTTTGATCCAGGGAGCCGTGTGTACATATGTGCATGTGTGCTTTCAAAGCCGCCTCCATCCATCCATCCATCCATCCATCCACCCATCCGTCCGCCTCTCATCACCTCCTGCCCGTCAGGCCGGGCGCAGCGTTGAACCGCTCCTCGCGCTCCGTCATGAACATGATCTGGATCCAGTACTCCTTGGAGTCGCGGTCCCAGTAGTCGAAGACCTTGCCGTCGCGCTTGTCGAGCTCGCGGGCGGGGATCTTGAAGCCGCACGTCTCGTAGGGCTCGGCGGCGACGAGCAGGTACTGGAAGTTCTTGTCGGGCTCCTCGACGCGCTGGCTGTAGGCGCTCATGACCTGCCAGCGGGGCTGCGCCTCGGGCGCCACGTCCGGGTACTGCAGCTGGAAGAGCAGGCCCTGCTGGCGCGTGACGGGGTCGCGCACCTTGGTGATCTTGTAGCCCGGGCGGCCGATCTTGACGACGGGCCGGCCGCGGGCGCCGCCGCCGAGGCCCAGCGCGCCGAAGCCGGCGCCCACGACGCCGACGGGCAGGCCCGTGGCCGGGTCGACGTCGCGGCGCGCGCCCTCCTTGGCCTCCTTGGCGGCGCGGCGCGCGAGGTTGGTCTGGTGCTTCTTGCCCTGCGTGTGGGCGAGGTAGGAGCCGTCGTTCTGGTGCACCGTCAGGCAGAGGCGGCACTCGAAGGAGCCGACGTGGTTGCGGAAGAAGTAGGGGTCCTTGTCGAGGTCGATGGTCTCGAGGGCCAGCTTGCGCAGCCGCTCGCGGCGGTCGGCGTTGGTGGCCGACTGCGAGGCCACGCCGCCGCCGCCGAACTTGGAGCCCGCGCGGTTCTGGTAGTCCATTTGTGTCGTTGAGGCGAGGGCGGGTTTTGGGTTTCGAGGTTTGGGGGCGTGTTGGAAGCGAGGGTGAGAGGATGGGTTCGGTGGCTGAAGAGGTGGTGATCTGGTCGGCTCAAGAGGCTGGGGGCGCGAGGAGTGGATTCGTGGCGGAAGGATATGGCCAGCTAGATACAAGATATGAGACGAATTACAGCTTGTTCAGGCGGAAAAGGTTGCGATGGCTCTCGCCGAGAAGTCTGTCAGTAATGCGCGAAAGGCTCAGTCTTGGTAGCGCCAGACTTGGGATCTTGGAAAAGCTGATCGGTGATAAGATAGCGCGACCAGTCCCAGCCAATCACGTGTTGACAATCGGAGCTCAACCGGACACGACTTTGGCAAGAAAGCGAGTTCGCATGGAATAGAGGGCGGATTCGTCAATGAATGTGTCCCTAATGTATTGTAAAGGAGTGAACAATGGGTGCTCTTACTGGTCTTCTTTTGACTTTCCAATTTACTCGAGCCAAACTTTGTTTTATGCTTGGTTTGATCGAGGAAGCAATAAAACAGAGAAATATCGGCAAAAACTGCTTTGATAGCTGTATCGGAATATGCAAACCAGTTATCTAGCATAAAATTAATATCTTGTCTCTGCCAGTCCAGTAATTTGATCTGGTTTTGTCCACCTCGGATCTCATGGCGCGCTGGCAGATTCCTCCAGCCAGACGATTACGGGTAACAACGGCAAGTTCAGTGTCTGGCGATATAGATGTCTCTCTCTGAAGAATCGAAACCATACACCGAGGCCCTTACCTAGCACCGTGGTAGGCGATTACCAGAATAGAGCTGATGCGCATGCAAGAATGTTCACCTATCTACATCCCCTCTACATCCAAGTTCTTAAGTGAGCTTCTTTTATGAAAGTATGAGAGGTCATGATGAACAACCAAGTCAAAACCAACTTAAAGTCGTTTGGTGCCGCTGCGCCTTAGAAACAGAACAACTCTCGCAAGCTCCAATACAATTGAGTGGAACTATTAGACGGTATCTCATTGACTTTTGCGTGCGTTGAGGGCTAGATCATCCTTCAAGGCTGACATTCGCCGAGCTCCACCAGAGTTGGGCCAAGTTGACGGAGAATCGCGGCCGACAAAGTCCGACCCGAAAAGATCCAAGGATCCTGCAGGACAGGCAGTAGCGCAATTCCTATCGATCTGACACATCCCTATGAAATCTCACCAGTAATTATTAAAAACAATACCAAGAGACCGACCGACGAGCCAAAGCAAGAACACTCTCTCGCTCACCATGGCTGCAGTTCACGTTGTTTCGAAGCTGGATAACTCTGAACATGCTGTTTGCAAGATCACAAGCGATAATTCAGTGCTTGCTCCCTCTTCGGTTCGAGCGCAGTCATTGCTTATCTCGCTGACCTCCAACAATCTCACCTACGCCCGCAACGGAGGGCGACTGCATTGGTGGGATGTCTACCCAGTGCCGCCCGATGCCCCGGCGCCTTTCAACAACCGGCAGGAATGGGGCATCGTGCCGGCATGGGGATATGCCCGTGTTGTCGAGAGTACGGTCGATGCCATTGCCAAAGGTTCTCTCCTCTACGGCATGTGGCCGACGTCAGTGCATTTCGTCGACCTCCAGCTACGACGGTCTGAGCCTGCAGGGCATTGGATCGAATGTAGCCCGCACCGGGACCAGCTCATGACGGCCTACAACCACTACGAGGAAGCGTCTCCCACCGATCCATTGGAATTGCAGATGACGGCTCTTTGCAAACCACTGTCGGGCGGTCCATCGCTGCTCAACTCCAGTGTCTTCTCAGCCCAGCGACTTCACCCTTTCGGGACAGGCGCTCCGTGGTCCGAGGAAGATGCTGACTTGTCCTCGGCTGTGGTCATCAGCCTTTCGGCCTCGAGCAAGACCGGGAGAAGCTTCTTCTGGGAGCTTGCACGCAACCGGGACACGGCGTCGAGCGGCCCTTTGGCCCTTTTGCAGTTGACCTCTGCACCCGAAACGCTTCCTCAGTATGAAACCACTCTTCCCGTCAAATCGATGTTCTACGGCGACCTCGATTCCGTATCATGGGCACAGCGTTTTCAGCCCTCACGCATAGTGATTCTTGACTTTGGTGCTCCTGACGCAGTCCTTGAATCCGTACGGTCCTCATCATCCAAGATCGCTGCCTCTGTGACAGTCATAAGTATTGGGTACGAGGCCAAGGTGTACAAGCCTGAGGAACTACAGGCACGCATGGCTACCAACAGCTCAAAGGTACAGCTCAATACGAGTGGACTGCGCGACCAAGCCGTCAAACTCGTGGGGGCAGACAACTACTTTCAGAGGCTGGACACGGATTGGAAACGATGGCTTGAGGAGAAGGCATATGGCGACCTACAGGCAAAGGTGATGAGCGGTGTTGAGGGAAGACAGGGAATCGAGGGAGCTTGGAGTGACTTGTGTCAGCGCAGAGTTCCGGCAAACGTGGGCATGATCGTCGACTTGTCGAAGTAGGGTGGGTGTATGGCGCTTTTACATTTCCCCTCATTTAATCTTTGATCGATCTCTACGTTAGTGTTCGATCTGGGATAGAGTTATTCCTTGATAAGATCCACTGAGCTCACTTAGCCGTGACACTTACTATCCTTAACCTTCAACATCATGAATCCATACGTAGGCAACCCAACCGAGCATGGAACAAGAACCTGGGCAAAGCTACAATGGGACTCAACATCGCTTGACGTAAGTTTCTGTGTAGTCCCTCGATACTTCCTAGACTGGCTCGGTGCCCTCGGGTGAAGTTTGGTCGCTGCTCATTGTGCACTTGAAAAGCGGGAGAGGAGATGATTCGGCGGGCTTCCTGACTCATCAGCGACCGAGTGACCGTGCCATGGTTGAGGAAGCCATCGAGCTTATGCTTGACGCAAACCAGGCTGGGAAAGATCCCTTGGCACGACGGATGGTTGCCCTTCTCCATTGCTTCTTGGATATCGAGGCGGCCGCTCTCCAGTCTTAGAGGGGGAGGGATGTGATGGTCCCGTGGGCGACCAGGATCTATGTTTGCGGCTTACCATACCCTCTGTTGGTGAGGCCACCATCATGACCAAAGGTGTGGAGCTACATTCATCGCAACAACCAGGAGAGATTGCTTCTTGATAGTTGACGAACAAACACCTCCAACCCGACCTCCAGATCGGTGGTCAAGGCCGTATACCTCGACAGAGTCACTAGAGGCACGGGTATCTACATGTATTGATGACACGGACCAGCTGCATCGTGACACCGGTTTGACAAGGTCAGCCAGTCGCGATCCTCACTGATCACGGCGCGAACGCTGAAGCTGCATCGAGTCACCCCCTGTTCCCGGACGTCTCGGCATTCCCAGACCCACAGCTTGAGCTTAGCATCCCAGAGCTTTTCTTGCCTGGTGAAGAGGGTGTCATGACCAGTGGTGCTAGTGAGGGTGACTTCTTCGAGGTATTATTAGGGGTAGGGAATGCCATGTAGAAGACACGCCCTGACACGACGTCTTACCCGCCCTGGCAGGCGCCGAGAATTGGTCATACAGCTACTACGCCGAAAGCAGGCAGGAGATTCTTCACGCTGTGTGGCTGTGTGCTCTGCTTGGCTGCGTGTCCTTGCTGGCAGCAGAAGCCGGATGTCGTCCTCACAAGCAAAGCACCGGGCAAGCCCGCGGATTGGGGGCGCAACGGCTGTTCTTGGGCTCGTCGTCGACTCCGGGTGCATGCGGTCCCGACTCTCGGGTTGCGCGATATCCAGAGACGACTCTCTACGCGGCTTATCGCCAAGATGTCGTCTGCTTATGTTGTCCAATACGCCCGAAAGATTCAGGGGAACAGGCGTTCGTGAGACGGAAGCGGTGTCACCCACAAAACAAGCCACCCGCACACACACATGCAAGCCGACCGAGCGGGATGCGGGAAGAAGATGCGGAACGTCGCTGGGAAATTCCACTATGGGGAATGCCAAAAGTGGACGAGGATGACTTGGAGGAGTCAGGATGATGGAGAGGAAATAAGCTTACTGGATGACAACTGGTGAGAGATGACCCCTGATGATGGTTGGCAGGCCACACCGGATTTAGGCTTAATCGAGGCGTGCTCACTAAAATTGGACCAGTCACAAGGCCGTGACAGGTCAGATTAGGGCGCTCGGGGTACCCAAGCCTCCCCGGCCGCCGCCACAATTTTAGGGCTTAGCGGGCCAGTTGTAGGCCCTCGGGGCTTGTGAAGCTGACCAACTAGTGGCAATCTGTCACACATTTGGCGGCGTCTACAGGGCTTATGGCCCACTGAGACCTTTGGCTTGAAATGGATGGGATTCTTCATCCAGCAAACACAGACCAGATCCTCGGATCTTGGCCGATGAGAATGCGATCCAATCCCGTCGACCACCGGCCCTCCATCAGCCATGCCAGCCCTGTCCAACGTGACAACTTCGATTCGACAGGGCTCAGCAACGAGAAGAGGCTGACCAGGCCATGGTTGACTCCATTTCCCAAAATGGACATCGAGACGACTTACACCAGGTGGGTGTATTGTCGATCCATCATGGCAGCATCGCTGCTCACGCTCGCTGATGAGATGAGACTCTTGTCGTCTTGGGACCATGGGGTATAAAGTCCGCCCGCCCGATCCTTCGTGGCGGACTTTTGATACGAGATGGGAATCCCACGATGAATAGGATTGAAAGTCTGAGCACTGAACCAGACCGCATATAAGACGGACCAGGACCAGATGTCCACTCGCTTCCGCGAACTATTTACACCCATATCAATACGAAGACCGACCTGGAGCCTTGACACCATTGTCACAGCACAAGAGCGCAACAGGAACAGCATGTCTGCCCCTGGCCCTGCCGCTCCCAGCGACGCCCCCGAGCTCACTGAACACTCTCCTCTGCTCAACCGTCACGTATCCTTCCGTCCACAGCTGTCGGAACAGCAACCGCCGTCACCCATGTCTGAGGCCGGCACAGCGTCGTCATCAACGGCGGTGCCGCCTGGGACAGACCAGCAGCCCTCACCTGCTCCCACACCTACGCCTACGCCTGCACCTCCACCTACTCCGACTCCTGCCCCAATAGAAACACCTATTCCCGCCCCTTCCCCTGAACCATCTTCCGCGCCAGACATGAACAAGCCCTCCAGCACCCAGCCCTCTTCCTCAGACCATCCCACCTCCAGCATCCCTCCCACACCGGCACAGCGCCTCCCCAAGGCAGACACGAACCTCTCCTGGGGAGGCCCCGCGGGCCTGCACCTGCGCTCCAACAACGACGAGTCCCTGCAGATCTTCCGCCGCGCCCTCGGCATAAACACCCACCTCGGCATGCCCGGCTCCGGCTCCTCGACCTCCCTGTCCCCCGGCGGCGGCGGCGGCGCCTTGGAGTCGGGCCGCCGGCCCACACCCGGCGGCATCTACGCCTCGGTGCTCGACGCCCAGCGCCGCAAGGCCTGGAGCTACGCCGTGCTGTCGGCGCTCATCTACGCCTGCCACTTTGGGCAGATCATCATCGGCGCGGGGCTCACGGCCCTCGGCCCCGCGGCGGGGGAGCACACCCTCGCCATCACGGCCCTGGGCGCCGTCAACACCATCATCGCCGGCGTCCTGGCCCTCATGAAGGGCAACGGCCTGCCCGAGCGCCTGGGCAAGGACAAGGTCGAGTTCAGCCGCCTGCAGGACTGGATCGAAGAGACGGAGGCGCTGCTGGCCGTCGGCGTCATCGGCCGCAACCGCAAGGAGGTGGGGCTGCTCGTCGAGGTCGCGTTCAAGAAGTACAATGCCGCCAAGGCGAGCGTCGACAACAACAGGCCTGAGAACTACGTGCGGCAGATCGCGGAGGGGGACGACGACGGGCGGAAGTCCGGGAGCAGCGGTAGCGACGGCGGGGGCACGGGCAACACGATGGTTAGCTTGAACCTCCCCAAGACGCAGTGAGTCGGGCGGGAGGCGTGTGGCGCCGCTTGTTGTATGATCATGATGTGTGCATTATAGTGGCGTTTGGGTATACCACATTGCACTGGAGTTCGAGCTTGGGCTATTCATTTCTTGCATCGGTTGGCGTTTCATGGCATCATCACACTTCGTGGTTGTGGACAGCATAGCAGCTCGGAGTTTTGATACCTTTAGACTGCATCTCTTGGATTTTATATTTTGGATAGATATAATAAGTTGTCATCAAGATTAAATTGCTTGATGCCATATCTCCGCATATTGCTACCGAGCTTGGTCGCTCCCTACTCCTGTGCTTAGTAGTCTGCCTCGACGCCGAAACGCTCGTAGAAAGTGTCTTTGAGATGGATAGCCCAGCAGGCGTTAGGATCCACAATGGTACAGCCCTCCCTCTCCAGATAGTCAAGTACCTCCTTGTACTCCGGGAGAACCATACAATTGGCTGCCTGCCGCGTGAAAGAGATTTCCTTCAGGGCGGGAAGCTTGGAGGGCCTCTCGAGGGCGAACCACCTGAAGAGGGTCTTGACGGCCCTGAACGATTCTTCATATTCTCTGAGTGGTGTCGGATGCCCCCACCCGACCAGCCGGACAGTTTGGATAGATGCTGGTAGAATATCGACGAGGCAGCTTGTATGCTTTGGCTCTTTATCAAGAGCCTCAAGCCGATCCATCCAGTCCATGTCCTCTCCATCGGTATCATCTCCCCCCCTTCCATCGTCTTCGTACGCGGTCTGGAGTAACATGCTGACGTCCAACTCTAGGACCTCGAGGCATTCGAATCCCGACATATTGGTAAGCGTGGTGCCTGTGGACCAGCAGTTGGACGCCGAGAGGCATAGCTCCCTCAGGTGCTTGCCCGCGACCTGCTGGATCGTGTTCATTGTTTCGCCGAGGTCCCAGGACTGCCCCAGCCACTCGAATTTGTTCTCGTGCGACATGCGGAGGATCTCCAAATTGGGTGTCCGCGACAGCAGACGGACCCATTCGGGCCTTCCCATGACGCTCGCGACCAGCTCGATCTTCTTCAGCTGCGGGCTGTATTTGTCGTGACTGGGACTGAAAGACGCGCCGTTGGCACTGGCAGTTTCGGCAACCATACTACCCATGTAGAACTCGCGCAGGGAGTTCAAGGCCAGGAATGGATCGTATAGTTCAAGGGCGTCGTGCGTGTCGTAGCCTGACCCTTGGTGTGGCGCTATTATGGATAGTCTCGATAAGGACGCTCCTGGATGCGGATGGTCTGCCTCATTCGCGCGACGGAGAACTGCGCCCAGAACGCCGTCTAGGAATTCGTTGTAATGCGCTGCCATATCCCATGCACTCCCCCAGTACCTAGGCAGGGCGAGCTGTCTAACATTGGGAAGCATTGTGAGCAAGACCAGTGTGTCGACGACAGGGGGTAGCTTCTCGGGCAGAGCCTGAGGATCAAGTCCTGCATCGCGAAGATAAGGCCACGTCGATTCCCGGACCAGGCGCATCATGGCGACGTTCTCCGCGAGTCTGTCCAGCACTGATCCACCCTCCAGTGTCTCCATCGGACTAGGATAAGACGCAATCGAGGCGTCGGCCTTAAAGTCAGCGAACCGGATGTAGCGCGCGACGCGGGGGTCTTCAGCTATCCGCTGGAGCAGATCAGCGGCATGCCGGATCTTGATGCCGGAGGCTTCCGTTCGTGAGTCCCATGTCTCTACGCCGTCGACGGACTTGGACTTCGAGTAAGAAAAGTGCTCGTAGCGGTCTCGCATGCGCCTGTGGAACGCGAAGAGAGTGCTCGACACTTGGTAGAGAGCTTTGCACGTCAACGCGATACTTTCCAGACCTTCCGGCAGCAGATCATCGATCACCTGGTGGAGAATCTCCGTAGGTAGGCTGGTGAGCGACATCGTGGAAGCTTTTGGTGCCTCGACAAGTCAACGCGCACCGATGAAGGAGACATGTGAGAGGCATTACTCTCATCTTAAGTAAAGCTGTTGGTTGTTGGCTGTGGGTGCGTTTTATGGAGAGTTCTGGAGCCCTGTCAAGTTTAGGCAACTCTTCACTGCCTAGGCTTTCTGTGAATCGCATTTGCTAAAAGAGTTAGCGAATTGTCCGAGCGTTAACGAGATGGCGTGTTGGAGCTCGACGACTTCCGATTGTAGCCTAGTTGATACGACACGATTATTCCGCAAACTGCGCCAGGTGAAGGCGTGTGCAAAATGAAGGTCGGATTCATTCAAGATGGCTATTCCTGTGCCTGGGCATTTGGCATATCAATCCGAGCGAGCAATTCGGTCTCTTCAATTCCATACTAATAGAGAAGGGCATCACGGCACGTGTGCTGTAGCCAATTAAGATTGTTGAAGTCGGCTAAACCCTTTCTCTCAGCGACTATCCAACGAGCCTGTTGTATGTGCCAGAGACTTTGGCAATCCCCAGGATAGCACTGACAACCTGTCCCGTCTTGATACACAGGGTGAGGCAACTAAGGCAATTGTGCAGTGTTCCCCCACTTCACACCAACAACCACTTGCCCAATCTTTGGACGCCACGTGTGGAAAGCTCTCCTCTCAGCTGAGGCTGCACTGCCACTCGAACTACAAAAAGCAAGACTATATGAGCTTGAGGCAGGCCTTGCGGAGTGGCATGAGTTGACTTTCTAACATCCCCGCTCTCCATTGCAGTACCTACAGGATCTTTCCTCGCAAATACTTAAGATATTATGTGTACTAAAGAGTGGCACACTGTTTTATATGATTTCGGATGCGAGAGTACACAGTACTGGAAATTTGAGAATTGTTGGCGTCGATACGATGAAGGACATAAAACGACCGAGAAAGTTCAAGATACTACGGATCTTCGGATTCGTTGTCGCAAGAAAGATTGTTCCATATGCTCAAAATACGAAGAAGAAAAAGGTATGAAACCATTCAAGCTTGATTACATAGCTAACATACCCAATAGCGGCTCGAAACTAAAACGACCGGATATAGAGGATATGTTGATGGTTGATGATTTCTTATCATTTGACGGATATGCTGTGGCTTACTTAAAATCGCAAGTGGTTGTGTCACACTCGCCACCTTCAAGGTGTGATGGTGATGCGAGCATAACATAGACTGCATACCATAACACGGCTCGGCAATTGATGGGTAGCGCTTTAGTTTGAAATAGATTTGTGGATTGACCCGGAGACAATGAATAGCTTTACTCGTTTTCCCATCCGCCAGGCATGGAGGCTGGCCTCGCTGCCTCCTCCTCGAGCGCTGCCCAAAAGTGACCTACAAAAGCCTCAATAGCAGGTTCCCATTGAAACCTCCACTCTCCTGGTCTAGGGCCATAAGAAAATGATGCTAACAAAGGCCCTTCTTCACCGGCACATACCAGCTTGCTCCAGTGCCATGCCTGGAGCCAATCGTCCTGCTTGTAGAGATCCCATTCCTGTTCCCCATAGCTCTGTAAATCCACTCCTGCCCTTTGGAGATCCTCCAACCATATATATATAGCTTCCGAAAGTCGACGATGTACATATCTTGATTCCAAAACATCTCCTGACAACATCAGGTCACAGCTAAGTAGTCCGGCGAACAAAGGCGTAACATATGCCCAAGGTTCATGTCCGACTCTGCATATATCTTGAAACGAGATGCCGACAATAATCCACCTCAGAAGCTCCCGCCAATGATGAAATCCATAATTATCAGTATAGTTGCCGAACTTGTCAAAGCTACTCAGGCATTTCTGGAAATATAGCCTGGAGAGCTCATGCAACGAACTCTGAGGATTCTCGCGAATCTGGGCAATGAAACGTATCGAAGAGATGGTGTTGTCATTCATCAAAGCTTTGAGTAGAACTTCTGGGTCGACATATATCCAGTTGATGGACTTGTAGCGATTGTCGTTTGGTCGGTCCGGAAAATTTGAATGAATGTTGGTGATAGCGAAATTTAGGAACTCCTCGTTGGTCCAAATGAAACGATAAAGACTGCTCTTTTTGGATGTTCGATATTTTGGTGAAAACACGTCCTGTATGGCTTCATCGAGTTCTCCCCGAGAGGATAAGAATCGAAATAAGTTCAGCGACATCCCTTGGTCAGCTTCTGATTTGCCCAGGTAGCATAGTGGCGCGATACCGGAGCCTTATTGTTCGTCGACATTTAGCCCTAGCTCTAGTAGCTTCTTGAACAAATCGACATGTCCTCTCCATGATGCATACTAAGTACGATTAGCCTTTTGAATCCGGAGGTTAGAGATCGGTATCCTACATGTAACAAGGTCCATCCGCGCGGATCCCGGTCGTATATTGATGCTTGATTTGAAGCAAGAGCTCGACGGAGGTCTTCGGTTGAGCCCTCGAGACAACAGAGAAAGCTTTCACTGCCATATGGACGAATGGTCCAAGGTTTGAGGCATATGTTCCATCCGCTATACGACTTGCGAACGTGGAGGTCCCAAGCCCTAGGTACGAGCCACATGGGCAGCTGAAGTCGGGCTTCATACACTAGCTGCTTTCTCAGTCTTCTAGTTGTAGAGGATTCTCGTTTGGATGACTGACCTGTGTCTGCTTCATCAGGAGATACGAAGACCTCTGTCATCCTAGATGTGAACCTCCACACCACATTACTATTCTTCCAAGACAGTCCTCTTGCCTTCGCATAATATTTCTCAGGCTGTGGAATGTGGGTGTGTTGATAAGGGTGAAGGGCCTTTCCTGAACGCTGCTCCCTATCTCGCTCCTCTTTCTTGAGAGATTGAATTTCCGAGACAACCAGTGATGTCTGAATTTTCGATAAAGCACTTATGAACGTCAGTACACAAAAGTCTATCGTCACTGGAAAGATGCGGCTTACATCTGATGAGCTTGTTGAGAGAGAGAAAGTAGTTGCAAGGCATTTTGCAACCGCTCCTTGTACGTGCAGATCAAGTCTTTCCTAAGCACGGCCTTTGCCTTAGAAACACCTCTTTTGACCCTTCTCGTTGATTCTAATTGCTGATGGAGATCCTCGACGAGCTTTTCAAGGTTCTGCGCGGCTTGTCGGGCATGCTCAAGGCTTAAGATCGCTAGCCTATCCGCTTGAACAGTCGCTTGGGCTTGATTGTATTGTTTTCCCATCTCCGACAGCATCGGGTATAGTAACTCCAAATGCACCATCAATGCATTGATGCTCTCAGGCACATCTTTCACTTCATTCCACAGTCTTTGAAGTTTCATGACAGTGACGCCGACTTGACCTGCAACTTGTGTAACACTGACCACACTTGCGACGAAGCCCAAGATTTCTGCCATTATGAGCTGAGATAAGCAGGTTCTATTTGGTGAATTCAAGGCGTACTTGCTCGATTGACAAGCGATGTGAACATGCTCTTCACTGAGATGTCCAAATTGATGGTTGAGGCTTTATTCACCAGGTAAGCACTGGCCAAGCTGTAGAGAGTGGATGCCTAAACGCTGACCACCCAAGGCAGATTTGGCCCCTCATGCCGCCAAGGCAGATGTTAGGCTTGTTAAGACAATCTGCTTGGAAGGCTTTGGTTCTTGCAAACCAAAATTTTGATGCACGATCGCGGCATCTCAAGAATGACCAGGCAGGAATTGGGAAGAGTTTACTTGTGAGCTCGCCTTAGTTGGGTATTACGATGGTGGTCTGCTTAGCCTGGAAAGAACTCAATGTCTAATCCCCGGGGATTTAAGCAACTTCCCTGCCTTCCATACATGGGTGACGTTCGAAATATCTTCCAGCAGGGTAATTTCATCAAGAGGATTGCACTCTAGAGCGATAATGTCCGCGGCATAACCCTCCTTCAGCTGTCCGCTCTTCGGTGCCTGCGGTCCGAGAGTCAGCGGGCCAGTCGCGGTGGCCGCCTCGATAGCTTGCAATGGCGTAAGCCCCAGGTCGACCAAGTGCCCGGGCTCCTTTGCACTCTGGCCATGGCTGAGTCCCGTGCCCAACACGCTGAGACCCAGATCAGTCCCGAGAGCCAGTCTGATTCCTTTCTTGATAGCCAGACGGCACGCGCGGGAGTGAGTCTCGGCACACTCGGTCATCTTGGCATAGCTCTTGGGGTCCATCGAATCCCGCCTCTTCAGGCCCTCAAGGATGATCGTCCGCGTCGCCACAAGAATGGCACCGGCGCCGAGCATGGCGTCGGCGCACTCGTCATCGAGGTACATGCCGTGCTCGACCGTGCCGCACCCGGCCTTCAGCGCCGCCATAATCCCCGGCTTGCCATGAGCGTGCGCGGCTACCAGGCGGCCCATGCGCGTCGCCTCCTCGACCATGGCCTCTAGCTCGGCGGCGCAGAACTGTGCCCTGTGCGGGTCGTCGTCGCGGCTGAGCACGCCGCCCGTGGCGAAGACCTTGACCACCCTGGCGCCGCGGCGGATCTGCCGGCGCACGGCGCGGCGGCACTCGTCGACGCCGTCGGCGAGCATGAGCGGGCCGGGGCTGCTCTCGCCTTGCGCGCCGGCCAGGCACGTCATGCAGTTGAGCGGCAGGTCGAAGGCGTCGCCGTGGCCGGCCGTCTGGCTCAGGGCGGAGCCGGCGCCGTAGATGTGCGGAGCGAGGGGCAGGGTGCCGTCCTCGGCGAGGCGGGCGAGCTCGGGCCCGTAGCCGCCGAGGTCGCGCACCGAGGTGAAGCCCGACATGAGGATGTCGCGGCAGCTGCGGGCCAGGCGCGCGCCGTGCATGACGGGGTGCTCCATCAGGAACTTGGAGAACTGGAAGTTTGTCCAGCCGATGAGGTGGACGTGGCAGTCCCACATGCCCGGCATGACGACTGGGACACTTCGATCCGGCCATGCCTTGTATTCGGAAGGGAGGGAGGCTTCTGGACCGACCCAGGCGATCTCATCGTCCTTGACGACAGTAGCTCCATTCTGTATGGGATCGCCCTTTCCCGGTATGAGGACTTTGGCTTTGATGATGAAGCCTTGGCTGGCTTCATCTCTGCCGGCTGCCAAGGAACTTATAATTAACATCCATGCTTTCATCACTTGTCAAAGTTGATCGTACCTTGCTGGTTCAAAGCCACTGTTGCCATCTTGCTTCCCATCCAAAGCTTCGGATGGCACTATGGGGGATGCAAGTCGACAGTTCCTGAAATAGTACTTGGTATGTGTAATACTTTTTGAAAGAGGAAGCATACTGTAATGATAGATGGACTTAGAGGTAAGCTCGAGTTGCGGCCGGACCTAAGATGGTCGCGGAATGGCCGCAACGCCAATTCAGGTAATTAGCTCGGCGCGACAACTTAGACGATTTTCCCCCACTCGAGGCTTCTCTAAAAGAAGTCCACCAATGGGCTTGCACAAAGGCCGAGAAGCTTGACAAGCCTCAAGATAGGACTGCCTGAAATAGAGAAAGGTAGCAGGTTTTGATAATTGTTGACATGGCTCACAGAAACTGTAATGGATTTTCGAACTCCTTGAGAACATCCATTCAGTGATCATTGGATCACCAACTCTGTCGACGAAGATTCAGAGTTCCTCCAAGTATCACGAAATGTGCCTTTAATACTCGGTATTCCAGCCTGCAATCCACTGCCGGACAATATCAGAGGTCAGCTCTCCCTGGTCTCCCGGCGCGGCGTGGCCCGCGCCGTCAATCCCGACAAACACCAGTCTCTTGTCCTTGCTCTGCTTCCAGATGCCCTGGCCATCTCCCCACGTCTTCCACTGGGCCGTCCGGTACTCGGTCTGGCCACTCCACGGTAGTGAATCATAGGACCATATCTGTCCTGGCGTGTTGACAATAAAGTCCTCATTTCCATTGAGAGCCAGGACGGGGATGTTAGACTCGAGGATCCGAGTCATGTGCGGGTACCTTGTCTTGGACAGGGAGGTGCTCAGAGCAAACTGGAAATTGAGATCCAGGTTAACAGCCTGAAAGTGAAAATCGGGCGGGAAGTGCAGCGCCTTGAGAGCCTTGGGCTGGGAAACGTATGTTGAATAGTTGCCTATCGTCTCGTCCCAGCAGAACGGCCGGTTGGTGCAGGGAAGGTGAACTAATAATTCGTTAGCGATACTTTGTGGATCTGACTGCGAATCGAGCATGACCTACTGTTGTATCGGCTTTTATTTCCGGCTTCCTCCTCTGCTTGGTAGAAGGATTCGATCGCGTCCTCGCAGTACATTCTGGCCGCGAGGCAGATATAGCCGTCGTTTGTTCGCCGACAGTCTCGCCCCAGCTGTTCGCACTCGGGCATTGCTGCCGAAATCTTGTCGCAAACAGTCTCATTGAAGATCTGGCCGCGGAAGTTGGAGCAGAGAAGCTCCCATGCCCCAACTGCAGGAGCTGTCATGTCGAATATCGCATTGATAAGGATGATGGAGCTGATGTCTCCATTGTAGGCGTCTCGTGAGTTTCTGGCACGATCCGCAAGGACGTGGTCGACAAAGGTTGGCACATAGTGGCCTCCGTAGCTTTCTCCAGCGATATGGAGTGGTAGCTTAGCACGGTCCGGGAAGATCTGTGCAAAGAATGTATTGAAGAAGAAGGCAAGATCGACGGCAGCCTCCTCATCCGTGCTTGGGTAGGGAGCTCCCTTGGTAACAGATGAGAAGCCCGTCCCAGCCGGCTGGTCTATGAACAGGACCGAGGCATTGTTGTTCCAACTGTGAGGATTTGGGACCGTGCCACTACTGTCTTTTGTGACGGAACAAGGCCCCATTTCTGTGAATAGCCCCATCATCGACGATCCTCCTGGGCCGCTTAGGGGGTTGTTAGTATGAGTGGTTCACAGATTTGGGCAGGAATAGTGTCTTTCACCCATTGAGCCATAGGATGACGGGATCATTCTCAGGATCATTGCGACTGTCGAAGAACCAGTAGAAGAGGCGTCGCTGGTCCGTGACGTCTACAGTACCAGCCCACTGTCGCTCGCCATACGTCTTGCAGATCTCTCCGTCTTGCTCATGCTTGGTATACTCTCCGGCTTTGAAAAACTCGGTGGGTTGATAGTTGTTTGTATTCAGGGAAATCTGCTGTTCAGCAAAGCTCCGGCCAGCGAGGTAGGCCTGCCGTAGATCTGCGCCACGCGGCACGACGAGGAATGCTGTAGTATGCCGTGTCCAGGCGAGACAGAGGAGCAAGGAAACGAGCATCTGACGAGCAGCCATTGTGCAGGCAGATAAGGGACGAGGCTGAGAGGACTGGGGTGAAGGTGCCAAGTAAAGGCGGTAATCGTAACGCAGAGAAGCCTAGGTATGTATGTCCGGCGCGGGCGAAGCTTTTCACATCCATAGAGATAAGTAGGCAGACTGTTAATCCAACATCCCTCGCTAAGCCCGATAGGGTATGTGGGAGTGCGTCTGCGTGAACCCCCACCTGGTTGCGGCAAGCAGTGGGAAGTTGGCGATTGACATACATTGGACATGATTGTTACTGAACACTCTGTTGACCCCGAAATGGAGAAGGCAAAGATGCAAAAGGCATGAGTTGATAAACATGTTATCCCAACATTAAGCTCCCATTCGGTAGATAAATCACTCCTCAGGCATCGTTCTCATCTCCGCGGAACCGCTTCCCCTTGAGCAGCCACGGCATATCATCCGTCACGCCCTTGATCTCGTTCCCGCACCACTCGTTCTTCCCGCCCGCCGCCAGCGCCTTGCTGTACCCTCCCTCGGGCACGTCGTTGCCCTCGCCGGCGCCCTCCCCCCACAGGTACAGCGGGTCGACGGTGCCCAGGTTGATCGAGTAGTAGTCGCCGCCGGACCGGCCCTCCTGCGTCCAGTAGATCTGGCTGCCGCAGCCGGCGCAGAAGCCGCGCTTGCCCGTCGCCGAGGCCTTGTAGTGCCGGAGGAGGTCGTCGGTTCTGTCGCCGACGAAGCGGAAGGTGCTGCCGGTCGAGGCCGGGCCGACGCCGTGCCAGGGCATGAAGAAGCTGCCCGTCTGGCGGCGGCACTGGGTGCACTGGCAGGAGCCGGACTGTGGTGGTATAAATGTTAGCATGCCGTTGGAGATTCTCTAGATAAAGTATATGCAGCTTACGCGCTTGAGAAAGTCGTGCTTGTCGACATCAAAATCGACGCGATATCTCAGCCCGCCGCAGAGGCAGCCGCCCTCGATGAATTTGGGCTTGGGAAAGTCTTCGTTGGTGGACATTGTGAGAAGCAGATGTCTGTTGAGAGGGTGTTTTGTACAGTCAAACGAGAGGACATGAAGTGAGTACAGCTGTCATACCAGAACAGTATTGCTTATTTCAGTCGTATACGTCTGATTTATGGCCCAAATACCGAGAGCTTGCTCTTTCGCCTCATGTAAACCCCGCGCCCTTCGCTCGACAATGACGATCGAGTGTGTCGCAATTCTCCAGCTTCCTCGTTGTGGTAGGCTACCTCCCGAACTGGAGTGCCTTAGTTCCCGTTTTTAGCGTGCTCGGCGCCCTGTTCAGTGGCTTGCTGGGTGGAAGCTTGCTGGAGCTGGCCTATGACATCAGCCCCTGGAGAGACTGGACGCTGGATGGATGAATTGTTGATGCAAGCTGACAGCTCGAGCTCTCAAAGCCGGCATAGCTTGGCTCGGCATGTTGCCACGAAAGTCACAACGGATCTCAGTACGAAAAGTAGGGAAGGTCAAAGGTACCGCGGTGCATCGGATATGATTTGCGCTTCGACACATTAAGCATCACGCCCTTCACCAAGCAGCAGCAAGTACCAGCAGCGAGAAGCAATGCGTCGTCCCAAACAGGAGAGCCAATATCTTGACATATGGCGATTCTCATCCTTGAACCACCATCACAGAAAACGCCGATCCTTCCTTCCACACAGCCCCTTTCCCCCGTCCCTCCTCACAATTCCCAATCAATCAAAACCCCCGATCACCAACCGGCTTGCTCTTGCCCGTCACATCCAGGCCCATCTTGCCGCAGGGCCCCACCTCGGCGCGGAAGAAGTCCTTGAACAGCTCGTCAATGTCCTCGGGCTTGACGTGGCCCTCGGTCACGACGCGCAGCGTCTCCCCGCGGATCGCCTCCCAGATGCGGTTGAACACGAAGCCGTTGTACTGCACGTGCGGCGGCAGCACGATGGGCCGCAGCTGCACGCCCGCCATCTGCGCCTCGAGGAAGGGGAAGACCTCGGGCGCCGTGGCGCCCGAGGACATGAGCTCGACGAAGCGGTGGTAGGGCGACATGTAGTAGTAGTAGGTGCTCAGCAGGCGGTGCGGGCTGGCGACGCCGCCCTCGCCGACCATCTCGGCGGTGCGGTAGCTGCTCGAGTTGGACGCCAGCAGGCAGTCGTCCGGCACGAGGCGCTCGACCTCGCCCAGGATCTTGCGCTTGAGCGCCAGGTCCTCGGGCACGGCCTCGACGGCCATCCAGGGCCGCAGGTGCAGGTTGGTCGCGGACGCGCTCAGCGCCGCGGCCAGGTCGCCCGACACGGTGGTGACGTGGCCCGGGTGCGTGCCCTGCTCGACGCACCAGTCCGTCAGCTGGTCGCCGATGTACTCGACGGCCGACAGCAGGGCCGGCTCCGAGATGTCGTGCAGGACGACGGGGCGGCCCGTCGAGGCCCAGATGGTGGCCATCCGGCGGCCCAGGTTGCCCGCGCCGATGATGAGCACGGGTCGCTTCTCTGCCTCCTCCGGCGTGGGCGGCGTCCAGCTGACTGGCGTGGTGGATATCCGGCGGATGTTGGCGATGGGCGAGGTGAGCAGTGGTGAGGGGAGGTTAGGTAGGCGTGCCGATGCCGGAGCGCTGGATCGGGTGAGAGTAAAGGTCCTGCGAGGAGCTGTGTGTATCCTGGCGCGTTGTTGCAGAGCGGCCATCCTGGGAATGCGTATTACTCGAGTGGTGATAGCTGCAGAGACGACCCTCGCCGTCTGCAGAGCTGCGCCGGCCTCGAAGGCAGAGAGGCCCGTGGCGGCCAGCTGGCTGGACGCGATGGGCAGCATCATGATGAGTGCGAGCGTGATACAGGTAGGTTTGTGATATGGATCAATGCGAATAAATGTGGATGTTTTTCGTTTCCAAGGTACAAAATAATCTTCTAAGGCATGCAAGTCTGTATGATACTGGCTCGAGAGCACAATGGGAGGACCCGGATGTGTGTGCAGCGCAGTGTTTATGGCTCAGAAGCTGTCCTGTTTGGGTGTTTGGGGAAGAAGGTGGTCTGATTCCGGGGCATCAGATGAATGGGGTGCCGCCCCGCTGTAGAATACTTGGTGCACTAACACATCTTGGTGGAGGTTACGGGACTACGCGATAAGGGCGCTTGTCTTGCAGGCCAGAGTCCCGGTCCCCCGAGGCTTGGCATCTCAGCTCTGGCCCCGTTTCTCGGTTCCAGCCGGCCGTTGCCTTCACCTCACCTGTCACGTCACGCACTGCGCAGGCACGTAGGTAGGTAATACTGTCACACATCATCTGGAGACTTGCACTGGCACGCGATCTTCTGGGACTCCTGCGGAACTGCAGTGACGAATTCATGCATTGAAATAACTGACTCGGGCTCATCTATGCAGCGGTAGATCCCACCTCTGCGGTGGATGCTGGATTGTTGATCGTCGCCAGACTGCCCTCCTCGTATCCCGTCTCCCCATCGAGTACAACCTGTTCAAGAAGCAAGATAAATGTAGCTAGTAATTCATGGCGGTTGAAGTTGCAGTCGATCCGATTTTAGATCTCGAGCTCAGACTGGAGAACCAGATCGTGTCCCTCATCCTCCGACTGGTCAGCAGCCTGCTCCTCGACCTCGATCACCTCCTTGACCTCCTGCTTCTTAGCCGCCTTTCTGGCGCGCTTCTTGGGGGTCGCAGAGGCCTCGCCGTCGTCGTCCTTCTTGGCCTTGCGCTTCGGGGTGGCCTTGGCCTTCGGGGTAGCAGGGGCCGGGGCAGTTCCGTCGCCGTTGTCGGCCATCAGAGCCTTGAGCTTCTTGATAATGGGACCCGTGGAGACTCGTGCAGACTCCGGGGTAGAATAGCCACCATGATAGGCGAGCTTGTCCTTGTCGACCTGTTTGAGAGCAGAATCAAATATTAGCTCTGAACACTATCCAACCAGAAGGTGACGGCGACGATGGAGAGGGAAAGAAAATGGCATGAAATTGTGATGGAGATGGCGAAAGATGATCTACTTACCGCAAAATCTCCATCCTTGAGAGAGAGGAGGCAAGCAGTGGCGATCCTGAGCTCGTTCTCAGTCAGACCGTGGCGGTTCTTCTTGTCCACCTCGCCAGCGGCGGCGGCGGTGGCCTTCTTCGGAGTGGCAGACATCTCGGATTGGTTTGGGTGATGGAAGAACGATGATTATGTGATGAGGTTGTGAAGAATGAGGCTGCAGGATGGAAGAGAACAGTGCTGTTAGCTATTCTCAGGAGTGGTTAGAGAGAGCGTAGAGGGGGTTGGAAGTTCCAGGGTGGTAAGGAGGAAAGGGACAGCTGAAGGTGTGTGTGGTGTTGAGAGATGGAATAAGGTACGAGACTAAAGTCCAGTCACTTCAGGAGAATGACTACAAAGTGATTGTTGCCTGTTGTTAAAGTGACGAGAAAGTGATAGGAGCCTTGACTATGACGAGGAGATTGTTTTCTGATTTGCGAAAGGCAGCAGGAAGAGAGGAGAGGCGATCTCTGGATTGCCTGCAACTTGTTGTTTTTGGACTCATCCCATATCTGATAGAATCGCTGGCCACCACCAAAGTTTGCCAGCCATCAGAAGCTCTGCTGGAAATTGGTACAATCACATTGTTGAACCCACTCCCAAAACACCCCCTCACTTTGGTATTATTCTTTCTCTGGAATCTCACTCGCTGAGTTTACCTTCAGTAATCCTAGACATCAGCATGATTTTCAGCAGCACCTTGCCTGCCTTCAATCTCTTTGTTTGCACCCCACTAAACGCTGGCCCAAATTTCCCTTCTGATTCTGCATTATGGTTGAAGCCTCCGGCAGGAAGTCTCTGCATTCAGATGAGGGAATGTATTCATATCCCTCGAGTATTCATAGTCAGTCGCCAACTGTTCTGCCGGCCCCATCATGTCAGGAACCCATTGTGCCGTCCGTTCCCGCCGTACTGTCGTCTCATATCTGGCTGTCAGACACCGCGAGAAGTGGATGAGAAATCGCACCCACCTCCTCTGATCTTCATCCTGTTCGCCTTTTTATGCTCAACGGCCCGGTCTCCCTTACCGGTGTTTGCTCAGCACAAGCCCCTGCTTCCAACATGAAAGGTATCGCGCTCAGGGCCACTGTCCAAGGCACAGTCTTTTCACCGAAGACGACAGAGATATGCTCCTTCATTTGTCTCCCAGCTAACACACTGTAAAAACACAGCTCTGCCTTATCTCCAGTCCTGAATATGCGCAGGGCCGTATTGATCGACCCCTTTTTTGTCTTCCGGGCCACGATGCGGGCAAGTGGGGAGGGAGGGACTACGGCGTGTCGATGATGTAGCCATCGGAGGTGGACAGCATTCAGCCCTTCAATTTAGCGAGTGACTTTATCGAAGACTTTTGTGAAGTGCTTGAAATTGGAGCTGCCATCCAGACACTCGCGTGAAGACGATGCTGCGGACGAGTTTGCGAGCAGGAATGCAAGGCCGAGGATGGCTAACAGGTGGAGGCCAGCCGCGGTATTGACTCACTGAGGTGGAGGAACCGCATGCGAGACAAGGCAAGTCTGCCTCTCGCACCAACCGGAACACATCCCGGCACCGTCTATGTGCGTTTTGAAAGTTGAGATCTTTATTGAACATGGAATGAGTAGGGCTGTTGGTCTATCTTTACAACGAGATGTTACAAATGTTCCTCCGTCGCCCAAGGCAAGGTAAGTCATTCTCGACTTGTGGGTATCATAATAAAAGCACAGCTCGGGTGCCTAGTTTGAGCAGAAAGGGGCAGGATTTGCATGGGTGATGCGGGAGCAGAAGCAAGTGTCGACACCTCCGTCGGGTTGTGAGTTCCCCAGTGTCCCGTCCCCCGTTTTACTCCAAGATGCGCCTCGCGCCAGCGCCTAGCGGTCAACGTTAAACCGTGCATCGAGAGGCCACGGGTCTTTGGCCTTCGGATCACTAAAACAGAAAGTCAGCATGCTGTTCCATCATCGATCTCGCCCGTATAAACCCACTTCTTGTAATTGTACCCCACGGGGAACCATCTGGACACGAAGTCGCGCACCCACCGCCAGAACCACGAGTCGGCCATTGCGAGCTTTCCCGTGACCCACGCCACTGTTGCCATCTTCTTCGACCGCGGTACGCGTTCACGGGCGTAGGCTTCCAGAGCAGGGCGCAAGTCGTTCTGGTCGGCGGACGATTTGGAGTGCTCCAGCAGCTTGGCCGCAAGCACCGTGGCATCCTCGATGCCAAAGCCAGTTCCTGGTAACGGTTAGCAGTTGCGGAGACGATTGGACTGGACCAAACATACCTTGTCCGCTGCTCGGCAACATCAACCGCGCGGCGTCTCCGATCAACGCCACGTTCCCGTATTGAATCTCTTTAGCCTTCCACACTCGCTGTCGGAGCGGAGTTCGGATGATTTGTTCAGCGTTCTCCAGCAGATTCCCGATTGTTCCAGCAGCAGGGTGAAAGGCGTTCATGTGCTTCTGCAAGATTTCCACGCTGGAGTCGTGGGAATAGGCACTTGGGAGAATCGCCGACTCCCACGGAAACTTTCCTTCTGATTTGGGGGTGTCTACGACGGCTCTGGACGCCGGCGGCGCTTCCTTCTCTGGCAGGACGAGATCCCAACGGATCTTGTCGCCGGGGACAGGGGCGGATGCCAGCATTCCACGATCGAGCCAGATTCCGATGGTTGCCCTCGACGACACGTCCTTGTCGTATGGGAACCCCTTAGAGATACCATAGAAGCCAGTCTGGTGCATGAAATCGGGGAGCCACCGCTTCTCGGCCGTGGCAGGATCCCTCTTATCGAGAATGTACTTGCGCACCATGGAGTACCCGCCGTCAGCGCCGACAAGTAGATCGACGGTGAGATCCGACCCATCCTCAAAGTTGATCTTAGTCGCTCCCTTGTCTTGCTCCTCAAAGCCCTTGATCTTCTTGTCCCACATCGTCTCGCAGCCACGCTCCCTCGCCGCCTTGAGAAGCATGTCCCTGAGTGCACTGCGCTCGATGTTGATTGCGTCGGACTGGAGGCCGTGGCTCCATGTGGGATGGTCAATCGTTCCGTATTCATAATGGGGAGTACTCGAGGCAGTGGGCGACTTCCAGAAGCTGATGATATCTAGAGGTAGGCTGGCAGACTCGACAGCCTCGCGCAGGCCTAGGGCATAAAGCGGATGGAGTCCATTGGGGAAGACTGCGACTGCAGCGCCGAATGAGGCACTCTCTTTCTTCGCTTGGTCTTCTGATGACAAGGTGGACGGGTCTGGCGTCTTGTCCAGGAGGAGGGGGCGGTAGAGCGAGGCCAGCCGGGGGTGTGAGAGGAGCTGGAGAGCAAAGGCGGGACCCGCGATACCCGCCCCGATAATGCCAACGAGCTTTTGAGGGACCGAAGCAGCCATGTCTTTGGTTTTAGGGGTGACAGATCAACAAGAACATCGGCTTGGGTTGTTTCGTTACTTTATATCTTCACGACTCTCTTGTTCCTCGCTGTTCCAGGTGATTCCCTCTTGGAATGCGCCCTGTTGGGATTGGCCCAGCGAATCCGTGGACCCCACAAACGTCCCTGTAAGCTGATTGGCTCGCAATACGCGATACGGATACGGTTTTAGCGCGGTCTCACTGCCAATTGAAGCCAACCAGCCCTGAGCTCACCAAAGGCTTAGCATGACATGGATCCTTCCGCAAGTTGAAGAACCCCCTTGTGCAGTGGTAGGTAAGTTGACCCTGAAGAAGATAATGGCTGACGTAATGGCCCTGCACTTGGAAGCTGTTCGCATCTCATCCTGCCTCTGTGGGCACTTTGCCATATCACCGCTGCACATCTTTGAAGTCGTGAGGGATGTGCTCGACACATCTTACAAACAGTATCAATATACGTTTGCCTTAATAGCCATATTCCGCCGTTTCAGTGACTGTTGCTCTCATTGACCCATCTTCCTGCTGTGTGTGAGAGAGATCTTCCACTCTCCATCTGATGTTCTGTGACATGTTTGGTTTGCGATGGTAAGCCAAGGCAATACTTAGGAGTAGCATCTAGCTGTTTGGGCCTCATTTTCCAACGTAGTTGATTAGCTTTGGGCCTCAGAACTTCCTCAATTATTTTTCGGTCCCTCTAGGCGCCACTATTTATTCGATCTCCAGCCCTTTTTTCGCCGCAAAAGTCCATCCTCTGCGTGGTCCATCCAGTCCAGTCATCGACTCCTCACCCCCTCGAGTCACAAAGACTCCCTCTCTTTTTCCTCACTACATTCTCAGAGGAGAATCACCTTCACCTAATTTCTTGAGCTTGAAATCAGCCTCGACTGCTGGCCCAGTTCTTGTTTATCTTTTCGACCGTGAAAGTACCATCACAGCCTCCAAAATCCCACATCGCCCTGCATCCTGCAACACTTCTTTTCCCTCGCGCAACTCACCTGTCCCATATTGAGGGCACTACGAACTCATTGAGAAACATCACTTCCACATCGCAAATGAATCATTGAACAGCTGCCAACATGTCCCCCCGAACCTATGGCGGCTTGGTCAAGATCGAGTCGGATGCTGCCAACCAACGTGAAGCATTCATAGTTGGGCTCGACTTTGGCACCACGTAAGTCAATGCACAAAGGTTTCGCACATAGTGTAGATCATTAACAGATTTCAGATGCTCGGGAGTTGCCTATGCCTCGACCGGCAATCCTGACCTCATCCAGGTCGTGATTGGTTGGCCCGTCCACGACGGTCCCCGCAATACAGAGGGTGAGAAAACCGCAACGGCCATTCGATATGTCCGCTCCGGAAAGGTCACATCCATCCAATGGGGTGGCACCATTCACGATGATGAGGAAGCTCTTCGCTGGTTCAAGCTGCTGCTGGCAGAACTTGGCAACAAATATCGCAAGGCCGAACATATCCTGCACGTGGAGGACAAGATCGCACGGCTGAACAAACAGCCTGGGCAGGTAATCGCAGACTACCTCGGAAAGCTCTGGGAGAAGGCCATCGAATCCATCGACAATGAGGTTGGATCCTTTGAGAATGCTAGGCTCCATATCGTCATGACCATTCCCGCAATTTGGACTGGCCAGGCTCAGGATGCAATGGAAGCCGCCGCCAGACAAGCCGGGCTCCTCAAGAAGCCTGGCACCAAACTCAGCTTCATTTCTGAGCCGGAGGCCGCTGCCATGGCCACGTTGAGAGACGCGATGGGGAGAGCTGATCTTAGAGTACATCTTTCCCCTCTGACAATGTTTCCGCCCATGAAAAATGCTAACGTTTGTATGATTTAGGTTGGGGATTCTTTCATCGTCGTTGATTGCGGTGGCGGTACCACCGATCTCATCAGCTACAGGATACTGAAACTCGACCCTCTCACCGTGGAGGAGGTCGCTGAGGGTGCCGGTGATGTCTGTGGTGCGAGAGACTGCGATGCCAAATTCGAGGCCGTTCTCAAGCAGAAATTCGGCGAAGACTATTGGGAACGTCTCCCGAAGTCGAACCTCCGGGAGATCATCCGCGATCACTGGGAATTCGGCATGAAACGCATATACGGCCTGGATTCGACCAAGCCATTCTCCATCCCAGTACCGTGGGAGTGCTGGGGTGGTTCACAGAACCCCGTCGGCGACGACCTGCCTATCATCACATTCGAGCGACTTGAAATCGAGGACATCTTCGAGCCGACCTTTACAAAGATCTTGGAGCTGGTCACTGAACAGATCAAGCGCGTTCAGGGCAAGACTCGCACGCCACCGAAGTACATCATGCTGGTCGGTGGCTTTGGTCGCTGCGGACACCTCTTTGAGAGAATGAAGGAGCATGTGTCGACGACCAAGATCAAGGTGCTTCAAGCGAAGCACGCACTGCCGTAAGTTCGGCACCATATGTGGCGTCTTGAAATCCAACTGACATATAATCATAGATGGACTGCAGTTTGTCGAGGCGCAGTCATCCACGGACTGAATCAGCAAAAGACTTCGTCCAAGCAAAAGGTCGCGATCGAATCACGAATTGCCAGGGCCAGCTATGGCATCTGTCAGGACGAGGAACAAGGACGCGGTGCTATGAAGGACTTGGAGTATGATGAGCTGCTGGGGCGCAACATTGCCCGGAACCAAATGAAATGGCTTATACGCAAGGTCAGTAATTCCACTCCCGCCGGGGTTGTGCTTGTCGGCTGACACTTCCAAGGGCAATAAGCTCTCCACCAAGAAGGCCAGCCAGGGCAAATTCAGCATGTGTGTGGCCAAGGACGAGAGGCCGAGTAAGCACAAGATCTACACCTCCAACAAGAGCCCTCCGCCCAAGCGTCGTGATGCAAATGTCCAGGAATTCTGCGTGGTCAGGTTCGACCCGAAGAAGGCCCAAAAGATCATCAACTTTGATGACTTGGACCCCATGACTTCTGAGGATGGCGAGACTTTCTACAACTTGGAGTTCGAGTACGATATGACTTTTCACTGCGGAAAGTTCGAGTTTGCAGTCTTCTACAAAGGCGAAGTCATTGGCCGGGCCGGGGCGACGATGGAATACTAGGAAGAGATGCGGCTTTGATACCTGGGCGCAGGAAGACGGGTGGACTTTTTTGAGAGACGGATACCTGCAAGATACCTAAGGTATCGAGGAAGGGCAACATGCGATGTTTCAGCATGCAGAAACCTCCCAAGGGTGGACTGAGATTGATCTGGCGGCCCATGAACGACATCATTGATGGGAAGGCTTGCTTCCGTTTTACTCTAGCTATTCGTATGCACTGACTTTGATGAATTTGACATAATAAATCTCTGTATTCCCCCCAACTTATGCATGTATGGCTCCTCAAGCGGCATCATAGAAATATTTACTGGCCGTTGCCTGGCTCCATCCGAATCTTCACTCCAGAGCCCTCTCATCTCGTTTACTATTGTTCTGCTTGCCAAAATGGGCATGTCACCTGGACTAAATTTCTCACCCCAGTGACAAAGCTTTCCCCAGGATTCTCCCAACCAAGCGTCTCTTTTATTTGGGTCCGCTTTGTCCAGCAATCACAATCACCTTTCACCTCAGCAGCGTCTCAGAATCCGCTTACCCGAGAGTCTCGTCCCTCTCAACCTTGCCTCTCTGCTGCTCCCAACCTCGAGGATAAATACCTCCCACATCTCCGACTCAAACTTTGCTTCTATTCCATTCAGCACCTAGCACATCACGACAAGTCCGCAGCAACCGACAAAACATCGCCCAAAAGGCTTCCAGCCATGGGACGTCAAAATCCTCAGGTCGAGGACCAAGACAAGCTGAATACCAGACCGATGACTCGATCGATGAAGCGCGAGCACGACCAGGATGAAGATGAGCTTACGATGCCCACCTCCACATCATCAGCTTCATCCAAGCCTTCCACCAAACGACGACGCCCGGACACCACCCCTATCTCACTGAACAATGCTCTCTCTTCCTTCCAAACGGCGCAGTCCTCTTTCCAGGCAGCCCAGGTCACCTACTTAAAAGCGGGAGAGACTCTGGTCAAAGCTGCTCAGCAGGACGATCTAGAACAGCAGCTCAGACTAGCTAAGGAAGATCTCTCCAACCTCCAGAGGGCGAAGTCGGAACAGGAAAGGATGTTTCAGTCCGAAATCGAAGTTCTACGCGGACAGCTGAAAGACAGCAGCAAGATCTCCGTGAGCCAGAAATACCAGGTCACCGAAAGCACCATCGGCCCAAAATGGAACCAGCTCGCTGAGATGATTTGTCAATTCTCACGACAGCTCGACGCCGACGGAATTGACAAGTGTCTTGCCATGTGCCGGATTCTCATTCCTGATACTGATGAAATTCTGTGCAAGTTGCGTGTGGCAAGACGAGCTGTGATCGAGGCTGGCATCTGGAGATTCCTTGTCGAGGAAATTCTTAGACTTGGGTCTGCTCAATGGGCGAGTGCGATTGGAGACGAATTTGAAATGGCTATTCAGAAAGTCAAAGGTATATATATACGCCCGCCGATTCTGACCGATTCTGACTCTTTCTAGACGCTGGCTGGACGGGAAAGCAAGGAAATAGAAAGGCGCTCAATCGCTGGCGTGCCGAAACTGCGATCATGGTCGAGAAGCTCAACGATCGGGATGACAGTATCAAGGCCATCGTTGCCAAGCTTCTCAGAAGACTTTATCCCGACGATTCTGCGCCGGCAACATGTTGCAGCATCGAGGAAGATTTGCGAGGGATCATCAACGTTGCTTATGACTTGGACATGATGCTCCGTATGTCTCAGGCAGAATTCGTCGTGAAGTCTCGTGGAGCCCATCAGAAACTTTCAGGTTTCCCATTCAAGGACTTCCCTATGGTGGAGGAGCCCAATCTTCGCCAGTTCTCTGGTAGGGATGCCTCTGAGAGCCCCGGCATTGTCGATTTGATCATCAGGCCGGCTCTCTTCAAGTGTGGAAACTCCAGAGGAGAGGATTACCACGAGGAGAAGCGCATTGCTCCGATGCAAGTCCTGTGCGACATTGTTGATAGGCGAGAAGAGACGACTTCACCCAAACGGCCTGCGCTGGTCGTTGAGTTGTCCTCCAAGCCTCAGAGCAAGAATGCTACCGATGAGAGCATGGCGTCGATCGTCCAGAAGACCAGCAAGCAACACGAACTGCCAAGCAAGTCTCCCGAGTCTGAGCAGAGCGACACCATGGACAAGGATACTTCGGAAACGGAACAAGATGGAGCACAGTCTTTGCGAACGGCCCCAACCGCGCCATCGGAAGACGAGAACTTGTCGAGCCAGGAGACTGCACTCAGCGCACAGGTAGACTCTACAATTCCGACATCTAGATCGAGTGTCGCTGACGAGGCTCAAGTCAAGATCTCAGGAGACCGAGATAACATCGCCAGCACCGAAGGCAGAAGTGCGAATTCGCCCAAAGACTCCTCCAGAGAAGCTAGCGATGCGTCATCGGCAACAGCTCACGCCCAAGGAAGCCAAGACGAAGATGAAGAGCAAGAGGAAGCACGACTCTCGAGGTCACGGATCTCGAAGACAATCGCGCCAGAACAAGCCAACCCGGAGATCCAGAACATCCAAACAGGCCCAGGAAACGACGAGCAGCCCATTTCAAAATCTCAACCAGGAAATGGGGCGCGAAAATCCAAAGAAGTCCAACCGGGCAGAGAGACGCGCACACCTACGAATGAACAGACCGCTGGAGAGCAGCGTGGCATAGATGGTGCATTCCAGGGAATGTCGGGTGCCGACGGTGATATCAGCATGGGGTCGGATGGGGAGCTAAGGCAGATGATTGCTGAAGAAATTGACGGCTACAGCGGCGAGTCGAAGCACTGGCAGCATGGGGACATAGAGTAATCGGGTATAGCTCCATGGTGAGGATATTGCGCATGGCTGTTTAGGTGGAGATGATAACAGTCACCTTCAAACTCGCGGTGGAGAGGTTATCTCCAAATTTGTCACGATACCGATATTGCAGTAGCCTTGGAGAAGTCTAGATTAGGAAGAATCACAAGACTTGCCGCGAGACATGCTCTGAGAACTTTGTCCACTTGCAACGTCATCGTGGTGGTCCTGGGATTTGTAAGATACCAGAATCATGACAAACGACGTTCTTACTAAATTGCACGCGAAATGCCCTCTCAAAGTTGTTTCCAGGCAGAGCGTCAGTTCCGGCCACTGACCGGACTACGTCCCCCTGATTTTCCTCGGAATGTGGTTGCGAACCCGTCTTACCCGCGCCGAGAATCCACTTTGCTCCATTGACCGTATCAAACTCCGTAGTACACTTGTGTTACAGCAGGTGTCCATGTGTTCATTTAGTCTGGCAAGACATTCAAATGATTAAGAGATGTTACAGAAGAGGTATCATGCTAGACCATCAAAGTTACATATCGCATCAAGCCCGTGGTAATCTCCTTATTCCATTTCAAGTGTGTCGTAAGCCGGGGGTGCGCCTCCCAGGCTCACGAAGGCTGCCTCCCTGGCCCCCTGCAGCTCGGTCCTCGTCTCCTCAAGCCTCTGCTCCTTGACCCGCAAGTCGGCCGCGAGCCCCTGGTGGCGCTCCTTGGCGCTGGCGAACTCGTGCTGCAGCGCTGCCTGGCACCGCTGCACCTCCTCGAGGGAGTCCAAGATCTTGTCGTGGAAGGCTATGTCGGTGAAGATGTTGTCGAACAGGACGTCGCTGATGATGCTGCCCTGCGCGATGTTGACGTCGGGCAGGGGGCCGACCTGCCGCGACAGCTGCTGCGCGCGCGACATGCTCATGCGCGCGTGCTGCACGTGCATCTCGGCCTTGTGCAGGTTCTCGCGCTCCATCATGTCGGCCATGCTGCCGCCGCCAAACATGTCCCAGTGCGACATGCTGCGAGCCTCCTCGCCGTACAGCCGCGCCTTCTCCATGTGCTGCCGCGCCTGGCCAAGCTCCTGCACGACCTGCGCCTCCGTCTCCTCCGCCACACGAGCGTCGTGGTACTCCTGCAGTGCCGCCGCCGCCGCCTGCTCCTTGGCGTCCTCGTCCGGGAAGCCCGGTGTCGGGCCCTGGAAGATGGAGGTGTAGAGCGAGTCGAGCTCCTGCTGCGCCGCGCGGTGGCGCTCGGCGGCCGTCTGCAGCTCGTCCCGGACGGTCTTGGCCTCGGCTAGTAGCCGGTCGAGCTCCTCGCGGCTCTTGCGCTCGCGCTGCTCCTTCTGCAGGGCCTCAAAGTACTCGCGCTCCTCCTTCTCGGCGCGGGCCTCGAACTTCTGGCGGTTGCCCGAGACCTTGAAGGCGAAGCGTTTGACGACGCTGTCGCGGTACTTTTCGTGCTCCTTGAATTCCTTGTTCCTCTTCCATTCACGCTCCTTGAGCTTCTTGTCCGACGCGGTGACCTGGTTGGTGAGGTCGGCGATGTAGCGTTCCTGGCTCTCGAGGTCCGGCGGCGCGTGGTCCGTCTCGCGGAGGGTGGAGAGGAGCTCTGCGTTGCGGGTGGCGGCCTGCTTGATCTGCGTCTGGACGTCGGTCATGCCTGTGTCTGATGGTAGTTTGATTGCGGAAACGTGTCTCGAGTGTGAGAGAGAGTGTGTGTATGGCTATTGTTCTTTCGATCTCGTGAACCTCCCCCGAGGAGTCGTCCAACCATTGCCCATGGCTATATATCTGGCTTTGTCGAGTCGTGGCGACGTCATTGAATGCCTTGCCAAGAGTTCCCCTATCTGGTCCGACCGATGGAGCTGGTTGCCTCCAAGCTGTGCCACTGAAGAGTGCTGGCCCGGCGAATCGCCACGGTCGGCTCGTCGGGATACAAAGCCCCCGCCCTATCAATAGCCCTGGAGGGATTCGTTTGCTGCGACTCACCACCCGTAATACCCACTATGGGTAGCCTAAACGCCTTAAGCTCACCCAGGGCCCCACCGAAGCTCCCCGGATTCTTGGTGTAAATGGATGCATCCGTGTGGCACATTAGGTGCACAGCCAGAGAGGAACGACAATCTTCACTCTACAGTGATGCTCTTCAGTGATGCACAACCTGTCGCAAATGTCGCAAAGGAACAGGATCAGCCGGTGGGCTCCCTCACAGTCCTTGCTACAGCACTCGGCCTTCTTCGTCACCAGATATGAGGGCGGTATCACGATGGAGGCGTAAAAAGGCAAGTCGAAGTGGGCCTTCAATAGATGACAGAATATCCCGACGCCCGTACACCGAAGTCGGGTCTGCTAGTGGGGTATTGTGCTCCGGCATCCGCCATGGCTCCTCGTAGTGGCGGTCATCATCAAAAAATGGCATGGCCATTGCCCTGTAGCCCATCCAGACAGGACTATGCCAGGAGAGCTGGGAGAGAGGTGCTTGAAGCCTTGTCCATAGCTGAGACGGCTGAGGATCGCACGGCTGTGAGTCGAGCCTACTGCTGCGAAAGAGAGCCGGGCCCGGGAAGGGGAGGATAGGGCCAGGAAATATTATAGCCCTTCCTTGCACTGTTGACACATCTATGTACTGTCTCAGCGACTCTAACTGTAGGAGAAACGCTCCTCGGCCGGACCTAACGAGGCGATCGGTGAGTTCCATTCCAAATCCGGACAGGCAAGAACAAGCATTCGCCAAGTTGGACTGCAATATATCTGGTGTGTCCGGAAGTATCCCTATCTTCTCGAGGCATGGCATTGGGATACATCGTGCGCCTAACCCTTGGATAATCGAGGAGAAATATCCCTGGACAGAGAGGAGTACATCTCCCCTCCAGGCGCTCTGAGAATTATCCGCCGTTTCGTCAAAGAACGATGGGCCCTCCCAGTCCCAAGCTCCAAGGGCCTGGCGGTTGAATATAGAAATCTGGACAGCCACCGAAGGCACGTCGAGGCCTGGTTGAGGGGCGTGAAGGACCTGGTGCTGTCGGAGAACCATAGCTTGAGCGCCGGGCCGGCGAAATTGGCTATGGTTCAGTCGGCATATCAGCTCGCGCCTCAAAAAGGCCCAGATCAGCCTATGGCGCTCTTCATTCGAAATTGTAGCCAAGGATGCCTTGCCACGTTGACGCCCCCGACATTGGTCGAGGAGCGAGTCGAGACCTTCATCTAGGTATGACGAATCTGCCCAGGGAGGGACTTGGAGATAGGCGCAGCAGATATCGGAGCTGGTAGACTTGGCCAGATAGTCGTTTATGTAACTGTATAACTTCCTCGAGAATGCGTCCAGCTTCAGTATTGTCTTTGCCCCGTATGCGGACAGTGTATTCGAAAACGATTTCGTTGCCCATTGGTCCATATGATTTTCGATCCTTGCGACAGGTGAACCGGCATGAGAAATGCCTGTATTAGATGCCGGGAATGCTAAAACTGCCATCGCATCCTGCAGATGATCGCCGGGAAGTTCGCGGGCCAGGAGGACTCGGAGGATGTGTATTTTGGATGCGCTGGCCTGATGCATCAGGCTGGGCGAGGCGCGGATCGCAGACCGGATATCTTGGCGGGACTCCAAAGAGCAAAGAATGCTTTCCAGAACTTCGAAGGGGGGCCTGCGAAATGGATCCATGGCTGTTTAATCTGTAAATCCGTGGGTCATATGCTTTTTCTCTATCTCTTTACTTGCTAGGAAGTCTGTTGAATATTAAGGAAGACGAAAGAGCGTGGGGGACAGACAAGCTGGGGCAGAGGCTTGGGTTTGTTCAAGCACTGCGCAGATTACCTATCTTGGTAGCCGATCTACCTCATAACAGACTCCCCTTGGATGGCAACATTCCGGTCCGAACCAAACGCAGTCCTGGGCTGGTTTCTAAAACCTGACATACGGCACCCACAGGTGTTGATCTAGAATGACTCATGAGACAAGGACAAGTTGATCCTTCAGTAAATTATGCTGGCTACTTTCTACTGAGGTCTATCGCTGAGTATGAAGACGACGCTCCCAGTAACACCAACAGGTTGTGGTAGCGAAAGGCTTACCCCAGCCCAAGACGAGACCCGCGAAACCCGGCATTGCTGCAAATCAACCCAGGCAACCCATAAAAGAGGAACGCCAGTTCTCCGATCCCCACAGTACCCCGGGCTCTCCTCTCAAACTCACTCGCCGTGGTTCAGAAGCCATTCTCCGATCCCCACAGTACCCCGGCCTCTCTTCTCAAACTCACTCCGGCCTCTCTTCTCAAACTCACTCGCCGTGGTTCAGAAGCCACTTGCGGTTGTGCACCTTGAACCTCCGTCCGTCCTCTGCACATTTGTAGACCAGGCCCTCGGCATTCAGCGCCTCAGCGCGGTTGCTCAAGCCCTGGTGGTTGAAAGCAATCGATCGGATCTTGAAGTCACCGCGGACGGGGACATGCTTGCAGTTCAGCTGGGCGGCAAGCTGCACGGTGCGGTCGGGCGCCCAGTATTTCTTGGTGTCGATGTCCCAGACATCGAAGATGAAGAAGTCGTGCTCGCCGTCAGGGAACTTCTCGCGGTTGCCATTGATGGTGGAGCCACAGAGCTCGCCCTGGATGGCGATGTTCTGGCCCAGGTTGTGGAGCTGCTGGGGCAGATTGTACTTGATTGCGGCCTGCCAGTAGAGCGAGTCCTTGTTCTCGGCAATCTCCTTGCGGTGGGAGCACACTCCGATGCGGCCTTTGGTGCCCTCGGTGAAGGAGTTGCCCGGGCGGGCCGGGTTGCAGGAGCGGTAGGCAGGCTGGTTCTTGCCGATGAAGTAGACAGTCATGGAGCAGCCGTCAAGCTTGACCGACTCTTGGTAGAGCCGTTGAAAGTACTTGGACTTGGTAAATAAATTGGGGCAGTTGGCATGACGCTCAATGGAAGTCTTGCGAATGAAGGGTGGCATCGCTCCGAGGCACTCGTCGCTCAGAAACGCCGCCTCCCACTTGGCCACAGACAGACGTGCCGCGAAGCAGAAGAGACCAATGTCCATGACCGCGACGTCTTCCTCTCCATTGTAGTAGTCGACAAGATCACGAAAGGTCTTGGTGACCTCGGGAAAGTCCTCGAGGGAAAAGACTTTACCCTGAGAGATTTCCTGACCCACAAGCTGCGAGGTGACGCGGTAGCCTTTGACACCCATGTACTCCATGGGAGGCGCACCACCAAAACCTTGCGTGAACATGGGATTGTTGGCCGGCAGGAAACAGTCCGGCTCGCAGAAGAGCACGATGCTTCCGGGCTGGAAGTCATCCTTGTCTACGGCAACGCGCCAGCCGTCAATCTCTGCCATATCTTTCGACTGGTTGCCGACGCAAGGCTGGATAGACAGGATGTATCGGATCGAGACCAGGCGGCGGGCATTGGGGCCCGACGGGTAGGTGAGCTCGTCAATGAATTTGGGAAGAGGCATAGTGAAGAAGTGCAGAAAGCCAAAGCAGACGTCTTGAAAGTATGACGGTTAGTGAGTGAAGGCATTCAAGCTGACGCTCAATGGACAAGGGACGGCTGCTCACCTGGAGATGAACTCGGAGCGATCAAAGGATAATGTAGTGGTAAGCCTTTGGCGAGGCACAAACACGGTGCAGGAGAGCGGCAAGTGAAAAGGATACTGAAGAAGAATTTCAACAGGCGGCGCTGGTCGGAAATTCTGCTTAGATGTAGAAAGAACGCAAAACTGCGCTGAAGGATGAAGAGGATGTTTTGTAAGTGTGCAGCCATGAAATGAAGAGAAATGAAGAGAAGATTAAAGAAGGAGGCGCGCGAGCTACAGTGGGGCAAATTAAAAAACGTGTCCAAGTGAATAACGCTCTCAAATTGAATGGTACTCACAAGGTTAATTGTGCTTAGAAAGTGAATTGCATGTCAGCAGTCCAAGGCGGGATGGGATCAAAGTAAACGGAAGACTGGCAACGAAATGAGCGCATGTCTGAACTCTACGTCCTCACTGGAGGTCAGTGTGTAATAATTCAGGCAAATTAAGGTACAAGAAGGGAGAATGGAAAACCCAGAAAGGCTCAAGAGGACATTTACCCCTGTAGGGAGCAGCATTGCCTTGCCACAATCAATGCGGTCACTATGACTACAAAGGACTGGCTTTTTTCTTGTTAAGAGACTAAGGACTTGTGTAGAGGACTCGCTCAAGGATCAAACCTATCAAAGTGGCAACTTGGTCAAATTTTCCTTTGCTCTGGTCCTCGATCTGGTGCCAGGTGTTGATATTGCTCAGTTTGGTGATAACTTCGACAGTGCAGATAGCCGTGCAAGTCTGGAGACCGCACTGTAAGAATGTGGCTGTGGTGGGTGGCTTTCGTGGCTTCCCAACCCCACCTGATGCGCTAGTCCGGAAAGGGCTGAGTCAGAAAACCAGCAAAGGAAGGAGCTGTCAGGTTGTCGCGACGCTCGTCTCTGGAACGCGACCTGCGAAAAAATGCGAAAAGGGCATCCAACCCACCACGAGCGCCTCCCATCCGAACAACAGTGGTCACCTCGTCTTCGAGTGCCTCAGCTGGCAGATTCGGTCTCGTCATCACACTCGGTAGTCGAGATCTCGCGTTGAACGGCTCTTCATTTCCAATTGGCGTGGCCTCTGGGACTTTGATCCCTGGCTCCTGCCTCTCCTCCATCCCGAGCTCCAACCCAACCTCGACCAATCTTTCGCGCCGTGTCTGCGCTCGCATCGCTATAATTTCAACCGTCTCAGACTCGTGTTGGCCAGGATGACGACGTCGAGGTCGGCGCCCCAGGCCTTCTGGTCGTCGTATGCGCCTCGCCTGCGTGCGTACAACAATTCCCTCCTCGTCCCCGTCCTCCCTAGTGCGGCTGCGGCGGCCAATGTGCGAACGACAAAGCGAGGTACAACCATCATCAACTATGCTGAAGACGGCTATGATGACTATGACGACGATGACTCCGATCGACGCCGCCCCACCGGTCTCAGGAGTCTGCGCAGGGACGATAGTGTTTCCAAGAGTGAAGCCGGTGACAAGGTTGCGAAGGAGACCACCGAGCCGGTCGAGATGCAAGGCGTATGGAGAGACTGGATGGGAAAGTCGAGAGCGCAGCGATCGGACATGGCGAACCATGCCCAGGCATGCCTGCCTCTGACACTGATCCCCATCCGACTGGATGTTGACATCCAGCCTTTCATGCCGCTTCCGCCGATCGCGAATGGCCACTTCGACAATACGAACCCTCTATACAAGCAGCAAGAAGTCACCGTCCCTTATAGGTTAAAGGACACTTTTCTCTGGAACCTGCACGAGACGCTTATTACGACGGACATGTTCGCGCTGAACCTTGTACAAGATCTCGACCTGCCCAACAAGGCCGCGATCTGCTCAGAGATCAGCAAACAAATACGCACTCAACTCGAGGAATATGCTGGTGTGGCGCTGCACCCGCTCTTCCACTCTCAGTCACACCAGAGTGGCCAAGAGTCACAGAAGGCACCGCCTTCCCTCGTGCACCGCGACTCAGCTACCCCAACACCGCAGAACGGTGTGCTGAGCCGCGCAGACACTCCGCTGCGTCAAAATGCGTCCACGACACCGTCCAAGGCCGGCCCAGGAACGCCCATTCCGTCTGGTCTGCCTACACAAGGCGATGTGACAGCATCCGCCACGGCCATCTCCCCGGAATCGGACGACTACAACCCCGATGACACGTACCGGTGTATCGTCAATCTCAACATCAACCTCTCCAACCAGCTCTACACCGACAAGTTCGAGTGGTCATTGTTACACCCCCCAGGCACAGCTGAAGCATTTGCCAAGATTACCTGCGCGGATCTAGGTCTCGCGGGTGAGTGGGTTCCTGCGATGACCCATGCCATCTACGAAGCTGTCCTGCGCTTGAAGAAGGAAGCCTGTGAGTCTGGTGGCTTGGTAGCAGGATTTGGCGCCGGTGGGCCGGCAGACTTCCCCAACGATGCCGCTATTTCCGCAGCGGGAGAAGGGGCCGGGTGGCGGTACGACCCCGAACATTTGGCAGATGAATGGGAGCCGAAGGTCGAGATCTTGTCGAAAGAAGAGATCGAGAAGCGCGAGGGCGATCGGGAACGGCAACTGCGACGACTTAGGAGAGAAACGGCGCGTTTCAGTAGCAATACTGGTATGGCTGGTGGCGTTCCCATGGGCTTTGGCTTTGGCGGTCTCATTGAACAGGAGGAGGAGCGGATGGGCCGTGGTGAGCGCAGCAAGAAGAAGCGACGCTTCCGAAGCCTGTCACCTCTCGGCCGTTCCGGCACTCCTGGTGGGAGAGGTACGCCTGATGTCGGGGGCGCGGTGGGTGGCTACGGTGGCGGTGGTACCTTGACCGACGCTGAGCGCATTAATTGGCGCTGTCTTCACTGTCGTGTTTGGGGTACGACTGTCTGGGCTGTCCGGGATGGTCCGTATGGTCCAAGGGTACGTGGTTTTCTTTCCTCCCCTTCGTGTATATGATGTGGTCCCAACGGATTTACTAACTTTTTTCTTCCCGTAGACCCTCTGCAACAACTGCGGCTTCCTCTACGAACGCGACCGCAAGCTGCCGAGATGGACGAGAAACCTTCACATCGGCGATATTCGACCAGTCTAGATCACTGAAGACAACGCCGCGGTGCAAAGAAAGAGGAAAAGGGAGGGCGTGCCGCCCGGGGACAATGATTCAGGGTAGTCGATCGGGGTGTTGGGCGTTCATGGTTCAAGGGCCAAAGAGGCTTCTTGGGGACAATTACCGTGGGAGGGTTTTCCTCGATGCTGCAGGATCTGGGCGTTTGGACGGTGAGGGGATTTGCGGTGCGTGCGTCTTCCACCCGTGCTCCTGTTCAGCAGCACTTTGGTGTCGACAGAACAATGAATGTAGGCTCCGCATGTATTTTTAATTCGATTTTTGCAGCACCAGGCTATGCCTGCTTGCTGATTCAAACGGGACAACCAATTCCAATGGCACGGACCGTCCCTCCCGTGCGCAACCTTGGTGTCGACATTTGCGATGTGGTGCTTGCGAAGCTTTTGCAACTACAGAACAACACATTGAGTCAGGATGGGTTCGTTCTGTCCGTCACAGCTCTCGAGGGTTTCAAGGGCGGTGGCCAATAGCAAAGAGTAAGCCCAATCAGAGCTAAATCCTTGGCCGAGAGCTAAAGTTCCGAGCACACAGTGCTTTCATCAGGCCAACGCGATCCTTCAATCCACCGTCTCCTTACCCGCGTGCATGAGGACAAATCCAAACTCATCTACACTCACTTCAAACCACCACCAACCGTGGAATTTGACGCAGAAGCGTCTTACGGTGAACCGATTCCCAACCTGCCGAGGTCGTCCTGGGCGGGATGGAACATCTCACAGCTGCCAAGTGCTTACAGGCCATCGGCCTCGCTACCCTCAGCTACTTCGCCTACAAGATCGTCCTCGAGAACGCGCTGTGGCTGCTGCCAAAGACACCCTTGACGCGATACCAGCGACCCAGTGGAGCCTGGGTCTTCATCACCGGTGCGTCCGCCGGCATCGGACAGGGGTGCGCGCAAGAGTTTGCCGCCCGTGGCTTCAACCTCGTCCTGCTCGGCCACCTCCCCGCGGAGCTGGAGCAGACCAAAGCTCTGATCCTCGCCGAGTCTCCGCAGGCGCATATCCGCATCATCGTCCTCGACGCCATAACCGCGAAGCCGGCCGACATCGAGGCGGCATTGCAGTCCGTCGCGGACCTGCCGCTGACGGTCCTGATCAACAACGTCGGCGGCAACCCCGTCGCGCGGCAGCCCGTGTTCAAGCGGCTCGACCAGTACACGGCGGCCGAGGTGACGAGCAACATGGCCGTCAACGCGGGTTTCATGGCGCAGCTGACGCGCCTCGCCGTGCCCGTCCTCGCGCGGAACGGGCCGTCGCTCGTCGTGAACCTGAGCTCGGGCGCCAAGACGGGTATCCCGGGCGTGGCCATGTACTCGGCGTGCAAGGCCTTTGTCCACGCGTTGAGCAAAGCTGTCGCCCGCGAGATGATCGCCGAGGGCATGTCCGTGGACGTCGTGTCGCTGGTACCTGGTGATGTCAAGACGCTGACTAATGACGTCGTGCCCAAGGGCTCGCCGGACCCGAGGAGCTTTTCCAAGGTGCTGCTGGACAGACTGGGCACGGCGGTACGGATGGGTTCGCTGGAGCTGTCGCCTTGGTACTTTCATCAGGTGCAGATATGGCTTGCTGATGTGGTGCCGGAGAGGGTGATGAGAAATGTGCTGGTCGATATGTTTAAGCGCAAGGCGAGGCAGACAGAGGCTGGGAAGAAAGAGCAGTGATGACTCCCCAAGTTGTGCAGGAAGGCCAGGGATCAGGGACGATGGCACATGCATTTCACATCAAGCGCAAAGACAACGCTGACAATATCTCATTGACATTAGGATAAATATGTACTCGAAAGTTGTCTCCATCCGAGCAGACTCAAATAACATTTGGTCTTGTGCCAAAAGGGCAACAGTGCGAGACCGTACCGCGCTCATCTAGCAATTCTTGGTGAAGCCAGTGGCCTTGCAGTACTTGCCATCGGGTCCGGAGCTGATCTTCTTGGGCTCCTTGCCGTTCGAGTTGCCCTCGTACAGGTCGCACGCCTTGTTGCCGTTCTGGCACGAGTTGGTGATGGTGCACGTGTCGCCGTAGTTGGAGTTGATGCCGCACAGCACGCCGCCGCCCCTGGCCACGACGTTCTTGACGACGACGTTGCGGGGGCCGCCGTTGTTCTTGCAGTTGCCGCACGAGCGGGTCAGCTTGCCGTAGTCCTGGGCGTAGAAGCCGTCGATGACGATGGTGCCGCGGCCGTTGAACTGGAAGATCTTGTCCTGGGCGTGGAAAGCGCCGCCGCCGTTGATGTATGAGGTGCCACTGTCTTGCTTGAAGGTGGCGGCGTCCTCGCAGACGTCGGCCCACCAGACGTTGTTCAATGTGCTGATGAGGGCTTGTTAGTGCCTGACCGGGATTGACTGTGATATGAACCCGGCCTAAAGGAAGTGTCTTGGTCACTTACCAAGTGCCCTTGCAGTGAATACCCTCGGCCTGAGAGGCGCCGATGATGACGTTGGAGAGGGTGGCGCCGTTCTCTAGGATGAACATGGCGTCCTTCTCCCCAGTCTCCTTCTGACCTTGGCAGACCGCAGCTACGCAAAAGCTCGAGTTAGCCCGATGTTACTGCCCTTCTAGAGATGGGGATCTTTACGGCTTCGTTCAAATCGCTTCATGCCGCCGTCAAAGGAACCCTTGACGGGGATAGCCGTGGGAGCGGACGAAGTGCCAGCCGAGGCGGGCAGCGTGGTCGTAACTGCGGACACAGCGCTACTGAGAGCAGCGACGAACAAAAGAGTGGTTGAATGCATGTTGACGATGTGGGCTGCGATCTGCAGAGGTATCAAGCCCAAGTCTTGCAATTAACGACCTTCTCAGCGTTTTGGAACTCGAGATACTGCTGGAATCTGGCTGGTATTTCCATGGGCTTCATTGCAGATTCTCAGCCGTTGAAATACTCGAAACCATCTAACCCCCAGTTCTTGCCAAGGCATTCAACCCTCGTGTAGATCGAGGAGAGGAGCATGGCGGTCCACCAAAGAGACAGAGGAAACAGAGTCACCACCGGAGAATCTACTGCCTCGAGACTCGACCATCATGCGGTTCGATGCTCCTTAAGTCTTGGCAGGCCTACCTTTGATCACAACGTGGAGTAGTGTAATAGACTAGGGGCTACTGGAGTCGGAGCCGTGGTTTCTTAGTCTGTGGTATGAAACCCGGGACTGGGATCCACGTGGAATAGAACCCATGTAGTCTGGAAACGTAGATCCACCAGTTACTCTAGATGACGGACGCCATAAAAAGTCCATCAATCCTAGTGCAGTCCGACTGATGTGAGAACTGACCATTAGATCCGCTGACGATCGCCTCGATGCAACGCCAAGATGGCCGCGAGACGCTCATTCGAGGGAAATTGCACGCTACCATCGTCCGATGCATCTCAAGCTACCGTTCCCCGGATTTTGGGCCACATAGACTTGTTAAGATTGCAACGATGCGACTACACCGAAGACAGGTCAATTCCGTGTCTAGCAATCCCGTGTGAGGCACCGAGGCCACTTCACTCCCAACTTGGCCAACGAGAGCTATAGTATGCCATTTGAGAGATGAATAAACCAATGAGGCAAAAGAATAACGCCAAATCTGGCAAAGATCGGAAATCTGAGCACAGATTCCACTGGTTCTAGGCCCTTCGATAGATTTGCATGGTGTCTTTGAAGCGTAGGGTTTGAGCCGGTCTTTCCCGTGACGCAGTACATCGTAACCAAGCCATCAACGAAACAAAAAAAGTCTTTCCACCAATCTCCAAGACTCCAGAACCTTGAGTAAAGGGGCAAGTTGAGTCAAAATCTTCACACGGTTCTTCTTCATTCTTGCCGTGCTTTCACTTGTGCATGACACTTAGACAACGACATGAATTTTCGAACTGTTCAATCATTGCTTTCGGGTTCAGATGGAGGTGTTGATCTCCGCTCGTGACTCCTAGACGTCTTATTTGTACGTGCTCCTGCAGTGCCCAACTCTTCAAGCTCTGACTTCCACCCCAATACAACCTTGACTACACTAGTAGTGCAGGTTGCTCAGAACCCCCTCGCATTTAGCTATCGGTCATATGTCCTAATTGCTCATAAAGCAATGCGTTTATTCAATAGAAGCAAGAGCAAGAGACACGCCACTTTGTAGTGAGCTTTTGATGTCATGTTTTGTGTATGTAACCTATGAGAACTATGGCCTATCAAGACTTTTCAACCCAAAGTGATGCTCGAGGACCCGGCACTGCCCGGGCCGCCATCCTTGGTGTAGCCCTCTGTCGCAAGCACCACGTAATCATGGTTTCCCAACCGCATGCCGTGCTTCGCCCACTCGTCAAAGTGCGTCTTCGTCGTGACCGTACCACCCACCCGTTGTTCTTGACGCACTGACCAGTATTGCTGGAAGGTCCGGGTACCTTCGATCGAGGGCTTGTTGACGCGAGTGCTGGTGAAGATCTCGTAGGTGCCCTCATCGAAAGTGAAGTTACCCTTGGAGGTCCACGGCTCGTTGGGGGCGAGGTCGGCGTGGGCTTCGATGATGTAATACTCGATGAGTGGGTTCCTCGTCCAGCCGTAGACTGCGAGGTAGCCGGGACCTGTGGCATTGTAGGTGCCGCTATACTTGATCGTCCTGGAGAGAAGAGACGGTTTCTTAGTTACGTCTCCCGGGGATTCTTCCACTGACATGAACATACCTTGCACCACCACCGCTCCAGCCTTTGCCACAAACAAAACCGCCCTTGCTGTTCCAGTTTGCAGAGTAGGAGCTGCCAGCCCCGTTCACACATCTGATATTACTCCCCCCCTCAGACCAGTTTTGGAAGTAGTATCCTTGGCGAGCCTCGAGGTCCTTGTCTCCTTCTGATTGAGAAGGTCCAGGTGCACCAAGGACACCTGAGACCAGCGAGAGGGCCGCCAGAGACGTGATTTTCACCATGATGCTAGTGTTGAAGCATCAATTTGGATTGGAGGTGAGATATGTGAACGCATTCCGGTTTCTACTGGGAGTCTTATACTTTGACTTCCTTAACACCGGGCCAATCAGTGGAAGCATGCTCGGGCAACTCCACCACCAGGGAGCCAAGAATAAACGTCGTCCTTCACAAAGGCCTTTTATTTAGGAAAGTTACATAGCTCCGCAAATCTTGACGGCAAGATTGGCTGGTTCGAGCGGGAGAAGCATCTTGATGAGACATTCCAGGTTCATTGATATTGGTCAACGATTAGCCTGAATAAACGAGATGTACACGGGGACGCAAGCAGGCGATCGGAGAGTTTTCCCCACACAAATGATAGGATGTCAAATTGCGGGGAAAAGTCGACATGTTGCAACTGCCGGACGAGGTTAAATTGAATAACACTGTTCGACGGAACAATGGGCGTGGGTGTAATCCAGATAGGCACCATAAACACAGACCATTGAAGCCAGCGAACGACTAAGACGAAGGCAGACCGAAGATACTCCTTGTCGATGGATAATATCGCCGGCTGTTAAGCAAGGTTGAGTTCACCGGGCTTGGCCAATGGGATCCTGAACGATCACATGAAGTATGCAAGACGATGGCATGGGAAGATTGCGTCCGCTCTGTTCTATCTCGAGTTCAGGACTTGGTGCAGCCTTCCAGCTACCCTGAGGAATCTGTTGGGCTATGTGGTTCGGATCATTGGAGTCATCATTTCGTGTGAACCTTTGAGTCCTGGTAGCCTTTTGGTCTCTGAAGTTAGGTCCTGAAGTTTCCGAGGTACGAAGAGGTCTGAAATGTCTTCCTTCAAGAGAGTTCCGTACCTGAATATGTCGTGGGTAGCATAACTATTGTGTACATCGTAAAGAATTTCACATATCGGGGTTCCAGCCGCACCAATGGGGCCGAAGAGGAAAGCAAGCCGCCTCGGCCGGCGATTGCACCACTTCGGCCGAGCTTTGCCCGGGTGCGTTTCCAAGCTACTTACGTGCGTGACAAATGCCCTATCTCTCAGGAATGTGACTATTTCTGAAGTATTAGTTGGGAACCAGGTTTATCGCATTTTTAACTACAGTTCAAAATGTGCCGTCTATTCAGCTTTGGTGATAATTACACATATCAAGAGCTTCCTCGGCCGAGCTTGGCAGCCAGCATATGCATGAAAGTAGACTACTACTAACGTGCATTTTGCGCTATCCAGCGTCTATTTCTCGTTCCCCATACCCCAGATTCCTAAGTACCGCACCGTCTTGATATGGGATATGGATCCCAGATGAGCGACGCTGGCCCAGGGTCACTACGATACATCACATGCAGCAAGTATTCAATTCAAAAACCATGTACATAGATCCATGGATTCTACACAGGTGCACGTAGGTGTATGAAAGACATGTCACCATGGAGATTGTTGCGCAGATCTTGTCTTGCAGATATCAGTTCGCTAGGTCACCACAACGATTCGCTGACCCGAAGTTAGTCTTATCGGCGATGCGCAGTTATCTCTGCCGTGTAACGCACCCGAAGGTGGCGGTGGCCAGACACATGCATCTCGGGGTTGTGTGAGCTGCTCGACGGCCGAGCCCCTCATCGTAGGTATCCAGCTATGACGGACTTGGCTTCACGTTGGCGATCTTACTTCTGCCATCAGTTACTTGACTTCAATCCGCACTCGCCATACTTGTCCAAGTCACAATCAAGCATTCAACATCAAAGCTTTAAGCAACTGTACGGACCATCATGGCCGATAAGACAACATACGTCGCCAGGGACATCCCGAAGGTAGGGAGAGCTCACTGCTTCCTGCAGCCAATGCTACTCTAACGCGTCGCGCTCAATTGCTAGATCTCCCTCCGCGATTTCGACAATCGCATCGATGAGATCACAGCACAGCTCTGTAATGCGGCCGAGAATGTCGGTTTCTTCGCCATTGTCGATCACGGCATCGCACCTGACGAGGTCGAGGACATGTTTGCCAACTCCGAGGCGTTCTTCAACCTCCCAGACAACATGAAGGCTTCCGTGCCATGGAACCCCCAAAACGTTGGCTGGGAGAAGATGTCACAGATCCGGCCGTCCACGGGCGCACCTGATACCAAAGAGTCCTACCAGCTCCAGTTTGGAGAGAACATGCTCACTGGTGGCCACAGCCAGGATGGGAGCCTGTGGATGAGCGATGAGCATGTCCCTGGGTTCAAAGAAAAGTGTCTCTCCTACATGCATCGCCTGCAAAAGATCTCTGAGAACCTCATGGTCTGCTTCGCTCGAGGGCTTGGCTTCCCGGATGATTATTTCAAGAAGGTCCACGACGCTCAGAACCCCAAGTGCCAGAGTGTGATGCGCCTGCTTCACTATTACGCGACACCGGAGACGAACGATGGTCAGATTCGCCACCGCGCAGGAGCTCATGCCGACTGGGGCTTTCTGACGCTGCTCTTTCAGCGCGAGGGTCAAAGCGGGCTAGAGATCTGTCCTGGTAGAGAGGTCGTCACTGAGTTCGCGCTCGGAGACGCTTGGACAAAGGTGAACTTTGAGCCAGGTGCCATCATATGCAACATCGGCGATCTCTTGATGAGCTGGTCAGATGACAGATTCAAGTCCACTTTCCACCGAGTCAAGGCACCGCACGAGCCTGGTGACTATTACGGGGAGCGTTACAGCATCGCCTTCTTCAACCAACCGGCCAAGGACACGGTCATCCAAGGCCCATTGAAGAAGTACCCACCCGTTACCGGGGAGCAGTTCACCAAGAATGCCATGTCCGTACAGTTCACTGCCCTCCAAGAGAAGCTCAAAGCCCAAGCAGCTGTGCCAACTGTTACGGAGTCTGTCGTGACTCCATCACCTCAAGCTGTTACATAAATACTTTCCCATATAGCGAGCCTTCATAATATACCATGTTTTGCTATATTCGGGCATGCAGGTGAACACGAAGTACAATCTCTCTAGCCATGTGGGGCAAAAGTCAATACCGAAATGCATGAACTCATCGTGTGTAACCAGGAAGGCCTAGACCGAGTATCAGACCGTGGTCACAGCTCCAGGTGACTTTTCCGAACTCTTTTTCTCTGGTTCACCGGCATGATCCAACACTGATTCCGAAGATCCTTCCAGGACAGTGCTTGTGGCGGGTTCCTTGTCCAACAGTTCCTGCTGGTTCTGAGCATAGGACTCCCATGGAAACTTGCGAGCCTCGTACATAGCGCTGTCTCGAAATAGGGACGAGAGAACCACGTAGGTGAAGGCACCTGTGAGGGCCGCGAACAGCCAGCCCATCTGATACAGGTGGACCCACCCCTGAGAAACGGAAGAACTCTTGCTAAACTGGTAGGCGAACCCTGGGCAAACAGGCCAGATAGCCATGATATAGGCAGCATAGGCTTTCCAGTTCCAACCTTTCCAGTACCAGTAATCTGAGGAATCTTAGCTTTAGTCTCTTGCTTTGAATCCAGGAACTCTCACCTCTATTGGCAGTGTATAGCGATACCACGTCAATATTACCACGTCGAAAAACATAGTCGGTAACAGCAATGGCCGGGATAGCCCCCAAGAAGAGACTGTAACCTGTGAGGAAAGTCAGGTAGGCCTTGGCGGTCGCAAGGATATGCCAGGGCTGGATGACAAACCCCACTGTCAAGCCCAGAATCATCCCACGATTGATGTTGATGTACTTGGGAAGGAGTGAAGCAGAGTCGGCCCCAAACGAGATGAGATTCGCAGACAGATTCTTGATCTGCTCGGAGACAGCCATCAGAATGGCAAACAGAAAGATGGCAAAGCGCACACCGCCGCTCCAATTCTCGGTGAGAATGACATCGCAGATATCCCACATATTCCAGTACATTTGGCCGTACTTGTATGCAATAGCATTGGTGCCAAAGATGCCGATGATGCAGACGACCGTCTTCCAGAACGTAATTGTGACGAGCTGAGGCCATCCCGTCGCACTTGGCCTGGCGGCATACCGAGCAATATCGGGATTGGAGGCGATCAGAGGGGAGAAGCTGCCGATGATGGCTTGCACGCAATACATGAAAGCCCAGCCCAGTTCAGAGCCGGTCAACTGCTTCGGGGTGGCGGCGTACGACACTGCGCCTTTGCTTCCCACCACCATGCAGTATATGAAGAAGCCAATGGTTATTGGAGGAATGATCAGTGCTTTGAGAGTCCAGAAGATCCTCATTTTGTGGATTTTGAGAAACATTGCAGGATAGGATCCGATCCAGACGATGATGCATGCGACAAATTTCCGCGTTGTAATGGTCGAACTAAGGGGCAAGGTGTTGGGCATCTTGTACCAAGCGTCTCCAAAGATGCATCTATTTCCTTGTTAGAATGATGGTCATAGTTCTTGAAATGGCGAAACATGCCTGAATGCAACGTCTAGAAAAAGTGAGCTCTGATAAACGGTCACGCCGATCCAAAGCACTGACACCACGGCTCTGGAAAACACGGGGAAGAGCGACCCATAAAGCCCTGAAAAGATTATGAGCAGCTATCCACAGTATAGCTCGTCCAAATCGGGCTACTGTACCGAATGAGACGCGCTGGAGTGTGGGAAACCCAATATGATATCTTGCAGACTGTCTTGAGTTCAACGACACCGCAACACCACTGATCAGCGATCCAACGGCACAAGCCAAAACGGCCTGCCACCAGTTCACGTTCAAGCTGAGCAGAGAAGACGCAGCAGCCCAAGCTCCGGATGTGAAATTGTACGAATACCACACAGCAAAGTAGTGAAACCAGGTCCATGTCCGCTCGGAGGGAGGACTTGGGTCCATATGTGCATTGGACCAAATGAAACCATAGCTAGAAGGTGCGAAATCTGAGTGTTTCACCTCAATGGCACTTTTGAAGCCGGCCTTGGTTGTCAAAGCAAGCTTGGCTTTGCGGCCAACCTCTCCCAGAGTACGTTTGCCGGTCATGATGGATGGAATCCGGTAACAAATTGGGACAGTCAGAACAACTTCAAGGAACTCAGCAGCAGAAGACCACTAGGGAACGGGATATGGAGATGCAGGGTTGCAATATTAATAGACAATTCTTGACTCTGTGATAGGAGCATTGGCTTGGTGCTCAAGATATCTCATGCACAACGATATGTGTGTATCAAGCGAGATAAGTGGATTGAATCTGGGGTTGGCCAAGCTGCCTTATCGCCAGTCTAGATAGTACCGTCCAATAGATTTACCATTCGCAAAGTTTCAATTGGGCTATCCGGTCTAGGAGGACGGCAAGTGATGGTCAGATTAGTTAACGGACTGCTAACAGAAGTACTTGACTATCCATCAAGCCCATCGGATTTAGGTAGTGGGATAGCCCTTCTGAGTTCTAGGGCAAGGATGTGACAAGGATATTGATTGTTAGGATCGAGGTAGCTCCTGATGAACTTCCGTCAACTATTCAGACACCCACTTGGACGGCTCCCTCAACACCAGCAATGACGCTCAAGATGTGTGGAGTCTGCTTGAGAGATAAGTGGACCTCGGCCGAGGGCCTTTGTGATAACACTATCAAGAATGCCAGCATCCCAAGCACAGTAATAATCTAGGGGAAACTGGGGAAGTCAAACCGTCAAGGTTCTAGATAATATGGCCATACTCCACATGGGATTTCTGGCTCAATCGCTTGCGGCACAATGAAAACTCCCCACACAACCGTAACAGGTAACAATGGCAGTCACAACCATGACAGCAGCGCCCGAGGTTCCCCTCATATCCCTGCGAAGATCCACCCCAGAGGAGATCCTCCACGCACTGTCTACCATTGGATTCATCCATCTAGAGCTTGATGGCACTGGGATTAGCCAGCACGATGTTCGTCGAGCGTTCGAGTTGTCAACCCTTATTCATTCTGTTCCGGAAGGCGAAAGAATTGGAGCCTTGAAAGATGCCTCGGGCAACGGGTATTTTGGAATGAAGGGGTCACTGGATGAAAGAAATCCGTCCAAGGTTGACTTGAAAGAAAGCTTTGTCTGGGGAAGATACAGCTCTAGTTCTGGACAGACGGAGACCTCTCAGAATCTTCCTGTTTCCATACAGAAGCACAAAAGAGAAATCGTCGACTTTGATCACAAATGTTTCGAAGCTTCACTCAGGGTACTGGACTCCTTGTCTGAGGCATTGGGAGTAAGGAAACACCGCTATTTCCACACAGTTTCTTATTAACTAATATCAGCAACAACGCGCAGCTACCACGGGATTTCTTCCGAAACACCCACGAGGATGCAGGTTCCAATGGCTTAGCAATGCTCAACTACCCAGCCTTAGATCAGCCACCAAAAAGCGATGACATACGTGCTGGGAGCCATAAAGGCAAGTACATCAGAGAACTCTTCTTAGATATACTAGTACTGACAGCTTAATCATAACAGATGTAAGTACCCAAACATAGTCCTGAACCATCAGGGAGTTGTCGCTTAGTCAGTCGAGTGGGGAGATGTGACGCTCTTGTTCCAAGAGGAGAACGGTCAACCAGGTCTTCAGATCTACGTGCCTACGGAAAATGCGAGGAAACAGACGGGCATCCAGCTTGTTCAAGGAGCAGTAGATCTGGAATCAGGGACATGGGTCTCCGCGCCGATCATCCCCAACACTGTCCTGGTAAACTTTCCCCTAGTACCATTTGGTAGATTACAAATGTACTGATACGAGAAGGTAAACGTTGGATTGACTCTGGAAGGCATGACCGATGGACTCTGCAAGGCAAACATACATCGCGTTATATTTCCCAGGAGCACTTCAGCCGCCGAATTGCCCAGGAATAGGAAGACGATCGCTTATTTCAGCACGCCAAGTCATGATATTGTACGTTAAGTGGCCAAAAGGCGTGGATTAGAAAAGAGTCTAATGGCATCGATCTAGATAATGAACCCCGTAAGACCAGGAGGCATCATTACTCAAAAGGAGGGTAAGTCAAATCTCAGCACCCCAGAACCTTCTTCAGACCACACCACTAAGCCAATTTTGTGCTAGGTGCTCCAAGCGTTGGAGAGTTCTTCAAAGAACGACAACGCCTCGCGAAGGTCTTGTAATGTCAGACGGGAGAAGCCTTTCAGCTACTGGATTCCAGGGGGTTTTAGGGATTTCGAGGTCCTTAGTAAGCTCATGATGTGCAATCATACCTAGGTAGTAGTCATTCCTACTCGCCTACTCTAATCTACTTAATAGAAAGCCCTTTCTAGGCAAATGGTCATGTTCCTCGTAAACAAAAGTATGAAAGCCTGTGTATGAGGCATACCCCTTGATCTGAACGATCACAGGCCTTGCGGATGGTTCGTGATCTTCATAAGAGACACCGTTGGACGTAACCAGTCGCAAGATCGTCGCAACAAGGCCAGGACTTGTGCTCGTCGAGTTTGAGACAAGGCTGTGGTACGTCCATGAATCCCCGATCGAGAGCTCTCCTTTTGCGAAAGCCACGGCAGCCCGAGCTGCAGCCATGCTACCGGTCGGCGAGCGGTCGATATGTCCTTTTCCGAAGAAGTATAGGCCCGTTTCACCCCCGCGAGTTCCCTCGTGCGCGGTGCCCCAGGCCTTGTCCACCACCATGACACCGAATATACACCTATCGAGGCCAGGCTTACCGGGCACCTTGAGAAGAGATCGATACTCTTCGTTTGAATTTATAGTGCGCCTTACTTGGCTAGTAGCGAACCTCAAGGCCTCGAGCATCGGTCTGCTCTGTAGCCCGTCATGTGGAAACCCCAGTTCTTGAATGGATACTTGGCAGCTAAACGCGCTGCAGTAGGCGAAAGAGACATTGATGCTATCCCTTCTTCCAAGTTCCGGCCATCTGTTCTCTGGCTTTATCGGGAGCGTATAGTCTGTTGTCAATGCAAATGCCGGCACGGCCTCGAATGTGATCGGCCGAGTCGGATCTGAACGAGATCCATCGCTATTTGTCGGTACCGTAACTTCCACCAGACCACCTGGTGTATGCAGAACAACTAATGATGTTCCAGTCGTTGGATCATATTTGAGCTGATCCCTTTGGGGAAACACTTCCAGATCATGCGTGTCGACCAAAAAGCGACCTAGGGCTATCGTGGCATGGCCGCACATGTTGCTATACCCATCTGGGTGAATATACAGAACGCCCATATGTGCCTTGTGAGACTTTGTGAGCTCTGTATGGGGTCGCAGAATGGCGCCAAACATGTCGAAATGGCCTCGCGGCTCTGACAGAATGCGCTGCCGGATGGCATCGTGTTGCTCCAACGCCTCTGCCTTTTGTTCGGCCAAAGTTCCTGAGATCTCCGGGTATCCCTTGACGATGATTCTTGTTGGCATACCAACTGTGTGTAGTTCCACACAGGCGATTGGCTCATGGCCTGGGGTGGCAAAAGATCGGACGAGGTCCATGGCCTGGACGAGATGGTGATATCGTCTGACCGAGAGTAGACAACAATAGCACAAGACGGATATGCTAGCAACTCATGATATGCCAACAACCATCATGGAGACACATAGCTTTTTCAAGACAGGAAAGTACGTCTTCCTGCCGACTGCTGGGCTGAGATTCCTTGCGGCTGTCGGACTCTCCCGGTTCCGGACCCTGGTGGGGCGTCGGATGAACCGACATTTGGGGTAAATCTCCACAGATAAGGCCCGTTAGCGCTTCCGACTCATCGCGCGGGGGCCGACTCGTGATGTAACGAACAGTCGGGATCACGCCTTATCAAACGCGCCAGAGTGCCAAATCTAGTTCAATCCTCGCTGTGCAGAACAGCCAGGGCCATGGACATGTTTAAAATGTCGCTTTGTCTCCTCTGGACAGCTCCTCACTGCATCCGGGTTCCTAGACATCTCCGACCCATTCAGAGCCACCCCTTCGCTCCAACAAAGTCCACCCTGGTGAAGCCTCCAGTGTGCCTGCAGCCATGGCCTCAACACCTACGAAAGACCAAGCAACAGGCTTGGACGACAAGCATGGCCCCATCGGCCAGGTCAATCCATCAGTCTACATTCCAGAAGGAGAAGAGCTCGACCGCGCCACAGCCAGATTGAGTCCGGAGAAGGCGCGCCGACTCTTGTGGAAAACCGACCTGGTTGTTACACCACTGGCTGTGCTATCCATGACTCTGGCGTTTTTGGACAAGGCATGACCCCTCAACTAGCATTAACACCAGCAACTGCCATGTTGACTTGTCTCTTTACAGAACGGTCTCGGCTACGCCGCTGTCTTCGGCCTCAAGACGGACGCGAACCTCAAGGGCCAAGAGTACAGCTGGTTAGGAAGCGTATTCTACTTTGGCTACCTCCTGATGGAGGTGCCAAACATGTGGCTTATCACCAAGCTGCCCATCGGCAAGTACATCGGCGTCTGTCTGTGGCTCTGGGGCGCGGCGGTCTGCCTAATGGCAGCCTGCCACAACTTCGCCGGCCTGGCGACGATTCGCTTCTTCCTTGGCATATTTGAGGCTGCGCTCCTGCCTTGCATGATGGTCATCAACTCCATGTGGTATCGTCGAGAGGAACAGCCCTTACGGACCGCGCTCTGGTACAACACATTCGCTGGTATCTTCGGCGGTATTCTTTCCTACGGAATTGGCAACATTCACGGATCGCTCGCAACATGGAAGGTAGGAATGAGATCCTTTCTGCTGCTGTGATAGCGTCCTTCGAAGGTTAACTCTGTGTATCTACTTGCAGTACATCTTCCTCATCTACGGGGCAGTCACCATCCTTGCCGGCGCCCTCGTCTTTTTCGGATTGCCCGATCACCCTTCGAAAGCTTGGTTTTTCAACGAGGAGGAAAAGAGTCTCGTTATGATCCGTCTGGCAGAGAACCAGACTGGTGTGGACTTGCACAAGGTAAGTCATTTGGGACTCGTGGCCTGTCAGCGAAAGCAAATGCTAACCCCACCAGAGCTTCAAACCTCGCCAGATCCTTGAGGTCTTTAAGGACCTCAAGTGCTATTGCATCTTTGTCTGTGCCTTTGCATATGCGATCGCAAACGCTGGTGTCACCAACTTCAATCCTTTGATCATCTCTGGATACGGCTTCAGTCAGTCCAAGACAGTGCTGATGGCGACTCCTCAGGCCGCTGTTGCCATGGGGAGTCAGGCTATCCTTACCGCAATCACATTCTGGGTGCCTAACATGCGTTGCATTTTCTGGATCCTCTCTGCATTCTGCGGACTGGCTGGGGCTGTTATGGTGCACGTCCTCGATGCTGCCACTCACCGCAATGCTTCCCTCGCGGGCGTCTATCTCATGGGTTTCTACAACGTCCCGTGGGTTTTCATGCTCAGCCTCTCATCATCGAACACCGGCGGCAGCGCCAAGAAGAGCTTCATGGGCATGGCTGTGGCTGTCATTTACGGTATGTCCTCTCTGTTTCACTCTCCAACGTGATCACACTGCTGACAGCAAGGATCAAGCTGTCGGGAATATCGTTGGGCCTCAATTCTTCTTGTCGTCACAAGCACCCAAGTATCCTTTGGGTATTGGCGCCATGATGTGCGCTTTTGTGGTGATGGCGGCTAGTGGGGTAGCTTACTTCATTCTCTGCGTGATCGAAAACAAGGCTCGGGATAGAAAGTATGGCAAGCAGCACGACAACATCGTGGCAGGCCTTGAGGCTGAGAGAGACGACCTCACCGACCGCCAGAACCACAACTTCAGGTATACATATTAGTTACAGCTATCCCTTCTTGTGGATGCAAAAATATCCTTGTAATTGTTATAAATACGAGTGGCAAATCGGCCCCAACCTTGGGAAGGCAAAGAGTTGACGGTAGTCATCTATTGATGTACGATAAAGTCGTCTATCTGCAACTCATCTGCCATGTTCAGAATATCAGTGGGTGACATGATAAATCCTTCGATTCCGTCCTGAACAGTCCAAGGAATCTGACTCATGTAGCTGGCATCTCCCATGCTGCCAACGCTATTGCCAACCCCCATTATACTCTCTTGATCTTGGGCTGAGTTGTATAGCTGCCTTGGAACTTCTCTCTCCGTCTCTACCGGCTGTTCGGCTAGATATGCCTCCATCACCTGCTCGAGCCGCTGAAACTCTCGCTTTCTTAGCGGCGCCGCCGGGCTTCCTCTCGCGATCATCGTGTCAAACATATCGTGGGCCATGCTAAGCCAACTTCGATCCGTGACAAAATCGGGTGCTACCATTCCGATGACATAAAGCAGAAAAGTTGAGGAAAAGACTGTTTCGAGTTGGAAAGGAAGGAAGCAGTCTAATCAAACTGATGAGTACTAGAGCCTACTTTATCATGGCCAGTGTGACTTACCAATCAAGTTGCTATCGCACAGTGACTTTAACATCTTCAGTATATTCAGAGCAGACGAAGAACAGGACTGGAGTAAGGAACTGATCGGGTCGCTCGGCACCGGCTTGTCTTGCCCACCCCGTGCCAGGCGCCTCTGTAGCAGGCACATGACCAGCGGTCGTGTTGTCAAGACCACGCACTGTAATGCATCTAGTCAGTTCCAGATCACCATCCGATGAAGATGTAGGGCACATACATGATGATACGACAGAATAAGGCGGGTGGCGGTCTTCGAAGTCTTGATGTTGATACCCTCAAGGTTACTTCCCAAGAACACGCTCATATCTCTTGATATGTCGGCAATGTCGTGCAGTGCAGACTGAGTGTCTCGGAGCAAGCTTCCACTGGAACTCCTGTCCACACCATAGACGCCGGTGAGAATGGTTGCCGTAAGACGCGCAAGTCTGATCTGTAGCGCTAGTGCGTCCGCGCCCACCGATGAGGTGAGTGCCGACGGCAGCTTCGTAGTGATGTCTTCATCTCGAATGCTACTAGGAGCTCCGACTAGGGTACCGAATTCTCTGTCAATGATATATGCGGTCCAAAACACTGTGTTGCACCGCTGTGAATGTCGTACATCCACCTGGTCGGCTGGCATTTGCCGGTGCCATCCCTCAATGAGGCATATTCGGAGAGCCTGCCCGATCTGGGGTTCAAGTGTGTCAGATGTTTGTTTGTTTTGATGTTCTCAAAATCCAGCCATTACCTACCATCTGAAAAGCCATCAAACGCAGATCGAGAGCCTGGAGATATAACGCTATTAGGCAAAGAGCCTCGGCTGCTGCAAGTGTGTCACCGCCCATTGGGATCAGGCTTGAGGTCAGGGCCAGGGCACGAGAAGCATAATCCAGCCCCGGGATAGTCTTCATCGTTCCGTTGGCGGAGAAAGCCTCCCCATAAGCCAAGATGATCAGCAGCTGGGCATACCAGTACCTTGACTGGCTGGCCTCCGCGGCGGGATTCCGGTAGAACCTCTCCAGGTGTTGCCGAAACGAGTCATCGTGAATGATCTGAGATAGCGGCCCGAGATGAAACTTGACAGTCATCAAAAGAAACAAGGCGTAGTCTCGAGACGGTAGGTTCTCGACGCTCGGCTGCTGGTGGAGTCCGAGGGGAACCCACGTCAACTGGCGCGTTTGTAGATCCCACGGGTCTACTGGAGGTTCGGGTTCAGGAACTCGGCTTCCGATCATTGCAACGACGCGTCTGCAAAAGGCCCACGAGGAAGTCGGTCCCATGTACCCTTGATCGGCAAGGTTAGGTACAAACATCTTTGAAATAAAGAGAACGGAGCACGACTTACAGTACTTCCCATTCGGGTCGATCGCAAAGGTTTCTCCATTGTCCACGAGAGGATTGCGATCAAAGTCTGGGACAGTTGACTCGCGTGAGCTCATAGGCGGTTGAGGCAGCTCCGGTGGACGTTGATGGTGCTGCATGCCTACTACGGAAGGTGTTTGTAAGCGGCTCTGCAGCACTCGGAAGGTAGCCTTGTGGGGAAAGCTCACTTGCATCCGAACCGAGACCCTGCATCGGTCCCTGAACTGGCCAGTCGGTTGCGCTAGCCTGCTGCCCGTCTAAGTTAACTGAGGACTGGGCAGGGGAGGCCAAGGGGAATGCTGAGGCATGGACGGATTCTTGCCGTCGGCGCGCCATCCGTTCCGCCCTCCCGGGCACTTGGCTCTCCAGAGACTCCAGATAACTACTCAAGGCATGTCAATTCAGCGTCGTCGTGCATCTGACGGGGTAGGCTTGCCTCTGAGGCACAGAGACCCTGGTCCCCTCGGGTCTGAAAAAGCACGGCTGGCCTTTCCGTTCACACCGCACGCATGGGCATGCTCCAGAACAGCGGACCTTCATATCGCGGCACCGGGCGCATCTGTCGGCCGATGTTAGCTTGAATCTGACTCACTTTGTGAGAATGGAAACCCATACGCCCGAAGACACCGTCTCGTCATGCTGACTGGAAACTACAGGATTCTGTTAAGTCGGCCCTCTCCAGCGTCGATCTCGTAGAACATGCAGTCTTTCCGGTTGTGAAATGACGTTGGGGAAGTACCCGAGTGAGGTGAGCATGGGGCTGAATCGCGCATAGCTTTTAGCGCTGGTCTGTTTTGTCGAGTCTGGTATGATGGTCCCAGAGCACACACTTTCCAAGAGTTGGAATGCCACCTTCAACTCTCTGATAAGAGGATAGAATCGGCTTAGTTGCTCGTATCTTCTGCATGCTTCAATAGGTCTCCAGCTATCTTGACACGCGACACCCGCATTACCCCATATCTCCCTTGGTGACGCCCATCAGTCCAGGCATGGCATCCCAGAGCGACGCCGATGAGACCCGAAGGACCAGTTAAAGTAAGTTGGCACGAAGCCTAAAACGGCAAAGACTTCGGGATCCACAAGCCGACATTGATCCACCACTCGTTCCGTCTCCTCCCCATAACCTTCAGTCCATTACTACCCTCCACTATATGAATTTAGTGGCAGAGGTAACAGTCATGTTCATTCAGGCTTTCGTTGGGGCATGCTGGTTGTTTGAGGGTGAAGTATCTTCCGCAGAGTTCACATATGGCTCTGGCTCTTCCTCCCCGGCTTCATCATGTAGTGATATGGCACGGTATCCACCCAACGAGCAATACGCGAAAAGGCCCCATGCTAATCCTGATACTGCGAGATATGCGATTGCAATCTGGTAGGCGATAATGTGTCAGCTTATTCCCGATAGCTTTGCAAGCAGCAAGTGGTCTTAGTAGTGCTTCTCTCACGTATGAATTGGGGCCCCAAGCCTGCAATATCAACGGCGAACAGACCACAACAGTCAGACCGATAAAGTAGAACAGGAAGGCGTATCCTATGAACATCATCGGGCACTGCCATGTGAAAATAAGTTTCCAGCTTACAACCCATCTCTGTGTGCTGGCCGTTTCTCCATCAACTGAATGTGGGCAGTCCGTTTCTGCGAGTATCTGGCTGAGGTGACGCTTCATCATCCGCGACGAGGGCGCATGTGCATCTCCTTCTGGAAGATCCCCAATCAAAGAGAGAAGCGAGAGCTGCTGAGCGGAGAGCAGGATCCCGCAAGTGGACGTTGTCAATGAGGCGTACCAGAAGCCTGGTCCGACCCAGTACGAATCCGCAACATTGGGCCATGAAAACGATGCCGTAACGATGGCCGTCAAAATGGTAGCCTAGACATGGAGAGTCTCATCAGCAAGGGCTAAGGGCAGATACCCCGTTCACTGCGTACCGCAAGCGCAACAAACTCGAGCTCGCCTTTCTTACGTGCTCTCCACCCAGTTAACAACATGTACAAGTGTCCCCGCTCTGGTGACCCTCGTTCAATTCCAGTAGAGACATGTTGTGCGATGTCCTGTGCGGGTTTGAGTGTATTGTAAGTGAAGAAGCGATGATATGGCAGCGTGATGAGCTGGACCAGTCCGCCAAAGACGATATCACTGATTTTCAATCTCGCAGACATGACGAAAAAGGGACCCTGAGTTTGAAGGGGGGCTCAAACGTGAGTCAAAACATTTTTCGCGGGCGAGAGCAGGTGTTAATATGTTTGCTCGATTATGAACTGGCCCGAGTTCCGTCCTGCACGCAAGCAAAGATGCAAAAGGCCAACGCAGGCCGCTGGCCAATAATATCCCATTTACTACGCCAAAGCGTCCAAAGATTGGCTCGGCAGTTTCCGAGATACTGCACCAATGCTCAGCCAAACGCAGGGGCTATCGGGCTCTTGGTGTGGACAAGACTTCCCTATTGGTGAATGAGTCTCTGCAAAAGCGCAGATTGGGCTGCATGATGTGGCAGCTGATGCTTTCAGCTCGCCACATGCACCGTGATCATCACTCATTTCCGCATTTCAAAAGCTAGTTTCTTCATAATGTGAATACCTGTATTGCGATACTCGCTATGAAAAGCTGGGGTTGAACCTTATCGCATCTGGTGGATACAATGTGCTCCATGAGAGTAATGCAAACTCAGTGCAGCTGTCTGCCACACCGAATTAGGAAATGGACAATAATGAGAACAACAGGAACTATCAAGCCGACTCCGATTGCAGCATTGTTGATTATGGCCCTCTGGGCATCCAAGTTGTTACTTCTCTATCGTAGAACCTCAGAAAACACGGACAATGTACCATCTGGAAGAGTGAAATTCTCCCACGACAACGAAAATGGAGATGCTGAGGCCGGGATGACGTGGATCTGGATGGCCATAATCAGCTTCAGCAACAAGGTCAACATAATTGCGAATGGTTTCCCTGGCTTTCTAGATGAGGACGACGTTTGACGATCAATAGCAATGACCTCTGACAATTCGAGACATCCTCTCGAATTCTGTGGCAGCTTTATATGTCACAGCGGAAAGAATTGAAAGACGAAAGACAAAGGTAGACAATGAACTTTGGCGGAACAGAAGGCAAAAGCCGTTCATTTGTTTGAGAAACACGACTATGGTCAGCAAACGACCAGCACAATAAGCGCAGAATGAGGATTGTTTCCAAAACTCAGGCCTTGTTCGGACTACTGACTGCGATAATTGAAAGGCCGCACACAATACCTACTGGGGCTCTAGCTAGGTCCAAATCACCAGTTACGAAGCATCTCGGTATTGAATTAGTTTTAGTGTAAGCATCGCATTACCCAGCAGAATTTCTCTTCTTCACTTTCTGATTATAGACAGTATACAATACTATTATGGGTTAGATATCAACAGCGGCTTTACCTGAGGCAAACGCTACTGATAAAGGGCAGCCAACCAGGTTTGTGGTCCTTTGTCCTTGGGTCCAGAGATGATTTACCTCCGCGTGTCTCCAACTTACATGCAGCTGCTGGGGTGACATTTAGACACGGTGGTCGGAGAGGGAAGGCAAGAAACCCGCTCACGGAAGGTTAGGCCCTTGCTACCGTTTTGGTCTTAGCGTTCTGTACCGCCTGGGCCTTCAAGCCGTACTAGAATAGCGTCGTAGGTATAGTTTGGAAGCGTGCTGTCGCCACGATATGAGCGAGCGGCTAGAGGGATGGAGATGCGACGTCTAAGTGACTGGTGGAGGTGGTTGAACTGTTGGATATATCGGGCAAATCTTCCGGACAGTCAGCTTCTAAGCGGAGAGGGGTGGCCGACAGTGAACATCATTCGGGTGTATAGAGATACCAGGAATGGCCTCCGGGTGACGTAAGCTACAACATTGAATCTACTGTTACATGCCATGGCGGATATGGACTTTCCCAGATCCGATCGTTCTTACAGTGACCGGAATTAGATGGAAGACGCGGAACGGGTTGGTGTTAAAGATCGAGTTCCCTTGGCCATGGATCTTTGGAAAGGTACGATCCGGGATGCCGGCTTGGCCTGAGAAACGTGACGACGTTCTGTACCATCCTGTCTGCCCGTTTGAGGCTCCGTTCAACTTGACGCGATGACGCCGGCTGTGAGACTCAGAAATACGAAAGTATGATCATTCGACCGTTCGAAGATTGGACGCGAGGAAGCTTGGAGCCATAATGTTTTCTGCCCAAAATCTTTGTTCAAGCTGTGCAAAACAAGATCACGTATCCTTGATTAGTTCCCGTGTCTTTGAAACCGGTAGCAGGGGTCTAGCCCGACCCCTTCCTTCTTTCTTGAGGCTTCCACTCTTTAAGGGCAGTCTTTGAACGAGTGCGTAGCTGTGTTGCCACGCATTTCAGGCATTGCCATGTTGGGGCTGGCGGCACCGATGAAATGAAAGTATTATTGGCGCTGCCACCAATGACGAATTTCTTCAGGGGACCAAACAGATAGAAACGGACCCCTTGCACCCGCGGCCAGCTCCGCGTGGACCCAATATCGATAAATTGCGCAGTACCAGGTAAATACAATTGTTCGTCCCACTAGCCAGGTTAGGATGGCGCTGATCAAATCAACATGAGAGCTTATGCGCTCTTGGCGACCACGGGCTGGCACACACAAGCCTTTTTCTCAGTAACATTACAATCAAGATAAATTGCCTTATGCAGTACGCAACTGCCCATGGGACTCCCTGTTCAAACAGCGGTTTTTCGAAAACCTGGGCTTTCGGTAAGTAAGTGGCACAGCTTCGTTTGTTGCGGGAGGCAGATGCTTCTCTTCCATCTTCTCCGCCAGCCTAACCTGATCCCGTAATGCGGGGGTATGTGCCGAAGGAGGGCAGCGCCCGGCACCTTGGCAGAGATCTGGGGGTACGCTCAGTGATGATTTCGAGTACTCTATCAGCATCCCGGGTTGCGTCGCCCAGGTCTTATCTACAAATGGTTAGACCTTAGAGGTGGGAAGGTGAACAAGTAAACGGAACTTCGGGGCGTAGAGACGGTTGTAATGAGACCATCGAGGGATGGTGCGGGCAATAGATGCAGGAAAGCAGACGCGTGATGGCCGAGGTGGGTGCTTGACACAGGAGGGACACGGACCTGATCGAATCCTCACGGCGAATGGGGCGAATGGTAGCGAGTCACTGGGCGGAGAAGACCGCACAGATGGACACCAAACTGCATACTTTGTACATGCAAGAACTAACATTACTCGGGAATAGTTGCATTCGGCGGGAGACCTCCGTGCCGAACACTGCCAGGAACGAAACGAAAGCCTCCAATGAACAGACATCGGCCTTGTCCCATTTCAGCAGGTTTAATTTATTTCGACCACTTGATTGCTCGATTTCTCCGGGTCGGCCACCCTGCGGCGTCACATCGCCGGATCTCCCCTGCTCCTTGTGGCCATTACCAGCACCGTCATCGCGCACAACGATACGCGAACCCCAACTCGGTCTCCAATAAGCTAGACTACCCCAAGCTACTTGCTTCTCCAACCCTTGGCGGTTCTTTTCATTTGAGGGGCGCACGCGCCATGATCAGCGTCCAATTCGGCATCCTGGGATGCTTGGCCTGACCTGGTGTACGGCTCCTAGGTCCCCTCAGCGGCGCTCTCTAGCTCACTGAACAGAGAGCCAGCCCAGGCTTGGGGCATTGGATCAGCCGGCCCATTCGATGCCAGCGGCCCGGTATCCGTCGGAGAGTCGTCTGGCCATTGGGGAGAAGGGCAGCTGAGTGGCCGGAGTCTCCCTCCCGACAAACGCACCGCAAAGGGCGGAGCGCGAGATCCATTCTCCTTGTCTCTTGTTCGATTCTTCTCCTAGCTAGCGGAATTCGACTCGTCTTTCCGTCCCTGACTTCACTCGGTGACTTGGCAAGGAGTCTGTATATAACGACCGGCTCCCAAGCTCTCACCATCGACCATTTTCGTCTTCATCCACCACCGGCTCAGACTCCTTCCCAGTCCTTACAGTCCACAGCTTCGACGCCCCTTCTGTTCTTGCTCCAAGATGTTCCGCAAGCTTACCGCCCTCGCGGCCCTGCTGTCTGCAGCCCAGGCACAGTCAGTATGCACGCTCAAGACTGAGACTCACCCCTCGATGTCGTGGCAGAAGTGCAGCTCCGGCGGCTCTTGCTCGACCGTCCAGGGTTCCGTCGTCGTCGACGCCAACTGGCGGTGGACCCACAGCACCGAGGGCTCTACCAACTGCTACACCGGCAACAAGTGGGACTCGTCCATCTGCTCGACCGACAAGGACTGCGCCAGCAAATGCTGCGTCGACGGTGCCGACTACCAGGCCACGTACGGCATCCAGACCAGCGGCAATGCCCTCACCCTCAAGTTTGTCCAGGAGAACAGCAGCGGCAAGAACATTGGCTCCCGTACCTATCTCATGGAGTCGGACACCAAGTATCAGATGTTCAACCTGCTGAACAACGAGTTCACCTTTGACGTTGATGTCTCGAACCTGCCTGTAAGTGCATCCTTATGCTCGATCGTATCTTGGGGTGGATGCTGATCTTGCGAATACCCATAGTGCGGCCTGAACGGTGCTCTGTACTTCGTCGCTATGGACGCCGATGGTGGCATGTCCAAGTACCCAACCAACAAGGCCGGCGCCAAGTACGGTACTGGCTACTGTGATGCTCAGTGCCCCCGTGACCTCAAGTTCATCAACGGCGAGGCCAACATTGAGGGCTGGAAGCCTTCCTCCAACGACGCCAACGCCGGCATCGGCAACTACGGCTCCTGCTGCGCTGAGATGGACATCTGGGAGGCCAACAGCATGTCGACGGCCTTCACCCCTCACCCTTGCGACACCTCGGCCCAGCACCGGTGCGAGGGCGACACCTGCGGTGGGACGTACGCCAGCGACCGGTACGGCGGCGACTGCGACCCCGACGGATGCGACTTCAACTCGTACCGCATGGGCGTCAAGAACTTCTACGGCCCCGGCATGACCGTCGACACAAAGTCCAAGTTCACCGTCGTGACCCAGTTCCTGACCAACAGCGCCGGCGACCTCTCCGAGATCAAGCGCTTCTACGTCCAGGGCGGCAAGGTCATCGCCAACTCCAACAGCGCCATCTCGGGCGTCTCGGGCAACTCGGTCACGGCCGACTTCTGCACCGCCCAGAAGACGACGTTCGGCGACAAGGACATCTTTGCCAAGCACGGCGGCCTCAAGCAGATGGGCGCCGGCATGAAGCAGGGCATGGTCCTCGTCATGTCCCTGTGGGACGACCACTACGCCAACATGCTGTGGCTCGACTCGACCTACCCCGTCGACTCGACCAGCCCCGGCGCCGCCCGCGGCTCCTGCGCCACCACCTCCGGTGTGCCGGCCGATATCGAGGCCAGCATTCCCAACTCGAGCGTCGTCTTCTCCAACATCAAGTTCGGCCCGGTCAACTCTACTTACAGCTCCTCGACTGGCGGTGGCGGCAACAACGGCGGTGGAAACAACGGTGGTGGCAATGGTGGTACAACGACGACGACTTCCAGCGGGCCGGTGGGCACGAATGTTGCGTCGCACTGGGCTCAGTGCGGTGGCATCGGCTACAGTGGCCCGACCGCCTGCGCCAGCCCTTACACTTGCACGAAGCAGAACGACTGTAAGTCATGATATTCTTTACCCTTATTTCTCGTTCACTGTATACTGATGCTTCTTCTTTCAACAGACTACTCTCAGTGCCTGTAAGTGACGGAAACCCTTGTATCAGTTACGCAGATCCAAGTCAGGAGGACTAGGCCGTCATGACAATTCACACGGCCTCGTTGGGGTGTTGGGACAATAAAATTGCATAGTTATCGCATATCTTGCATCTGTATATAGTTCTCGGTCTCTTTGATCATTCAGTATATACTTCTATCATTTCAAACCATTTATCCATGGACAGTTTGTTCAATATCAGGAATTCTGTCTATGATTAAGATTCATCTACCTGGATAGCTCTCGTCTAGCCCCAAGATCTAATGCCGGAAATCAGACCTCATTGTAGTTCACGTTACAATATCAATAAGATCCCAACGCATTCCCAGTACAGATGAATCGCCGTATAGAGACCTTTAGAAGACCATACCCTTGGTCTGTTTCATGTTGGCAACGTTCAGGTTCCTCATGATAAAGACCCAGATAAAGCCAAGGGCCATGATACCAGTGCCAGCAGCGAGCATGCGGGTCTGCGAGTAAGCATACGCCTGCTGAATACCCAAGCGCTCGGGGGAGCCCTGCGGGTAGCTCAGCTGGACGTCCAAGCCGCCATAGATGGAGTCGATGTCGCCCTGTGCAGACTCGGGGAGGTACCTAGCCAGCGCGGCCTCAAAGGTGTTGGTCCAGATGGCGCCCGAGATGGCGCCGCCGATGGCGCCACCCGCCGTGCCGGTGACGTTGAGCAGGGCCAAGGCGGCGGCGACGTACTGGTGGTCGACGGCCGCGAGCACGGCGAGCTGCATGCAGATGATGAAGACGCTGCCGCCGATGGAGATGAAGATCTGGCACATGACCAGGTAGCCGATGTAGCCGGTGGGCTGGCGGAAGTAGATCATGAGGCCCTGGGCGAAGATGTAGAGCGGCACGCCGACCCACAGCAGCCACTTGAAGTAGCCCGTGCGGCGGATGCCGTAGCCGACGATGAACAGCAGCACGCCCGAGACCACGTTGAAGGTGTTGGTGACGTAGCCGGCCTCGGCAGGGCTGAGGTAGTTGACCACCTGCAGGAAGGATGTGAAGTAGTAGTTCCAGCAGTAGTACGAGATCTGGTAGGTCAGGTCCAGCATGCAGGCGCCCACGACGGTGCGGTCCGTCAGGAAGCCGAACTTCAGAAACGGTACAGGGGCGATGAGGAGTTCATTGATGGCGAAGGCGACGAGCAGCACGAATCCGACAACAATCATGGCGATGATGTAGCCAGTGCTCCAACCGTTGGGGGCGTTACTGGCAATGTTAAAGGGCAGCAGGAAGATGACCAGGCCGGCGGCGAAGAGGAAGACGCCAATTGCTGGGACGGGTTAGCTACTAGGGTCAGAGGTACAGATCTGGGCTAGTCTCGACCTACCGTCAAACTCGATCACGTAGTGTACGATACTCTGAACCAGAGTTCGCCCGCTCTTCTCCCTCACCAGGCGACCCTGCTGTTGAGCTTTGCGGATGTTGGTCTTGAGAAGGATGAACAAGGGCGCCGCAACGAAAGGCAGCAGGATGGCAAAGATGCCGAAACCCCACGGCCAGTTGATGGTATCAAGTATAGACTGAGCAGCAGCGGAGCCGGCAAAGGTCGTGATCATGTAGGGAGACGAGGTAAAAGCGTACGCCAAGGCACGGTTCCGGAGGTTGGTCGCATCCGCGGTGACGACATCGATGGTGTAGATCAGACCGGTGAAGCCGACAGAATAAAAGACCTGTACTCAGTGTGCTATTAGCCAAAGAGTTTCTGGGAACATTGCATGACTACTGAAAATCAGTCCTACATTTGCGGCACAGAAAGTTTCCAAGTTCTTGCTGACAGCCATAAGGATGAGGCCCAGAGTGGACATGAGAACCATGAGGGCAAATCCCTCGGCTCGCCCCCAGAGATCCAGGATCTTGGCCAGTGGAATGAAGACGGCAGCCGACATGCTGCTGGAAACCACGCTGATGACCGTCAGGAGCGAGTGTGACTGGAAGTCGCTTGTCACGTAGGGAGTTAAGACGCCGAGGATGGTGGTCTGGAATGCATTGAACAGGTAGATCAACCAGATGCTGGTGAGGTACTGCGAGTTAGCGGTGGAATAGAAGCTAGAATAAGCTGGGAATCACCATACAAGAGGAAGACGCAGACCAGTGATTTCTTGGACCAGCTGAGCGTCACGGCTTCCATGTCCTGTACACCGTGCTGGACATCCTCACTGGGGACGACATCCTCGTCGGGCTTCTCGTCGGCGTTCGGCTCGGCGGTAGCCCCGGCGGTAGCCTCATTGTCAGTATTACCAGCCGGTAGGATGACGTCGGCAGGAGCATTGTCGTTCTGCTTGCGCCCAAGGCCCGGGCGGATCATGTCTTTGATTCCCATCTTGGTGAAGAGCTGTCTAGGTACAAAGCACACCTTCGTCGTGATTATTCGTGGAACCAGAAGATCCCGGGAAGGCAAATCTCTTGGAAACAAGGTGTTCCACGATCGTCCTTAAAAAGATTTTCTCATCCCGCATCCCGCACCGACTCTGCCAGCAAAAGTCCCAGAGCTTGCTGCCCTCACGACCCGCATCAGATAAGATTAGATCCGCGGGTGGGGACTGCATCATGCCACGAGCGAGATCGGCTCACAGCTTGCCCACGTTTTCACGGTTAATGCGGCATGGAGCAGGATCAGGTATTTGTTGACGTGCTCATATGGATCCACAGGCTTGTCTTGATCGGGCATTCTATTAAGGGTGGTGGACCGATTTGGAGCTTGGAAAATTCGTGGGAATAGTCTAGACGAATTTTCATCTAATCTGATTCGATGTGATTGATTAGATTCGGCTTCCTGCCGACTCAGAAATCGACGCCTGTCCGGGCCGGTTCACTACTCTGGTCCACCGTTGACGCCACTAAACCCGCGCCGGCAGTCTACTATCGGTGCTCTCGACTCTTCAGAGAAATTTTCTTGCCTCCAAGCTCTGACAGGAGATAGCCCATCTTGGCATTGGAGTCCGGGAACTGTCGCCATTGGTGGCTTCGTACAGCGGCAGCGGAGCTTGGCAATTGCTTGACCTCAACGACAATGACAGAAAAGCACAAGTGGGCAAATTTGCAAGCCCAGTAGGGGCACAATCAGGTGGAACGAGCCTTGGAGGTAAATGGTATTAAGCTATGTTAGAGCTATCGGACATACCAAATCCCACTGACCGGGAAACCTTTCGATCGAGGCATATGCAGCTGTCGACGGTCAAGATGCCAAGGGAGGCCATAGAGTCTCCTTGACCATGGTTAAGCATCCTCTGTCACATCTTAGAGGGTTCGAGAGGCAATGCTCCTAATCTGTCGAGTATCGTGAAGTTACTCCACGGTGCGCTTGTCTTGCTCCAGATGCTGTGCGCTCTCCACCCTCTTGGCCTCAATGTCACCAGCCTCAAGATCCAGCTGCTTGGCCTCGAGCTCGTGGCCGATGTTCATGCCGGCCGGCATAGACCTCTCGAAGTGTCTGCCTCGCTTCTCAGGTCCCAGGGCAGTCCACACGGCGATACCCGTCGCAATGATGGCGGTGGCGATGCCCATGGTGGGACCATAGGCCTCGACCATCTTTCCGTTCGGCGCACGGATGAGGTGGCTCTCGGCAATGGCGTTGACGATCTGGGCCGACGGGGACGAGATCATGTTGCCGATCTGGTAGGTGATACCGGGGAAGGATGACCGGAAGGCCGGGGGAGACAGCTCGTTCAAGTGGATGGGAATGACACCCCAGGCGCCCTGGACGAAGAACTGCATGAAGAAGCCCGTGGCGCTGAGCGATCTCTCTTCCGTCGGCAGGATCCAGGCAGGGATGAGACAGGCGCTAACAATGGCGGCGACGACGATGGTTCGGCGACGACCGAACCACTGCGAGGTGTAGCCAATGATGGTTCCACCAACGCAGGCACCGGCCTTCATGATGATGCTGGCACGGCTGGCCCCGGAGTTGTTAAGCTGCTTCTGGGTGACCATAAAGGTGGTGTAGTTGTCTTGGGAGGTGTGGCTGTAGACTGTGATACCCATTTCTGTCAGTATGAAGACCAAAATGGGGTTTTGGAAGACCAGACTGGGTGGGAATGGCGCTTACAGTTGAACCAGGTCATCAAGATGATGCAGTAGATGCACAAACGCCACTCCTGGCGCAGCATCTGCCACGTCTCAGCCCAGAAGCGCGACGCGATGTTGCCCTGCTTTCCGGCCTTGCGGGCCTCGATGAACTGCTGCGACTCGGGGAAGAACGCGCGGATGATGCCGACACCGATGGACAGGCCAGCGCCGGCCCAGAAGACCTTCTTCCAGCTCTCGTCACTGCCGCCGACGCCGAGGTTGGCACAGGCGGCCAGGACGTAGCCGAAGGAGTAGCCCTGCTGCAGGATACCGGACATGAGACCACGGGCGTCGACGGGGCTGTTCTCGAGGGCCATGGCGATGGCGTTACCGTAGCTGTGGTCACGCAGGTTAGTTAACCGGGCATGGTAAAGCGAACGCGAAATGGACTGAATCTTACACTCCACCCATGAACAGGCCGAACAGGGCGCGAACACCCAAAAAGGCGCCGTAGGTCGGGCAATACAGCGTCGCGATCTGGAGAAGGCCCAGCACGACCATGTTGACCACCATGGGCCACTTGCGACCCCACTTGTCACCAGCGAAGCCAAAGATGGCGGCGCCGACCGACCGCAGGAGCAGCGTCAGCGTGATAGCGGTCGAGATGTCGGTCTTAGTGCGGCCGTAGAAGTGGGCGAGCTTGACCTGCTGGATGGACAGCGAGTGGAAGTCAAAGGCGTCGGCGGTCCAGGCGGTGAAGCCGACGATGAAGAAGACCCAGTCCTTGGCCGACAGCTGGGCCATGAGGCTGATAGGGTTCTTGAGCGGGACGGGCACCGCCCACTCGGTGTGCACCTCGCCGTCGGCATTGAGCACCTCGCGACGCTGGCGCCAACGGAAGAGGTCGCCAAAGGACTGCTTCGCCGTGGCGAAGGTGCCCTTGGCCACGGGCTCGGCTGGCTCGTGAGTAGACTCCATGTTGCGCTGGCGATTGAAGAAGCTCGACACTGATTAAGAAATGAAGTATCGGGGCTTGGTGAGGGTCAAAGAGGCAGAGAAAGGGCAGCACGGCCAGGTATTATTTACTCCAAGATTAGGAATCTTGCGCGTCTAAAAGTCCCAAGCTGCAGTGCGACTCGAGCCTGTGTCCGGTTCCGGGTTGGTAAGCCCTGTCTCGTTACCAAATGCAAGGACACGGAACCGATTTGACAGACTTTACACGAGATGCGACCTCGACTTAAATACACGGTCGGGTCCAGGTCCGGGTCCAGAGCAACGCTCGCACACCGCACGCGTTGGGATCCAGTACATCCCACTTCCACACGCTGGCGGCCCCATGGGGCACCCATTGCCTACCCTCCCTGTAGCACGGTGGACGGGATCACCATGGGTGGTGGAGCTGGAATAGTGGCGGCACCAAAGCAGGTTCTCACAGTGAGAGCCGGCCCCCCGATTGCACCCGGCTTCTTCGTGCTCTGAGTCGGCTTCCTCGAGTCAACTTCTAAATCCTACGGAACAAAGTGCGAGACAATGAGCCAATCTCAGCGATGGGGTATGGTACTTTTGCCTCGCTATCCCTGTTTAGATGCAACCTCGAAAAGACCAGATGCTGATCTCTCCACCCCGGGTTGTGTGCGCTGGCTGGGTTCAATGCACTGCGTCTACGTGTGTGTGTGTGTGTGTAAGTACTGGTATGTGCGAAAAATTGAGCATCTGCAGTATCTAGGCGCGATGGCGGCGCCGCTCCGATACAACATTGACGGACCAAAATCCGGGGCCGCTTACTTCATCCAGCATCGTCCTCTCCGTCTGCCCCCGGTTACTACACAGTTCCCTTCCTCCGTGTGTTGCGGCTCTTACGATTGTTCCTCGTCTCGTGCAATCCAACTGTGCGAGACGCGCGCTGCGAGACGATGCCAAGAGATAGACAAGCAATATACATATATCAATGCACCCTCCAATATCATACTTACATGATTAATGACAGACCTTGCTCCTTGGCGCCCAGACATTGTCCAGACTGCATCGGGAAGCTCATTCGGTGAGCGCAAACGGGTCGGAGCCGGGTCTTCTGATGCTTGGTGACCATGGCAGTCAGCAACCGGCGTGAGCCAAGCGTCTTGGCGTGCAAGCCAAGCAGAGCCAAGACGAGGGGAAAGTGGCCATATCGCCAATACCGAGCCCAATGAGCGTCGCCTGCTCCAAGGTTTGTATGTCGCGGTCCGATTGCCACTCCAGGTCGATTGAGACAAGCTTGTCCTCTGGCTCACTCCGGAAATCTTTCGTGTGAGGGCATGCATGCGGGCGCAGAATAGTGGCTCGTTGGTTGAGCATGTTACCTCGATTCGCCAGTGAACAAGACCAGGGATGGGAATTGTTCTTGGCACAGCGATGGCGCAATCGTTTTAGTCGGCCGACTTTTCACGATGGCGCACCCAAGGGCCAACACCGGGCCCGAAATTTACTCGTCCGTGCTAGGGGCAAATGGCCCAGCCTGGAACACTCCGGACTCTGGGGAATCTAGGGAGGCGCTACTCCTAGGTATTGAGAAGACGAGCAGACGGCGCCTTCGAAACCCTCTCACCCAGCCTGAAAGTTGAGAGACAAATGTTCGGATCAACATGCCGGTCCAGAGACACTTAGCTCCGGAACTGGCAGCTTAGCTTTTGAGCTTGTTTCACGGGATCGAACGCAGGTGTGTAGTACGAACAAGCGGCAAGCTTGGCCAGACCAGCGCGCCACGAACCGCCCGCGCCCAGCCTGCCCAGGTGCGGCTACAGTGCCAGCCAAGAGATCCAAAGGCTGAAACACGTTTTCTAGATACGATAATTGGGCGGCGACCGAACGATGTTTCTGACGACTAACCGACTCTTGGCGATAATTGCACGCCTTTCCGAGATGGCACACAAGATAAGGCGAAGAGATCCATTCAGTGGTGGCGGCTGTATGCATCTATTCCGAAGACTGAACTATGTTTGAAATGTCTAGTAAAGCCAGATCTACTTTGGCCTGGCTCCCTTCGTTTCTTCCACTGGTACACCTAACCCATGGGAGTCGGCTGTCGCCTCCACGTCAGCAGTTGCGGCAACCTCTGGCTTTCGCGGCGGCAGGTCATCCCTCCAGAAACCCCAGCCCCCTCCCCAACCAACCCAGCCCGTCTCCTTCGGACCTCGAGCCAATGTGACAAGGAGTGCAAAGCCTAATAAGCCCACTAGCAACCCGGGTTAGCCCGACTTTGTTTCTCGGCGGAGGGAGGGCCGGCAAGCAAAGCAACAACTTACGGCTTAGTCCTTCACTGTATCTCCAGCCACCCTGAGCGTATAGCCTATTCCCTGCCGCGGTTCCAGTAAGCTGGCCACTGAATGCTGCCAGCATATAGGCCGTGTTGATCCGGTTGGACGCTTTGGGGTCGATCCTGTAGATGACGGTGCGCATCGCAATCGTGCTGACTTGGTTTCCAAAGTCGTTCAGCATGGCCTGCAGGATCGGTCCAGCGACGGTGAATGTGCCTGTCGAGAGGCCGATGGATACGCCAACCATGGTCAGTGCGACTCCGATGACGACCGAGTTATGGTAAACTAGCTTATCCATGATGAAGCGGCTGTAAACTGGGCCGCAGCAGATCGCAAAGATCCCAATGAGGCCGAAGAGACCAATGACGATAGGTGGGTAGAAGTAGGGCGCTGACGACAACAGAAAGGACAATGTCGTCCAGTAAGAGGTGAAGACGGCGCTCATGCAGAAAGCAATGATGCACGTCTGCAACAGCGCAGGTTTCGTGACAGTAAGCTTCGCAATCGTCCAGAGCATGTGGATATAGTTTAGACCATCGGGGTTCTTGGAGGGATAGTCGGGCAGGAAAAGGAAGAGCAGGGTAAGGAGAGTCCACTGCAGAGCGAACCCGACCCAGTAGATGTTGCGCCAGTCAGTATAGTTCGCGACGATGCCAGAGAGCACACGGGCGACGAGCATGCCTAGCGCCAAGCCACAGACCACGATGGACATTGATGTCGCTTTGCGGTGTGGCGGTGCGAGTTCTCCAACCAACGGAAGCATGAGCTGCGGCGTGACCGTGGTGAAACCGGCTACGAATGAAATACCGCGGAACAGGTTGAAAGAAGTCGAAAGGCAAAGAGCAAGCCACTGGTTGTCCAGTCAGTACGACATCCACAGGCCATTGCGGGAGAGGTACTTACAATAGTTGCGGTGAACGCAATCAAGCACAGTATGAAGGGCCGCCTAGGGAACACGTCGCCGAGAGGGCAAATCAAGAGGAGTCCAGCAGCATAGCCGGCCTGGGTTAAAGTTGCAATGGTCGACGACTGCTCGAAACTAACTCCAAAAGTCTCGGCAATACGGTTGAGAATAGGCTGGTTGTAGTACAGATTGGCCACAGTGACCATAGCAGCCTGGCTAGTTTTTAGCCAAGTATCCCATGGAGTCTTGGTAACGGTACTCCTCAGAATTGTCGACTTACCGCACCGAACAGGATGTTCAGCCCAAGAGACAGGCGAGGCGGGTTATCAGGGTCATAGCGGCAAGCCTTAGGAGACCACATGAGCAGACTGCACACGCCATGCCAGACTCTTGTTCGTGGTCCGGCGGTAGTAGCCGCATCTGCCCTCCCGGCGCCGTTCGGGTCAACCGACCCAATATCTCGGCGCTCACTACCGGCAGGTCGCTCGTCGTCTGGGCTCCATGATCCTGCCTCCTCGTCACTTGCCGTCTCTAGCTCAGAAGTCGACTTCAAATCACGGGTGTCAGTCACAGGCGCTCGATTACTGCCAACACGCCGTATCGCGTCCTTCTCGTCGTCTTCCCTCATTGCGTAGTGGCTCGGAGATATCCGCGACAGCCGACCGATACCGGCTCTCGGGAACTATCGATGCCAAGATGCTGGGCACAAGCTTTGGCAGTCATAAAGAATAGGTGATTCTCCTGGTAGCGCACAATCAGCAACGCAGAGGGAGCATCAGGATCTCTCTGGGCTTGTGGAATGAGAGAACGCACGCTTGAGAAGTGGTTAAACTCCTGGATGGAAAAGAAAATCACGAATAAAATATTACCCGAAGGCCATGACCGAGCATCGGGGATCCACTTCCGGGTTGTTTCCGATAACTAGCACCCTTTCCGCCAAGGTGGGAACCTCGGGGAGTTGGCAAGTCTTCGGAGATAAGTGCGCAGTGACGTGATGCTCTCAGATGTCCCACATCCTGATATTCCGAATGCGATGCCGGGCCTGGCCAAACAGAAAGAACTGCAAAATAGATATAAATTCTGTCAAGGCCTGCATGCGTACTCATTCAGCTAGTCACTCTACGCACTTTCCATCCTCACCGCAGCCACGACATCAACCATCTTTCGAAAGAGATATTCAACTACGAGAACCAAGATTGAGAGCAATAATCATAGTTCTCAGCCTGCACGAACATGAAAGAACTGCAATTGTCAGTTAGGGATATTTGCGTCTACTTTCAACGAAGATCGCCGGTACTGCACAAGTGGGAAGACTGGTGATCAAGTCAGTTGACATTCTCGCATTGCTCCAAGTAATACAAGACTAGGCACAATTCAATTGCGACTCCTACGGACAATCTGGGGATGCCGGGCCCACCAATAAGCGCAGCTGGATGACTGAATGCAGGTGACATCCTGAAACTGAAACGGAAGCTTATCCCACTGGTGGAGGTGGAGGGAATTATGCATGCTCTATATGAGTACCATCCAAAGCCATGAGGCAAAGAGATCAATGCAGGGTTACGAGGTGCAAGTGCCAGGCATCGTACTCAGTGACTCAGTTTGTAGTTGTGCTTAACTGGATTCGACCACCACATGATTTGCTCGGAAGCAAATCCTCCTCTTCTCGTCAGTTCTTGCTTTCTTCGGTGATGCCGAACCGTCTTAATCTCGACTCCATATCCAAGCCGTCAAGATGATCGCACGTTTGCTACGCTCGTTAGTCTATCTCCTCGTCTTGGACCTCAGTGTAGCCCCAGTATGTGCACGGCACAGATCGGTATCGACACCAGGAGGAACCACTTGCAACAACGCACGCAATCGGGGTTGTTGGACAGATTCCATCGATATCAATACCGACTACGAGGACCTTACCCCGGTAACGGGAAGAGAGAGAACTGTAGGTGGCGTGGTCAAGGTCCACATATTGCCTATAGCTAACTTTTGCCAGTATACGTTCGTGTTGACAGAAGTCGACAACTTTATCGGTGGCGATGGTGCGGTCAAGAAGAAAGCGATGCTAGTGAATGGCCAGTTTCCCGGCCCGATCATTAACGCAGGTAATGATGTTGCACCGTCTGTGTCTCTGAAATCAACCGCTTAACTATGCTTTCAGACTGGGGCGACCGCATTACCATCACTGTAGTCAATCGACTGCAAACAAATGGGTGAGCATGCCAGTAGCTCAATTCTCATGGTGCCTTCAATGCTGACGAAAGCAGGACGTCGGTCCACTGGCACGGAATCCGACAACTGTATAGCTGCACGCAAGACGGCACGAACGGCGTCACCGGTTGTCCGATCCCACCTGGCGGCCAAAAGCGGTACTCGTTTCTAGCCACCCAGTATGGGACGGCATGGTAAGCCGACCCAGAGAATGACCCGCGAGACTTAATATTGGCAACCTTCCACTTATTGACCATCATGTCCTTGACCAGGTACCACTCTCACTTCTCGGCCCAGTACGGCAATGGGGTCTTGGGGGCCATAGTCATCAACGGTCCTGCCTCGCTCAACTACGACATCGACCTCGGCCCTTTGCTAATCGGTGACTGGTATCACATGGGTGTAGACGCCATCGTGTCGCGCGTCAATGACCCCCGCAACCCATACCGTGAAAATGTTCCCGGATCGTCGCCACCAAGCGACAATGTCTTATTCAACGGACTCAACGTCAACACGAGGGGCCCAGGCGGCGACTACCACACCGTCGTTCTCACCAAGGGCGCCAAGCACCGTCTGAGGTTGATCAACCACTCAGTTGAGAACACATTTACCGTCAGCATATCAGGACACTCCTTCTGGATCATCGCAACAGACATGGTTCCCGTGAAGCCGGTACGGGTTGACAGCGTGTACATGTCGATAGGTCAACGATACGACATCGTGATCGAAGCTGATCAGGAAGTGGCCACGTACTGGATCAACGCCACCTTTTCTAGTGCGCCATGTGGCTCATCGCGCAACAGCCACCCAGCTGCGGTGGTCTCATATAAAGGTGCGGCACACAAGCTCCCCAAAGACTACGGAGCAACGCCGCCAGACTCGCTCTGTGCCGATCATCTCGGCTTCCAGCCGGTGGTGCAGAAGATTCCCCCGCTAGACAAGTTCCAAGGCTCGCCAGAGGAGATCCTTGATGTCAAGCTGAGAGTGGAGGACAGCATCGCGCGGGTATTCTGGCCTATCAACAATACACCCATGAACATATCGTGGGGTCAGCCTACACTTCGATACGTCCAGTCGGACAAGGTCTTTGAGATGAATGCCGGGGAGAATGTAATTCATGTCCCAGGGGAGGAAACAGTAAGCGCACATTTGCCACAAGCTCTCATCTTTTCCGCAACTAACTTGATGGGTATCTAGTGGGCCTTCTGGCTTATTCAGAATGATTCTCCCATACCCGTAAGTCTTTTGATACACTTCTGCTAAATTCTTCAAGAGCTAACATCACAATAGCATCCGATGCATCTCCATGTAAGCCTCCTTTCTCTGCGACTTAGAAGAAACCCCGTACTGACCTCAAAAAGGGACACGATATCTTAGTCTTGGGGTCATCTGACCCGCTTGCCAAGCCGAGAGAGCATAGCTTCAGGGCTTACAATCCCGGGTCTGACAAAGGCCGCCTCAATGGATTCAATCCCACCCGCCGCGACACGACCGTCCTCCCCGCATACGGCTGGTCTGTTGTCGCTTTCCACACAAACAACCCTGGCGCGTGGGTCTTCCACTGTCACGTCGCCTGGCATGTGTCGCAGGGCATGAGCATACAATTCTTGGAGCAAGAGAGTAAGATACCGGAGGTGATGAAGCTGGAGGATATTGACGAGAACTGCAACGCCTGGAATGATTGGTATCCAATGAAAGCACCGTTTCAGCAAGATGAGCTTGGTTTGTAAAGCGGCAAGGGTTTAATGTGGTATTGGGTAGCTTAGTTTGACGACAACTAATTCGATTGCATGCGTGCGATTTACAGCAGTATGGCCAGAGAATCTTAGCCTGATTGATTTCAAACCTCTGCAGTAACGCAGCCAGCGTGCACCTTTTCCAAGGTCCGTTTTGTGGACGGTAAGCACCATCTTAGGTCAGTCGAATGAGTTCACGTGGTAAGGCTCATAATCTCACCAACCCTTTGCAAACTTGCGCCACACGGAATCTCGGGGCTGCGCATCCAAAGGCAGGACAGAGTAAGCACCGCAGCTGATGTAGGTACCACCTTGCTTACCATCCATACTTATCAGGAGGCGCCCGCCGCCCCCGCCACGACTGTCATACACTTGGCCACTGTGTCTGCGGTCACTCCTTTTGGCGGGACGCGGTACCATTCGTTGCCGTGGTCATTTCGGCTGACAGGTTCTGATAATAGCCCTGCAAAGTGTCACCATGTATCTCACAAAGTCTTATTGGTAGGCCATACATGTCAAGTCAGCTAGTGTGTCGTGATGCGATCTGACTACACCAGCCACGCGTCCGCCTTCTCATTACAACTATTCTGGAGAAGGCTGGGTGCCTGTGGTTTTCGTGCCTTTTGATCGTGGGCTACATGGATCGATGACTATGAAAACTCAAGATGTATAAAGGTAACACGTCCCGCACCGTCCAATCCGGATCTTGTCTTTTACACAAACACACTAACAACCAAAGCTAATTCCTTGATTGCAACCGTGCTTTACAACACCCAACTTCACTTACAAGTTATTCCCAACCCTCACCCAAACCCCACGCGCCAGAATGACTCCCGATCAGCAGAAGGGTCTCCAGGTCCAGAACGACGGCCGCAAGGGCAAGAACCTCAAGCCGCTCGAGTGGGACCAGAAGCTCTGCCAGGAGGCCCAGAAGTGGGCTGACCACCTGGCCAAGGACGTCGGCCACATGGAGCACTCCAAGGGCGACCAGCGACCTAACCAGGGCGAGAACCTCTTCTGGGGCTGGGCCCAGCCCGGCCCTTACAAGGACCCCTACGCCAACGCTGCCCACAGCTGGATGAACGAGGCTTCCAAGTACCACGGCGAGAAGATTGGCGAGGGCAACTTTGCCGACTTTGGCCACTACAGTGAGTCTAGCCCTTCCCCTGTTTCCGAGTTCGACCCACCCAGTACTGATATGATTTCGCCTCTGTCTAGCCCAGTGCATGTGGCACAGCACTACCAAGGTCGGCATGGCCTCTGCCACCGACAAGAAAGGCGGAGTCTTTGTCGTCGGCCGCTACTCTCCCCCTGGCAACTGGTGAGTTGACCCTTTACAGGCTTCTCTATCGACACAAGAGTTTCCCGCTAACATACAACCACAGGTCTGGCCAGAAGCCCTACTAGATTCTGACGTTTGATCGAGGATTGCATAGCGCGGAATAGGAGTCTGGAGTTTTGTGCAGGCGCTCTTTTGGCCAACCCACGTTCATTATCATCCCTAAACACCTAAACAAAGACATCAGACCATACAAGGATACATAGAGTCTAGCAGAGCATTTTGCCCCATAATCTCACTACACTCTAAAGAATCTCGGTCCGCCATCCCGGGTCCGTCTCGTAGCAGCTGTAGGAAAAGGCTCAAGCCATTCTCAAGGAGGCCTAGATTCTCTATCTCGCCTCGATCTGTTTCTGATCCATCTGATCTAGTCGTGTTTCCGGCTCCCGAAAGTGCAAACGAGTTGTCTGATAGGTCCGTACTGAATCACTGACGTGTTTAAGACCCCGGCCTCTATTACCGCTGTCAACCTCGCCGCCCACTAATCCCGATTGGGTACCACGGAGTAAGCACCTCCGCCTCCTAAGAATCGTCCCAAAAGGGAAGTCCAAATTACACCCGAGCCGGGGTCTGACCTCTCCTTATAATCACAAGAAGAGCATTTCATCAAAGAGGATTGTTTTCCATGATGAAGGCCTTCATTCTTCCTCACTTCCATCCGGAGCTCAAATATCATGGCCGACGAAATCAAGAGCAGTAGCGGAGCGCAAGCCGAGCATGAGGGGAAGCCAGGAGCGCAGGTAGAGGAACACTACCCGGTCGTCGTGGAGGGTGCAGGTGTCACGGCCAAAATCGAAGGGGCGCATGCCAAGACCGTTCATAATGTGAGTTTTTCTCCGAGGGAGTCGGCGCCGAGTCCGGCAGTTGATGGCGTTCGGATCCGCTAACCGCGCGCTCTCACTCCACACATACAGGCCGAGCTGTTTGCCGCGACGCAGGAGACCAAGATCAAGAAGTGGAGCAAGGAGTCGCGACAACTCTACTGTGAGCCTTGTCGCATCGAGTTGTGGAGGGAGTGTGTTCTCTAATCTTACGCGCACCAGTTGCAATCTTCATCGCCTTTTGCTGCGCCTGTGCAAACGGCTACGATGGTATGAGCCTCGCAACATCCAATCCAGCATTGGACCCTTGAAACACAATAGAAAGACTAACCATCCTGGCAGGCTCTCTCATGACGTCCGTCCTGGCCATGAGCCACTTCCAAAACACCTTCCACAGCGGCACCACCGGCCCCAAGGTCTCTGTCATCTTCTCCCTGTACACAGTGTAAGTCTCACGCAATGTCTTTACCCAAGCCCCAAAACCATCAACAAGAACAATCACTCACCACTGACCCGACTCGTAGAGGCTCCATGTGCGCCGCCCCCTTCGCCGCCATCCTCTCGGACCGCTTCGGCCGGCGCAAGGCCATGTTCGCGGGGGCATGGGTCATCGTGATCGGCGTCATCATCATCTCGACCTCGTCGCACATCGCCCAGTTCGTCGTCGGCCGCTTCGTCCTGGGCGTCGGCATCGCCGTCATGACCGTCGCGGCCCCGGCCTACGCCGTCGAGATCTCCCCGCCGCACTGGCGGGGCCGGTGCACGGGCTTCTACAACTGCGGCTGGTTCGGCGGCAGCATCCCCGCCGCGGCCGTGACCTACGGCACCAACTTCATCGACAGCGACTACTCGTGGCGCGTGCCGCTGATCCTGCAGGCGTTCGCGTGCGTCATCGTCATCGCCGCCGTCTTCACCCTGCCCGAGTCGCCGCGGTTCCTCATGGCCAACGGGCACGAGGAGGAGGCTGTCGACTTCCTTGTGCGGTACCACGGTAACGGCGACCCCAACTCGCGGCTCGTGCTGCTCGAGGTCGAGGAGATGAAGGAGCACATCCGGCGCGACGGTATCGACAAGCGTGATTTTGACTGTACGTAACCTTCTTTTCACTCACACCCCTAACCCCCATGCCGCGCTACATGTAGCACACACTCATACCCTCTCTCCCTCCAGACCGGCCGCTCATCTTCTCCCACGCCGGCCGCTGGCGCATGGCCCAGGTCCTCATGATCTCCATCTTCGGGCAGTTCTCGGGCAACGGCCTCGGCTACTTCAACACCGTCATCTTCGCCAACATCGGCGTCAACACCGTCAGCCAGCAGCTCGGCTACAACCTGTTGACCTCGGTCGTGTCGGCCATCGGCGCCGGCATCGCCGTCACCCTGACGGACAAGATGCTCCGCCGGCCCGTGCTCGTCTTCGGCACGCTCGCCTGCGCCGCCACCCTGGCCGTCAACTCGGGCCTCTCGGCCGCGCTCGACAAGCAGCAGAGGGAAGACGGCGAGATCCAGACATCGTACGCGAAGGGCGCGCTCGCCGCGTATTTCCTGTTCAACGTCGTTTTCTCCTTTACCTACACTCCCCTCCAGGCGGCCGTTCCTACCGAGGCTCTCGAGACGACGATGCGCGCCAAGGGTCTCGCTGCTTCGGCCTTCATCGTCAACGCCATGAACTTTATCAACCAGTTCGCGGGCCCGATCGCGCTGCAGAACATTGGCTACAAGTACATTTACATCTTTGTCGGGTGGGACATTATTGAGGCGTTGATGTGGTACATCTTTGGGTACGTATCCGCGTTTGTACTTGGGAAAGGACATAGATGGATCATGCGCCGCTAACACACCGCTCCTTGGCTTACAGTGTCGAATCCCAAGGCCGAACATTGGAGCAGCTGGAATGGGTGTACGACCAGCCGAACCCAGTCAAGGCGTCGCTCAAGGTCGACAAGGTCATTGTGCAGGCCGATGGCAAAGTGACTGAAAAGGTTGTTACGACAGACTTGAGGACTAATACTCGACCTGGCGACGAGCTCGCTGCTTAGATATCAATCCGGGTGACTCTGGTGGTACCTTTAACAATCACGAAGAGGGGGAATATCGTAGCTCAGGACTGAATCGGGAAGAAACGTGGCCAACAACACGTAGCACACAAGACGGAGTGAAATGGAAAAATCAAGATATTACTCCCTCATCAGGCCATGTTTTCCCAAGCCTACAAGACTCCCTTGATGCTAAGTACAACCAAGACAACGCAAAACATCCATGCTCTCCTCAAGCCAAGCATCTCCGGCCCCCAAGAGAAAGAAAAAGATGACGGCAACAGGACGATACCACCTCATGACCAAGTCAAAGAAAAAAGGCATAAGCCATGAAGACGACAATGGCGAGTGCCTAGCTCGCCGTGGCGTAGATGAGAGAAGGTGCCGCGTTCTCGGGATGTCCATGATGGTTGTTCTCGTCAACCTTGGTATCATTCTTGTCGTCTTGGGCATCTTTGTCCGTGCCAGGCTTGCCTACTTTGGCTGCCCCGGGCATGGCGTAGTCAGGATGGACAGAGTATGGTCGAATGCAAGTGATTGTTGTGGTAGTGTCGTTTGCTGGGGCCACAGCGATTTGACCAGACTCTGCATCGATGTGAGTCCAAATGGTCTGAACAAGCCATGGGGTATCGTAAGGCTCGTGATGCTTCGCAATGAGGGTCTCGGGCTCGTTAGTGTAGAGCTGGAAGATGGTGGAAGGTGTGTTGCCCAACGCTTGATTGTACTGTGTGGTGGTCAAAGCTAGCTTGGGGTCAGCCGAGTTGTCGAGGATTCAGTGAAGATGGGTCAAGAACAGGGACACTCACAAGATTGCTGCCTGGGCTTCTCCGACACGAACCGGGGGCGGCATCTCTCGTTGGAGTCCATCTCAGGGCACGAGATCTTGCCGTCAGTCACGGTGATGTGCTCACGGAGCCGATCGCCAGCACCCCTGAGCCATCTGCCGCATTCGTACGTCAAGACAGGCCGAGGGCAGGTGCTCTCGGCCGCGGAGACGATTCTCTCCAGCTCGGCAAACTGCAGCTCGTACAGGTAGAGGCATGCATACCACTTGCCGTCGGTCTGAATGCCCCCCTGGCGGGTCAGGCTGAAGCCGGGAAGAAGGTCAATCTGCACTGCCTTGTTGTTCTTTGGCTCAGTACCAGCGGTGTAGATATTGTTTTTGACAGCAATAGAGAGGACGGCGACGTGCGGCTGGAAGCTTGCATTGAGGTGAATGAGGTGAGACTCCGAGATATCTGGCGACTTGTCGATCTTGAAGACGCCGTTGACATCTGGGAATGCAGATACATTTTGCCACTGGATTGGAGAGAGATCGTTGTCGTCAAGTGCATCGGCAGCCAAGACAACAGTTGAATTGACAGCGGCCTGAGCCACGAAGGCTGGGAAAAGCAAGGACCAAATGGTTCTTGGGATAGTCATGGTGTAAAGGGAAAAGGGTAGAACGTGCTGAAGCGATGCAAGTCTGTGAATGATGATGGGAGGAAGCAAGAATAGTGGTGAAGTCAGTGTAACAAGATATGGATGGCGATGAAGCAGCAATGAAGTTCTGGGGACAAGAGAACATCGAGGGCATGGGAGAGCAGAAGACGAGTTTTAAGCAAGCCATTCGAGAGAGCGGCTGCTCCTACTCGATATCATTGTCGGCTGAGGAAGCTGGCCGTGATTGCTGGTGTTGCTTGGGAGTATGAGGCAGGCAGGACGGAAGCAATCTCTTCGGTATTCGGGCATCCTTCTTTCTCACCCAGTGATGTCAGACAGGGATCTGAGTCTCCCGAGGAAAGCGAATGCAAAGTTAGATCAGGCCACATAAAGGGTTTTTGGGCGGCAGTGTCAACGATGAGTAGACTAGATTCCATGTGGTACACCAAGTCGGTTGAGGTCAACGCCGAATGACAATTCCTCACTACTTAAACCCAGCTCCTTAATTGCTCTTCTTACTCGTACCTCCCATGCTGTTTTGCACTGCCCCTCCGATGGCTCCTTCACTCGTGAACTGTTTCCCAATGGCGCCCTCCTTGTCGAAAGGCCCGCCGATGGCTTGAGCGGCGCCTCCCACAGCTCCTTGTTCTGATACGGTGCAAGTGCACGGGTCAGCACTGACTCGATTCCTCCTTTCTTTCATAGGGTAGAGAGAGGAGCGAGAGAAGCAGCATACCGGTGAACTGCTTGCCAATGGCGCCCTGCTCATCAAACAACTTGGGCTTGTCCTCGCCGAGGTGGGCGTTGGCAGGTGTCTGGTGCTGAGACGACTTGCCTCCGACTCCACCGGGACTCACGTTGGAAGTCATTATGCTTGAAGTGTCTGGAGATTGAATCTTGGTTGTCTGGTAATATTGAGTTGCTTTGTCTGCCTATTGGGGAAAAGATCAATCCGTACACACATGCGAAGCCTTTTGTATTAACCATATCGGCGACGGTGTTGGATGACGTCTTCTCAGTATCATAACTCTTCCCAGCATTTCGATGAGGTCATGATCGTAGCCCTAGAGCGCTAGATGCCCGCTATACTCCAGTGCGACCGCGACCTTCAGGTGCTACTGTTAGTGACAAGATGAGTCGTTAGCGGCGACACCCACGCTAAGGTCCACAAAATTAGTGACCTGTCTGAGGCTGTCTCAGGACCCTGAGATTGCAGGTTCCCATCCATGATCTGAACCGCATCTAAACAGAGCCCTCGTTCTGGGTGCAATCTAAGAGAAGATGGATCTGGATTGATAGGAGATACAAGATCTTGGATCTAGAAACGCACCGTATCAAACCTCTAAGCCGCGTCCCTAGCCATAAAACGCCGATCTAATAAAGACAATAGAGATACAGGGAACAGGGAAGTGCCACCTCACTTGAGCAGAATGTCGTAGCCATCCCGCGTGATCCGCACCTCGCCCTCGTCGAAGCCGTACTTGCGCCGCACCAGCTCAAATATGATCAGGCCCGCGCTCGTGCTGGGCACCTGCCGGATGGTATTCCACCAGAACCCTCTCCACAGCCACCGCGACACGCTCTGGCCCTCGGCCGCCGCCTGCCCCTTGCACTGCTGCCACGTCTCCTGGTAGGCGTGGTAGTACGCCCGAAGCATGCGCCAGCGCCGTCTCGGTTTGGCTGGGCTGTTGGTAGCACTTTCGCTGTTGTTCTTCAGTTGCTGCTCTTTCGCTCGTCTTTCTCTCAGCTTGCGCGCCTTCTCGTCGAGATCCTCCAGGTGGTCCCAGTGCTCCATCTGTATGTTGGTCAGCGGGTGGAGCAGCACCTGCTGAGCGACCGACGCGCTGACGCCGGCCAGCAGCAGGAACGCTGGCTCGATCGCGTAGTGCGGTCGGATGATCAGCGGCGCGCTGCCTGGGTCAGCACCCTCGGTCCGCAGGCGGTGGTCGTGCGTCGGCCGCTTGCGCGCCAATATGTCCAAGAGGTCCTCGTTGAGCCCGCCGTAGTACCACCTCACAAACTTGTAATACCCTTGCGCCTTGACGTACTCAAACGTGCTGAAGAACACCGCGTTGCCGAAGCTGTCCTTCATCCACGACAGGCCCCAGCCGGCAAATATGCCGCGGAAGCCGATCTCGCGCAGCTTGGCCGTGCTGAACGCCCATATGCTCTGCGGCTTGCCGCCATTACTCCCCGCCTCGCCCGCGAACAGCTGCCGGTGGTCGTACCGCGCCTGGATCGCGTCCAGCGGCGCCGCTACGACGCTCTGGATACTGCCGGCCAGGAACCCCGCCGCAAAGGTGGCCGTGGGGTCCGGCGGAGGGTACACGCGCCGGCTGGCCTTGGCGCTCTCCTCGTGCAGCCGGCCCAGAATCTGGAGGTAGCTCGTGTACAGCACGGCGCCGACGCCCACGTTGGCCAGCAGCGGGGGCAGCACCTGGTCCGGCACGACGCGCCAGCCGTGGTGCTTGATCGCGCTCGTCAGCACGCCCGGCGTGGTCCCGCGCGCCCACAGCGCCAGCCGCCGCGCGAAGGAGAGGTGGCCGTCGCCGCCCGCCCGGGCCTGCGCCTGCTGCGCCTGCTGGACGGAGCGGGCGTAGGCGAGGTAGTCGACGCGCGTGCGGAAGAAGGCCTTGACCGGGGCGCGGAAGTAAAAGGCGACGGCCTGGGCGGTGAAGGCGCGCACGCCGGCGGCCGTGGCGGCGGTCGCCGCGTTGGAGCGCGGGTTCTTGTCCGGGATGGCGACCTCTGTGCCGGGCGGCAGGACGGGCAGGATCCCGGCGCCTACCTCCTCGCCGGGCGGCGGGAAGGGGAGGAGACTGCCGCCGTCATCCGCTGCTGCTGCGGCCGCCGCGCCGCCGTCGTTGCGCCGCGTCATTGCTGGCTGTTGGACGGGCGCATCATCGTCTTCTTCTGGGAGTGGGTGAGGTGAAATGGTGAGCTATGGAGTGAGTGAGACTGCACGCACCTTGCAAGTGTGGCTAGCTGACGATTTGCGCGAGAATGATTGCTCGGCTGGGACCGGTTCACCTTGGCAATTTTTTGACAACCTTCAACCCCCACTTGGCTGCCAGCTGGCAGCCAAATACATGGCTGTCTTGGGGGGAACATCGGCGACAGTTCACTCCCTGTGACCTTTCACCACGCAATTGTACTTCGCGTTGTGCATTTTGTTGTTCCTTCAGACTAACACCTTTCTTTCCTCCTGCAGCGTTTCCATTTTTCCCTCTTCATCATCGGTCATGCCGTGTTTTCTCCTCTTACAGCACCCGACGCACTTCCACTGCAGGTAGCATTGCCAACAAGTTCAGTAAGTAAGATGACAAGTCGTATCGATGCCGGCATCCTCAATCCTAATTCAAGTCTTGCTATTTTTATGTCTGTCTCCACTGGTCTCTGGGCCTGATTCTCAGCCCTACTGCTCCCTCAGATCTGCAGTTGCCCATTCTCAGAAACGTCGTAGCCAGCACAGAAAGCCGGGGAAATATCGATGGAGCTCGGAATTCAACCTATCGCTGACCGGCACGCAAAGCTTGTCTAAATTGATGGCAGCAGCTGTGGGGATTGCGCACCATTAACCCTCTTTCAACCATGCCAATCTCAACTGTGGAAACGGCTGCAGCTTATCTCCAGTGCTGTCCGCGACGAACATGCGGAATCTTACAGAGGCAGCGGTCAACAGTCGGCTCTAATCACGGCAAGGTATTGATCTAAGTGCCAATAACAGCTTGTGAAGTAAATTAAGTCAAAATGGAAATGCAGCAATGTGGGTAAGGAATCTGACAATAGCAACTTCATGTGGAGATGCATTGTCGAGATGAGATGGCTTCGCACATTGATGTTCGAGACATTAGGAATCAAACGGCGCATCGTCATATGCCTCATAGTCTATAAAAGAGTAGACAGAAGGCACTTCTTTGTAACCTCATTTTGATCTATTGAATCAACAACAACCACCCAAGCCCTCTGCTCTAAACACTACTGCAGTAGCATTCTCTGTTCCCTATTCTTATAAACCAGACTACATCATGCGTGTCAACAGCATCATCGCTTCTTTCCTCGTCGCCCTCGCCGTCGGCGCCGATGCCGGCAAGGTGACTCTCACTGGCTGGACTGAAGTGGGCTGCAAGGGCACCTCCGGCACTACCAGTGAGAACGTGGACTCTCGCCCGGGCCACCACCACAACGAGTGCAAGAACGTGCACTCCGGCGCCAAGAGCATCAAGATGAAGGCCATTCCCGACGGCTGCACCGGTATGTCGCTGATAATGATCCCAGCGTTGGCAGACGCAGCGCACTAACTCTAGTTCTCTATAGCCACCATCTACTCTGACGGGTGCAACAAGGACAAGAAGGCCGCTCGTGTTGGCAAGTGTGTTGGGCTTGGCGGCAAGGAGATCCGGGGTATTAGCATCGACTGTTAGATGGTCTACGCGCTATACAGAGCAAAGGCAGAGTTTGCTTACATCGCATGTATCAGTCACTCACTTATAGCAGCGCAATATAATAAATGGATCTTGCCATCAATGAGTTCCCCTATCGTGGAGTGGGTCGATGCTGTTGCAGGTTCACCATGTGTGTTGGGCGTGCTGCCACCCCGCCATGATGCCCTGTAAAGAGCGTTCAGCTCTGGATGCCCAATACGCGCAATGCGAGCGAATCAGCGGAGCACTTCGCTCGACATGCATAATATCGGGCAGCGATATTCCACGCGAGAGACCACGTGTACTGCACAAGGCTGCGAAAGGATACGAATCTGCATCGAAGATTCTGCGGCTGAGACCCTCACATCGGCCTGGCCAGGCCCGCACGAGGGCACCGATGGTTCATTACTTTGTCCGAATCGAATGGCATCGCTGAATCCAAAGATGGATGGCATTGAAGCAAACGCAGGCGCAAGCCAAGGATCAGGATCTCGTATGTCTTCATATCTCTTGCGCAGCGGATTTTGGACTAACTTGACTACTGTAGCAGACCTCGATTCGAATCGTCAACATGCATCTCAGTCCACCCGCGGGGCTAGACCGCCCGAGAACAAACGTACAATGGCGCCAACAGAATATACAATTGGTTGGATTTGTGCTCTGCCCATTGAACTGGAAGCTGCGGTTTCGGTGATGGACGAGCGCTTTGCCAATGTCAGTTTTGCCGATCTACCCTCCAACCCAACCGACTCCAAGATCTACGCGTTCGGCCGCATCGGACAGCACAACATCGTGGCAGCCTGTTTGCCTGCTGGGCAATTGGCTACAGGGCAAGCAGCTGCAGTCGCTGGCCAGATGGCCGCCAGCATTCCCTCGTTGCGGTTTGGCATTTTAGTCGGCGTCGGTAGTGGAGTCCCGAATCGCGACGAAGATGTTGACATTTGGCTTGGCGACGTCGTCATCAGCCAGCCGACATCTCAGTCTAGTGGGGTCAAGCAATGGACGCTTACGACTGATGGTTGTTCCCTTGATCCTGACAGCCTCAACGTGCCGCCGAATATTCTGCTTCACGCCTTATCTAAGCTTCGTGCCGACGATTTCTTCGGTGAGACGGAAGTCAGTCAACATCTCTCAAAGATTCTGAGCCAGCCGAAGTTCGCACCCCCAGGCCCTGAATACGATACGCTACACTTACCTGGGGCTACGGGCGTGGAATGCTACGAGAGGCCGAGGGACATTGTTCATCGGGAACCGCGCGACACGACGACTCCACGCTTGTTCTTCGGCAACATGGCGTCGAGTGATTGTGTTCTGAACGATGGCCTAACCCGCGATGGTTATAGCCAGTCATTTGGGAGAGTTCTATGCTTTGAGACGGAGGCGGTTGGCCTCATACGCGGCTTCCCGTGCGTCGTCGTCCGTGGCATTTGCGACTACGCAGGCAGCCACAGGAACAAGTGGTGGCAGCCCTACGCAGCAGCGACGGCATCAGCATGCGCAAAAGAACTTCTCCTGACCATTTCACCAGCCAATGTTCTACAGGAGAAGCCTATACGGCAGTTATCCAGTGGTTCCAATCCGAAAGATTCTCGAGCGACCAGAAAGCCCTACTCTGGGACGGGAAGAAGGGCCCACACCAAATATTGATCAGCAGCCTTGACATCTCTGGTTCTGTCCAAGCAATTGCATCTTTGGACAGATCTGTCTAAATGTATGCATCAGCGTGTTTACACCAAAAGACAACTAGTGGCCATAATGCCGAAGTTTCGATATCGTTTTCTCACTCAATAGCAAGGCTTTGACATCCACAGACAACATTGTCCGCGTCTGGAACGTGGCAATCGGCACATGGCAGCAGCCACTCGATGGTCAAGCCCGCTTGGTTCGGGTATCAGCTTACACAACGGATGAGCAGCTAGTAAAGTCAGGGTCGCTCAACAATACAACGGTTATAGTTAAGGCTATCCGATTTCCAGCTCAGTACTGCAATACTTTCTCTCTGTCAATTGCCCATCCCAAATACAATCAAATATGCCCGGATGCACGGAGTTTACCATTTCAATTGTGCTTTCAGAAGAGACACTATCTCACGGTAGCACATCTCAATTGTATTTCATTTCTTCAAGTACTGAGCAGTTTGTGCTAAGCAATACAAGGTCAAGATCATTATCAGGAAACTTTGAGATTATCAAAGTGCATAATGGTCAAGGAAGTTGCTGTTCTCAAACTCTTTCATCGAAGCATTTCCTTCCCGGCGTTTTCCAGCTCAGGCAGGCAAGTGACTTGTACATGAACTTCGCTACCAGTCGGAATGGTCACTTGGCCCAATTCTCACGCTTAGCCATAACTCACCGGCCCGAAGAAAACTTTCGAGCAGAGTTCTTGGCAACGATACTGTGTTCAATGGGGCGGACCTGGTGACATGCCTGGCTGATAAAAAGAAAACATCAATGACATCACAGTACAGCCTCAGAGCGCACCCAGCCTCATACATGCAAAGTTAATGTAGTACAAATGCGCCACAAACTCCCACAAGGTCCGTGCACGAGCTGATGAGTAAAAGGGGGTTGCCTTGTTCATGAAGGAGAAACTTTCTTTTTATTCAAGCTCCCTCTGCACCTTGCCATCTCTCCTCCCGGACCACTTCATCATCCTGTCCCTCATCCTTCTGGTTCACTGTTGTTGGGAGCCGGCGGGGGGATCATCACATGATTTTCAGGATTCGCAACCTATTCTCTTGAGAAAGGGAATTCAAAGGCCAAAGCGATTCAGACGGAGATTATTTGTTGGAACAACCTTTGTTTACTGGAACTTTGGTGGCACTTGTTGAGCCAGGCTATCAGTTGCCACCACCCACCAGAACCGCGGGAGGTGAGGCTACTCTTTTAAAGTCCCGACCAAATTGTCAATCTTTTTTGTTCTAATCCTCCGTACACTCTGCGGTATCTCAACCCTCTCAAACTGGACTCAGTCACAAAACTGAAGGCAACTCCAGAAACCCGAAGCAGAGCTTTTCCAGTCAGTCTGAAATGATGGAGAGCATCTGTAGGGTTGCTTTGCGCCAACCCCGCAGCCTCTTCTCCCACCCGGAGCCAGCACAACATGATGATTCGACCATCGACGAGGTCCAGCAAGAGGCGAGTGCAAGAGTGGAGAGAGTACTTACGAACTATCGCCTTTTGAACGAAATCGTCCATCGTCATGAGGCTAAGATCCGGAGACGATGGCGCAAGAAGAATCAGTTGCAGCGATCAAAGATCCTCCTCGAGTGCTGGCCTCATATGCCGGCAAAGCACCAACCCGACTTCGACACTTGGTTCCGTCAAAACAAACGCAAAGCCACGGATATGGGCGCGGAGGAGAAGGACTACTTCAAGTGGCCTTATGTAAACCAAGAAGACTTGTCAAGCGCGACATCCCTCCTCCTCCTACTCAACGCCCGCGGCAGAAATCACCCGACCGACTTTGCCGCTGCGGATAGTGACGCCATGAATCTGGGCAAATGCAGCTACATCATCGTCGCTGTTAACCTCAGTGGGTATACGATGATGCTCAACTCTGCCAGGCAAGACGGGAGCTACGGAAGACTGCTGTCCTGGGAGGAACATCCGGGCTCTGAGGAGATGATACGCTCCGGTCAACAGTATTCCCCTGGCGAGGGTCTCCTCGTCCTCGAGGCCCAAGATCGACTCCTCGAGTTCTTAGTGCAGTGCTGCCGCAAGGTGCTGCACGACATACCCCCAGCAGATATCCTCAGTGCGCTCCACCCGGTCGAAGAAGAGCCACCGCCCATATCCTCTACCGGCATCGACGGCACCACTCACTTGGCTATCTTGGCAGAGGAGGCGCCCTATCGTCTCCCAGCGGGTTTTGACCTTAGCAACATCCAGTCGCTTCTCGCTGCCCAAGTTGCTCGTGCTGAAGACCACGTCTTGTCGCTGCGTGAAGACCCGAGTTACTTCGCGGAGCATCTTCACGATGCGAGTGAGCACTGCGATGAAAGAATCAGAGATGTCCATGGTTTGATCCATCCTTTTCTCACGGATCCGAAGCATAAGGATATGATGTGCGCACGGAACGCCAGCAGTGTAGTGTACGAGGCGTACAATCGAATGGAGGTATTCTACGAGCTTGAACAATTCGCCAGGGAGCTGCAGTCTCTTCAGTCGAAACATGCAGACAACATAGTCCCGGAGAAAGACTTGCCTGATGACTTACTCACGGCTCTGCTGAAATTTCGTCGCTGTCTCCACGAGGTGGTCAAGGGCGCATTGGCTCAGCTCGACGAAACAGCGCCAGCCTCGCCTCCTCTCCGGGACAGCTTCGTCAGAAAAGATACTGTCTTTCCGGTGCTAGGGCACACTTTGAGAACTAGACCCGTCAAAGGCGGCATCGGCAGTCGTAGCAAGGGGCCACTGCTGCCGCTGCTGCAGACACTGTGGGAAAACGGTCCGATTCTTGAGGCCGTACGCCTGCCGTTGATGATCAATGAAATCGATCGGCAAGTGAGAATGAACCCGGAGTCCGGGAAGCAGATCTCGCCCTACGTGGCCATGGTGATTGGTGAGATATCCATTCTTGGCGAATGCATTCGCCAGGTTGATGCATATTTTCCTTGGGCGAGGAGCTTCCGGTTCAAGTTGGGACACCAGGAAGATACCACGCAAACGGTACAGGATGGCCATATTTGCGCGACGAGGGAGGCCCTGCTTGCCTTGATGCCCCTCGTTCTCACGCCCTTCGCGCCGCTCATGGACCCTTCGGACAACAAGTTTGATTATCCGACAGAGAGGAGCCGTAACGAGCAAAACGTTGCGAAGCTTCGGGCAGCCGAGCTTGCTCTGGATAGCTTCTGGGAGGCGGCGGACGACCGCTTGACGATTGTCCGTAAGGAGGCCAGCGGCCTAGGACGCCTCCTTGCTCGCCGGCGGCCGCCGTACCGAACGCCTGAATGGGTCGAGCCGCCGCCCAAGGCGAAACGCACCAAGCTCACCACTCCCGACCGAGATACCCCCGTGAACACGTTTTCAGCATTCGAACTCAACGAGCAGCCAATCTCTGCTCGCAAGGAAGTGTCGGCGGCGACACCAAAGCCAAAGGTCAAGACCCGAGGCACTCCTGGTCCGGCGGCTGCTGGATCATCGTCTTCGACCCCCGAGGAAGCCTCCGATGAAGGCCCCGCGGACCCTCAACCTCCGCTCGAGGTGGACGCCCGGGCCCTCAGCGTATTCCGGATCCTGTTCTTCAACCCGGTCTTCCACACGACCCCCGGCGAGGTGCCCTGGAAGGAGTTTCTGCACGCCATGCGCGCGGCCGGGTTCAGCGCCCAAAAGCTCTACGGATCGGTGTGGCACTTCCGGCCCGAGACGATCGACCTGGACCGGAGCATTCAGTTCCACGAGCCGCATCCGATTGGCAAGCTCTCATTCCGGGTGGCTCGGCGGTACGGCAGGAGGCTGCATCGTGCTTACGGATGGGATGGAGGCATGTTTGCCATGGAACACAAGGCGTAAAGGGAGCAGGACCGTTTATTTCTGGAGGGTTGCCATCTGAATATTGGTAAGGAGGTATTTACGGCACACAAATTGTTGCTAAGAATGTTGGGAAAGTCTATGACGGGATTCCTGTTGATGACCAAATTGATACTATCTGGAATGTTTAGGGCCTTATGAAATAAAGAATAGTTGGCAACCAAGTCCCTCCCGCTTGGCCAGTCTTTCTCTTCGTCAAAGGTTACGGAGTAGGACCAGTCCGAGAATCATTATAAGCCAAAAAGGATTCCAGAGAAGGAAAAGTCCGACAATCGTTATAAAGAAAAAAGGGAGCTTGTCCATCACAGTCTGATTCCATGACAACGTTAGTACATTTCCCATCGAGCCACTCAGGTTAGGAAAGAGAGCGCTCATGAACTTACCGTTGACCATCGACGATACTGGATGCCACGTTAGCGGGCGGCCTGTTTGTTATTGACAAAGAAAATGTCCTCACCTGGACTGCTGCTGTGACCCGATCGATGGTTGAGACAACCTCCTTCGACAGCTTGACAGGAACACCCAACCGCAGGATATCCTGTGCCTGGTTGTGACCGAAGTCACGAAGGGCCGCACCGCTCCAGAAGATGCCCTCTAGGTCCATGTCGCCATCGTGACCATGATGCTGGAGAACTCTGCGGACCCATCTCCGCACGGCGACGGTCGTTTCGTCGTAGTTGGGCATCTCGAGGATGAGCTGGTCGAGCGTGGGAGGGTTGCCAGGCTCAGTGTTGGTGGGAGGGTTGCCAGGCTCAGTATTGGTGGGAGGGTTGCCAGACCCAGTGTTGGCAGGCGGTGGCGCTTCAGAGGTTGCGGGGGGGTTGGTGAAACTGAATGCGCCACCTACGCTTTGATATCGCATACTGGCCATTACTGTTGGACTTGGTGAGTGTAGGAAAGAAACTCAGAGCAAGTCGCCATGGAGAGGGTGTAATGTGGTATTTATAAACCGCGAACCTTGGACTGGCCCAGAACCGAAAGTTTTCTGGACCAGTCCTACGGACAACAAACCGGAGATATGATAAATACAAACTTCTCAAGTAAGAGCCACGGTACCATAGATCCTGATATGAGGAGGACCTGGTTGAGATTGCAGCGGTACCGAGATCTCGGAGATCCGAGATCCAGAGCCCGTGGACACCTTGTCCCTCAACCTACCTGGGCTGGGGAGACCATCTTTCCGTGCTTGTCAAATCACTGCATGCTCTTCATTCACCTAAGTCCTCAATTGAGAGTTCAAAATGAGGCTGAACCTGGTGGATTTGTTCATCCAAGCTTGGCGCCCTTTGTGTTTTGGTGTTTTGGTTTTGGTATTCAGCTCACTGCAGGCGGGGTCCTGGAGGGACCACATAGTGGGGGAACTGATCCCCAACCCACCTAACCACTCACTAGAAGCCCTGCCTAGTAGTGCCAAGACCAGCGCGTGCTCCAACTAGATGCGGCATTGGAACCTTCCAAGGTCGATGGACGTTAGAGTTGTCCTTCCACATGCAGCTCAGGGAATGTAGAATCGGTGGTTGCAGTTTTCTTTATTCCCTCGCCATTAATCCGTGACCAGACACTCAATTGCATGTGAGATATCAGTGAGGTAGTCGTTAATTCATCCCAGCTCTGAGGCAGGAGTTGAGGTTCGGACGCCATTTCGGCGAGTGAGTCACCCCGGATTTCTATTGGTGCCAGCTCTTGGCCACAAGCCTCCCTCCCACCAGGATTCATGATCTGGGAACGGAACAATAGAAACATTGCTCTAGGCATCCAATGGCTAAAACCAGTGATTCTGATCTCTCCTGGCAATAACTACCTACGCTGCCCTCTATTCGCTCTCGCAGGCACGCACGCCATTTGACTCACTGGCCGAGAGTCTTCAGGCGCTGCTGCCCCGCCCTCTCACGTCACACCAACCAACCCCATCCCACTTGACAACAGGTATTTCAACAGCAGCAAACAACGCTTTCCCATCTCTACTCCCTCTCTCGTCTCTCTTTCTGATTTTTCACATTGCAGAGTTCATCAACATGGCTTCGGAGGAGATCAAGCACCAGGGCGATGAGCCCTGGTTTCTCAAGTCTCACTTCCCTGTCCTCGTCCCCTCCCACCCGGCTCTCCTCCTGGCGCGAGAGGAGTTCGATGACTTCGTCTGCAAGGATGTCGCAGCCCCGGAACGCTCTGATGAGAACGAGAAAGAAGATGACACTGATCTGACGGTGGTCAACACCCCTCCCTCAACTACCGCAGAGGTTCGCAAGGCCCTCGGCGATGTCACCCTCAACACTCTCGACCACGACATCGAGATGTCCACAGATGGCGACGACACGAAGAAGCAGACCGAGCCACAGCACCCTTTCATCAAGGGCCTCGTCTCTGCCAAGGCTGATGTGCAGGCCCCAATGCTAGACACGGAGAACAAGATGTTGACTGAGAATGCCGACGTCGCCTTCCGCTCCACTCTCGATCCCCTCCTCGACCTCTTCTCAGAGCTGGAGGACGTCATCGCCCCCAACCTGCTCCGCGAGAGGCTCGATGCCGCATGGGCATGCGACGAGCTGGCCACGCTCAAAATCATCTTCAACGCGCGATCCATCCATCTCGGCAAGAGCTCCAAGTCGGTCTTCTACCGCGCCGCTGGCTGGCTGTACAAGAACCACCCCGCCACTCTAGTCGCCAACCTCCGTTGGCTCAGCCGCCCCGTCATCGAGAAGAAGGTCGAGCAGAAGAAGGAGGGTACTGAAGAGGAGGCGGTCATGGTCGAGGCCGCAGAGCTGGATGAGAACGACCCCCGACACTACGACGTCCGAAATGGCGTCGCTCATGGTTACTGGAAGGACCTGCTCAATATTCTGGCACTCGCCGTCAATGACGTTTTCAACGAGACCAACGACTACCAGAATATCCTCAACTGCGATCAGCGTATGGATAAGGCCATCTCGGGCCTCGACAAGGACTTGGGCAAGGTCCGGAGGCGCGAGATCCGCACGAAGCGCCACGAGGCTGCGACACATCACTTCGAGAACATAGCTGCCTACCGCGCTCTCCACCTGGCAGTGGCGCGACTCTTTGCCGAGCAGCTTCAGCGGGACCTGGCTGCAATGCGCGGTGATGACGCGCAGGCCAAGAAGAACATCTCCCTCTGCGCGAAGTGGGCTCCCTCGGCCGAGCGGTTCCACGACAAGCACACCTTCGTCGTCTCGTCCATCGCCGAGATCATGCACCCGGCATCCAGCTTCGATACCGCCGACCGCGACACCTACCTGCGATATGCGCGCGAGGCATACCGCAAGGACGTCTCGAAGCTCCGCGAGCACCTCGACATCGTCGAGCGCAAGATCACGGCCAACAAGCTCGATGAGATCAAGTACGACCGCATCCCCTCCGTGGCCATGCACAACTACTCTCCTGTCTTCGCTAAGAAGGACACGGAGCGCTTCGAAAAGTACATCGAGAACGTCGCTAGCGGCAAGGTCAACATCTCGGGCGCCACCCTCCTGCCCTCCAAGCTCGTCTCCCTCGTGCGCAACCCGCATCGTCAGGCTGGTGGTCCTCGAAAGGGAGGCAAGGGCTCTACTGAAAACAAGCTACTCGCTGGGAAGATGCTGGAGCTGCAACTCAAGGTCGCCGACGCGCAGTGGAACGCCCTGGTGCAGCGCATCAAGGACTCGGGCACCCTCGAGAACTGCATCGCCGTGTGCGACGTCTCGGGCTCCATGGGCGCGCCCGTCTTCCGCGACGGCACGTGCCCCATGGACTCGGCCATCGGACTGTCCCTGCTCATGGCCGAGGTCACAGGCGCCCCCTTTGGCGGCCACTTCATCACCTTCTCGGCCGACCCGGAGGTCCAGAGCGTCGACCTCGAGGCCAGCCTCTCTGAGAAGGTGACGGAGATCATGCGCGCCCCCTGGGGCATGAACACGGACTTTGTCGCCGTCTTTGAGGACCTCATCCTGCCCATGGCCCAGCGGAACAAGCTCCGGCAGGACGAGATGGTCAAGCGCGTGTTTGTGTTTAGCGACATGCAGTTCGATGAGGCGTCGATGCGGAAGCGAAACGGCCGCGGCGGCGACAGGTGGTCCACCTCGTACGAGCGGATTGAGAGTGCGTTCAAGGACGCTGGCTACGAGATGCCCGAGATGGTGTTTTGGAACCTCGCTGGCGGCCGGGCGGGCGGCGGCGGCGGCGGCGGAGGAGATCCCACGGCGCCCAAGCCCGTGACGATGGAGCAGCCCGGCACGGCGATGGTGAGCGGCTACTCGCAGGCCATGCTCAAGGTATTCTTGGACAACGGATCCTTTGAGGACGCGGAGGAGGATGAGGACGAGGCGGTGGTTGTCGAGGAGGGTGAGGACGGCGACGAGGAGGCCGTGGTCCAGGTGCGCAAGAAGGCCAGGCTGGATCCGGTGAGCATCATGAAGAAGGCGATCGGACACAAGGCGTATGCCATGCTCAAGGTTGTTGACTGAGTGGTGGGAGAAGACTTGAGTTTGCGGTTTTTTTTTTTACCCTTTTGTCACAGCATATGAGATACACGAATACCCAGCCCATAGGGCTTCAGCTTTCTGCTCGCTTTATGAGCGCCAGCGAAGTAATTGACGACCTCTATTCTTACATCTCCTGGCCGAGTGAATTCATTGAGGGTGTTTGTTTTCACATCTCTTGGTGTGTTCCAGTGAGCATGACGTAGGGGATCCTTGTGAGGATACGTACTTGCATGCTCAGACCGCTAGTGAGTGGCAAGTTTCGACTTATTGGAGAGCCGTATGCACCTAGGTTCATGCACATTGGTGCACTGCAGTTTAAGCTTCACAAGTGCGACACAAGGTCATATATCTTGGGATTTGACAATGTTCGAGATTCTGTCGGAGGCTCTGTTGTCAAGGTCATTTCGTATTTATGATACGCCAATTAGATCTTTCCCATGCGGACATGCGCAAAGCCCTCCGCCAACAAAAGTATCTCGTACAACCAAGAGGGAAACACCACAATGCTCCCCATGTTATCAAGCCCTGAAACCCCTCATCTAGACAGCAATCTCGCGCGACCGTCGCTCCTGCTCGTGGGTGGAGGCGCGGCCGTCCTTCTCGGCGACGTGCTGGGCGCCGCTCTTGGCCTCGGGCACGCCCATCATCTGGGAGCCCTTGTCGACGTGGTTGGCGCCGCCGAAGAGGACGTCGATCTCCTCGAGGGGGATCTGCTTGGTCTCGGGGATGAAGAAGTAGACGAAGAAGCAGAGGAGGATGTTGACGGCCATGAAGAAGAACAGGCACTTGAGCCCTTCGTTGGTGAGGAAGATGGGGAAGAATTGTTGGAAGCTGCACGCCGGACACGCGAGGAATTAGTCTTTTTCTCTTTTTCTTGTCTTTAAAACAATACGCCAAGGCTGGAAATGGGGAGTGCTTACATGGTGTTTGCGACATTTTGCATCTGCGAGCACATGCCAACGGCCTGAGCGCGGACATTCATTGAGAAAATCTCAGAGGTCCAGATCCAGGTAGTGGCTCCCCAAGAGGGTTTGTAGACTTTGGATTTCTCGTTAGTTTGAAGTTCCTCGACCATTTTGAAGGCGTTTGAAGGCATTCCAGCACGACTGGGGGGACAATTGACTTACAGAAGATGAAGAGGAAGAGGCAGAAGACAATCGCGATACCGACAGGCTCGGTCTTGGCGCCATCGACATCCGGGGTGGTCAAGCCGATAACCGAGACCATCAACATGCTGATAGCCATACCGATGGCACCAACCATAAGCAGCCAGCGTCGGCCGTACCTATCGGCAGTCCAGACGGCGTTGAGAGTGAAGATGATACCGAAGGTGGCGTTGAGGGCGTTGATGAGGTTGATCTGCTGGCTGCTCTTCCACACTTTCTTGTAGATCGCCGTGCTGTACGAGTTGAGGGTGCCCTGGCCAGTGAGCTGCTGTCCGACGTTGAGGATGAAGGCGAGGTAGAGACGCTTGCGGACCGAGGCGTCCTTGAACAGAGCGGCGTAGCCGTGCGAGATGGCCTCCTTCTCGTACTCGATGGCCTCGCGGATGGCCATGACCTCCTCCTCGACCTCCTGCTCCGTCTCGCGGATGCGGCGGAGAGCCTTGCGAGCAGACTCGATGTCGTTGCGCTTCTGGATGTGCCACCGGGGGCTCTCGGGCTGGAAGGGGAGCAGGATGCAGATGATGAACGGGACCAGGATCTGGAAGATGACAACCATCTTCCAGTCCCACTCGCCGAGCTTGTCGCGGTGCAGGGAGCAGGCGTAGTTGATCCAGTAGGCGATGAAGGAGCCGACCGAGTAGAACAGCTGCCAGAAGGCCATGATGTATCCGCGGATCTGGGGAGGGGACATCTCTCCGATGTAGACGGGGCCGGCGGCTGTGATGAAGCGTGTTAAAAACAAAGATCATCTGAGGCATCCGTTCTGAGGAGCTGGAAGACTTACTCAAGGCCATGCCCTGGCCAAGACCAATGACAACACGGCCGGCGATGAAGCAACCGATGCCGTGGCGCGGAGCGAAGGTCTGCATGAATGTGGCGACGATCGTCAGGAAGCAGCCGATGCCCATGCCCCATCGTCGTCCGAGGTAGTCGGCCTGTCAGGAACCACGGCGTTAGCTGACAACTCAAAACATTGCTCATGCTATTGCTGATGATGAACATGGTCACTCACCGTCGGGCCACCGAGGAAGAAACCGGCGACGATAGCGCCGATCGTGTATGCCGTGTTGATCAGACCGATCATGTAGCTGTCCTTCTTGGCATCGAGATCAAACCAGTTCAGCCAGTTGTTTGATCCTTGCACAGAGTTGAACACACTCGCGTCATAGCCGTATAAAACCATACACATCGCGGCTACGAGCGAGATATACCTAGACGTAAAGTTAGTGGCAAACTTGATGATAGTCCGGGTCCAGGTCCAGAACTCACCAGTTATAGACACGCGTCTTGGACACCATCTTGGCGGTATTGTCTCCCTCAAACTCTCTATGTGTCGTTTGTGTTTGCTGATGGCCTGGAGATGTGATGTGCTGGCAGCCTTATTCGCGCACTTGAAAGATGGCCGGACCTGGTTTGCGGGATGGCGCCTGCACAACGAAGATATGGATGAAGAAAGAGAGGGATCGCAAGACCACGACCTGACGAAGAGGCGAGAGGCGATCGACAGCCTTTAAGCAGTCCAGTTGACCGGACGAGATGCATCCCCATGCTGCTGGAGAGGGTGGTCTCACTCCACATGGAGAATTGGGGAGTCTGCACCGGAAGATCCAGTTTTTCTCCCTCGCTAGTCTTGCTGGCGCCTCGAGCCTGGTCGTGAGCGGGGATGAATCCCAGAATGGGAGATGCTAGCGCCAAGGTTCGTGCCTTTCTAGCTGACAGCATCTGCACTGGCATGACATGGAGTGCGTGCGGCTTTGTAGGTATCACCTTAGGAGAACAGGCATCAAAGAATACCTCTGCTTCTTTTGGACAGCAGACTTGGCGCAGATGTATCTCCTTGTTCGCTTGGTACCTCCTCCTTCTCCATGTGCTCCAGGGGTTTGCCCCAGATTCACTCTCCTTGTTCGTAAAGACAAGACTCCACCAGCGACCCTTGTGAGGATTCCAGCCTGCGGAGAAATCGACGACGCAGAAATTCCACCAATGGGCGTCGCCTGCCACTAGTGTTTTGGAGGAATTGCCCTCCCCCGGCTCTTGCACAGAGAAGGTGGAGCGAGCCTCACGAAACGCGTCCCCAGAATGGACTAGAACCTCGACCATGTGAACTGAACAAGCTTGATGCTAGTGACTTTTGCGGACTGGTGGCGTGCTGGGTAGATCTCTGCTCCAGGTGAGCCAAATTGCATTGGACGGGGAAGAGCCGTTTGCCGGCAATGTAGGCGACTAGGGGCAGAAAGTGGGCGTTCTGGAAGTTTGAGCTCTCGTTCATTTTCCCGTCTGCAATCATCTCGATGTTTTATCGACTTGGCGTTCATGACAGAGGTAGTTAATGTCGGTCTTTCGGACAGCTTAATAGGTTGCATGTTGGTAGTAAAGAAAGAAAAAAAAAACAAGAGAGCTAGGGCCGGGCCTGGTTATGGAAGTTGGAAGCCTGGAAGCCCAGGCCTCAAGCCAAACAGCTGGCGGGATTTGCGCTGGCACTCGCTGCCCCTCTGGGAGCCGAGCGCTGTCACGGCAAGTCATCAAAGCCGCAGCATCATCCAATATTCGCAGTCCAGCAGGTCGTGGCACTTCCCATCACGTCGGGTTTGTCGAAGGGGCATGGACGAATCATAGATTGCTAGACCTGTCGAGACAAACTCAAGCGGGCAGATGTGCTCAGCGTTTGTCCGTGTGGGCACCATCACGGTGCCTCAGCTACACATACATCCTTGCCAGTCTGACCGGCACACTACCCGAGGTGAACCCCATCCTCATGGGACGATGGAAACCCATCCAGGACGTAGATCTAGTGATCTGCCTTTGTCTCGCACGGCGCGCTTCTCCCATACCGAGGATCCGGGGACGCGGCAAGCAGCTAGTGGCCGTGACAGGTCATGGCGTGAACTCCCTGTGCCTGCGATGCCTTGCCCTTCCTTAGCAATTTTTCCGTCAATAGAAACCAGTGCCCCACGGGGAACTTTTCCACAAATGAGCGGCATCATTGCCTCGAGGATCAAACAGAAGGTCAGATTAAGGTTTCCAGTGTTTGAATTGATGGCATCAGCATCCAGTCCGCGAATATTCCGGCCGCCGCCTGTGGGTGAGCATCACAGAAGACCTTTCACGAACCGAGGCGAATCCGTCTAAAAGGATCGAACGATATGGAGGTGGGATAAACGTTTGGGAAAGGTCAGTAAAAGAGTTATCCCACTACTAATAACGGGCATTGAAGGGCAATTCGACGTGCAGCATTTGATCTCGATTCGTTGTTGAAGCTATGGGACTAAAGTTTATTATCTCATTCATTCATCCATCCGTGCATCCGTCCATTCATCCGTCCATTCATGTAGCAAAGAATCGATTGTCATGTCCCGTGTGTCCCGTATGTCCCTTATGTTCCAGCAAATGTTATCCCCCGTCCTCTGACAGAGCCTCCTTCACTAACCACGAATCGAGTGCGGGTGGTCGAAGAGGTTGAGCGGATCGTACCACCTCTTGCAGCCCTGGAGGCGCTGGTAGAGCTCAGCACCATAGTAGAGCTCGTGTGCCTCGTCGCGCGAGAGGGTCGGATCGACGTAGACGAGCTCTGCAGCATACTCGTCGAGCTCCTGAGTCAGAGCGCTGTTCATGCCCTCCAGCAGCTCGAAGCCCTCCTCGGGGAACTTCTCCGTCACGCCAACACTGGCGAAGTGCTGGAACACCCACAGCGCGTCGTAGCTGCCGAAGGCTGCAAACGAGCTGCTCCTCGTGTTGATCTGGCTGTCGGGACCACCATGGAGGTTGACGATGACGTACCAACCGACTGAAGCCTTCTTGGCCTGACCCTGGAGGAATCGAAAGTACTTGACGAGAGCGGCGTCGGGGATGGGCTTGGAGACGGTCACACTCTTGGCGAAGAAGTTGGACTGCTGCTCTCGGTCCTTCTGCGTGATGATGGGCGTCGCATCGTCTTCCGGAATGCCGGAATACTCCGCCCACGTCTGCGTCTTGATGTTAACAATGTCGGCCTCGGGCAGACACTGATCATTGTAGAGAGCAGGCAGAATGACGTTGAAGAAGGTGTCATGGGGTCCCATGTAAATGCCGCTGATGATCAAGGCGTCCCCGTTGATGAAGACGCTCAGGCCCAGGTCGCGGTCAACGATTTCGGGATCCTGAGCGAAGGCCTGGACGTGCTTGAAGGTCTTAACCGCGTCATTCACGTTATTTATGATGCCCGTGAAAGCGAATCGGAAGTTTAGGATGGTGTCCGGCGCCTCCTTGGACTGGAGGTAGAACTGGGTGACGACTCCGATCGAATCAGCAGCGCCACGCAGAGCCTATAACGAGTAACCGTACGTTAGTCTTGGTGGCCGTGACACTCACTCTCCTCTCCAAAGAGGTACTGACCCAGAAGAGCTCGGGGTTTCGGGTGCGCGAGACCTGTGCCAGGTGTCGTCCATCGGCGAGAACAACGTCCAGGGCAATAATATGGTCCATCGCCAAGCCCTACTTGCGCGATGCATAACCAAAGCCTCCGTGAGTGAAGTGACCTCCAACACCGACCGTACGGTGCGTGCCGTGGGCGATAGCACGGCTTCCGTAGCCGACAGGGCGGCCGAGATTGTAGAGAGTGCTGTCAAGCTCGCCCAGGCGGACTCCAGGAGAGACACGAAAGACGCCAGTGACGTGGTTGACACAAATCTCACGCATCTCCTGCATGTCAATGACCATGATGCCGTCTATACCTCCAGTGCTGAACGAGGCATACGAGTGGCCGCCGGACTTGACCTGGACCTTTGTGCCGTATTTGGCAGCGAGGACGACAGCTTCCTGAACGTGCAGGACCTTGTTGGGGACGACGATCAAAGCTGGTTCGTACTGGAGACGAGCGTTGAAGGTCTGGGCGTATTTGAGCCAGTCCTGGTCGACGCTCCTCTTGATGGGCACATTCTTGGCGAGGAGGTCCTCGGCGAGCTGATCGAAGTCTGGCTTCGCGTCGGGTTGGTTCTCGGTCGCCATCTTGCAAGGATGGGTTGCGCTTGATGGGACAGGGATGAAGATAGTAAGGAGACTGGAGAGTAAATGGAACAAGGCTTCCAGCGCGGAGATTCACAGATGTAAGGGAGTGGCGGTTGTGATCTGTGGTGATAATTGTGACAAGGAGGAGGGGGAAAAGAGGAAGTGGCGGGTGGTGGGTGAGGCTGCTGGAATTCTTTTTATCATCAACTACCTTGTGCGGGGCAAAGCCCTGGACAATTCGACGCTAAGTTCAGGGCATCAGATGGCGCTCGGGCCCTAATTCAAGCCTGAAGGGTGACTCTATATGTGACTGTAAGCGTGAATCGTTGGTGATGCCAGCCCCAAACAAAGAAGCCTTGTCCTCCACAGGTCTTTGGTTGGACCCCCTTGCCCGGAACACAAAAGGCAGCATCAAAACTCGGATCGGGATACTATTCCCTTGTTCCATCGAGAGACTCAGCATGTCGTCGCCTGGGGACAGTGCCTTTGTTTCCCCATCTTCATCGCTGTTGCCCTCCGCTTCCGCCTTCTGGCCCCCTTTTATTTCCTCCCCTCCCGTCAAGGAAGGACCGATGCCCATGCTGGCTCGGGCCAAGGTACGTTGCCTATCTATGGCCATTAAATTGTTCTCAGGTATCCTCTATACTCGTTATCCCTCTTCTGGACCAGGTCAAGAATGTATATTGGCCGAGAGGGGGGTGAGGAGCGTAGTTGATCAGAACGGCTCAAGCATTACCTTCCCCAGAGTTGCTCCTGGATCCTTGGTATCTTTAATACCCATCAACCTGCTCAGGGTCTTACAAGTACAATGGCCACCCTCGAGGATGGTGACAGTTCTTATTCTCTAGAGTCACTCGACACATTAGGAGAGACCCGACCCCGGTCACGATTCTGACTCTTTGAACGGCATTCAGTCATCGATCAGGTGGGCTGAGACCACAAATACAGTACGGGTGTAAATACAGTACGGGTGTACGGGAAGACTTCCGCCTGGCAAGTTAATAGATATAAGCTCTGCATTTGCGTTCTTAGTCGAGGCATCGCCGGGTTGTCTTTTGAAGCCGCCCATTCTCTGTTTTTTGGGTGGCTTCCTCTTCCGGAAAACCTGGAACACCACCGACAGGATCTCGTGATACTTGCCAACTAGTTCAGGACACGCACGGGCTTGGCCAAACAATAGCGTTCCGGGGCCCTGAATCCAAGACCAAGGGAAAGACCTCCAACTGTCTCCAATACTGGATACCGGTCTATCCAAACCCACCCTACACATCCAACTAGAAACGGCGGGTTCCGACATTCCCTGTAACTGCAACAGTGGAACTAAACGTACGTATTGGACGCGTGCGGCATCAAACTCTGGTTACGATCCCTGGAGGACTCACGGCTACTAACACTATTCGTGGATATCAGATGCAGACGCTGACTGAAAGGGAAGCAAACACTCTACTTGTCGAATCGGAAGTTGGTCCGAGTCGCACAGCAGATGGAATGGCAAGTTGTATTGGCAAAGAACGCAGGAATCCAGATCATTCATCCACCTCGACAGCCCTGCCAAGAAGCAAAACAAATGCAGAATACGAGATCCGAAGTTTTGAGAATCAAGCAGACTTTGGTCCACGACGTGCTCAACAATTTTCCTCGGTAGCCTAGGTAAATAAAGTCACAGCCACAGTCCCACCTCGTTTTTGACCTTCTCCTCTCTTTCTCTCCATCTCCGCACTCCTCACCCCGCACGCACACCACATTAGCCGGAAATAGTATCCCTTCCCCAAATTCCTCCAATTCATGCCACCGCTCTTTTCAGACCTTCTCTGATCGTCAAGTCCAACAGAGAAGAATCTGGGTCATTCTGCCATTCACCATGCTGCCCGGACCGCTCGTCAGTGTCTACCAGCAGTACAAGCAGGACACCGACTCGGTGGCCTCGTGGCTCGCATCCACCGCCAAGGCCTGCGGTTTTCCGGCCGATCTGCTGAAGTCTGGCACCTGGGATACACCCCGTGCTGCTTCTGGACGCGTCAAGGGCAAGGCCAGAAAGGAGGCGAAAGAAGCTGCCGCTGCGGGCGGAAGCAAGGCCGCCGCCTCAAAGAACGTTCCCAAGTACACTGTCGCCATCGCCGACTTCATCCCTCTCGCCGAGTTCGTCGCCGCGTCCAAGAAACCGCAGGCCGCGGTACCTGAAGCCTTCTCGGCTACCATCAACCGGGTTATTGAGGTGCGATCCGGTTTCGGCGACCGACTGGCCGAGGAAGGGTCCACGCCCGATGAGAACCAGAGACTGAAGCACGACTATTTTGTCGGTGTTCTCGAAAAGGTTCGCGATGTTTTGCGATCCTCAATGACGGTGTCGGCCGCGGCCGTGGCTGCTGCGGCATCCGCCTCCGCTGGAGGTGGAGCAGGAGACGACTTGGCCAACAAGTTCAGCGGGCTCGCCGTCTACGAGCCGTCCCAGGCATTCCTTGATGCGCCGGATATACCTCGGCCGGCGCCATTGCCTGAGGACAAGACTGTCTACGTTGCCGAGCAGCAAACTACTTTCGCTGATGCTCTGTTTGCCTGCACCGCCATGATGAACGACCTCGAGCGCATCAGGTCTACCATCAAGTGGATTTGGAAGAACCAGAAGGATGGCTTCTTTGACCTCGCCGCCGCTGCAGTCGCAACAAACACGGCCATCGACCTTGCTCGCAGCGTGTCGGAGGACGTCGTCCCCCTGTTCAAGGATCACGGCGGCGCATGGGGCATTCTCAACAAGTTCTTCGTCATGATCTGCGTCCGCAAGGGATATGATATGGACAAGATCTTCACTGACGGCACCGACAACTTCAACTATGATGCCTACGAGATTGCGGACCAGACCTTTGTACACGCCTACCGCATGCTTCTCAGCTTCCTCGATGCGCTGCTGCCGACAGATCTCCCGCTGATCAAAGAAGGCATCTTTGGCAAGTACGATCCCAAGGCCGACCGCTCGAAAATGACGGGCAAGGAGAAGGGCAAGGAGGACCAGATCCTGCTGATGGAGTTCTTCACCGAGCTGGTGACGGTCATCCGCGCCGTTCCCGACTTCCCGATCGAAGACGAGTTCCTGCGCGGCATGCGCGAGATGGATAAGACACGGAGCGTCCCCTTCTACCTTGTCTTTGCGGCGCAGACCTACCTCGACATCCACCACATCCTTCGAGACGACATCAACCAGAGCTTCCAAGCTGTCATACAGGAGACCTCAACCATGGACAACAACCTCGGCTTGCACCTCCAATTCCACCAGAACCTCAAGGTTGACACTTGGAACGTCGCCAACGACATGGTCCTGACGCAGCTCCAGCAGCGTATCAAATGGGTCGGCCGTGACCCAGTCTACCAGGCCAAGGTCAAGGTCCTCAAGCGACGCAACTGGGATGTCCCGGAGTCGATGAAGCCGCACCGCATACTGGTCTACTCTCCCGTGATCAGCGGACTCATGCTCTTCCGCTTCCGCGCCGAGATGTACGAGATCGGCATCACCGTCGCCAATGCCTGGGGTTCTATCCAGTACACAAACCACCTCTACAACGCCCTCCGGCAGGAGAAGCTCCTCACCACCTCCTGGCCCGACATGGAGATCGTGACCTCCATCCTCGGCGAGTCCAACTTCTTTGTCGGCGGCGCCCCAGACAATATCGCTGATTACCTCCGCCGCTTCTGCCTGCAGATGGGCGTCACGGTCGCGGCCTTCACCAACCGCAAGAAGCGACGCTCCGTCAGCACAAAGGGCCTGGACTCCCGCGCGGGACCGAGAGGCATCAAGGATGGCGTCCCCGTGTCTAGCATGTTCAAAGATCGCTACGTGTACTCGACGGGCTCAGTCCACTGGACGCCCGAGCACGTCGACGACATCGTCGCCCGCAGCGAGTGGGAGTTTGAGGGCGCCGAGGAGGACGGGGCCGTCTTCGCCATGGAGCGCAAGGACGACGGCGCCATCCGCGAGCAGAAGCGCGCCGCGCAGCAGGCCAAGAAGCTCAGCAGGCCCGCGGCCGAGGGCGCGCGGATGCCGCTGCACATGCTGGTCAGCCGGCTCGCGCTGGCGCTGCAGGCCGAGACGCTCGAGGCGGCGTTCCCGTACCTGACGCTGCACCGCTGGTGCTGGCGCATGCTGGGCGCCGTGCGGGAGTCGTGCGACCCGCTGCTCCGGGAGCTGTTCACCCCGGCCTACATGGAGCGCGAGTCGGAGCTGCCGTTTGTCGTGGGCTACATCTTCATGGCGGCGGGCCCCAAGGGCGGCGGCGGCCTCGGCGACCACCGCCTGCTGGAGAGGGCTGCGGTCACGCTGAACGAGCTGGCTGCTACGGGTGGAGGGAGCATGTCGATCAAGTTCCTTCAGCACTTGGGATTTGGTATTCAGTTTGAGACTGAGGAGGATGAGGAGTAATAGTGGGAAGGAGAAGTGGGGGGAGATGATACTCGATGTGGAAAAGTGTAGACAAATTAAAGTAACAACTCTAATGCAAGACCAGGTCGCGAGACTGGATGTATCTATGCCATGAATGGTTGCCAAAGGATACCAGTGGACGGGATGAGTGACTTCAAGTGCTGTGCAAGTCCCGCCAAACAGATCATTTCGGAGTAAAGATCAGCATCCTCTGCCGGAGATCCGACAGCACCCGCTCACCTGACCGCCGCAACAACATGTTCGGACTGGCCTGGAAGACGGCTGATGCTAATTATATCCGCAGGCTGGCACGATAGAAGGGTTCGGGCATGCAACCGCCCCAGAGACGATCCGATGAAGAGGTCCTTCCCCTCTCTATCCCTGCACAAGATCCAAGAACCGGGGTTCACTACCACACGCCATGCAACCCTATCCCGTTGCTTGCTTGTATGCGTGTCTGCTGCAAGAAAACGGCTATATATGGCGTGACATCGCCGTGAGCCCTTAGAGTTATACCTTTCCCAATCCCGGTCTCTCCTCGGAAGATGTCCGATGTGCCACTTGCTCGCTCCGCGCACACCTGCCAAGAGATAGATAAATCCAGCCCTAGATCGGGCCAGGGCCATCTTGTCTTGGGACTGCTCGGAAGATGCCAAAGCATTTCCCAATGAAGTCCAGCCCCCAGGAACAGAGGCCTATTTTTAGCCGTGGCTTAATCTAGCAGCACTTTACAAGGTGCGGAGCCCTACTCAATTCAGCCTGTCGTGGGAACCTTCACCAGCGAAAAGAGCAGAAGAGTCTTTCAGCTAGGCCTTTCGAATATCCGGAACGCCCATGTCACGTCGTAGCATTTTAATTTGAGCTTGCAATATCCAATTGCAGAGGCGGCGTCCGGTGGCTGACATCCTTACCGCGTCGTAGCTCTTGGAGAAGATGGAATTGGAGGCGGAGAGTCAACCAGCGGGGAGAACGGAAGAGTTCCTTGCTGCGAGGACTGGCACTCCACGCTCAATTGAGACATAGAGATGACTAGACATCTTCCTCTCATATAAATCAGGTCTTGGCTTCAGACCGTGTAGGACATATAAGGGCAGTGCGGGATCCCGCATCGACCTCGACTCGAGATCATCACGATCGTTACCAGGAACAGACGCAAACGTTGCCATCAATCTCAAACGCCCATCCTCAGTCCCTCCATTTCAAAGTAGCCTCACCTCCGCCCGTCATCGCAATGTACGCCATCTCCGCAGCCCTACTTGGCCTGTTCGCCATGTAAGCTAGCTCCTCCCAGGTGCCCACCATCACCTCCTCCCTCCTCAACCATCCACACAACCTCTCTCCACCACCCCCAAACATACATACCCATCCAGCCAAAGCTAACCTCCCACCCCCTTCACCGAAGCAGCGCCTCCGCCCAAGGCATAACCCTCACGCCCACAACCATCCGCGGCGCAACCTGCCCGGTGACCCGCGTCCTCACCCGGACCGAGACATCCACGACCACCACGACCGCCACGAGCACAACGACCTCGGTCTCGGTCTCGGTGTCGACCTCGACGGCGACAAAGACCGAGACCCGGACCACGACGGCCACGTACATAACCGTCTCGACGACGACGGCCCGCGTCACCACGACGGCTCCCTGCGTGGCGCCCGACTGCCCCACGCTCGTCTCCACGGCCACGGCCTGCAGGACCTGCTTCGTGCCCGGGTGCACCACCACCGTCGCGGTGACGAGGTCGTGCGGGTGCCCGGCCGCGCTGGCGACGACGACGACGGCCTTCCCCTGCGACAGGGCCGACTCGTGCAACAAGATCGGGTGCAAGACCGTGTACGATATCAAGACGGCGGCGTGTTAGGTAGACGGACGGTGAAGGACAGTCGCCGTGATTCTTACATAGCGAGAAGGAAGTTTATCGAAATATACTTTTGCATGATTTGTCAAGGAGGGGTCTCGCTGAGCTGACACGAGCGTACGAAAAGCCATTGCTTGCATCTATGTTGCCAACAGGACTACAAATTACAAAGTATCCAAGCACTCCCATTGTATACAAGCATGCTGAAGATACTAGCAAATCCCGAAATTGCATGACAGTCCACTCTTATAAACGCCATCACCAACTGAGACTCAATCACATGCCTTCCCCTCTAATGATCCTCTGAATATCCACATCCGCCCACTGCACCTCCTGAACCGGGCCCTGTGACTGCTGAACAGGTTGAAGAGGACTAGGCATGATAGAATCTGCAAACATAACACGTTAGCAACGCAGTTCGTAGCGGTAACAACGACGGCGGCAAAAAAAAAAGGACCTACTAGACATGTATTGCATCTGCTGCTGCTGTTGCTGCTGTTGAGCGGCCTCTCTCATCATCTTTTTGGATTGCAGAGAAGCAAGTACCTCGCCGCTCATCATGTCGAAGCTCTTGGACAGCATGTTGGCGTTGGTCCACCTCTCGCCGTACTTCTTCAGCGTCATCTTGGCCTTCTCGATACATCCCAGGCTTCGGTCCAGGTTATCTCCGCCGCTGCGCGGGGGCATCGGGGGCGGCGGCGCCCTGCCCGGCAGAGCCAGTGGCACAGGTACTGACGATCCCGCGAGCAGCGCATCCGCGGCGTCGCGCAGAACAGCGACGAACTGGCTGCCCATGAAGTACACGCGCAGGGCATCGTGGTACGTATAGAAAGCCGCGTTGAAGGGGCCGTGGGCGAGCTCGAAGACGCGGTCGACATACGAGATGGCATATTCGAAGATGAGCATCCGGCCGTAGGCAGTCATGTGAGGCGCCCTGCCGCTGGGGGCGATGCAGTAGACGTAGCTATATTTGAGCTCGAGGTCGAACAACTCGCGAATGGCAACGGGCAATGTCTTGGGCAAAGACTCGGACCATTCACGCATCTCAAAGCACATCTGCCAGATGTACCCTGCGGGATCTTGGAGAGGGTCTGTCGGATCGGATTGAAACAGTGTCTGGTACCATTGTGACTGGCACCTACGCAGCTGGAACCACAGAACGGCAGGGTTTTCTGACCGTGGCCCCGTGATGGTGCCAGATATGGAGGGGATGCGACCCAGGCCTGCCATGGAAGGCAGGTCGACATTGACCGAGTCGTCGGTAAAGGAGAAGGGCCGGGCATGGACTAGACTTATTGCTCTGAAACAGCAGTTAGTCCCTGCATAGACGCAGACTCTTTGTGGCGACCACTACCTACCTGTCAAGTGCGTACACACTATAGAAGAGCTTGCGCCTCATATCAAGAGTCTCCTTGTTGAGCTGCTGATTGGGAGGCGGGTCCTGGTGGTAACCCAGATCGATGACGACCCGGCATGTGATGCCGATGAGATGCCAGCTGTCAAAATGTGCAGGGTCGAGCATGGAGTACTGAGTGAGCAGGATCAGGGACTGTATCTGAGTGAGGTGACCAGGTGCCAGTGCCCTGTCGGCATACGGTAGAGCACGAGACGCGAACTCGAGACCATTCCGATAAAAGTCATCTTGGTTGCTACGGCTCTGCGCTGTAGCTCCTATGGCAAGGACCATGTAGACGAGCCAGTAGTCAGTGCTCCGCAAGCGGGGTTGCTCCTGGTAGAGCTCCTCCAAGCGAGAGAGAAGAATAGTCTCGTCGAAGAAGGGAAACAGCGAGTATATGTTGTTGAGGTAGTACTGTACAATAGCCTGAGCTGTCTGGCGAGGCGGCAGCTTGGTGCTCTTTGGTTCCGGTACTGGGTCATTCGTGGCCGCTGCGAGCACGAGTCGAGCAAAAGTCATGTTGCTCACTGACGGCTCGAAGTCCCTTGTGGTTGCATTCACGGATCTTGTACTGTGTCAACGAGTGGCCGCTCCTCGGAGGGTTTTAAGAGGGACTTACAGGAAGCCAAAATCAGAGACAAGGGAGTTGACATCTGAGTTCTCTCGTTTCCTTGCCGCCTTCCGGTAGATGGCAGCCCGGATGGTAGCCAAAGAGTCTTTGCGGTCGGTGTCTGGTACAACGGGAGTCTCATTCTGATGCATGGCTACCGATGCCTTCCTCGACTTTGCATACGACAAGCGTTTCTCCAGCTTCTCAATCCGGAGCTCGAGGGCCGAGACATAACTGCACAGGTTCAGCGCCACGACCACTATGGTAGTATGGAGAAGGATACACACCTCCGTTCCTTGCCACGGGCGAACTGGTCATTGGCCGCAGAGCACTCGCTCTCGCGGCCGGCCTTCTCACAGGCCGTACAGGCCGGAAGCTTGCCATCGCACTGCCAAGTGAAATGTCAGCTATCGATGCGCATGGGGTAGCGAGAGACTCTGGGCGAGTATAGACCTTGACTTTAGCGGAGCGACCTGTTTGGGTTTGTTAGAGGCCATTATGAGGAAAGAAGTAGGCAGGACTTGCATCTTGAGCAGGCTGATACGGGCCGGGAGACACGCAACAGTGGGTTCTCGGAGAAGCTGCTGCGAGGCATGACGATGACGATGGGTGCGGGATAAACGCCGCCCTTGAGTCAAGGCAAACGCCTGCTTGCTCGAGGGTCTGCAGAGACTTGATAAAGGAAATACTGATGTCAAACACGTCACTTGTACACAATTCAGACCCAGATGCAGATGCAGGTCGGAGATAGCCGAAGCAGCAGCGGCAGTAGCAGCGGAGAGGTCCCTCAATTGCGGCTGTGCTGCAGCACCGGATGCCGATGGCGGGCGGGGGGGCTAGGTTTGCGATCTGAAGAATCGGGCTTGGGCCTGGGCAGGGTGCGCTCTGGTGGGGAAACGTGGGATGCGCGCAAGCTGCAGCTGATGAGGGCGCAAGAGCGAGAGAGCGACAGCAAGAGAGGCAGAAGCAACTTTGGGTGTCAAGCAGATGTCGGCGACGTCGTCGCAAGAGGCTTTGTTAAGCTAAGAGAGCCTCGAGACCAAGGAGGAGGAGGGACTAGGGCCGATGAAAGGACAGCAGATTGCGAGAGTGAGAGTGACCGCGCGCCGCGCACACACACGCAAGAGAGCCAGATTGATCGACGACAGGACAGGCGGGCGGCAAGCTTGAACCATGTGTCAGGCGGGGTAACTGGTAACTGAGTGAAGGACAGGGCAGAAGTGGGGGCACACTTGGTGAGAGAATGGTGTTTGATTTGCCTGTTGTGCTCTATGGAGTACCTAAGCTAGGTACCTAACTATCTCAAATCATCATTCACAGCAGCGTGGGTTTAGTCATGCACACATCCTACCACTGCACTGGGAGTTGGCCTAACTGAAGACGGCCTAGAGGGATTGGATTGGTGCCATCCATCCTGACAGCCACAGCTGGTGCCATCCTGGAATGCAGAGCAGGTGCAGGAGACATCTATGTCTTCACATAATAAAGATGAGAGCAAAAATGAATTCTTCTCATCGGTTCTGGTCACCAGTGCAGATTGACGCTGCTTCATACCTACCTAGGTAATCAAGAGAGGTAAGGTAACCTTACCTTAGCATTAGGTCAATCTGTTTAGGCCACCAGGCATCAATCAGCAGGCATCGGGGCGACAATGGCCTTGGCGCTCAGTGAATTCCAGGCACCCTCCAGGCAGGATGACATTCTTTCCCAAAATGGCCAGCACTTGATCAACTCATCAAAGCTGTGTTGACAAAGAAGCAATCCCCAATGCTCGTGGACGTCATGTCTTCTCTTTTCCCCCTTGCCGCTTCTGTTCATTTAAGCAGCGCGAGCTGCTCATTGTTTCTCGTTGTAGCTCACCTCAGCATTTCATGTCGAGTGTTCCTTGCACCACATGCCCTTCGTACAGCGAATTGCCAACATCGAACCAACAATAGGAGCTCATTCTACGACCAGAACGACACATCGCCAAGATGCCGTCTAGGAAACGAAAGTCAGAGGAGAACCATGCTCACGCGGGCACAGAGCATACCATACGGTCCATACCCATCCGAGGAGGCCGGCCTGCTGTTCAACGAGACTCAAGCCTCAACGAGGCCCCGACCCAGGGTCTCACCGTCTTGATCTTCGGCACCGGTGACTGCGGCGAGCTCGGCCTCGGGCCTGTCACGAAGGAGGTCCGACGCCCTCGGATCATGCAGTCTTTGAACCCGGAGAACGAAAACAGCTACCGCGTGGTCCAGCTCGACACGGGTGGCATGCACGTCGTCGCTCTGACAGCGGACAACAAGATCGTCACCTGGGGCGTCAACGACAAGGGCGCCCTTGGCAGGGACACAGAGTGGGAGGGCCGCTTGCGCGACGCCGATGTGGACATGTCAGACGATGACGACTCCGACGACCTCAACCCAGTCGAATCGACACCCACCGACATACCAGCGGACTCGTTCCCACCAAACACCACATTTACGCAAGTGGCCGCGGGTGACAACGCTTCCTTCGCCATCACCGACACCGGCTTGGTGTACGGATGGGGAACATTCTTGGTAAGCTTGATCCAACTCAATCTTTTGCCGATTGGCCAACCTCGGTAGTATTCACTAACACCATCTTACCTCCTTAGAACACAGAGGGCCACGAGGGCTTCTGCTTTGACGCCAATGGCAGCTTCATCAAGCTGCAGCGCCGGCCCTTCCTCATCCCGGGCCTCAAGGACATCACCAGCATCACCTGCGGCGCCAACCACGCCCTCGCGCTCGACGCCCGCGGCCGCATCTGGGCCTGGGGCGTCGGCGAACAGAACCAGCTGGGCCGCCGGATCATGCCGCGCCGCGTCATGGAGAGCTACGTCCCCCACCAGGTCGAGGTGTGCCGCCACGGCGCCAAAGCCATTGCGGCCGGCAGCTACCACTCCTTCGCCGTGGACAAGCTGGACAACGTCTGGGGGTGGGGGCTCAACAGCTTCGGCCAGGCTGGGTATGCCAAGTACGCGGGCGACCCGTCCAACACGTTTGTCCCCTACCCGATGAAGATCCCGGGCCTGTGCGGGCAGGGGATCAAGATGGTCAGCGGCAGCGCGCACCACTCTGCCGCCGTGGCCCAGGACGGCCGGTGCCTCGTGTGGGGCCGGCTCGATGGCGGACAGCTGGGCGTGAAGCTGAGCGCGGAGCAGCTAGATGACGACAGCCTCGTGCGGCGCGACGAGCGCGGCAGGCCGCGGATATGCCTCCGGCCTGTCACCGTATCGCAAGTCGGCCAGACGAGCTACGTCGACTGCGGCAGCGGTCACACCGTCTTTGTGGGCAGCGATGGGAAAGCGCGCAGCTCCGGCTTCGGCACCATGTACCAGCTCGGCCTGGGCTCGGACGACGATGTCGAGACAGCGCAGCTCATCTTCAACAAGGCTGTGCGGGACCGGGTCCTGACCTGGGCGGGCACCGGAGGCCAGTTCAGCATGGTTGCCGGACCTGCGTGGGATACTGGCAGTGGTACTTCATAGACATTCTTAGATACAAGGAGGGTTGGAGGGGGGATTGAAAGGAACGAGGCCGGGGTGGATGAATATGCATTCACTCGTGGGGAACAGCAGCACAGCTCGAGTCTCATGATCGGCTTTTTGGTGTTGGCGACCACGACTTGGCACCTCGCTCGGCAGCCGTACCCCTCAGGGGGTCTGTGTCGAGTCATCATCCATGATCCCTGTTCGCCGTGATGTAATCTTTTTGTGTGTGTGTGTTCGTATTACTCTTTGTAGTTCCTCGCCTACAGTTCTGGTTGTGTTCCCTCGAAGGTACGCGTCGTTTAATCACTTTGACAGCTCCGATAGGGCTTACCCCCCTGTGTCAATGCAACACAGCGCCTTTGCGAGCTCCGACCGAACCCCCGACACATTGTTGGTCTCGGTGACTGCGATGCCTGTCCTGCGAGCAACGTGGGGCTGTAGCGTGTCGAACCCACTGAGATGCAGATCAGGAAATAGCACACCGTTCCCGACTTGGCCAATGAGGGCGCGAAGAAGGGGTTTTGTTAAGGTTCTCATTCAACGATGTGGTCCTTTTTCCTCTGCTGTTTCACATTGTAGCCTTTGTAGGGATCCAAGGGACCCTCTGGGCGGCGCTTGCGTGCTTCGATGGCGTTCTGGACGTGCGACCCTGCATGAAAACGTGTCGGGAGCGGCCTGCTTGCTGGGTCCGCGATGCACCCGCCACGCCACCGTTGTCGTTTTTTCTCTTCTGTTTTTTTTTGTTGAGACGGACGGATCCATGTGCCGGTCTAGGTAGCATTGTGTCTGCTTGCTGGCGGTTCCTTCAAGCCTCACTAACAGCGAGGTAGCAACCAGACATCGGAAGACGGGTTGGTTGAGGGGCCCGGCAATACCTACCACCCTACCTAGGCTCCTAGGTAGATAAGGTGTTGGCTGTTGGCTAGAGCTGCAGTAGCACCTCGATATCCGAGAATGCTCGTGTGTCTGGGTGTGTGTCTGTGTGTCCTTAGTTCGTGCTCTATTGAATGGATGATCACTGATGCCCTCGGGACTTTGTTGGCCAAGCAAGCTAGCATCCAGCCAGGGCGCCCCTAAGCTGTCGCTAGAGGGAATCGTGCCAGTTGAAGAATGGCGATTTTGTCTACCCCGCCGTGACCCGCCATTCCGCGGTTGGCCTTTTGAAAGCACTACCGATGAAAGCACGGTTAGGAGGGGATGTAGGGGGATTGGGGGATTGGGGGATTGATGTTGTTGGTTAGGCCAGTTCCCTTTCCGATTCCGCACTGGATCCATCTCCTCCCCTCCAAGCTCCAAGGCCTGGCCCGTTGAGACCCATCCGTCCTGTGCCTCGCTTGCTGTACGCTGCTGCGGAGCTAGCTCGCTCACTGTGATTGTGCACTATTCCCGCCCGAACACCCACCCACCCACACCACACAGAGCCCTGGAGACAACCACTGCCCACACCCACTCGCACCTGACACAAACCACCACCACCATAGCGCCGTTGCCATCGCTCCTGCAGCCCTGCCAGTCTGCCTCGCAGCCTGATTCACAGGATTCCCGATACACTCGCTCATCCATCCCGCCGAACACTGCAGCCTTGTTGTTCCCAGTGCCTGCCAGACAGGACAGCTGTTGATCGTCAAGCCCGATTCCGAGTTCCTTTGCGCAACCCTCGTGGATCTTCTCGTCATCGTCACGAAGAAGAACCCACCCACAGTTGCTTCGTATTCCCCTCCGATTCGCCGCAATCCCCGGTCCAACGGTGCCGCACCCGCTCCAGTCACTCGCTCTCTCGCTTTGTGTGCGCTTGACTCGACCTCGACTCGACTCGCCGCGGGAGCTTCCCATCCAACCCTTTCCCCCCCGCCACACCTGGCCAGCTACCAGACCGCCTTCGAAAAGCGCCACAACCAGACGGAAGCAGCCGAAACGACGATACAATCACGCGTGCGTGTGTTGTAGGCGAGCTCCTACCGAGCAGCGCATCCCATGGATGCCACCGATGTCTTCCGCCAGGGCTTTGCACCGTACCCCCCGCGTCACCAGCAGCCGGCCAGCTCCCGCCCCCGCAAGGCCCAACGCGGAGGTGGCGGCGGCGGCGGTGGTGGAGGAGCTGATGACGATGGCGATGGATCGTCGCATCGCATAGCGCATACCCTCACAGCCTGTTGCAGGTGCAGACAAGTAAGAAGCGAACCCTGACATCCTCATCATCATCATCCTGGCTCTCTCCCTCTTTATGCTCTCGCATCCTGGCCAAGATGCTCCCTTGCTCCAGGTCCAAGAGTCGTTGCGCTATGGTTCCTTCCCGAGCCTGTGCGCGTCTTGCGCGTATGCGAGATGCATCACGCTCTTTCCCAATCCCTACATCTCTTGCATCTCGCTGACAACAATGTCTTGTCTCCCGACGCAGAGGAAAACACGATGCGACCCGACCCTGCCCCGCTGCCTGCCCTGCGAGCGCTCCAACTCGATCTGCGAGTACTTCGACACCACCAAGAACAAGAAGATCAGCCGCTCCTACGTCGTCAAGCTGCAGGAGAAGGTCCGCCAGCTCGAGAGCGACCTCGCCCAGTACACCGACGACACCGAGTTCCCGCGCAACCTGTCCGACATCGTGCGGCCCGGCGGGCTCGTCCGCCTCGACGAGCGCGACGAGACGCCGCGCTACCTGGGGCCCAGCAGCGGCATCGCCATGACCCGCCTGCTCATGGAGGAGGCCAAGCGCTTCGCCCAGACCACCAAGATCTCGGAGCTCATTCCGGACGAGTTCAAGGCGCGCAGGGCCGAGCGCGCCAACCGCATGCAGAGCATCGTCGGGCTCGGCAGCATCAGCGGGCCCAGCGCCCGGAGGAAGAGCTACCCGCGCCTCAGCGCCGGTCCCCAGCTGTCGCTGCCCAACAAGGCCGTCATTGATAAGCTGGTCGAGGCCTTTACGACAAGAGGTAAGATTTGGTGTCTGCTGACCTCACCTGACTGCAAAACACACCGCTGACCTTTTGTTTTCCCATCGCATAGCGTTGGTCTTCACCCCGGTTCTCCACGAGCAGGTCTTTGCGAAAGACCTCGAGGAAGTCTGCAACGGCAGCACTGACCCCTACAAGAACTTTGTCGTGCGCATGTTTCTCGCCATCAGCCTGCAGAAGCTCGACACCACATATGCCGGTCTCGCCGATGGGTACTGGCAAGCTGCCATGCAGGGCTTTGAAGAGGTGGTCAGGCCAAAGGATCTCAAGACGCTGCAGTGCCTGGTACTCATCGGCGAGTACTCGCTCCTGACGCCGACTCGGACGAACGCCTATCACATTATCGGTCTTGCAGTGAGGATATGTCAGCAGCTGGGCTTTGGGGAGGAGAAGACGATAGCCAGCGGGTTCTCCGTCGACCCGCTGACGCTCGACATGCGGCGGCGGCTGAGCTGGATTGTCACGACGATGGAGTTTGGGCTGGCTCACAGCATGGGCCGGCCTGTCGGCTTTGCCAAGGGCGACGATCTGATGGACGTGGGTTTCTTTGCCGACGTGGACGACTCGCTCATTACGGAGCAGGGCATCAAGCCCGGCCCGCCCAGCGAGAAGAAGCTCGTGGCGATACACTTTTGCAAGATGCGCGTGTGCCAGGCCGAGATCCGGCGCACGCTGTACGAGAAGGAGCGCCACGAGCCGCGCGACGAGAACGACCCGTGGTTCAAGCAGATGGAGCAGAAGATCGAGGCGTGGCTCAAGGCGGTGCCCACCGAGCCGCAGTGGTGCAAGCCATGGTGAGTTTATCGATGGGAGAAGTAGTACGCGAGATGAGTGAGTTAGGAGTACTAATTTGCTCGTCAGGTTCACGGGCCAGTACCACACCATGCTCGTGTTTCTGAACCGGCCCACGCCGCAGATCCCCAAGCCGTCGCCGAACGCCGCCAACAAGTGTTTCGAGTCGTCCGCCTACCTCATCAACCTGTCGAGCCAGCAGATCAAGCAATCGGCCGTCGACATCACGTGGGTTTTCCTGCTCATGCTCTACATGTCGCTCAACACCGTCCTCTGGGCGGTGTCGTACTCGGACGTCCGCGACGCGCACCCCAAGAAGGAGGTCGAGGAGCTAGTCAACATGGCGCTCGACATTATCGACCAATGTTCCGAGCGCTGGCCTGGTTCCTCGGCCGCGGCGGAGCTGTACTCGACCTTTGCCAAGGCGTGCATGCAGAGCTACGAGATGGCCGAGGAACCACCGTCATTACTAGACAACAACTATGCCCCTACGCCATTGACGCTCGCCAGCACAGACTCTCCGACACCGCCGGACCCGTCCATACCGAACGCAATGGGGATCAACCAGCCTGGTCCACCCCCGATGTTCAACCAGGGTCCATTCGGCACCGGCTACGACTTTTCAGCGCCTCCCCAGCAAGTAGCCAACCCCTTTGGCTTCGGCGACCCGTTCCAGGGCGGACAGGCACACCCTCAGTTCCGCTCAAACTCCATCTTCATGGACCCTGTGTCCAATGACTCCGGGCGCAGGATGTCATACTACCCTCCCGAGGCGACGCCGCCGGGCGACGACTCAATACCCGAAGAGCCGACGCCGCCGGCGACGACGACGCCGCAGGCCCTGCAGCAGTCGCCGCCCATCGGCCCGCCGGTGCCCAGCCCGCACGAGGCGCTCATCACACCGCCAAACACGAGCCAGACCTCGCTCTCGCCGCCGATCAGCATGCCCGCCAGCGGCTCGTCGCCCACGCCGACGCTGTCCAACGCCAGCCCCATGCCTCCCTTCTCGGGCAACCCGTCGCCCAACCTCGTCGGCGTGGCCAAGTTCGACGGCGGCAGCGCCATGCCCGGCCTGAACCGGCCGCAGCCGACGGCGCAGCAGATCCAGCAGCCGCAGCCGCAGCACCAGCAGCGCACCGTGCTCCCGGGGGCGTTCACCATCCCGGCCCTGCCGTCGCAGCAGACGTGGCCCGGCGCGCCGCCTCCGCAGCAACAGCAACAGCAGCAGCAGCAACAGCATCATCATCAGCAGAGGCCGCTGCCGCAGGGGACGACGGTGACGGACTGGTTCAACCCGCCGCCGCCGTTCATCTCGCCGTACGCGGCGTTCGCGGGGATCAGCGGCGGGCCGCCGCAGCCTGGCTCGCAGCAGAGCGCGTCGACGAACAGCATCTTTGCGGACCCGTCCTCGACGGCCTTTTCTGGGATCGGGTTCGGGAGCGGGACGCTGGGGGCTTCGTTTGATGGGGGGATGACTGCTCATGGTGCCGGTGGTGGTGGTGGTGGTGGTGGGCACCACCAGATGCCGTTTGCGGGAGGCGGGGTGAATGGGATGGGCGGTGGCCCGTCTGGGGATGGGTTTGGCGGCGCCGGTGCTGGTGCTGGTGGGGGGTTCGGAGGAGCAGGAGGGCCGGAGAGGCAGGGGAGTCTGAGCCAGGAGCAGCAGGTTGAGCTTATGGGGATGCTGGAGACGGAAGGGCTGGGGGAGATTGACAGCTTTTTGAACTTTGGGGGGGATCTGGGGGGGTTGAGGTGGTAAGATGGCGGTTTCTGGGGGGGTTGGAGTGGTGGTGAAATGAAGGTTGGAGGCGGTTGAGAAGGGCGAGGTGAGGTGAGGGTGGATGTGAGGTTCGAGAGGGCAGGAGGATGGTGAGAAGTGGTGATGATTACGATGAAGATGAAGGACATCCAACCTGGGATGGAAGATGGATGAGTAGACTCTGGGTCTGGTCTGGTCTGGTAGAGCGTTTTCTCTTCTAGGAGAGGAACTTTTTCAGGATACCACTTTGATTTTCAGCATGTCAGCATGGAGCTCGTGTGCAAATAAACAGGAATAAGAAAGAGGCATCTTTGGGTATTATCGTCGTTCAAATCTTTGCTAGTCATCTCACAGCTTGGCAAACACAGTCGGCACGCTCCCGCCCATCTCGACCAGCGTGCTCTTGTTCCTGACCCACGCCTCGAGCCCCCGACGCCCGTTCTCGACGCCCAGCCCGCTCTGCTTCCACCCGCCGACGGCCATCTCGGCCGGCGACTCGCCCCACGTGTTGATCCAGGTGATGCCGGCCTCGAGCCGGCCGACGACGGTGTGGCAGGCGTCGATGTCGCGCCCGAACACGCCGGCCGCGAGCCCGAGCTGCGTGTCGTTGGCCCGCCGCACCGCCTCGTCGACCGTGTCGTAGAACAGCACCGTCATGACGGGGCCGAAGATCTCCTCGCGCACGACCCTCATGTCGTCGGCGCAGTCGGTGAACACGGTCGGCTGCATCCAGAACCCGCCCCTGAGGCCCGCGGGCACGCCCTCCGGGGGCGCCGCCGCCTCGCCGCCGTACAGCACGCGCGCCCGGTCGACCTGCACGCCGTGCCGCACGTAGCCCGCCACCTTGTCCCAGTGCGCCCTGCTGCTCAGCGGGCCGAAGTTGGTCGCCGGGTCGAACAGGTCGCCGGCGCGGACGTGGCGCATGCGGGCCAGCAGCTCGCGCTCAAAGGCGGCCCTCATGGCCCGCGGGACGAAGACGCGCGTGCCGTTGGTGCACACCTGCCCGGAGCTGTAAAAGTTGGCCATCATGGCGCCGTCGGCGGCGCTCGCGGGGTCGGCGCAGGGCAGCACGACCAGCGCGCTCTTGCCGCCGAGCTCCATGGTCACGCCCTTGAGCTCGCCCGCCGCCGCGCCCGCGACCCGCCGGCCCGTGCTCACCTGGCCCGTGAAGCTGACCTTGGCGACGTCGGCGTGCGTCGCCAGCCGCCCGCCCACGTCGCCGCCGCCGTAGACGACGTTGAACGCGCCGTCGGGCAGGCCCGCCTCGCGCAGCAGCGCGGCCAGGTACGCGGCGTGCAGGCTCGTGTGCTCGCTCGGCTTGTAGACGAGCGTGTTGCCCGCCGCGAGGCAGGGCGCCGCCTTCCACAGCGCGATCTGCAGCGGGTAGTTCCAGGCGCCGATGGCGGCGCACACGCCGAGGGCCTCCTTGTGCGTGGTGACGAGGCAGGTCGGCCGCAGGCGGAAGGCCTCGCCGTTGAGGCCGCCCGAGGCGACGAGCGAGGCGTAGTAGGCGAGGACGTCGGCGCCCGTGGCGACGTCGACGGCGGCGGTCTCGGAGAAGGGCTTGCCCGTGTCGCGGGTCTCGACGGCGGCGAGCGCGTCGTTGCGCTCGCGCAGGAGGGCCGCCGCGCGGTGGAGCACGGCGGCGCGCTCCGGGGGCGGGGTCGCGGACCAGGACGGGAAGGCCGACTTGGCGGCGGCGACGGCGGCGTCGACGGCGGCGGGGGAGGACGTGTGGATTGTGGTTATGCGGCTGCCGGTGGAGGGGTCGATGGAGGGGAAGGTCGAGGTTGGGGAGGAGAGGGAGGGCTGTGGGGTGCCGGCGATGATTGTGTGGCGGGGCTGTTCTGAGGGAGGAGGAGAGGGAGGAGGCATTGTGATGGGTGGTGGTGTGTTGGTGGTGATGTTGGATGGTGCTTGAGGGAGGCCGTGATGCGATGTCCACAGGCACGGACACGGACACGGGCACGGAAGACCGTGTTGAATGATCAATTGAAGAATAGGACTGGATGCCGACTATCTCAGTCCTGGAAAATGCTAGAGAAGTGTCGGTGTGAGAGAGCTAGAGAGGGACGGACGCCGCCTGGGAATGGCGATGATAAGGTTCGCGAGCTGCCGATGAGAGAGTTTGGTCGCTGTTCCGGTCCCACCATCCAACTTCGTATTTGCTTGGGAGCCAGGCAGGGTCCAGGGATCTTCGTTCTTCAAGCTGAGCAGCCGGATGGATCAAATTGATCGTGGTCAGCTTCCCTATTTCTCTTAGTCACATGTGCTGCCTCGGAAGACGCAGTCCTATCTTGGGGTTGTTTGCTCCCTCCTGCGTCGGCGATCACTTGGGATCCCATGTGGAGAAGTGGCTGGGTTTTATTCGCTTTTGCATGGGTGCGAGAGAGCCGTCAAGCCATGGTAGGATAAGAAGAAGTAAGACAAAAGCAAAGCCCCCCTCCGAGTTCGTTCTGTCTCTCTCTTTCTCCCTCTCCTCTCACCGACGATTTGCGACGGGGTTCCGGTCTCGCACGGCGGCATCCGTTACACCCGCTGCGCGCCAAGCACCGAATCACAGCACGTCCCAGGAGATAAAACCTTGCACCGTCACACGCACAAACGTAACTACGTACAGACAGGATGGTTGCAGCAGGGGGGAGGCAGGGAGGCAGGGAGGCAGGGAGGGAGGGAGGGAGGGAGGGAGACAGGCACTCACACGACCAACCTCGCAGATAGAGGACAGAGGTGTCGGTGTGTGTCGCTCGTCCAGTCCTGGTTCAACATCAAAACGTAATGGCTCTGGGGTGGAGACCGCAGTCATCCCGAGTGGACCGGCCAGAAGCCAAGAAGCAAGCCAAGATGGCACTCAAGGCACTCAAACCCCCTCTTCCGGACCTCCAAAGCCTACCTAGGCTCGCCTCCACCTGGACCGCCTGCAGAAGCGTGTGTGTGCCGGGTCAGGGATGCATGCCCGAGCTGTCGCCCCCAAGCCTGGATCTGCACCGGCTCCGTCGTCCGGGCTCTCGACGCAACTCGAGCGAATCAGGCCATCCGCTGACCTTCACACGACCTCTGGCGGCACACGCAGCAATGAGACATGCACACTACTGCGGCCACGCCATGCTTAGCAGAAAACGGCGTCTGCGACCCGTTTGCCGTGTGTCCCGGTCAGCTGTCGGTCAGCCGTTCGTCTTTGTTATCCTATCTCGCGTATATCTTTGCCCGACTAAGTAAGCTGGGCGGCCTGGTCTGATGGATCCAGTGCGGACGGCCAGGGTGGGGAGGATGGGGAGAAGAAGAACCAGGAAAGAAAGACAGAAAAGAGAGCCAAACCCACTCTTGATTTCGGTGTGTTAGTGCATCCTGTCCAGAGTCTTAAGTGCCGTGTTTCCACATTACTACACCGGGCGGTCCGGTGTTTTTCTTTACTAACGGGCGGCTCACCACTGGGGACCCCTTCTTGGAAACTTTGTTCTAGACTTTTTCTCATTGCATTGCATTGCTTCACCTTCTCACGAGCCGTCAAGCCAGCGAGCCTTGAACTCGCTTCCTCTCTGTCTGTCTGTTTGTCTGTCTGTCCAGAGCTCGGAAAGATATCATCAACCGACCTCCAGACTCGCCATTGTCCAATTTGTACACACAAAATGACCACCACCTGGCTTCCTCAGGCCCACTCGGACCGCTATGACTATGTCATTGTCGGCGGTGGCACGGCCGGGTGCATCATTGCCTCCCGCCTCGCCGAGAACCTGCCCCAGAAGCGGATTCTCCTGATCGAGGCCGGCCCCAGCGACTTTATGGACGACCGAGTTCTGGATCTGCGTCAATGGCTGGCCCTTCTCGGCGGTGAGCTCGACTATGACTACGGCACTGTTGAGCAGCCGATGGGTGAGTGAAGGCTGATCAGCGTTCATGATGTGATACTACTCTCTCAGTAGAGTTTCCTCGATGGGACCAGGTGAGACTAACCCGCTCGCACAGGCAACTCGTACATCCGGCACTCGCGTGCCAAGGTCCTGGGTGGCTGCTCCTCGCACAACACCCTCATCTCCTTCCGCCCCTTTGAGTATGACCTCAAGATCTGGGAGTCCTTCGGCGTCAAGGGCTGGGACTTCAAGACCTTCATGGGGTACATGGGCCGCCTGCGCAACACGGTCCAGCCCGTGCACGCCCGTCACCGCAACCAGCTGTGCCAGGACTGGGTCAAGTCGTCCAGCACGGCCATGGACATCCCCATCATCGACGACTTCAACAAGGAGATCACCGAGACGGGCTCCCTCAAGCAGGGCGTCGGCTTCTTCTCCGTCAGCTACAACCCGGACGACCACCGCCGGTCGAGCGCCTCGGTCGCCTACATCCACCCCATCCTGCGCGGCGAGGAGGAGCGGCCGAACCTGACCATCCTCACCAACGCGTGGGTGTCCAAGATCAACGTCAGCGGCGACGTCGTCACGGGCGTCAACCTGTCCCTCAAGGACGGCACCAAGCGCACCGTCAACGCGCGGCAAGAGACCATCCTCTGCGCCGGCGCCGTCGACACCCCGCGCCTCATGCTCCTCTCCGGCCTGGGACCCCGCAAGCAGCTGGCCCCCCTGGGCGTCCCCGTCGTACGGGACATCCCCGGCGTCGGCGAGAACCTCATCGACCACCCGGAGACCATCATCATGTGGGAGCTGCACAAGCCCGTCCCGGACAACCAGACCACCATGGACTCGGACGCGGGCATCTTCCTGCGGCGCGAGGCGCCCGACGCCGCGGGCAGCAAGGCCACGCCCACGAACCCCAGGGCCCTCCCCGACGGCGACATCGCCGACGTCATGATGCACTGCTACCAGATCCCCTTCACGCTCAACACGCTGCGCCTCGGCTACCCGGACATCCGGCGCGGCTACGCCTTCTGCATGACGCCCAACATCCCGCGCCCGCGGTCCCGCGGCCGGCTGTACCTGACGTCCGCCGACCCCGCCGTCAAGCCCGCGCTCGACTTTGCCTACTTCACCGACCCGGAGGGCTACGACGCCGCGACGCTGGTCTACGGCATCAAGGCGGCGCGGCGCATCGCGCAGCAGGCGCCCTTCCGCGACTGGATCAAGCGGGAGGTCGCGCCCGGGCCCGCGGTGCAGGCCGACGACGAGATCAGCCACTACGCGCGCAAGGCGGCGCACACGGTGTACCACCCGGCCGGCACGACGCGCATGGGCGACGTGGAGCGCGACGAGATGGCCGTCGTGGACGACCGGCTACGCCTGCGCGGGCTGAAGAGGGTGCGGATCGCCGACGCGGGCGTGTTCCCGACCATGCCGACTATCAACCCCATGCTCACGGTCATGGGGGTCGCGGAGCGGTGCGCGGACATGATTGTCGAGGAGGCGCGGGCCGCTGGGGCGGAGAGGGAGACGGCGAGGTTGTAGGATAAAGACGGAAGGCTGTGGCGTGTGGTGTGGGTGAGGAGATCTATGGGGAGCACCTGCGGGCGGATCTGCATCACAATGGGCTTCAGGGTGTCTCGATGGAAGCCTTCATCACGCTAGATCTATGTGAAGTTGGCCATACCACGACGAGAGACCCATCTAGACTTTATCATTATTACTTGGATATCCCACAATCAAAGACTGTTCAACCCTCGCGCCCTGCTCGCCCACCACACCGCCAGTACCACAGCAAGAATCACCCCCGCGCCCAGCAACCGCCGCCGCATTGACTCCCACATCATCCCCAAGACCTTGATGTTGTTCCCCGCCTTCCGCGCCTCGTGCTCCTCCCGGTCATTGACCCGAGGGAAGGGCACGTCGGGCACCTCCCTGCCCAGGAACTCGCACAGCGGACCCCACCCCTCCCCGATGCGGTACTCCAGCCTCCGCTCCGGCGGCACCCTGCTCCGGATCCGCTCGTAGTAGGCATCGTACCCGCGCCGCGCGTTCTCGCGCACGCCCGCCATGTCCCGGGCCCCAAACAGCCCCAGCATCATCGTGTTCATGACGTGGAACGAGGCGCGCAGCGGCAGGCCCGTGAGGGCGCTCAGCGCCGCCAGCAGCGCGCGCTTGGCCCGCGGCGAGGCGCACGTCGGCACGACGCACCCCTCGTAGAAGGTCGGCCACCAGGTCTCGAAGTCGCGCTGCAGGACGACCACCCGCGCGTCCGGGTACGCGTCGGCGAGCTGGTCGGCCCACATGCCCGCGATGTCGGTCACGGCGTCGTACCCGCCGAACACGGCGTCCCAGTCCTCCGCCGTGAACTTTGCGGCCCGCCTGTTGGCGGAAGGGTACGTGGCGTCGGCGGCGCGCTCGAGGGCGGCCCACATGGCCAGACCCTCGGGCGTGGGCACCACGTCGAGGCCGTGGTGGGCGCGCAGGCCGAGCACGGCGTAGGCGCGGGCCATGGACATGGTGGCCATGCGCATGAGCGAGGCGGTGATGACGGTCGGCGGGCCGTGGCGGCGCGAGGTCACCATGGGCTTGGACCAGTCTGCCTCGCTCGCGGCGGTCGGCGGGAGAGCCGGCGGAGGCGCGGCTGCTGCCATGTTTGCAATTTTATCTGCTATGGCTGCTGGATAAAGTAGGGTTATCGTGTCATTAGTAGCTCTTCTTTTGGAAGTTGTATCGTGCCGGAGATGTGTGAAAGGGAGGAGGGCGGTCAGCAGTAAGATATAGAGCTGACATTGCGTATCACAGTACGACTAGCCTGTCCTGCGCCGTAACCGTAAGCACAGGGAATTGGAGAACTGCTGACTCACCTCCTCCATTGAATCGGGACTGTTTATACGATAGCTATCCTAGTTGGGTCACAACTCTCGCTTTCGAGCCGGGGATGGAGTCGCCAAGCCAGAGAGTCCCGATCGTGACCGGACACTTCTTCAACAACTTTGCGTGTTTCTTCTATGGCCGGAGACAGACATATTCCACTTTTCGTGAGGGGTCTGGTGGGGGAAATTGAGCAAGGAAAGAAATGAAAGAGGAAGTAAAAAAAGCGAGAAAGGGAGGAAAGAGGAACAACGGAAAGGGAAGAAGAGAGGAGAAAGCGAATAACCTCACCCGAGTAATCGTCAAGCTTGCGGCACCAAGTTCTGGTATCTCTTTACCCACCTCGAGTGAGCGCAGTTTAAATATGGCCGTTAACTATGGTGACTGTTCTCTCACGTATGACCAACCTGCCTTTCAATCCCCAACTAATGCTTTACTGCACGTTTAGCTAGTATTTATAACAAATGTAGACATCAATGAAGACCTCACGATGAAAAAAAGCGTGAGGAGAGATCGAGCTGATATAAAAGAAATCTAATTCCGCTTCTATGCCCGGAGATGCTGTGAGAATGATTCCCCATAAACGAATGTGAACTCTAGCGCTATCCATCTAACAAATGCAAATAACCAGAGGGAAGAAAGGAGCCAAGGAAGAAAGAAAAGAAATCGAGCGACAGAAATGGTAGACATGAATGGCAGAAAAGTTCGTAATGTTCGCTTCAACGCCTGGCAGAACCCGTTTCGTACACCGTTCTATACATATTGACAGTCGCTGGGGACATAAAGCCATCAAAAAATCTACCATAGTGGACTGATGATTCAAGACTGTGACCACTGCGCACCGGAGCTCGAGCCTGCAGCGTCTGTATGGGTGTCAGTCCAGGCCATCTCTGCCAGATCACCAGGAAGTCTGACCGTTTGAGTAATCCTCATACTCGTCGTACTCCTGGCCCTCCTCGTTGGGCAGGATCCCGCGCTTCTTGGCACGGCGCTCGAATCTGGAAATTGAGGCGTCGCTCACGGCCTTGCCGCGGACGGTGAACTTTGTTGAGGCCTTCGGATCGTCTTTCTCCATCTTCTTCTTGGTCTTGAGCATCTCCATGTACTCCTCCGTCTTGGTGTACTTGGTATCGAGGCCCCACTGCTTGATCTTGCCCTTGTACTGGCGTGGTCTACGCAGGGATGATTAGCATGGTGCACGCCAACGCCGTGGGTTGGAGGAGTCAATACATACGTAGCTTTGAAGCCATACTGAGTCTCCATCTGCTCCATCACATCCTTGAGCTTGTGCGTCTTGTATAGCTGGCTGATGACTTGGCGATATGGCTCCCAGTCCTCGGATGATTCTGGCCGGATGTAGTTGGATTTTGACGACTCTCCTTGCTGATATGTGCCGTAGTCCTCATAGCCCTCGTACTCATCATAACCGCCATATCCCTGCTGTTGGTAGGGCTGCTGGTAGCTTTGGTTATATCCCTGCCCATAAGACCCAGAGTAGTTCTGGCCGTGGCCGGATCCAGATGAATACATATTCGAGATATATAGAGGTTGGAATAGTGTGACTGTTTTCAATCGGATAGCTTCTGTGTATGATCGGTAAATGATCAGTTGGAGTGCTTGGTGTTGTCTGGAGAATATTGTCTTGAAAAGCGGCATCGTCGACGACACTTATATACCACCTCGAGATATCATGAACCTGTGTCAACAATGATACCATGTTAAGAGTATGGTGCAGCCTAGCAAGTCATACACTAGGCTCTCTTTGAATTTCTTAAATTGGCCTTGCTGGCTTCCCATGATGATGGACTTGGTCTCCTGGCACTGGGCCAAGCGTGTGGGACAAAGGATGACCGCCCTCCCAGGCCAGACGCGGTTCGCGGCTATGCCAGGGCTTCACCCGGTGCCAGATCTAACTACGGTACCCTTCCCGGTCCCGAGATGCTGGGGTGCGTCACGGGGACCCTTGCCTCGGTGCCACTGGCATGTCTGCTCGATTATGTGACGCAGGACTGTGTTGGGACACACTCGGAGAACTTTGGCTCCCAAAGACCCGGATACACAAGCGCAGGGGACATAGCTATTGGCTGTATTTGACCTGGCTGTCCGTTTTGGGGGCGCTTATGGGTTGAATTTGCGGACTTGCAGGCGAGTACCCGCTTCCTTCGCGCCATGTTCCTTCTAGGCCACAGAATTCTCCCACTGACGATTTGCGAATGCGCTTAATTCTGTCGCCTAAATGTGGTGGGGATGACAGGGCTGGGCGTTGTCAGCTCGGCGCATGGTCTTGAGAAATAGTTAGTCCAGGCTTTGTGGCGGAACAGTCGGATGAACGAGCTGGGAAACTCCAACAAGGCTTGTGTGCTGACAGACACGCGGTCTCGAGCAAAGCCGAAAAGGAATTTCGGAGACGACTCTGTCCTAAGTGTATTGCTTTCTGCGCCTTGCACTGATATGGCCATGACACCGTTGAACAATCCTCAGCTCTGATGGCGAACCAGCCGGTAACTGTTTCAGATAGTTTGGGGGCGCCTCCCGGCGCTATGGGTCCCGATTTAGACGCTCGATGATACCCTGTCAGCACTATAAACCTCTGACAGGGAAGATGAGCCTCCCCTCAGGCAGAAAGAAAGCAAGGGCAACAACCCGACTTTAGTCATCGTTCTCTTGAAGCGTCCAAAAAGACCTCCATCTCCACCCGTAAGGCTCTTGACCTCTATTTTCAGAGTGTCCTCCCAGGCAACGAAGTTGGAGCCCTGGACTCATTGGAAACACAGGGCTCCTGCCCCCAAACGCCACAATACGGCTCAGGCGGAATAGCCTTATATCACGCGACGGGAAGGAGTCTTGAGGTCCAGTATTGAGTTGTCATCTTGCGGCCGCCCATAGATGCAGCCGTCGTCTATCCGTATTACTCAGGACGGACAGAATGGACAATCAGACGGAGAAGCTTCTACAAGAACACATCTCATCGCCGAGATCGTCCGGTGATTGTTGTCATCGCCAGAGCGCGAAAGACGACCAGATGTGGCCGTTGATCAATGGGTCGATCTACGAGTCATTCGGTCATTAGATCGAGAGGTTTCTATGTTCATGGCAGGGCTGTACTACTCTTCAGCTGTCATCTCAATAACTTCGAAGTCTGGGTCCACAGGTGATCTTTGCACCTGATACAGCAGATTAAAGCCGAGACGCGGTCTTCGTGACTCATCGCGTTCGAAACTCCCCGAAGGCAATCGAACGTATGGTGGTTGTTCTGACCTCCTCGAACAACAGACACTCCTGAGATGAAGAATGTGTGTCGTGGGAAGTAGCCTCAAAGAGCACTGAATGCCTTGTGACCAAAAAGCGGGTGCGGTGTCTTTTCAAGGACAGATATTGGCCTAGGACGTTTTCAAGATATGTCAAGCGATCAATTGCTCCATTTGCAATTATGCCATGAGTAATGGTAGACACTCTAGAGTGTAGATGACCTCTCCTCCGAGGTATAACTCTCTATAACGTACCCGTCTCGTGTGCCACCGCGTTGTGCGAGTGAGGATTGCTCGCGTACGCGGAGAATGATGAGGATAAACCACGACACGCATTCAGCACGTGGACCTATGCGGGGACGGCTTCGCCGTCAGGCAACATTCCCCAGCCATTGTGAAAAGATGGGTCGCAGAACTTTCGAAGAAGTCGAGATAAGAGCGGCTCCTGGCCCAGTGGGGTCTAACAGAGAGAGTGAACTGGAATGTCTCGGGGCACGAGTCGAGAAAGTGACAGGATGGAAAGAACTGAACGTGCAAGTCAAAAGCTCTGCCACGGGATCACCAAGGGTCAAGACTTCGAGGCGAATGTGCACGGATACTAACCGATACGGGGGAGAGGTCCCGTTTTCCCGCCTCGAGGGCGGCATTCGTGTGGACCGGGGCTGGCACCTCCGACGGTGAGAGGAGGCTGGCGGAGTATTGCCCGCTGTCATCTCACTGGGAAAGACTCGGTCTGGGGCCGTTGCGGGCTGATGGTGTCATGTCCTGGCTTGCTCGGCAGTTAATCGAGATATGGCTCTAAACACCCTGAAGCTACCTGTTATTGGTCCACGGACGCAGAGTCTTCAAAACTTTAAAATAGGCGCCGGGTGTTATCAACAAGGGTCTACCTGACTCGAGGCTTGTGGAGTGGGAAGTGGAGTTCTTCATCACAACGAATTCCAACCCAAATAGACGAATCGACATAGACAGAAAAGGTAATGGCAGGCACGGCCATGCTCCCACGGATCCAGATTTTGCAAGGGGGATTATCCCATAGCAGATCTAATGGTATATTGCTACAATTGGACTGGTAGAAGCTGGTCTCGCCGGATCATATTGACCAGACTCGGACAGGATGCTGGACACTGGCTAAAGAGTGCTTCTTGGGGTGTTCCGTGAGCAGACGTTATGTTTGATTGCCATCCATCCCAGAAGATATAAATGGCGACAATTCACGTGGCTTGCCCCGAGTTCGAAGTGGCCTGACAGACGACCTCGGGGCGACATTCTCTTTGCGGCATTGACGATCCGACGCTCGCGTATCTCGAGAAACTAGAACTAGCGGACGCCTCTGTGCTGATTCTAGCGTGTCTCATAATTGCCACCGCGAGTCAACTAGTGGCGCTGACGTCGTCGACAAGGGCAACAAAGGCATTGAGGTTAGTTCGTCCGAAGGGGGGATCTAAGCTAGCGCAAGCAAGGCAAACATTCCAATACAATAGCAAGTCGCGCCTGGCAAGGGGTCCTCCAATTCCACCTTGTGAAGTTTTGTCTCCTTAATACTCTCAATGTCAAACGACTTTATCTTTTGCCCGAGAGAAGGACGTTCGACCGCCAACAGAACAGGCTGAGCAAACAAAACAGTCATCGAGCACGCCTCACCTATGCATCCTCAGCCACCGGGTCGTTAGAGCTCAACCGATAGCCGCAAGCTATCGAGGCTCGAAGTTATGAAGATGGCCTCCGACCCAGCAAGTCTCGGGGCGCCTGCCGAGTTCGACGATCATATCATCCCACCAGAGTCTGACACCCTGATCGGATTGCCGCCTGTGCTCTTCAAAGGACTGATCGGTGTTACAACAATCGCTGGGATCTCGCTAGTGTCTTGCACGGCTCTCTTCCTTCATCTCACATACAGACTTGTGCGATGGCATTTCCGCGTGAAAAGCCCTTCCAAACAGAGAAGGAGACAGTCGTCGTATACCGATTTCAACCTGGGTCTAGCAGCGCGGCACTTTCATCGCAAATTCTCACGGGGCAGCACAGCAGATCCTGAGAGTGGTAGACCAGACCAGGAAGCACCGCACCCGAATCAGTTCATACTGTTGATACATAACCTGATGCTGGCCGACATCCATCATTCACTGTCATTCTTCTTCAACGCAGTATGGCTAGCAAAGGATGCAATCCTCGTGGGAACAGGGACCTGTTACGCGCAGGGTTGGTTTATGTCGACTGGCGGCCTCGCGGCCAGTTTATGTGTGACCAACATCGCCATTCACAATTACTGCATCATCGTGCGGGGGTGGAAGCCGCCACATTGGGTGATTGTCACTGCCAACATTATGGTCTGGGTGATCGATTATGGCCTTGCTGCTCTGGGGATCGCCGTCACGAGAAATGGAGCAGCGTATGGAGGGTTCTATGTTCGTGCAGGTGCATGGGTAAGTCGACCCTACCGGGTTGATGACGACAGAGCGCAACTGACAAGGAACCTGCCTTTAGTGCTGGATGAACGTTCATTATCAAACTCTACGTCTCGCGGTTCACTATCTCTATATCTTCATGACCCTTATCATTACCAGCATTCTCTACGTACTCATCTTCATCACTCTTCAAAAACGACGACAAGACGGCGACGACACGAGCACACACTCCGGATCGAGCATGCGTGGCATCACTTCCAACGGGGATGCATCGGTCAAGTCTCGCCGTGGCGGTGATTCGGCGTCCAAATCCGATCAGCACGAGGTACGGCAGCTTCAGCGGATCGTCAGGAAGACGAGCCGTCACCAGATCTTTCTTCTTTACCCCATAATCTACGTCGTATGCACACTGCCGCTTCTAGTAGCCCGTATCGCCACCATGGCTGGATACAAGGTTCACTTTGAGTTCTTTTGCATTGTGGGGGCACTCCTCGCCTCCAACGGCTTCCTCAATGCTCTTCTGTGGGGGATCACGCGACGGAGCATTGTGTTCGGTGGCGATGTCGGCGCTTCGGAGGATATGGGCCTAGAAGGGTTCTCCTTTATGCTTACCCCGGCCAACCGCGTCTTTGGAAACATGGTACTGGTGGAGGCTGGTCCCGGCATCCGCGCCAGCCATGAAAGGGGGTTCCGCGCATGGGCGACAGACGAGGGAAAGAAGGCCAATTTCTGGCAGCGTCAGGTCACGAAAGTGCGGAGGCTGTTTGGACTTCGATGCCCGCACAAGGGCAAGGAAGTGCATCTGGGGGCGCTGGATCGCCGTGAGTCTGGATGGAACGGTTTCATGAGCGAGGAATCCCTTGACCGTGGACTGCGAGGAGAAGGTCGGTTGGCGATTCAACTGGAGCGCGTGACAGAAGTGAAGGTTGAGATCAATCCCCACACCAAGAACAGACTCCGGGAGCCGAGTCTGCGATCTGTCCAAAGCAACCCCGAGTACGAGGATATAGACTTGCCACCGATTGAGTAGAATGGTCTGCGTTGTTTTTATTTATCACATTTGCATAGAGCAGAGCTTGTATTTCTTCTAGACCAGGCATTGGGCACTCGGACTGTTTGTAGGAGCATAGAGCACGTCATATACCCTCAATAGAGTTCAAGAAACTTGACAATTTGATGATATGGATGCGGAATGTGAGTTGCTTGGTTATTGCGTACTACCATAGCAACTCCCTTATCACTAGACATGGTCCTGAGCAATACCATCAGTGTATGAAAGCCATGATATTCATTACTCACCACACCTCGTGTCTGCTATTCTAGCGATGTATGTGCTAATATTTCTGGCATCTATGAACCACTCCTGAATAGTGGGAATGAGACAGCCTCGCCGCAGGATAGCCTATGAGTATCAAATGGTGTAGCGGAAGGTGACCAAGGTTGTCAATCTCTTCTTGGCCTGCTTGCCGCCGGTGGTCTCGCTTTCCGGCCGCCCTTGCCGCCTGAGGTGGAGAATGAGCAGCGGAAGCGTGACCTCACAGGGCGCCAAGAATGGGATACCATAGTCGAATGCTTCTTGTATGCGATATTGCCGTAACATGGTGTGTTGGACAAGCCGACACTTGCCTAAAGATGTATACCACACCGTCATGATCTTAACTGTGTGCTCAAAATTCACATGGACCCATTGACAGGGTCCAGGCTAGACCACCCTCTCTCTCTCGAGATACGTACGCACATTTTGGGGGCAATGAGCTGGGATTTGAGTTCCTGGGTGAGTTCAATATAGTGACAGGGGAGAGCATGGCTTTGTCCTGACACATATTGCTGGGGGAAGTGAAGTCTTACCAACGATCAGTTAATGAAATGATGGTGTAAAATGACTCCTGTCTTGCGTAGCTAACAGCGCGCTTTCGCATGGACACAAGTCATCCGTGACAAGGCAGAGCTGATTCACTGGTCTCATCAAATTCTATAAAAGCGTGACCTGCTCCCATAATCCATCTCTCAGAATTATAATCTTAATCTTTCCATGGTCAGATACCAGATCGAGTCACCAGATAGTACACCTTCCACTCGAACCATAATCCTTATCCAAAATGAAGACCACGTCTTTCCTCGCCTGGGCAGCAGGTGTGCTCGGTGCCCCGGCTCCGAACCCTCAAGCAGCCCGTCCGGGCTTTACCGAGCATGTCGTCACTCTTCCGGATGGCCAGCAGGCCAGCGTCTATCTTCGATCCTCCATGGTCTCGATCGCTGCAGACATTATGAACACCAACATCACCTCGCCACCGCGTGTCGATTTTGACAACAACTTCACGCCGACGCAGACGGGCCAAGACCTCTGCACCGGTTCCGACATCCAGGCGTACGACGTCCCGCCTTTGCCCGACAAGATCGACTGCGAGCGTATGTGGCAATCTATCGCCCAGACCAACGGCTACTGGGTTCTCGACCACTGGGATGGCCAGTTTCATATCATGGCGTACCTTGGAACCTGCGCCATTTCGGTCAAGCCACTAGATAGTGACAAGGCCGTGTTGTAAGCACTTCATCTCCCGCGTAAACGGCACTGTTTTTTCTTGCTGACTTGAATGACAATAGCATTGGCAACAATGATGTCGCCAAAGTTGTGACTGATACGACTATCAACTTTGTCAACCAATTCAACAAGGACCAGTGTGGTAGCCAGGGCGTCATCTCCTGCACATCAGTCAACCAGCCACACCTACATTACCAGGTAGTTCACAACTCGTGAGGATAGGGGCATGCATGGGTGAGAGATCAAGGCTTATGACCTTGTACGCTTTTGGGATAATTTTTGGGGGCTTTTTGGGACAATCATTCATTTTCATGATAATCTTATCCAATCCATCAAGGATATGTTTCGAATAAAACATTTTTATGACGCAGAAGCGGAGCGAATATGTGTAACTATCGGTGCATGTAGGCTGCTGGTGAAGCAGAGTGGCGATTCAGAGGTTGGGTGCCCATTGTCCCTGAACACGTTGAACAAGGTAGCAGATTCGCATGCTGTCATGCGCAAGGGGTCAGGCAACGCGATGCGTACCCTACCCAGTGAATATGTATCATTGTGTGCCCCTTAAGAAACTGCCGAGGCAAGCTGTTTTCTCTTTTACTTTCCTTCTTTTCAGTATTGGACTGCATAGACCAAGTACACGCTATCCACTCGCAGCTGGCATTCTCACCTCTGCCTCTACCCGCAAAATCCTTTTCATCCATTCCAGGATGAACTCCACCGGCCAGACGTCTCGGGAGCCGCCTCCCCAAGAAGCTCCCCATCAGGGCCGTGGACATGATGTCCCTAACTTCCCATATCCGGCGACACGTTGTTATATCGGACAGTACCTGCTTGTGTCGCGGGCCCCTCCCGCATGGGCATGGATTATTGTTGCGGGCTTCTTTGACGATGACCATAACGAATTGTGGCACATCGAGCTCTTCCTAGCCCAGGATGGCTTTCCTCGTCGAGATCCGAGCGACGCTGGGTCGAGAGCAAATAGCCCCAATGACGATATCAACAATGATCGTACGGGAAGCTCCGAGGGAGATCCCTCCGCGTTCGAATTCGATCGCCATGGTGCGTGCCCGGAATCTCAACCATCTTTGTTTGGTTTCGCACCTATTTGCCCTCAAGTTTGCAGGATACTGATCTTCGTGAGCGAGTTAGAACGCCGATCTAGATTGTCAAGGCGAAGACTCCTCATTCATCGACACCCTGGCTACCCAGACACACGATACCATCCCGAGACGAGACTCGTTGGTCTTATGCCTGTATTACAATCCCCGTCTCAGAGGCCTCAAGCACAGGGATCCGCATATGGCCCTTCACGGCCGTTTCTTTTCAGAGATTATGACGACGACAGTGAGAACGAGCGGCACTATGATTGGTCTCGTGGTTGAATCCAGACAGAGCATCCGCATCGAGCGACTTGATCACAGCAGAATAGGCGATGGCGGACCGGTTTCGGAACCAGTGATTAGTTGGACCCAGTGTGGAGGGAGTGCACTAATATCTGAGATGGGTTGCTACCTAGTTAGTATTTGCTTTGCTAGCTGAGGTACTCCTTTTTGGGGTTCTATGAATTTAGTCATGCAGCATTTCATTTGTCTGCTTGCTTGAATCGTTGAGTTTAAGCTACCCAGGAGAGCATGGGACACGATAACACTGACCCGCGAACCTGGTAATCGTTGATGCAGTCCCCCGCACCACCAGATTCAGAACCATGCCCTCGACAGCGCAAGATATGGATGGTGGGGATATGGTGGTCTATTAAGCTAAGATTCAGCAAATGGAGCTCGTGGACGGGCCTCAAATCTAGGCCCGGGTTCCAGTTAGCAATCTGAACTAGGCGAGCGGCTCATTCGCTCCGCGTGAGGAACATGACAGCGCCCGCGTGACGGGTCATGGGCGGTGCGCCTCACGCCCCCGAACTCGCCTAGTCGACAGATTGGCACTCGGCTTGCCGATAAACCGGACCCTCGCGGCCTTGGAAATGGCCGACTCTGGCCGTAATCCGCAATTGTTTCCTTAAGAGGGCGTCTCTTGGCCAGTCCCGTTCCGGGGATGGCACTTCGACGCTTCCAGCATTTCCCAGGCCCCGACGACAGACTGCCCTTCAGCACCTCGCACCAACAAACAAATCAACAGCCATGGGAAGTGTGCCAGAAGAGAGGAACAGGCCCCTGGTGAGGTTACCCCAGGGCCAGATCCTCGGTATCAGGAAAGAAGAGGCATTGCCTCGCCCCGTCGATGCCTTCCTTGGCGTCCCGTACGCCCAGCCGCCGACTGGCGACCGCAGATTCCGCGCGCCGGCCAAGCTGCCCTCTGCGCCTGACAGCATCGTCGACGCCTCCGCTTATGGTCCTGCAGCTCCCGGCAAGCCCTTGTTTGTGAACGCTCCGAAGCTCGAGTACAGCGAAGACTGCCTGACCGCCAACATCTTCCGGCCGTCGAGCAATGGCGCCTCGACGAGCCAGAAGCTCCCCGTGACCGTGTACGTCCATGGCGGCGCGTTCAACAGGGGCTCGTCGTCCATGCACAACTCGGCCTCGATGCTGGCGCATTCGGCAAACGACTTTATTATTGTCTCTTTCAACTACCGCCTTGGCGCCCTCGGATTCTTGCCATCAGCTGTGAGCTTGAAGGAGGGCGCAGTGAACCTTGGTCTCCACGATCAACTGCATTTGCTGCAGTGGGTTCAGGACAATATCGAGGCCTTCGGGGGCGATCCCAGCAAAGTCACGCTTCTTGGACTGTCTGCTGGAGCTCATTCGGTACGTCCCCCATCCAACCTCACCGAAATCCTGCCACGGGCCGCAAAATGCTTACATTTCCTGCTCTAGATTGGCCACCTTTTGATGAGCTACAAAGAAGGAGTCGCCCCCTTGTTCCACAGAGTGATCATCGAGTCCGGGGCGCCGACATCGCGAGCCGTCCGACCCTACAATTCCGCCATTCACGAGGAGCAGTTCCAAGACTTTCTGCGGGAGGTCAAGGCGCCCGAGGGCCTGGCCGAGGACGAGATCTTCCCCTTCCTGAGGAAGGTACCTTACGATGTCATCACCGCTGCGCAGACAGCCGTGTTTGACAAGTACAACCCCTCCTTGAGGTGGGCATTCCAACCCGTCATCGACGGAGACGTCATCATGCGCCCGCCGCTGGAGACGTGGAAGCTTGGCAAGTGGCACAAGGTGCCCATCATCACCGGCTTCACCACAAATGAGGGCTCTCTGTACGTCAACAAGCAGATGAACACATCTGCCGAGTTCAGGGCCTTCTTCGCCAAGCTGCTCCCGCTCCTGTCGCAGGAGGAACTCGACACTCTCTGCCATCTTTACCCAGACCCCGAGGTCTCCCCAGAATACAAGGAGGAGCGGACTACAGTAGGATCGCAGTACAAGCGCGTCGAGGCAGCCTACGCCCACTACGCCTACGTCGCGCCCTCCCGCCAGACCGCCCTGTACGCCGCGCCCTCCGTCCCCGTCTACCTGTACCACTGGGCCCTCGTCTCCACCGTCGAGAACCGCGCGCAGCACGGCGACAACATGGCGTACGAGACGTGCGACCCGGCCGTCACGGCCAGGTCGCCGTCGCAGAAGGAGCTCGCCCTCTCCTTCAACCGCTACCTGACCAACTTCATCGTGTCGGGCGACCCCAACTCGCCCGCGGCGGGGCCCGCCGACCAGCCGCGGTGGGAGGCGCTCAAGGTCGAGGCGCCGAGGGCCATGGCGTTCGGCTTGGGCAACGAGGAGAAGATCGGCGGCCAGACGGGGCCCGCCGCCACCTTTGCCGACGACACCTGGGGCCGCAAGGAGTGCGAGTTCTGGTGGAGCAAGGTAGAGCTGTCTCAGCAGTGATGAATGGACGACTGACGACAAAGAAGATGTAAAATCTAATGAATTTCATTTCACTAAAACAAATGGCGGTCTACCTCTTCCTTAACCTCCGCTGAGCGTGTCGATCATGTCTATGTATCCAATGTAATCTTCACGCACGCACTTATCGGGGCGTCAACCCACCCAGATAACATCATTGGGGAGGTATCCCCAGCTTCTGAAGCAACCTAAAAGGACAAAGTTTAGATGGCATGATGGTGGGAGCGAGATATCGACACATGTTACCTGCCGTCAAGGACCTAAAGAAGCCGTACCGCTATTCCCGGGCCCGCCCGTTATCGGAACTCTCCCCGCTACACTGGAACCGACTAATCGTCTAATCCGTCGCCTACTTCGTCGCTAATTTCAATTTCATGGTCCGAAGGTGGTAATGGCTAGTCGAATGGCATAATACTTCCTTTATCGGCTGTTAAGGTTCATGACTAGATTTCACATACTAGTTTACATCTATTGTCTCTCCATCGGTTACCCCTCAAGCGAACAGGGACTGTCATCCTCCTGTATCGTTCCAACTGAGGTGAAACTTGAGAAGGAACCATCTAGGCCATGGCAATAACCTTAGGTGACTCCAACAGGGACCATCAAGGAGTGGCCTTGAGGCTGGAGAGTCCCATATCTAGAATGAAGATCGGTCTGAACTGGTCGCTAATATTGTGATCATGGCGATAAGGTCCAAGAAGTCAACTAACCAGCATTTAGACATCGTCCCAGAGCCTCCCTAGAAAGATGCCAAGGCATTACCTGTCCAAAAATGTATCCTGCTCGAGTCTCAGCCCCTTATCCCTTTCTTTAGATTGAGTAAGAAGGCGAAACGACATGGTGTGATTATGGGTCCGGCACTTGAAAAGGAATCTGAGACCCAGACTTGCCATGTTCCCAGGCGCTTCGGTAGATCTGTTCACTTATGCTGCACAGGGTCGCGGGCTATCTTTGGGTGGATGTTGCCAGATTGAAGTTGAATCCAAGAGAACTAGATAGACACAAGAAGTACGAGGCGTAGAGGGACTGAAGTCTCAGCCTACGACCAACTCCTAAGTTCCACTCACTTCGAACTCCTGCTAGAGTAAGTAAGCCAGTGGTAGCAATAAGGCTGGATGAAGTGCGTTATGACCTTGAGCGCCTTTGCAAGGCTGAGTTGCCAAGAGATGACAGCCGAGACATTGCGAGGGGTCGGATTTCCACGGCATATAATAGTGCAAGAGTCTGGGAGTGATCATGTTGAAATCTCTAACACGCTGTGAGCCCAACTCCGCCAACTGGGACGCCTCCCATCAGCTTACCCAATCGAATGGACCTTCGTCGATCGATAAACTACCAACAGCGTCGAGGTGAGTTGGCTCACGCCTAGTGGAGTACCGCTGTTGGCTCTGGCTGGGAGACCCTGCACTTTCGGCTGAATAGTGCTGATTGTTTCGTCTTAGTCGGCTGACTACTCCCTCAGCATGGCCAATAGCGCACTGCTCGTACATCTGTTTACCTCCGCTAGGCAACTCCGATGCATGAAACCATGTCTGATTGGGTTTGCGCTCGCCGCATATAGCCTTTGACAGCGTGTTCAAGGCGCAGCATGGTAAGCAGTAGTCGTATTCAATCAACAGCTGAAACAACACACCTGCCCCTTGCTTCCCTGCCAGCCGCGCTGGCCCTTTTTTTTCGACACGAGGCCCCTCCTGGGCTGGCGAACAAAGATGTCGTCTCTCATCCGAATCTGCGGCACTCGTGCTGCCTCGTTGTTAATTCACTCAGGGCGCGATGAACGACATCATCATCATCGGCGCGGGACCTAGCGGGCTCTGCGCTGCCCGCACATTCCTCAAATATGATCCCGAGGCGGACGTCACGTTGCTCGATGCACATGCCACTCTGGGCGGCGCGTGGTCCCGCGAGAAGCTCTACCCGTTTCTCAAAACGAACAACTTGACGCCGACCCTGGACTTTTTTGACTTGGGGATGAAGGAGGCTGTCGGCATCCCGGACGGAGAGCATGTGACGGGCGAGTTGATGCACCAATATCTGTGTGTCTATGCCGAGCGCTTCAACATCGTTGACAAGATTCAGCTGCGCACAAAGGTATTGTGCGTGCGGAAAGAAGGATCTACTGGCGGTTGGGCACTCGACGTCGAGCAAGACGGCAAGAAACGTATTCTCAAATGCAAGAAGCTGATTGTAGCCACCGGGATCCTGAGCGTGCCACAAAAGCCGGATCTGAAGGGCGCCGACGAGTTTGATGCACCATATCTACACTCGTCCGAGCTAGGGCCAAACTCTCACGACTTGTTGGAAGATCCTTCGGTGCAGAAGATCGCGGTGCTGGGCGGCTGCAAATCAGCGTACGATGCGGTTTATGCGGCTGCTTCTACTGGCCATAAGGTCGAGTGGATCATCAGAAAGTCTGGGAGAGGTCCGACTTGGGTGTTCCCAACGCACACCTTTCTGGGGCCATTCGAGGCGTGGCGTGAACGGTTGGTAACGAGGCGGATCATCTCCTTCATGTCACCGTGCATGTTCCCTGACTTCTCGGGGTTCAAGTGGCTGCGGAATTTCCTGCACCGCAGTCGGTTGGGAAAGCTGATCCCGCAAGCTTTCTGGAAGGCGATCCATCACGATACCATCCGCGATTGCGGCTACAAGAGCCATGAGAGTCTTGAGGTCTTACAGCCAGAGCAAAGTCCTTTCTGGTGAGTGTGTCCCTGGATGAGGTTCGAGGCTCGGCAGATCCTGACGTAGTCAAAGGTATGGTACTGCATCCGGTACGCTTAGCTATGACTCCGGATTCTTTTCATTCATACGGAGTGGACAAGTTTGGATCCACAGAGAAGATGTTCGTCATCTATCACCACATACTGTTCATCTCGCGGATGGCACTGAACTTGAGGTCGATGGCCTTATAGCTGCCACGGGTTACTCGGCTAAGCCGACCATCTCTTTCGAGCCGACAACGATTCATTCAGACCTTGGTTTACCAACGACAGTGCTTGAGAAGCAACAGTCAAGATTCTGGGCGGCGGAGGACACGAAAGCTGACTCGGCTATCGCCGACCGTTTTCCTCGCCTGATCCACGGACCGTACATGTCTCCTGGCTCGTCCACGCCGAGATCCTTCCACTCGGGAGCGGCAGGGGAAGTCAAGTACACGCCATGGAGGCTTTACCGAGGGGTTGCTCCCCCGGGGCTTACTGCCAGCGGGGATCGGTCACTGGTCTTTATCAGCATGTTTAGTAACCTTGCCAACACCATCCGACTCGAGATCCAGTGTCTGTGGGCTCTCGCATATATGAATGGGGGACTTCCGTCAGTCGATCGCGACATCACAGACGGCAAGATCTTCGAAGAGACGGCCCTCTTTCAACGATTTGCGCAACACCGGGCACCGTATGGGCACGGACGCTTTTATCCCGACCTGGTCTTTGACCAGCTGCCTTACTGGGACGTGCTGTTGAATGACCTGGGCCTGGCCACGCAGAGAAAAGCAAGTGGGTTGAGGGAGTTGTTCGAGCCATATACGCAGGATGACTATCGGAGCGTGTTTGAGGAGTGGGTGCAAAAGAACGGCTAGCCCATGGTGCTGGAGTCAGGCTTGTATCTCGCAATGAGATGTATTACCGCAAAACCTGGCGCTTTGGGAAGTTTCACCCTTGAACTAGTAATATTACAAAGCCCGTAGAGACTCCGGAATAGCACTTACCCGCGCGAGAGTAGCTTCGAGTGGGACTGCCGGCCGAACCATCCGACACGCTAGACGAACGTAGCCGAAGAGGGGTCGCTACTGTTGTGCCGTTGCTGTTCACAGCTCTCTCATCCAACACGGAAGGAGAGACCTCTCAAGTTATTCAGCCTCATCTACATTCACACCTGTCTGTCTATTGAACCCTCGAGACCATTATGGCAGCCAGGGGAATCACGCGCGTGACCCTCTTCAAGGTGCCCAAAGAGGGAGACCAGAAGACGTTTCTGGATTTCTACGGAAAGATGAAGTCTAAAGCCCTCAAGGTCAGTCCTGTGGGCACGGCCGGGGATAGGCAAGAGTGCTGACAGTCGTCTACCTACGCAGGACGGCAAACCGTACATCCTGTCTGTCGAGGCTGGTCTGCCCTTCGAGGACAAGCGCGCCCAAGGGTACACCGTTTCAGTCATCACGAAGTTCGCCTCCAAGGCCGACTTTGACTATTACGACACGGAATGCGCAGCACACGCCGAGTTGAAGGAGTTCGCGAAAACCGCCCACGAAGGCGTTATGATGGTCTTCTTTGAGAACGCACTCGCGTGAGGTCTGCACCTACCTCATCATCGGCAGACTTTTAGTGCTGTGAATAGAAAATCAAGTCAATCTAGACTTTCTCTCCCTGTATCACTTTATGAAGACGTATCATAGTTGAGTCTTTCCAGCATCCATGTCGACTATGGCTGCTTCGCGTCCTTGATCAGGTGTATGTCGACCCATGGCTTCCGTGATTCTCCTCCAGCTCAGCCGCCCCGACGGATGCACCTATGGGTTAGTGAGATAATCCTGACAAACTACTTCCTTTTCCTCCGTCCGGCAGAAGGTGTTCTTTCCCGTTGGGCATATAGATCGGGAACAGCGGTGACTGTGATGGTTTCTTGAAGACCGAAGACATGCAAGTTGTATCCAAGCCAGAGCGTACTAATTTGCCCCAAATAAAATCTAAAAAAGGTTACATAGACTTACTTTTCAATTTGTAGTCAGAAGAAAAAGAAATCTCAAGAGCAAAACGGAATAAAGACTGGGCAAAAAAATCGATTCCCCAGGGACTCGAACCCTGAATCTTCACCATTCATCCGTAACCGGAAAGTGACCTAAGGAGGAAATTTAGTTATTTGTAAGGACTAATTATTGGTGTCAGAAATTACTTACGCCTTACCATTAGGCCAAGGAACCTAGTTGCCAGGAATGCGCAAACTTTGATTCATATTAGGTGGATGCTTGTGGCGTATTACCCCACATGGTGCGTTGCAAGTAGTGGGCCCGCGCGACCATCTACCTACCAACTTCTGTGACCTCTCTCCGTCTCTGTTTCGAGCTGGACATGGGCGAGAGCAAGGAGATGATAACGCCATACAAGGTATTTCCTCTATCTTGTACCCAGGTTGATTTGAAGCCCTGTTTTTGATACAACTTTTCTGGGGACATAGAATGTGTGCTCAGGCTTGGTATTCGATCACTGGACATCATCCAAGCTTCATATGCTCTTATTGTCCCACTACCAGGACGCTGCGTGGCAGAGGTGAGAAGTAATGGATCGAGCTTCCTGCGGGTCATCGTCAGTATTGGGATTGATGACCACAATACTCTTCCTTCAACATATCGAAGTGGCGCTATTCGCCACATGTACCAGATTTGTAGGGTAGGCAGGCATGAAACCGTCTAAAGAGCATAGCATTACATGTGGTGCTCGTGTGAGCAAGCAGCGGCATATTACTGCCACCTGGATGCCATAGGCACAAGATGAACCGCATACCGATCAACCCCATCGAATTCAATGTTACTCATGACCGGCTCTCTATTTAAGGTGTGCGGCTTGTGTGGGTCGCGGCCGGTCCCGACCCAGGCCTTTGGATCGAAACTCGGGCAAGGAAAGAGCGAGTTGGAGGTGCTTGCCGAGGCGATATGTGTATTAGTCCTGTATTTTGCCATACAAATAGCCCAAGCCACTGTGATGATTACTCTACCATCACGCAGAGCGACCGACGGCACTTGTCCTAGCCGCCGCTGTCCAGGAGTAACGTGGGAGGCCTGAAGTATGTGAAAGATATGGAATATGGCCCGAGTGGTGAACGCAGCTAATGTAAGACTCTTACACTCTCACATCAGATGATACCAAGAGTAATGATCAAAGCTGTCAGCGCTGTGTATCTCATGCCGTGTAAATCCCCGTAGGCCTAGCATGATATCCTCGTTTCCCAACCTTGACACTAAGATCGCTCCTCCACTCTTTCCCCTGCTGTAGCAACTCAACCACTTCCTGGAAAGTATATTTCGGCTTCCAATCCAGCTCCCTGATAGCCTTGGAAGAGTCATAAACACGATCAATCCGACTGAGAAACTTCCAATTCCTGTCGGCGAACACCTTCTCACAAGCAGGTACTGCCTCCCGCATCACCGATCCAGCATCCGAATCCAACCTCCGCAGGCTCTCTTCCGTGTTGGCAAACGGCGTAGGACCGCTAATAATATACTTCCCCCACCGAATCTCGGACGCCTTGCGCATGGCGCACTCGCAGGCCGTGACCACGTCGGCGATGTCCACCCTCCGGTACGCCAGCTCGCACACCTTGAGGTTCGCGTCGCCCATCGCCGCCCGCCGGTCCTCGTCGTCGTCCTGCTCGGGGAAGAACCTGCTCGTGCGCAGGACCAGCACGGGCATGCCCGTCTGCCTGTGCACCAGATAGCACATGTCCTCCGCCGCCACCTTGGTCACGCCGTAGACGTTCTTGGGCTGCGGGACGACCGCCTCGTCGATCCAGGCCGCGGGCTCGCCGGGCCGCGGGCTCAGCGCGGCACCAAAGGTCGAGGTCGTGCTGATGAAGACGAAGGACTCGATCTTGTCGTCACCGCTGCGGCCGCTAGCCTCCTCCAGCAGCGCGAGGGTGCCGGAGATGTTGGTCTCGACGAACTCGGCTTTCGTGTGCGAGCCCACGTGCGGCTTGTGAAGCGTGGCGGCGTGCAGCACATGGCGCAGAGAAGGGTTCTCGGCGAAGATGCGAGAGATGAGCCCTCTATCTGCGATAGATCCTACATAATTGGTGGTCTCACAGGGCTTGATGTCGATGCCGACGGGGCAGAAACCGAGTGAGGGCAGGGCGTGCATGAGAGCGAAGCCGAGGTGGCCGGACGAGCCGGTGACTAACACGTTCGGCCGGCTCATGTCGTGCGCTTCTCGCCGGTCGTCAATAATCTGGCAAGATGCAAGCGTGAATCAATATATTATATGAGAATTAATATCATATCATAGAAGCGATACAGAAATGAGTCACCGGGCATCTGGCCAAGATCTAGTCTGCAAAGCATGCGGGTAGTGGCGGGGTAAGTCTAAGGCATCATCGACATGCGCCAAAACTACCTAATCGCTGGAGCTTCAGGGCTGTGTAAGTACCTATAGGCCCTAGGGCTGTTCAGGTGTGCCATGCACAGCTGCTTGGCTTTTCTGCCAAACAGCCTTCAAGACCACAACGCCTTTCGGTGTGCTGTCAGGTACGACTCGATCCGACCTGTCACCTCACGCTCTCGTGAGCATCGTACCTCGAAAACGTTGTCTGGTGACTTTTTGGCCTCCAAAAACGTGCTGTGACAGTCGTGGCATCGTGGCATCGTGCGCGCAGACGGTCGATGCTCAGGGGTTTGCAACGGTGCCGGCCATGCTTCGGAGGCTTTTCAGAGACATGTCTGGTGAACCTGCCACAATCCCACGCAGAGAGCCTCATGGCCTGAGACATGCGTCTGTCTCAAGAGAATGGGAGGGAGAGGAAACAGAAACAGCCACGCACGACGACGACTCCTGCACCTCCTTCGGCAGATATGCCAATGGCGATGAAAAGAGGTGACACCACTTGCTAGACTGTCGCAACTGCCGATGGATTGTCATGAATACATCTCTTATGCAGCAGATAAGATTACATAGACCAAGTGCGCCAGAATCATCAATCGTTACGCCGTGTGGTTCTTGCTTGTCCCATGCCAGGTAACGCCAAAAAAAAGAACCGCCCGAGATATCACGGCAACACACAGGGTATCACTGTACGTGCTAGTCCTCCGTCCAGCACCAGCCAACCAATTTCCTCGATCCGTCACTTCCACTCCCGTCTCAAACCTGATTCTTGTTCTTTCTCTACTCATGCCGGGTCTCCACCATCACTTGGCCTCGGCCACCTCCGCGACGACGGCAGCCTCCTCATCTCTCTGCCGCCGCCGCTGCTGCGGTGCGACGGCAGGCTCCTTGGCCTTTGCGCTCCCGAGGACTCCCGAGCCGCGGAAGGCGACGATCGCGACGATCACCGGCAGCGCGCCGACGGCAAAGTTGAACCACGACGCCGTGCGCAGCCCTTGCAGCGAGGGCTCGTCCCACGGCAGCACGGGCCCGACCTGCTCGACCGTGACGCCGCGCGCCGAGGCCATGACGGCCGTCTGGATCGCCGTGGCGATGGCGAGCCCGATGGCGCGCCCGACCTGGCCCACGGCGTTGACGAGCGCGCCGCCCAGCGCCTGGTCCGACTTGGGCAGGGCCTGCGACGTGAAGAGCGTGAGGCTGGGCCAGGCGGTGTCGACGCCGATGACGGAGAGCGACATGGCCTCGAGGCCGTAGGCCCAGTAGCTCGTCGTGCTGGGGATGGGCACGGCGAACAGCAGGTTGCAGAGCGCGATGCACAGCGAGCCGACGAGCAGCAGGATCCAGGTCGGCACGCGGTGCAGCAGGTGCGCGACGACGAACGAGGTCGCGACGCCGACGACGCCCGTGGGGATGAAGCGCAGCGTCGTCTGCAGCGCGCCGAGCCCCTGGTAGGACTGGTAGAAGTAGGTCGCGTAGATCATGAAGCCGTTGAACGACGAGAAGGACAAGGCCATGATGAGCATGGCCGCGCTGAACTGCTTGCTGTGGAACATGGACACCTTCATGAGCGGCGCGCGCCGGCCGCGGTTCTCGAGACGGCGCTGCCAGAGCACGAAGAGGACCATGAGGACAACCGACAGGACGATGACGACGGGAATCCAGGGCGTGGACCAGCCGACGACGTTGCCCTCGGTCAGGGCGAAGAGGAGGCCGAAGAGGCCGAGGGTGACGAGGACGGCACCGACCCAGTCGATCGTGTTCTTGGCCTTAACGCCCTCGCCGTGGAGGGTGGCCGTGGGCGACGGGATCACCCAGACGCCGACGACGGCGGCGATGCCCGACAGGATGGCCATGACGCCAAACACCCACTTCCAGGAGGCGTAGGAGGCAACGAAGCCGGCGAGAATGTTGCCGAGGATCGAGCCCAAGGGCGCGCCCGCGCCGTAGGCAGCAAACGCAAAGTTCTTTGCTTTGCCTGGAGGGAAGGTCACGCCCAAGATTCCGAGTGCTGTTGGCACATTCGCTGCGGCGCCCTGGGTGCATGAATTTAGCGCCATCTTCTTGGGGTCGTAACGATGGGCTGACGGGTCACCACTTACAAAGCCTGCGAGACCTCTCAATAAGTCAAATGCGATCTCGTTGGGGACAAAGGGCGTGATGATGGTGGCGACTGCGACGCCGACGGTGCCCCAGACAAAGATCCTCTTCTTGCCGTACAAGTCGGCAATTCTACCCCAGAGCAAGAGGAAGCAGCCGAAAGCGAGCGAGTACGCCGACACGATCCATTGCAGCCGACTGTCTGGGATGTCGAGCTCCTTGCCGATGGTGGGCAGGATGATGACCACGGCTTGGACTGAAAACGTCTGTTTGTGGTGTCAGTCAACCGTGCCGGCCACTTCGACACCTCTTTGACGCCATTCTTTTGTTCACACGACTCACATTGTTAAATGCGGCCCCCGTCACCGTTGCCACGAGCGCAATACACCTGGCCTTGGAATAAGGTATCGTGGTGCTGGCATGCGACTCGACCTGCTCTACTGCGCCTCCGTCTCCATCTCTGCCGTCGTCATCGCGATCAACACCACCGGTCACAGTGCTGGCCGTGTCGGTCGATTCATCCGATCTCGGCACCGCGGCCTTTTCTCCGAGGGCCTGCCCGCTTGCCATGCCCGTGCCGCTTGCGCTGCGCAGGTCCGAGTCGCCCTTCTTCTCACTGGATGCCTCGTGCGACATGATTCATAGGAAGGAATACCCTACTGGCTGCTCGACCAGTTCGGTTCTCTACGAGTACATCACAAAACTCGTTCGATGAGTCGCCTCAGAAAAACATGAAAGAAATGCGGGCCATGGGAGGGTCAAATAGGTAGCTTGAATAGTTAGTGGAGTGTAGCGGGCTCTCAGCTCTGACGCTAGATCCCAAGAGGCACTCGCCATCGTAGGATCGCCCGCTAATGACGAGAGACATTCACCCCCCAGAGGAGGACCATCTCCGTCCGGGTCATGGGTGGTGGGTGGTGCTCTGTGGGGTTGAAGTCAACCCGGTGCCGCACAACGCACCCGTAGTCTCTGCCGTTTCCGCCCAATGCAAGTCTGGTGAACCAGTAGGGTGTCCGCCCGCGTGCCTGTCTCCTGGCTGTCACTGTCTCTGTGTGTGGGTGGTGTGTCGGGCTTGTGCTGCTCGAGAAGCACGGGAGTTGTCGTAGCCAGTACGGCCGTCACTCTCGTTCCTGGTGGAACCTGTGAAGTGAGCAATTGCTTGATGTCAGTCACTTCAAGTGGCTTTGTTGCTATCGGGACGCGTGGTTCTGCGTGAGACCTATTGGTGAAAGACACGCTGCCCGGGCAAGATCATTTCGCCCACGAGGTACGGCATGCTTGGTGGAGGGGGCAAAACCAGCCAGTGGTCCCTCCAGAGTCCACCTCCCGGCTTTACTCCCGGAATGGCCTGGCGCTTAGAGTGGCGGCCCCCACACCGAGCGCCGAGATGGTCTCGGAGCATGACAGGTGAGGCGGGCGACAGAAAACAAGTCCTGCAGGTGCCGGCCCAGAAAGTGATGAACCCATGTTCGCCGGGACCGTGCTGCGGAATCCGTTGGCTCGGTTTCTTCGCCTGTCGGCACCCGAGATCTGCTCTCACTTCCTCGAGCGCAATCGAATTATGCCAGATTCAGCTCTGCTGTTGGTAGCCGTGATTAGTGGGGATGGCGGGATATCGTAGTGACTTGGAGATCCCTGCACTCTCTTACACGGGAGATCCGTCTTTGCCGCCCATCGGAGACGGCCGTGTGATAGCAGCCAAAGTAATCACTCGCTCAACCAACACAAGGTGAGAGCGAAGGGATCCTTCCATGAGCTTTGCCATCGCAATTTGTCCTCTTCAACCAGAGCTACCAGTTCTGGAATCACAAAAGTGAGGTTTGCCCAACCAGTCAGCGAAAGAAAGCAGGGTCACTCTGTGCAATCTTGTCAGTGTTGCCATAGCTCTCTCCCAATGTTTGATGTCAATAAGTCGAGTAAACCAACACAAAGCATGTGTATCAGAACAAAAGTCTTGATGCCAGAGCGGGTATGTTTGTGGCTGCTTAAGAATGAGACCTTGGACGACCTGATTTCTGTCCAATTTCGTCTTTGTTATGCTGCCTGCCCCTGAGGTTTGGTCTCGTACTTCAAGGGGTCATGCAGACAAAGAACTTGAAAGCATGGTCATGCTTCTCTAGAAGTATCTGACTCTTGCATGCCATGTGCTGATTCGATGGGTAGTTTGCAGCACTAACCACTGAGTCATCTTGCTGCACAAGGTGATAGTAGGGGCCTTCAATAGGGTGCTTCCATTTCGCAATCCAAAGGTGCCCCGACCTGTAGGTGCACTTGTGATATATGCTGGGTTAGCGTCTCGCTCCTGAAATTGTTTTGTCAATTTGCCACTCATCCAGGCTCCTTCGCGCGAATCGTATCAGCTTTGTATCAGCATCAACTGGCTTCGTGAACTATCTTCCTTTGAGAGTCTCAATATCTCCATATGAGGCACTTCCTGGCACATCTCAGTGCTTCCAACGTAAGCTCCTCATTCATCGTCCTGGTTTCGTCCACTAACAGTGCTTTGAGACCAGTATGCCAGACAACAAAGACGACGAGACAAAGAGCTCCTCACCCGCACAAACCCCAAGTCTGACGAACACAAAGTCCTCTCAGACTGTGGCCCCATCCTCACCAGAGAAGACTTCCACAATGTTATCTGCTCTTGCCAGGCCGTTTTCGCCGGCGACTGCTCTGCTGGCGGCTGCTCCAATTCTACGATTTGAACAATATTCATTCGCAGAGGCCAACCAGGCCACCAAGCGAATGACACAACAACCTGCCAAGAATCACTAAGCTGCCCCTGATATGTCAAGCCTAGGGCCAGATAGTCACTTAAGAACGCAGTTGTTTCTCACATTTGTCCCTCCTTGTTTTGCTCCGTACGGACCTTGGAGTCCAGCCTTTCAACCAGTCAGTGCAATATTTTGTTTGACATCTGCCAAATTGTCCTGTTTAGAGAGAACACCGTTACTGGTTTCCCGCTTTTGCAAATCAATACAAGAATAGGATGTGATGTTGCAGAACCATTTAAAACTGTGGTAAGAATTGAATACAGCTTCAAATTAAATTACTATGCTTGGGTTGACGCTAACCAATCGTCTAGCACAAAGTCAAGAGTGTCGCATTGGTCTTCAGAGTGATGACTCCTTCAGACAAAGCTAGAACGGGGGCAACGAGAGGAACTCACCAAAGCACTTCTCGGCCTACAGGGGAGCATCTGTCACAACTCAGGGATGTGCCATTGTTAGGCAAAGGAGGTTGATGTGGAGCCCAGAGACCAGAACCTGCTATTCTTCAGCCCCAAGATTCTTGATTTGCTTCAACTTTCATTCACGATTAGCAACACCTTCCTGTTCTCGTACTTCACTTACAACCCGCGTTTAGTTCGCTTTGAATCGACTTTTTCACACCCTGCTGCTGTTCTCGTACTTCACTTTCAACTCACATCCAGTTTACTTTGAATCGACTTCTTGCAGAATCGTATATAAATGACCATGTCTTCCTCCTCCAACAATTCCGGGTATGCAACAGCACCAATCTACTCGTCTGAACATACCGTTCTTTCCATCATAACCTCGACTTAGTCTTCGTTCTGCACCGCATTTCTTCGACAAGTCATCAAGACACAACCAGCTTCAAAGACCGGAATACCTTCTCAATCCACTCCATCATTCTGAACCCGAATTTCCGCAGACTCTTCACAACCATGTCTGGAAAGAAGAGCCGCAATCAGACCAAGAAATCTGAGTCTCAGTCAGGACAACTTGGTCAGGCTGCCTCCTCGACACCAACGAACCCCTCTGCTCCGGGCGCTGCACCTCGCCCAAGCCAGCCTCGGCCAGCTGATAGCCAGTCAACGTCTGTCCCCTCGACCGCGCCAACCACAGGGCCCCCAGGGCACGCCGGCTCGCAAACTCAGCCAACCTCAGGCCAGCGACGCTCGTCCCTGAACCCAACCGCGCGACCGTTTCAGCCGGCGGCCTGGTCCACCCCTGCCGCACCACCCTCGCTCGCGAGTCTTCCACCAGTTCCGGCCTCGTCTTGGTTCCCCCAGCATGGTACACGAAGCCGAGTGCAGGGATGTTGGCCGCTCCGTCCGGAACCGCAACAGACATCATCAGCCCAGGCTGCACCTCCCGCTCAGTCTCAAGCCCCACATCCCGGCCGGGGTGGGCATGTACAGGGAGCCTGGCCGCCACGACAAGATCAACGGACGGCTTCGTCTGCAAAGACTGGTTCCGGACGCCAAACCAGTCCTGGCAAGCCTCAAACTTCGAGGAACGGCCGAGCTCGGTCGCCCCGGCATGAAAACCCTCCGCCTGCTCCTCGCCACTTTATGCCCTCCCGAGCTGCCCTGGCTTCTGGGGAGGAGGAGACGGCCGAGAACGCCGCTCTTAGGAAGGAGATGAGCGAGGCGATGGGATTCTCCGAGAACTACCAGGGAAATCCCTACGCGCCGAGGAACCAGGACCCTGACATCCCGGAGGAGGAGAACTGCTCCTTCTGGATCACCAAGCTCCCTACCAGCACTACGGTCCACACGCTACTGGGCTCCATCCGGGGTGCCGGCCGCGTCTATGCCACGCACATCAACGAGCCCATGCTGATCCACGGCCGGATGTACCGCGCGGCCAAGTTGAGCTTCTTCGAGCTGCAGGCCGCCCGCCGCTTCTGGGCCTCGTGCCAGCAGCACGGCAAGCGGGGCAACTATCGCATGCGGGTCGGCCGCTACTGGGTGCAGGTCCAGTACAACCGGCACCTTTCCGCCGAGGTTACTGTTCCCCATGCGACTCGCTGCATCATGGTGCAGGGCCCGGAGTCGTGGGTTCGCTTGGACAACCTGCAGCGGTTCTTCGATGCCCGCTTCATGTACCAGATCGACGACTTGAGAGTCGTTGACGAAGTGAACGGCTACCGGACGATCGAGGTGCGGTTCGGCAGCTGGCGGTCGCAGGCCGAGTCCGCGATGCAGGCTGTGCTCCTGGACAGCCCGGAGAATGTGGTGGCTTGGTATGTGCGGGACCCTTGCGATGTCTGAGGGCCTGGTGGCGCTCGAGTACGGAGTACAATATGTTCGCTTAAGCTGGTACCGAATTTGGATATCAATTGAGTGCCTTTTTTTTTGAGTAAATCGTCGCAGTGCCTAAGGTACATCTGATCTCACAAGTAAATGTCCTCAAAGCCATGGCTCTTTCCCATCTGTGTGTGCTTTCTTTTTCTGCTGCACCCGTGACCACACTTACGTACCTACACCAAGCTTTTCGATCGTGTCTTTTAAGATTGTGTGTGGCGCAGATGAAAGAAGACAGATCCCAGTGAACAAAGGGAACAATCCAACGCCTCATTCCAGAGGATTCCGTAAAGAGAGCGAGGGCCCCGAAAAGGAAGTGGCTGGTGGCTGTTGCGACCCACACGGGCCATGAGGTGTGGCGTTTTGCAGGCCCGCGCACCAACCAGAGGCCTGTGCCTGAGACAGTGGGGGCCCAGCCAGCCACATATTTACATTCCTCAGCGCCCAGGGTCCAATCACAGCGCCACGGCGTCACCGCTGGAGCTGCACAACACCACTAAAAACCAACCACCAGCCTTCTGAATTTCGTCTTTTTTTGCTTGCACCGCGAGATCCCGAAACCCCCAGGGTGCTCAAGTAGAAAATGTCGATCCCTCTCCAAGAGGCGGTAAGTTCTCCTTTTTCTTCTCCTGCTTTATTCCTCATCGCCGTCCATCTCTCTGGATTGTTTCCTTTCTTTTTGCTGCTTTGTTGGTCTTGAGCTGTCTGCCTCTCTTGCCAACACAAAGCACAAGCACCTTCATTGTTCACGATGCGTCCCAGGACTCTGCCTGTGTCGCTGCTCCTCACGCTCTCTACCCTCTACACCTTCTCCGCCTCGCTACCACTCGCAGAGGTGCTGCCTCCTCGCGCCGAGCAGATCGCCCCCCGCGCAACGTACTCGGTCGTCCCCATCGATGGCGGCAGTAGCAACGGCGGGTCCAACGGCTCCCCTACTAGCGGGTCGTCGGGCGCCGGGTCAGACTCCGGGTCGGACTCTGGCTCAGGATCAGGATCAGGCTCAGGCTCAGGCTCCGGTTCGGGGTCCTCCGGCAATGGCTCCAATGGCTCCGACGGCTCCAAGGGAAGCCCCGAGGTGACCAAGACTGTTGTGGTTTCTTCACCACCCTCCATCGCAACGGTGGTCGTTACCCAATCCCCCGAAGTCATTACCAAGACCGCTATCTCGGTCGTCGATATCAATGCCTCCTCTCCGACCCCACCCGCCGCCATCACTGTGACTCAAGTCATCTCCTCACCTCCTCAGCCTACCTCATCACCAAAGCCATCAACGGCATCCACGAGGACTTCCTCTGCCTCTTCCGCAACATCATCCTCATCAAGCAAGCCATCCACGTCTTCGACAACGTCGCAAGGACAACAGTACTCCCACCCAACCGAAACATCTCACACCCCATCTTCCAAAGCTCCGAGCTCAACCCACTCGTCCACCACAAGCATACCCACCTCTTCGACGCTCTCCACCTTCTTCACCAAGACTGTCGAGGCTACTACCTCGTCGAGCTCCCTCTCATTCTCCTCCACCACAACTACCTACGATAACGGGCTGTGGCATACCACCTACCCTGCGTGGAACGGCACTGATTCCCGTCGCTTTGCGCGGTGACCGCTGGCTGTGAGAACATACCATGACCCTACCATGAAGCAAGCGCTATGACCGGAAGACTGCCTTTCTTTGTTCTTGATATTTGATTCTTTCATCTTGTTTTATTACCATGTATAACAAGCATAAATGAGCGACTGTATGTGGCTGCATTAGGTAACGGAAACCAAGTGCTGGGACCGTTGCCGTCGCCAGCGAGGTCGTAATGAATTTCCCATCGTCTAGCATTGTTCAGTGCTTTTTGGAATAGAGAAATTGAACCTTCAACCCAAATTTAATTCCCGTGTCTCTTGTGCTTTGTGCGTTGATGTGACCAGCAGTGCCGGATGAGGCAGATTTTAGCATGAGAAAGGATGCCCTGTTCAACATGGCTGTGTGTGCGTGTCACTAGAGCTCTTTGTTCCTCACTCTTTGTTGGAAAGGCGGCGACTCCCATTCACTGCCACAATTCTTTCATCCCATCATTGCTTTCACTCAGCAGTAAATTCACTCATGTCTAGTGCAGCATAAAAAGACGTCGACCGCACCTCGACTTTGAACAAGACCCCTCACAAGGTCATCTTCTTCTTGTCCAACATCTCCCGGCGGAAAACAACAGCATCTTTTTTTCGCCTCGAGCCTTTTGAACAGAGGCACACTACAGCGACTACCCACCATTCTTCCAACTCTCATCCTCGAGTAGCCACCTTCATCAAGATGCGCTCCACTACCACCCGTGTCATCTTTGGCGCGCTGGCGCTGCTCGTCCTCGCCACAGCGGTTCATGCTGCTCCCACCCTGCCCGAAAACAACACGACCGCCGTCGCCACCATGAAGAGCAAGGCATCCCTGGTCGCCCGAGGCCAGGACCTAGTCGATGGAGGCTGGAAAATCGCCTGTATCGTTCTTATCGTGTTCTCGGGCATGAGTCTTGTTACCTCTTGCCTTGGATACTTCTCGCTCCTGTGCTGCTTCAACCGCATTATGGATTAGTAAACCTCGAGCAGCGGGACAAGGGAGTGAGCTGACAAGCTGGTCAACATCTGGGTATGTGGGAATCTGGGCTGGCGGGAATGGGCTCGGTCGGGAGGATTTGGACACCAAGGGACGGGGGGAGGGACTCATCAAGGGGGGTCGGACAGCGGAGGGATATGGTTTCCGGGAACATCAGCTGTGCTGGCTGGCCTACATCGCCCAATGAGCATCACCAATTCACAAGGATAGACACAGCCCATCATACACCGTGTTAGACACTCCAATACACAGCCCTCTTCCCCACACATCTGTCCTACCTGTGCATTTCTGAATCGCAACGTGATTCACGTCTATGTGTGACATGCAGGATACAATATCCACGAAGATCTCCTGCTTACCTGCTGGCCACACTGGCGGCGAGCCTGGAGGACAGCCTGACCCAGCACAATCTTACCCGTTAGCAATGTTTACCGTCGACGGCAGAAACACCAAAGACAACAGTAATGTGCTGTGTACCATAATATCCATTTTTCACTGAGAAAAATGCCGTTATGTGCTACCTATGACTCGAATTTGTCTGTACTGCCATTCCAATACATGGAAGCGGCAGATGCAATCATGACTTGAAAGACTGCTAATGTGAGTGCCACCCTCGCCACTCTGGCACTTTGCCTGCCATTGCTACAAACCACAAAGGCCGGATCCAGCTTGCGGACAAAACACACCCTGTATACCTGAATGTGTGACAAGACAAACACCAGTGGGCAGGGTGCATGCCAGACTTGCAGGGCAACAAGCTAACGGGTTATCAGACACACGTTGCTGCTGTTAACCCTGTTTTCCAAGCCCAAATAACTAACAATGTGATAGCTATAGAGTTTGCTGTCACGTCTTTGAATCGCCGTGATTCATCTGCTGTTTGCCATCAAGCTTGTCATGCTTAAGGAGGAGCGATTTGATGTTACTATAAATCAGGCATTGTCAGTGTCCAGTCTCTGCAGTCCCGTTTCATTTTACTTTGTTTTGCCAAAGCAATACCACATGCTTGCAGGATTTATATATCATACCGCTGAGACTACAAAACATGTCGGGTCTGCATGGCAACCCCTAAAGACAGCTTCCTTTTCTTTCCAGTCCCCTACGGAGCCTTGAGCGCCTCTTCTCTTTGCCCGCGAAGGATACCAAGCAACTGGACCCGCTTTCTGCCAACAGTGCCCGTCTTAACCCACACCTGCATCGGGTCCCACGAGATAGCAACACCTATCCTTTCTATTCCACTGCCCCCTTGTTGCCACCACACCATATCAGCGTTCCCTCAGGACCAAGATTCGCCCCTTCTCGAACGGGTCACACGCCTGAGCCGCCAAGTTCAAGACGTGAAGCGGCTTTTCCATCTCGGCGCTCGGGCTGTGCTTACACAAGGTCCGTCAGGAGATGTTCTCAGCCTTCGGCCACATACCACCCAACGAGGCGGCGCGCTCTGGCGAGGCGCCGAGCGAACCAGTCTCGATGTGTGTCTACAGCGTGTGTGGGATGAGCGTCAATCTATAAGTCGCCAACGCCGCGATCCTTGCCGAGCCGGCCCGCTCGGGCGACGAGGAGAGCCAGGCGATCTCTCAGATCTGCCGGCTGGGTCAGGAGGCCTGGAAGCTCCATGTCACACGTGTGCTTACCACCAAAGGGACATGCACACTGGGCCGGGCCGGCAGAGAACTCATCCATTTCAAGTCGTGGAGGACTCTGAAGACTGTCGCAACAATATCAAACGCCTTGGTTTCGACTTGGGGGACAGGTCTGGAAGCAGCTTGCCAAAGCAGCAATCAATACGTCATATTGAACCTGCTCGGCATATCGGCCTTGAGCATGCGCGCATCCGACTCCGCGGGGGCCCGCGCCGCCATGGTCCGGGAGTTCAACAACCCGCAGTCGACGGAAGACATCCAGGTCTTCGTCTCGAACATCCGCATCGGCGCGGTCGGGTTCGACTTCCACGAGTGCTGCTGCAAGGGCATCGTGTTGGGCTGGCCGTGGTCTGCCAACATACAGCCGACACCACCCAAATCATGCTGTGGTCCGCTCGCTCTGCCTGGCGGCACAGTCCGACTCCTTAAGGATAATCTTGCACGAGTTTCTGTCCTTCAACAAGGTCGTGCGAGGTGTCCCAGGTCGACAAACGGGCTCGGCTCGTGGCAAGGAAGCCAGCAGCTTCATCTCCACGATTCACAAAGGTATGTAACCTCTGGCAGATACTACGCCTGGGGAACATGATGCTAATTTGACAGTGACACACTCTAGACTTTCAGCGGCTATATCGCAAGCACGGATTCGCAGAAGATGCAGATAAGTTCACGGTCCTCTGGGTGCATATCCTTCCAGCCAAGAATCGCCACAGTTTCAAATGAGGAGGACAACCAGGAACGGCAAAGAGCACCATCCAGTCGCCCAAGCGAATGAAGGCACCCGAGAAGAATTCTTCGTCGTAGATTCATTGCTACTCAACTCCCGACAGATGAAGAATGGAAAGATAAGGTCTTCCAGTGATCCTATGCGACAAAGAAAGAGGCTGGTCAATGCGCTTCCTGGCAAGGACTTACCCACAGTTCGACTTCAAGGCGTCTCCCGGCGGCGGAGAAGCGCTTTGGCCTCTCAACGCATTCGAGCATGAACAGCTTGTCGAAATAAGCTGCGGCGCTATATTATGGATTGAGTTGTAGGAAAAGGCAGAGCGGGGGGAGTCATGGGGACTTGCGGAGGTGACCTGCATAGTTGGGCAAACCAACCTGGAATTTCGAATACCTTTTGACTTTTGAGGGTCTGAATAGCTAGCTAAGTGGGCTCGTCCCAAATCGTCAATGCAACAGGGTCGTCGGGGTATATCTCTCGAACTATTTCTAGCGCTGGTTTATCATGGTGGATGGATACTAGGGGCTCTTGCTTTTTGTCGATGGTTTTTTCTTTCTTTGTTCTTTTAACGCCTTAATCTCACGGCATGAATGAATGGGCAGAAAGGAACTTTGTATTTTCTCCCGGAGGCTAGTCTCTGGGACGTTGTATCAAGACAGTCAGGTAGCAAATATCAGCTACCAAGGTGCTCTGCATGCATTGCTGCTGAAGGTGGTGTTCTCTTCGCAAGGTATCAAAATAGCACTTTTCTTCTACGCGTCCCACGCAGAAACGAAAAAAAGCCTCTCGCAATCAAAAACGCAAACGCCATGCCAAACTCCCAGGATATCGAACAAAAACTCCATTCACCCTTCATTTGCCAGACGCCGCCGACGAAGAACCAGGCCTGTTCGCCGGGGTCAGAGTCTGCCTAACCGCCTCGGGCAGCTTAGCCGGGATATCGGCATCGTCGTCCGAGCTCGACTCCGACTCGGTGTCGTCGTTGCTCTTGTTGTTGTTGTTATTAGTGGCCTTGCCACTACCACCACCAAGGGCCTTCTTGCTCAGCGCGACCAGATCGGCCAGGCCTTTCTGCGGCGGCCGCTCGGGCTTGTGGACACCACCCTCGGTGCCAGCAGTGTTGTCGGCCTCGCCCGCATCCCTCATCTCGGTATCGGTGCCGCCACGTCCGCTCTCGGTTGCCGACGCAGAGCGGCTGGGGATGTGGATCTGGACGTGGGCGCCAGCCTGGTTGTACGAGTGCGAGGGCAGAGACGCCGGCGGGTCCTGTTGCTGTCCCTCGGAGGGGGCCATGTTCGCCGAGGGGACCTTGTGCGGCGCGTCATCCGCGGGTCCGTCGTGAGGCGAGTTGGAAATGCCAGCCTTCTCGCCATTCTCCATCCGCTGCCGCTTGGCTTCGTGTCCAGCGATCGGCGTGCTCGGGGCCGAGACGTTAGCCGCCGTCCAGCCGCTCGCTTTCGAAGGCGTCGACGACGACGCCGCAGCCGCAGCCGCCGGGGACGAGCCGACTTTGCCCGACTCCATGCGCTCCCGCTCGGCGTTGATGGCGGCCTTGGTGCGTCTCTCGCGCAGGCGGACGCCATATTTCTTGCGTATCATGGACTGCTTGGTGCCGAACGAGTTGCGCAGGCCCTCGAGGCGCGCGGCGCGCTCATGCGGGTCCGGGATCGTCTTGGCCGAGTTCATGCGCTCGCCGTAGACGACCTCGGCCTGGCGCAGCTCCTCCATCAGGGCGGCGATCTGCTGCGCGCTGAGGTGCGCGTAGGGGGTGTGGGGTCCCGAGGTGGGCGGCTGCACGACGGAGAGCGAGTTCGGGGTAGAGTATGGGTCGGCGCCCATGGGTTGTTGCTGAGAGGCAGAGTATCCCTTGAAGCCTGGAGTGGAGGGTGCTGCAGGAGCAGGGGCTGGCGCAGGAGCAGGAGTGCTACTCATCGACTCGATAGGGATATTGGAGGGAGGGTTGGTGTCACCCACTTCTCCACAGACCTTGTTTTTCTCATGCTAGAAATTGTGAGCCTTGGACTTGTCACGTTTTGATGGTTTCTCGACTCACATATTGCAGACCAACAGAGGTGGTGAAGCCTTGGCCACAGTGGGGGCAAGAGTGCTTGAAGCCACCTGGAGTGGAGGGGGTCCTCTGGCAGACCTGCTTCTTCATGTGCTGCAGGCGCTGTCAACATCCACTGTCGATCAGGGGAAGGTGAAAACCAGGCGCAACTTACATGCTCATAAGGTTGGGGTGTAGCAAATAGCCGGTAGCATTGGGGACACTGGTATCGAGATCCAGGGGCAATTTGGGTGGGCACGCTCGGCTGCGGAGGAGCGGGGTTATGCGGATGCGCGTATCCCTGAGGAGGATGCGCCGCATGCTGTTGAGGCGCAGGTTGGTGATGCTGCTGGTGACCGGCGTGGTAGCCTTGGGTGGGGATCACTCGCTCCTGACCCTGGCCTCGGCCATCTTCAACAATGTCGCCAGGGTCATAGCCGAGGCGCTCGGCCATCGCAAGTTTATTGATCAGAGGCTTGGCCTCGATGGTGCGCAGGCGGATGTCGAGCGCCCTGTCGAGGAACTCATTGCTGGCAATATCGAAGATGATATCTGAGACGGCGTCAATATCAGTAGAGGTGAAGTGGCTAATCAGCTCGCTTCTGCCTGCGTCGATCATCTTGCCGGCTATCTCATGACAAGCTTGTTCGATCACTGAGGGTGTTGTGCGATGAATGATGGTGTGCATCTAAGGGAAAATGTTAGTAAGAAATAAAGAATAAAGGTTGCCTGAAGCGGTGAGGTAATGTGAAGGGATGATAAGAGCGAGACTGGAAGGTGAGATGGAAAATGAGGCTTGCGTCAAAGAGACCAAGTGGGCCAGCGCGTGGAAATTGAAAGAGAAGGTGCAAAGCAGATTAGACTGTAGGGAAGAACAGAAGTCTCCCCTTGGGTGTAAGAGTCTGGTGTGGTTCGTCTCAACACCGGTTCAGATGAAGTATGAAGTATAGGATACCCTTCACTGTGTCTGCCTAGACTGTGTGTGTGGTAGGGAGAACGAAAATGCAAATGTTGAAACTTGAGAAAGGAACAAATCAGAGTAGTACTCACAATAAAGAGCTGGTGATACTCTGAACCCATCAGGGCCTTCTCCCAGTTGTCCCTCACAGCACGGTGCACACTCTCGGGTAGACTCTGATGAATGCCATAGGTTAGACGGCTAACGTCATCGAGGAACTTGGGATTGGTCCTCGCATGGTCGATGGTAGGTGACGGGAACCCCGACTGCTGGATCTGGGCGGGAGGGATCCTGTTTCCCGGCGGGTCCATGATCACGGGCTTCCTGCCCATGTTTGCCAAGGGCTGCAGATGAGACGCCGGAGGAGGAGCCTGCTGCTGCTGGTACTGCTGAGCAGGCGCTCCATGCTGAGGAGTTGAGGGCGGCTGCGGCTGCTGCGGTTGTTGTTGATACTGGGGCTGCTGCTGTGGAGGAGGGTGCTGTGATTGATAGTACTGCGGCGGCTGGGGAGGGCCGGCCTGGGGGTGCTGGTATTGGTGTTGCGGCTGATAGTGCCCTTGCTGAGGTTGAGGCGGGCCAGTCTGTCCCGGCACAGCTACCGACGCCCAGCGCAAGGGCCGGGCTTGGCCAGTAGGAGACATGTTCGGCGGTTGCTGCTGTCCACCAGCAGGTGGCGGAGGTTGTTGTTGTTGTTGTTGCTGTTGCTGCTGCTGCTGCTGCTGTTGATAGGCCTGGTATGCCTGTTTCATCAGTGCTCCAGGTGGAGGAGGCGCCTGGACGGGAGGGTGCGCGATGCCCGGTGAGGGACCGTTCTGGTGCATGGACGCTGGTGCCAGAGGAATGCTGCTGACCGGCGGTCCTGCGTCTGGTATATCGGACTTGATGCGAGGCAAGGCCGCAGGTTCTGGAGCCGGGGCGGGAGCCGCTGGTCCGGTGTTGGCAGTGGCAGTGGCAGCGGCAGCGGCAGCGGCCGGTACCTCAGGAGGGACGGACGCCATGCTGGGCAACGCCGACGCAGATCGACTTGCAAGGCGACTGATCTATTACTCTGTTCCGGAGTCCGGGGTTCGTTGCGGAAGTGTTTGTGTGAGTGCTTTCCTGCACGTGATGGACGCTGGATGTGCCAACCCGTGAACGCGTCGTGATAGTCGCCAAACGCCAAGATTTGTGTGCTTGGTGTTTTTGCTCCCAGCCCGAACAAAGAAAAGGATGACAAGAGAAGAAAAAAAGACAAAGAGCACCGAGAATCAAAGCCTCATCTTGGCGCCCAGAGATCTTGAGAGTAATAGTCCCAGCAGGATCGTGAAGATGGAAGTAGTGGGAAAGGTGCAAGGGGGGATGAGCAGCGGAGGGATGTGGAAGAGACGCTACCTGGGTAGATTTACTTATTTTGGGGGGGAGGAGAGGGACCGGCCTTAACTTAAACTGCTACTAATTAGCGCCAGCAATAAAAGTCCAAGGGCAGGGTGAGGAAAATATTAGCAATTTGCTAGGGTGGGACAGCCAAAAAAAAAAAAAAAAGCCCATTATTTAGCATATTAGCGGGGGGCTCCACTCCCACTAATCACTAATTCACTTGTTGGTTGGGCCCCTCGACAGTGTAGGTACTTGTATTTTTGGTCTTAGCAGTCAGACACGTAAGGGTACCTACGAAGGTACGCCGTGTCACATCCTACTAGGCAGCTTACAGAGGTACCTTAGTTCTGTTCTTAATGAAGCCAGGGCCAGGGCAGCTGCACCTCCCACTTGGTTCTCGTAAAGCACACCACAGTGACGAAGCAAAGATAGAGACTGATCAAAATGGATCTCACTCGATGCAACCTCGATCAGCCTCATTGGATCCGAAGCAGACAACGTGCCTCCATTCGCTCATTCATTGTCCCAGAGACCATACGTGATGACGAAATCCAACGCCAGATCCATATCAACCTCTAATTGACCTCCCGCTATCTGTCATGGACAAGTCGCTTCCGCTTACCAAGACTGTACGACCCCTTGTCCGCAATTCAGCTGAGCTGAAACAGCGAGGCGGACCATTTGAAGCGAGCAAGGCAAGGAACATCCTCAAGTCCCAAACCCCCAGATATCACCGACGTCATGCCTTTGCCCAGTCTCCAAGTCCCGGGCCAGCTTGCCAATGTGACAAAAGCACCTGTTTGGTTGGCTCTTCAGCGCTCCCTCCAGCGGCTGATCTGTCGGCCTGCCAATTCGTTCCCCTTGCTTACCTATTTCTCCCAGGTCGTGAGCGATTGACTCGAAGAACGGCCTCGTGTTTCTCTCCAAGCGAGCAATGAAGAAACAAACGCGAGTGATCGCCGAGGTCGAGTCCTTCTTGTGCTACACCTGTAATATTCTCCCAGGTGACTTGAGGAGCGCCACAGTAATATATGTGTTTTAGCCTGTTAGTCGTGCCAAGCTCTGTATCAGTCATCCCCATGCATTATCAGCATCATCCCTCTTCCGCATAACTGCGCATGGATCAAGCAACCCTGGAGTGGTACGTGAACCTGGTCAATATCAACGAAGAAAATGCCTCTTGCGGAGTATTCTTGACACGTACAATCTTGAATCATGCTTGTAATGCACAGACTACCTAGCTACGGAAGCACGTACAAAAACTCGAGGACGAATGGAATAGGGATTGGTATCGCTGAACAACGAGCATGCTCCACCTCCTCCTCCAACCCAACCTCATCACCGCCAACATCCCCGTCACACGCCGCAGCAACAAAAAAAAAACCTAGACATTCTCGCCAACGCAAGCCAGCAGCAGCCTCTCGTAGTCGCCGCTCGTCTCGCCCTTGATCCGCTTCGCCAGGTCCCGGCCGTACCGCTTGTGGTACGCCGCCCGCACCTGCGCCATGTTGTTGCGGTCCCAGTGGGCGCGCACCACGCGGCTGACGAGCAGGTGGTCCTTGGTGCCCGCGCCGGCCATGGCGTCCTCGAGCAGCGCCGCCTGGTGCATGTACTTGTCCGACGCGTGCCGCAGCTGGAAGAGCAGCGCCTCCTCCATGTGGCCCGAGAATTCCTATCAAGAATGAATGTTAGCAAAAGCACAATCATTATTGGACACCCATTTGATACGAAACAAGACAAAAAAGAAAGCAGCATACCTTGCGAATCACCTGCTCCAGGCTCCGGGCGTACTTCTGCTGGTACTCGTACGCGATGGCCCGGATCTGGTCGTCGTTGCGCGTGCTCAGGATGCTGCACACCTTCATCTCGTCGGTGCCCAGCTTGGCCTCGGTCGCGTTGTACAGCTCCTGCACGTCGCGGTCGACCTCGGCCTTGTTGACCGGCACGGCGTCCTCGGCGCGCGCCGCCTGCAGCACGATCATGAAGTGCCGCTCCGTCTTCATGCTGAGGTCGCCGCGCACGGCGTCCTCGAGGCTGCGCCGGTACGTCTGCTGGTAGGCCGACTTGATGGCGCGCAGGTCGGCGTTGGACCGGCCCAGCAGCACGTCGTTGAGCACCGACTCCTTGGTGCCGGGCCCGTCCACGGCGTTGAAGAGCATGTGCACGTCGTGCATCAGCGGGCCGTCGCAGAGGGCCACCAGGCCCTTCTCGAACCAGCTGCTCGTCTCCGACTTGATGTCGGCGATCAGGTCGCGCCCGATGTTGCGCTTGTACGCCGCCTTGATCGTCTCGATCTGCAGCGGGTCCTTGTTGGCCAGCACCCGGATCAGCAGCTTCTCGTCCGTGCCGAAGCCCTTCATCGCCGTGCGCAGCGCCTGCGCGTCCGAGCTACCGTCCCACTGGATCATCTGGGGCGGCCCGTACCCGAGGCTCGGCGGTGTCAGGGGCACATTGGCGTACTGCTGTCCGTACTGCTGCGGCGGAGGAGCACCGTAACCTTGCTGCGGGGGCGGCGCGCCGTAGGGTTGAGGAGGGGGCGCGCCATAGCCCTGAGGCGGCGGCGGCGGCTGTCCATAGTGTCCCTGCGGAGGAGGAGGAGGAGCACCATACCCCTGATGTGGAGGAGGGGCACCGTAGGGCTGAGGAGAGGGCGCGCCGTACTGGTGAGGAGGCGGTGGGGGCTGTCCATAGCCTTGCGGCGGCGGCGGCTGTCCGTAGGGTTGGGGAGGAGGAGGCTGGCCGTACTGTCCCTGCGGGGGAGGAGGCTGTCCATAGGGCTGTTGGTATCCGTATTGTTGAGGGGGCGGCTGGCCGTATTGGCCCTGGGGAGGTGGCTGCTGGTAGTAGCCTCCCTGCGGCGGGGGAGGCTCTAGAGATACGTCAGTTCGACAAAACGTAGACAATGAGGTCTGGAGGAGGTACGAAAAAAAACTCACGGCCGTAACCCTGATATGACATGGCGAAGATGTACTTCTCGCGACCAGGCGGGTCGGGTCTGCAGGGTGGTGCACTGAAGCTGCGTAGCTGGTAGGGCGGGCGTCAGCAGCACCGGGCGCAAAACGGAGAGCTCGGGACGTGTCGCCAATAGGCTGGCGTGGCTGTCCGATCGCGCGCGTGTGTTTCTACTTGAAAGAGAAGAGAAGGGCCAGATGGGAGAAGAATTGAGAAGTCATGTCAGCCGAGAAGAAATGACTGTGGTCAGAGGATCTAAAGTAGGTACCGACAGCTCGCTCAGGTCTCGAGTGCCAAGAGAGGGGCTGTGGGCCAACGACGACGACGGTTTGCCATCATCTCTCCGCTGGTGTCTCTCGGGCTTGCGACATGGCGAGCTACAGGATTAGTGAGTCGCCTAAAGTAGCTCGGGAGCTCCTACGACTGGAGGAACAGGAGATGATGGGTGGGAGGACGTGCAGAGAAGCGCAGGGCTGGTGCCGGCTGCGTGGCTGAGCTGCAGATGTGCCTCCAATGAAGTGTGTGTCCCCTGCATCGACGGACGTCATTTGGTGGCGTTGTCCCACCCTCATTCTTTATTAGCAGGCTCAGCTCTCACAGAAGCGACACGCAAGAAACCGGCATTCGGTGCATTGAGAGTTCCCATGCCAGCACTGGAGCAACATTGCATCACGGCAACTTTGTCGTTTCCCTCCCTCCAGCTGTTCAAGAGTCTTCACAATGAGAAGAGTGGTGCCTGTTAGCAACCCCGCACTACCCGGATGGTTTCAGAGCTCTCCAGTCCAGCACCAACCTCGAACTCGTTCATTTCAGCGGGGCCTTCAGGCAGCCGTCTCGTGGGGTTTAGCGCCACGGACCGAAATAGCTCAGGCACTACTGGAGTTAGAGCAAGCCACTAGCAACCATATCACGGCCTAAAATACGGCTGCCTCTTTTCCTCCGTCTCAACCTTGGAACCCACAGGTACTGTCGTGGACAGGAAGGATCACACTCAATCCTCGAGTGGATGGAGAAAGACCGAGTTTTGGGCGGAGCCTGATCTCACCTCCAGAGACGATTCGAGTCTGGATGTCTGCCATGGTCCTGTCTCGTCTTATGCAACCAATATCTCAACGATACACTTGGCTCATTTGCTAGAAACAGCTTTTTCTTGGTCTGGTCACCAGTAAGCTAGGTAGCTATGTTTGTCTATGACGGGGCCAAGGGGAAGACACTGCCAACGCTGAAGCATCCCAGGCGGGCTTTGCGAAACATCTAATGCAACTCCGTCAATAGAATAAAACACACCACAATCTCCTCTCATCCACTCCTGCCTACAGTCTTGCAACACACCATACGCAGATGTGCCACCACACACTCCTCTAACCATCCAAAAACCCCAATGGGTTTTCCCAATGCTCCGAGAAGCCTTTATCACCCATGACATCGCCACAGGCCTGCATGCCGTTGCGATTTTCGATCAAGTGGCCTGATGGATGATCAGAATGAGGAACAAAAGATGGAACAAAAGATGTTTTTCATGTCCGATAGCCCACGTCTTGGGATGTATCTCGGAAACTTACTCAGGTCAAGACAGCTCATGTCAAAATTGTGGTCCTTGCCCCCGATATCGCAGTAGCAGCAGATGCTCTTTGACGAGTTCGTGCAGCTCCAGCAGCTGTTGCCAAAGTTTCCGCTTTTGTGAGAGTGACGCAACAATAGTTAGTATCTTCGTGCATGGCGGGCAACGTGTATTCCTCCTACTGCAGTCATCAGGGATAACTTACTTGGCGAGCGGCTTGAGCTCGCCCCAGCTGTTGGTGATGCACTTGTCGAGGTCGATGGCCGAATCGACTTTGTGACCGTCGTCGGCCTGGCAGTGGCACAGCACGGCGTAGTCGGTGCCCTTCTCTAGGGACATCTGAGTCGAGTAGAGCATGCAGCTGCAGCCGCGGATAAACTCGGCCGCCGCCCTAGCCGCGAGGAGGCCGAGCTTGAGGATGACAAGGGAGGCATGCATGGCGATTGTGTATGTGTCGGTAAGCTAGGGGGGTTCAGATTTAGCGAATCTCGTTGAAGAATGATGAGTTGAGGGTGCTTAGCTTCAGAGTTTACTTGAAAGATCACGTCTCTTGTCACCATCTTAAATATTTGTCGTGAGACATATATTCGGGGTTCGTGGACCCTTTGGCTCGAGAATATTCGAGAGCCGCATTCACCTGATTCGCCGTCCACTGCTTCAGTCAACCGGCAGCCAAGTATTTTGAGCGCTGTGTCAAGCCTGCGCGGTGCATCGTGGTTCTCCGATCGGTCTTCTGTTGCACGGTACGCAAAATGTCTTGGAATTGAGCCCAAGACTGGGCTGTGGTAGGCTTGACATGCTTCGTTCCCGGATCATGGCGGATGGGTTACTGTCAGATGATCGAGATGCCGTGACTTGTGTATTGGAGGCGAGCAACACGAATCATATTGCCCCTAGTGCCGCTCACAAGGAAACGAAATGCATGACCCTGTATGGATATATAGGATCCTAGACGCAAGAAAAAGTTGCCGAGCCTCGAAGATGATCATCTTAGCTTGACTTGCCGTTGCGGAAAACTTGGTCGAAATGTCGTGCTTCCACTGGCTCCGTCGTCTTTTATGGGGGTTGTTGCTTGGTCTCACGTCGCAGCCGTTGCTTGTTGTGTTCAGTCAGCCTCCAATGATCGGATGTTTTGATCATGTGTGAAGCCTATTGAGTTGCACAAGATCACCCATGGATTCACACAGTGGCACACTGTATCATCGGAGGGCGCCGTGAATGTCTTGTACACTCTGCAGGAACTCTAGTAGAGAATTGGAGCTGTCCGGAAGATCCTGCATTCTCCTTCCTGGGCATGGAAACAAATGGAGCCTTCAATGTTGTCAGAATTCTCTTAGCGAATAGGGGCCGCAATAACTGAGCAACAGCATTTGCATTAATGATGGTGTAGGCTGGAAGTAGAATTGAGTCTCGTGGGGATCTTCCAATGCGGTAGTCTGGAAGCATGTTTTGGCCAGACTGAACTCGGCGGTGGGCTGGGAAATTCTTGACCCAGGACGTGAACCAAACACCCAGTCCTGCCGAGTCTGTTCTCATGACTGTTGTGGCCTTTCGGTTTGCAGTATCGGTCCCTTATGGTATGTTTCTAAGGCTAAATAATTGCCCATAATCGCCTGAATCAAAAGTCGTTCGTAACATGCTTCGCAGATTGAACAGCGAGAGTTATCATACGCGAAGACGAGGAGTTTCAAACCCGAAAACACTTGTCAAGGACAATCTTTAGTTGGAGTTGACCACTGGCAACTATTGTAGTGCCAAGTGAGCTCCTTTTACAAAGACTTGTGATGCCAAGGGCTAATTCATCTTGGCAGAACGAGAAGTGCTCTGATGCTTGCATACTAACCCCAACTGGCTTACATTTGTCCACTTTTGGATCCTTCTTAACATTTCCTACTCAGAGGAGTCCAGGGAATCCCGCTTTCAGGAGCTTATTAGGATTCACTTCCCCAATGCGAACTTTCCATACGGAGACCACGGGTCAGGTTGGGTAGAGCAAATCCAGCATAGCGACGTACGCTGCACTGAAAATGGAACGTACACCTACCTCTTTGCCGACGCCCCAGCGCATCCCTCTCGCAATGCTTGACAGACCCTCAAGAAGACATGCGCGTACGCCCCGTAACTTACATCATCATGACCTCCTCGGGAAAGCAATACGACGCGCTCATCGTGGGTGGGGGGCCGCCGCCCTCGCACGCCAGATGCACACGGCCCTGATCTTAGACTCGGGCGTGTACCGCAACGTCCGGGCGGCCCGCGTACACAACGTTCTGGGTCACGAACACGTGGACCCGGCCGAGCTGCGGCGCAAGGCGCGCGCCGGCCTCGAGCGGCGGTACCCAAGCGTCGTCTTCGAGAAGGCGACGATTGTCTCTGCGAGAGGACAACGAGGGCGGCGTCGGCGGTTTCGTGCTCAATGCTGAGGATGGGACGACCGAGCACTGGGGAAGAAATTTTGAGTATTACGACGGGGATTACGGATGTCAAGGTTGATGCCGAAGGATATGCTGAGTGTTGGGGGTATGGAACGTGAGTTCCTTCGTGCCATCTATCTCTGTGTACGTGGGCATCTGCCGTCAAGGATGTGCTGACGGACGGACGGGGGATATATGGTGTAGTTTTCACTGCCTCTTTTGCGACGGCTTTGAGCAAGCCGGGCTGGACTCGGTCGGCCTGCTGGCCGTGGGCATGTTGGCCATTGCGGACTTTGGCATGCACATCATCCCGCAGGCGGCGCGACTGTTCAAGGCCCTCCGGGTGTACACCAACGGCGACTCGGAAGCGGCGGAGGCGCTGCGGAAGGCCATCGAGGCGACCACTCTCCCGGCCACCGTCGAGAGCAGGAAGATTGCCAGGTCCGCGCTCAAGTCGCCCGGTTCATCGGCCTTCACGGTTGCCCTAGAGGGCGGGCAGCAGAATACGGAGGGGTTCTTCGTAAGTGTCTCCGGAGGGGACGTATGTACTGAGCACAGACAGAGCGGCTGACCAGGAGACGACATAGTCTCACTTCCCAGACGCCAAGCTGAACGGCAGCTTTGTCAAGGATCTGGCTGGAGCTTGACCCGGATGGTGAGATCGCCTCCACGTCGCCGGTCAATGCGACTAATGTTCCGGGGTGCTTTATCGCGAGCTACATCATGTCGGCGCTGCGCGCGGTCGCGACGTCTATGAACAGTGGCAGGTGTCTGTGCTGCTATGGCTGTCCAGGAGGATGCGGTTCGGAAGGAGGGCAGTATCACTCCTCTTACGCGGTAGCAGCAATAGAGTTTTTCCAGTCAACAGCGACTTCACAGTACAATTTACAACGCGGCAACAGGCTTGAATGACGTGATCGACAGACAGGGCGCATTCCAGACCCGCGGGTTCAGCGCGGGTTCAGAAGCACGGCTGGACCAGATCGCGGCTCATCCTGCCTTTGAGATCAGGTTCCGTGATGGTGCGGCTGCTGTCGATTTGATCTTCTTTCTCCTTATTTCGTCCGATGTCATTCTTCCGGCGCCGCCTAATGTGGAGATCGGCGGCTGTACTGTCTCTCTTTAGATCGTTGGTACAGATTCGATGTCCAAAGTCTGGTGCGTCGCAATGGGCCTAGTTGGTTAAAAAGAACGGATAGATCCATCGCAAGGTGAAACATGGCTCCATCCGCTCCTGTACCCCTGGCTCATCACCGCACCCACGCCAGATCCGTAGGGAGCTTGGGCCCACCGGGGGTTCTGAAACATGGCCTACCGGGAAGATAAGTGCAGCTGATCCCTTTGGGGACTCTACAAGTAGTACTTTGCGCAAGAATGCGTCCATGTCTGGGGAATCTTCGTAGGGCTGGATTTGGGGTCGGCGAATAGACGGCTGGAATGGGCGGTTCACGCACGAACTCTCGTGCGGTCGTGAGATCAGCGGTGCAGCGGATGGTGATGATACGCTATTGGCAGAATGGCAAGATCGACTGGCTATGGTGCCATCGTATGCAGGTCATGGGGGGGTGTAGAGGTCAGTGTGCCTTGGTTGGGATGCAGTAGTTCAGAGGCCTCGCTGCGTCTAATTGCGGAAGTTCTGAACAGGTAGGCCTGTTTGCTATTTTGGGTGTCCATGATGATCTTGCACAAATAAACTGCCAGAGATGTCTCGTCTGGACAGAGTAGGAGAATGATTGACTGAATGAACATTGGCCTAGCTGGACGTAGAGCTGTGTTCGTGACCTTGTTTCTTTTCCTGAGTTTTAATTGAGAGAGAGAGCGCACGCGCGCGCTGGGCAGCGCCACGAGATTCCAAGACATCACCCTGTGGCGGTTGGACGCGACTTTGGGACGAAAGAGCGCGGATTGACCAGTCGATTCACTGCCACCCTCTCCCAGTCTCTCAGGGCAGACCAAAAACCAGACCCAACACCGACAACAACGGCTGTGCATCTGCATCTGCTGGAGGCTGCAGTCCAACGATTCGCTACCGACGGATGTTGTCCTGTGGAGGGCCTCGCATTTCGATTCGACGGCGGTAGCGCGAGACCGAAGAGCACGACCTCCACCGAATCAACTGAGCAGAGACTCGAGGTCAACAAACAAACAGGACGATATCGAGGGGTGGTGAGGTAAGTAAGCTTAAACTCCCGAGACTCGAGAAGACCCAACAGCCGACTGTGCTGTGTCATTCTGCAGGCGACTGACTGGGTAAACAGAGGTTGTTGCATCGACACTCTCCTTAATATATGTACTGCACGTTACCTTGGCCAGAACACACGATAAACACAACAGGCCCTGTCCTTGCTGGCCTGCTCGATCAAACCTCGGAGCCTGGCTATCCAGCCCTGGGCACTGACATTGGCTGCATGCAGTGCAGTGCGCGACTCCAAGACACCACACTACCACCATACATTACTTGTACAAGTACAATCCTCACGGATCGCTTGTCATCGAGCACAACCCCGGCGGCGATCCAACATTGCTTCCGCTCTGTCGAGCGAGAGCTGAAAACTGCGCTCAGTCAACCATCATCGCTTGACCTCCAGAGACAGACAGAGAGACAAGCCTCTCTTTCGGGGCATTTAATACGACTCTGACATCCCATTCAGCTCTCACTCACCTCCCCTGTGGACAGACAACACTACCTACTCTACTCCCATCCAAATTAGTTACATCACACCCAAGCAAGCAAGCAAGCAAGCAAGCATCGACGCCCACCGCCAGGCCCCACTAGCACTGACACCAAAGAACACCACTGTCTGGGCTTTTAATTGCAGGGACCCCTTTAGCAAACAAGCGAGCAAGGGGTGGAGGTTACCCTGGAGGGAATAGCCTGGGACACTCGACTGGAGGAGCTCTTCAGCACCGCCCGGCTACCATGGCAGCCATGTGGGACCACCTACGGACGGGCAACTATGGGGGCGGTGGAGGCCCCGCATCAGCGCATGCACCGCCTGGACGCAGAGGCGATGGAGACCTGATGATGGCAGGAGCAGCCCATCATTACCCCCAGCAGCGCCGCCGCCACCACCACCACCATCCAGGCCAGCAGCAGCAACATGATTATTACGACTCCAACTACTACTACTACGACGACAGGGACAGCAGGCCCAGAAAACAAGCTCGGTCGCCGATGATGACCAGGGAGGGCCACGGCGGCGGCAGTCATACTACAAGTACTACCGCGGAACCCCGTCCCAGACGACGAGCCGGAGGAGCTCCAGGCTACACCTACGAGATCAGAGGAGGTCCCGCGCCCGCAAGGCCGCCCCGCGAGTTCATGGAGCAGCAGCAGCAGCAGCAGCAGCAGCAGCACCACCGCTAGTAAGTCTCGTTTGCCCTTTTTTCCTTTTTGTTGTTTATTCCCCCCTCGACTTCTCTCTCTCTTGGGGCGACTGGAATGTGTCAAGTGTCAAGATGGAGGGGCTGTTGTTCCCTGTGATCTGGGCTGGCTGGGTCCTCGAGAAATGCTGGTGGAGCGAGATGAGGACGGACCGAGCCTCGAGCCTGGCTTCGTCATGCGCAATTCTCCCTCGTGTCTCCCGGCCCCAACTTCCTGGCTCGAGACGTGCCACTCATTCAATCATTCATTCAATCCATTCGTTCGTTCATTCATCCAGCACCCGTTTCGTTTGCATTTCGCGCACGGCTTTCTCTTCCCGGGCCACCATTCACTTGCCCCATTCTCTTCTTGACACTCCTTTTCTCTTTGTTCGCCTCGGCGCGCGTACAGTGCAGCGCACTCTTCTCCTTTCGCGTTATCGCGCGTGTCCAGTGTCGTCACTGGCCCTTTTATCTACCGCAGCAGCTAACACCCGAGCCTTCACGATAGTGGCCCAGCGCCGGGCTCTCACCACCACGGCGGGCCGCCACCACCACCGCGTCACTCGAACCACCAGTACCCTCCGCAGCGCGGCTCTTCCTTTCGACCTACCTCTTCCCTCTACTCCCAGCCGAGTCCCATAAACACAAACTTCGACGCCCAGCAGCAGCCGCAGCGCCACCCACGATATCAACAGCACCACTACAACTACCAGCCGCAGCAGCCGAGGTACGCCCACGCGCCGACGTCTCCAGACGAAGTCTCCCCGCCAAGTTCGCCCGAGTACCTGGCCCCTGGGTAAGAAGCTCCCTTTCTCGTGACTTGACTGGGTTGTGTGTGAACGGGGTGTACCATGGTGAATGCGTTGTGCTCCCTTTGTTGGCCATTCACTAGGGGACTCGATCGTCACTCCAGTCACCCCGGTCACCCCAGTCACCCCAACCTCGAGCCAAATTCACCAGCACCCAAAAGGATCAAGAGGACCGCGCCTGCAGGACGAGAATTATAAAACCCATGCTGACCCTGCCTTCTTCCACAGACTGCATCAGTCCCAAGAAGACGTCTCCCCCATCGACGACACGCCCGAGCTAGCCGCCCAACAGTTAGCCCAGATGAACATCAACCAGCAAGGCACCCCTCCCCAGGGGAAGTCAAACATCCCCATGATGCGCCGCGAGCGACGCCAGACACAAAACGCCGCCGCCAACACGCTGCGCGAGACCAAGTCGCGCGAGCGCATGCGCCAACATGCGCACTCTCAAGCGGGACAGCACCCGCAACAGCCGCCTCAAGATCCGCGCACAAATTCCATGTCCTCACAACGGGGCTACAAGGGCGGACCGGTCCTGTGGGATCCAAACTCGGGAGAGTTGACCAGCAGCAATAAAGGCAGGCCGAGCCAGGTCAAGCCGGCCGAGTACGCCAAAGGTCTCGGCACGGGACCCGACAGCCTCGCCGGGGCCCGTGCTGCCCTGAAACCGACGACGAAGACGGCCGACCAGCCTCGAGCACAGGCGCCAACGAGCTTCGGAGACCGCATGAAGAAGATGGCGCGCAACATGGCGGACGCAACCAGGAATCGCGAGCCGTCACCGGCCGCCGAGAGCGCGACCGACCCCGCGGCCGGCGCCTTTGTCGCAAACCGGCCGGCCTGGAACGGCGCGAGCGGCCGCACCACGCTAGTTGCTCCCGTACGCGACAACCAAGACGTCGCGCCCCTCAAGATTCCTCCCAAGAGTAGCAAGCGGACTCCAGTGTCGAGTCCCGTGCGCACGCACGATGTCGGCAATCAGCACAACCAGCCCGGTGGGCTGAACATAATGATGGGCTCACCCCCTGTCAGCCCACCTGCAGGGGGTGAAACGCCAGGCCGGGAGACCATTCGCCGCATCGTCCCCTCGAGCGAGATGGCCCCCCAGCAGCAGCCCTCCACCCCTCAGGCAGGTGCCGTTTCCTACCCAAGCCCGCCCGTTTCGGCCGGCCTCAACCACCGCGACTCCCTCCCCTCCCAGCAACCAGCGGCACCTTCCCCCTCACCCACGTCGCAACAGCCGATCAAGAGGAAGCCCGCACCCGCCGGCGGCCACCAGCAGCAGGACTCGGTCAGCAGCGTCTACAGTCAGAGCGATCCCTACAACTACAAGCACTACGCCGCCCAACCACCACCACCACAGTCGTCTCAACAGCAGCAGCAGCTACAGGACCCCTGGCAGCAGCCGCCCTCGCGCTTCTCCGTCACGACGTACGACGCCACCCCGCGCGAGTCCCTCGACGAGTTCGCGCCGAGTGATGCGCCGCCCGTGCCCGCCATGCCCAACAACGTCAACAGCAGCCCCCTGGCCGGCAACCGGCTGCAGGAGTCGATGATGGAGCGCCGCCGCCCGCCCAAGCTGGGCCACGCCGACTCGGCCAGCATCCGCGGCGAGCCCATCGTCATCTCGCTCAAGGACCAGTGGAACACGCCCGGTGGGGGTGCAGCTGCGCACGAGCGCAAGCCCGTGCCGCGGGGCGTCGCCCGCGCGGCGACCGACTCCTCGGCCGCCGCACGGCCGCAGTCGGGCATCAGCGTGGCCGGGTCGGTGCACAAGATGCTGCCGCCCGCGCCGCCGGAGACGACGGCCAAGGACCGCGTCACGCAGCTCAACGCGCAGCTCGCGAGCCTGGCGCAGCGGCGCGTCAACATCGCCCGGTCGATCAAGCAGATGACGGAGCTCATGCCGCAGGACAACATCATGGACTCGGCCGAGGTGATCCACAAGCGCGAGCTCGAGAAGCGCAAGGTGGAAGGGCTCAAGCTGGAGCTCAGCGAGGTGCAGCGCGAGGAGTACGAGCTCGGGCTCAAGCTGCACCGGGCGTACAAGCGGATGGATCAGAATGCGGATTTCGAGCCGACGACGCTTTGGGTGCGGAGGGTGACTGGGTGAAATGGAGCTGTTGGCTGCCTTCTTTTTGGGACGTGGTTCGAGCAGATGGTGTCACTTGACGTGGCCGAACTGCCGCATGACTTTATTCTTTCTATCGGGCCTGGATGATGGCCTGCCATAACCTTGACCTGTTAATGCTACCAGGTTGAAGAGGTTATTTGTATGATGATACGGTGGAGAAAAAAGGGGCTGGAAGGAGAGATTTGTTGTTTTTATTGTTGATACCAGACCTTTTTGAAGCCTTTATGCGGGCTTTGACATAGCCTATTGTTTTTCTTCTCTTTTCTTACTGCCTATTAGTTGCCTTGTTTTTTCTAGATAGTCGAAATGGACTTGTTCTCACGACATTCATATCTTCCGAAGACAGTGCTCATGATGTGATAACTAAATGGGTTCTGAGAAACTGAGCCTGATGAATTCCTCCGCCGTCGACTATCACTTACGCGTCTGCTCGATGACTGGCATATGGCTGGTGCTATCGTGGTCATGACTGCTCATTGGAGTTACTTTTAAGTACATATTATCCACTTCCTTGCCAAAGGGCATCACCATAGTGACCATCAACCTTCTCACTCGCTCCGTATCAAGGACCTTGTGCCAAAACATAACCTCTTTCTACGATCCGTCTTCTCGGACTTGCCTCAAGCGGTAAGGGAGATGGGGTACATCGTGGTTTCTGTCATATCGTTCGAAATACACACAGCCTGGTGCTTACAAGAGACTTGTCTGCCTGATGCGCCTTGCAACACGTGCCGATTCATTATTTGTCCCTTCAAACGGCACATTGAAGACAGAGCTGACTGAAGTTCATCCCGCCCGTGGAACAAGTCGATTCTCCTGATATACCCCGGGAAGAGACGACATGCAGCAGAAATCTCGGCATGTCCATCTCCGACTGGCAGGTCCTTTTGTTCGGTGACACCTCGCAATGAAGCCCAGGACTCACGAATCAGAAGTCGAATCCTGGGACAACGACCTGCAACAGCAGCCGCTATATTGAGGTCAACTACCATCTTCTCAGTGAACATATGGCTAACACGTTCTTTGACAGGCGAGGTGATCCTAGGGTGGATCCGGACGCACTGATGGGGCGTGGAGTTGAAGTCGTTTCATTCCTTCTTGTCTAAGTGGTAAGATGGCGATAATGGAAGTAATTAGACATAAATCATGGTCTGCCTCAAGACTTGCATTCAATAATACAACTTGAAGGGACCAATCTACTTTGCTGCGGAGTACACATTTAGCCGCGGCGCTACAAGCAAAACGTCCGTAGATGGAAAGGCCGCCATTATGCACCCTCATCTAGGTCCGACGCTATCGATTGTACTATCGATTTACAGAGGAGGGAGCCCTTTTGCCGGCATCGTTCTCGACCTTTTTGACAAGTTCTACTAATTCCTGTATGGATGAACAAATTTCTGCATCGAAAATCAGACGACGAAAAGCGACTCAACTCGAGATTTGAATTGGTGTTTCAAGAGGAAGAAGGGCTTGAGGCCGCAAGAGAAACTCTACCCGCAGACGTAAACGGCGTAACTTACTGTATGAACTACTCTACTAGACCGCGACAATGGCTGACAACCAGCTGTTCCCAAAACAGCTTGCACTATGGCTAGGCCCGCGCCTTCGGTCCAGTCCGAGCAGGGGTTCAGCTTGGACCTCGTGGCTAGATTCCGCCTGAAGCATGGTTTCTTTGCCAAAACTGGCTAGTTCACAGTAGCTGAACCTCTTTGTCTGGCTGGACCTTGATGGAAACCGTATGGTCTTTGCTTCATTAGGTTGGAAAGAGGCTTTTTGATCGAAGCGTCGACGATGCAAGCCTGGCTCTAGCTCATTTGAGGCACAGAGCGATGCTCTTAATGGGCGCCAGCCCGGTGGGCGAGGCGCTCAAATGTCTGCAATAAAGAGTTTAAATCTTGTGTGGCTGCCGGTTGAGCCGACTACACAGTCTGTTCCGTTTCTCGTTTGTTGACACTTTGCAGTCTGAAGTGCCGGAAGCAATCCCTCTTGAGCACGATGCGGTCTGCTGGTCTGCTCGCCGGCTTCGCCCTGCTGGGCGCCTCAAGACTTGCTTCGGCGGGCAAGTGTGTCCCTCGTCCCTCCAGCACCACCACGGGTGCCGGTGCCGTAAGCTCGCCGTCAGCAACGACGACAGCGCCTGCTGAGGTCAAGGTCGTTGTGAACGACATTGCCAACGGGAACTTCGCCGGTTACGATCCCAACTGGCCGGGCGGCGTCTACGGCTTCAACAGCACCGGGGATGTCCAGCTCATTCAAGGCTTCGGATATCAGGGGGATGGCAGCAAGGAGACGGGCTGTGTGCAGATGACCTCTGGTGTCCAGCGCCGGAGAGGCCGAAGACAAGCGAACACCGACTACAATGCCATGATCGAACAGAAGCTGGAGAACCTCGATTTGACGACGCAATACACTGTGCGGTTCTTCTACACCATCCTCGAGAGCACAGTCGCCGGTTCCTGCCGGTATGATGCCTATTATGGCGATGTTCTGTTCAAGTCGACCGACTATTTTCCTGTTGTGGCGAAGACGAATCCTGGTAACACGCCGTGGCGGGAGCTTGTGACCTCTGCGGCCGTGACCACGACGGACGGCTACCTCAAGTTTGTCTTGAACTGCGCTTCTGGCGCGTACGCACAGGTCTTCATCGACCAGGTCTTCGTGTCAAACAAGGTCACTCCTGACGATGTCGATAACATTTCGCTGCTTTACACTTCAATTGGTAGTGCGACACCCACACCCAGCACTCCACAAAGCTCAACGGTCGTGGTGACAACGACTTCAAGCAGTTCCTCACCTGCTGTGCCTGCTTCCACGGAGCCTTCCACCAGCAGCTCTTCGTCAACCGTCGCATCGTCCACAACGGTGCCTCCCACATCTACCAGATCCTCCCTGCCATCTGGCGTCTCCTCAAATAGCCCGGCTATCTGTGTTTCCTTGCTAAACACAAACACAAACGGCAAGATCTGCAGCAAGCGCATCTATACTGTCACAAACCAGTACCGGGTCATAAAACAGGACGACATTACAGCAGAGCAGTGCGGTGCAGCTTGTTTTGCTGACCCAGCCTGCCAGTCCTTCGCTTGGAACACCATGGGCAAGTGCGCCAATACGTGCACCCTCAGCACAGCGGGCGCTCCCGATACAAGCTTGAACAGCGGACCGACGTCGCCCTATGCCTGGGACAGGGCCTGTATCGTGCCGCAGCAGTGCCCGGTGAAGCCCACCGGCAATGTCTGTGTGGACCGCGCTCCGGCAAAACAGTGTAACCAGATCTTGGGCACCCCGAAGTTCTGCGCCACGCCGTTCTACTCGACGCCGATGGCTGCCCAATGCGGCAGTTCTGCCTGCCGGGATCTCTGCATGCAGTATCCTTCTTGCAAGTCGTTCGCGGTGGTCTACGGTGCCAACTCCTTCACCTGTAATCTCTATGCTGGCTCTTCTGCTCTCGTGGCGACTTCTGGAGGAAGCCAGCTCTTCACGGATGTCGACTGCTACCAGTGTGACATCAGCTCAACCTTCTCGTACAGCTACGTCGCAGGCCTATCGGACCCTGCTGGTATGCCACCGCTGCAGTGCTCGCCCAACTCGGTCTCCTCGATCGTACCTTCAAGCACATCATCTCCTACGCCCACACCTTCATCTAGCTCGACTACATCTACTACACCCACCAGTGCCCCAACACCAACACCCGAGACATCGACGACCTCGAGTCCCACCAGGACCTTCTCAGGCTGCTACAGTGGCCCCACTGGCACCGTGCTCGGCCAATGCACTCTTCTCAGTCCATCGCCTACCGGATTGACTTGCGCCAAACAAGGGACCACTACCACCCAGATCAACTACTCTTGGCCCCGAACCATATACCTTATGCAGAACAGCCTGACAGACTGTGCCGTCATCTGTGCCACAGACCCAGAGTGCAAATCCTACGCCTTCGATGTCTCCAACATAGTCTGCAGGTTCGGGAAGAGCTCGATCGCAAAGGCAGGGTTCGTGCCCGATGCCACGGCGAGCATGTACTGGAGCGATGCCGCGTGCGCCGACTGTGTTCTCTGCACGTACCCCTCCGGCTCTAGCACTACTTCGACCACATCTTCCACATCTTCCACGACGGCGGCGGCATCGCCGACGTCGACATGCGCCTTGACGAACGGTCAGGGGTGCACTCTGAAGACATGGGTGACGGCAGGGAGCATATGCCAACAAGTTGGCTCCCTAACCCGGAGCGAGGTGTGGGGTGTTGACATCAGGACCTACCCATACCAGGGTAATCCTGCTCAGTGTGCCGCAGTGTGCGCACAGATCAGGGGCTGTGCGAGCTCTGCATATGATTCGCGCCGGGGCATGTGCCAGTTCATCACCCTGTCGTTGACGGGTGCCGGCTTCAAGGCCGGGTCTGGGTCGGATTCGGTTACGTGGAGCGACAAGGCTTGCTTCGATTGTCCTTCATGTGACCCGTCGAGCAGCACCCCTACCACCAGCGCCCCCAGCTCCGGACACTCTACTGATCCGGCGACGACCTCGTCGACTTCGACGTCGCTGTTCATTCCCGGTTACCCAGAGTCTACTGCTACCTCTTCGAGCTCAACATCCGTCTTCATCCCCACCTATCTAGAGACGACCAGCCACTCAACTGCTTCGCAATCGCCTGAAGTCACTGCTACTCCCAGCTCATCTGGCCCATCCACATCGTCCAGCTCCGCGCCCTCATCCACCTCCTCGGCGGCCTGTACAGCTGCCACCCCTGCGCTCAGCGACTTGGTCACCTGCGGTATGCCGGGATCGAACGGCCAGCAGGCGCAGACGGCGATTCTTCCCAGCTATGTGATCAAGGCTGTGGGCAGCTTGGCTAATTGTGCGCTTGTGTGCCTGCAGAGGACGGACTGTAAGGGCTTCGCGTACTCCCTTACTGATACAGCCTGCTATCCTTTCACCAAGGGCACGGCGGATCTGGGTTTGACGTACTCGTCGAGCAGCAAACTCAGGTATTATGATTCGGGGTGTTTCTCTTGTTAAATATTTCATTGTTCAATTTTCTTTCTGATAGACTTTACATTTGCAACTTGGGTATATATTCATTTACCAACTGGAAAAGCAATAATCGACGTACTTTGCCCTCCACACGAAATCCTCACCGTGCCTGTGGCGAAAGCCAAGCTCAGTTGAATGCCTTGACCTGCTCCTCTGTCCAATCCCAGAACTCCGCTGCGTGTCCATTCCCGCCTTCTGCCTTTGACTTTGTAGCATCGAGCAAATCTCCACGGATCGGGAGGAGCCGGCCGAACGGAGCAACTATGGTCAGGGCCATTAGGTGTTAACTCTATGCTGTCCCGATTAGAGCCTCAACTTACCCCATATCCCGCTGTTGGCCAAGCCGATATCCTTCGAGAATGCAGCATAGAGCTGCGTATACGCTCCGTATACAGGCGGGTACACGATACGGCGCAGGAAGAATTGGACCAGGGCAGGGTGCTGGCGCGCGAGCTCCGTGCTGTTGTTTCCGGGGTTCAGAGGGACGCTGACGACGCCAGCGCTTCGAATTCGGCGCGCGTACTCGGCCGCGTGGAGCCAGTTGGCAGCTTTGCTCAGCGCATACCGATCCATGTGGGAGTATCTCTTGTAGGCCGCCATGTCTCGGTTGGCCGTCATGCCCCGCGATCTCTCGCCTATCAACTCGGTGCCGAGGGAGCAAAGCCACACCACGCGGACGGAGCCTTCGGGCTCGGAAGGGACCGCGGCAGCGAGAGCGGGCATCAGAACCTTGGTGAGGAGGAACGGACCGATGACATTGACACCGAGGTTCATTTCAAAGCCTTGGACTGTGTCTTGCGGGCCCTTGGTGTCGACGTACATGGCTCCAGCATTGTTGAACAGGCCGTTGAGTTTGGACTCGCGGGAGAGGAAGAAGTTGGCCGAGGCCTTGACTAAACTTAGGTCGGACAGGCCGAGTTTCATGAAGGCTAGGGAGCCTTTGGAGGATGGGTAGGCTTTCTTTATGTCGTCGATGGCCTTGTTGGCGCGCTCCTCGGACCGGGCGGCGACGTAGACCCGCGCATTCTTCGAGTACAGGAGGGATGCTACCAGCTTACCCATACCAGTGTTGCTGCCTGTGACAACGTAGACCTGTATTCATGTCAGCCAATCCACGCAGACGCGCGGCGGCAACTGAAACCAGTGATTAAGAATTTTTTGACTGCTCCCATCTTTCCAATTACGTCCGGAACATCACTTTCTGAAAATGTCAGCTTAGGTGGCAAGAAGCTGGTCCACATACTCGAGAAAGACATCAACATGATGGGCAACTGGCTTAGATATGGCACGGTACAAAGATTCTGATTGTTCACTGAACGGAAGCAGGTTTGAGTTCGAGGGCAGAGAACTGCTTGACGGCGCTTTATTTCCATGTGAAGATGAGCAATCGGAAAGCCGGGGTGTCTATCATACCCGTTGAGTAGTGCTTAGTCGCATTTATGAAACAGCAAATAGTGAGACAGCACCCAAATCATCATATCGGTCTAGTGGCTATAGACCATAGGAGCTCAGCCAACTGGATCGGTCACAACGAAGCTCCACCATATCTGGACTTCTTCCCAGGGAGAGATATAAGAGAGTGGTAGTATCTATCTGTCAGGCTGGCTTCCATCGCTCAAGGTCTGTTGGGGCGGGTCGAGTGACGAGTCAAAGTCTTTCTCTGCTTAGACGAAAGCATCATATAGGGGGCGCTCTTTTGGCAATGTTGAAAAAGACAAAAAAATGGGCATGTGCGTCACCAGAATGAATCTCCATTCGTAGGACATCCTCGGGGTCAGTCTTGTAACTATATGTTTCTGAAATATAAGGTCTCTCTACTCCAGAGCCAAGTACCAGTACATTTTAAAATACCATATTTTGCAGACTTGGTACAACTTGTCAGCTGAGTGTTAACTATGTCCTGTAGAAGCCTGGCAGGATTCAAATTTGCCAATTTGCAAAGACGCCACTGATTCTTTGTACTGAACTTCATTCTCAATCTTAAAGTCATGCACAAGGGTAATCAAGGAATGCGGCACCAGTACTTGAATCCTGCTTTTGGAATTGGGGGGAACACACTTTTACCGACATAAAGCCGGGTGCCTTGGGGAGACAACGTCTACAGAATGTCTAGACTGGCTGGTCCCAAGATCCATAAATAAGATTGGATCCCGCAACAGTAGCGCTGTCAAATTTCCATTTTCTCTCTTTTTTTTCTTCCGCATTCATTGTCACCTTAATTCACTCGTTGCAACCAAGTGTCATGATCATGCAGGGGATAACCCAAAGTGAATCGGATTTACTCCATTTAAAACACTCACCTATTAGCTTCTTATGGCAGTGCGGGACTGTTGAAGGCGATTTTGTCGATGCTATTTGGGCTGGAGATGTCGAGAGATGTCGCGAGCTGTTAGACACACATCCCGGGCTTGGTAATATGCCAGTGCATTATCATCTCCCGGCGCGAAGAGCAGAACTAGAGCGCGACCGAGCTATCGATCAGTCAACAGACGACGACCCATACGAGGAGAATCCTCTCTGGCTAGCCCTTACCAACTTGTGCAACAAGGTGCCAGGAAACCATGGGGGCTGTCATTCAGCAGCACACTCACTCACCATCGCAAGGTTACTAGTGGACCATGGAGCTCGTATCGGATCTGGGGGCCGACAGAGACTCTTCTTCGATATATGTGGATTTTACGATGATCCGGGAGTCGTGGACCTGCTCGAAAAGGCTGGCGTTGATCTCACATGGGGCGAAGGCGACGATACTCGTGGCGATCTGAGCAGCAGTGACCAGAACGATGCAATGACCGTGGCCGCAGGACGTGGCGCTGAAGGAATAGTGATCTCTCTTGTCGACAGAGGGTGGCCAATATCTGGTGCCCACTATGGCTCTGATCTTAGCGACAGCTTGCTACATGTGGCAGCCTACCACGGACAGGCCCATCTCGTCAAAGTCCTTCTGCAACGTGGCGCTGTTAAGGACCTGCATTTGAGAGCTAAGAGGATGCACTTCCGGGATCTACCTACCACCTTGGACCCCGATTCATTCGAGGGACAGGCTAAGGCCCCAAGGATAAGGTATGATGATACCCCTCTCGAGTACGCGTGTAGAAGCCCTTGTCCGCTCGAGAGTCTTGGAAAGACCATCGAAGTTCTTCTCGATGCCGGAGCGGCACCGAGCCAAGCTGCTCTCGAGAATGCGGTGATACGCGGCTTTGGGTTAGACATACTGCATTCACTTTTCAAACCTCCGGTTGATATACATGGACGCTGCGCTTTTTCCTCCTGCTACTGGTGGCCTAAGGACGTGTTCGAAACTGGTTTTGGCAGCCGGAATGCTACTCTCCTTCACGCGGCCGCACTGCAGTCTAACGATATCACCGTCGCGGCGCTTTTCGATCTAGGGGTCGTCAACGATATAAAGGATCATCTAGGCCGGACAGCTTTGCACTGGAGCGTGTCGGCACTTACTGGCCGGAGAGAAAGGCCCTCGCCTCGTTCGAGACTTGAGTGCGTCAGGCTTGTCTTATCAAAGCAGGCGGACCCAGACATTCAAGACCACTTTCAGCGAGCTCCTTTGCACTATGCAGCACTATTCAAGCAGGCCAGCATCTTTGGGCTTCTGGTTCGCTCCCACGCGAATCCCAACGTGGCTGATAAAGATGGCGCCACACCCCTTCACTACCTAGCTGAGCCAGTTGACATATGGCGCCAGAATGACGACCTGGACATCAAAAAGCTGGCGTCACTCCTTAGCTCACCCAATCTCAAGGTCGACCAAAAGAATCATAGCGGAGCTACTGCCTTACATGTCGCCGCCACCAACGCCTCAGTACCTGTTGTGGAACTGCTTCTCCTTCTCGGCGCAGATCCCACCATCACGGATGGCCAGGGCAAAACGGCGCTCCATCGAGCATCCTTACGACCCCAGTGGCAGGGATCCCACGAGCACGACCATCTCGGCGGCCCAGGTGAGAACGATGGAGACAGGATGGCAGCTCGGATGAAGGCCCTCCTGCTCGATGCTGGCGCAGACCAGACAATCATCGATGACCACGGCCAGACTGCAGCCGATATCGAATCGCAGGAGTCCCTGAGGCTGAAGCGATCCAGAGATGAGTTTCTATCAGGGCTTCCAAGATCGATTGGCCGTGGCCGCGGCCCCAGCCGGAGTAACCTCCAATACACGCTTGCGATGCATGTCAAGGCCAACGCGGAATATTGGGCCCATGAGGAACGGCCTGCTTACTGAGAACAGGTTATGGGCATCGGGGGGGCATAGCAGTGGGCGCGTGACAGTGAGAGTCCACAGTATCGATCTCTTCTTATGCGTGTATCCACGGTACCTATAGTACCAGTGAGAATTCGACTGGGAAAAGGAAACACGAATGTGGCCTATGATGTCGTTTCTCTAGATGTTTATGGTGACTGCAAGTGTGACAATGAGACTGCGATGTGGAAAGGAGCGGTGCTACATAGTCGATACCTGTATCAATTCTCTAATAAGATTAGGTAGGGAGGAAAGTCGGACCGGGAAAGAACGCGGCGGGTTAGTTAATTAGTCATCAACGCCGGCTGGGGGGTATGTCTTTGAGACTGACACAGCGCTTCTCTGAAGAGGTCGACTAACATGCCTCTATCGTGTCACAGGTTTCTTCAATACATATTATATGTGATATTCTATCTGTTAGTACATACATGAAACTGCCCTCACGCTGGCTGTCTATCTCCTGCTTCAACATGGATCCTCTTTGAATCCATCACCCTTTCATTTATTTGACGGCATCCCACAGAGAGTTCAGTTCCACCGCGGATGAGGCATAGACTCCATTTCCGCTGTCATAACTGCTCACCTTTTTCTTGTCCGCATCGTTGACAGCCTTGTTTAGGTACGATTGCTTACACTCATGTTGCCAACGTCCCATCTTGAATTCCAAACGCTCCAGAAACCTATTAACAAACTCCTGGTAAGCTCCGAGCCACGTGTTTGGCGAACCTGGCGCGATATAGCAAGCGAGATTGGGTGGAGGGACGGCCTGTCCTAGGGCTGCGTCGGCATCGAGGTTTGTCCTGAGATGTCATGGTTAGGATTGATTGCGTGCTACTTGCAATGGCACAGAGAGAGGAGTGCTTACAGGATACCACTGATACGGTCATGTACTGCTTTGAAAGCGTTGAAGACCTCCTGCCTGTTCAAGTACTGAAACACGAGCGCCGCGCGGACCATCTGCTGCTGCATATCCTGGATATCGTTTGTGTCGGCACACCTTGGAAGCTTGTTGTTGTCATCCGTTGATTTCTTGTAATACCCAGCAAATACTATAGCTTTGAAACCGTTCAGCTTGTTGTTCAGCAGGAAGAACTCGCTGAGTCGTCCTCCCTGGTCCGGACAGGAACCCCCACCGCAAGACACGGCGTTGGCGATCTGCTGTGCAGCTGTCTGGTCGCGGAAATGAGTGCCCGCCGCATTCTTTGTGCCGAAGACGGCCTGCAAGACCTGGCAACTGGCGATAGGGTGGTCCTCGCACTGGTTGGCCGGCGGCGGCGTGCCGGGGTCACTGCCATCGTCGCCGAGCATTTGTTCTCCGCCGATGAGATAGTAGAAGAAGCGCGTTACCATCTGCTTCTCGAAGACATGCTCCGCTGTTGACAGTTTTAGCTTCCAGTCTACTTGCCTAGGTCAAGAAAGCAGGACAAGGATCTAAACTCACTGTTATACGCGCTTGCAGGAACTTTAGCTGAGAAGGTATTGAGCTTCGGGTTGTCGCAGTTAGGTGTATTGTCCCGGTCGTAGTACCCGTGGCTGACGATGGCTTGAACGCGTTCTGCGTCTCCGGCACTGGGGTAGGGCGGGAAGGTGTATGGAAGCTTGCAGACATCAATCCCATCCACGCGCTTGTGCAAAATGGTACTACCCCATCGTTCGCTACGACGACTGGCGCGGCAATGGTCATTGCACCACTGCGGGTTCGGGATATAGCCCACACAGTCCTTACCACAAGAGAGACCATCCGTGGGAGGCTCTAGGTACTCACCAAGCATAATTCCGTTCTGCACGTGGTGCGAGTCGGGCGCGTTCAGGTCCCGGAGCCCGGCCGCGTAGAATTGGTATACGTGATTGCCATTCCACCAGCCTGCCTTGGGTCCATTCTGAACACACTTGTTGATGAGGTTCTCCGTGCTGTCCCAGCACTGTTGCCAGATCTCGTTGAAGTCTGCGTTGTCCTCGGGCCACGTATCGCGGTTCACGAAGAGTTCGATCTTGGCCGACAGCGCCACCGAGACCTCGCATGCTCCGCCCTTCTGGTATATCGCTACGTATTTCGACGGGATAGCGGGTGGCGCCGTGCACGAGCCGCCGCACACGGACTCTCGTAGCATATACAGGAGCGCGTTGACATCCGGGTTGGACCTATCGGGGAGCTGAATGGCTCTTCCTTTTGTCGTCCAGTTCGGCAAGTCGTCCCTGACACTGCCAGAGGCGTCAACACACGCCGGTTGGTCGATTGGCACCGCAGACTGCGTAGGTGTGGCCGGCTTGGAAGTCGGCGGCGGAGGAGCCGCGGTCGAGACCGAAGCAGTCCAGGGCGACGTGTCGATAGGAGGGAATTTCAAGTCACCGTCACCCACGCCTGGGGTGGGGTCGGCTGGCAAGATATCGAAGCCAACACAAGTAGAACAAGAAGTGCATGAGGAAGTCGAAGATGTCGTGGATGTGGGAGAAGTCTTTGATGGGTCGCTCTTTGTTTGATGGTCGTTATTGTCGTCCGGGGTGTGCGCTTGGCCATCGGATCCAATGATCAAGGGCGGGAAGCCCGGCGGAGGTGGTATAATGCCGCCTGCGACGACATCGGCCCCGGGTATAAGTAGAATGCCCACACCAGCGCTGACAAACCAGATGGGGAGAACCGTGGGGTGTCCGTTCGCCGATGTCGTCGTGACAGAGTTGGTAGTAAGGCCGGCGATGGACGAAGTTTTGGTCTGAAACGTGCCAGACTCTGTAGATGTCTGTGGACCTACAGTAACTGGCCCTGTATCTACGGGCTTGGTAGTTGTAGGGTCCGGTGGGCCACCATCATCCTGCGGGCCAAGACCGTTGGATGGATAAGCACTGTTTGAGATGTTGTATGTCTCGCCATTTAGACTCCAAACGCCTCCCCAGTAGTTGCCATTTGTGATGCACTGCTCAATGATGTTGGTGAAAGCATCTTTGCAATAAGCCAGAGGTTTCGTGTTGTCTGTCCTCTGAACGCTATAGAGCATTGCTAGCAATCGTAGAGATTAGAGTGCCATTTGGGTCAGAAAGGACTGGAGTGTTACTTACACCAGTGGTTGAAGGTGTTGGAGAGCTTCTCCGTGTCTCCAGTTCTCCAATTCCCTGAGCAGATCGAGTCGAGTGCCGAGTTGGCTGTCAAGGCTTTGGCAATTTGCTCGCCAGACGGCTCATTGCCTTGTCTCTGTTGGTTCTGCAAGCAATCAGCAGCCAGGACAGTTCTGCCCAGAACGAGAAGGGCAACTCCCTGACGAAACATCATGTTTGCAAATGCGAGAAGCGGTGATGGAGAAAGAAGTTCTTAGCATTCAGCTTGGACTTTTGGCTCTATGGAAATCAATCATCTCAAGGCCAAAAGCCAAGATATATAGTAAAATCTCCTCCCAACCCAGGGGTCAATATGTCAGGTGAGTTGCGAGTACTTTTAGTGAGAACGGCTTTCAGAGAGCCGCCCAAGGTATAATTAGAAGCAGTTGGGGCTTAGACAGTCACTTCAGGAGCTAGGTCAAGCCCATAGGCCGACTCGGGCGTATTTGGGGGCGGGCTGATCCCATTCGTTCACTGGGCGCTGACAAAGTCCGCAGGCCTTTTCACTATTCCTGTTGCTCGTAGGCTATTGGGAAGCAAATCTTCTATTTTGAACAGCCTCTTAGCTGAAGTTCCTTCAATTTGGGTGAATTACAGTGGCTGAAGAATGGGCCTCAACGGGGGCCAGGCTGGATATGACTGAGCGACAACATAAACGCCACCGGAAATCGGTGGTAGTTTTCGACCTTTAAAAATAGGAGGTCGGGATTCAAATTGGTTTGGAAACAAAAAGAACAGGATATTCTGAGAGCTGGTAGCGGAACTTGATCCCTCTGGCCTTCAAAGTCGGTGCAGTACTTGCATCTAAAGTACAGATTCAGCCTCCGGAGGATGCAAGCAGGTTTCAACGCACTTGAACCCTTACTCTATGTGGACAAAAAATGACAGCCTGATACAGTTGCATCATCGAAATACTACAGCGACATGCACAGCCGAGATCAATAGAGGCATGGGGGGCTACGGCACATTTGCGGAATATCTGAACCTTGTCCATTTGTTGCGTGTCCCTCCTCCACCACCATGGCCTTTCCTTCGCCCTGATCAATTACAGAAGACCTTGATTTCAGCTTTTTCAATGACGCACTCCCATCCAAGCCACTGCGCTCTACCAATCAACTGCAGTCGATCGCCAGGCTGAAGCGCCCATAGGAACTTCTTCACCTCTTCAAAGTCCTCCGGTCTCGTCCATCTACTCAAACCGGGCGTCTCGTGCCCCTTGTCCACGTCCCAGACACCGGAATATGTTTGGGAGCCGGCGTTTAGTCGGTTGCGTGTAAGCTCAACTGGAGGTGGCGGTGGTCTACTCCCAGGAGCCCTCTTGATGCCGATCTCATACCACGTGTTGCAGAATCGGTATGACCCGCGATCTCGAGGATATCTCTCGACGTGGTCACTCCACCCTTGGTCACGTCCCGTCACGGACACAGCTATGCGCGAGACTGGGATTTGGAGGTCGTTGGGCAGACGGTCTGTTTCTAGGTAGACACCGCGTTCGTACCCCAGCATACGCTCTTTCGGAACGCTGGTCCGGGTGCTGCTCCCGATGACCACCCTTGTAGCGTCTCGAGAGGCACTCAGTATCTCCCGCTCCTTCGTCACCGTCTCCTCTCCCTCAGGGTATACACCTGCTTTGAGCAGAACCTCTCTGCATGGATTGCGTGATGATACCTTCATTGCGGCCGTTACTCCGTGGCAGTCCTTGATGGTGAGGTCCGGCTTGTAGCGCATCAATATTTCCACGATATCCTTTCTTCCCATCTCCGTTGCCCAATGCATGGCCGTGCGGCCCGCTCCACCCTGTGCGTTCACATTGGCTCCCTTCTCTAGTAGGTACTCTATGAGCTTAGCATTGGTGAACTGCCGCCCCGAAGCCTCAACCAACGGCGTCTGGCCGAAGGGGTTCGGAACCTCGAGGTCGCCTGTCCCGTACCGGTCGATAATCGCTGCCACTATAGCCTTGTCGCCAGACATGACTGCTCTGCGGAGTAGCGTATGGTTCGAGTCGGCCAGGAAGACACGTGGGTCGTCGAACTGCTCAATCAGCCGTCGGCAGACGCGTGCGAATCCGTGGTCGCAGAGCACCGTGAAGACTTCGCGCGCCTCAAAGGCACTTATCTCACGGCCCATGGCGCCGATGAGATGGTCAACACAGTCTTTCCAGTACAGAGCCTTGACCCGCACGGCGGCCAGAAGCGCTGTCCAGCCGTCTATCTGCTTGGCGTGGAGGACGTCGTGAGGAACGTGTTTCACCAATGTGGCAACATGTGCCCTGCGGCCATGTACGGCCGCATTATGCAGGACATTACAGCCCCATTGATCCTGAACGGTGAGATCGGTGATGGGTATGAGGATGGCGACGTTGTCTCCCGTCGACACAACTGGCGACTGGACGGCCAGCATGAGTGGTGTCTTCTTCTGTGACTGCAGCGCATTTGGACTGGCACCTGCATTCAAGAGCGACCTAAGCACTCTGGTGCTGCCATGCAGGGCAGCCAGATGCAGTGGTGTGTCTTTCCAGTATATTGTGTGTTGTCGAACAAGATCGTGAGCGCCCTTCGTCTTCAGGAGGACGTCCACGACCTCAACATGATCCACATAAGCTGCTTTGTGCAGAGCGTTATTCTCATCAGTGTCCCCACGAAGAAGCGTCTCCAGCCCTCTTGGCATGGATTCGAGCCTTTGCACAATACGGCTGGCAATGGATTCGCTTCCGGATATGGCAGCCTTGACTAATGGGGTCTCCTGTCTCGAGTCAATTTGACAGACGAGCTTTTGTGCCCTGGCTTTGTCACGTAGCAGCTCCTTGACCACCGTTTCTGCACGAGCTGAGCATGCCGCAGCCAGAGCTGTCATTTCATCCGGCCCATTGTATCGTGTTGCGTTGGCACCCTTTTGCATCAAGACCTTGGCAACCTCTGCGGAATTTGTGAAGGCAGCCAGAATCAGAGGGGAGAATCCAGAGTCTGCTTTGTCATTCGTGCGGCGACTTGGGCGATCAACATCATCAGGGTGATCATCTAGCCAGTCTTTGGCCATGTCATCCAAGTTGTGTAGGGCGAGGTAATGCGTTGCGTGAAAGACTGGATCGCCATCATCTTCGCTCAGCATATCCCACATCCGATCTTGCCATACGCCCAACTGTGCCCATGCTGGCTGGGTAGCAATTGTCATGTTGTTAAGAAACGCATCGCTCTCGAGCTGTTCAACCAGATTCTCCTCCCACGCCTTCTCCCTCAGTTTGATAACTCTCGCCTCGTTGCTGGCTTGAGAGAGATGCCAGCCCCAGTGCTGCGCGGCGTAACGCTGGAATGGGGACTGCGTGACAACTTGGTCCCAGTCGCTCTTGGTCTTGCAATCTTGATCTATTTGAGAAAGACAGTCCACACACGCAGTAGCCATGGTAATTTCTGCTTTTTCAAAGTATTTCCCCTTCTTTGTGACATCGTGACAGAAGTCGCGAACGGCCTTGTGCACCTGGACTTTTGCGGAAGCCGGGTCGTTCCCAGCATCAATCCTGAGGAAATAGCAGGTCGACTCTGTGAGCTTCTGTATGGTGTACTCCTCGGCCTCGTCGCCATACGCTCGTCTCCGTGAGTAATGAGTGCGGGAGAAGGCTATGGCATGCTGTATCTCCTTGACCGTGAGGCTACCGCAACTGTAGATGGCCCAAAGCAACGCAAGCTTACCGACCTCCGCATCATCCTGTGACTGTTGGCTGTCAACACGCTCGATGGCCCCGACGATGAGGTCTTCCAGCCTCGTAGCCAGCCGATCAAGTAGTCTCAGCAGGGAGCGCTCCTCACGTTCAGACATCAATGCCCGTAACTGCAATTGGGCACAGAGAAAGTTCCCGTTCGCTGCGTTGATCACGCGATTTGCGATATCTTGCCGCTTCTCAGGGCTTGCTGCAACAGCCACAAGAGCCTTTGGAGCTGTAAAAGTAACTGAGGGGTCACCTTGCACTATAAGCTCCAAAGTTGTCGTCACATACGTCTGCAGGGCCGCGGCGTTGTCATTGACATCGAGGATGCGTGCATGGATGTCCTCGGCGTAGTGGCCCAAGCCCTCACGTGAGGTGACGAATATCCTGATGGACGGACTTGACAAGTTCTTCAGAAATCGCAGGACCTCGTCCTTCTCGGGATGCTCATCCAGGGCATCGACAATAATGAAAGTTGTGGAGAAGTCGCCAGCTATGCTGTTGAGAATCGCTTGGGGCTTAGGTGCGTTGCCGGCTACCATTGTGCCTGCGACCATCCTTTCGGTGGATTCGAGGCGTTGGTACGCCTTTGTTGACGACGCATGCCAGAGCTGGTAAAGCAATTGCCGGACCAGATATCGACAGATGCTGCCGACATCTTGGGCTTGTCCCTTTTTGTAGCTACAGTAGAATAATGCAGCAGCAACATCCGGGATCGAGGTTGCATCTGATTCATCAAGATCGATCTGTGAGCTGGATAAGAGGGCCAAGTTTGTATTGCGTAGCTGGTCGACCATGAAAGAGGCAATGCACGTCTTGCCGGTTCCAGGTTCGCCGAGGGCCCACAACCATCGAGACTCTGCTTTCTTCTCACTCAGCCAGCCGCGCACTGCGTGGCTCTCGAGAATCCAACTGGGTGGACTGTGCTGAGAATTGGCGAGTTGCTTGTCCATTTCGCTGTCCCCGTCATCCCGGGGGAGTGAATCAAGACAAGCCTTGATCCTGTCGTGATCGACAATCGCCTGGGCTTTCTCCATCATATGCTGCAGGCGCTCAACTTGCTCTTTCACATCCCTCGTGTCTTTGGCCATGAGGACGGTGACCATTCCTTCCAAAACCGCTTCCGCATCTTTCATCTCCTTCACCTTGCTTTCGATATCCTTCTTCTCCCTGATCCATGGAATGCCATGGCGAAGCTTCCTCCACACGTCTGCGCCTTCCAGTCCTTTGTATTTCTGTGTGATGTCTTCGAGAAGTCTACGGACTTTTTGTAACGCAGGCCCACATTCTCCGCTCAGTGCTTCTCGGTCGGCCTCGTTGAGGTTCTCCGACAGCTCGACGATGCGCTCCAAGAGGGCGACCGACGCCTTGATTCTAATAACGAGTCTCTCGAGCTCTCCAGGCGCATCCTTGATCTCACCCACCTTTTTGACGACATAATGTGCCGCCTGCGCAACCCCGAGAACGGTACCGAAGATGTCCATCCTCGACTACAGACAAGTGGCGCACAATGGGGAGATGAAATCAGGCACAACAAGAGGCATGAAGAAATGAACTCTCTCGAGAAAGATGAAGAGAAAACCAGGTCACAGGCTCCAGTGCTGGTAGAAGTAGAGCCTGGTGTCCGGAAGGAAGAGAGAAAACATAGTAACGAAGCGAACCGTGCCTCGCGGTTTCAGATTTGCCATCGATGCCTAAGCACTCATGGAGCACAGGCTGTGTTTCTGCATCACCACTGCAGCTTACCTACGTGAACGCCGCCGATTGGCTTGGTAGTTTGGGGGCCGTCTTACGCCTCTTCGATCGACCATGCAGCAGACTTCGCCCTGTGACCAGGGGAAAGACCTTCATCACGGGAGCCGATGCGGAAGCAACACCGCAAAACATCTTCGGCGTCGTGAACAGAGTCTGTATTGAGTACCCGAACCCCATTCCATGATGTCTTATGTGTGATGTTCGTGATGTTTTGCAAGCTCAGGTTGAATTTGTGTGGGCCTACCGCAGTTGTGTCGTTATTTCAAACGATGCTCATCCAGTGCGTACAATTGGTTTCCATGGTTGTTCTGCAACAACATCGTTCAGTAGGAAAACTCTACAGGAGAAAGAAAGCCATTGGACGTCAGACGAAGACTACCTAAACTCAACCTGAGACATACGTTGATTAGGCAGTATGGAACAGAACGTTATGACATGGCTGTTTGCCAGCTCCGCAGACCATGGTGGTGCAACAAAGCTGGACCTAAAATTAAACAAACAGAACTCCAAGTGAATGAGGGAACAAATCTCCACTGTTTTAGGGGCGGATCGGCAGCGGGAATAGCTGTGGCTCAACGCCTAGAGAGGAGGTCCCAGCTGTGGCTGCATGCCCAAAACCGGCTTTTGGTGGGCCGAACAGCCATTGGTACGCAATTCAACGTCATGGATCGGGTGCGGCTTCGTCATCGCCAGCTCCAGGATCATCACCACGGTCTAGGCCATTGGCCTGTTCAAGCGTGTTTCCAGCCCATGCTAGTCCTGCCATCCATGCTTACTATGGCGTCTAGCTCTCACTCTTACCGATGAAGGTTCGATAATCTGATTTGCGTCTCCTTGCCGGAGCCCGAAAGCTGGAGCTTGTCCCACCAGCTCGAGCCAGGCTCTGTGGAGAAAGAGGCCGGCCCTGATGTCAGAGGAGCCCCTCTTCTGCCGCTGAGCATCGTCAGACCCTGCCAAGACTGGGTTTATGTTTGATAGGCGGGGTTGCTTTTGTTGGTTGTAAGGTTTTGGTCGGTCGGATGACGTACAGAACGGCTGGTTGGCGTTCGGGTTCATAAGAGAGGCTTTCCTCGAGCCCGTTCTGGGTTACGAAATCAATTCCTCATCACCAACCGCTCGCTTCCTTCACGAACACAAGAATAGCACCAACGAGATGGGTTTAGGTACGAAGATCAAGGATGCTCTCTCCCTTGAGCACGAGTCTCACCCCGAGACCCCCCATCCTCCCGGGTCGTACCCAGAGGAGAAGGCTGGCAAGCACAGTGACGGACGCGAGTACGTCGCCCCTCATGGCTCTGCCGTCGACAAGGCAGGTGCCGCTGGAGCTGGCTCATCGACACACAACAAACTTCACAGGCCCGAAGACCCTCGCTCCGTAGAGGGGCCGCACCAGAGCCAGACACGTCCACAACAGGAGGGAATCATGACCACCGAGAAAGGCCCGCTCGGACACCACTACCAGGACTCCGGCGTCGGTATCGGTCATGACCGAGTGCCCGAAAAGGGCCACGGCATTCCCGGTCAAGAGGCTGGTCTAACTGGGGCTGCTGGCGCCCGTGACCCGTACTGGGGCGATGTCCAAGGCCGGAGCGGCGACCGTCATCCCGCCGCGGGACTTGGTGCCGGAGCGGGTGCCGGATCTGCTGCCACTGGCGCAGGTGCCGCTGGCCTCGGCCCACACGGCGAGAGGGAGCCTCTTGGTCATGGCGCCGGCGTTGGCCCGACTTCCAACCTGGCTACCATGGATCTTCCCGACCGGACCCGTGCAGAGCAAGACACCCTCGGCCGGGGAGCTGCGGGAACCACCGGCGCTACCACTGGCTACAATGACCCGGAGGGCACCCATGGCCCTCACTCTAGCCGCGCTGCTAACGCCGCGGACCCTCGCGTCGACTCTGATCGCGACCACCGAGGTGCCCACCACAACAAAGCTGCTGGCGTAGGTGCAGGTGCTGCCGCTGCGGGCGCCGGCTACGCCGCCCACGAACACCACAAGCACCGCCGTGAGAACGAGCAACTCGGCCACACCTCGGCTACTCGCACCACTGCTACGGGCTACAATGACCCTGAGGGCACCCACGGCCCGCACGCGAGCCGCGTCGCCAACGCTGCTGATCCCCGTGTTGACTCTGACCGTGACCACCGCGGAGCTCACCACGCCGGCGCGGGCATCGGCGCTGGTGCGGCTGCTGCTGGCGCCACCGGTCTCGCGGCCCACGAGCACAACCGCCGTCACGAGCACGGCGGCGTCGGACACAACACCACTACAGGCATGCCTCCTTCCGGTCAGGCTGTCGGTGGAGGCACCTACAATACCATCACGGGCGCCGGAAGCCCCGAGGACATGCAACGCCGCAGCCTTGAGGGCGGCCGCGAGTTCCCTCTTGCAGGCGGAAACACCGCTGGCACTGGGATGACTGGTGCTCATCACACAGGTACCGGTCCGACTGGCGCTCAGCAAACTGGCACTGGGATGACCGCCACCCGCCATACTGGCTCTGGAATGACCGGTTCCAATGTGGCTGGCTCCGGGTTGACTGGCACCCACCACGCTAACTCTGGCATGACCGGTTCTAACGTGGCCGGTGCTGGCCCATCGACGGCGACCACTGGCGGTCCCACCACCTCAGGAGCCACCACCTCCCTCCTCTCGGGTAACACCCGCGGTACCGGCCCCGAGTCGTCCATGGGATCCGCTGCAGTCCGGGACACCGACTACCACCCCAAGATGGGCACCACCGACATCGCCCCGACCTCGCGCGACGACACCGCCCGTCCCGTCTTCTCCTCCGAGGACGCTGGTCTTGGTGCTGCAGCCGGCCTAGGCGCCGCCGGAGCTGCTGCCCATCACCACAACCGCCACGGCGACAACTACGGCGCCACCAGCACTGGCCAGGTCGGCGGTGCTGTGCCGCCCGGTGCCCCCCGTGGCAGCATGCTGGATCCCTACTCCTCAACCACTGAGTCATCTACTACCCGCGGAGTCAACGAGCCCGGCATGACCGGCGCTACGGGTCTGCCACACTCGTCTACCGCCACTGGCCAGCACGGTAATCTTGCCGCTCGCGACATGGACCCGTCTGCCACTCACACCCGCGGTGAGCCCGGGATGACCTCCGGTCTCGCTGGCGGCTCAAGCGGCCTTGGCACCGCCTCTGGACCCCACGCCGGCGGTGCTGGATACGCTGGCCCCGCCCACGAGGGGGCCAAGGTGATGCACAAGTGCTCGCACTGCGGTAACGACAACGACATCAGCCATTACTTTAAGAAGGACGCCGTCTATCGCATCAACGGTTGAGCGAATTTCATGATTTATATGAAGAGCGAATGTTTTTGTACGAAATGTTTAATGTAATTGTGTCGCATATGGTCACGGCAAGGGGTGCATGCTCAGGGGCGAAGTTGAAATACACGGATTTTGCATCATGTATCTAGTTTACGGAGTAGCGAACAATGACCTTATTTCAAGTATTATTGTGCACCTATCTTGAATATGTACAACGTGTATGGTGTGCCTCATGGTTAATCACTCCTCATCCCTCCCATCCTCCCATCCGGTATCTCATCAAGAACCAGACTTCCCCTGCTTTGACTTGGAAGCAGGCGGCGAATCTTGAGCCGGTGTAACTCGCAGCTGGACATTGTCCTCGAGTGTCCACTCAAACGGCTTGTTCATATTGATCTTGTAGCACACAATGCCACGGTCTGTCCTTCCGTAGACGCGCAGGTCGGGGCCGCTGATCAGGGAGACTGACGTGAAGTTCTCTGAGCCGCCGGGCGCGCCGTTGAGGTTGGGACTCTTTGCATCCTGCCAGCTCGTGTTGTCCCAGTGGTTCGCCAGCAGTGACCCATCAGGCTTCCGAGCGACGACGAGCTTGCGGCGCGGGCCGGTCGAGTCGTCGGGCAGGCTCCACGTCACGACGCTAAGGTCGACGGGCTTACCGATCGGCACAGAGGGGATGACGGTGTTTGCTTCTGGATATTCGGAGCTTTTGTCAGCATTGGCAAGATGGGGTCCAGCTTGATGCAAAGCTCCTACTCACTTTGGATCCAGGCCGTATCGTTGGGCGCCTTGCCCACCTCCTGGATGACTGAGTTGGTCTGGTAGTACACCTGCTGGATGTCTGCCTGCAGGCCCACGCTGGCGTTCTTGTCTGCCGAGGCCGTGACGGCGATGCCCGACGTGGGCGCGATGTTGGGCCGCACCTCGACCGGCGGGCGGCTCCAGTCGGCGCTCGAGATGCTCATCAGCTTGTTGTCCGGGTTCTGGTAGAAGACGGACATGTCGCCCGTGCAGGTGCCGTTGCACAGGCTGAAGAGGACGGCGAGGGCCGACGACTCGTGCGCGCTGTACTTGGTGTTGCGGCCCGAGAGGTCGCCCGTCTTCCACTTTTGGCCGCGCGGGTTGGCGCTGGTGACGACCTCGACGGTGTTGCCGGGCCCGAGGTAGAACAGGGCGAGCATGAACGGGTGGTACTTGGTCACGTACGGCGTCGCTCGGACGGTGGCGGCGAGAGGGGTGCCGACGCGGGCCGTGGCGTTGGCACCCGCCGAGTCGCTGACGTTGGTGACGGTCCATTGGCGCTGGGCAGAGTCCCAGTACGACATCATCAGGGCCGTCGAGTTGTCCTGCCAGAAGACGGCGCGGCACTCGTTCGAGCTGGCGTCGGTCCAGTTGAGCGCAGACAGCTTGGACTCGGCCAGGATGATCTTTGCATCGTCTGCTGCAGTGCCCGATGGCGATGCCGACGGGGTGCTCGACGGGGCGCTCGTCGAGGAGCCATCCGCCGCTGGGCCGGCGTTTCCACCTCCTCCGCTGTTCTTGCCCAGGGTCGTGCCCAGCGAAGCGCCGAGGATGATGCCGAGCAGGATGAGGGCGACGAGCCCCGAGACGATCAAGAAGGACTTCCTCTTGAAGCCACATATCCTTCTTTCTGGCTCAGCAAAAGCAAAACTCCCCGGCGGCATTTGCGGGGGGTAGGCCCCCATCACGGGCGCCGGGTTCCGTCCATCAAAGGTAGACCACGGCACGATTGGTGACGATTTCGGAACACTGGGTTGGTAGTAGCCTGCCGCTGCCTGCGGCGGGCTCTCGGGCGAGACGCCTCCTTGGTATGAGGATGCATCGTTTATCGTAGCTGGTGCTGCTGGATGCGGGCCCGGTTGTACGATATTCTGTGGTATTTGCTGTGGTATCTGCTGTGGTACCTGCTGGTGCTGGGGCATCAGATGCGTGTGTGATGGAGGTTGAGTGTAGCCATTGCCAGCCTGAGCGACCTCGAGGGTGCTGTAGTCGGGCGCTGGGACTGAGTTGTCGTAATGCTGGGGGTATTGCGACTTTTCTGACTTCTCCATGGCTGCTTCTCTTTCACAACACGCATATCCTCCTGGATCGCGTGAATCGTTGTCGCAAGAGCTGCTCAACTGGAACGGGGTCGGGTGCTGGCCTCTGGCCAGACTGGGCCTGGAGCACCCAAGTATCTTTAAAGCGACGGCCCATCGGGAATAACTAACCAAGGTCACATCAATAACACACAAACGTCACCAAATTTAGGAAATTACAAGCAGTAACTGTGAAGGGCACCCGGCTGCCATATCAAGACAAGGGGGAAGCAAGTCTACGGCGCGAAATATGGGTACGGAGATGCTAAAACTGGCTGTCTCAGCGATGATCCGGGCCGCGCTGGGGGGGCTGCCCGCGCTTGCAGGCGCCAAGCCTGACCAACAGTGCAACGGCAGTCCTCGAGGCTTGCTGGGATAGGTCCACGAGTTGCCGGGCAGTGCGCTCATTCGATACCACCATACCAGCCGCCTCGACCCAGGCTCATTGGTGCGCTCAGCGCATGGGGGAGGGGAGGAGGGTGCCGAGACGCCGCATGGGACTTTTAGCTGGGTTTCATTAAGGCTGAAGGATTCACTGTTCAAGGTTGCAGTAGTTTATCCGGCACACGGATATCAAGATAGGTGCCTTTGGTGGTCTGGCCACTCACCAAGCCATGTCCCTGGGCAGGACCTCGAAAGCTGCCAAGGAGGTTGACAGCCATACACACAGGTCAGACCTCATCCGCACCTCCACTACCCAAAGATTGTATTCCCTGCTCCAGGCGACAGTCCGAGATCACTGCAAACCCTGCTGTGCCCTTGATTCCACTCCCACATGGCCAGCTAGGGTGTGGTTTCATCTCCCTTGTGCAGGTACCGTCGGAACCGGCAAGGTCCTGTGCAATCGCGTAACGAGCTGCAGGTAATCTTGCTCGTTGTCCTCCGTGATAACGCCCCGCCGGATAAAGAAGTCGATCATGACAAGCGCGCAGTTGGGCTTGAACTCGCCGCGCGCCAGCGCCTCCTTGACCTGGTCCACGCTCCAGAGATAGAACTCCTGCACCTCCTCGTCTCGTGGGCGGGGCACCTCGTCGGGCCCGACCTGCAGGTCGAACGTGTAGATGCAGTCCGGCACCATGAGGCCGATCTCCGCCCCGGACCCGGGCGCGCTCCTGCTGACATATGTGATGACGCCTGTCGCACGTGCCCGTGTCCTGATCAACTCTTCCGGCAGCGACGCCTCCTCGTCGGCCTCGTGGACGATGCACTCAAACGGCGACTCCTCGGCCCTCACCCCGCCCGCCACCGCATTGTCGAGCATCCCGGGCCAGGTCCGGATGTGGGCGCTGCGGCGGGGCACCCAGAACTTGAGAGCGCCGTCCTCGGCGACAGTGTAGATGTTGAGGTGGGCGCCGCGGTTGGCGATGCCGAAGAGAGGCGCGGCGGACCGCTGCAGCTGTACCGGGAAGTTGGCACCGATGACTTTGTAGTCCTCGTAGTTTGGTCGTGGACGGAGCCCTTCGAAGATTCTTGCGGCCTTGGCCGCCTCGACAACTTCGAGTAGTGACTTGTTGCATGCTTGGGATGTGTTTGATCCGTTGGACGTATCAATCAACTGCACCGTCCGGGGTCGCGCAGTTGGCGGGCTGATCTTGAAGTCGGCGGTCCACGGCATGCGTTCAACCACGGATGGGACCATGTAGCCGTGTGGTCGAGGATCATTGGGCAGCAGAAACTGATAGAATGCGCTCTGATTGTCATCCGAGTATGGTGTTTGAGCAATGTCGATATCCGGGAAGCTAACGATCAGCTTAGTCAATGTTTCCTTCTTCTAATGGATCAGCCTTACCTATCGCAGTCGTTGATGAGGTCCAAGAAAGTCTTGGGCGCCGTATCTTGAGTCGCGGCCATGGTGATCCTTGTTGGGGCGCCAGACGTGGAACGAAATGGCCGGGAGCGCTTTGCAATGGACGCAGACTGCCAATTGAATCTGCTTGCAAACTGACTGCTACCTGGCCACAGGGATGGGAGAGACAGGCGCAACATACCAAGGGTGTGTTGTTCATCGGCAAACTTGTGGAGGTGAATGGATCGTCACAATTTTGGATCCATAACCGCAATCGAGCTGAGGTTGTCAGGTGACCCCGCCCAAACAAACCGCTTGTGAGACAAGCAATGAGTCACTACCAGAGAGAACAAGAAACAAGAAGAAATGTGAGGCCATCTACTCTTGCTTCTAGGATCCCTATTCGCCGGAGCGTCCTCCAGCTCCTATCGTTTCTCCTACTGATCCTCAATCTCGATGAGTTGTGTACCATAACCTCTCTTGTTGCACTCGGCGAATTGCCGCAAAGATCTGGGTACTTTACTTGCTCTCCTCCCATGGTCTGTGATGAGATTGGCTTCTTGATCAAGGCACCATCAATACGCGGACACGTCTAGACCTCAGACATTCTGTAGGTGTCCGCACTGGATCTGCTGGCTCATACTTCACGATGAAGGGCACGGAGGAAGTGTCAAGTGCGAGTGATTCTTGGCCTTATGAGGGAAAAACGAGAAACAGCAAGAGTCAGGGAGCCAGTCGAGGATACACAAGACGAAAAGCCTGTGAAGACACCACTGCACTGCAGCAGCCAGAGCCTTCGCAGTTCCCTTTGCAACCACAGTAATTAACATCTATAAATTACAATCAGATTCATCACCTGCCACAAATCCAAGGTCTACGCATTGAGTTGGAATCCTCAGCAATGCAGTATGGTCAACGTCTGGACCACAAAGCCAATGTCAACAATGGTGAGTTGGGCGGTAGAGCCACAGTGAGGGAGTTGGAGATGACTCAACTTCCTAGATCGCACTTCTCACAAGGGAAGGTCAGTCGATTGGAGAAGTGAAAATCAAATAAAGCAGCAAAGCAAGGGATGAGAAAGGGACAAGAAGAGAAACTAAGAGGCAAAAAATGTCCATGTGACCTCTTAAAGTGTGGGCGAAGATGTGCGACTCTCTCTTGGAATAACCTCACATTGTCTCCTGAGGACACCACCCAATGGGTTCTTCACAGGGCCTAGAAGGGGAGAGGAAGTGAGTTGACTGTTTTTCAAAAGCCAGGCCAAAAGCCATTCACCCTTTTCGGGTTAATATCGGACCTCTGCGCAAAACTGACATGAGGGCACAGGTACCTAGCGCACTCTACGCGAGAACTTCGGCTCAACCTCAAGGCTTGTCGCCTCGTGCCTTTAGGTCAGGTGTGTCCTTCGCCAGTCAATTAATTCTCAATTCATCACAAAGTCGGACTTCAAGATCTCAACATCGTGAGAGTCTCATATCAGCCAGCCGGTCAACATGGAGCCTTCTCTCAACAACGTAGTAAGTCATATCCCAAGAACAGTATCCAACTGAGGTCCTTTCCTCTCCCATATGCTGACTTTGAAATGACAAGGCCGTCCGCTCCGGCATTCCGGCTTCCCAGAACGATCCTGCCCACAAACCCGACAATAAACCTAACCGTGGCCCCGCTCCCCGTTCTCGGCGACGCCATCTCGCGTCAGACAGCTTCAGACACTGCCTGCCCAAGGCTGGTTTCTCCTGGCCAGCGAAGGGTTTCATCATGCGTAGCTGGGATGACGACTCCAGAGTCTGCGCAGCCCTGGATGCCTGCGTCCGGGCATTTACCGGCCCGGCAATCGAGCCACTACTGGTTGAGATGTTCAGCCATGCCAGCCTCGAGGCCGCGGCTGGCAAAATCCCTTCCGCAAGCCTTGCCAGTCCTGAGTCCAACTTTACATATACGTGGCTTGCTCGAGTCCGCAAGGATGTCAACTGGGCTATCAGAGGCGGCAAAAAGCCGGGCTGTGGATTGAAGGTCTTCGTTCTCCTCTTCTTCACGATCCGGAACGCCCGCCTCCGCTGGTTAGATCAGCCCCTTAACGAGCGCTCGCTGCCTCACGACACCCGTCTGCATGGTAGGCTTGCCCATGCGGTCGATATTTCAACAAACTGGCTGAAGAGGCCGGTCAGACCGGTACCGACGACGATTTGATGAGCACGGGCGGCCCACGCGAGGCCGCAGCCGAGACCAAGGACGGTTCGAAAGAGGGGGGCGTTCAGACGCAAAGTGGCTATCAGGAGGAGCTGGAGCACGGAGCGGCGGCTCCGGCCTCGACCGTTGAACAGGATGAGTGCTTCAGAGCAGGGGCAACTGCCTTGTCGTCGTCCTGCACAGTTGTCCTGGAACAGGCAGAACTTTGGCGGGATCAATATGGACACGGATGAGAATTGGTGCTCACAGTATTTGGGGAGTTTCACCCTCGCGATTCTTAGTTCTCTCCAAGAAGTCAACTCGGCTACTATGTATTTTCAATACCCAATGAATGTCTTTCCGAGTATGAACGAGCTTTCGATGCTCTCCTCTGCCGACCCCAACACCGCTTCTACCTCTGTTCTTTACTTGATGCCCCGTCAACCTAGATGTGTGAAACTGTTTTCCAACATTGCCTTTTCCCTGTATGAAGGTTTCTCTAGCCTACAACCTCCGCTCCATGGTTGGAATACTCAAAAGTTTCCGGGTGATACTTACTCTTCACTGCGCTCCACCGGAGCGTCGTGTGAGGAAAGCCAATCTCACAGTCCAGAAGTCTAGGTAATTTTGGTGAGGATGGACTTGGTGGCCTTGGTGAATCATGGCACGAACACGAGCGAAAGCGAAGAGTCTGGCAGCGGAGTTATGTGGCCTTCGAGTCTTTCTCCTCCAAGTGCCCTATGACCATGCTATTTTTCAGCATCTGTGTTGCAGGTGTTCAAGTTTTGGAATGACGAATATTCTTCGCCCGCTCAGGAATGCTTGCCCACGACGTGAGACACGCACTCTGTTCATCTCAGGGACTGCACTGCAAGGTCTCTTCCCCACTGTACAGACAAGCCGGCGAACAACTTCAATCTCGGGGTATATGTAGTGTGTTAGATGAAGTCCTTTCAACACAGCCAGAATTCAGGTGCTTTGGTGTAGCTGGATAGTGCACAGACGAATCAGGATGTTGATGAATATGCTCCCATGAAGAGTAGTCTACCTGCTCACCTACTGAATTCAAAGTTTATAATTGATGCGAGGTTTGATCCCGGCTTTGGGCAATTTCTTTTCTCCCTCTTTTTTGCCCATTTCAAATGTTCGCTTTACCGATCGCCAGGTTGACCAGAGTTTTGACTTTACTTTTTCACTCTCGTGTTGTACTGTACCAGATGATGCTAGTTTCTAGACTGCTTCCAATCCAGCTCTTTGAGCAGTACCGGCTAACACACATCCTTCCCAACTACAGATCAGTGTGGTCATCCGGTCTTGTGGCATGACTCATGTATGCCTTTCAACAGCATTGTCCGTCCTAATACCAAGTCGCTCTCTAATATACTGGCTGAGTCCCTTCTCGATGGACGCAGAAAAGGCCGCGAATACCGTCATGGATGGTGTTCTGGGGGCCTGTGCGTGATGGATCTCCGGCACGATCTCGACTTCGTCCAGGTCCTTGATCCGCGCCAAGTCGGTAGCCCAGTCGATGCACTCGTGCTTCAGCACTGCCAACAGCTCAAAGTCCGACTTTGAAAGTTCTTGTGGCCCTTCCCATGCCTCTGCCGGCCTGCCTCCACCGACTACGAGCCGCAGCTTTCGTAAGGAGGCGTGCTCCGCTAGGTATCGGGCAACATGAGACCACTGGCCCCCGTCTCCGTGCCCTATCAAGATAGGCACGCGCCTTTGTATTGAGATCTCGGAGATCATGGCTCGAGCGTACGCGGTGCGGTCGGAGAAGAATGGAATGACGGCTGCGATGTCGGCCCCAAAGTCGAAGGAATGCCTGGCGTAGAGAATGTTCGCCACCTCGGCGTACAGGCGCCTGCAGGTGCCCATGATGCCGAGATGAAAACTGGCGCTCTCTGTGGCGAGCGTGTAGGTCGTTTCGTAGCATCGCCGCTGTATATAGCCCTCCACCACAAGATAGCGCGCCCGCTTCGAGTCTGGTATGCCGTCTATCTCGCCATCCTTCATCGACTTGACGCGAAGTCTTCGGTGGCCTCCATCGTCGACCAGATAGCTGTAGATCAGGAGGCGGATCTCGAGAGGCATGGAGAGAAAATGGTGTCTTTTCGGGGGTTGGTGCGGGATACATGAACTTTTAGATGGCGACCATGTTCGAATTCTGTCTATCGACGACCCAGGAAACGGTGCGTGAGGACGTGTTTCGACTTGCGCCATGGTGTTGCGTTCTGTCAGATCTGGCGGTGACCAAAGGCCAGGGAGACGGTGCTTTCGCTGATACGGCACTGAATGCAGCTTGGTGAGGTTCTTGTCTGTCAGTCCTTGTTGAAGAATAGGTAAAGTTCCTACTCGTTAGAAATACCCAGACCGATCGCCGAAGTTCGAAAGCCGCGACTTTTGAGCCGTTAGCCTGACTCTTGATGAACAACCTTGTTGGCCTGCCACTCGTCTCATGCTCGCACCTTGATGGCTGCCACCAAACCCTGGGTCATCAGGCTCCTATTAACCCCCTTGGTTTTGTCCCTGGTAATTGACGGCTTCACACGTGGGTGTGTCCCACCGGTACCTGTCTGGGCACCGGTCAAGATGGCCCTTCCAAGCCGACCAGACATTTAGCATATTAGCGGGGGTGGAAGCCCATCAAGTTGCAAAGTCAAAAGAGCACCGGTATCGCTCGCAAACGACATTGATCGGTACACAAAATGCACAGTCAAAATGCGTAACAAAGGCAGAACTAATGAAGTGACCAACAACAGTGCGAAGTCATGCCACGCATTATGCATATCATAGCGTTCCCATCAAAATTATGTCTCTAGAGATAAATATATACACAGTCAAAAAGAAGAACTCCGGACACCACAACTCAGCTCTCATTCATCCCCACAAACAACTGGAATAATCCATCCCCCCTATACCACAGCGCTGATCTGCATGACGGGCACGTCAAAGTCCGACTGGGGAGGCTGGATCGCCTTCCAGGCCGTAGCGTTGGTGCGCTGGATGCCCTGCGTCCAGATGTGCGCGACGGTGACGAGGATGTCGTCGCGGTTCTCGGCACCGTACCACACGGCCTGCACCAGGGAGCCGTCGGCCGCCGATGCCGAGCCGTCGCCGTTGGGCACGCAGTCGACCCAGCCCTTCTGGATGTAGATGGGCGAGCAGGTGACGTTGAAGCCGGGCGCGCCCTTGAGGTAGCCCGCGGGCGCGGAGACCTGGTAGTTGGCGATGCAGCCGCCCGGGGAGCAGCCCTCGGTGAAGCCGACGACGGGCCAGTTGACGCCGATGGGCTGGGCCTGGCGGGCGTCGTTGGAGGAAGGGGCTGCCGCAGCCGAGGCGACGAGGGCGGTGAGAGCGGTGATGGCCGAGAAGTGCATCTCTGTTGATGGGTTTGTTTTGTATGACGTGTGTATGTATGTGCTAGATTCTGCTAGACGAGTAATCTGGTTCTGGAGATGCTCTGGTTGGACTTATGCAGGTACAACTTGGAGCAGTGTGCTAGTTCTGACGGTCTGGAGGATGACAGGATTCGTTCGGAGTATATATATGCATGGATGTGAAGAGCCCTGTCATCCAGCTCTTTCCTGATAGTGTGATAAAAGGCAAAAAAAGGCCAGGGACCATGTCACTGATGGCTCTCACATGTGTAAGCTTCACATCTTGTGCTTGCTGGAGAAGCTTCAGTAGGCAGTGACGGTCGTTGCTCTTGGCTGGTGTCAACTCGGGCCGACCAGATCTGTGGCTCTGGCTTTGAGGCTACCTCGTATCCCCACAAGGCCAGAGACCCCGTCGCAGTTGATGTCATATGCCTCGAGGTGAGATTCGTTCGTACTTGGGGAAGAGGAAACGCCCCAATCAGTCCTGGATGGAGTTCGAGGTCTGATGTCAGAGCCTGAGTTCAAGGGACCCTTGGCGGCAACAAGTAGCGCCGGCAGTGTGCTGGTCTTCACCTATTCCGGCACTCCCGACTTGTTCTCTGCTCGTATTGTATGTTCCTACTGTGCGATGAACAGGGCGGCCTGTCGGCACTGCTGACAACAAAATGCTGAGCTGAGAGCCTGGAGGCGGTCCACCAGAGCATAAGGTAGGTGCACCAGGTGGAGGCAATGACGGTAGATCTGGAGGCGGAAATGCTATATTTGGCACACCACTGCAACCTCCTTACATCCATTTGAACCAGGCTGGAAAACTTGAGCACTGGCCCGCTAATGTTCGCATTTTAGGGCTGGAAGCTGGCTTTTTACGGGGAGCGATTCAGCGGCGGCCCCGCTGATTATGTGCGCCACCAGCCTCAAACAGCCCCCCTGCAGCAACCATAAACCCAAAGGGCGCGACATGGGCGAAGATCCGGGACATGGATGGATCTGAGGGAGACAGCTGATATATCTCGGTGTGCTCCGTGACATCCATATTGCGAATGTAACAAGCCCGATGTTGTACTTGTAAATCAAAACAAGGAATGCTGTTTTGAGACATATGTTGCGAGATTGTTGGACTTGTGCTCGGCCCTCGAGGGAGGTTCACTCTTGAACCACTGCATGCTCCTGCTCATTCGAGCCTCGGCGATGTTCTCTTCGGTATTCTAATTGTGCATGGATTGGATTTGAATGAGAGAACAATAGCCATAGAATGTCTGTCACAATGGCTTGGCTCTGTGGCTAGAGGAGCAAGATGCTGTGCAAGGTGGTGCTTGTGAGATGAGTCGTCTTTGTCCATGCAAGACATCTTGTAGCACTTTGCGTCGCTTCGTACAAGAGATGACTAACGAAAACACTTCAGGATGCTCCTGAAACAACAGCATTCTGAATGAAGGATCATTCTTCGTGTCGGGCTTGTCTCGTCAGATGCGACAAGTAGTGAGGAAGAGGACACAGCACGTGATAGGTTCCAGCTGCTTATCTCAGCAGTCCGGACGCACAGGCCAATCACCAACCAAGCTCTGGAATTGGCCAGAGCTCCTAAAGTCCAACGGGGAGGGAGGGAGTGAACGCGCGCCTCCCGAATCCAGCCAAGCCCAGTAGTCTCCAGCTCACTAGGCACCACCGAATCGGGGACGGGAAATCCAACCACCACAGCGCCGTCGAGATAGCACACCCTGCGTCGTCACCTGTGTCCTGCCGCCCCCCCCCCCATCCCGCCGATTCTCACAACCCCAGAAAGAGACCGGCACAGCTCAATGCATGAAAGCCGCTGATCGGCTCGCCGGACATCGACGTTCAAGCTCCCTCGAGAGTCTCATCGCCCGCCGCAGCCGCAGTCGCAGCAATCCAAGCAAGCTCAGGCCCGTCATGTCGGCGACACCGGTCCCGCCCGAGGACCAGGCTCGCCTGCTCGAGGATGCCCTCATCGCCGTGCGCCAGCAGACCGCCCTGATGCGCAAGTGCTTGGACACCCCCGGCAAGCTTATGGATGCTTTGAAATGCTGGTGAGTTGATCCTCCCTCCCCTCGCCCGCTGCACCAATTGCGTCACTCCGAGCTCGGATGCGCGCCAGACCTTCGAGAGCTGCGAGCAGCCTCTCTCGCGACTGGGCACACGGGGACTGATAGCACTGCCTCCCACAGCTCTACACTCGTTTCCGAACTCCGTACCAGCAGCCTGGGCCCTAAGCAGTACTACGAGCTGTACATGGCCGTCTTCGATGCGATGCGATACCTCTCCGTCCACCTCCGAGAAAACCACCCGGTCAACCACCTCGCCGATCTCTACGAGCTCGTACAATATGCCGGCAACATCATCCCCCGTCTGTACCTCATGATCACTGTCGGCACCGCCTACATGTCGATCGAGGGCGCCCCCGTCAAGGAGCTCATGAAGGACATGATGGACATGAGCAGGGGCGTCCAGCACCCCGTCCGAGGCCTTTTCTTGCGCTACTACCTCTCAGGTCAGGCTCGCGACTATCTTCCCGAAGGCGAAGGCGATGGCCCCGAAGGCAACCTCTCCGACTCGATCAACTTCATCCTCACCAACTTTGTCGAGATGAACAAGCTCTGGGTGCGTCTGCAACATCAGGGCCATTCCCGGGACCGTGAATCACGCACACAAGAGCGCAAGGAGCTCCAGCTTCTGGTGGGAAGCAACATTGTTCGTCTGAGCCAATTGGTGGACCTCGAGACCTACAAGACTGGCATTCTAGGCCCCCTCCTGGAGCAGGTCGTTCAGTGTCGCGATGTGCTTGCCCAAGAGTACCTGCTCGAGGTTATCACTCAGGTCTTCCCCGACGAGTTCCACCTACACACCCTGGACCAGTTTCTCGCCGCTGTTTCTCGTCTAAACCCTCATGTCAACGTCAAGGCCATCGTCATTGGTTTGATGGACAGGCTTTCCAGCTATGCTGAGCGGGAAGCCCAGAACGAGGATGGTGAGGATCGCGAAAAGCTGGAAGAGGAGGCGCTAGCCGAGCTCCTGGAGAAGATCAAGCTCAACAAAGACACGAAACCTGCCGAACAGACCGAGCCGCCCCCCCAGCCCGTCGAGGGATCCTCGGAGGCTGATGCTCCCGAAGCAGACGGCGATGCTTCTTCGGCAGCGGACACACTTGCCAAAGACTCGGATGCCGCGCCATCAGTAGCTGAGACCGAGGAGACAGCCGTCAATGGTGACGATGAGACCAAGCCGGAGGAGACGGAAGGCGAGTCACCCAAGAAGCAGCGGGGCATTCCACAGAACGTCAAGCTGTACGGGGTCTTCTTTGGCCAGGTGAAAAACCTGGTGCAGGCGCAGCAGCTGCCGATACAAGACACTATCGCCCTCCTCGTCTCTCTCGCGAATCTCGCTCTCAACATCTACCCAAGTCGCCTCGACTACGTCGACCAGATTCTCGAATACGCCGACCAGAAGGTCAGGGATCACGCCAACAGCCCCGACCTTCACTCGCCGCCAGCTCAGCAAAGTCTGCTTGCTCTTCTACAGGCCCCTTTGAAGCGCTACATCTCCATCTTCACTGCCCTTTCGCTGCCGACCTACGTTCCACTCTTCCAATCACAGACCTATCCTACCCGGCGCGCAGTCGCTGGCGAGGTCGCGAGAACCCTGCTTAAGAACCACACCGAGATCTCCACGCCCGAGCAATTAGAGAATGTGCTCGAGGTCCTCAAGGTGCTCATCCGGGAAGGTTCAAGGCCACCCGCAGGCTACCCAGGCGCCCAGCAACGCGCTCGCGCTATGGAGACCGACGAGACGATTGAGGAGCAGGGCTGGCTGGCCCGCCTCGTGCACCTGCTCAACGCCGAGAACAACGACAAGCAGTTCCGGCTGTTGCAGATGACCCGCAATGCCTACAGCGAAGGCAACGACCGCATCCGCACCACCACGCCGCCCCTCATCACGGCCGGCATGAAGCTGGCCCGCCGCTTCAAGGCCCGCGAGCACTACGACGACAACTGGTCGACCCAGTCCTCGGCCCTCTTCAAGTTCCTGCACTCCATCATCTCGACGCTCTACACGCGCGTCAACGGCTCGGGCGCCGCCGAGCTGGCCCTGCGCCTCTTCTGCTCGTGCGGCCAGACGGCCGACATGACGGGCTTCGAGGAGGTGGCCTACGAGTTCTTCGCGCAGGCCTTTACGGTCTACGAGGAGGCCGTGTCGGACTCCAAGGCGCAGTTCCAGGCCGTGTGCGTCATCGCCAGCGCGCTGCACCAGACGCGCAACTTTGGCAAGGAGAACTACGACACGCTCATCACCAAGTGCGCGCAGCACGCGAGCAAGCTGCTGCGCAAGCCGGACCAGTGCCGCGCCGTCTACCTCGCCAGCCACCTGTGGTGGGCGACGCCGATCGCCGCCAACGGCGAGGACGAGGATTCTGATGTGAGTTTTTATCCGGCAGTCGGATCTAGTCGCGTTCTCCCGCGAGGAAGTACTGGTTTGCTGATTTATCGAAACGTAGCTGTACCGCGACGGCAAGCGCGTGCTCGAGTGCCTCCAGCGCGCCCTGCGTGTGGCCGATTCGTGCATGGAGACGGCCACCTCGATCGAGCTGTTTGTCGAGATCCTGGACCGATATGTGTACTACTTTGACCAGCGGAACGAATCGGTATGTGATCATTGTCTTGGTGCAAGGGGGGGTGGCGGACGTATGTAATCTTGTTTTACTAATATTTCTCCTCGGCAGGTGACGACCAAGTACCTCAACGGGCTCATCGAGCTCATCCACGCCAACCTGGCGGGCAACCAGCAGGAGTCGGCGTCGGTCGAGGCCAGCAAGAAGCACTTTTACCACACGCTCGAGATGATCAAGAGCAAGGAGTACGAGGGCATCGTGTTGACGCCAAAGTAAACAGTGTGTGTGCGTGTAGGGGGAGATGTTTGTACGCTTGAAGGAGAAGAGGAGGAGGGGGGAAGAGACTGTATATATTTCCACTATCGGACAGAGAAGAGAGTGAGCAGAGGACATGTGCTCATGTTCAGATGCGAGGTGTTAGTGTTCTGCAAGAAGATCATGCATAAAAATTCAAACCAGCCGGAGTTCTTTTTATTTTTTGTTCCTTATTTTTCTCTTATCCAGAATTGCTCTGCGGATTGATTGTACATATGAACTCGAGAGCAGTTGCTAGACGTCTTGTTTCAATCGAGGTCTGAGATAATGGGCTTTTTTTTATCTACATATATATATATATATGCCGCTTTATCCCTCGTCCGCTCTTGATTGAATTTTGAATACAAAAGGGTAATGATGACCAAGCGGCTGGATCAGTCCGATACTTTCCGTCAAACGCCGCGCGATGCAAAAGGGAAATAAATAGCCTCGTCCGTGCCCTCAGTCGAGATGGCAAAGGGGGGGGGGGGGGCTTTTTGAAACCAGACCAGGAAACACAAATACAAGACAGAGTGAAGATAAGAAAAAGATGCCCCTGATCGGGGGTGGATGGATGGGTGGATGGATGTCTCGAGAGAACAAGACCCAATGCAAAAAGATTCACAAAACATAATCAAATCACGGGCGGTTCGCCGCCTCCCCTCCGTCTCATCTCGTCTCGTCCCTACATGACCAGGTTGGCCGCGGCCTTGCTGATGATGCGCGCCACCTTGTCGAGCGTCTGGTTGGCCAGGACCCAGTCGCCCGCCTCGACGACGTCGCGGATGGCCGGGAAGTACGCATCCTGGTACGCGTTCCACAGGTCCGGGCCCATGACGACGTGCTTGAACTGCGTGCGGTTGGGGATCTAAAGACAACAACTCTTGATCAGCACTGTCCTCCTCCCCGAACAAGTCGAATAACTTACCCCGCCATTGACATCAACATCCAGCAGGTCCGCCTCGAACCGCGACATGCGGTCGTTGTACTCGAGCCGCTGGCCGCCGAGGCCCATGGGCTCCCACCCGTTGGCCTGCAGGACGCGCGCCTCCCACGTGCCCTCCCACTCCTGGAACTCGCGCACGGCGTCCGTGACGGCGTTGGCGGCGGCGCTCAGCCGCGACAGGTCGAACGGCGGGTCCGCCGGGCCCGGGTGCACCTTGCCGTCCAGGAAGCCGGCGAGGTCGGCCGTCCACTTCTGCAGCGCGTTGGCGTAGGCGGCCATGTCGAACGGCAGGACGGGCCGGTCGGCGAGCTCGAGGACGAGCAGGGACAACACCTGCGCGAGCATGGCGTGGTACACGAAGCCCGGGTCGCCGACGCGGTCGACCCAGTCGAAGCCGTCGTAGGCGCTGTGGGCAGGGTAGGACCCGCCGCCGCTGCCCGGGGGCTCGGGCCCCTCGAAGCGCAGGTCGAGCGACGACGTGCCGGCCATGTCCTGGAAGGCGACGTAGTCCGAGTCGGCGGCCAGGCCCTCGATGCGCCGGCCGCCGGCGTCCCACAGCTCCCGCAGCGTCTGGTTGACGTGCGGGTCGCCGACGCGCTTGAGGATCGAGAGCAGCAGCTTCTGGAAGACGGGCGAGCCCGACGCGCGGAACACGCCGCCCGTGACGGCCGTGTCGAGGTTGATGTACGCGAACGCGTCCTGCCTCAGCGCCTCGAGGTTCTTCTCGACGTACTCGGTGCTGCCGACCATGTTGTACTCCTCGGCGTCCCAGGACATGAACTCGATGGTGCGCTTGGGCCGCCAACCCTTGGCGAGCAGGTCGCCGAACACGCGCACCGTCTCGAGGAAGACCATGTTGCCCGTGCCCGGGTCGACGCCGCCGTAGGCCCACGCGTCGCGGTGGCTGCCGACGATGATGGACTTGGACCCCTGCTCGGCGCCCTCGATCCGCCCGTACACGTTCCAGATGGGCTGCTTGTCGTTCTCGTCCTGCTCGTTCTGCAGCCGCACGACGGGCGACGTCTGGTCGCCCGTCCACCACTCGCCCACGTCGGGCACGCCGCCGGCCCAGCCGTCGAAGACGGGCTTTCCTTTACCCTTGAGGCGCTGGAGCAGGACCTGGGCGTCGCGCCACGCGAGCGGCAGGCTGGGGATCTGCACCAGGCCCTTGGACTCGTGCGGCTGCATCCGGGGCATGCCCTTCTCGCTCTCCCAGTTCGGGGTGAGGGGGTCGCCGATGACGAAGCTGGAGAGGGCGACGGACCCGCGCTGGACGCCGTCGGCGGGCATGTACCGCCCGTTGGGCGCGACGTCGCCCTTGAGGTAGCCGTCGTCGGCCGGGTCGCTGTAGATGAGGCAGCCGGCGAAGCCGGCCATCTCCGCCGCCTTGACCTTGAGCCCCCGGTCGCTCTGGGGCCCGTAGTAACGCACGAGCGCGATCGCGCCTTTCGTGTCTATCCCGCTGTCCTGCAGCTTCTTGAAGTCCTCCCTCGTGCCGTAGTTAGCGTATATCAGAGGGCCCCGGACATCGCCCGACTTGGAGTGGCCGTGGAAGGCCAGCGAGGGCGCGGTGGCCTGAGAGTTCCCCCGGGGGTCCTCGTCGATCCTGGCCTGCCAGACGGGCTTGTCGTCGTCGCCGATGATCTCGACCGCGCGGCCGTCCTTGCGCGGGTAGTTCATGTAGACGTAGTACTCGTCGACGCGGATGTCCTCGAGCCCGAAGCGGGCAAAGAGGTTCCTGACGTCGACGGCGAGGGCGTAGTCGCCCTCGGTGCCGGCGACGTGCGTGTGCAGGGTGAACTGCTGCAGCATGTCGCGCATGCGCTCCGGGTCGACGGAGCCCTGGACGTGCAGGCGGACGCTCTCCGGGTCGAACATCTGGCTGCCGAGGCGGCGCGACATGCTGGTGAAGAGGTCGCTCATGAAGAGCAGGTAGAGCAGGCCCATGACGAGGCAGATGGCCACGACGCGGGCGACGACGATGATGACGGCCGTCTTGTTGAAGGCGGCGGCGAACGAGGGCGGGAGGGCCCAGCGCCGCCGTGCTGTTCCCGTTGTTCCTTCGCCCTCGGCGCCACCCGTCGAGGACGAGCCGGCGGTGGCACCCGCACTGCTGCTGTTGGGGAGTCGTATCCTGAACCTGGGCATCTTCCACCTCCAGTTCCACTTCCACTGCGGGAGCGACAGCGAGAAGCCTATCCTCTTGCCGAATATGGACGAGGCCCCCCTGCGCCCGTCGCCCGGCTCTATAATGTCAAACTCCTGCATCTCCCGCCGCACGTGAGCGGCCTCGAGGTCGTCGTCGTCGTCCGAGTCGGACGTCCACGTGCTGTCCTCGTCATCGGTCTCGACAGTCGGCGCCCGGTAGCCATTCGTATTCCGCGCGTTGGCCGAGGAGCCGGTGCGGCGGTGGGCGCCGTGCAGCAGGGAGCGGCCCTCGTGGTCGGGCACGTAGCCCTCGGCCATGGGGGAGAGGACGTCGGCCTCGAAGGCGGGCCGGCTGGCGCTGCCGGTGGCGACGGCTTCATCGTAGGTAGGTATCGGAGGGACCGGATCGTATCTCTGGTCGTCGGAGGGCGCCATCGTGGCAGGTACTCGCGCCGGATCGGGGTGCCCGTCGCAGCTGTAACATCCGGGGCGGATGGGCTCTGGATGGAGGAGGGACGGCTGTCAAGAGTGGTGGTCGCGGATTCGTAATGCGTGGAGACGGAGAGAGAGGAGGGATCGCGCGGCGCCAAGGCGAGACGGAACGGAGATGGATGGGTAGCGAGTGCTGTGCGTAGTGGTACGTAAGTCGATGGAGTGATGGATGAAGAAAAAGGAGCGGATTGCGTCGCCCGCTGTCAAGTGCTGGCAGCAGAGGAAAGCAGTGGCACGACCAGAGAGGCCCGTTGGACGAGGGATTGACGGAAATCACCAAATGGTCTCTGGATTGTCTGTGGATTGGTGAGACGAGGAGTGATCAACGGTGGAATGGAATGGGGTCCCTTCATCCAGGGGGCGACACACTCGTTCCAAGGTTGGCTTTCTCCCTCTCTCCAGGCTCAGGGTTTCTCTTCTTCGCTCTGGGGGGTTTCGTGTTTGGCTGAATTTAGCTGGAGCAGGGGACTCGGCATCCTTGGCGATGGGGGGCTCCTCTCGCCGTTACAGCCGCGTCTGCCCTGCTCCACCCCGCTGAGACCTGGCATTGTACGATGTACGCCAGCACGCCAGCAGGCCATTACAGCGCTATCGCCGACTAAAAGGAAACCTTCAGCGCTGCTCAGGTCAGCAGCCATCTTGATAGATGTCAATGGCAGCAGCAGTGCAAATAGGCCCGGAAGCAGGATTCCTCGTTCAATCGAGCGATATCCGGGCGGCTATTCCCTCTGTCTTGGGGAGCATGGCTGACGCAGATGTTGCAGGTCGGTTTGGCTGGGTACCTACCTAGGTAAGTTAAGTAAAGTGCCTATGGTGGCAAGACCTCGATACCAGGCCCAGCGCGGGCGGGCTAGACACGAAGGCGACAAGGGTCTCTAATATTGCAGTGCTTTATCTTCGCTTCTTTGGAATTGTTTCTACGATAACGCAGGCAGTCATACAATCATACATTCATTCGTCAGCCCAAGGGTGTCTTTCCCCCCCTGTACGGCCTTTGCGTCTTCTCCATCTCCGTCTCCCCGTTGAACTTCCAGACCCCTTTCGTCATCGCATCCGACAACGTCCACTTGGTGCCCTTCGTCAGTCGGTGAAAGATATCGTGTTCCTCCCCAGGTATGCTGTGGAACAGCAGAGGCTGCCATGTCTCGTGGTGCTTCCTCTCCTCGGCTCGCATATGCCGCTGCCCTTCCTCCAATCTGTGCTTGGCTTCAGACGCATGTCGCAGCTCGCCGTGCTTCAGAGCGCTGACCACGTCCTTCCAAGCGCGCTGCGACTCCCACGGATCTTGCTCTTCGACGGAAGCAATATCCATCGGCGCGGGCCGGTTTGCAGCAGCGTCCACCTCGTACGTCTCGATGATCTCTCCCGTCCCCACGTCCTTGACCTGCCAGCCTTCACTCCACACTCCCGAAGCTTCGTACAAGTTCGTTTTCGGGTCCCGCGCATTGTACACCCTCGCCTCAAAGTAGTTCTTCTTGCCGCCCCCGAGGAAGCCCAGCCCCGAGAACTTGATCTCCGACTCGTACCCCGAGCTCGAGATGATCTTGTAGGTGCCCACCATCTCCGGGTACAGGCACCCACCCAAGAAGCCGCGTATCTGGACGTCTGGGAACGGAAGCAGATAGTCCTCATTGAGCTCGTCGAGGTGGATCATGGCGTGGCCTATCCTCCGGATATGGACCATGCCCTTGAACGTCATCTCGACACGGGCGTAGCTATCGGCCCGGACCCCGTGCTCGGGAGCGGCGATGTGCACGGCAGTGATCGGCGGGTGGTGGCTGACCTGCTCGACTACAAGCTTGGTGGTAGCCGCGCTGTCGGGGTCCGCCCACGAGGCCAGGAACAGCTCTCCGAGGAAAGCGTTGAGAGGCTTCTTGATGCTGACTCCCGGGCCCCCGCCGACGTAGAGGTCGCTGCGGAGAGCAGCCAGGAACAGCCTCAGCACTTGCAGCATTCGCCTTTGCGGCTCATCCTCTGCAGCGGCCGCGACGAAGAGCTTGGGGTGCTGAGCCCAACATCGAGGGTTCTCCACTACTGAGCATGGCGCTAGGAAGTGTGGAGGGGCTGTGATGTTGGCGAGATCGCCTTTGATGGTGCCCAGTAGCTACATGAATTGAACAATGTCAGCAATGCAGTTCGAAGGAGATGAACTGCTGGGAATATCGTACCTTGACGAGGTCAACAAAGTGAGGAAAGGAAGACTTGTGCTCCCCCGCAGTTGGGCTGCTGCAAGATTCCATGGCGGTCACTCCCAAAGCCATTGTGTGATGTAGGTGTACTTCTACAGTGCTACGCCAAGCAGACAAAAGAGGCAGTGGGACTTTTGTTCAGAGATGTAATTGTGAAGTGAGCGATAGATGAGAGATCCAGAGCAGAGCAGACAGGTTCTTTTTTGAATGGGAGTATCTGCTCCCCTGGCGCGCGCGCGTGCGGCCACGTCGTGTTTCAACAGACCTGTTGCTCTTGACGTTTCAGAATCGGGCATTCCCCGTCCAGCAGCGCAACACACAGTACACGCATGTGCCAACGTTGCCAACCCGCACTAACTGGCCACTATCTTGGAAGCTACCAAAGCACTGCCACCCCGTGTGTGCGCCTGCCCGGAGCATCAGACTATCCGCACCCGCAACCGCAACCGCAGCCCGCATCGCACCTGCACTGCACATGCATGCGGCACTTGCAGCGCCGGCTCGCGCGCCTGCTCTTATCGCCCACTCGCTTGCGTACATGTTATATACCTACCTAGGTAGGTAGGTAATTAATTACTTGGCGATGATGGCTGGAGTCCTGCATTCCCCTCATCACATGATGAGCAGTGACGGCGTCGCATTCCAGGCTGGTTCAATCATGAATGAATGAATACCAGGAATTCGTGCCCGGGCACAATGATGATGCTACTGTATCACTCTGGCACTACGTTGCACATTTTCCAACCGGCAGCTGATGAGCATCAAGGTCACCAAACAGACTGGGAGACGCCAATTCCTGTTCAGGCTCTCCTATGATATCCTTCGACGGGGTACACGCGGCGCGATAATCTACCCTAGTCCACATTTAAGCTTCAGGTTCGACCCGGCTGGGTCAGACCCGTTCTATCAATAGCGAACTGGTCTTAGTAAGAAGAGACAGCGAACACAAACACCGGTATGAAAGCACGGATGTTGTCCCTCGTCGTTCAATCTCGGTAGTGACGTATCTGATAGTGAGGCTGTATATCGTTGAGCGCATGACTCTTGAAGTCTCTCCGGACGGACGAACTAACGACCCGGATAGTCTGCCTGTCATCACCGGAGCGGGCTAAAGCATCATGCTCGTGGGGGCCTTGGGCTCTGACTGATCATTGTAGAAACTATTATATCTGACTGTGTCTGATATCAATGAGCCACATAAGGGCGTGATTCATGAAATGGATTATAAAACAAGCTGCCTTCAGCTGCCCATTATACGCACGTACGCCCAACTGTCTCGCTGGACTTCACTAGTAACTGTTTGGTCTACTCCTCATGTGCACACTCTGCCTGTTTCTTCTGCTGCTATTATATATTATATTTATGCTAAACGACAACACGAAAATCCGCTCTAGGTGATATCCTGTGATTTATGTGACAACTCATTACTCCAAACACCCAGCCCGCATCGCCAGAATACACTAAAAGTACACTCCAAGTCCCTGGGAGAGGAAAGGAACAACCCTCACCCCATCGTCGATACATCCCACACCAGCCGACCTCGCTCAAGCTATCCCCCTCGAGCTCTTCCACCTCTCGACAACGGCATCCCTCTCCACCTGCGACGCCTGGTCGCAGTCCTGAATCGCCTGCCGCAGCCGGATCAGCAGCAGCTCCGCCCGCAGCTTGGTGAGGTGCTGCTTGTGGTACGCCTTCTCGAACCCCTTGAGCGTGTAGCCCGGCAGGCCCGTCACCGCGGCCCCGATGTTGTACACGAGCGAGATGCCCGCGTTCAGGACGCCCTTGCCGAGCCCCTTGCCGCCCTCCTTCTTGAACCCGTTGTAGGGGTGCACCACGACGCCCGAGAAGGCGTCGTAGAACCCCAGCACGAACTCCGTGCCCGCGACCTGCAGGCCGCTCCCCAGCCCCGTGATCTCGCCCCGCCTCCGGGCCTCGACCCACGAGGACCGGTAGGGCGGGTAGTTGTGGAACCCGTTGGCGACGTTGTAGACCAGCGCCACGGGGGCCCGGAGGCCGGACTTGACGATGTCCGCCGCGAACCGGCCCGTCGCCCTGGCCAGGTAGAACGCCTTGCCGTAGCGGCCCTCCTCCCGCGCCTTCCACCCGGCCTTCCTGCGCTCGTGGAGCGTCGGCTGCCGCTTCAGCTTCCTCTCCAGGACCTCGCCGTTCTTGAGGGACTTGTTGGCGACCTTGAAGGCGATGGTCTCCATCTGCGTCTGCGTGAGCCGCAGCGCGTACGTGGGGGGGTCGGCCTCGGCTTCCGGCGGGAACACGTGCGATCTCGTGCGCGTCGCGTGAATGGGTGCGTCCGCATGGTCTGCATCTGTCGCTGTAGATACAGACTCCTGCTGGTTGCTCTGGTCGCTGGCACCTTTGCCAGGAGCGTTCTTCTCGGCGTCTGGTGCTGCCGTCGGTGCAGGAGGATGCCATGTTCGGGGCCTGTTCTTCAGCCGCGTGCGGTACTCCTTGCCGGCATCCGCAAGGCAAGTGAAGAGGAGAGATCCTGCCGCGATGACACCCACAATGGGGTGCTCGGCGCCCTCGTCTACATACCAGTGGGCATGCCGCAACGGCTTCAGGTCGCGCGCGCAAATGAGCTCCACGCGGACGAGGGCACTGGCCGCGAAACCGCTCAGATGAGCGCCCGTTTTCTTGTGCCTCCAGACTGCGAGTTTCTCGGGACAGAGGTCGCATCGCATCTGGTCGATGCAATGCCTGTTCTGGAAATCCTCCGCGGTGCTGCTGGCCCCGTCTTCGGAAGCGATGCCGTCAGCCATTTTTTGCACCGCGACCTTGACCTCTGGCTTGAGGGCGAACTCGATACTAGCGGCCAGGGTCTCGGCAGTCAGACGCTTGAAGGGAATCGGGACCGGGCCGGCCCCCGCCTGTGCGATCATCTTGCCCCAGAACGGCTGGTCGCCGAAGAATGGCACAACCACTGTAGGTCGCCCGGCCGCGATGCCTGCCGCGGTTGTGCCAGCGCCGCCGTGGTGAACCACAGCTGAGACATGCTGGAAGAGCCAGTCGTGAGGCACGTTGTCGATCAGGAACACATCCTTGGGTACTTCACCGCTGCCGATTCCACCCCACCCCTTGGAGACGATCGCCCGAACACCGGCAAGCTTGACAGCCTGGAAGATCATGGCTGTTAGGGCCTGCGGGTCGTCGACAACGATGGAACCAAATCCGATATATATCGGAGCCGGGCCTGGTACGTCCAGGAATTCTGCAAGGTCTGGACTCGGCGTGTATGAGTGGGCTAGGGGCAGGAAAGAGAAGCCGGTGATGTTGATATGTGGGCCCCAGTCGGCGGGCTTCGGGATGAGGCTCTGAGACCAGAGATAGCTGTATGGAACGTGAAGCCGATGCAGCAGCTGGTGACCCCACATCGGGCTTACGGGGTCAAGGCCTAATGTCTTGATGCGAAATTTGTTGATCAAGTCGCCCAGTCTGTTTTGGTCAGTTCGTCAGGGCTCTTCCAATATAGGTAGGGGTTGATGCGGACATACCCTTGCCATGTCAACAGTTCCATCAAAATGAAGGAGAAATAGTTGAGAGTTCCATTGCCACTGCCCCCATCATCTTTGATCGAGGCTAATGGATGCGGAAACTTGGTAGTTGGCGACCAAGGCATGCTACCAAGAGAGTCAGCTAAAGGAAACAAGATGTATCGTGATGAGATATTACTCACGTGAAGACCATGTGCAAAGGGATGCCAAGCTTCTCCGCGCAATGGATGTGAGCCATGGAGGGCGGATTCGCGATGATGGCATCCGCGAGGAACAGGTCCTTAACATTGGCGACATCGACAGCCTTGATCGGCTCTCCGAGGCCATTGCCAGCCTCGATGCAACTCCTCCAGGCGCGCGTCATGATGTCCCACATCTCCTTGCGTCTCTTGCCGACGTCGCCGGCCTTCATGCTCTCGCGAGACGGGAGAAGGCCGGGGTTGCGCACCATGTACGCCATCAGCTGGGAAGGATCGCCACCGATACTAAAGAACTCGAGTCCATGCTCCTCGACGAAATCCTTGAAGACGGGGTGCGTGCAGATGCGCACGCGGTGGTTGTAAGGCGGGCGCGAGAGCGTCTGCGCGATGGGGATGAACGGCTGCACGTCGCCTCTCGACCCGACGATGTGGATGACGATGTTGAGTGATGGGCTGTGGGCGGGCCTCTCGCCGGAAACAGCGGCGACGCTGAATTTGCGCTTCGGTGCCGGCTCTTCCTGCGGCTCTGCGACCTGGAAATTCTTGAACCATGAGACGACTGACTGCGCGTTCTGGTGGAGGCGGATCTTGATGCTGCCGTCTAAGCTGGTCCTCTCTGTCTTGCTCTGCTCGGCCTCGGCAGCATCGGGGAGGAAGACGATGCTGCCCAGGCGCTCTCGTTCTGCGCGACTGAAGGCCATGGCTGATGCCGACCGAGACGTGTGTGTTTACGCCAGATGGCAAACTGTGTTGCGCGCCGAATGAGACCAAAATCCGTACTGTTACAAAGGTGTTGGGAGGTTTGCAAGGCCAAGATGCAGCCCGTCCTTCGTATATGAAGCGGCACTTGCGGGCGTGCAGGGAATGGGGAGGTGAAAATACGTCAGTGAGTCGGGTGGAGACGGGCTGACTCGTAGGGCGTGGCTGACTCTTGCGGCGCCCCCGTGCCGGGGCTTGGTTGGCCAGGCGCGACCCGAACCCCGAGGATCCACCCAGTTGGGTCGGCCTTGCCGCCTTGGCTGGCAAAAGCATGTGCGACGGATCACCATCTCGCTTTCGATATTTCATTATCGTCGCTGACATTTCCTGACGGAGGATTGGGAAACGAACTCGCTGTATGCGCTGGAATTGCTTTTCGGCGCATAGGACAGCAGAGGGCGGATAGGACTCAATATCTGGCTTGTCTGCAACGGGACGAGACGGCGAGTCAGCGCGCACAGTTCACCCGAGTTGAACAGTCGAGCTAAGAACAGGACAAACCAGCACTATATTCAGAACGGAATAGGGCTTGCCATATGTAGCAGTTGAAGACATGGATCTGCATCATGGAGGCTTTCATTGAGGTTTCTTTTTATATTCTCGTTGTTCAAGGCGAGTCAACCACCGGATACATCAGAGCGAACCTGATGCTGATGGCAATCACTGTGACCATGTTGCTGCCTTGTTGTAGTGTCAACTGGGCTGAGGCTATAGATATCGCCATTATAAACCATCCGGCTCGACCGGTCTTGTTCTGGACGAGGCCCAGGAGTTAGTTTCAAGGAATGCAATATTCCCTAGAGTTTCCATTGCCATTAGGCGGGTTCGATATAGAGGGGGAAAGGTTTGCCAGCTACTTGGGATCATCCTCAATGTGCAGCCCCATTGTCGTTCATGGACTGTCCCGGAAGCTTGGGTCACTGAGCGGGTTGACCCGGCGGTCACGGAGTCCCGGCCAAGCCGACATGTCCGCAGGCCGAGGCCCGGGCTGCGCGCGGTTTGTACTAGGCCCAGGGTTACCTAAGCTGATGCGGATGCAAATTCTGTACCAAATTTGCCTCTATCAAGTCCGCCTTCCGCTCTTGTCCAGCTGACGAGCAGGCCGATGCTTTCGGGAGCATTCTGCAAACTTTGATGCGTCGGGTTGCTTGATCAATCAGTGGCAAAAGAAGGCCGCGGAGAGATTGAATACCGAGGCCCGACCAATGGCGGTCTCTTGCGCCCGAACGAGCCTAGCCGCCGCCTGGGGAGAATCCACGTGCCAGCTGCCAGGTGAGACCTGGCGGGAGTCCCGGCTTCTTTTATTCGAGGCGCAAACATCAAACAGATTGGGCCAATGCCAATGTTCTCCAAGTAGGCTACGGTGAGCCGGCAAATGCAGAATTGTAGGTATGTTGGATCGGCCCTCTTCTTCTTATCGCCCGACATTTCCCAACCACCCCGCATTGTCCTCGATCGCCGCTCTTGGCGATGCTTGATTGTTCGACTGGCTCCAGTCCGCGATAAGGCCTCCGATGACTCGGGCTAGCTTCCCTTCCCAAAGAGGCAATGCCCGCGGCATTTTCACCGCTGGCAAAGATAAGATCTCGCTGACAAGTCGATTGACAATGCCCATTAACACCTGCTTTATCATCATCTTTCCCGGTTCACGCAGTTCTCGGTGCTCGTTAACCGACAAGAAGCGGGCCATTCGGCGATGCCAAGATTTCTGGGCTTTGTGGCCTCACCCGACGGAGTCAAATATCGCATGGAGACTCGGCTTGGCGAACGCTTCGCTGTCGAACGGGCCATGATAAGTCCCAACAGAGTGGTAAACTCATAGATAGAGAAGCTTGGCAGATGCAACTTGACGCATGGCATCTTGTCAGCAGAATGATGCGCCCCGCGCCCGTGGGGTCTGTCTTGTGTGTGTATAAGACGACATCAAGTTCCCATCTTCGCCCAGGTCCGGCCCTGCACATCAGAAGCTAGACCTGCATTCCCTGTAGACGACGATCTTGAACCACCTCTTCCGCAATGTTTCCCAACATCTTCTCCAAGGCTGGTCTGACCACCGCCTTTTATACACTTGCCTTGGCATCGCGCTGCTCCGCGAACGATGGCCTTGAGTGGATCTCAAAAGATCCCACATTGCCCAAGGTCGTGTAAGTCCAACAAACATCGTCCTTCCTGTGTTCATTGGGCAACTGGTATTCATACGGCCATTGCAGAATCTACAGCGCGGGCGGTACCATCCTGTCTGCCTCCAACTACAGTCGACTGGACAACATCAAGTACGGCCGTGGCGTCGGCCCAACACCCCAGCAGCTCATCGGCAATGTGTCCGAAGTGCTCGATGTCGCACAGCTAGCCGTCGTGAAGTTTCCGGCCACGGGAGGATCTTCCGGTCTCAATTCGTCGCTCTACCTGAACATCAGCCAGTATGCAAACCGCCAGCTCTGCTCCGAGGGGTCTGACATTGCTGGAGCCATCATGTTCCACGGCACCAACACTCTGGAGGAGACCGTATGTGACCTGCTAGGACTTGGTTTCGCAGGACATGCTGACAACATCTACCCCCTAGGCCTTTGGCGTGGACCTGACCTTCAACTGCTCCAAGCCCTTCATCGCCACGGGCAGCATGCGGCCCGACACCTACGTCTCGCCCGACGGCCGCTCCAACTTCTACCAGGCTGTGGCGGCAGCAGCTTCTCCCGCCTCTCGTGACCGCGGTGGACTCATCGTCTTCAACGACCGCATCAGCTCCATCTTCTACTCGTCCAAGACCAACGCCAACACCCCCGACACCTTCAAGGCCCTGGAGCAGGGCAACCTCGGTGCCTTCCTGGGCGGCCAGCCCTTCTACTACTTCGACCCGGCCTATCCCACCGGCCGCCCGACCTTTGACGTCACCAACACCACCGTCTTGCCTGCTGTGCTGACCCTCTGGCTTCACCGTAAGTGGCAGTCTCATTGTTAACTCAACCTGGCGAGGGGATTTATAAGTGACATGCTGACGATGAATAGAGGGCTTCGATAGCACCCTGATGTACGCTGCTGTGGCGAATGGCGCAAAGTAAGGACCTCTTCAGAAGCCTGTCTTTGACTAGTGTGGCTACTGACTTCTTGCTCAGGGGCCTCGTCATCCTCGGCCCGGGCGCCGCGCAGCTTAGTCCCGCCGCCAACAAGGCAGCGGACGAGCTGTACAAGAAGGGCATCCCCACCATCGCCGTGCCTCGCCCCGTCACAGGCTCCGGCATGCCCGACCCGTACCCGGGCTCTGTGTACGTTCTCCTCCGCGTTGATGGCACCCAATAATGATCAATGCCCTGTCACTAACAGACGACAGCATCTTCTCAAGTTATGTCGGCGGCGACCAGGCCCGCATCATGTTGCAGCTCGCCATCAACGCCGGGTATAGCATGGACCAGATCCGCGACCTTTTCGAGGGCCCGCTGCGAAAGGCCATCTTTGGCACAAAGGTCAACCAGATGACGTATTTCGGTATGTCTTGATCGCCAAGTTAGGTATTTTGGATAGATGTAATGATATACTTTAGCACAGGAATGAGTGTTGAGAATGCAATGGGGCGTAAATCCTGTTGATTCTGCAGTAGGCAGCCTCGAATCTTGCTTGGAGACGTCCAGTCTCGCCCAATCCTGCCAAGGCTTACATCTAGATGGAACCCCCCAACTTCGCTCTTGTAGCAGCGCCAATAAGTGAATCAATCAATGGAAGTACAGTTGTGGCAATGCCGAGCCTTGGTTCAGTGGAACGAGCTTAGATCCATCTGTCGTGTTCAAACACCAATTTCCTCGCTACTCTGACGGAACTCGCCATTGTCTCTCTTCTCCCCTGATACCTTCCGAATGTTCTGAGTCGCGATACCTACCGCAATAAACATGATCGTCGGGATGAGTTCTGGTAAGAAGCCGAGAAGAACTCGAATCGTGATCGACCCGGTGACGGGGTTGAGGTAGCTCTTGCGAGTGCACAGGGCTACCAGGCTGTAGAGAACTCGAATCCCGATGAAAGGCAGGGCGAACAGAACGCAAAATACCATCTAAGAATCGAAGAGAGCGATCAGAACGACGAGTCAACTCTGAAATAGGGAGAGGGCAGGAAGTACCTTCGTTCCAAGACGTTGAGTCTCGCTTGGAGGAACGTCATTCCTCATCAAGATAGACAAGGTGGTCCATACGCAGAGGATCACCCATGAGACAGTCAATATGGCGATTCCCGCCTCGACCAGTTGTATGTCGCTTGATTTAGGGGTAGCGCTCTGAAGGGCCGAGGATCCGACGCCGAGTAAGGCTATCCCTCCTACAACGATGATGTGAAAGAAAAGGACCAGGATCCACTCGAGTTGAGCCTTGGTATGAGCTATCCTATACGTTCTCCTACGACATTTTAGACCTTAATCTCGACTCAGGATCTTGTCAAGACGAACCCTTCATGTAGAACCCCAGATACGGCCAGTAGAAGAGGCGACAGCCCAATGTTGGAGATGATATTGCCAGATGTTGATCCCGGATTCATCGACAAGGCGCCACCAACGATTCGAAGTGTGCAGAAGGCAAACAGATAGATCCAGCCGGGCAAGCCAGGCAGGCCATGTCGGACGAGTACGAACAAGACTGGCAGAGCGAGAACTGCGTAGATGGCCAGCTCGGCCGTCGCGAGAGGGTTCGTCATGCTTGAGCACGGTAGGGGGGTGGTGATTCGTGATATTCCGGCTTGTGTCTCGGGACCTGAGGAGGTTGTTCTAGGGCACTATCGTATCCTTGGAATCTTGGTTCGTCGGGGTAGTCGTCCTTCTGCCGCCGCTTGGCCTTGGACTTGTCTTTAGACTTGAGGATAATGGCCGTCAGTGAGGCAACGACAAGGAGGAGAATCCGCATGGTAGGACTGTACTGCTAGCTAGAACGGCTTCAATATCTCTCGTTGTGAGGAAGAATCTTGTGGTAATCGATGGACAACTACTGCTAACTGAGAAGTAAAGAAGCACGACTTGAGCAGATGGCAGAGAAGCCAAGACTCGGGCTTTACACGTGTTCGAGGACCGAAGGCGGCCTCTGGATACGCGTGGCTGGTCCATTTTTTATTGAACATGTACTAAACCATGACACGCCGTGCCAGACATCTCGGGGTTGGCCATATGCCTGCATGGATCTCCGGTACTTCGGATCCGGTAGTGGAATGCACCGAAATCAGAGTTCCCTCAGAACATTGAAGAGCTATCCACTTGCAGGGCTGCCACTAACCATCATTAGCCACGCTGAGCGACGCTAATGAACGAGACCGAGGATCCCTGTTCGATGCTGACATATGACCCACATTCCGATGATCAACGGCGACACTACCTCGAGACTACCACCCAACTGCGCGACACTCACAAAGCTTCATTTTCCTTGCAGGGTCCTCTTTCCCCTCTTCTCTCCTGAAACAGTAACTTTCAACGAGCTCATTGCCGGGGTTCCAACCCATCGGCGGCTAGGAGTGCCACCCGAGTCCCCTGTTTCGCCTCGTCGTCATGGATGGCGCAGTCGGAGCCAATAGACACGTACGGCCACCTCGTCTTTACCATAAGAAGTCTCGCAACGGGTGTGCTCGATGCCGAGCTCGGCGTGTTAAGGTAGACCCCTTTTATTGCTATAGGCAGCATATCGTACCCCTTTTGGAACTTCGCTAACAATGGACCCTCGGATCAGTGCGATGAGAGCCATCCAGTCTGTGTACGTACCTGGGGACCTCTGCTGTTATGCGGCAGAGACAACTGACATCACCTTATATAGAACAATTGTGATCGGCATAACGTACCTTGCATTTACGATAGAGGGCGCCCCCCCGTAGCCGCTACTCCCAGTCTTGAAGAGCCACTCTCTCCAGGCTTCGATGTCCACGTAGCCGCTCGGTCGACGTCGTGGTCAACATCGCATACTGGCTCACCGGCCTCGCCACGACTCTCTACCGAGCACCACCTACGTCCTTTCTCTTGGGAATTCAAGCTGTTTCACCATTTCACAGTTGCTACAAGCCATACACTGCCTGGAAGCCACATACCAAGCGTCAAAGACTGCTGGTCGGTGCAGGTCCCTCCATTAGCGGTCGATTATGAGCCGCTGATGTACGGCCTTCTTGCATTGTCCGCACTCCATATGATATCAACGGGATGCGAGGACCCAGAGCTTATACGCTGTCGTGATCATTATCTAGACGCTACGCTCCGAGCGCACCGTCAGGGACTGACTGGACTGCGAAAAGAGACCGCTGATGCGGCCTGTTTCGCGTCCATCATCCTGATGGTGGACACATTTGCTGCCTTGCATGGTCGGCCCCTCGATCCATATGAGCCTCCAGTCTCTGACCTGCGAATCGCTCGAGGCGTCCGCGTTGTGTTCCAAGCAGCATGGGAACACATCAAGGACGACCCCGACGCCAGCGCCATGATCATCGTCAGAACTTTTACTTCGTCGTCAGGAGTTTCCGAATCAATCAGCCAGGCTGACATCGGTCCTTTCTCCAAGATTCTGGAGGATCAAACTCAACTTGAAGGAGACACTCCTCAGGATATCGAATCGGATTTGCTACATGTATACCCTAAGGCTCTTCGACACATTCGATCTATCCAGAATGCCGTCCGCTCGCGCGAACATCCAATGGTGCTGTGCCGAATCATCATGTCCTTTGCGGGCCTAGTTCCGGAGAGGCTCCTGGACTGTGTCGAAGAAAGAAGGCCCCGTGCTCTGATTATATTGGCTCACTACTTCTCGCTTGCTTCGAATGCACGCGAGGTCTGGTGGATCGGCGAGTCTCCAGGACGAGAGGCGGCTGCAGTTCGCGAGGTCATACCAAGTAAATTCTTGCACTTGTTAGGTGAGATGGAATAGACTGTTGTTATAATGCACACAGATCTATTTCCAGTATCAATCCAAGACATAATTTGACGTTGACAGGACATTATTTTCATTTGTATTTTTTGATACGATCCTTTTGTTGATTCTAGTTCCCCGCCTCCTCACATTACAGATAATGCCTACAGGGGCAAGTCAATGCTGCGATGCCTTTTTCTACGACAGGGCTCATCAGATTGCCTCTTTGAGTTTGTACTTGAGGTACACACGGGGTTCGGGCCGGCGAGCTGAGAAGGCGTTCAGGTCGATTGGAGTCGGAGTGGTGATTGGGTTGCCATTGGCGTCACACGCTATGTAGTCGAACACGGTGGTAAAGAAGGCAACGATGAGATACTGCTCGAGCTTGGCAAAGCGCATACCCACTGGAGACAGGTTAGTATCGAAGAGCATGCGGGAAAGAGATCGAGAGCTTACAGCATGGGTGTCGCCCAACTCCCCAGCCAAGGTACGCGTATTGCTTCTTCTTGTCCTCGGCTCTGTCCTCAGAGTAACGACCAGGATCCCATTTGGTAGGGTTGGGGTAGATATTGGGGTCTTGATGAGTGTCGTTGAAGGGATAAGCTACATAAGCATCTTTGGGAACAACTTCGTCACCGACTTGGATATCGTGGCCGCTGATGTTGCGACGGAAGGTGGCCCCAGTTGCCGTAAGCCGAATGCATTCTCTCAGACACACCTCGATGGTCGGGAAGTCGGACTCCCAGGCCTCAAGCGGCACCGACGCCAGCTTCTCGACCATAGTGGCGTTGGGGTCTGTGGTAGTGGCACTCGTTCGGATGGCCTCTTGGACCTCAGACCGAACCTTGGTCATCCATTCCGGGTGCAGAGAGAGGAACACAAGAATCCAAGAGGCGTTCACGCCTGAGTTTATGGTACCAGCCAAAAGTCCGGAGACGACAAACTAGATTGTATTTTAGTGGTCCTGATCTCATTTTCGGAAGACAGTTCACTTACGCCAACAATGTTTCCCATGTCATCACCCTGGTCCATCATAATCTGCATCGCATCCGCGCCTCGCTTACCAGTCCGCAACCTCTCATCGCCGATCTTCTTCACGATTTCGAAGAGCCGCATACCAGCAACGGTCCTCTTAAACATGCCCCATGTCGGGATCCACGGATACATCACCGCCGTCGGCGACGTCAGACTATCCACCAAATGATACCAGTGCATCATCTTCCCCATCAGCTCCAGATCATCAGCAATGTCTCCGCACCCGACGGACCGGATGGTAAGCTGGAACGCAATCTTGAAGATGTTGTCAAACGGATCCACCACCGCCTCGTCTTTGAAGCCCTGGTTGGGGATGGCAACCGCCAGGTCCTTCAACCGCGCCCGCACATCGCCGATGAGCTTGGGCAGGTTCCGCTGCATAGCGTCCGTCCTCAGGACGCGCACCATGCGGCTGTTGAAGAACTTGGAAAAGTCCATCTTCTCCTGGGCCTCCTGCCGCGCCTTCTCGTCCCCGCCGGCCGCCGCCAGCTCCTGCTCGAGCTTCTTGGCCGCTTTCCTGGCGCCCGCGGAGGGGCCAAACAGCACCGAGAACCCCTCGGCGAGGCCGCCATAGCCCTCCGCGAAGCCAAAGTGGCGGTTGTCGAAAAAGACCTGCCGCGAGGCCTCCGACGTCAGGCCGACCACCGGCTTGCGGCCGACGAAGAAGCTAAAGTTGCCGGTCGGGGAGGTGCGCGCTGCATCGCGGAAGAATTCCCACCGTCGCGTGAAGAACTTGACGGCTCCGAAGACCGGGTAGACCCCATGAGTCAGCGGCGGTGCTTTGGGGTGCAGCGCCGGCCGTGAGAAGAGCTTGACGTAGGCTGTGAAACTGAGAAAGACAATAAGAAGAGGGAGCACGAGATATGGGTGCGGGATGGCCGCGAAGCTGAGTGAGGCCATCGTGGACGCGTTCAATTGAACGAACTCACTGTCTTTCCAATTGCGTGTCCAATACACCTTTTCCTAGACATATAGATATTTGAACTTTGTATGGCTAAAGGCTATTTGGAGCTCTCTCTACAGAGGCTAGGAGGTGCTTGGTGTCCGATGGTAACAACCAGTTACATGTTCAATTGGACCCTCACTCTGTTTCTCTATCTCTGTGATCGACAGATGGAGCATAAGCACGCAGCAGGAGTAAGCTTACAATTACGACAAGACTGGCGACGCAGAGGAACGTTGCATTGTTGACAAGAACTAGCGCGTGTCGTAAGTGGTAACTGGAGATCGAGTTCTGCGGCGAGAATACGTAAAGCCCGACCTTCCTAGATAGGTACAGGGCTATGCGGGCCAGGACCAGCTTGGCCAGAAACCTCGTACACAACCTTGATCTCATCTGGAAGGATTCGCCCTTCCCGCTGCTTGCTGACAGAGATCGTCCAAAACGGCTGACAAGCGCCGGGATGGAGCCCACTCGTAGGGATTAGTACGCGGCGTGTACAACCTTAATCTCTACTGCCCTTGCAATGAGGGTGACAATCCACTGTTGGAAGTGAGATTGCATACTGCGCGATGCAGGTCTCGTCTTGCTGCTGCAGTGACTAGTGCGAAGTGCGCGTGTGTGTTTCGAGACAGGAAGTCGCTGCGTATTCCGATGCCACCAATCGCGTGAATTATCGCTATCGTGAAGTAGGATAGGCTTAAGCCTTTACAGTTATCGGCTCCAAAATACCAGCAGTATACACAGTCTTGTGTCTTGGCAGCCGAACAGGCTCAACTGGTGCCGCTGGCTGCCAACAGACACTACCATGTCGTAGATAATCAGCAAAAGTGTTCTCAATAATATCATCATCCTTGTGTTCCTCTTCATCCCAGATCGAAGCCAGATTCTCCAGACCACAGGGAGGACCGTGGCTCAGCTTCATCATGACGCTGTTACGCAACACGTCATCTACGAAGCCTTTTGCTTCGGCGTATTTGTCTGCAGTGGTACCGGCTCCGCAGACCTTCGTTGTCAGCATGTTGTATTGCTTTCGTCCGTCCCATCCCGTGATTCGTTGCGCGTAGTACAGATGGTCCTCGGCTCTGAGGAGAAGAATCTTGTTGGCGAAATAGTCTGCACCATCGAAGCCGTCGTTGGGGTCTTGTAGGTGATGAAGACGCTCAAACGCCACAAAGTGCGCAAGATAATCACCGAGCGCGTTGTCTGGGATGAGAAGAGGCGGACAGTTGAGCTTATCAATCTGCACTTCAAACGGCGGTAGATGAGCCAAGAGAGGGTCCTTGTGAAACCCCTCTGCAGATGTCTTGCCTTCCCAGAGCTTGCAGTACACGTCATGCCATGCCTTCACCATCCGGTTCTTCCGCTTGGTCGCAATAAAACCGTTCAGCATGGTCCCTGCCTCGGCACGGAGCGGCATAAGGATACCGGCCATCTCGTAAGGGTTGGACGGATCTTCAATGGCACGCCAGCAGATGTCGTCTAAGTGCCGGAGCAGCAGCATCCCTGTATCCATCCACACTCCCCCGTGGATATACAACAGGGGCAATCTCAGCAGATCTGAGACGTGCTGGGGCGGGGCGACCATTGTTCTGGTATTCAAGGCATGGGGAAAGTAGGACTCTGGAACGAATCTGGAAAGATGATTTTCGGAACCGGCAACATCATCAAGCACGCGGACGGTCCACTGCGGACCGAGCCGTCGGGCCCAGTTGATGACATTCCGTTGGCACCAGGGACGCAGGCCATCCCAACCGGAGTGCCAGAAGGCCCAGACATTTTTGTCGCTTGTGACGGGTTGATTAACCGTCAGGGCGGAGATTATTTCAGCGTCGGATCGCGTATCCGGGTCAGCGATCACTGTGAGACCTTCAGGCGGTGAGTATGGTGCAGTCATGATAGCCGAGTCGATATGATAGGCACAACGAGTTTCAAAGTCTGTCCTCTGACTTGATGCCGATGAGGGTTGGTGTACAGGCGATGAGCAAGCCACATAGGACGACTATCCGACAGAAGTCAGGGGCGAGTTGTCATATTATCAAGTCACAATTTCTAAGACATAGTTAATGTTACCTGCTCACAAAATATCGACGCCAGATTCGTACGAGAAGGATCATAGTAGCTCCTCTTGGATCTTATTGACACCAGCACACCGAAAATTCGTCTCCAGTGGAGACTTGGATCTCCCCCTGGGCGGGTCATGGTGTAAGCCCAAGCCTCTTGGAACCCTATTACAGTCAAGGTAAAGTTGCTGACTCCTTCAGGAAGGTGATACGTCTGGACCCGAAGATTCATGAAGAAGCATGCAGCGTTTAGGAGACATTCGACTTTCGCTGCTACCAACATACTCCTCATATCATCAACTGCACATTGCTCAAATCTTGTGGCTAAGTCGTGACGGGTGTAACAATGGCAAGCTTCTTTCTATACTGAATGTCGTTTGATAAAGTTCGTCTGTCACTCGGTTGGAATGTTTCGTGTAGACCTTCCCATGCACTGCTGCTACCTTGCAACCCCAACTTGCCTTCCGAAATGTTGTCCGTTGACAGGGTGGTTGATCCTTTTGTGGATCGACATGTCGCCTGGAGGTAAAAGTACGATGCCCCGCGTTTCCGAATCGCGGTGATGCAAGGGCAATGATTGGCTCCAGCTTGCTTGCGGTAGCATTTGTGAGGTGTAAGCACAGGTGCGGCGAAGCTGGCGGTTAAGGGTACATACGAGCCAACCTTCAGAGGAGACGTGTCTCGTTTCTTGCTATCACACCAAGGGCAGAAGCCGCGCGTTGAATAGTTTGTGCCCCATCCATTGACCAATCGAAAACCGCCTCTCGTCATGATCAAGGGCTTGATGTCAGAGTCAGACTCTGTGTCCTTATGGTGGGTGCGTCACCACTCAAGAAAGCCAACATCCAGATGTGATCCGAGCATGCCCACCTCGGCTTCTGTTCCGGAGAGTATCGTCATAGGCCCGAGATACTATCTCACGTCAGTCTTATCACACACCGGAGCCGGCACGGCCCACATAAACTTACGGCGCGGTCCCCGCATTGCAACGTTTCCGCATTCGCTGTAGGGAATGAGAATGTACTTAGGTGACATAGTGTATCAGCAGCCTGGCATTGGACATTGATACAACTCAGGTCCACTTCTCTGATGCATATGTCTAAGCCAATGCTCGTTTACAATCACAGTGGCAAGAAGAACCCTATCACCTCCTGATGAGGATAATGCCGATGCGGACATCTTAGTAGTAGGTAGTGGCGGTACGGTCCAGGATACTCTCCAGGGTAAAGGAGGAGGAGACTTGGAGGTCTCGGAGATTTCGATGCGTATATCAGTATTCCTGCCCAGATAGATAACTAGATATCTGCCTCTTAATAGAGACCTATGAGAAAAGCCAACTGTTTTACTTGATTGCATAGTGCTCCTTTCTCAGCACAGCCATCCTTCACAATGGCACCTCACAAGTTGGAAGATTCGCCCGAGCCGGTGCCCGACCTGGTCCCGGTCTCCCACAAAGCCACTAAGATCTCCATTGATGACTCTCCGGCCGACTTGGTCCAAAACCTCTCACAGCTTCTGGCCCGGGCTGCTGCAACAGATGCCGGCCTAGTATACTACACGCCCGGGACGGTACCCCATATACCGCTCCGCCTTTCCTATGCTCAGCTTCTAGAAGAGGCTAAGAAGAAGTCGCGACTCCTCCACAGCATCAACGGAATCTCCCAGCAGTCTATTATCCTTCTCCATTTCGATAGCCAGTATGAAAATATCGTCTGGTTCTGGGCATGTACGCTCGGAGGCTTTCTTCCGGCGATCTCAACCCCTTTCGTCGCAGACCCTGTACAACGGAAGAAACACTTGCTACATCTCCAGACTCTGCTGAACCAACCCGTCGTTCTGACTACAACAAATTTGATCCCGGAGTTCCTTGGAGTGGAGGAACTATCACTGCATGCCGTTGAGTCTCTGGCCGTGGTCAATGGCCATGATGTCGCAGAGAGTTCCGCAGTGGTCAAGAGCAAGGACGAAACTGCTGTGCTTATGCTCACCTCTGGGTCGACTGGGAATGCTAAAGCAGTGCCTCTTCGACATGGCCAGCTGCTTGCCGCCGTCCAAGGCAAAAGTGAGCATCACGGAACCAAGAATGGAGATGTCTTCCTGAACTGGATTGGATTGGATCATGTTGCGAGCTTGACCGAGATTCATTTGCATGCGATGAGCCTGAGCAGTGACCAGGTTCACGTACCAGCCTCGGAGATGCTTCAGGACCCTCTGAACTTCGTGCGGCTGCTAGATGCCCACAAGGTCGTCTACACCTTTGCACCCAACTTCTTCCTTACCAAGGTCTTAGATGGTCTCATTTCTGCGGGTCCCTCCTTCAACGCGGACCTATCGCACCTTCGCGCCTTCATTTCGGGTGGCGAATCAAACGTCGTTGCAACCTGTGATGCCTTGACTAAAGAATTTGGTCGCTTTGGGCTGCAAGACGAAGCCATTCGACCCGGATTTGGCATGACAGAGACATGTGCGGGCTCTATCTATTCCAAGGCCTGCCCCTCGAGCGATCTCGCAAGGAGCCTAGAGTTTGCCAACCTCGGGACTTGTATTCCCGGCTTGGAAATGCGCATCATGAAGCTCGACGAGACCGGGCCTGCCAAATCAGGCGAGGCTGGACACTTGCAAGTTTTCGGGCCCGTACTGTTCGATCACTACTTCAACAATCCTGAGGCCACACAGGCAGCTTTCACTGAGGATGGCTGGTTTGCGACTGGAGATTTGGCATATATCGACGACCGGGGAAGTCTCAACCTCACAGGCCGCAGCAAGGACACGATTATTGTTAATGGCGTGAAGTGGAGCTCGACTGAGATTGAGACCGCCATCGAAGAGGAGGGAATCTCCGGCGTCGTCCCGTCCTTCACTGTTGCTTTTCCCCACAGAGCACCCAACTCTGCCACAGAAGACATATGTGTTGTCTACTCACCCAACTATCCTGCTGAGGACGATGCTTTGCGTTTCGAGACTGCAACTGCCATCTCCAAGACTGTGTCGCACATTTGCGGCAAGAAGCCTGATTATCTCATCCCCTTGCCTATACAGCTGCTGGAGAAGTCCTCTCTGGGCAAGATTTCACGGACCAAGGTCCGTGCTGCATTTGAGAAGGGAGAGTATGATGCCCTTCAAGCTGAGGACGCTGCCGCACTCGAACGCCACCGTGCAAGTATATGGCAAGAAGCACAGACCGAAACTGAGAAGGCGGTGCAGGATGTTCTGGCCGGGTTACTCAATATCACGGGAGAGCAGATAAGCATGAAGGCGTCTATCTTTGAGCTCGGGGTAGATTCATTCAACCTAATCACTCTGAAGTCGCTGCTGCAAAAGACGCTCAACGCCCCCGTCGACATTCCAATATCAATTCTCCTTACTGAGTAGGCTCAATCCCATCGATGTTTGATCACGATACGATATGATGCTAATTGGATTCAGGCCAACTGTTGCTGCTATTTCTGCCGCCATTGACTCGCTGCTATCAAAGCCCATCGTTTACGACCCTATCGTGCCTCTACAGCGTCAGGGCTCGAAGACGCCGCTCTTCTGCATTCATCCAGGATCAGGCGACATCCTCGTCTTCATTGCCCTTGCCGCCCACTTCTCCACGAGACCGGTCTATGCCATCCGCACTCGCGGCTATAACCCGAACGAGCGCCTCTTCACCTCCATCAAGGAGACAGCCGACACGTATGCTGAGCACATCAGGAAGACGCAGCCCGAAGGCCCGTACGCCATCGCCGGCTACTCCCTGGGCTCGACCCTCGCGTACGAGGTTGGCAAGGTGCTCGAGGCGCAGGGCCAAGAGGTCAAGTTCCTCGCCAGCATTGACTACCCGCCGCACATCAGGCGCTACATCAAGGGCCTGGACTGGGTTGATGTCCTGCTGCATATTGCCTTCTTTCTAGAGCTTATCGATGAGCCGACCATGGTCGATATCACTCCCAAGCTCCACGCCATGGGCACCCGGGCTGAAGCTCTCGCCTACATTTTGGAGATCGGCGACAAGGAGCGCGCCGTGGCGCTCGCCATCGATGACGCGAAGCTCGAGCTTATCAGCGACATTGCCGAGAACTTTAGGGTTAATGTGGAAGAGTACGAGCCCATTGGCAAGGTCGAGAACCTCGATGTCTTCGTGGCAGACCCTCCGACGTATGCGGCTGATGGGCGCAAGGACTGGCGAGAGAACAAGCTGGGCAAATGGACAGACTTCAGTCGCACCGAGACTGTATTCTGGGACTGCCCGGGTATCCATGCCAAGATGCTAAACACGCAGCATATGGCGGACTTTGCGAGGATCTTCAAGAGAGCGATGAAGAGGCGAGGGGTCTAGTGCAGGCATAGAACACAAAGAGGAGGTCCACAAGAAGAACATGAACAAACTGCCTTGACGAATTTCATGTAGAGAGTTGAATTTGATACATAGACAGAGTTGAAATTTTAGTAGCTGAGCATTCAAGAAATCTCATTCTGGTTTATAAAGTCAAGCAAGATTGACTGAAGAGTCGCGTGTTTGACACATGGTGTCTACTTAGATTTAGCTTTTCTCTCCCCATTTGTCTTCTTCTGACGCCACTTGTACTGTCATCGCAGAAGTCCGTTATACACACCCTGAGGAACATATCCTTATCAACTCGATAATTCCCATTGAGGGAAGAGTTTACAAATGAGTACAAGCGTAGGACATATTATAGAGACCTACGAGGACTTCAGCATTTGAAATGAACAAACTTGGCCTATTCAATGTGCGTATCCTTAGAAGTCAGCAGTAACGTTACATCACCCACGTGCTGATTAGTTCTTGGTATATGACCTAATGCAAACACTTCAACAGGTACGCATTTACTGCAGCGCTCTAATCCACATATGCGAATGGGAGCAACACGATTGAAGTCACGAAACAAGCTCAGTGGTGATGGGCACGAGCAGTAACACCACGGTTTTTCACCAATTCTCTACCAAAATCAGTATTGAACATGGAACACCCTACCCCCGCAGATGAGTGTCATCAAGAAGATGCGAAACCATTGCTATTCTTTACCGCCATGCCTGGTGAAGGGCATACGTATCCTCTGATTACCATAGCATCTTCCATGATCAAGCGGGGATATTCCGTCTACTTTCACGCGGGAGCACAGTTTGAAGCGGACATACTCTCTATGGGCGCAGACTTCAGCGTGGTTCCCTCCATGCTCGACCCAGTTCCTGACCCAGAAGCCGCCATGGCAGCCGGGCGAGCCATCACAGATTTACGAGTGCCGCTCTTCGTTCATGGTCTGACAAACTTTCTCTACAACACGTTACCTGTTCGAACCCAGCTTCTCGAAGATACGCTGGTCAAGGTCAAGGAGCGAAATCCATCTCGCCAAATAATCATCATTCATGAGCTCTGCAGCATGAACGTTCTCCCTTTTGCATTTGGCCGACCTGTCCCGAGAGGCTTCTCCTCTTTCCCCAAGACTATCGGTATTGGGGCTGTCAACATTTCCTACCCCAGTTTTGATACGGCACCCTTTTCCATGGGTCTACCGTTCGACACCTCAGAGGCCTGTCGACTTCGCAACAAAGAGCTTCACAAACTCGCCGACCAAGGCCCCTGGCGGCCACTCTTCGACGCGGCAGAGCGTGCTTTACGCGCTGCCGGCTGCACAACAACACCCGAGGGCCATCCTTTCCGCTCGTGGTATACCGCACCCGATGTGTGCTTTCAGATGTGCAGCGCAAGTATGGAGTACCCACTGTCCGACATGCCTTCAAATCTGCGATTCGCAGGCTGTCTCCCACCCAAGGTGTCAGGAGCCGACTTTGAAGCGCCGGGCTGGTGGGGTGACGTTCTAGACAGTGCAGGAAGGGAAGATCGACATGTCGTCTTCGTTTCTCAAGGCACAGCTGAAGTCGACTATGGCCAGCTGATTGTGCCGACGATGGAGGCGTTCAGGGGCCGAGACGATATGTTGATTATCGTTACCCTCGGGATAAGAGGGGCTACACTGGGAGAGGGTGTCGATGTGCCTGATAATGTGCGCTGCGCGGACTTTCTGGCCTACGATCGAATATTACCGCATGCCGACGTCTTTGTGTGCAACGCAGGCTACGGGTCGACAAGCCACGCGGTGACTAACGGAGTACCCGCAGTGCTAGCAGGGGAGGTGCTCGACAAGAAGGAGGTGACAATGAGGGCAGTCTACGCGGGCTACGCATGGGACTTGAAGTCGGTGGCACCCGGCGCTGAACAAATAAGGGCCGGTGTGGAGGCAGTGTTGAATGACAAGAAGTACAAGGAGAGGGCAATGGAGCTTAAGGCAGAGAATGAGGAGATGGACTGCATGCAGACAATAGAGAGACAGATTATAGAATTCACAATCACTCAATGAATAGAGTGGGAGAAGAAGTCTAACATAAACTGGATGAAGGATGAAGCTCAGTTGTAGCCTACTAAATAACTTGATGGAAAAAGTGGTTCAGAAGTACATGCGATTCAACACTCGGGTCCGCTTGTTTGGCCCACTTGGGATTGGAATTGCACTATCGGCATTCAACAAGGTTTCGTGGTGTAGTTGGTTATCACATCAGTCTAACACACTGAAGGTCTCCAGTTCGAGCCTGGACGAAATCATTTTTTGCCATCTGCCTTGGCTTGTACCCCCTTGATATTTCCTTCGTTTCAACTTCTATGTTTTGAAACTCCTTTTTATTTGGATTCTACATCTTTGTAGAAAAACATTCATTCCTCTTCTCTTTTGATTTAGTTTGATGTCTGCACCAACAATGAGAGTCGCTGGAGCATGGGCCCTGCTCATGTCTCAGGTCATCAGACCCACCGTTTCCCCACTACCCTCCGCTACAAAAGGGAGTGTGCTAATCTGGTGGAGCAGTCAGTGTTGATCGAAGAAATGCAACCTCGCCATCCTTCAAAATACATCACCATGGAGGTCTTGACGCCCTCGGATTACCAGTTCGGTCGCAGAAAGCGTCCAAAACGGAGTCTTAGACCGTGTGATGCGTGCCGAAAGAGGAAAACTCGGTGCATCGCCGGCAAGGAGAGAGACGGCAAGTGTGTCCACTGCGAGCTGCGCGGCTCAGCTTGCACCTTTCAGCAGAAGCCGCCAGACCGTCTGCCGCAGTCTGACACGACACCTACTCGAACTGGCCAGTCGGCGCCTTTGGTACAGCTGGCAGAGCGTGCCTCAGTTCAAGGAGACATGTCCCCTGAACAGCCACGGCGAACCACCGGGGACAGCCAGGGTCCCGCCCGTACCGGGAGTGATGTCCAGCCGGAGCATGAAAGCCCGGCGTCTGCTGTGTCGGATTTCACACCCGACGCCTCGACGTTGGGGCTAGCACACTCTCGCTTTGCAGAGCTGTACGGACTTGGAAGCGATATGGAACCTATACTAATGGTAGGCGATGTGCCTTCTGCGTCACTGGGAGCGCAGTGTAGCTGACTGCTTAGCGTCACCGACCTTATGACCCCTTTACTCAAGAATTCGGCCTCGAGACTCACGCCATTCGGCGTGTGCTGGAGCGGGATGCTGGCCTTGTGGACTATCCTCTGACCTTCCACATGGTGTCAGACCAGAAGGCTCTTGAGTACGACGCTGTTCATCACCAAGTTGACGCCATCGAGTCGTGTGTGCGCCCCAATGGCCCAAGTCTAGTGGAGCTGTTTTGGAGACACGTCCAGCCGTGCTATCCCTTACTACACAAGGAGTTCTTCATGCTGAACTACAACCGATCATATCGCCATATTGAGCCGGCAGTGCTGGGTGCCGTTTATCTGTCTGCACTACGCTGGTGGTCATATGATCCTGAGCTTTCCATCCGGAGCATGCCTGACTCCATTCTGCTCAGGAAGCTCTTGCATGAGTCCATCTCGTCCTCGTATCACCGGCCGAAGCTGTCGTCTATTCAGGCCATCCTCATACTTCTGCAGTGTCAACCAGAAGACCCTCTGAACCCTGATCACACATACGCCTGGGGGTTGACCTGCCAGGCCCTAGCGATCGGCCAATGCCTAGGCCTGCATCTTGATGCCACAAACTGGTCCATCCCGTCGTGGGAGCGAAACATTAGAAAGAGGTTGAGCTGGGCACTCTACATGCAGGACAGGTGGACAGCTCTGGCCTATGGTCGCCCCGTGCACATCCACCACGATGACTGGAGTGTCCAAGAGCTGTCCCACTCAGACTTTGTGGACTGCGACAACTCGGTGGCTGATGAAGAACGACGGTCCATCAGTGCTACGGGCAAGGTCCAGTTCATGATGATGGTACAGCTAACACAGATCCTATCCGCTGTGCTTTCCTCTTTTTATACCGCAAGGACTGCCTTTGACCAAGACGCTGTCTTGCTTTATCAGCGCGCACAGCCGCTGTTGGACCGCCTGCAGGAATGGTATCAGAGCATACCTTCTTCCCTGCAGATGAACATCACCTACCAGAGGAAGTTGTCATTTCATGGTATGTCCATCTTTCCGTTATCACACAGAGAAAAGTGAAAATGATATTGGTCTAGGCTATCTCCATTTCTCGTACTATGGAGTAGTGATCGCTATCCTGCGTCGGCTCATTAGATCTACAGCGTTGCCACCACGCTGTAACGACGACCAGCTGCTCGCCAGTATTCGACAGCTTGCCCTCCAGACCGCACAGAATGCGATCAGCTTTGCTTTAAGTCTACGGCCAGATCAGCTGGAGGCATTTTGGTATTTCAGTATGGACCATCCTACTGCTCAGTTTTCGGCATGTTTTGGCTTATACCGCAACAGCTTCTCCCTATCTCTTCGCACTCGTCGGATCTTTTACGACTCTGCTGCTGGTCAGCTCCCTCTCTTCCCAGGAGCGGAGCTTCTGGCAGGAGACACTCAACTCCTACCTGTGGAACCTGCGAATGATGAGCAAGAGCAGCGAGCCAATGCGGTACGCGGTCAACCGGCTCGAGGGCGCCATCCTACGAGGCCTCGAGCATGCGCTCGCCGTGAACCTGAACGAGCCTCTAGACGATACAGTCAGTCCCATGATGGCCAACTACGTTACCGAAGCCTTCGAGTACACAGACTTTGGGGACTGGGACCTTGCCCACGGCGTTACCGGCGCATTCGATTTACTAAGCGCAGCACAGCTGGAGCCGAATGCTTTACTGATGGGACACACGATGGGAGGTGGCTAGAGTACGGTAATCTAACATTGTATAAGCTGTGTATAATCGGAGTCTATCTCAAGAGTCTGTTCTCCACAGAATGCCACCGTGTCTTATCGAGACATTGGAGAGGTCTACATCGCCATCCTCGACGAACCAACCGAGACGGCGGGTCTCAGAATTGGCATCCTTCGTCACCGGCGCAACCGGGAGAGGCAAGCGGAAGCTGATGGACCGTCCTCCGCAGAACACCTCGATCAACTGGCTTCTGAGGATCAGGGTCACACCTCCGGATAGGCTCACACCTTCGTGACGCACGATCTCGGGTCCATCAACAGGTCGGAGTAGATGGAGACCATACTGATCGGCCCAGAAGTCATCGAGTGGTGGGAAGTTTGTCAGTAGAGCAACGTTATATCTGTCGCCGACGCTCGGTGTAAACTGCAGGCGATGGGCCTTCTCGTCCGCGTCGACCTGCAAGAGGACGCCAAAGGCATGCGCGTCACACTTGGCGACATCGAAATGGAGAAGGAGATCCTCCGTCTCCGCGGCGCCCAGGTCCGGGAAAGCGGCCTTTGTTGACCCAACAGCCGAAAGCGAAACCTCAGACCGGACTACCTTGGATGGTACAGCCTGAGAGGTCTCATTGAAAAGCTGCTCGATGCCGGCGGCGGGCTCGACGCGCAGGTATCCATTCTCGTCCGCACAGACCTCTCGCGGCGTCCCAAGATCGCCGCCCCAGAGCCACTTGCCCTCCTCGTCGACGTAATCGCCCGTCCAACCAAAGTAGATCCGCTTGCTGGGATCCCCAGCCTTGGGGCACGACTTGGCAGCATACCACCTGCGACCGTCCAGCCGGCCGTGCGAGCCATCGCGGGGGATGCGGAAGGGTCCGTACGGGGAATCCGCGATGCGGTATACCGTTCCGGAGTTGGGGGCGTGGAACCGCGAGTAGAGCAGGTACCATTTGCCGTTCGGCAGGCTGAACAGCTCCGGGCACTCAGGGCAGAACATGTCGTTGGGGGAATACAGGGGCTCCGACGCAAAGGTCCACGTATCCAGGTCCGTGGACCTGAGCAGGGCGATGCAGCCGCGGCTCCAGTGCGGGCCCTCTGCTAATCTCGAGGCGATGATCATCCAGTACTGCTTTTCGGTCTCGTTGTAGAATATATAAGGGTCTCGGAAGTCAATGTGCTCGAGCTTTGACCTGCCGTCACCGTTGAACGTTATCTCATACCCCGGGTACTGAAATTTGGTTCCGTGACGGTCTGATGATTTCGCCCGTAGGATGACCTGCTTGCCGTTATCTGACAGATTGTAGCCCGTGTAGAAGATGTTCATGGTACCGTCCGGCCCAAGCACAGCGGCGCCTGTCCATGCTCCGTCCGCATCGGGGGCCGTCTTGTCATCGCTAGGCTTGATGCTGGGCTCGGCGTCACGTGTCCAGTCGACCAAGTTCTTGGAGCGCATGCGCCACCAGGTCGACCGAAGGCGAGGCGGATGGTGCCTGGTGAAGGGAGGAGTAGTCAAATGGAAGACATGATAGGTATCGTCTACCAGTAACGGGATGGCATCGGCTGCCGCCTGAGCAGGAGAGACACGACTGTAAGAGCCGCTCTCCGGAGGTGGTGTTGGCACAAGGCTTGTGCTGCTCATCTTGCTGTCCTGTTATCGTAATGCAAAGGGTTTCCTTTAATTGAGACGCTTGACCAGGCTCATATTTGATCAAAAGGATAGCAGCTGCTCATTATGATCACTATTCGAGATCGTCTTATGAGCTCCATTCCGGTCTTGTCAATTGGTATGCGACTGTTGCAACTCATGAGGTGACTAATGATCGTTTGATGTCTACCACGAACAAGAGTATTGCCTTCGGCCCGCCGGCAGCCTTACCGGCCGAGGCGTGTCATCCCGTCGGTAAGTACTCGCTGGACTCTCACCTGACTTGGTGTGCGCCCTGGTGGCGTCGAGGACCACCACAGAACGGCCTCGTCATCCTGGCCCACTCAAACCTGCCGTCGCTTCACTGCCTGCGGCATTCCTAATTAGGTAAGGATCAGGCTTTCAGTGGATCCGCTTTGCATGAGTTGTGATGACAACACGGCGGCAGTCTCTCGACATTATGCGGAGAACCATCAAACTCTTCTCCAGTATCTGGGGTCATGGTAACTTCAGGGGCAATATCTGGGGTGGTGTGGTCTTGTTTTCTGCAGCTCCGCTAGCGGCTGGCAATTTTTATAAGTATGCCGATGACGATCTGGCCGACATCCGCAGCCTCTCGCGATACACTCACATCCACACAACACTCAACCACCACCGTCTAAACGCCTCGAATCTTCTCACAATGGCTATACAGTACCCCTACGTATGGATATTCTGTGGTTTTGCCTCCCTTGGAGCATTTCTTTACGGATTCGATGGCGTTTACTTCAACGGCGTGTCTACGCTTGGTATGTTGATCCTGTGTTTGTGTCGAGGATGTTGCTGACGGCATAGTTCAGATGTCTTCATCAGGCATTTTGGAGAGAAGAATGCCGAGGGGCAGTATGCGATCTCCCCATCGACATTGTCCGTCATGACTTCCATGATCAACGTTGGCGAGTTGGTGGGATCCCTGGGTGCTGCGCCCCTCAACGACTACCTCGGCCGCAAAGGCGTCTTCTTGGTTGGCACGGCCGCTGTCATCCTCGGTGTCGTTCTCCAACTCGTTACGTCTTCCAATAGAGACCTCATCACTGCTGGTCGTGCAATCCTTGGCTTCGGTGTTGGCAACTTTTCGGCTACTTCACCGCTATATATGGGCGTAAGAATTACAAGTCCCACATGAACTTCTCATGTCATAACAAGACTGACTCGTCTTTCCAGGAAATTGCTCCAGAGTCCATGCGCAGCCCCTTGCTTATGTGCTGGCAGCTCACCCTCTCCGTCTCCCAGATCATCGCCGCTGGTATCAATCGTGGCATGGTTGACATTGATACGACTTTTGCCTATCGCTTTCCCATCGGCTTCCAGCTCCTTTTCCCTGCCCTGATCCTCAGCGGTATCTGGTTCGTTCCCGAGTCACCGCGCTGGCTCATCCGCCGTGGACGCCGTGAAGCTGCTGAAAACTCGCTCCGTCGTCTCAACCGCGATGACAAGACCTATGACCCTGCGCCGGCTGTCGCAGAGATGGAAGTTGCCCTCAACGAGGAGCTTGAGGTTCAGGCACAGGGAGGCTGGATGCAGCTAATCACAGATCCGGTTGAGCGGCGCAAGGTCATTTACAGTGCCGGCGCTCTCGTCGCGCAGCAGATCAACGGCATCCAGTGGTTTTACTACTTTGGAACCGTCTTCAGCAAGGCCATTGGGTTGCAGGACCCCTTCCTCATGACCCTCATCGTCTTCATCATCCAGGTCTTTGTCGTCTTGGCAGCGGTTCTGCTGGCCAACCGTATACCTCGCCGACCGCTGCTCATGGTGACGACTGGCATCATGACCGTGTCCATCTTTGTCGTTGGTTGCCTCGGCATTCCTGGCGGGGAGCCGTCGCAAGTCATTGGCAAAGTCATCATCAGCTTTGTCATTATTGAGATTGTGGCGTTCAACTTTGCTTGGGGCCCGCTGGGATGGACTATTGTAAGGACTACTCTTCCATTCTTTTGACTGTAACGACAGCTGACACTATATTGTAGGCATCTGAGATGGCTGTCGGCCGAAACCGGAACAAGATCTACGCCGTCGCCGTCGCTTGCTTCTGGGTCACCGTCTGGGTCACCGTCTTCACGCTGCCCTACCTCTACTACTCGGCCAATCTGGGACCCAAGACTGGTTTTGTCTACACTGGTCTCTGCTTCGTCACCTGGGCCTATGTCTACTTCTGTGTCGGCGAGGTCACCGGACGCACTATCGAGGAGATTGACGGTTTCTTCAGAGACGGCATCCCCGCCAAGAAGTGGAAGAACCAGCCGCGCAAGCACATTGCCGCATCTACTGCTCACAGCGAGCACAAGAAGATCCTGGACGTCAGCTCGGAGGACCAGGGGGAGAAGGGCACTGGGGAGCACCGCGTTTCGGAGCAGTAGTTGGCTAGCGACTGGATATAGGGGGTTAGTTCGCGTCACATGGACTACAATTGTAGTCCGATATTGAGATAATTACTCAATATTGATAAAGAATGACTGCTTGCATATCATTATCGAGCATCAGATGGGTTATCCCACTATCAAGACAAGCCTTGACTCCCATGGATGACCAAGCCCGCCTGACGAAGCAAACTTCTCATTGTGAACCCCCATAGGTGGAAAACATCGAGTCCAGCCACTTCGTGACCGTCCCAACATCCATTTCCCATTCCACGTTTATGTCCTAATTGGTCTTGCGCTTGCTGTCACCACCCAGGCCGACACCAAGCACAAAGGCCACGCGAAGCACGGCGCACATGCCTGTGCAGAGCAGTCCGAACCAGTCTTCCGCCCTCCACATGGTAGGGCTGAGCCGGCCCTGGTCGACAAAGGCGAGGCACGTGGCGACGCAGATGATGACGTCGACCACAGCGATTGCGCCCTGGTAGTACTTCCACACGACTAGGTCCGAGGTCGAGCGCAGCATGAAGGTGCTCAGCGTAAAGGTGAGGAAAAAGAAGCCGGCGAGCTGGTTGAAGATCATGGCGTGGGCCGGGTTCGGGACGACGTTCGGATTGTCGGCGGGGATGTACGAGAGCAGGAGGAGCTGGGGCGCGAAGAGGCCGCCGTAGACGCCAGTGAGGGACAACACGGGGTCGATCCACAAGAACCAGAGCCAGTAGGGCAGCGGGAGCCTGTCGCGGGAGAATGTGGTGATAGCCATGATGTTCTGTTCAATGTTTAGATAATGGTGCTCTCAATATTTTGTCGATGGGTATAATAACTGATGCAAACTGATGAACGATGGAACTGGATGCTGAGGACACGCTTCATGCGTATTTATCCTGTCGCGGCGCCAAGTCCGAGGCACGGGTTGGATGTGCGATGTCATCTTTTAGCACAGCGCGTCGAATCCCTCGACAGCCTTCCGCCAATAGTATGTCTTCTTTCAGAAGGGCGATCCACCCCTTCTCTCTCTCCTGATTCAGGAGACATTCTTGGTTAGTGCTGATTCCAACCAGCTTGCTCAGAGTTGGCTTCCGCTCTTCACATTCGCATGGATTGATGACCATATGCCAAGGAGGCAATGTACGTATGTAGAGGTGGATAGATATCTCTGCCTGTAGAGGAGCAATCGAACAAGACAATTTTGCGTCATTGCGGTCAGACATGCTCAAATACACCTCCTCTCCAGATGGGTTTGCGCTCAATGCAGATCGCTCTTTGATGATCAAACGACTCACCCTGCTGCGGCGTGTGCATTATGCTATCAGCGTGGTGAACCTTGCAGGTCAATTTCAATAATGTCAGTCGCTGAGGACGAGCGAATATCATGACAGAAACAATCAAGCAAGTGATACATCAATATAAGATGCAGGTTCTGTGGAGAATGGCGTGTGAATATGCCCGGACACCTCTCCCAACAGGACGCCAGACTGCATCAGCGAAGCAGTTCTCAGGGCCATGGGAGACAGTGAGGTGGGCAGGTTCAGGTGTTGTACGATGCAGCAGCTTCGTGAGGGGTTTAAGACTAAATAAGAACCATGCGAAGCGACCCATCCTTTCGAACAACTTGCAGGCTCGGAATTTGAAGATAGATGTCCAACGATGCGCGAGCAGCTGACGTAGAACATGTATAGGGTATCGCATTCAGCTGACCGGTTTTGAGACCAAGTTGGTACACCATAGATTGGATGAGCTGTCGGTGTATATGCGCCCAAGGGAGCTATCACTTGTGTGTCAGTGAATGGGAGAGTCCTGCACAGGCTACGCGATCGGAAGTGGTGACTGTACAGGCGGTGATTCGAAGTTTCTCTGAGGTAGCACATACGAATCACTCATGGCAAAATATCGCTATATGCCTCAAGTCACGTTCTCGCAAGTGAATCAGAGTAGCTTTTCGAAAAAGCATAAAAGGCACCTTATGTGCCCTGTCTGGAGCCAACATCAAACATCAACCGCATCCAACGATTTTCTAAGACACATCTTCCAAGATACTTACACAAAAGACATCATTTCAAAGATCACTCCAGTCACAATGTCCGATACTACCAAGCACAGCGAGCTTCCGGCGTCCCAGCCTGAGGCCGGCCCCTCGGGCGATGCCGGCAACGACAAGCCTGTCGCCGCGCAAGACAACGCGAAGTCCCCGATCACAGTGAAGGCCACAGGGGTATGTTTCCTATACCTTTACATGACCCCCCAAGCGAAGTCCTTCTACTGACCCCAATATTTTTAACAGGGCGTGCCCTACGATATTGTCATCGTCCGCCCGCCCAAATCAGTCTCGCTCAAGATGACCAACACGAGCGACCTTTCCCGCACCATCACCATCTTCGGCAAGAACAGCTACATCCGTGCCTCCGAGCTCGAGCGCCACAATATAGAGCACTCTGGGGCCTCGATCAAGCTCTGCTGGGTATCCCCTTTCCTCGATGCCCAGGACGAGGGCGTGAAGGGGGACGGCCAAGGTCCGAATCTCCTTTTTCACAACACCGAGTTCATTGTCCTGCAGGACGACGAGATGAAGGACCTTCCAGAGGCCGTGATGGTGATGCTCGGTTTGACCCGTGACGATGAGCTGACGCCGGCGGTCATGCGTGCGGCATGAACGTGTGGAGGTTATGGTTGTGAAGTGACTCGGGGAGGGAAGAAGCTTGACTGGAGTTCATGAATCACACCATCGGCACAATTTGTGTCCATGATTGGAATTTGCTTTTGATTGTTTCGTATTTTTGGAGCCTCACTCGCAGCACTTGGCGATTCTTCATACGGAACTATCCATTCACCATGGTAGCAGCAAGTGATAGGGCAATATGAACCAGTACTTCTTGGATTTGATGTTTAATATATGTAACAGTAATCGTACAGCTGTGACTAGTCGTGTACATCGTCTTACACTATGATACCTCGTTTCTTACAAGTCTCCCGCTCTGGGTAGTCACGAGAAAGCGTGCACCTCTAGACCTTCTCCTCATTGTGTCCAGGAATGTTGGGCTTCTCCCCGGCGTTCTTCGGCCGGCCTTGCCGGCCCTCCTTCCTCGCCTTCTCGATCTCGGCAGCGAACTTGGACCGCTTGCGGATCTCCGGCCCGTGCTTGTAAAAGTAAAAGACGGGCGTCGTCACGAGGACAGCAATTATGGCCAGGATGGTCGAAGCCCACTCCAGCGGGTGCTCTTTGCCGATGTTCTCGTACATGGGCGTGGAGTAGATGGCGGCGATGCCGGACAAGAAGTCGCGGGCAAAGTCATTGCCGCCGGTGGCTGAGGCGGCGTAGATGCCGTATGCTGCGACAGTGTAGTCGATGGATGACTGATAGATGGAGTAATTGGCGATGCCGACGAGGGAAGAGAAGATCATGGGTGCGATCCAGTGGACCCGGGGCGGCCCCAGAGAAGTCCAGGCGAATCCGATTAGCCCTATCGGTTCCAGAAGGATTACTGAAGGAAGAAGTTAGCTTGTGAGTGCAATTCCGGAGCGGTGGGACCACCAAGACTTACCATATCGTAGCCACCAAAGTCTCGCTTCGGGCGGTACAGAGTCAGAGCCGTACTTGCGCCTCTTTTGCCGGAACATATGGATCGATGGCAAGAATGAAAAGTACGCGATGATGTAGCCAACCAGCAGCGGTATGAAGGCCAGGCTGATACCAATCGTGCCGAAGCCCCATTGCTTGTACACGGGCTGGAAGCCTTGGAGGAAGATGAAGATCAAGTTGTCACTGAAGCCACTGACAGCGGACAGCCAGGCAATGATGGGCTCCGTGATGAGCATATAAAAGGGTCGGCACCAAATGACGAGTACCTCGCGGAAAGTCAAGCCCTTGCCAGTCATCTTGCGAACCTCGTTGGGGCCGTACACCTCGCCCTCGCCATTTTTTCTCCTCTTCTTGGCAAGCCTGTCGAGAATGATTGTGGCACGAGTCTCGGGCACGAGGACAAAGTGCAGGAGCTGAACGGTACCTCCGGCGATGAGCTGGGTCCAGAAGATCCACTCGAGCGTCTTGTTCGCCTCGACGAAACCACCGACGACGGCGCCGACGACGGAGCCTCCGACAGACGACAAGACGAGCCAGGCAATGGCGTACTCTTGGTCATCAGGCTCCCACATGTCGGCAAGCACACCCAAGGTGACTGAACCGCCTGCTGTGGAGAGTCCGCCTAGGAGACGGCAGACGACCAGAGTGCCATAGTTGGGGGCAAAGGCGCAGGGCAGCTGCCAGATGTTTACAAGCAGCAGACTCAGCTGTTGGGTTGGCCAGCGGCCGAGTTCCTCAGACCACGGGGCCCAAAGCTCGCAGCCAAAGGCGTAGGCACAGAGGAACGTGAGCTGGGGGATGCGTGCGACCTGCTCGCTCACGCCGAACTTGTGGGAGACGTTCTTGACGGCGTTGGCGTAGAGGCTGGCGTTGAGGTTGATGCTGATCTGGATGAGGAACATGACGGAGAGGATAGCCCACTTCTTCCATGTTGGATAGCAGTAGCCGAGATGGTGATACTCGTCGGCCTCGAGGAGTTCCCGCTTGCCATCAGGCAGCTGGGTCCTCTTGTGTTCTGAAGTCGCCGTCCCCGAGGGACCCAGGTGCTGCCCGTGCTTCTCGGGCTCGACAACCGTCTGTTCGCTGTCGCGCGGTCGGGCATGCTCGATGTGCTCCTCGCGGTCGGGCGAGGCCTTGGGGTTCCCAACGTTGGAAACGCCCATGTTGGTGTTGGGGTTGGAGGAGTTCGCCATGGCTTCTGGTCTGTCTTGGCCCAAAGCTTGGCCTGTCTTGGACTCACTAGAGTGCCCGTGAAACAAGAAAAGGGGGTGTGAGGACTAGAGACGCTGAGGGCTTGGATGCCGTTGCTTTCTAGGCCCTTGGCAGCGGCTGCTCTTGTATGTGGACGCCTCGCGAGCGACAGGCACACGGGATGCACCTATTACGGCCATGATGTAATGCGCCCAAGAAGGAGGGTGTTACAGTGGAGGTGGGACAACAGGGCTAGCGGCACCTTGGGGCTCGTTTTGGTGGATTTGCGGGCTGATCAACTGCCAAGACCCTCCAAATAAGCACTGAGGGCGGCGTGGAGACAGCGTGCGGCTCCACCAAAACCCCAGACCGTGCCCTATTAGAACCCACTATTGACAGGTCTGGGGCCGTCGACGCTACGTTTTCCCCAATTCTGCGGCGTCGGTCGTGCCACACGCATAACGTCACCGCACCCACAACAATGCACAGAGATGCTCGATTGTTTCCCGATCCAGGCCTGAGGTGCATGGGCGTTTATGATGTCAAGTCCTGCCCCAAACAAAACCTTACCATGTTGCATGCTTAGCAGACACTCCTTTCGATGCCGATTCCCGACAGCAGCAGCTCCACCGCAGCTGGCTCGCTGATGATACAACCTCGACCAAATGTAGCAGGCTGTTGTGGATGTTCTTTGCTGGAGATGGCGTGTTGGGTGTCTCGTGTCTACCAATCCTCTCGGGCCCGATGGGCATTCACACCGAGCTGACCCTTGGCTGCACGCTTGCGTCACCCCCGGGTTTCAAGAGCAACCGGCAGAGGCGGGTCGGGGGCACGCGACCTCTCTGCTACAGTCTTTCTGTCTTTCCTTTGCTGTGACTAGCTTCTAAGACAGGTTTCTTGTGCCGAATATCCCGATATGTCCTCATTTCCACGTCGAGGATCGTCTTCCTCTTGTCTGAGAGAAACGGTAGATGCGTGATTCTTTGGGATTGTGAGGTGAGCGAGTCCCTACTCCCTAGTATCGTATTAGCCCACATCGAGAAGAACGGATGGTAATATGATAAAGGCGGAGAATCAGGGCCACTTATGTGGCCTTCCATTGATAGCATCGACTGCATACCAGCAAGAATCTTATGCGCTGGGTCACTCTAAGCAGAGTGCATCGGTGCAAGTCTTCCCGTCCAACTATCTCAAAGGGAGGGGAACGCCAAACATATATGCTGCCTAGGATTTTCTTCTTTTGCTAGCTACGGAAACCTTTATGGGTCACATTTCTGGAATCTTAATCTATTTACTACCCAAGCTATAAAGGATAGGGGAACGACAGCGATCCCACAGCATATTTTCTCCCACGATATTTCGAACGGACACATCAAGCTTGGACACACGCGTCAATCAAGCACTCTGGGTGGTGAACTGGCCACCAGGACTGTGAACCACCTTGGTGTTGGCAGTGCTGTCGGTGAAGTCAACGGTGGCTTTTGTAAGGCCCGCCATCTTACAGTTGGAAACCTGATCGGACTGGTAGTCTCCATAAGCGATGTACCAGTCGCACCTAGTATGCGCAGTTAGTTTGGGGCGTGATGGTGGCAGCGGCAACCGACACCGCGACGAGCCAACGTAGGCGGAGTACTGCGAAGTGATAGTAAACCTGACAGTGCCGGTGAGCCCGTTCGCCGTCTGGCCGTCTCGTACTGTGGTACTTATGACCAGCCGACTCGTAATCGGGTTTGTGAGGTCGATTTCCTTCGCGTCGATCGTATCCCTGTACTTGTTAACTCGTAAAGTGTTCTTTGACAGGGAGACCCTGTAATAGCCGTCCCATGTTCACATTCTGTTGAATATTGAAGACAGCCAAGTTCTCAGGCCTCAATGCTCAGCCAGCCATATACTTCAGCTTAGCCATGGATTGGAGATTCCAGACAGCCACAGTGAGCCGTCAGTTCTGAACCTTTTGAAAACAATATTGCAGTGGACTCTATCACACTTGCGCTTCATAGAGGCCCTCTTTAATTATTCGAAAACCTAAGCAACTAATTCAATCTCAATTGCGTGACCTCCCAAAGCAATATCACACAGCCAATCCTGCAGATATTCAAGGCTATTGGACTTCCAGGGCGGGCGGTATCAGGAGAGCATCGATGTCGGTCTCGGCCGAGCACGCGTTAAGGCACGAGGACATACACAGAGTAGAATTAAGGTCGCGTATACAAATTTGGGGCCACGCGGCATCCCCCAACAGATCCCTTTCATTACGGACGCTATCCAGCTGCATGTTCGTGTTCGTATTGTCTGCACTGTGCAGGACAACGTCCAGAGGCGAAAAGGGTGCAGACCTGAAGCTGAAGGCGAGACGCGGAATTGTGATATGGCACGGATAACATCCCCGAGCCTGTGAAATCCCGAGACAATGGCCTGTTACGGGGCTACTCCGTATATCGGGTGAAAGGGGATGGCTGGTGTTGTCCTAGGGCTTTGCCTAATTCAGCCATACCCCTGCTTAAATGGAGCAGCCCAAATCCACTTATCCCCTAATTGAGAACAGGCCATTGCTAAATATATGGTTTTCTGTTCCAGCATCTCGATCCTTTCTTGGAGAGACAAGCCCACGAAGCGAGAAGTAATACAACCCACTGCTGTATCGATATTTGAGGAATGACTTCCGATACGTTTCTCCTAAGACAGACAACATTAAGGGAATGTGGCTGGCTGACTGATTGAGTCTCGGTCTATCTGCTCAGTATTGGGCCGAAGCAGGATGTCGTGATGTAGCCAGCTTGTCTGGACTTCAATTTTGTTTCTGTATTGTACGAATAAAGTCATTTAAGTACGAATTCTCCTGTCGGAAATCGATATTGAGGATCGACCAGCTACTTTCAACATCTCCCTCGACCTCCCCTACCAACAATCATAATCCGCCCCTAACTCCCACCCGTTTCTATTCCGTCCATCCAGCAGAAAATATGGTATTTCTTGTCTTCACACCTCAGCTATCAAGACTCTTGACTAATCTGTGAATAGCCTATTAACGTGGCGGTCAAATCGGTCGTGATCAACAAGTCCAGTGCAACCGCCAAGCTCAATGGCGGCGCACCGATCAACGTTGGTGACCAAACCACCATTGATCCTATGACAATTGCTACCATCACCTCTGGTGGGCGAGTCCTGAATCCTATCACTTCAGCTATTCATAATGTGAATACTGGGACCATTACCTTGATCGATGGGCATTTGTTTGGCAGGTTGGGAGTTTGGTGGGGCCCAGATGGGACATCAGGCCAGCCAGGGGTTACTGAATGGTTCAACTGAGCTTCAAAGCATAGGCGATGAGCTATAGTTGTCATGCTATAACACGCTCAATATTGCATGATGGTTTTACATGTTTTTCTCTCTAGATCCAAGAAGTGAAAGCTATCACGGGTTGAAGCACACCAGGTCAACAAACTCCGGAAGAGGTGGGTGTGCAAGATCACACAAGCTTACATACAAGTTGTAATACTCGCTCTATGCTGCTTCATGCCTCAGGGGCATCCGATACATGATCGTACGCACATGTACTATCGCAGCATTGGTAGGTCGAGGTGTAACCTCTGGGAAGGCCGAGACGGTTCGACGTAAGTCATGATGAAATTAGGTTGTGTGTGTTCTTCATTTCTTGCTCAGAATGTAAGTCCGACTGTTACATTTTGCACGCGGACTCTCTATATCCGTGGTATGGCTCCTAGAGACCATGACTAAAACAGTAGACGAGCTCGATAGACCACGTATCCGTAGTCGGATAAATAATAGACAATTTAGAGCCCGTGTACCGAGAGAGCTAATGTTTTCTTTGTGGAACGCTATCAACTGGCTTGACTCTAACCCCATATATCCGATCGGAGATGAGAGTTCAGTCTAGGTTGCGGATACCGTCGGGTCAGCTTGGCCTTGTGAATTCGATACGTTGTCTTCGTCTGGCTCTCAGGGAGCACGCGAGGCGCAAGTATACATATGTTGGTTCCTTTTCATATCAGCCTCACCACGCATTTGGAGTATCAATCTTCAGGCTGCTTTCCCAAATCAAGTCACCATGTCTATTCCCTCGACTCCACACTACGGAATCGTCCTACCTGATGGCTCCCAGATCGTCCACGGCGCCGGGGCTAAAGTCAAAGACCCGTTTACCGACATTCCCGTGACCTTGCATGAGCTCAGTCCTGGAAGTGTCGAATCTGGGCCTGCTTTCAAAGGCCAGAGCGGTTTCATCCAATTTGATACGTCGACGCGCCTTCCTCGCCACGTGCACATTTCCGGCAGCACCGACGGGGACGAAGGGCAGCATCTTATCCATGAGCGCATCTTTGTGGTGGGCGGAGTTGCTCTCGTCGAACTCAGCGGGCAGATCTACGTCATCCCTCCCATGAGCCTAGTCACCATCGCGCCCGGAGTCCCCCACACCTGGACTGCCTGTCCAGAAGGCGTGAACATTACAGAGATCACAGGGCTGCGTGCAAAGAGCGGAGAGAATCTTGTCTCGAGCGGCAAATTCCTCATGTTGTACGAATATGAGGAGATCACGGGTTTCTTTCCAACAGCACAGTCGAAAAGGCTGAACAGTGTGCGAGACTACGTTCGCTGCGACGATCTGGAAAGCATTCGTATACCCCAAATGAATGCTGGCCAGGTGCTCCAGCGTTGCCATTTTGTAAAAGACATGGAGATCATCGTACCAAAGTAGAGGCGAACGGCGGACATGAGACAAGTATTCAAGTCAGTTCGGGGAAATAGAATTAGCAAGTTAGCAATTTGTATCTCCAAGCCAACCCCGTGCCCAACCATCATTCTTGCAACTCTCAAGTTCAACCCCTCACTGGATGTTTTAAAATGTATACTTGAATTCTAGAGAACCGTCGCCCTCTCTGGTGCTCTCCTTGCCCTCCTGCAATGCTTTCGCCTTCCTAGCCATACGCCACTTCAAAAGCAACACGATTACGCCGACACCGACCAGTGCAACGAATTCAAGACCCAATGAAACCGCATTTCCAGAGATGTATCGCGGACCATCCTTGGCCGGGTAAATCTGACCTGATAGCACGCCCGAGACATTAGCGATGGAGGCCGCGATCGGAAGGGCTACCGATCGCTTGTAGTCGGGCGCAATGTTGCTTGAGAACCAGGCAAGCATCACACAGTTGAACGGGTAGATCCCGGCCCCGCAGAGAAACATGGCGAAGTACCCAGGCCCGACACTCGCAGTGCCGAGAGCGATGGAATAGCCGATCAAGACTGGTATCGGGACGATGACCAGGAACAGGGCCCGCTTGCGTGTACGATCCGAGAGAAAGGACACAACCGCTACTGAGATCGTTGCAAGGATGTAGATTGGAATGGTCAGGTAGTTTGCCTGCACAGACTTGTATCTATTCCACGATTAGTGTCTCCTCGAATGGGTGGCTGGAGATATGAGTGTAAGCTTACCCCAAGCCAAGGATGATGGTCGGGAGGAAAGTGCCAAATCCTAAGAGCGGCAGGGAAGAAGAAAAGAGCGTCAGACCGGTGATGTAGACAAGAGGGTCTTTCAGGGCCATCCAAATATGCTGTCGTTTCAGCCTATCCTCGCCCTTGAACACAGAGTCTAGCTGCTTCTTTTGCCGCATACACTCGGTTTGCTCAGCACTGAGAAACCAGGCTTTGTCAGCGCTTTTTGGGATCGTCAATACCGAGACGAATCCGACTGCCAGAGAGATTGCACCTTCAATGATAAATAGCCATCTCCAAGGTGCCAGTCCTCGTCTGGTGCCCATAGTCTGGATGCCGTAGGCGATGAGACCGCCAAAGGCCCCCGAGATGGTAGTTGCACAGTAAATAACGGCGACACGCTTGGCCTGTTGGTGTCGGTTCCAGATTGTGGAGATGACAAAGATCATGCTCGGCAAGAGGCCAGACTCGAAGGCTCCAAGCAGAAGACGGCACGCCATGGCTTGGCCGTAATTCTGGCAGAAGCCCGTTCCGATTGTAGTGGCGCTCCAACCGACAATGGCAACACTGAGGACTCGATTGGCACCGAAACGCTTGATCGAGATAACCCAAAGAATGTCACAGATGATGTAAGTGATCTTCTCATCGTTAGTCGTCCTTCGTTGGTACATGTGAAGACTTGGACTTACGTAGAAGAAAGTGACCAGATTGTTGAACTCCTTCCCCTTGAGCTTGAGTCCCTCAGAGAATCCAAAGACAGCGGCATTGCCTATTTCAAAGCATGAGTATGAAAACTCGAACCAGAATACATCGTCTACTAACCAATATTAGTGCGATCTAGGTATGCCAAGGTCGTGAGAAGAGCAAGCTGAGGCAAGAGCCAGATGTCAAATCTTCTGAGCGCCTGTCTCTCGACTTCCGGGTCCACTATAGGAGGAGACACTGTTCCATTTGCAGAAGACTCCATGGCTCGTAGGCCGTTTTCACCGGTAATCAAAGTCGGCGAAGAGTCGTCCGTGTAGCTTTTCTTGTCGGATTGCGAAGACATTGTGTTGGCTGCTGGGACGAAGAGGAGTCTCGAGAGATTTTGAAGGAAGGGCTCAGGGATCTCTCAGCTACTACATGATCACCCCATTTCTAGATAGGCACGGATCGTTACATAAATATACCCCGGTGCTCACCCCGGACAAATAGGTATCGCCCGGTCCACCTGATGGGGGCTTCCTATCGTGAGTTTTGCGGGGTAGAGAAGATAGGGCATACGGAGATGAGAATGAGATCTCCGAGAAGATAGCGTTAGCGCCCGGACTTTCTCATCTTTCTGTGATGCTTGTCAATATTAGCTTTCTTTGGCTTAGAACTATTTGAGGCACCAAGTCAACCGAATACTTGGGCTCCTCTGTTAAATGCTCGTCGAAGTAGACTCCACGACAGAGCTATGGCTATGACGTCCCCTACTGTTTTGATCATTGGCTGCGGTATCGCCGGCCCAGTCCTGGGCAACTTTTACAAGCGCAAGGGCTACCGTCCAATTGTTTTTGACAAGGTGCCAGAGCTGGGCGATGCGGGAGCATCCCTCATGCTGATGTCAAATGGGTGAGAACTCGCCAGTCAAGAACCAACATGTTTAGCAAATCAACTCACATATTCCATTAGCCTCAAGGTGCTCAATCTTGTCGGCCTGGCAGAGGCCGTAAAGGCCGAGTCTACCCCGCTCGCAGCGTTCTGGGACGCAAAGTCTACGGGTGAGGTGATCGGCCAGTCAGACCTTCCCAGCACCTTCGCGGATAAGTACCGGCAGCCTGCCGTGGGCATACGGAGAACGACATTGAACCTGATGCTCAAGAAGATGCTTCTGGATCTCGACGTTGAGGTTCGTGAAGGATGGGAGCTGATCGACATTACGGAGACCGATGAGTCTGTGACTGCGATCTTTGATGGTGGCCGATCAGTGACGGGGTCATTCTTGATCGGTTGCGACGGTATCAAAGCCGCATCCAGGAGGTCACTTCTCCGTAACCAGGGCCAAGCAGAGGATATTCCGGTGTTCACCGGACTCACTCAGGTAAGCAGTAACCGATATTTCTGAGTGGCTGTGATGGTAACAATGACGAAAGACTGCTGGTATCTCTGAGACTCCAGCAGCTTTGCGCGGTCTCGCCGCCATGAGGAACTGGTACGGCGATGGTGTGCACGTCATATCCTACCCCATTACGCCAACTCAAACGTCTTGGGCCGTGACTCAACGTGAGACTCAGGAGAAGGAAGAGACTTGGCGTCCCTACCGTCCTGATGAGATGACTGAACAGAGGGCGCAGCTATCTTCTCTCCTTGAGGGCTGGGACCCGTCAATCTTGAAAATGATTAATACCTCGGAGAGAATCATCAAGTTCGGTCTCTTCGATCGCGAGGAGTTGAAGCCATCGAAATGGCACTCTAAGCGCTGTGTGCTTGTGGGCGACGCGGCGCATCCAACTAGTCCCCATCTGGGGCAGGGTGCGAACCAGGCATTGTAAGTACCTTATGTATCTACCCGTGTCACCAGTTCTTGGACACTGACAAATTCCAGTGAGGACTGTTTCCACCTCAGTCACGCAATGCCATTTCTTGACCCCAACAGCAAAGACTATGCCGAACAGCTTGCTCTGCTAGGTCCTGGCCTTTCCGAGGCCATCTTCAAGCCGTTTGCGGAAAAGCGTCAGCCAAGAACAGCGCTTCTTGTCCAAGGAGCGCGAGCACAGGGAAATCGGCGGGTCGCTACCGGGTCCGGTGCTTGTAAAGAGCGGGATGCGGCTATCATGGAAAGTTACGCGAACCTTGCGGGCATCGCTGATAAGTTCGAGTCATTACTACGGGAACCATTCCAGGATCTATAGGCATCTAATAAATGGGAATGTGTCAGATAACAGTTCTGCAAGGCCGCCTTTGTAATGAAAAGCATCTAGCTTCTTAAGTCTCCGGAATGCTTCAGGTCATTCAACTCGATCGTGCCCGCTTTGGACAGATCAATATTAGCAGCGCTACAGCATGGCATCTTCTTCCTGTGCTTATCAGAGAGCTGACCAAACGGAAAAGGGGACTACAATTTCTTCACCAATATCTAGGCTACGCTGGCCGCCGATTGGGCTTCAATCCAGCGGACCTGAAACATTTCCGAGTTTGATATGGCGGCGGTGTTCGTGATCCCACATCTCCGAACTGAGGAGCACAGCTCCGAACGGCGTATCTATCCCTGGCAAGAGTAGAGAAGACGTCACTGCTGAGTTGGAAAGATTCTAAAATTGCATATGAGCGATTAGGGGAGCACATCAGAGGACCGAGATGTACGTTGTATCTTGATCATCATTCTAAGCCAGCATCCTCACTATGACAGTCGCTCAAGTTCCCACCCCACCTTTCCCATTCAGGATCGGTGTAGACGTAGGGGGCACAAACACAGACGCGGTCATCATAGACACGTCTATCAAAGACGCCACAAAGTCCATCATTGCTACACAGAAGTCACCGACCACGCAACCCAACGTGACCGATGGCATTGAAGCAGCTGTCCAAAGCGTACTCAAACAGTCCAAGGTTGACCACCATCGCATCGCTTCTCTATCAATCGGGACTACTCACTTCATCAACGCCATTGTCGAACAAGATGAGCGGCACTTGGACAAGGTGGCCATCATTCGGCTCTCGAAAAGCTTTACGCGAGAAGTCCCACCCTTTTCGGACTTTCCTACTAGGCTCAAGAACATCATGCTTGGGTATTGCACCCAGGTCGATGGCGGTCTGCAGATTGATGGGAGTCTAGAAGCACCTGTTGTTGAGAGCCAAGTCGTTGAGGAGTGCAACCGTATCCGGGAGCTTCAGATCAAAGCTGTAGTGGTTTCTGGGGTCTTCTCGCCCTTGGATCACCACTTCTACCAAGAACAAACGGTGCGGAAAATCATCAACCGGGAGCTGCCTGGTGTTTCCGTTGTTTGTTCATCAGAAATCTCCAATATTGGATTTTTGGAACGAGAGAATGCATCTATTCTTAACGCATCTGTTCATCGTTTTGCGAAGAGGACCATCCGCGAGTTCAAGACGGCTATGAAGAGACTGGGGCTGCAGTGCAATCTGTACCTCACCCAAAACGATGGCACCCTTCTCGACGCAGATCTGGCCGCTCGTCTACCAATCCGGACATTCTCATCTGGCCCTACCAATTCCATGAGGGGTGCAGCGTATCTTTGCGGCCTCTATGAAGACGGCACGGCCAACCCACCCACCAGCATAGTCTGCGATGTTGGCGGCACAACCTCGGACGTTGGAGTCCTCTTGCCTTCTGGATATCCTCGACAGGCTCTCGCCGACGTCACTATCGCTGGCGTCAAAGTCAACTACGGCATGCCGCAAGTCGAGTCTCTTGCCATCGGTGGTGGCTCAATCATTCGCAACAACGGCGGCAGAGTGACCGTCGGAAGAGACTCTGTGAGCTATGCAATCAAGGAGCGAGCCCTCGCCTTTGGAGGAGACACAATGACAGCAACCGACATCGCAGTCGCGGTGGGCGTCGAATCCCAGGTTGGTGATGCGACTTTGGTCAGAGGTATTGACCCAAGTGTTATTTCAAAGACCCGGGGATTCATCAAAAAGGAGTATGAAAGGGTTTGCGACCTTGTCAAAACAGCCCCTGAACCCCTTCCTTTGATATTGGTGGGTGGCGGCTCGCTCATTTGCCCCCCTCAACTCGATGGCATCTCTGCGATTATGAAGCCACCTCATCACGATGTAGCCAATGCCGTGGGTGCCGCCATGGCTCGCATCAGTGCAACAGTCGATATTGTTCAAAGTACAGGCAGTCAAACCGTCACCGAAGCCATGAACAAAGCTACTGATCTCGCCATCGAACGAGTCATCCGCATCGGGGCTCCAGCAGAGTCTGTTGTTATCACAGAGCAGGAATCACTGCCACTACAGTATATCGATAACCGAGTCCGGACAGTGGTCAAAGCGGTCGGAGACTTTTCTCCCTCAACTGTCTCTGTGGAGAAGCAGATAAATGGCCAAGAGTATGAACCTGTGGCGAATGGCCATGTATTGGAGAAGCCGTCACAGTCAACCGAGGGCCCTGCAGAAGAGGCTATCGACATCAACGAGTACAAGCCCAAGATTGTTGTCGACCAAGCGACAGGGGTCAAGGCGTGGATTGTTTCACCCACTGATCTGGAGTGGATGGCAGAGGGGTGTTACGTCCTGGGCTGTGGAGGAGGCGGTTCTCCTTATCCCGAGATGTTGAAACTCCGCCAGCACATCCGAGATGGCGAGGAGTTGAAGATCATAGACATGCAGTCGCTGAAGCCGGGCGCCCGAGTATACTGTACGTGTCTGTCCATGTGTAACTGAATCAGGCACTTATTTGATTACAGGGGCGGGAAACATGGGGTCACCGGCGGTGCCAGCGGAGCGACTCAGCGCGAGTGAGTCCATCCTCGCAATGGAGACCATGCTCGAGTACAACAAGCATGACACATTTGACGCCATGATTGGCATCGAGATTGGCGGATCGAACGGCCTCCAGCCCCTGACCATTGGCTCTACGCGCAACTTTGGGCGCCCTGTTGTCGATGCAGATTGGATGGGTATGTTTATACAGTGTATTAATTGACGGACCAAGAGTGTATTAACTGTTGTCCAGGTAGGGCATATCCGAATCTGTGGCAAGTGACGGTAGCTGTGCATGAGAGGGAGCAAATTCTCCCCTGCGCTATCGCATCTGGAGACGGCAGGGCTTTGGTCATGACCAAATCGCCTCACGACACATTAATTGACCAGACCCTAAGGGCGCCTTCCATCGAGATGGGCTACTACGTTGGCTTCTGTGCCAAGCCGTCAACCACAGAGATGGTGCACAAGTGGGCCATCAAGAACACGCTCTCGCAGGCGTGGCGCATCGGGAGATGCATCGCACGCGCGAGCAAGAACAGCACTGCGGGCACCGTCTCTGAACAGATCATTGAGGAGATGGGCGGCCCTCAATCAGCCAAGATCTTGTTTCGTGGAAAGATCGTTGGTGTGGAGAGGCGGCTGTTCAAGGGCCACTCGCACGGCGAGGTTGTCATCAAGCATATGGCTGTTGACAAGTCTTCACCACAAGACAACTCCGCAATGGCAGCCTCGATTCCGGTTGCAGTTGGAGGCGAGTTGAAGATCCCTTTCATGAACGAGAACCTCCTGGCGCGGCATGTCGGTGACGACGGCCATGAGAACGTGGTTGCTTCAGTCCCAGACCTCATTACCGTCCTCAATGCCGCAAGTGGAAAGGCCCTGGGCATAGGAGAGTATCGATACGGTGTAATTGTTGTAGTTCTAGGCATGGCATGTTCCCCAGTGTGGAATCAAAGCAAGGCGGGCTTGGAGGCTGGTGGCCCTGCCGCTTTTGGATACGACAGGGTTGAATATCGACCTCTTGGGGACTACAAAGAGCCGCGAAGTGTAATTGATGAGTTCTCATAGAAATGATGAAGACTGGCTTTAGTCGAGGTGCTTATTGACCATGGACTTTCATCGCAATGGCTCGCGAGAACATTATGTTTGATTGATCTCAACACTCATGGAACTGATTATCATTCCATGATGAATTCTCAAAATGCTTCTCGGTGTGATATTGTCAGTGTGACAAAGTTCGTCGTTTTCTCAGATGGAGAGCGTACGTCAGTTGCCGGCATGCAGTTCTTAGTCTCCAGTCAGCCACGTCCCGTAGCGACGTTCCCCAATCTTAGCTAGCATAAATAGCATTTCAGTGCCCTGCACTAGTCTAGCGAGACCTTTCCTGACTTTCATTTGCCTTGCTTTCAATATTTGCCCAACAATCAACCGCCCGATTTCGATCAACAAGGCCTCTTCATTCCCGCAATGCCCCTCGATCCTTCCCATCCAGACTACTGGACTGAGGTCCTGCAATTTACATCAATAGTTCACCGAGATGTCTATCCCGCCATAGATACCACAAATGAGAAGATTCGAGGCATTGCCCACGATAAAGTAGTCCTCGTTACTGGCGCTGGGAGTGGATTTGGCGAGGTAAGTTCGTCCCTACAATACGGAGACGGATCGACTGGTGATCTTACCCCTTATTTAGGGTGCATGTCTGCAGTGGGCGAGGGCAGGCGCTCGGGCAATCGTCCTAGCAGCGAGAAATCAAGAGCGCATCACTCACGTTGCCACGAATCTCCGCGACATTGCTCCTGCAGTCAAGACATTAGCAGTAAGAACGGACGTCTCTTCAGAGAAGGATGTCGACAACCTATTCACCGAGGCCGTCAACAGCTTCGGTCAGGTGGACGTGGTCATCCATGCCGCCGGTGTATTGGGCCCGGTTGTTGAGTTGAAGGAAGCCCCGGTTGACGAGTGGTGGCGAGCATTTGTGAGTAGCAGAACTGCAATAATGCTGACACTTCGACCCTGACGCTAGCCGCCATTGCTCTTATTTTAGGAGATAAATACGAAGGGGACATTCCTAATCGCCAGGGCTTTGGCAAGAGTAAGCCACAGCCGAGAAGCAACCTTCATCCAGACTGGGACCGCTGCATCCTACTTTGCAAGCCCCGGACAGTCATCCTACACAGCTGCCAAGGCAGCTGGAAACATGCTTGTGGACCAACTTCATGCTGGTAAGCTCATATGAAAGGGCATCGGGGTCTGGCCGCAGGACTCGCTGACAGATCATCCCTCTAGAATACAGTACTATCCGGGTCTTCAATGTCCATCCCGGGATGTCAAAGAGCCCCGTCCTCCGCAAGGAGCTCGAGGTATACGCAAAAGACACTCGTAAGCTTGCAACCCGGCCTGTTGGGAATCCGCGCGTTATAGACTGATGAGAAACTCGACTTAGCCGAACTCTTTGGCAGTCTCACCATCTACCTATCTGGTAAACATGCTGATTTCCTCCGCGGACGTTTCATTGTGGCGAACTGGGATGTGCAAGACTTGGAGAATCACGAGGATGAGATTGTCACACAGGGACTGCTCAAAAGCCAGCCGTTCAAGGGAGATATTGGTCCTGGGGGGCACTGGAAAACGTCTACCGAATAGCACTCAGGAAAAGGTGGCCATCCTAGACAATCAAAGGAACTGTTAATCAATGGCACCACACTGTGCGGTCCTACCACGGAATCAAGCTTAAGGCGCCTCACAGACACCTACCTTATTGATGTTAGGGTTCAAACGGGCTCCATCCAGTCGATATGGCCTGGGCTGAAGCCAGTGGAACAGAATAGGGCAAGGCCCGTGGCTTAGTGAGTCAGCTGGCCCCGGCACGCCCTTGTGGATATCCGGGCGGGATCTGGCGATCATTGGTGGAGATGTATCTGGTGCCCTCCCTTCCTTGTCTTTTTCTCTTCTCCGAATTGAATTCCGACGACTGCCCTGCTCCGAATACAAAGGAGATAGCTGCTCACGTCTCATCAAACCCGCTGTCTCCGGCGAAAGAGGTCTCAATAAGTTACACAGCATGTCCGGCCCACCATCTGCAGAAACCGGGGTCAATGTCAAGTCTACAGAGGACGCCATGGCGCAAACTCCGGTCCCACGTCGCCGGGGAGGTGGCAAGAGGACGCCTCTGAGCTGCCGGGCTTGTCGTCAGCATAAGCTCCGATGTGATCGCCGAGTGCCATGCGGCACTTGCATTCGCTATCATCGCGAGACGCAGTGTCTTCAGAATCCAGCGCCTCCACGAAGAAAGCGGGGTCCTGCGTCAGCACCACAGCGGGAGCAGCGAGTCTCTGAGCAGCTCGATGCCTACGCGATACGAAGTCCCCTCCTGGGTGGTGACTGCAATGGCTCACAAGAAGTTGTCGACTCCAATCAAGGGACGGACAGCAGCGTTCTTCCTACGGGTGGACATGTCGGTGAACAGAGCTCAACATCAGCAGCGGTCTCAGAGGGGTTTGCATCCTTAGCCAAGCTCATAGGCCTGGGTACGACGATGGATGGACAGGCGCCAGCATCATTACCCCAGATTTTGGCAGAGGCCAACCGTACACAAGAATCTCTTCCATCTTGGTGGAGCTTCCTCGACCCTTCACATGCTAAACATCTCTGGCGCCAGCAGCTGATGTCCGTATTGCCATCCAGACCTCAGTGCGATCTTCTCACCAATTACTACTTGGAACACGTCAATTGGATATTCCAGACAATTCATGGCCCTTCCTTCCGTCGAGAGTACTCCAATCTCTGGGATACAAGGCCAGACCAGGTTGATCTCATCTGGCTGTCGCTGCTTCTCACTGTGATTTCCGTGGCAGCACTCTATGTGCCTGTGGAAGCGGTTGAGATAGTAGGATGTCCCCGTGGTGCGATTCGCCATCTCGCGCGCGTGTGGCATATCGCGTCTCAACACGCTTTGCGGGCAGGGGAGTACGACGTGAGGCCTTGCTTGACTCAACTTCAGACATTTTCGGTTACGCAGCTGTACTGGTATGCGACCAACAACATTGAGACCATGAATTCGTAGGTAATCCCTCTTCCTTAAGTGTCGGCAGATGACACTCACCAATTACAGGCACTTGGGGCAAGCTGTAAGACATGCCCAAGCCATCAACCTGGACAGAGATACATCACCATCATCTTGTCTGCAAGATGAGATGCGCCATCGTCTCTGGTGGGATCTTGTCGATTCTGATATGTAAGATAATTATATTTTGTGCGATCAAAGCTTGGCGGGTGATCTAACGAAAACCAGGTTTCAAACCATTTGCCTGGACAGACAGCCACTCATCAGGCTCCAATATCCAGGTGTACCCCTGCCACTGAACTGTGACGACGATGACATGACAGAAACCTCAGTCAATCCAAAAACGATAGACCAGCCATCCTGTATGAGTATGAACATCCACAGAGCACGCGTATTCCAGATCCTCAACCGCCATTTCTGTGCCAATAACGGGGCTGGCTTTGGATCGTATGACGATATCCAAACACTGGATGCTGAGATTCTGGAGGTAGTCGCAAAGCTGCCGTGGTACTTTCAGCTCGATGACCGCGGCCAGCCCCCTCGCATTGCTGCACCTCTCTATGAGATACTCACTTGGCAGAATCATATCCTGCGAACTTGCATTAGCACTCAACGGATACGTATGTACAAACCATTCCTCGCAGCGCGAGTGGAAGGCGCATGGGACAACGTCGTCAAAGCGGCAGAAGGTGCGTTGGTTGTATACCAAACACTCCGGATAGACAGAGCACCGACCTCACGTCTCAAATTTCTCGCCCAGGCATATCAGATATTCTCTGTGGCTGTCACTATCGCAGCACTGCTGCTGATCGAAGGAACACTCCCGATTCCAGATGTCCAGCAGAAGCTCAGGAATATGGCTACAGATTTGAAGATGCTAGAAGTCCAGGGCTGCCCGGTGCCAGTAGCAACACGGGGTCGACAGATCTTATTACGGATGCTCACTCTCTACGAGAACAGGGCTACCGACCCAAAGTCTCCCGAAGACGCTGCGCGTCTTGTTCCCGACATATCTGTCATCCTGGGCGGAGAACACACAACGCAAGCATACATGCGACGGCTGGCATCACAAGTGCAGACTGCAACACCAGAGTCGGTTCCAGTTATAACGCAACATACGCCACCCATGGATGAGGAAGGCCAGGATGAGACTGACGTTCCGGCGATCTTGAACCCAGAAGGGATAGTAAACTTCTCTCCTGAGCCACTTGATCAGATTACTTGGGGAGCTGGTGTGCTCGGTGATCTAGACCCAGCACTGTTCCTGGAGGATGAGAGATCTTTCGAGATATTAAACTGGGATATGACTGGCTTCTTGGCAGATGCACAAAACAAACAGAGCTTGTAGTTTCAGCTTCTCAATAAACACATCTACGTAATTGATATGGGTTAACCCTAGCCCGTTGGAAATCAAGTCGATTGTATTCTTCGTTTCGCGTGTAAAAGGTTAGTCCAATTAGGAATTCGTGTTTCGGACTCTCTTAATCTTGGTTCTCCTACACCTTTCCACTCGCCATGGTCCTGGGCTAGTTCGGCACCGGCAACTTGCCGTTCAATGTTCCTGTTGAATGATCCACAGTTGTCCGAAGGGAACCGGAGATGATTGGGGATGCCCACCAAGCCCGAAGATGTATCGAGTGGGCAGACATCTCCTTGCTCGCATGTACTCTACTTTATTCACATCATATAGCTTATTTAACCATATTTCGACCCCTATGGAGTGTGGATTCTTATTATCTCCCGGTATCATTGTGTGATACTTTTGCTTCTCACCATGTCACTTGTTTCAGACTCGACGCTTCTTGACAGCCTTTCTGGCAAGACTGCCATCGTGACAGGCGGCGCGAACGGCATCGGCCTCGAGACGGTCCGCATGTACCATGCATCTGGCGCAAATGTCGTGATTGCGGACCTTCCAGGGGCCAAACCATCGGCTGAGGCTGCTATTGAGGACCTTGAGGACGCCCGACGCGCTTTATTCGTCCCAGTCAATATTATCGACTTTGAAGATGTGCAGCGTCTTTTCAAGGAGACTATCAGCCGGTTTGGGAAGGTCGATATCGTCATTGCCAATGCAGGTATCATGGAAACGACCAGGTTCTTCGAGTTTGAGACAGACGAGGCTGGAGATCTGAAAGACAATGGCACCGGAAAGGTAATTGATGTGAACTTAAAAGGGACTATGAACAGTAGGTGTCGGTTTGAGTGTTCAGATTCTGGTGAGGAGTGCTGATTGTTGTGCAAAAGCTCTGAGACTTGCTGTTTTCCATATGCAGCAGAATCTCCCGGATCCTTCAGGGTGGCGGGGCTCTGTGGTCCTTGTTTCCTCGACATCAGGTTATTTCGGAGGAACAGAAGTGGTCTCATACATCTCTTCCAAGCACGGCGTGATAGGCCTCTTGCGATCATCGCATGCTCCAGCTGGACGCCTCGGGGTCCGTGTCAACTGTGTGGCTCCCTTCATCACCCCAACACACATCACAGAGGGCTACTCGGCGGCTTGGAAAGCCGAGGGCCTTCCTACCAATACCCCTCAAGATGTGGCCCGCGGAATCACCCATATGTCGCTAGACACCGGCCTGCAAGGCAAATGTTGTTTGGTATGTGTGTAGTGCAGCCTGTCCATGCTATGTTCTTTGCAGCTGCTTATCTATTCAGGTCGCAGGAGGAACATTTCAAGAGCTGGAGGGGCCTATCGCAGCCTCCCTGGCTATTTGGGTAGGCGATACTATTGCTCAAGTCTTTGCACAGGCGACAAGCTTTTTCCGCAAGATTGGAGGCTATCCGCTTCCCAAACCGAGGCAAAATTGATAAGTCTTAGGATATGGCTATAGTTTCTATTTGTCGTAGCATATCTTCAGTTCCCTGAGTGAACATCGATTTCTTTCCCCGTTTTTGACCATTCTTTGTCTATGCAAGTTCAAACCGTCTTCTACCATCATAATCCAAGGGTAGCTCTCTCACTGCATGCCAATCTCCACCACTGACGACCCTCTCATCTCCAGGCGGTAAGATGATAACGAGCGAGTTCCAAAGTGCCTTGAACCCGCCTTCCTCGTTCTTCGAGAACTTGACAGTGATACGGCCCTTGCTCGTGCTGTAGGAGATAGCGTAGTTTGATATCTTATTCATGTGCACGGCGGACACACCGTCGTCTTCGTACCATGTCGTAGAGTACCACTTGCCGTTGGAATCACCCTGGGGAGGGAAGATCTCGACGCCTCTGTAATCATCCAGCGGCAAGTCTGCAACGTTGACCGTCTCACCAGGAGACAGAACTTGAACATCCTTTCCGACGGGGAGAGCCTTGCCGACCCTGCCGAGAACTGGGATTCCAGCGCCATGCCATTCCGCATCAATGGTCGCCCACTGTCCCGCAGGCAGGTATTGATACGGAGCGTTCAGGTTGATGTAGCCTTCATCACCATCGGAGGCCTTGGGGAGATAGACGCGACCTTCTCTCACGCCGGCCTCGAAAACACCACCGATGAGGAGACTGTCGCCAAGCCAGTACTGGGTCTCACCATCCATAATCTTCCGCGTCCAAATTTCCGGATCGGCCTCAAAGCCCCATCCGGTCCACCGCTGAGGTGGCTTTGACGTCAGGTGGCCCTCGATCATGAGTGAGTACAGGTACGGAATCATAGCGTAGCGGCGTTTGATCGCTTTACGGACGAGAGGCGTGATGGCGGGATACATCCACGGCTCAATGACATCGCCGACGTTGTTGTCGCTGCCCGTCTTGAAGCAATTGATCGCAAAGCGAGGGGAGTAGATGCCCTGCTGGACCCAGCGGAGGAGTAGCTCGGGGGTTGGCTGAGGACCCTCGAAGCCGCCAATGTCGTGGCCGTAGCAGTGCATCAGACACATCCCAGCTGTCAGGGACAGGGCGTTTGCGCCCTTCATACCCTCCCAGCTCGTGATATTGTCGCCGCTCCAGCTGCTGCAGGCATATCTCATGGTTCCAGTCGTGGCGCTGCGCGTCAGGACAAAAGGTCGCTCCTCCGGTGCGGCATCCACGAGGGCATCGTGCGACGCTTTGCCATGGAGTTCGGTGTGTAAGCTGCGACCCCACACTCCGACTTGAGGGCGCTGCTTGTGCGTCTGCGGGACTTCAAGCGCAGGGTTGTTCAGGGCGCATTCCCACTTGTCATCAGTGATGGTGTACTCATTATTGTCATTCCAGATACAGTCAATGCCCTGCTCGCGCAGCTTCTTGACACCTTCATACCACCACTTGAAGCCAGCCTCGGATGTGAAGTCGATATGGCCGCCAATGTCGCTCTCGCCACCCCCAGCACTCCAAAGACGTGTCAAAGCCGTCTGCTTGGTAGAAGGGTCCCAGAACAGTGCTCCTGCCGCCTTGAGCTTCTCGTACTCGGGATGACTGGCCAGAACATACGGCTTCACGTTCGCCAGGAGCCGCATGCCGTGTTTGTGGAACTCCTCTATAAATCCTTCTGGGTCTGGAAATCTGTGGCGGTTCCAAGTGAAGACGTTCCGAGTTTTGGGAGGCGTCTCAGAGACGGTGTACCCGGATGACATCTGGTAGGCAGAGCAGGGAATGTCGTGCTGCTTCATCTTCCTCGCCAAGTCAAGCAAGGACTCGGAGGCACGGGGCTCGTCGAGCATCGAGTACTTCATGCCGCCCGACAGGTACCCAAATGCCCAGCGAGGAACCAGAAGCGGGTAGCCCACGAGATCGGCATACGACTTGACAATGTCGCTGAGGGTCTTGCCAATTATCATGTACTCTTCCAACCCCCCAAAGTCTTGTCTGTACACCTTGTAGAAACCCCACATGCCGTCCATCTCGGAGCCGATGGAATACTGCCCCCTCGTCAAGCTGGTAGAGAATAACGCCACACAGCCCTGCGGCGTGGCATTGATCAGCAGCGGGATGTTCTTGTAAAGAGGGTCAGTCCGGTACACATCATAACCGAAACTGTCTGTCGCCGAGAGTTGGAAGCGACGGCCAGAGAGGTCCATCGGCGCCGCCTTCTCGCCCAGGCCGACGTGTAGAGTGTTTCTTTGGTAGCGGGAGTAGTGCGCTACGCCTGGTCCGTCGAGCACATAGGCTCGTTCAGGCACGTCGGCATGGAGGAGAACGGAGCCGGAATCACCGCTGAGCGAGACGGACACATGCGGAGTCAGGCCATTCCAGTCTACCTTGGCTGTGATGTTTCCCACCTGCAGCTCCTTACACTTGCCTGAATCTTGGATGGTGATATTGGTGGCCTCGAGTTCTCGAGCTGGCCGAGGACAGCTGGGGTGAGGCGGCAGAGGATGACTCTCGGAGATGAAGGTAGTCCTGAAGACATTGGGTCGGACTGCCTCAAAAGTAAAGAAAGCTCCAGGGCATGTTGGATCGTCTGACTTCAGCACAACCTGAGAAGCTTCCTGCTGACTTGTTGGGGCAGTCGTCCAGCCCGAGATGGTTTTCTCCTCTTGCGGCATGATCGTTGGGTTGTGCTTCAGTAGAGAGGATCAACGGAGGCAAAATGAAAGGGGAGAGAAGGCAACCGAACCAAAGTTGGTTTCCAGGGCAAATCATCATCATAACTCAACTCTCTCTCCGCTTTCGCAGCGCCGAATCGGAGTCGCGTTTCGCGCCCATGTGGTATTCGAGAAACCCCATACCCCCACTTGAATTCACAGTACAAACACTTCCCCGCATTGAGTCTCCGGTTGGTGATAGGGCACAGGTTTGAGATGTTTGTTACCTTGTAGATGCTTCAGCAGTCTGAGATAGACGCATATCGTTCATTTCAAAGCATAGACTCTTTGTTGTAAATGGTTCTCTTAGGCCAATTGCAAGTCGCCGAATCGTGGTAGTGCCCTGGACCAACTGGGTTGGTGGCAAGGTCGGAGTGCAGCCGCCAGTGCGGTTCGTTGTTCCTGCAGCAGTGGATCACCATGCCTCTCTGCCTTGTTTCGAGAAAGCCGGTTGATACCATGGCAGGGCGATACCACCCTATTTCTACCCTTTCTCCTCCGGTCCTCTTCTGTTATGCGGGATCCGGATTCGACCTAGCCCGAAGCCATCGTCGCCCAGAGCCAGATAGAGTTTAGATCGGGGAGAATTTCGTGCTCTTCTCCGCTTTTAACAGGCTTCCCTCCAACTCCCCGGCCCTCCCCGTTTTGCCTTCCCTCCTTCACCCCGACTTTCCCCAGATCATCTCGGGGAGATCATATCGGACCCCCTGCCGCCGTTGTTGTTGCTTGCTGCTACTCATACAGTAGCCGCCGCATGCACGAATAATGGATGCTCCGTTACCAACTGCCGAGCACGATGAGGTCTCGCCGGTCAAGAGGAATGGCAGCGTCTCTACGCGGCACGCCTCGCCGTCGGCGGCCGAGGACGAGCGCCCGTCTAAACGCCACAAGAGCCGCTCCCTCGCGTGCCGTGAGTGTCGAGATCGCAAGGTCCGCTGCGATGGCTCGCGTCCCGTCTGTGAGACATGTCGACGGAAGGGGTGGGGCAGAGACAAGTGCATCTATCCCGAGGCGGACGGCCCTATCGCGTCCAGCAAGAGGTCTGTCTCTCGAGCATGCTTTATTTACTCCTTTCGTTCGTGGATGGCACCCATGCTAACGATGCCATGACTGTAGCTATGTGAAGGCGCTGCAAAAACGTATCAATGAGTTGGAGCAATGGCAGCAACAGGTTGAGCAGCAGCAACATATTAAGGTGTGTACTTTATACTCCCGTTATTACCAACATGCTGAGTACTCACAGCCATTTCCGATTTCGCAGGGCATGGCCAATGCAGACCGGCCACCGCTCACCGCCGCCTCCAGCGAAGCGAGCCCATCAGTTGCCGCCCGCGCATCAGTCGCCTCGGTCTCCAGTAGCAGGCCAGCTACCCGAAAGCGTGGAGAGTCCCTCGCCGAAACGGCAGACCGCCTCGGCAGCGCACCAGCTCAGAATCCCTTGGGCCAATCTAGCTTTGCCGGCTTCATGGCCCAAGCCGAGGAGGCCTTTGCACGGCATACTCCTCCGCCTGGGAGCCGGCCCCGCAGACGGGATGGCGACGGCGCGCAGGGGTCGAGCAGACTTCCGCCCATACGATCTCTGTTTCCGCACCTTCAGACCAACAAGTCTGCGAACCGACAGCCGAGCTCAGCTTGTGTTGCCAACATGATGCTCCCTCCTCGGTCTGTCGCCGATGACCTTCTCCAGGGCTACTGGGAGTGGGACCACGTCACGCTGCCCATCGTTCATCGCACGCTCTTCCAGCACCGCTACCGTATGCTTTGGGAGCACACCGGGCCAGGGAATGGGTCTTCACCTATCACTCTAGACACGGCGGGGCAATACTGTCTGCTCGCAGCCATGATTGCTGTTGCGCAACTTTACCTCACGCCCGGTACACCAGACACGAGCCCCGAATCCGTGGGTCAGTCCTTCTTCGACCGCGCGAGGAACATCATCTTCTCAGACCTGCTGGAAGTCGGCTCGCTCCAGGCCGCCCAGGCGCTCTTGCTCATGACACGCTATCTTCGTCGGACGGGTAAGTTTCACGAGAGTTGGGTGTACTGCGGCATGGCACACCGCATAGCAGAAGGTCTGGGCTTGCACCTGCCGATCTCAGACGCAAGTCAGGCGGAGAGAGAGGAGAGACACAGGACGTGGTGTGCTGCCATCTGGATGTCCAGGTCAGTTTTCGGAGATTCTGACTCTTTGTTGGTATAAGCTTGAAGTATTGACCCTTTCGACAGAATGCAAAATATCACGTACGGCCACTTCCCAGCCGGCGGTACCTTCAAAATATCTCCCCTCCCACAAGACATCGATGATGAAATGATGGAACTGGATCCGTCGCTTCCCGACAAGGAGCAACCTCCAGATGTGCCATCCCGGATATCCTTCTTCCGCTATGGCCTCACCCTATCAGATATTGTGAACTTTCTAGTCAGGTATATTTATCTCCCAACTCTTCACGTCGATCTGGCACGCTAACTAAATATGTAATTACCAGGGTTCTCTCCGAGCCGGCCCCGGGCGAGGACAACCTCATGCCAGCAGAGGACTTCACCAACACCATGCTCAACCTCGACGACAGGCTGCAGCGCTGGCACGAGGAGCTGCCAGACCACCTGCGCGAGTTCAGCGGCGACCTCCGCCCGGGAGGCATCCTCGAGAGGCAGTACTACCTGCTGCGGTGCCGGTTCCTGGAGACGCGCATCCTCATCTTCCGCACGGAGCTCATGAGGCTGGCGCGCAACGAGCAGGCGCAGAAGATCGTGCTGGCCACGATGCTGCGCCGGTCGCTCGCCAAGGGCATGGTCGAGAGCTGCCTGGAGAGCATCAAGGAGATGGTGGGCCTGGCGTCGGTGCGCAAGGACAGTCGGCTTATGCCACCAAAGCCGCACATGATATGTTGTAGGCCATTTTCTTCTTTTCCCTGTTGAAATGGTGTTGATCTTCGTGACTGACGTTCGTTTTCCTTCTCCCCGATAGCATATCTGATTATGGGTACCATCATCGCTATGGTTATCCGCTTGCCTTTCTTCAGACGACTGCTGTCTGGAGAGGAGTTGATGAGCCAGCGAACGCAGTTCGACAAGTGCCTCCGGTGTCTTCTGGATCTAGACCCTCAGGAATTTCCCTTGGCGGCCAAGTCGGCGGATATTCTGCGTAGCATGTTGTCTGACGACGCAGAATCCGGTAGGACTCGCCTCTTTCAAAGAGACCAGGATAAGAACGCGATAGCTAACGATCATATTTTATCCACAGACCATCATCAGGCAAATGGGGATGGTCTCATAGGCCAGCCAAATCAACAGGGCCACATTCTTGGTCATCAGCAGGTCATGGATCCTTCTATGGCTGAGGGCAATGGCATGGCCTTCGCCAATGGGAATGGGGCTGGGATGATGGGTCCGCTACAGGATCCATACGGAGAAAGGACAGCCGGAGAGTTGGATGTGTGGTTGTCTGGAGACTTTGCGGATGCATTCGGGTTCTACTCGAACTTGTCCGACATGGGTCTTGAGGACTTGGGCGTCCGGAGCGGTCCTGGGAACGTGATGTCCTTCTGGTAATTAGAGTCGGATTTTGGGATCCAGAGTGTTTTACATAAAGATACCACTTGCGCTATTATGAGAGAGAGAAAGCTTTGACAAGGAAAACTAATGAGCTACGTGATGTTCAACTATCTCGATACCTCATTGGTCTAGTTCTTCTTGTTTTTCTTGCCCTTGTTGTCCTTACCCTTGTTGTCCTTACCCTTGTTATCCTTGCCCTGGTTAGCCTTTCCCTGGTTAGCCTTTCCCTCGTTGGCCTTTCCCTCGTTGGCTTTGCCTTTGTTGTCTTTGCCCTTGTTATCTTTGCCCTTGTTGGCATCAGCATTGGCGTTGGCGTTGGCATTCGCAGCATCAGTCGCCTTGGCAAACTGAGCATCGATGGACTGGAACACAGCGCCGGGAGTCGCCGCGCCACCTACAGTCATAGCTTAGCTCCTCTCCTCCTGTGGAATGACTTATAGACATTTCTTACCGTCGCCAGCCTGTGCAAGGGCAACTGCCTCGGCAGCGTCCGCTGCTGCTGCGAGACCCTGAGTGGCAAGCCATTAGTGCTCATATATCATTGTCCGATGGGTGCTTGTGGCTTCAAACCTTTTCGCCATTACTGGCGGCGGCGTTGACGCTCTCCTCGGCCCTCGCGGCGTTGATCACGGGGTTGGCTGCCACGCAAGCGGCGAGGAAGATGACAAAGGCGCCAGTATACTTCATTGTGAATATCGGGGGAAGAAAAGGTTCTAAGAAAGAGGCAATTAAGGAATGACTGAATTGAAAGAGCACAGCTTTTTATTCGTCAGCGAAACTTCGCCCGTCAAGTTCAAGAGCCGGAGTGACTTACCTCTGTATAAATAAAAGATAGGCGAATGTAAAGGAATCAAGACCAGCGATGGGAAAGAAAGGGGAAACAAAAGCGCCAAGACGATGCGAGCGCATCCCTCCTTTAAATAGAGCTCGAGTGCTCCCTGCTGTCTGGGCGCCTGGAGATCATCTCATCTGGCCCGGTGTGCGCATTGATGATCGACGCCCCGTGCCGGACGGCAGAAGCGGCGGGCGCACCGAAGTTGGAGCTCGACGTGTTTCAGCGGCGCCGCGAGTGCCAAGCACATCAAACGGGCGACCTGCACGGTCTGGTCTGGTTCCGTGCGTCTTCCGATACAGGCCTCGTCAGCTCTACGCGGAGGGTTCATTTCTGCCGGTCACGCAACGGCCCAGTTGAGGAAACGATGCGCAGATTTGTGATACCACCCAATCTTGGATGTCGCCACAGGCCAGCCTTGGCAATGGCCAGCCGTTATTCAGGGTCTGCTAGCGAAGGCTGCCTTTCTTCCAGCTTCAGGTCCAGTTTAGGAGTTGCTTATCTCCTTCATAGAAACTAGCTGCGGATAGGTAGATACCTAGAATGAGTGAACCATCTTTGAAAGGGCTTACGAATACCCTCGGGTACCTCTTCTTCGGACGAAGACCAAGAGGCCAATCTCTCTAAGCAAGCCACAACGTGCCAGAGCGGTGAATCTACACCTCATGGGGCTCTCGCTGATTTGCCGCTCGACTGATTTAGAGCGACTTTTTGGGACCAAAGCCGCAAACAAAGTCTCACGGAATGTGCGCTAGTTACCGACGGGGCAATGCGTGAAGCATTGGGGTGGCGCTGGTCCCAAGGCCTAGCCAGGCTGCCAAAACTCTATTCCTGACTCGCACTTCAGCTGAAGAAAATAAACCATGTCCCGAGGGAAAAAGAAAGCCGTCCCCAGTGATCAATCACCCTCTGCTTGGCCGTGGGCACTTCGGGTACGGTACGGCGTCATCAGGGCCTCGCATTGATCATGTCCGGCACAGGAGATCACAACCGGCACGGGCCCGAGCAAAGTGCTCACTCTACGGCAATCCCAGCAGACGAGGTGCACGCCCAAGACCGGCGCGGGTCTAGCCCCCCGGGTGCAGCAGCTGCAACCGCCTCAGGGTCGTTCGTCTCATCCGAGGCCGAGAAACCGCAGGCGAAGCAGGAACCGGCCAAATACCTCGTCGAGGAACAACAGCGATCCAATGAAGAAAGCTCGCATGCCGCGCTCGGTCAGCCAAAGGTCTTTTGCCCTAGCAAGCAGCTCCGGGGGCTGCTGTTCATGGGTCTGCTGCGATGGCTCCTGACCGCGGCCATCATCGGCGGCCTCTACGGCGTGCTGTACCACTACTCGTCGCTTCACGTCATGAGTCACAAGACCAAACGGCAGTTCAACGTGCTCGTCACCGGTCTCTCGATAGCGATGGGTCTGAGTATCGCGAGTAGCTTGAAGCGCATCGCCACTGAGCTTCGGTGGTGGATTCTCAGTCGGCGCGAGAGGTCTCTGCGGGAGGTACGTGGGACACATCGGTGAACTTGGCTGGGGCAGGACTGGCTGACTGAACTGCTTTGTGCAGATGGACATGATCCTTGGTATCGAATGCATCACTCGAGTGATCCAGCTGATGTTTCAATCAACCCGATGGACCGTTCATCTTACGGCAGCCGCTTGGCTGGCAATCCACGTTGTGAGTGCCCCCGAAACCGCATTGCATCTTCCATGGACGATCTGACCTAGCCTGATGATAGGCCTCCCAAATCGCCGTCGCATCCCTTGCCCTGACCTATACCGTCGACGCCGCAGAGGAGTTCGCCGTTTTCCATCCTGGCCTGGTATCGATAGCGAATATGTCACGGCTCATACCGCAGCGAACAGTCACCGGAAATCCAGACACTCTTGGGGCATTGCAGTACGGTGCAAACAGGTATTAACATCACTCTAGTCAACGGCTGGCCGCCCTGCGAATAGAAACTAATATGCGAGACAGCTACGGCACGATAGCCCTCGGCTTCAACATCAACGCCCCGTTCAATACTACCCAAGACCCTGGCGAGCTCTGGACCACCGAGTCTCCTCTCGTGTACTGCGGTCCGCCCGAGGCCTACTGCGAGACCATCCTCCTCGACAGCGCGCCCAACCCGGCCGACAACATCGTCGTCGTCACGAACCGCCGCATCCGCACGACGACGGTGTGCAAAGCCTTCCCCGTGATCAGCGGCGGCAACGGCAGCACCCTGTCCATCAACGTTACCGAGCAGGACGGCGGCAGGGTCAACAGCGTCGGCATCCCCATCGCCGGCGGCGCCGACCAGACGACCTACATGACCAACGACTACGACCACTGCGGGCCCTCGTGCAGCGTCGTCTACGCCTTCGAGGCGTCGGCCACGGACCCCTGGTTCTACGAGTGCAACGTGACCATCGGCAACGTGACCAACGCGAGCCTGCCCGAGCAAAACGTCGGCACGAACCTGACGTCCATGGCCTCGGCCGCCATCGCGCTACAGGGCTACGCCGCCTCGTCGCTGACGCTGGACCCGCGCCTACAGTACCAGATGTACCCGGCCGAGTCGGTCTACGGCTCCCCGAGCCACGGCGACCCGGAGGACCAGGGGCTGACGATCTCGCTCTTCACGACGGGCGTCCTGGCCGTGGCCGGCTTCATCAACCCCAAGGTCAACGTCACGGGGATGACGCCGAGCTCGGGCACGACGCTCAACGTGGGCCACTGGCCGTTCGTGCACCTGATCCTGTGCCTGTCGGCGGGCATCCAGCTCGTCCTGGCCGTCGGGGGCGCGCTCATCGCCAACAGGGTCGTCGTCCAGGACGACAGCCACCTGGTGGCGGCGCACCTGCTCCGGCGCGTCGTCGACAAGGTCGGGGACGGCAACAGCATGGCGTCGGGCAAGGAGATGGCGGAGCTGGCGAGCACCTCTGGGGCCAAGTTCTCGTACGGAGCGGAGAAGCTCGAGGGGCGGGACGTCTACCGGCTGCGCATTGAGCCTGGCAAGCCGAATCGGCATTTCCCGAAGGGCAAATATGATTGAGCCGATTAAGTGTCGAAGAGAAATAGCTCCAAAGCAACTTTTAATTACATAAAAACTTAGAATCAAATAGAAAAAGTGAATTGTGTCAATCTACACTGTGAACTGGTAGTGTCGCCCCTGAGTCCTGACCGGGTCTACCGGAATTGACGAGAGAGCTCACGCCTGAATTATTCCTGGTTGCACCCAGAGAACTAAGATGTATTACTTGTTTTAATTCTCGATCTAAGGAAGAGGAAGCCTATTATAAATGGATTTTTTTTTCTTCTCGGCGCCGGTACCCAAGCCTTAAAGAGTGTCAAGTCTGAAATGTGAGGCGGCCGGAGGAGTTACAAAATCGCCCCGACTCTTAGCTGACCAACGGCCAATCATCATTTTGGGTTATGTAACTCTTAAGTGCCGAGCTGCAAACTGAACAGCTCGGGAAGAACGGACAGAGTAAGAGTTCCAGCATGTTATATAAAGATTTAAATTAGTTGAGTGTACAATCTAGGCGCTTCTGACATTGAACAACGCCCCCGGAAGTATTTAAGTGCACGGCGCGGACCTCTCTTGCCTCTTAGCCTTTCAAGTTCGGACAAACCCCCGACCACAATTACGACCAAGTGAACTCACCCATTGGATCTATGGCCAGCCGTCGCATCTTCGTCATTGGCGCCACAGGTGCCCAGGGCCTCCCGGTATGCCGCGGCCTCGCCAAGGATGGAGCCTACAGCTTGCGAGTTCTTACTCGTGACGCCAGCTCCGCTCGGGCACGACAACTGGCCGAGCTCGGCGACGTCGAGTTCGTCGAGGGGACATTCGCCAGCGAGGACAGCCTACGCAAGGGCTTTGCAGGCTGCTGGGGCGCCTTCGTCAACATTGACGGGTTCAACACGGGCGAGAAGACGGAGACTTACTGGACGATTCGCGCGTATGAGCTCGCTATCGAATCGGGCATCAAGTTCTTCGTCTTCGGAAACCTGGACTACGGGTACAAGAAGAGCGGCTACAACCCCGAGTTTCGCTGCGGCCATTACGACGGCAAGGGCCGCATGGCCGAGTGGATGCTCAGCCAGCGGGGAAGCCATGGTATGGGCGTCGCGGTCTTCACTACGGGCCCTTACATCGAGATGACCATCTCCTCCAAGACGATCATGACGCCTCGTGTCCGGGATGGTGTTGTCACCTGGGCAGTTCCGCTCGGCGATGGCGCGGTCCCGCACGTCGCTCTCGACGACTGTGAGCACTACGCGCGCTGGCTCTTCGACCACCCAGAGAGATCCGATGGCATGAATCTAGAAGTGGCCATCGACCACATCCCCTACGCGGACCTTGCTGCGGCTTTCCAGAAGGTCACCGGCAAGCCCGCGCAGTACATCGACGTCCCCGCGTCGGCGTACTTTGAGCACGTGCCCATAGCTGATGAGCCGGCCGGGTACAACGCCGACCCCAAAGACCCTGCGACGATGACGTTCAAGCAGAACTTTTCGGGGTTCTGGACGCTGTGGAAGCACTCTGGCGGGAATCGAGGAGTGGTCAAGAGGAACTACGCTCTGTTGGACGAGATCCATCCCGAGAGGATCAAGACTGCAGAGGAGTTCTTCCGCCGAGAGGAAGAAAAGCGTCGCTCGTCCGGACTCCCCGGTCTATACGATATGATCGAGAGTGGAGGTATGGGTTCTATTCTCAAGCTTAGTGAGGATAATAGGCAGGGCAAATTGTGATCCGGCGGAGCAAGTCGCTCGACAGGGTGCAGTATCTGATTAGGACATTCGTTCAAATATACATTGACATTGATTAATCCACAATTGGAATCGATTCACTCCTGAAGATCCAGTTGGCTTAACATGTATGTGAAGCAGCTTGAGCCGAAGCTAGACTCGTGTGGTTGACCAACTACTCGATTTCCTTCACCAGACCCCAGCATTTCCGCATTCCGGTGCCCATCGACTCGTCTTCTATAGAGTCGCTCCATCGGAGGGGGCGCTGGGGATCATTCGATACAAATGCACTGTCCACCTCATCTCCGTCGTCCAGGGTGAACAAGTGGACGTGCATTGTGAGTTTGATATGCGAGAACAGCCAGGGGACCGACCCCAGCTCTCCGTGATGTCGCAACTGGCTGCCGGCCTTCGTACTACTACTCAACAGACCAGGGCCAAATGACTTTGCGAGTTGTTTCCGTCTCTTGGGTGTTCTCTCTTCTGCAGTCGGCAGGTCTTTGCTCGGAAACTCCCATAGACCGGCCAGCAGGCCCTTTTGAGGGCGCCGCTGGATCAGATACTGGCCATCATTCCGCCGGATCGCGCAAACGATAATCTCCTCCTGCCTGACGGCCTTCTTGATTGTCTTAACCGGAAACCTTTTGGCATGATTGACAATGGCCTCCAATACTGCGCCAGAGTCTGCCTTGGGGGGTGCATTCGAGGCAGGTTTGCCACCTGTGGACTGTTTAAAGGCAAATGATGACAGCGTAAGTTGCTTCTTCGCCTTTGGTTTGGCCTTGGCGTTGTCATCCGAGACAGCCTCTAAAGGCGTCGCCTCGTCTTGGTCCTCGTCAAACGGCTGGCAGAATGTGCATAGGTCTTCGACGTCTCGAAGTGCGGTCTGAGACTTGCCGGCAGCTTTCTTAGCCGCCTTCTGTTTCCCCTCAGCATAAGCTCTACATGTCGAGGTGATGGGACAGGAAGAACAGTCTGGCTTTGGCGTACAGATTGTGCTTCCGAGCTCCATGAGCGCCTGGCCCCATTGCCCGGGTCTGTCACTGATCGGCGGCTCTTCCTGTGAGTGATCTTGGCCGTCTTTCGTACCGGCGCCATCCCACGCGACAGCCTTGACGAGCGCACCTGCAGCAGCCCACAGTAGATCAATCACAGCCTTCTCGGTCTTGACATCGACATACAGCCCCAACTGGCGGCTCAAGACCCTCAGCACATTCCCGTCAACCATGGGCGCCGGCCGCCCGTACACGATGGCCGATATCGCACCGGCCGTGTACGGACCCACGCCGGGCACCTTGGCCGCGAGCTCGCGCGCGTCCTCGGGCAGCAGGCCCCTCATGGCCGGGTCCGCGACCACCAGCTTCGCCGCCTCGTGGATGCGCGTCGCGCGGCTGTAGTACCCCAGCCCGCGCCACATGGCCAGCACGTCGTCGGCGTCGGCGGCGGCGAGGTCCCGGATCGTGGGCCAGGCGGCCATCCACCTGGTCCAGTAGCCGATGACGACGGCGACGCGCGTCTGCTGCAGCATGATCTCGCTGATCCAGACCTCGTAGGCGCGCCGCTCGAGCAGGCGGCGCATCTCGTCGTCGTCGCCGTCGTCAGTGCCGCCGCCGCCGCGGGGGTCGAGCCACGCCTTGCGCCAGGGCATGGCGCGCGCGGTGCTCACGGAGTCGAACCATGACAGGAGAGATGCGCGTCCTGCGGGCCCTTCCGGGCCGTCGAGGAGTAAGGGACGGTGGTAGCTCAGGTTGTGCAGGCGCGCGGAGAGTGCGCACGCTTCCCGGTCGGCACGTAGGTGTCCTGCGGCGGTGCCGAACAGGCGCTCGTGGAGCTGTGCATTGCCGTTGGGTTTCCGCGTCCCACCTTTGGTTGTTTTCTGCTTCTTCCGCAGTGGTTGCGGGGCTTCTACTGCCTCCTCCTCCTCATCCTCCTCTCCCTTGATCACAGATCCTGGTGATGATGGTGCATGATCTTCGCTCGACGCGTCAGACGCGTCTTCAGGTGGCGGCGACACGCTACTGCTGGGTTGCTTGGCCCGGCGGGTGAGCTGGAAAGCGTCTGGCTCATCGACTGGCTCGTTCTGCAGCTGGACTGATATCCTCTTAGATGCTGCAATCGAGCTCTGTCTGCGCAGGGTTTGTTGCGAGCGCTTCATGATATTGATGACAATGCGCATAGTCTGATTGGACTTTTACCAGCGCCGCACTGCCTTTTCGAGTTGTTGCCCAGAGATACCGAGTGGTGAGAGCGCACGGACCACCGCGTCTCTTCAACTTCATCGAGCACATGCATGCATGAAGTGGCTCGTACAGACACTGACACTGAACCTTCAGACCAATGAACACTGATATTTGCTATTTGCCGTTAACCAGATGTTTCGATCTGAAATTACCTCTCTTATTGCCCAACAAGAACACCATCTTTCCCATACTTCCGGAGGGGACGTGTTCGTATGTCGACCTTACATTGCAGGATGGTCAACATCATCCTTGCCCTACATCATTCAGTCTAGGCCGGTCAGGTTGCACGTCTCGGAGAAGTCATCTGGTTCCGATCCTGCATCTTCATCCCAAGAGCGGTGAGATCCTATGAACCAAACTGATGCGGAACATTGCCGGCTTACGACAACGCGGATCAGCGGATCCCCAGAGTCTCTACCAATACTGCACAACGCGATCCTGTCTCAAACGTCATCCTCAAAACTTTACACTGGTGTTCTTGTCTACTGGCTTTGAGTGTTGTTGAGCATTGCCGGGCGTTGCACCGCGCTTACTGCTACTGATCGTTGTCAGCCCCGGTGCCACCGTGACTAAGATTCTTGTAATTATTCTTTACGCAGCTCGTATAACATTGCTGTCGGTATGCTCCAATACAGCCAGGATCAACAATGGTGGTATTTCACTGTGTTAAAGTATCAAGTACCAGAATGATGGTGAAAAGACACGAGAGAAAACTATTAAAAGAGCTTTCTCCCATGTGAAAATATGTTCGAAAATATGAGAGAAACCATATCCTATTATTTGAAGCATCACTCCTAAACCAATACCTCTCAAGATCTACTCTTCTAATTTCACATACATTCAACCATGCAGACTACTACTCACGTAATTGCCCTGATGACAGCGCTCGTCGCTGGTGTCAGCGCCACCAATATTGTGCGTTTCATTCCTGTTTTCGCGTTTTAGCTCACCCATGAAGCAAATGTAATAACCTGCGTCGAGACTGACAAGCAGCGAATAGCACGCCAATAGCGGCTGCATCGTCATCAACTCGACACCTCTATGCGCAGGTGGCGGGACCGTTAGCGTTACCAGCGGAAGCGCCACCATCTACGGCCGCTTCGACGGCAATGGCCAGCCGCCAAAGACCTGGTCGGGCTGCATCCTCAATGCTGAATGGCCTGCGGACTACGGCGATATCTATTACGGGGCTGACAACTGCCTGTATGATGGCACCGGTAAGTGAGGGGTGGTCAACGTCCTGACCTGTGTTGACCAGGTGTGACCGAGTAAATCGCAGCTGACCTCTATCACAGCACAGAACATCGGAGGACAGTGCTGCACGACCGGCCAAGAATATGTAAGTTGAAGTCCCACCTCTTTCCTCTGTACCCCTGCACAAGCACACCTCTCTTTCCCATAAGGAATGCAAAAGTTTGGTCCTGGAAACTGATACTTGACCAGGTTGTGAACCCTTACCACTAGTCGGGACATCCGTCAGGCTCCTATCAAGACGAGCCTCCCAGTTCAGGAAACTTGGACCAGTACGCTGTCAGCTCACACCACGGAGTCATTCGCTTATTCACAAGGACGAGAAGCGTACTGGGGATCGCAGGATGCTTCCAAAGTTGTACTCTCTCTTATTCATGTCATTCGTTACCTCCTCGCCAGTAGCTCTTATCTAAATGCCAACGCTCGAAGAATGGCCTTTAGTTCTTCGTTCATATCTTCCCACCCCCTCTAAGTGAATCTCATAACGACACTGAATATTTATCCATTCTGCCTGGTTGTCATCTCTCCGTATCCCAAACATATCTCCACCAGTCACCATAGACTACCCTTCACAGCCCTTTGAGTGAAGCAACCCACTCCTCAGTCAGGCCCTTGTAATCCTTCGGCTTGTACGGCTCAACCAGCTCCGCCATCTGCGAGGCCTTCCGCCGCGGGTTCAGACCCAGGTCGTTGACCAGAAGGTCGACATAGGGGACAGAGTCGAACGCAAAGTCCGGGATCGCGGCGCCATAGCCACAGGGGTACCTCCACTTGCCGAACTGAGTGTGCAACATCACCTCCTTGAGGACCTCGGCGTCGTTCTTGGGCGACCTCTTCAGCTTGCCGTCGAGGAAGGCCGAGATCCACAGCGCCTGGACGCTGGCAAACGTGGCCGTGCAGACCGTCGACACCATACCCGCAAACGCGATGTTGCGCTTGAAGACCGCATTGGTCGGGACGATGAACCTGTAGTTCCGCAGGGGCTCCTGCTTGATGGGTGTATACCGCAGCACGGGCTGGTCTTTGAGGCCTGGAAACATCTCCCGGACCTGCTGGTCCGCGGCGTCTGAGAGGCGCTCTTTGTCCGCCTTTGAGTGTGGCAGGCCGGTGTCGAAGTTGACGTGCCTGATGCCGGAGTCCTTCTTCCAGCCCGTGGCGCAGATGACGACGTCGGTCGCGAGGGCCTGCCCGTCGGTCAGGTGCACCGTCGTGCCGTCGAGCCTCTCGACGTCGGCGATGTGCACGCGCACCTTGCCCTCGCGGATGAGGTCGAAGAAGTTGGTGTCGTAGTTGTGGATGCTGACGCCGCTGCCCGTCCACTGGGCGCCGTGCCAGGGCTTCAGCTTGAAGACCTCGGGGTGCTCATTGAAGCCGTGCGCCTCGACGATGTCGGAGCTGATCAGGCTCCAGAAGGCCTTGACCATGAGGTTGCCCGGCAGGGTGCCGTGCAGGAACTTGCGCACCACGCCGTAGCCGTCGTCGTCCCAGGGCACGGGGCTGAACCACGTCAGGGCCCTGGTGCTGAGGAGCTCCTCCATCATGCGCTTCAGGGGCGTGACCCAGGGCGGGGAGATCCACACGGGGCCCTGGCCGCTGGGCCGCACGATCAGGTCGACCTGGGCGCCGCCCTCCGTGGCGTAGGCGTAGGCGCAGTCGAACGCCGACTTGGCGCCGCCGACGATGACGGCCCGCTTGCACGTCTTGACCGTGTCCGCGTGTGTGCGGAAGTCCTTGGCGTGGAAGAAAGGGGGAGTAAAAGTCTCTTGACCGGGATAGGTGGGTAGGTTCGGGTTCGAGGTCAGACCCGAGGCGACAATGAGCTTTTTCGTGTGCAGGATCTCGGGCTTGCCGTCGCCCTTGGTCGGCTTGACGTGGATCTTCCAGCTGCCGTCGTCTACAGACTCGATGGCATCGACAGCCGTGTTGAAGCGTGTCCTCTCAAAGACGCCGAACTTTTTGGCAAAGTCGGTCAGATACCGGTGCAGGGTAGCTGCCGGGATGTGCTCGCCGTACTTGACACCGTAGACCTCCTCGACCATGGGGAAGTCGGGGTACTCATATGAGCCCCAGAGGTTGTTGGACTTGAGTCCGGGGTAGAGTCTGTCGTGTGACCATGTCCCGCCACATGAGCTCTCGGCCTCGACAATCAGAACCTTCTCCGTGGGGTGCAGCTCAATGTACGACTTTGCAGCGGCGAGACCAAACCATCCTAATACAGTGTCAACAATGAATGACCGCAAGGCTTCGGGAAGGTGTTTCTCATAGCGGGGACTTGTGACAAGGTATAATTCAGGAGGGCAACTCAGGAAATCACTCTTTAGCACTTACCAGCACCAATAACGATACAATTGTAAATTTCAGCCATGTTTTCTTTTGATCCCTGGGATTAACTATCTGAAGAGATTTCAACCCGAGCACTTGTGGATTTACTCTGTTGACGCTGTGCCCTTATATCACAGAAGAAGCCATGAGTGACAACTCGTCGGGTAAAGCCCCGTTAGCTTAGACGGGGCATTGGTCCAGAGATAGCGGCAAGCGAACCTATTCTTCTCTCCGCAAAGGACCCCAGACGGGGACGGGTAGGATAACTCATCCAACCAATAAGGTGTATTCCATATCCGAAACCCGCGACCTCGACTCGAGCCTGTCGATAAGCTTGGCCGCTGTCACCAGAGATCCATGCAGAGAGAGCCGCATGGCGAGGACACGCCGGGTCGTTCCAGCAGACAAGGGAACGGTTGCTCTCCTAGCAGGGTGTTGCGGGGAAAGTGTGTGGGGAATTCGGCGGCTCAGAGACTCAGTAATGCCACCGAGAAGGAAGACGAGATAAACTAGTCTGGAAGCTATCCTCGCGTGCGTAGCCAAACAATGGAGCAAGAGCCCCAACTGGGGCAACATGATCGCCCCCTAACCGTTCCATTTGTGATTGGATGGTCTAGCATTATAGTTGGTATTTGATAAGCTTTCAGCGTGTCCAGTCAGCACTACGAAGCTATTTGTAGATCTTAGCCTCCTCAAGTGCCGGCACTCTGCGCAACCCCGTGAATGTTCGCCAGCTCTGATATCCCGTCAGAGCATGGCAGATTGATGACGGAGCAGGTTGGCGAAAGGAAAAGAGGCTCAAGAGGGAGGGCCAGAATAGTTGCCGGAAGCTCACCAGGATTTTAATGCTGACAATGCATATCCTTGCTCAGGGACCTGCGAGGGCTATCCCACTTAAGACCGTGGATTTGATGGATGTTCAAGCACCTATTAGCGGCCCGTCGATCACTGTCCGAAGCGGTGCTCTCTTGGGTTCAATTGCCGCCCCTTCAGTGCGGCGGGAACCGCACACCCTATCTCTTTCGTTTATATCTTTCGTTGAGGCACGTGCCGCTCAAGTCGGCATGCATCTCGGGACGCTCGCTAATTTCAGCTGGCGGCTGGGAGGCGGCTACAAAGCCTGTCGACCCCCACGACTCAACTGCGGCACAACTGAAGATGATAGCGAATTAAGTAGCCGAGTGAACGTCACATCGACATGTTCTCTGAGGCTTCCTCCAAGAGAGATAAATATCACGTATTTAGGTGAACAGGACAGACAAATTGCGCTAGGTACGAGTAGATAGCCATCCGTTACTGCGTAAATGTTCAAGAGTACATAGATCAACTCAGCTTGGCTCGTCATGCCGAATCCGGACTTGTAAGGAGCTACTTGTCTTCAATCTTAGTCAAAGTCGGGTAGGTAATTACCCCAAACATCTTGTCAAGGGCCTGTCCTTCGTGGGGGCTGGGCAATTTGAGCCTCCTTATCTTCTTCCCCAGGTCTCCCGCCGGTGTTCCAGACGATTCATACTAAACGAGTCAAGGCCAGCTAAAGATTGCGCGAGCAATGGAGACCCCAACGCCACTGGGGCCACCTTGCCCAGGCATTTGTGCCACCGCCGAATAGCACTGGAGGTGAGGTGCGGAATTCGGAGACTAGTTGCGGCTGCTCTCATCCGCTCTCCACGCACCGTTTCCGACTGCAAGACTGTGAACCGACTTCACATGTCGATCTCTCGCTATCGTCGCTATCGATAACAAGTTGCATTGAAGAGTCAATACGATTTTGAACAAGAACACGACTTGACTACTTATCACAAAGTCACAAACCAAGGTCTCAATTGGCGCGAAGATGGCAGACAAGCTTGAAGATGTGCGGCCCATGTTTGAGTTGCGGAACCGCAACTACATCGTCACCGGCGGTGCACAGGGTATCGGATTCGCGGTGACACGCGCGATATGCGAGATGGGCGGCAATGTCGCCGTGATGGACCTGCAGGAGAAGCCCGTCGACGAGTTCAACACGCTCAGCAGCAAGTTCGGAGTCAAGACGGTGTACATCCAGACAGACGTGACGGTCGAGTCGAGCTTAAACAATTCCTTCGCGAAGGCGCTCGAGGCGCTGGGGTCCATCGACGGCCTCGTACCGTCTGCCGGCATTGCCATCGATAAGCCATTCATCGAGCAGACTTGGGCGGAATTCACCAGGATTCAAGAGGTCAATGTACGTCGCAAACACACCAAGCCAATGGCCGTATGACGCACTGCTGATAACCATGACATTAGGTCCGCGGGACGTTCTTCATCGCCCAACTCGTGGCCAAGCAGATGCTGAAACAAAAGACCGGCGGCAGCATGGTCCTGCTCGCCTCGCAGTCCGCCCACATTGCCCTCCCGGGCTACCGCATGGCCGCTTACAACGCCTCTAAGGGCGGCATACTAATGTTGGCAAAGGCTCTCGCGGTCGAACTAGCGCCGCACAACATCCGCGTCAACACTATCTCCCCGGGCTTCGTGGATTCAGACATGACGAGGAACGTGCGCGCGATGAAGAGCAAGAGGGAAGGTGATCAGATGTGGCTCGCACCGCCGAACCAGCGGCTGAGTACGCAGAGCGACTTGACCGGGGCCGTTGTGTATCTTCTGAGCGATGCGGCGAGACATACCACTGCGGCGGATATACCCATCACTGGCGGTCTTCATGCGGGCACCATTGACGGTGTCATCAGCTATGAGTGATACGACCGCACGCTATATCATTATGTGATAGGAGGAAAATAGACAGAAATGGAATAGGTGCAGAAGCCTTGACTTTGGCAAGTTCATCTCAAAGAAGACACACCTTCCATAGTCAAATGACACGGTTATGACACATGGATATCTCCCTTGCCATTAGAAAGATACCGTTCAACTCACCATAAGACGGGGATATACAATGCTAAACTGCAAGGTAACCTCTCAGGCCCGAAAGAACTTCGCTGCGGTACAGCCTGAGCCATTACGAGTAGAAAAGACCAAAGCCGAATGATACATGTTGGCAGGGCCGTGATTATCCGGGAAAGAGTAGTGAACTCTTTCTCCGAGACATGTTCCCAGTACTTCCGTCCCATATAGGTACCATTGATCAAACGTATGAACAGAGATATGTGGGCAAAGGAAGAGGCTTTATGGCCCCAACTCAGACGGATTATGGGACCGTGGTGTGAGGAAGAGCTGGGGCACGCAGTTGGATGACCAGCCCGGCCTCCTCCACTCTTGGCCCGTCCCAGAACTTACAGTATTGGGGTTTTCCTTTTCAAGCAAGCCGTTACGGCATCCCGCCAGTTCCTCTGCCATTAAGACACCAGCCAAGACACCAGCGAGGAGGAGTTTTCCGCTTCGCGCAAGTCCGCAAACAAACCTCCGCCAGCGCTAAGCCGCTTCCAGCACTTCCGCACTAACACCAAGCCGCTCTCCGACGGGAGTGAGGGGGGGTGAGATCATCACTAAATACATCGTCGTGGATTTAATGATGAAGATTTCTTTGTTGCGATTTTCTATATATCCTGTTTTGAATCCTGTGTTATCATCTGTATGATTGCGGTGTAAGACCAAGTCTCATCTCCTTGCTGTTAGTCGGCCTGCAGCTTCGGGTTACACAGAATTTCAGCAGAAAGGGAAACACACACACAATGCTAAGAACAACATTCAAGAGGGCCCTGCAGACCAGCGGCTGCCAGGTCCGCGCAGTCAGCATGGCGGCCGTGAACGCCGAGGCACCGCAGAGGGCACCGAAGCGAGAGGGTGACATCTCGAGCGTGTTTGCATCCCTGTCCGGCATGGAAGACACGCCCCTGCCGGACCGCTTCCGGGAGCTGAAACTGTCGCTGGTCGCCGGCCATGAGCAAGAAGTCCAACATAGCTGGAAGAGGCTACTCGTGGCTCTGCAGAAGGAGAACGATATCGTCGGCAGTCAGAAGTCCAACGTCATCCCCGAGGTCGAGTACGCCAACCTCGAGGCCGACCTGGTCAAGAAGCAGGGCGAGCTGAGGAAACGCGGCGCCGCCATCATCCGCGGCGTCATTCCGGAGCAGGAGGCGCGGGCGTACAAGGACGAGGTGGAGGCGTACGTCCGCAAGAACCCCGGAACAAGGGGCTTCCCCGCCGACAACCCCCAGGTCTTCGAGCTCTACTGGTCCCCGCCGCAGGTCAGGGCCCGCTCGCACCCGAACCTGGTCCGCGTGCAGAGGGCCCTCATGCAGTCCCTCTGGCACGTCTCGAGCCCGCGCGCGCCCATCGACACCTCCCAGCCCCTGGCCTACGCCGACCGCCTGCGCATCCGGCAGCCGGGCGACGCCAAGTTCGCGCTGGGCCCGCACCAGGACGGCGGCAGCGTCGAGCGCTGGGAGCGCGAGGGCTACGGCCGGGGCGGCGTGTACGACGCCGTCTTCGCGGGCCGGTGGGAGGAGTACGACCCCTGGGACGCGAGCGGGCGCGTCGACGCCGTCATCGACCTGTACGACGGCATGGGCGGCTGCTCCATGTTCCGCATGTTCCAGGGCTGGCTGAGCATGTCGCACAGCGGGCCGCGCCGGGGCACGCTGCTCGTCAACCCGCTGCCGCAGCTGTCCCTGGCGTACACCCTCCTGCGGCCCTTCTTCCGCCCCCGCAAGGAGCTAGACCTGGACGCGACGCCCGCCAGCTCGCCCGCCAGGCGGGAATACCTCGACCCGTCCAACTGGGAGTTCACGGCCGGCGAGGCCATGACGTCGGACCTGCAGGGCGCGAGGCCCTCGCAGGGCCAGGAGTTCCCCAAGCTGAGCATGCACCCCCACCTGGAGCTCGACAGGACCATGGTGCACATCCCGGACGTGAAGCCCGGCGACTTTGTCGTCTGGCATTGCGACAGTAAGCCCGCCCTCACCCAACACTGTCAAACGTGCCTAGCAGAGAGCTAACCATCAGTAACAAATCGCAGCGATCCACGCCGTTGACAAGGTCCACAACGGCGACTCGGACTCCAGCGTAATGTACATCCCCGTCTGCCCGACCACGGAGCACAACGCCGAGTACCTCGTGCGGCAGAGGCAAGCCTTCCTCGACGGGACTCCAGGCCCGGACTTCCCAGGTGGCAAGGGCGAGGCCGAGCACATCGGCCGCGCCACGCACAAGGATGTGACGGACCCGATGGCGCGCAGGTCAATGGGCTTAGAGAAGCTCTTGGCCGCACCGGATATGCAGCCCGGCGCCAAGGAGGCGGTGCAGAAGGCGAATGCCCTGCTCGGGTTCTGATTTGGACAGAAGCCATCCGCAACAAATTGCAGACAAGCAACATCGAACCGGAGCCGGATGGACACAATGAGCGTTCTTTATGTATTTACTGGCGGGTATGATATGTACAATCCAAGAAACCTCTTCCTCTAGCTCGCCTGGGCAGCCTTCTCCAGGCAGACAGGACACCCGCCGCGGATCCTGTCCTTGAGCAGCCGCGCATGCGTGACCTTGGCGCCGATCATGTTCCTCCTCGTCCCGCTCTCCGCACCGCTCATCCCAAAGTCGGCGTCGACCGGCTCGCCCGGGTGCAGAAACTCCAGCAAATGCGTCAGATGAAATACATGCCCGCAGGCGAACCCCACCAGCGTCTCGGTCTCCCACTCTGTAAACGCCTCGTAACACTGCGCGCAGTGGCCCGGCCTCAACTGCGTCTGGACCGCCGAGTGCTTCTTCTTGTGCCCCTTCTTGCCCGCCGTTTGCTGCTGCGCGCCGCCCTCGTCGTCGCCGTCTTCCGTCTTGGCCGTTTCGCCTGGTTGACTGACGTCTTTTGATGCTTTGATTGTAGGGACATCCTGCGCTTGTACATCCACGTGGTCCTGCCCCTGCACCGTCACCTCGAACTTGATGCCCTTCCTCTGTCCGTTTCGAAGAGTCGCCTGGGCGGCGGCCACCTCGCTCCGGAAGACGCGGGCGACTCCAGAGCTGATGCTGTACTGAATTTCATGCTCTTTCATGATATGTTTGAGACCCTCCCGTAGGCCTTCAATCTCTAGTCCTTCGGGGATCCGCTTCACCAGTGTTATCGGATCAAGAGCGGTTCCAACTTCTTCTAGCAGCCCACGGATGAAACGCGGCTTGTCCATACTGTAGTTGAGTAGATCTTCCCACAGATCTGGGTCGTCTTGCTCTTTCGCAAAAGCAATGGCACGGCTCACATCTCCTAGGCGGTCGATAATGAGGTACAGAGCCCTCTTCATCTGGCCCGTCTTGGAGTAGAGGAAAACAAGCTCGGGGATGAAGTTTGAAGTCTCGCAGACCTCGGCAGCCTGCATCAGAATCAGCGCTGAAACACGTAAACAATACAACGAACAATGCCCAAACTTACCTTCTCAAAGGAATATGATGTTGACACCTTTAGAAAATCCATCAGAAGTGGCCGACCAAAGGTTGCAAAAAGCTCTACTGCAAGATCGGCAAAATCGTCGACCAGCGCCCTGCTCTCAACGATGAGGCGATCATGCGACTCGCCCTGGTGCTCTTTGATGCCCTCGCCCATCCACAGAGCTCGGAGGTAGAAAAACAGGTACAGGTTGTACTCGTCCTTCTGCAGCTGGGAAACGACGATATCAGGCTTGACCAGGCCGTGCTGTGCCTCGTCGACCAACAGTGTGATGGCCTCCGACGTCGCCTCCTGAAGTTCGTCCCGGCTCATTGTGTCGATTTGGTCCATGGGGACACGTAGCGTAATGAAACTTGGTATATCGTCAGCAACGGCGTCCGCTAAATGCCGGTCTCGAATCAATCGGAACGCAGAGTCGGCATCTTGAAGTTTGATGAAACATTTCAGTGCATCTCGGTGCCTGCCATTAGCTTCATAGAGCTTCGCCAGACTTTCCATGACGATCCGCCAGTCTCGCCCCCTCTCTCCATCCTCGACACTGTCCTCCCGGACATCACGATACTTGAGAAGGTTCTCTAGGTTGTCAGTGACAGGCTTAATATCGAACAGCTCCGAAGGCCATCTTTCCAGCAGTTCTCTGAACCGAACCTTGTCATTCTGGATGTAATGGCCCAGGACAACCTCATATATCGTGCCTGGCAGAGGGGGTTGCATGGGTTCTGTCGGGATGTAATTCGCAATCTGATCGAACCTGTTTGCGCCAGCAAAGGTCCACACCCATCTCTCCCAGCGGTCTGCGCTCTTCAAGACTTTGCCAGCCACCTGGCCAGCACGCGTCCAGTCATCTACTTCAACCAGTTGCTTGATCCATAATTCCCCGATGCGCCTCTTCTCCCGTTCAGCCGAGGAGTTGAATGACCGACTGGCGGCATCAATGACGGAGTCTTCGTAGAAATCGTCAGAGCTCTGGGTGGTCTGTGTCTTGGTCGGAGTTGGTGGCGGCAGCTCTGGCAGCTTGTCCGCCGTTGCCATGATCTCAGGGTGATCATCCACCAGCTCCCATGCCCTCTGAAACTCTTGGTGTTCGATCAGCCAAGCCAGGTGATCGCCCAGATCTCTCTTAGTTGCTAGAATGCAGTCGTATGGGCTGTGGATGAAGATCTTGACTCCCGGCTTTGCAAGGTTGGGATGGACACTAAATGATGAGGGCGGTTGGCCTAACCTCATGCTGCCTAACGTACTAGGTACTTTCGATCCAGAAGCGCCATCGTTGCTGTCCTTGCTCTTGACACTAGCTCCAGAGCTGAATAGCATCTTGGGGTTGATGGCTGCATTCCACATGTCGGTGCCGAACCCTGCAAGTGCTTCCAGCGCCCCCTTGGAGGAGACAGCAGCGGCCGCGTTGCGTGCCGGCAAGATGCCAAGATGATAATCGCTCGAAGAGAGCCGTTCGAAACGGCTTACGCTGAGGGTATCCTTGTCAACTTCAGCTTGCGAGGACAGATCGATGATTCGCAGCTCTGGCGGCAGGTGGTTCTGTCGGCGTCGGATGCCACCAGAGGGCTCACTGCTACTTGAAGCATTCGATGGCTTGGATTTATGGCCACGAGGCGTTGGCTCTGATTCTTCGTCCTCATCCTCGTCTTCAGGGACGCAGTAGGCCAAAACCAGTAGTAGGTTCTGCGTGTATAAGGAGATGCCAGAGATGATGCAGTCCATCCGAAGACTAAAGGGGCAAATTAGCACCTATATGGAGACTTCACTTCAATGGAAACTCACAGTCTGACAATCTCGGCTCTTCCAGCCGACCTCTCACCGACATGCTTCCCAACGCCAATACTACCCGGATGGACATGGATGATCCAGATGGAACTGCCCCAGCCAACAATGAGCCGCTCGACTCCATTGTTCCCCTTGTTCTGCTGCTGCTTAAGTTTTTCGATGGCCGGGGAAGCAGTCAATGCTGTCTCAGTCGCAACGTCATCCTCGTCGGTCTCAAGAGCTTGTTCATCTATCCACTCGGCCCGACCTTTCCAAACACTAGCCATCGTCTCCCACTCCTCAGTCTCGGGTCGATCGACATGGCCAATGCGCTTCCAAGCATCCTCGGCATCTGCACTTTCCAAGTGCAACTTTGACCGCATGATCTTAATGCCATGCTCGTTCAGCCATACGACGTACTTTCCCGACAGTGACCACTTGATGGTATTGATGGTACCCTCACCGGAGTGGAGGATCGTATCCTTTGCGGTGTTGGAACTTAGGCCCATACTTCCAAGCCAGCCGGATGTAGTAGCCGCCGCAGTGCCAATTGTGGTCGAGGTACTCCTCCCTGGCTGGCCGCCAACGGTCAGGATTAGGTTCCCGGCCAAGCCACCAGAGAGGTACGTCCTGTCGTTCTTGTAGTCCGGTGACAGCGCAACCGCCTGCACTGGACGGGCAAAGTTTCGTAGCTGAACGTCTTTGTGGTCGATGAGCGACTGAATGCACACATTTCCATCCATAGACGATGTCGCAATGTATATGTTATTGGAAGGCGTGTTCGGTACAGGATTGGGGTCCCTTGGCTTCCTCGACGCCGCCGCAGGAGATGACTCTCCTTGGCGCGAGCCGGGTCGCAGAGGACTAGCTGGCGACGGGGACAAAGCTTTGGAGACGACATCGGGCTTGAGGCTGGGAAGCGGAGGCGGGTAGGGAGAGATAGAGACGGAGGTGACGGATGCGGAATGGGCATGGTAGACGCGCAAGGACTGGAATATTGGCAGCTGTATGACGTTGATGTTGCCATTGTGTGTTCCCACGATCATCTTGTCGCCGGCGACGAGGAAAGAGCTTGTCGCATCGCCGTTCCGGTATAGAGGGCCTAGATTTGCGGTCAACCGCGCATACTTGAGCCGAGGCTCGTCATCTTCCTCCTCCTCTTCCTCTTCATCGTCGTCGTCGTCCCCTTCTGTCTCGTCCTCATTATCATCTTCTCCGTCTGAAGACTCCTGCTCATCACTATGCGACTCGGGAGCAGGCGGCGGGGGTGTGGTCTGCTTGTCGGCTTTGGCTGATGCCGCGGTCCCGGAGCGAGATTCGTTGCTGTCGCCTGCCTCGGGCGACGCTGCTCGTTCCGTCATGATTGTGCAAAGGCCTGGTGGCGTCGCATGGTGATGCGCACTCAGCCAGTCGTCAATCCGGGGCTCAGGAGAGCTATATTGAGTATCTAGGAGCTCAGAGGATGCGTGTATGTGCTTGCTGTATGATCGGGGGGCGGGAGCACATGAGCTAACATGCAGCTTGGGCAGGAAGCTCCCTTGGTACGTCACAGACCCATGGATGGATCTCGCGGCCTAAGGCATGGGCAAATGACGCCTCAACCGCCCTGAAGGAGCCTCTCTGATGGTGGAGAACAGTGCTGAGAGAGCTCACTAACAGATGCCCCACCAATCTATCAAAGTCCTCTCCAAAACCAGACAGGCGCGTCTCAACAACGCGTTGCTGTGCTGTACGTTATTCAGGTAATCGAGCTGCTCGGAGGCACAACAAAATTCACCAAAGCCAGCTTCTTACGCAACAATGGTCTCTAGACAATCTTGCGTCAATCGCAACTCTCGTTATCCCTAGACCTTTCGACCGTCTCGAGCCGCCGTCTACTCGCTGTATGCCGAACTGAACTCCTGTCTGCTTATGGAGCGACCCGGGGACGAACATGGCGTCAGTCAAGTCTCTGGGCATACACCAGCCCACCGGCCTGCAGTATGCCATTGACGAAGAGATATTGCCCTCCGATCCGAGCCCCGACTTATACCAGTGGGAGACTGTCGTCGATACCTGCGAGGAACCCCCATGCGACGAACTATTGACCACCCGCAACTGCGTTGTCTGGTCTCGAGGAGGCATCTTCCGCAAGTGCTTCAGATTCGACGTTGAGAGGGAGACAATCACCCAGTCCCTTCTCACATACTTTCCAAGAGGCGGACGGCGTGACGGAGGAAACACGCAGGCAGACGATGCTGCCGAGCAAGAGCCTGCTCTAGCGCGAGCTTTGGTTGTCTTCCTCAAGAGTCAAGCTCATATCTACTTCCTCTCCGGAACCAGCCATGTCGTCCACATGCCATTCGAGGTTGAATCTGCCTGTGCAGCTCCATGTGGCGTCATTATCCAGCGCAAATCAAGACTCGACAACCTGGCACCAGTCACCTTGAAGTTCCCGCGCGTCCCACCGAACTCGTTCGTATCCTCGCAGCTGTCTTCCGCCCTCCCCCGCAGCTCTCAACAGGCCTTCTCGGTAGAAGGCCTCGGCAAGCCGAGAACATTACCATTGAGACTCAGCTCTACCTTGGAGAATATGTGGGAGCCACCGCTGGAAACAAACGATTCTCACTGGCCCCGGCTTGTCTGCCTGACCGACCCTCTGGCAGAACTAGGCTTGGTGATTTCTCAAAGCGACAAGGTGGCCAAGGACAGACACAGGCGAATGTCGGCCAAGTCCCCTTTCTTAGACCGTGCGGAGGAGATTCTACATGTGGAGACGATTAAGCAACATGGACAAAGCTCCGCGAGGAAAGCCGATGACCTGGTCCTGGCGGTGACGGTCAATAGGGAAACCAATATGTACAGCGTCTGGAAGTTGACGTATATCAAGAATGGCGATCCGTTCACCAGTAGTCGACGAAAACCGAAGTCAAAAGCTCGCAGGCGAAGCTCAATGCAGCCGGGACTCAACAGCGGTACCACCACGCCCGTGCACGCCAGCTTTCGTGAAAGCATCGGGGCCCAGCTGCCGGTCAAGAAAGCCAGGGGTGGCGAGAAGGCTGACAGGTCCTTGGAAAAGGCGTTGTCACTTGAACCAGATAAGAGCGGTGAAGTGATCAGAAGGCAGTCCCGCAGAGTCAGCTCCCTGTTGGCACGAGCAGACCTTTCCGCCTCCCATGAGAGGTCGGCCTTTGCCGAACAGCCTGGTGCTGGTCATGCAACGAGTTCCAGGAGGGTCGAGTCCCATGGCGCCCAACGTGGGCGTGCGAGCAGCGGCTTTGTACCAATGAACATGAGCGGCAACTACGGGCAGTCGCTAAACAGCTTGCTCGAGGCACCCGTCGATGATCTCTTGGAAGAGCTGCGCGCCGGAGGTGACTTTGAGGGCTTCACTAGCATGGGGCTGGATGACCACGAATTTGACGGATTGACCAGAGAAATCTTGCTCACAAAGATCCATAGCGTCTCCATGGACAACAACAATGTTCGCTACTCTCTCTCAGAAACCCCAGTCCGGACTCAGTGCAAAGTTTTCTTTGTGGTTGGCACGCCTTACGCGGTGGACGAACCGGACCGAAGCTACCTTTTGATCTGCATTCAAGATCTTTTAGACAAGCGACTTCAACTCTTGCCTCTCCATGTCCAATCGAGAACCAAGCCAACGAACAACCCGGCCAAAACCACAACACTGATTGCTCCGGATGGCCCGACAGTGACATGGGGACAGCTTATGAGGGCCCAGAACGTGGTCGATTCGTGCAAGATCAGTGACGGCGATCACGCGATGATTCTCATCCTCTCGGAAGGCGAAAAGGGGCAACGTGAACTGAGTGTGCAAGCGCCATGGAGCAAAATGACACCCATCGAGCTGCCGATGCTCTTCGTGGATAATTACAGCAGTCTCGAGTTCTCAGGGACTCATGTCAAGAAACGGAGCAGCAGCAGGCGCTCTCTAGGCATCGGCGTTTCCGGCACGCAGACCAATGCGCTGTACCACTCCAAGCCTCGAGGAGTTCTCGACATCCAGGACAGGGACGGACGATTTCACCGTATACAAATCCAGCTTCAGCCGTCCAACCCACGGGTCAAACGGGCTCTCAGGGTGTGTCGCAGCATTCTGCCTGCTTCACACGCCGATAAGATCCTCGCTGGATGGTGGCATGTCATGCAGTGGTTCGATAAGAACGAAGACGAGCCCCCTGCGGATCTCGAGTGGTCGAGCTTTGTGGTCCTTCTATTTTGCATGTTTCTCAGTCTGGGACACAACGAAGTGTCAACACTCGAGAGTTCCCAACCACAGAGCGCACAACTGCAGTCCGACGACTGGGATCTCATCAGAACCTATGAGAGCCGCAATGCTGCCGCATGCCCGACTTGGATGGAAGGCCGAGGTTGGCAGTGGCTCATGGATGAGCAGGCCGGACAGGGACTGGTCTGGTCTCAACCCGTCACAGGCGGCAAGCGTAAAGATTTCTTGTCATTGCACACCCAGTTTGCCAAGGAGTTCATGGTCTCTCCGCTGGGATTAGCTGCTGTTGGTCCGAATGGATATCTCCCACTATCGCTTGCCTCGAGCCTTGAACGACGCCGGAGCTTGGCCTGGTCTCTATTTCTCGCTCTTCACTTGCTTTTAGAAGAAGAGAAGCTCGATATAATGGTTCCTGAGTACCCAGACGCCGCAGACCTCAGGGTTGTCCTCTGCCAAATCGCTAGATGGCTCCGCTGGTATGAGTTTGTCGCCAGGTACGAACTTGGCATTCAGACTGCGGTAGACTCCGGCCTTGACATGGGTAAGTACTTGACAAGTGAACAGAAGACTGTATAAAACTTACTGACAACGCGGTAGAACTTGACCTCACTCCCCCCTTGCCCGAGCCAGCAAGCATCCCATGCGTGCTCTCGTGGGTCCAGGCCCAGCTGGCGGGCAAGAACCAGGAGGAATTCCCTACCCTCGGCGATGTTTTCGCCACTTCTCAACAGCAAGATGTCAAAGATGGGCCTGGCGACTCACGTTGGGAGCCAATCACCCCCAGAACCTTCTTGTTCAAGAAATTCTTCAAGCTTCTCAAACCAACCGATCGACATTACCAAATAGTTGAAGTCATGCATAAGTGCGGTTTCACTCTACCCGTGCTTGAGACGCTTCCTGAGGCCATCCTCGTACCTCTGCAGGATGCCATCGCCCAGAGCCAAACGAATCCTCCAGCGTCATGGCCAAGCAAACTCCTAGGCTTGGTGAACCGGAGCGATATCAACATGATACTAAAGCCCAACAAGCCGCCGGGCGCCGCTTCTTTGGGTAGTGCTGTAAGTAACTCTCTAGTTGTCCTCTTTGTATTCTCACCGCAAGGGCTAACAAACGATATAGAATCCCTCACACAGCGCCAATTGGGACTTCCGAATGATATGCGAGACTATCGATGATTACAATAATCTCGGCTACGACGAAGGAGAAGGTACAGAGCGACAAGCGGTGGTCCGCGCCTTGTTTAAGGATGATCGACGTCTCAACGAGGCACAGGCATTGCTGTCCTCGCAGAAGCCCAGAGTCATTCGGCTCGACCCGAATCCTAAGTGGACGGAATCCGAATACCTGGAGAAGCAAAAGGAACTCGTAACCACGCTAGCCACCAGCACGCTCGCCATCCCTGCAGGCCGTGGTATGCTGTACTACAGCCTGCGTTATCCGCTCCTGACGCAGAAGTTCCACATTGGAGGCTTCAACTTGACTTGTGTGGTTAGGCCGACCAACGTCTCGGTTGGCGTTGACAAGTCGCTATTCTCGGAAGAGAAGGTCAACTGGGCCTTCTTCCATCAGGGAGTATCGAATGGGCTTGCCATATCGCCTCAGGCCCGGGGTATCGACACCTCCTGGATCCTGTACAACAAGCCAGGGCAGGACCTCAACAACAGACATGCGGGATTCTTGCTGGCTTTGGGCCTGAATGGGCATTTGAAATCCGTTGCCAAGTGGGTGGCGTTCAAATATCTCACTCCAAAGCACACCATGACCTCGATCGGCCTCCTACTCGGATTGGCGGCGTCACATATCGGTACCATGGACTCTCTGATCACCCGACTACTGTCTGTGCACGTCACAAGGATGCTCCCCCGTGGTGCTGCCGAACTCAATCTCTCTCATCTCACGCAGACGACCGGCATCATGGGCATCGGTCTCCTCTATTGCAACAGCCAGCATCGCCGCATGAGTGAGATCATGATGTCCGAGATTGAGTTTGTCGAGGACGAGGATGAGGAAGACCCCCTGCGCAATGAGGGATACCGCCTGGCCGCGGGCTTTGCCCTGGGTCTTATCAATCTCGGCAAGGGCAGCGATCTCAAGGGACTTCATGACATGCGCATTACCGAGAAGCTCCTGACGACGGCGTCGTCGACAAAGAAAGTCGAGCTCGTCAACGTGCTTGACCGCTCGATCGCAGGAGCAACTGTTGCCATTGCCCTTATCTTTATGAAGTGCGAGGATCATATCGTCGCTCGGAAGATCGATGTCCCCGACTCTATTCTACAGTTTGACTATGTCCGACCCGACATCCTGCTGCTGCGCACCTTGGCCAAGAACCTGATCCTCTGGAGCCAGATCGAGCCGTCCTTCGAGTGGATCAAGGCCAGCCTACCCGCCGAATACCGGACTCGCTACCGGCTCACGGGTGTCAAGAAGCTGCAGAGCCGTGATCTGCCTTTCTTCTCCATCGTTGCTGGGCTGTGCTTCTCGATCGGCATGCGATTCGCAGGCTCGGCGAACACCAATGTCCGAGACCTGCTGGTGCACTTCCTGGACCAGTTCATGCGCATCGTGCACCTCTCTGCAGACAAGTTTGACGCGCAGATGACGAGAGCCAACGCGCGCATGTGCATGGACATTCTCGCACTGTCCTGCGCCACCGTCATGGCCGGCACGGGAGACCTCGTCGTGCTGAGGAGACTGAGAGCACTCCATGGCCGGGATGATCCGCACACGACCTACGGCAGCCACTTGGCAGCGCACCTGGCGATCGGGTCGCTCTTCCTAGGCTGCGGCACCGCGACGTTTGGCACCAGCAACCTTGCCATTGCTGCCCTGCTGATCTCGTTCTACCCACTCTTCCCAGCCGACGTGCAGGACAACCGGTCGCACCTCCAGGCATTCCGACACTTCTGGGTCTTGGCCACGGATCCTCGCTGCCTAGTCACAAAGGACATGACGACCGGACAACCCATCTCCGTGCCCATCATGATTACCTTGAAATCGCATCCGGCCACCGCAGAAGCCCCAGCTACACCAGCGCCGGCCCCGCGCACGCGGTCATCAAAGACGACGGCCAAAGCGAAAGGCGCTACTACCACGCGCCGGACAGCGGCGCACGCGAAAACGCCGAGCCGAGCAGCAGCAGCAGAGAAGAAGCAGCAGCCGCAGCAGCACGCTCCGTCGTCCGTCATCAGGCGGCAGACGCCATGCCTCCTCCCGCCGCTCGAGGACATCGCCAGCGTGCACACCGACGCGGGCAACCAGGGCTACTGGGACCTCGAGGTCGACTTTGCGCGCGACGGCGGCGCCATGGCGGCCGCGTTCCGCGAGAACCAGTCGCTGTCGCTGCGGCGGCGGCCCGCGCACGAGGGCGCCTTTGCGTCGACGCTGCAGGCGCTCGGGCGCGACGCGCTGGCGGGCGTCGGGCCCGATGGCGCGCCCGGTGGCGGCGGGGAGCAGCAGCAGCAGCGCGAGCCGCTGGACTGGGTGTTTGGGCTGGGCGCGCTGGCGGACCTGACGCATACGGAGCGGGCGGTCGTGCTGGACCCGGCGGCGGGCAGGGGCGCCGGGGGCGCCGGGGAGGGCTCGAGCAGCGCTGTTGACGCGAGGCTCGTGCTCGAGGGCGCGATGGACGGGTCGAGCCGGGATGAGCTTCTCGGCCTGCGGCTGCTGTTTGAGTGGGCGGATCGGAGGGGGGAGATGGTCGGGGGTGACGGAGACGGTGCTGGCCGCGAGGGTGGGACGCAAGATGGTGGCGGCGAGGGCGCGTGGTGGATGCGGGATAGTGTTATTGATATGCTCAAGGGCAAGGTGTGGCTTGCTGGGCAGGAGGAGTGAAGCAATAGGTCTGAGCCCAGGTTGGCTGACGAAGATATTCTGGTCTTGCTTTTGGGCGTTTTACAAAAAGGCTAGCATGCATATATTGAGGGCGGCCTCATGGATCATGACTAGTGATGATGAATCGGATACGGATATAGACAAAATCAGAAAAGGCTATGTCTATGCTTTGCCGCCTGAGTGCACTATCCTGCTCTGCAAACGCCAGGTGTCTAGATTCCTTCCCAGCATGCATGCTCTACCGAGACAACAACAATTAATAAAGCGCAAAACGCATACCGTTTTAAGCCCCCTCCCCTCTACCAGTTGTACTCCATCGCCAACGCTATATCGCCTGCTCCTTGTGAATCTCAATGCTCGGCGGCGCGCCCACGAGCGCCTTGCACTGCGCGTAGATGACAAACTGGCCCGAGACCAGGCCGCAGGTCATGAGGACACGGGGGCCGAGGCCGGACAGCAGCAGCCTCTTGGGGCCGAACTCGCGGGCCAGGGAGAACATGCGGCTCGTGGCGCTCTGCTTGGGGTCGCCGGCGCCCTTGTTGATGGCGGACAGCAGGGTGTCGGCCGGGTGGGACAGGACGGCGGCGGCGATACCGGCGACGATGCCCGACGACAGCTCGACGCCGGTGGACTCGATGTGGGTGAGGCGGGCCTTGCGCTCGGGCCCCATGGCGCGGTAGATCATCTCGACGGCGGCCTCGTGGACCGAGAACTGGCCGACGGCGTAGGGCACCTGCTTGAACAGCAGGGGCACGAAGCCCGAGTAGAAGCCGCGGAACCCTTCCTCGCGCGCGAGGCGGGCGAAGCCCGAGGCCAGGCCCGTGGCGAAGCCGCGCTGGGAGACGAGGCGGATGCGCGTGGCCTCGAGGGGGCACAGGGCGACGTCGGCGAGGGTCTCGGCCGAGGCGCTGGCGGCCAGGTAGATGGCGGTGCGGTGCTCGGTGGCCCGCTCGGGCCCGCCCGCGGCCGAGATGAACCGGCGCTTGAAGAACTCGTAGCCGGCGAACTTGCCGCCGCCCTGGACGAGGTAGCCGACGGCCGTGGGGCCGAAGCCCGTGAGCAGGGCGGCGGCGCCCTCGCCGGCGACGATCTGCCGGCCCGCGCGGACCATGTTGTAGCCCTTCAGGGCGTCGTCGACCTGGATGCGCGTCTTGACGACGTCGATGGGCGTGGCGGCCTGGGAGGGAGTTTGGAGAGGCTTGTCAGTAGGGCAACTCTGTGGCTGTGTGACGAAAGGGACCTGGGAGGATGCTATCTTACGCCATGTGTGAGGGTGGCCGCGAGTGCGCCTGCGCCAAAGAACTTGACATAGTCGGGGAGGGTAAAGGTCGGGAGGTCGTTCTCTTGTGATGCTACTGATGCTGCCATGTTGTGTATATGTGCTCGACTGCCGCTACGAGTGCCCTTTACCAGTGGCGGCTATCTATCGACAGAGGAACGAATGTCTAATTGCTCAGAGCGTGCTTTTTTGTCAATGTCACGAGGGTATGTATGGTCGGAGCTCGAGGCACGAGGACGTAAATAGCGTCGATAAGAGAGAGACTCAACAGTGGTCTAATTGGCAATCAAGATGCTCTAAAGAAGAAGCTCCGTGGGGGGTACAGATATCGATAATTAGAAGGAGAAGAAAGAAAAACATCACGAAGGAGCAATGGTTGGTGTTGAAGTCTGGACAGCCAGCCAGCTACTGGGCGATAAGAAGCTGGGCTGGGAGCTGGGAGAGACACGACGTCATTCAAACTTCTCAGCTGGGATTCGGCTGCTCCGGCTGCGCTATCGCAGCAAAAAAAACGGGGAGGCGGGCAGGGAAACAGGGGGAGATCCCAGCGATCCAAGCGCTGAAGCGAAAGCTTGTTGCGCGGCAGACCCACTGTAGAAGAGGTGCCTGTCAGGTACTGGATGCTGTGCAAGCTGTGGTGTGGCCGACGAGACGGACCCGACGGAATACACATCCACTCGCAAGAAGTGGAATTGGATTGGTATTTGCACAATTGATCCAAAGGGGCATTGGTCTATCTTCAGGGCGAACATCCCTTGGGGAAATGAAGTTTCTTGCTTCTTGTTGCCGTGATTCAAGCTTGCAGCAGCAGCAATTCCCTCATGTTGGTCCAGTCTCCACCAACAGTTGTGTCATGAGTAAGCTGCATGCCAGCATGCCAGGACTGCTCAGTTTAGACCACTGGGACGAGAGATACCTATTTGAGCCGGCCTGAGTCGTACCGAGTCTGGGAACTAGACCACTTTGCACAACTCTCCCCGATAAGCTTAACTCGCCGGGGGGGGCGGACACCATGCCGCCGTCGCCGTCTTGGTCGCCGCCGCCGCCCACGCCGGGACACCTACGACGACGGGTTCACCTCGCCCTCCAGTTCCGCGCGCCACGTGCCGTACCCGTTGTTGTGGAAGATGAAGTCGATCCCCTCCGGGCTCGCCGCGTCGGTCGGCCCGTCGGCCCCCTGCGCCCACCCCAGCATCAGGCTGCCCGCGCTCGTGCCCGCGGAGCCCTCGTCGGCGCCCTCGCTCCACCGCAGGCAGTCGCCGCAGCGGTACATCACCTCGAACCCGCGCGGGTCGACGCGCGACGTGACCTGCGTCAGCGTCGCGTTGCCGCCGTACACGCCCGGCTTGAAGTAGTCGGTCGCCCAGCGGAACGACGTGAGCACCCGGCCCTCGTGCGGCCAGGCCATGAGCAGCAGGTTCCGCAGCATGCTGCCGCCGTGGGCGAGGCCGCACCAGCCCGTCTGGTTTGCGCTCAGGCTCTGGCATTTCTGTTTTTTGTTTTCCCCCTTTCTGTCAGTTGTGTCGATCTATGCTGTGCAATTTGGTGACAGTTTGCTGCAGAAGGCATACGTACCAACACACCGACATAGTCGGTGGCATTCTTGTCCGCCGCGTCATCTAGGAGCGTCATGCCAAAGGTGAACGCGCCTCTCCCGTCAGCATCCGGAGTCGAAGACCAAGACGTGAACCTCAAGGCTGAGTCCGGGTCGATGTATGTCCCCTGCGTCATGAGCTTATCCTGGGCGAGACATAGGGCGCTCGCTGCGATCCATTAGTAAGGCGAGATGTAAGTAGACGTCCATCAAGACCTACACAGCGCAATAGTCACAGCAATGAGACTTGTGAGGCGGACGGTTGGAGGCATGGTGAGTAGACCAGAGCGTCGCGGTTGATGAATTGGAAATGTAAAAGATGCCAATAGCTTCATAAGAGCTGTTCGAGAATGGACCAGTCATGGAAGCCCAGTTGGTCATTTCTCCTGCTCTACGGGCGCGATCCTGGGTGTTTTTATATGTAACATCAATATTAATTAATATCGCGAACTCATGTATGATGTAGCAATATCAGAGCTATTCTATTCCGGCCTTTCCCCGTAATCCTACTGTCTGATCAACACTACATCCACCCCTTCGTTGCACTGTCACCTCTCCTTTAGGCAGAGCAGACTGTACCTGAGAAGCGCCATATACCAGACACACACATCAAGCGGGTAAAATGATAGGAACTTATAATGAACCCGCTAAAGATAAAGAAGCCCGATACATTCCTCAACGACGCGATTCCAGTCTTACCAACTAGCACTTGGCCTTATATTTCATCAAGACCGAGTTGCTTTCATTTATCTCGACTCAGAATGCCCTTGTGCACGGCCCCGAAGACAATTGTAATCCCTCACAGTACTCGCAGTATCCCACTTCACCCCAGTTTGGGCATGTTTGGTCTCCTAGAGTAGAACTAGGCTTGAAGATTATAGATGACTTGCTTGATGTATAATAATGTAGAGGCAAGTGTTGCCCAGTTGCAAAGGATCAGACAATAAGTTTCTTTTCTTTACACGCATTGTGTTGGAGGACTAATCCTACCTTTTTTTTTAAAAAAGAAAAAAAGAAAAAAAGGCCTTGAACTCAGACAGCTTGTATGTCAGTGTGTTCATTGTTGCACATGAGAAACACATGTTCATGGGCTCATTTGTATGTATCTAGAGAATTCCCCTTTTGGTTTTCAACTTGTGATAGTTTTATCAAGTGATTTGTTATTTTAAGAGCCATGGTCTCCGCTCCATTGATAATGATCTCTTTTGTATAAATCCAGATAATGGAACTTACCAAGTTCTTCTCCAGATTATTCTTAGCTCCCACATCCCTGTTCATCCAAGTAATGAAGTTGATGCATTTATTCAGCGGTGAAGAGTCTCAACGCAGTTCACAGAAAAGACGAATATGTGCCCCCCACCTGGCCGGCCCACCAGAGAGCCAACCACGGACCAGCCCACCACAAACCCACCCGGGCTTGGATTAGTTAGTGCGAAAAGAAGAGAACATGAAGCGTCTCCACTAAAAAGTTGAACGAGGGCAACTTTTCTACCTCTGGGACCAGCCCTGAGCAAGAGCCAGCACCTGCACAATCCTTCCTGCACACTCATAGCTCGCCTTGACCAGCTAGGCCAATCCATCAGCTGTCTATCTGTTTCAGTGAGGAGAGAGACCATGGCGGGAGTCGCAGAAAAGGCTCGATTCTACCTCGAGCGGGCGGTGCCCCAGCTCCGCGAATTCGAAGAAAAAGAGATCTTCTCCAAGGTCCGTCTTTTCCGGCCCAACAACGGCCTGCTCCTCCAGGTCCATACCATACCGACTACATGCTGACCTTCTCTCATACAGGACGAAATCAGGACCCTCGTCCAGAAGCGCACCGAGTTCGAGCACCTCGTGCTCTCCGCCGGCAACACGCCCGCCGACTTCCTCTCCTACGTCGCCTGGGAGCAGTCCCTCGAGGACCTGCGCCTCAAGCGCTGCCGCCGCAAGAAGATCAAGCACTCGACCAGCCACGCGGGCCAGGCGCGCGCCTTCCAGATCTTCGAGCGCGCCGTGGGGCGGCACCCGGGCAGCGAGCTGCTCTGGCGGCGGTACCTCGACCACGCGGCGCGCGCGGGCGCCACCAAGCGCTGGCGCAAGGTCATGACGCGCGCGCTGCGCATGCACCCTACCTCGGCGGGGCTGTGGGTGCTCGCGGGCCGCCGGGCGGCCGCCGACGGCGACATGGAGGGCGCGCGGGCCATGTTCATGCGCGGGTGCCGGTTCTGCACGCGCGACGAGGCGGTCTGGGTCGAGTACGCGCGCGCCGAGATGGAGTGGCTCGCGCGCGTGGGGCGCAAGAGCAGGCGCGCCGTCGCGCTCGAGGCCATGCCGGCCAAGAAGCTGGCCGAGGACGTCGACGAGGACGGCAACATGATGTTTGGCGGCGGCGGCGAGGACGACAGCGACGAGGACGACGAGTTCGCGGACGGCATGGCGCTGGCCGACGGGCGGGGCGGCGGCAGGAAGACCAAGGCGCCCGAGCTCAGCGAGGAGGCGGTGGACAAGATCAAGAACAGCCCCGCGCTCGAGGGCGCGATACCGCGCGCCGTGTTTGACATTGCGAGGAAGCAGACCTTCTTCAAGGCGCGGACGGCGGAGGTCTTCTTCGACATGTTTGCCGCGTTTACGGAGGTCGCGTCGCAGCCGCAGACCGTGCAGCATGTGCTCGATGCAATGCAGGAGGCGTACCCGAACGATCCCTCTACGGGAAGCTGCCTTGTGCGGCAGGCACTTATTGGCGTGGCGCCGGATACTGCCGCCTTCCCCAAGGCTTTGAGGGACGCGCTCGCCAAGTTGAATACCGCACTGGGCACGACGAGCGACAAAGCTATGCTGGCGGCAAAGACCATTGCCTGGATCGACCCCATCCTGGCGAGGGAAGATCTGGATGAGGGCATCCGGGCGGTTTTGGAGCACACGAAGAGGAAGCTGGAAAATTCTTGAGCAATTCGTTTTACAAGAGAGTATCTAACAGGGGCTTGTCTTCAAAACTATGGACACATCTCTTGTACAAGTTTACTTGGCAGCGGCTTTCTCCTCGGCGACTCGGTTCAGGTACTCCCACTCGGCGGCGCTGACCTTGCTGACGCTCAGCCGCGACTGCTTCAGCATCTGCATGTTCTCGAGCGGCTTGCCGGCGCCGGCGCCCATCTCGCGGAGCTCCTTGAGGCCGATCTGCACGGGGAACTTGCTGCGGAACCTGACGTGCACGACGCTCCACTTGGGGTCGGACGGCTTGGACGAGGCGTCGTAGTACGGCGCTTTGGGATCGTGCGCCGAAACTGCGGTATGGGGGGACGAGGTCGGGCTCTTGTTAGCGAATAGACAGAGGCTGTCCGGCAAGGGGGTCGGTGCTTACGGTCGGGGGAGTGCTCCTGGACGATCTCCATGGTGCCTACGATGCCGGGCTCCTTGCAGTTGGAGTGGTAAAAGAAGGCTAGGTCACCCTTTTTCATGGCACGGAGGTTGTTGCGCGCTGGAGGAAGGGAAGAAGGGGTCTGGTCAGCTAGCTGCATTGGCTCACGATATACCCGTAGTGAATGAATGAATAGAAAACATCTCTGAGCATGTCTCCTTACCTGCATATGCTCGGATTCCTATTTGAGTAAAAAAAAAAAAAAGCAGTCAACATTGGGCCCTGCGATACATGTATCTCAAGAAAGGGGTGAAGTGACGAACCATCCCAGGGCTCGGGCTCCGTCCTCACGGCCAGGTCGTCAATGGAGAACCTGACGTCCACGCCGTTCTCGAAGCGCGACTCGGGCTCGGCCTTGAGCAGCCAGTACTGCCGCTCGCCATCGGAGGACGCGGCCTGTGCACCGTTGCTGGTAGTGGCGGCGGCGACGGCCTTCTGCTTGGACGGGACCTGGCCCCTGACAGCAGATTTGGACTTGGGGGCTGTTGGTGCGGGCTCCTGCGCCGCCGCTGGCTTCGCCCTTGCCTTGCTGCTGCTGGATGCAGCCGCCTTTTTGGCGCCCGCGGACGCGGTGCTGGTCTTTTTGCTGGCTGGCCTCGATGGCGCTGACGATGCTGTGGGCGTGGCGGCGGCAGCAGAGGTGCGTTGGCGCGTGGAGCGCCGTGGTGGCACGTCGGCGTCGGCGGACTTGCGTTTGGGGGGCATCTTCACAGAGGAGATGAGTCCAGAATGGGAGAAGTACTCTGGAAATAAATCAAGGGGTCTCCTGATTAGACGTTTCTTCCTTCTCTCAAGATCACCGTTATGATCGGGGTATAAAGGTGAGAGAGCTTTGGAGCCTTTGGAGCTTTGCGCGCGAGACCAGCTAGCGAGATCGCGCGCTAGATCGCCTGGAGGCGCGAGTGCTGAAATTGGTACTCCGGGCAAGGTGCGGTTACACCCATCCGCACGAGAAACATCAGAGAAAGGCGAAGCACCGCTTCCTGGCTTATTTACAATTTTGTGAACATGTTACTCTTCTTCGTTGAAGGGAAATTGACGTCCCTCTTCTCTGACTTTGCGCTGGCCTGCAAAGGGAAGATGTAGGGGAGAAAGGCTCTTTTCTGGACTCCCGGCATGACCAAGGGGCCAATTCCTGCAAGACCACCTTATCACTCTCGTCTAACTCGAAAAGAAATTCGAAAAGGAAGCAAGGAATCTGTGCTGGCTGCCGGCCTACCCTGGCAGCAGCTGAGCACATCTCTCCTCCCAGCTGCATCTTTCCTTTGGACATGGCATTGATCTCGTGTGAAACCGGGATTCCACCGCGGCAGAGCACCAAGCAAGTCCTGATATTTCGAGAGAAAGACTATGGGCTTAATTATTGACCCAAGCGGCGAAGCGACAAGGTGGCCTGGGCAAAAACGAGTCAAGCAGGCATGGCAGCCCCCCTAGTAATTCGACGATGATGAATGGGAGACTCGAGATCAACAGGAATGACGATAGGAGGGTCCAATGGAGGCTGGCCGACAGGGCAAGGGTCCGCGGCACGACGTTCTACTGGAGTCTGTACAAACATCCTCAGGCAGGGGCCCTTGACAGGGCTAAAAAGGGTGATACATGGGCATTGATTTGTTGGTTACAAGCCCGGCGCTCTCGAAGGGGCTTAAAAGGCCGCTTTCCTCTGCCATGATGCAAAACCTTGGTGCCTCGGATCGATCAATCTGCTCTCCTTTCGAATCGCCGATTTTATTTGCTTCATTGCGGGCAATCCAATGATGTGTTGTGTGTCTGCTTGCTCGTGGTGGAGGAGGGCATGTGAGCATGGCCGGATCTGGGTTTTTTTGGCACCTTGGCTGGGTCGCGGAGAATTCTAGTGCGGATCTTAGTTTGGTGGCAGCGCACTGTCGAGGTGCCGCTGACTGTGAGGTACCCCGTCCTGCCTGTCGTCGAAGAATGGCTGGCCACATAAGAGGAACGAATGACCCGACCAGTCCCTTCCCTACCCCCTCTTCATCCTGTCCTCTTTTCATTGTTTTTTTTTTCTTCTCTTCTGCTTCGATTACGGCATTTCTTCCCGATCATTCGATTCTTTCCCATGTTTGTGGCTGTCGTGTTGATGCCTCCGCATATGAGAGCTGGGTGTGCTCCTTAGCTGGCGAAGACTGGACCTCGCCAACTTGGGACGACATTTATTAGCGTCCGGAGAGACGAATCTCCCGACGAGCCCTCATCCGATGGCCAAAACGATTCGATCGAGGGAGGATGTTCCCAGACGATTCCTGCGCTCGAAGGATGTTCCATGATATTTTGCTCATCCTCTTGGGGCAGGCAAATTTCTCACCGGCCACAAACATCAGTCAAGGCAAAGTTGCCCACGACTGACTGTACAAGTAGTGGGCACAGCTCGCCTAGTCCTGCCGGACTGTAAGGCAAGGTAACTACAAGTACAGGGCGCCTCGACCACCGGCAAGGACCCAAGCGAGATGTGATCAACGACCATCGAAGCACGCTCGCTGCATCTCCCATGTCGTTTGCAGGGTGAAACCAGTCGATTGGCCGCTTCTTTTCTGACTCTTCTCGCTGGTAATTTTTTTCCGTTTCATTCTGTTCTCTTCTTCTTTTCATTTCACTCTCTATTGATCTCGTTCATTCTCTTTCTCCCTCATCCGGCATCCGGGACGATGCAGTGGTGGGGCGCCCTAAGCTTTGGGCGTCCCGTTGCAGCGACTGACAGCGCGCCCCTCACTCGACTCGACCAGACCGGTGTCCAGCCACGGATGTCCTGGCTCTGGAGACACACGCATCTTGTCATGGGAAGCTCCGCAGACCACCGCCGCATTCTCGCTCTCCAGTCTCGCCTTCCCATGGTTAGCACATAAAAGACCGGGTCACCGAAACCTTGGCTTGTCTTGCGTTCTCACGCCATGTTCGCTCTCTCGAGACAAGGGTCTGATCCCTGTTGTGGCCCATTGAGAGCAAGACAGAGCATCTGCTTCTTCAATTCTGGAGCTCCATTTCGCAGTTCGAGCCCCTCGATCCCGCATCGTTGACTCGCTCAGGACGGGGCCCAGGCTGCCTTGACAAGACTTTGATTCTGAGGGGACACAATCCGGATCTAGGCCGACTTGCAGGGCAGAACCAGCAGCCAAGCAGCACGGTTGACCACAGACAGTCCAATCTGATACAGTGCGGTATTATGGTGGTTAGTGCCACATTCTCCGCAGATATCAAACTATCATTATCATTGGATTGAATCCCCGTTGATGCTCGTTTATCGCCATATGGGCCCCAATGAATGTCCATATGGACGTCCATCAAGCGATGCTGCCGGCCAGACGACCGGGCTTATACCGAGATGGGGATATTTGCAACATTGGGGTTCGCTAAATGTCGTTCTCCTGATGTTTTGTTGCTGATGTATCCAAACATTGGGAGAGCTCATTGCTTGATAGTGCTCGAGTTCACTCGCCTGACACTCTCTAGGGAGGCTTAAGCAGCCCTTTGCCAACCACCTTCTCCCCTTCTTTTCCTGCCAAAAGGGGAAAGAGGTTGTGACAGCGGTGGTTCTCGCCATTCTTGGGAGTGTCGCGATGCCGGGCAGTTGGTTGCTGGAGACGGGTATTGGCAGAGTTGCTCATGCTCTCCTCGTCATGCAGCGGTGACAGTGGTCATCACGGTCACGGTCAAATCACGGGCAGCGAAACAATGGGTCCACGTACCTGTAAGTACGAGCACACTAGCCATTGCGTGATTGGCTGAATGGCCCCTTTGGCTGCCGTCTCGCGTACACCGCACCAGTCTCAACACGGCCTAGCGCTGTTCCGTCAGAGAGGGAAAGCCAGGAGGTTGGCATGACTGAGTGGAATCGGGCCTATCAGCTGCGCTTCGCTCCTCTCTCCAGCTGCGTTGGCCTTCTGTGCCTACTGTCGGCTTCTCCCTTTTCTTCCCCTTGCCACCTGCAATCTGCCACTCGCCGCCCACTGAATCCACTCAAACTCACCACCCTCCTCCCCTTCGCGCGCGCGCACACTGACTTTCTTCGCAAAACGACGGATTGCGACCACCTCCCCAGCCCAGACCTGACCGACGGACAGACGCGCAACGCCTTAGGTAAGACCCGACCGGATCTGTTTGCCTGTCCGTCCTTGTCCTTCATCCGATCATTCTGCCCACCCCCATCCCCATCCACTGGCTGTGCCGACCTGGCTATCGTCTTGTGACGTGCGTGTGGTCACTGTCTCTGCTTGATTGAGGCTTTGATGCTAAACCCGACGTCGCGATTCCCAAGAGGCTGCCACAGTGTCTGATTGCTTCTCGTTCTCCCACCCGCACCCGCGCGCACTGCCCTGTGTTGCGAAAATTTCTCTGCAAGGCCAGCCCGGGGCGCTTTTCTGCGCTGACACTGGTACCTAAGGGAACCAGTGCCCAGTGCCACTGCCAGCACCCTCAGCACCGTCCAGCACCTCTCTGGCTCACCACCCCCCTCCCAAAAACCCACTGACGGGGCTCGCTCTCGCTCTCTAGAGTTGTCCATTCAGTCAATTCCCGCCGTCAAAAACGCTCTCCCTCTGAATCGCACGGTACGCCCCAAAAAAAAGCACACACCTCATTTCTCACCCAGCCCAGGACAGCGCAGCCCCATCCAAAAACCTACACACACCCGCCGCGACGCGACTGCTCCATCGCGACAAGCTTCTGCCGTGTCACTTGCTATCCTCATTTTATCATTTCCCATCTTTGTTGCTTGGTGCATGACGCCATCCACGCATATTTCTTTGATTGCTGACGCCGTCGCATAGGGGGACCTGCCAGATGGGTGCGACCAACCCTGTCATCCTCCTCATCGTCGCCGTCCATCGCCAGCCCCAGCCATGAGCTCCTGGCCCAACGACGCCGCCGTCCAGAATCACAATGGCAACGGCTTCCCCATGTCGGATCCCAACGCTGTCGCCGGCGGCATGATGGATCCCGCCGCCTTTATGGCCAACCCGGCCCAATTCAATGCCGCCGCCGCGACGCAGTTTGCCAACCCGCAGCAGATGATGCCCATGCAGAACGGGCCAATGCGCAACGCCTCCCCCTCGTCCTTCCAGAATCCCGTTTATCAAACAAACCAGGTCATCCCTTCAAAACGACCGCGCCCCCGAGAAGACAGCCTCGCCTCGTCCCCCCGGCAGAACCCCGGCATGCTGCCCACCTCGCGCGCCGACACGCCGCAACAGTTCGCCAACTTTCAACAGGGTGGTATGCCGCAACAGAGCTCGGGGCAGCACTCGCCCTATCCTCATCTCCAACCTAATGGGTCCGTCAATGCGACTCCGTCCCCGACCATGGGCAACCAGATGCGACCCGGCAGCGTGCCGCAACGGGTGTCGACCACGTCGCCTCATCCATTCTCTCCTGCCGGCCAGAACTTTGGCCCCCAGGCATCGCCTATTCCATCAGAACACGGCGGCACTCCTCAGCCCAACCCCTATATGCAGCAGAACAACAACTTTACCCCAAACTTCAATCAGAATTTCACGCCGACACCCTCTCCCGCCCGACCGTCACCGACACCCAACGCGATGGCGGGCCAGATGATGCCCCAGCAGATGGCCCAGATGCCGAACCAGATGGGACAGATGCAGCCGATGGGACAGATGGGACAGATGGGCCAGATGCCGAATCAGATGCCTCAACAAATGTTCCCCCAGCAGATGCAGGGCCAGATGCAGGGTCAAATGCAGGGCCAGATGCCCCAGGGTCGCACGCCGCTCGAGCAGCAGAAGCTCATGTACCAAATGCAGCTACAGAGACAGCTCCAGCAGGGCAATATGCAAATGCCACCGGGGCAAATGCAGGGCCAGAACATGCCTCAGCAGCGTAACATGATGTCCAGGCAACAAATGCCTAATGGGCAGGTGCCGCCAGGGGCGATGAGGCCGCAACAACAGCCAATGCCTCCCCAGCAAGGAATGCAACAACGGGCGCCCAATTTTGAGCAGTTCATGAAGCAGCTGACCGTTTTCATGAACACGAAGCAGCTGCCGCTCGAGACAAACCCGATGGTCGGAGACCGTCCGGTCAATCTGATGATGCTGTTCCAAGCAGTCTCCAAGTTTGGTGGTTACCGCAATGCCTGCCAGGGCAACACATGGCCTCAGATTTCGAATGCTGTCGGTTTCCACCCTATGCAGATGCAGATGGCTCCCGGTCAGCTCAAGGCTATCTATGAGCGCAACTTGCTAAAATTCGAGGAGGCATGGAACCGCAGTAAGATGATGCAGCAACAACAGCACCAGCAGGGACAGCCGCCGCAGCAGGCAGGAGGACCGAACGCCCAGGGTACGCCGTCCAAGCCTATGCCCCAGGGTCAAGGTCCGCCGAACCAGGCGATGCAAGCTGCACAACAGCCGCAACCACCGCAGGCTCAGACCCCGTCGAAGCCAGCCGCTCAACATGGCCAACAAGCAAGCGTCAACGGCTTTGCTGCCCCACAGCCACCGCAGGCCCAAATACCGCAGATGGGCGCGCAGCAAGGTCGGAACAGCCTCTCCCGCGGACCCCAACCGACCCCAACCCAGGACGAGTTCGCGTTGCGGTCGCCAGTGGCTCGGGGAAAGGTCGAGGGCCTGGCTGCCGACGGAAGTCTACGGTTCTCCGTTCCGCTCAAAGATCCACAAGTGTATATTCCTGCCTCTCGTGAGGTGGTATCGTATGGTGGGCTTGAGCTCGAACCTCTGAACCGGCTGGGTGCCGATATGGAGCGGTGGATTCCCGACGTGCCTAGTGCCAATGAACTCGGCAACATTGACATCCACGCCCTGACTATGAGCTTGCAAAGCGGAATTCACGGCGAGGTCCGTTTAGCTTTGGACACACTGGCCACCGTGACCGCCTCAGCGCAACCAAACCTCGAGGTCGACCTCACCAAGTGTGATGACCTGCTCGAAACGCTCATAGAATGTGCCGAGGACCAAGTAGAAACGTTGGCTGAGAGCACGGCTGAGGTCTCGGACGAGATTCTCATCACCACTTACGAGGATGTTGTCAGGAACTGTCGGCTGGAAAGCTTTGGACTGCGCGACGTTAGGGCTTTTGCTTCAAACGAATACGAACTCGACAGAGCCGTTGATCGCCTCATTTGTATCACTACCATTCTACGAAATCTCTCGTTCGGGCCCACGAACCACGCCTGCCTGGCTGACGAGACGGTTGTCAAATTCCTCAGCGTTGTCATCCGATACCTGGGTACGCGGACGATGTTGTTGCGGAGCCAGGCCAACACGCTCGATTTCATGAAGGATGTCATCATCTTCCTTTCCAACATCGCCCACTCCATCGAGCTCCCCGGTCGTGAACAGGCGCTTTGCTTGTTGCAATTCCTTCTTGCCTTCGCACCCACCCCCCCACCGACTCTCACGGAGGACGAAATCTTCTTCACGCCTTACGACCCGACTTCACATCCCTATCTCCCAGCCGCCGTGGATGCTCTTGCCAAGCTCTTGGCGCGTGATGAGCCCAACAGGACATACTACAAAACCATCTTCGAACAGGATGCCCAATCTACGCCTCCGTGCGAGCTCCTCACCCGGACATTTGCTCTCGCCATCTCGCCGCTACCGGATCAGAGTAAGGACCACCGGGGACCCAGCTTGCCACCACTTGTGGAAATGCGCAAGCCATCTCTGATGCAGGGTCTCCTCGCCGGCGACATCATCGCTTCGTTGGCACCGGGGTACGAAAGCGGTGTCACTCGGGCGTGGTTGTCTGCGGGCAACAGCTTTGCTCAGAACCTGTTCCGGCTCATTCGCGTGCTCAGCATGCAGTTTGAGCAGTCGGTACCGCCTCGGGGGTCTCGCGGCCAGCCGCGTAAGGATGGCGAACTAGTCTACATTGTCGTCCTGGGCGTGTCCATGCTTCGTCGCCTGAGCGAGAAGGCCAAGGACCCCAGCGATCCCAAGGCGTCCATCCCTCCCAACCTGCTGCCTTCGAGTGATACTGTCCTCGGAGCGCTGCAGATGAACAGCGCGGAGTGGACGAAGGAGGGCTTCCTCCAGCAGTTGATTGCGTATGCTGCGCTCGATGACAGGCGCCGTGACTTTTAGAGGGCAAAGATGAGTGTGGGTGGTGTTTGTTGCAAGCATGAACGGTGGACCTTTTTTTATTTCTTGGCGTTGACGCTTTGTGATAATGAGAGGACGGACGGGGTAAAGCGATTTGTATATGGGCAGGGCATAATTTGCCTGGAGTGAGTGTTGTTTTCTTTTGGGTAGCTGTACTACACACACACACACACACACACACACCTTTTTCTATGCGGAAAGCATGCATGCCTTCGTCAGAAACGGTGGCGATCAAAAAAGAAACCAGTTGATTTTTATTTTCCAATACCAAGGCGGCAGGGCGTGGCGTGCTGGCATTGCGGTAGGAGTTTTTTTTTTTTTTTTTTTTGTTTAAGAGTAACTTATGTTCTTCTTCGCTTTGTTGAAGTAATGGAATCATTTGCATCTCCATGATCCATGGCCCATGTCATCGTTTTTCTGGGACACGTATTGGAGGATCATCTACCCAACTCTGAAAAGGAAGGGTAGGACAGGCTGGGATGTTTGTACGTTTCCATGATGCAATAGATGCGGCTCGCCATTTTGGTGATTGATGCCAATGGATTGTACAATGCTGCGAGGCTTGGTTGACGCTCTCGACACGTGTTGAGCTCTAGTAGCCACCTCTGTTCAAGAATAGGTCTGTTCTGCTCGGACTTCTCGCCCCATATGACTTTCCATATCAGTACACACAGTCTTCTTCTACCGTATTATACACTTTGAGCCGTTGGTATACATAATGTGCGACATATCCCAAGAGCACCTAGAACCCGCGCTGGGCGAGCCATGCCTTGACCTTCTCCTCGTGGAACCCCTATAGGAAATGATGTATTAGCACACACAGCTCTCTCAAGCGATCGGCCCAAACCATCAGTCTGCGCCAAGGGAAAAAGGAAAAAAAGGGGGGGAACCGGTCGGTAGTTACCTTTATCGTGACGTGGTTGGTCCGCGAGTTGACGGTGACCTCCTTCTCGGGCAGGCCCAGCGCGGCGACGAGGTCGCGCGACAGGGAGCGCGCGTCGCCCTCGACCTTCTTGACGACCGTCTGGCGCAGGTTGCCGCCGCGCTTGCGCAGGTGGTAGACGGAGAAGTTGTTGCCGAAGTTGCGGGCGACGAAGTAGGGGCCCCGTCTGGGCGGCGCGGGGGTTGTTGTCGCGTCGTTGTTGTTGTTGTTGGTGTCTGGGCGGCGGCTCGTCGCGGAGGGCTGGGGTATTGAGGGCGAGGAGGAGGGCGTTGTGCTTGTCGCCGATGGGGCGGCTGTGGTGCTGGTGGTGCTGGTTTGACTGAGGAGGCGGATGGTTGGGAGGGAGGACTGGCGGAGGATGGAGGTCGGGGTGGGCGTTGCCCGGAGAGTCGTCGGTAGTGAGCGCAACATTGTGGATCGTGAGGGTTGAGCGAGCGTGTGGCTGCTCGATCGTGAGGAGGGAGTAGACTCGGTGTAAAAGGTCACCAATTGCAACTCCGCCGGGCTCGTGTGACTTTTGCTGGCCGTTGATGATCGCCAGTATGGGGGCATCTTCTGGAGAAAAGTCGCGAGAGCTCACGCTGACCGCCCGGCAGAATTGAGCCATGTGGGTCGGCTTCTCGGTTCTCCAGAGAACTGAACAGGAATCGGGGCCGGAAAAACAGCTGGGCCTGGCGGGCCCATCCCACCTTCCCTTGCCCACCAGATTTTGGGAAATTTTACATCAAATCGAGAAAGGGCGAATGAACCCCACGGCTGGCGTGTGTGTGTGATTGTGTGCCTGCCTGTATTTGCCCATCCCCACCAACCCACGAAAAAAGACGGACGGCCTCTCGGGTGCGACACCACGTCCTGATAACCACATCCCAGTCACGACGAACCTGGCCTGACCTTCGTGATCCAACATTTTTTCTTCAGGTCCAGTCCGGCGCCCGCCTCGACGAATCGTGCTCGACTTTTCTCCCCATCCGTCAGCACCATCACCAGCATCATCACCACAAAAAAAGCAATCATGGCCAACTCGACCAGCGCCGGCCTGCCCGCCGTCGGCGAATTCGACCTCCTCCCCAAGCTCGTCAGCCGTCTCGACCGGCACCTCATCTTCCCCCTGCTCGAGTTCTCGGCCGGCCAGCTCGAGGACGAGGATGGCGGCAGCAAGGACGAGGCCAAGTCGCGCGAGGTGCTCAAGGCCAAGTTCGAGCTGCTCAAGAAGACCAACATGACCGACTACGTCGCCAACCTCTACTGCGAGCTCGAGGGGCTCGACGACCCGCCCGCCGAGTACGCCGACAAGCGGCAAAAGGTGCTCGCGCGCCTCGAGCAGTACGAGAACGAGACGGCCAAGCTCACGGACCTGCTCGGCAGCGAGGACGTGGTCGCCAACCTGCGGTCGGACAAGGTGGCCAACTTGGAGTTCTTGAAGAAGGAGCACGATGTATGCCTCGCCTTTTTTTTCTGGAGTAGCTCCTTTGAGAAGAAATCTTTGGGCAGTGCTGACGGGTCTTGATTTGTACAGGTCACCATCGACATGGTTAACGCCCTCTACGACTTTGGCAACTTCCAGTACAGCTGCGGCAACTACGGCGCCGCCGCCGAGCTGCTTTACCAGTTCCGTGTGCTTTCGACCGATAACGACAAGGTCGCCGCCGCGACGTGGGGAAAGCTGGCCTCGGAGATCCTGACGGCCAACTGGGAGTCCGCCATGGAGGAGATCACCAAGGTCAAGGAACAGATCGACGGCAAGGCGTTCAACCCGCTCGGCCAGCTGCACCAGCGCACGTGGCTCATCCACTGGGCCCTCTTCCCCCTCTTCAACTTCGAGGGCTCGCGCGACCAGATTCTCGAGCTCTTCTTCTCGCCCAACTACATCAACACCATCCAGACGTCGTGCCCCTGGGTCCTGCGGTATCTGACGGCGGCCGTTATCTCCGGCCGGGGCCGCGTCCGCAACACGGGCGTGCACCAGAAGCAGCTCAAGGACATTGTGCGCATCGTCAAGCAGGAGGCGTACGAGTATAGCGATCCCGTGACCGACTTTGTCCGCGCGCTGTACATCGACTTTGACTTTGAGGAGGCGCAGAGGCAGCTCCCCCGCGCCGAGGAGGTGCTGCGGTCCGACTTCTTCCTCGTGTCCGCCGGCGACGCCTTTGTCGACGCCGCGCGCCACCTCTTCTTCGAGTCGTACTGCAAGATCCACGCCCGGATCGACCTCAAGCGCCTGAGCGCGCAGCTGGGGCTCAACGTGGATGAGGGCGAGAAGTGGATCGTCAACTTGATCCGGGACACGAGGCTCGACGCTAAGATCGACTTCCAGGAGGGCACTGTCGTTATGAACCACCCCAACAGCTCGGTGTACCAGCAGGTCATTGAGCGGACCAAGGGCGGCTTCTTCCGTACCCAGGTGCTCAACGCCGCTGTCGCGCGATAGGTCGCTGGCGACGACGAAGGCGAGGGCAAGGGCAGAGGCAGAGGCAGAGACAAAGGCAAAGGCCGGGAGCATCAAGCCAGTGAGAGTGTGAGCTGGAGGGCAGGTGCATCTGCGAGCAAGGGTCCCCCCGGCAAAGAGCAGTGATAGACTCAGTCTCTGCCTTTTTGCTCGAGAGAATCGATATCTGGACACAGCGGAGGAGCAGCGTGAGCAAAGACAGAAATGAGCGGGCGGATCGGATCACACTACATAAAAAGTGCATACAAGGCGTTCCGGTAATGTGTCTCGAACGACGGGAAGGGGAAAGAAAAAAGAAAAGAGTTTGGGAACGTGTGTGCTCCATGAGGGGTCACGCATAGAACGAGGGCCTTGTTGAGCAGCGGAGGAGGAGGCAGCGGAGGTGGTGCTAGGGATTTTATCTGTCTTGTTGAGCAGAATGCAACAAGAGCGGGGTCCCCTGTGCTTTTATAGCCTTTTTTTTATTTAGATGAGGATCAACGCCTATACCTCACCTCTTTTTACAGTGTTGGAATTGAAAGAATCGTTAAGAAAGCGAGGGTCTGTGCTCAATCGGGATGAGTGGTGTGTGGTTCATGATGAAGGTGTTGTTGTTGTTGAGTCTTATCTAGAGCGCCATCTGGTAACTATCCGGAATTCCACCTCGACTTACAACTACGGACTCATCAACATTTATTATTATCAATACATATATGTATATGTCTGCGCTGTGCAGATAGCCTATCAAATAGCTCGTTGATGAGTGTAATTGAGTCTTCAACCTGAGGCTGATCAGACAAATATCCGGTCAATTTGCACACACGCATTTCAGCCTCGACATTGTGAGAGTTCACCCAGTCACGATGAAAGTACCCATGGCGTCACCAAGGGAGGCTTCATATAGGATATGATGAACCCTCAACTGTCTTTATTATTACCAGAAATCAAAGTCAGAACTTCCATCCCAACCAAACAGCTCCCACACCTATCAAATCAGGTAACAACCCAACATCGGTAATCCTTCTGTCTTAAACTACTTCCAACAACCTCTAGACATTCTACTCGACGATTTCAAGGATGCGAAGTTCGAAGAACAAAATGGGTGCCACTACATTATCAGACGCGGTAATGCAAAGGTGAGGCAGGGCGAGTTGTCTCCGGTTCTGGGAGATGAAGTTAAGCATCTTGATATGAACATTGAAACGCAGTGCCTTGCTAGTTCAAGCTCTTGGGAACTTTGGCAAAGCCTAGAATGTTTCGCTCATTGGTTTCACTGGTTCTCTCTTCACACAACCCTGGTAGCATATCTCTGCCATTGCGACGGAGTGTAGTATGGACAAAGGAACTGTGAGCTTTTGGTTCCTGGACTTGTGTCCATCTCCCCAAGAGACTTGATATTGACTCATACCATCCTCATTGTATGCTAGAGAATAGACGGCTAATTTGATCAGAGGTGAGCTCATATCCAATATAGAGGTCGCAATCTCGATGACCGAGGATCTCCTTTTCTTCAATCCAGACCCCGGAGCGCACAGAATCGCCTATTTCTTGCCCACGCGTAAGCTGCAAGTCAGAGTCATGATTTTCACTCATCATGGTTAAGTAGGAGCTAAGGAAGGAGTCTTCTTCGAGATTTAAAGGACCTTGAGCCATCTTTACTGCCTGGCAACCCATAAAGCCTTGCTGTTGAGACTCTCCATCGGACATAGCAGCTCCAACACCTCCCCAGCCCACCAGTAGATTTGAACCGTGCGGTGTCTCCACCACAGCGATACCGCGAAGTCTCCCGTTGTTCTCGATTTGAGGAATGCCTGATCCTGGTAGTTGAATGACGACGAGTCCATTGGTTCGATGCAGCCTTGTCTGCGGTGGGGAGTAAGACAGAAGCTTGTACTTGTCTGCAAGATGGATCTTTATTGATAGAATCGGACATTGATCCACACTTGTGTACTCGAGAATGGAGGCTTCGTAAGAGTGGATGATGCTGACCCTCTCTAGCCTGGCGTCTGATAAATTGTAATTCATTTTATCTTGAGAAGTGATGAGTGGCCTAGGCTTTGATGATCAACAGTGGGAAAACATACCCGCACGACACTCATTGTCATAGATTTGTTGTGTGCCTTCCATCTCCACACACGAAATGCTTGGCATCCCGGTCAAATAACCGTTCGTTTTCCGGAAGAATGTTCTTTGGCCATTCAACTTCTCCAGAATGATCACGGGCCGTCGGTAAATGTCATTCTGGAAAGCACAATTCAATATCCCGAGGTAGACGGCAGTGGAGGCGTGGTAGCCAAGGTATATCGAACGAGTGCTGCAATTCTTCAACGGGCATATGAACAGGGTCATACTTATTACGCTTGGACCTGCGTCTACGAACGAGTCGTCAACATTTCCAGAGGAGAGACAGGTCCGTTGTAGTGAGATCAAATCGACTGGAGAGGATTTTCCAGTGCGGCTGTCAATAAACCCGTCTGGCGACGACGCGAGAAGAGTATGCTCATTGGTGGCGAAAATGGACTGGTCGTTTGAGCCTCGCATGATTTCGTCCTGCAACCGGCGGAATGCCTTTTTGCCCTCGCCGTACAGCAGGGGCATATGGATCGAAAACAGGCCCAGGAGACAGTAGGCTTCGTCCTCGACGCGGGTGGTGCTGCGTCCTGCTGCCCAGTTCATGCGTTGTGAAATAGAAAAGCCTCTCATCAATACCTCAAGCCTTTCCATTGGTTGCTCCCGCTTTGATCCACGACCCAGAACGGGTACAGGGATATGGGTGATGGCTGATATCATTTCGTGTACCGGTTGGCTCTTGATACTCCACTGCCAATCGTTTTCGTCGGCATCATCTCTTTTCCCAACATAATTCCAGTTTTTATCGAAGAACCAGACCTGACATGGAGCGATAAGCTCCTGCAATGTAAAGCCCCTTGTGAACCATCGGCATGTCCTCAAGGAGGCTTCCAGGTCGTAGTTGGAGCGATCCTCTGGTAGTTCCAAGTCGCTCAGGTACGTATAGCATATTTCCGCCGATGCGTACCACGCAAACATGGAGTTGATGGCCTCTGATAGCTCCGCGCTGCTGCTCTTATCGATGCAGCAAGTGTCGATCCAAACGTATCCTAGACCATCCGTTCTAGCCTGTTTACAGCAATTGCTGACTTTATCCCACCCATCCCTCTTCTTCAAGCTCTTCGTGGGTTGGGTCATGTGTTCAAAGAGGATCTCTCTCTTCTCCCAGGTGTGGGATAGGATGGCGTACTCCGGCTTCTTTCCCAGAAACTCCACCAGCTGGAAGGTGTGAACATTGAGCAACCTCATCTTGCTTGAAGCGAGCGTTCGGGGCCAAGCTCTCTGGCCATCCAGTAAAAGACGACAAGCTTGTATAGTGGTTGATTGACCTCCGTGGTCAGCCAATATGCGGCTCTAAGAAAACAAGTGTGACTTTTCTCCGACAGCCTGACCTGGGTGAGGAGGGATTTTATCTGTTGCAGCCTGACTGGACATGCAATGTCGGTGGTCTCATGCAATCCAAACCAATTACAATGACATGGCTGAGGACCATGCATGCTCAGCCAATGGGCAAGGAAGGAGATGTAACCCCGAGCATAGATCCAGACATTTTCAGGCGACGGTCAATGGTTGCGGGATTCGCTCGCTGCCCTCCAAACCAACATCCCGCAGCGAGATGCTCATAGGCCGGTCAGCTCGTGCATCTGACAGGGGTCGTGGCGGCCTGGAGGCCGCCTCTCCCACCAGGCGCAGCAAAAGGAAGGAAGCAAGCTCTCCCCCGCATCTCGTCCTCGAAGGGCAGATATTCATTCAATGGAGGGGAAAGAGAACAATCGGCTTGTTGAATTCTGATTTATTTGTGCACTTTTGCCTTGCCTTGCCTTGCTTGCTCTCTCGCTCGGTATACAGTCCGCCTCGGTCCTCTCAACTTCTCCCCTCTGTGCCTTGTTCCTCGCCGTCCTTGTATGGCTGCCTTTCGACTCGTCCAAATCTAATCTAGTCTAGTCTACTCTCTCTATTTCTATTTCCATTGTGTTCTATTGTTTGTAGCCCTTCTCCAAGAGTAAGGCAGACAAGGCAAAAAAGGACACTCCATCGTCATGGCCCCAGCCAACGGCAAAGCGGCCTCCTGTCGCCTCCGGGCCACCGCCGCGCCGCCTTCGTCCTCGTGCGGCTCCCGCAAGCGAACCAGGCAGGAAGCAGCAGCAGGGAAAGAAGGAGGAAATGTAGCTGGAATATTTGCCCCGCCGCGCATCAGGACCGAGTTCGTCGACTACAGCGCCGGCTGGCCGGTCGCTGCTGACGACAATGTTTTCCAAAAGCTCGCGGCGTTCCCATCCTACATGCCCTTCACGATTCCCAATTACGACGACAACGGTACGGTGCGCCAGCAGTTGTTGCACCACCCACAGTACGCAGCGGGCTACGCCAGCCTCTCGCCCAAGCAGGTGACCTTTGCCGACAACACGGTCGTCGCCGACGAGGGCATTGTCGTCCCGCACGACGAGGTCCACCACCCAGGCAAGCGGCCTCGGACGCTGAGCGAGGGCGTCGGCAGTAGCGTCGGCTTCAGCTCGGCTGCCTCGTCCACCAGTTCTTCCTCCTCTTCCACGGCAAAGTGCGGCACATTTTCGCCCGTCAATACCGAGTTTCAGTCTGCCACCGACGCCCTCAGCGTCTCTTCCGTCATGTCGAGGGGCCCGAGTCCGTTGCGGCAGCTGTCCTCATCGACTTCTTCCGGTGCACTGTGCGTGGGCCAAGAGGTCGTTGGTCATGGTGGCGAGTCAGCAGCAGCGACGTACTACGTCTGTCTGAGCCCCAACTGCGTCGCCCGTTTCGTCGACAGCCAGGGTTTGGGCGATCACCTCCGAACGGTGCATAGCTGGCTCCCCTGTGACTGGGGGGAATGCAAGACCGAGGGCATGAGCTTCGCATCACGAGAGAAGCTCAATCGGCACGTCCAGGTTGAGCATCTACTCATGTGCCCCGCGGCAGGTTGCATGGAGCGCTCCTCGTGGCAGAGCAAGAAGCTCCTCGAGTCGCATATCCGTGTCTGCCATCCAGACTCTGTAAACCCCGAATCTGCAACACGACAAAACACGACCTCCAGGGTTCCCCTTCCGCCACCAGCTACACCTTTTCCCAAGAGAGTTGAGGAGACCATGACACCTCCAAAAGAGTCGCCCAAGTGGGATGCCATCGGCGACCCCTCACGCAAGGCAATGCTTTCGGTCGAGCTCTCTAAGCGTCGCTGCCAGGAGCAGCTGAGACTTGCGCTGGAGAAGAGGCAGAAGAAGTTGAAAGGTCCGACTGATCAACCTTGCCTAGCTAAATTTCAGATTCTGACCGTGAGACAGACATACCACGCTCGGCAGCCAGCCCCCAGGACGTCCGCTCCCCACGCTTGGCGGAGCCTGTCACTCCCTTCCCCATAGTATGGGAGCACTGTGTCCTGCCGTTCCTGATCGAATGGATCGCCAAGTGGTGCGGCCCCGGGCACGCCATCAGCGTGACCCGTGGAAAGATTCACCCAAACGCAAGGCGCATATGCCTCATGACGAGCGCAAAGCTTAGCCGCGCCCGTAAGGTCTTCATCGCCGCCCACGTCCGCGACATACTCCCGGCGCCCTACAAGAACCACTCCAGCTTCAGCTTCGCGACGGGTAAGGTCGACCGCCTGGTCTGGGCCAGGGGACTGAGCAAAGAGCACCCGGACGAGGTCTGCAGCCCGCGAAACCCCTTCTGCTACATCAGCCCTTGCATGGGCGATAGCATCGGTGCGGCGACGAACGGAGGGCAGGACGCCATCGCCTGCACCCTTGGCCCCTCGCTCGTGGTCGGCGACACCAAATGCTGGCTGGGAAACTTCCACCCTTTCTTAGACGTGTTTCAAAACCACGATGACCAGGTAAATCTTGAACACCCAGCACCCTGCGACCGGCAGGGCTGCCTGGACTCGGGCCATGACGCCCTGTACCTCAAAAACAACGACTTTGGGTTGGGGAGCCTCATCGCCACGTCGGGCGTCGACCTCAAGACGGTCCGCCTCTCCCACGAGCCGTACTGGGCCGAGTGCGACAAGGAAGCGCCTCTCGTCGCAACCGACTGGACCCTCTTCACCTCCAGAACGCGCCAGGCCAACATGCTCCGCAGATTCCCCGACGCGCAACAGAGCCATCAGTGCCTCCAGGCGCTCGTGACGCAGACCTCGACTGTGACCCCCGGAGCCGACGTCATCAGCACCGGCCGGACATCGGGCTGCCAGCGCGGCCAGGTCTGCGAGGTGCCGGCCTACATATCCGGCGACGCGGTGGGTAACGGCACGGGCCGCGCCACGCGCGAGTGGTATATTGAGGAGCCCTTTGCTGACGATGACGACGGCGACGCCTGGATCCGGGGCGGCATCGGCGTGCCGGGCGACAGCGGCGCGGCCGTCGTCGACGCCGAGACCAACGCGCTGCTCGGCCACCTCTGGGGCCGCAACAAGTACTTTGGTGGCGGGCCGCGGCACGCCTACTTCACGCCCATCAACGACGTGCTCGACGACATCCAGGAGAAGTGCGTGCAGCAAACGCGCCCTTGCCTGCCGCAGTACCGCGACGAGAGCGAGTGCTGGCCCGTCTACCCCATGTGCCGCCAGTGCTTCGACCTCACGACGTACCTCGAGAGCCGCCGGAGCTCGAGAGAGTCGTACAGGTCGGTCCTGGGCCAGTCGCAGAACCTCGAATCCCTCGCCGAGGATAGGGACTCGACCGACGTCCTATCCGAGCTGGCGACGCCCAGGGACCAGTCGTACTGGCTCCGCCACGCGGCTGGGCCGGACGAGGGCGGGACTTCGTCTTTCGCTGGCGTCATGTCGCCCATACCGGGCTTCACCTACAACTTCACTTCACCGACGGATCTACGAGTCGCAGACATAAGGAGCCCATATGCGTTGCAATTGGATGCTGATGATCTATTCGACGCCGCTGACGAGGGCATCCCTGCTGAAAAGGCCGTCGGTAAGCGGCCCGCCGCGGCGCCCATGGTGCGCAGCAGTTCAAGCCACGGCGGCGGGGAGCGGAAACGGCGTAGAGTGGCCTAGCCCGCGAACCCACCGCGGGCCATCTTCCTCGCCCGCTGATCGCGGCGGTTGTGGTTCGCCCTGGAGCTCTTGGCCGCCTCTTTCCTCCTCCGGGCTTGCTCTGTCTCCTTCTCGCCTGTTGGTCCGGCCACGTTACCCCCCCGTCCACGGCCGCCTCCGCCCCGGCCTCTCCCTCCTCTGCCCCTACCCCCGCCTCTACCTCGCGACGTTCCCCGGCCGTCGGCCTCCGAGTCTTCTGCGCCAGAACCGGCAGGGCTTGCTCGCCAGGCCGTGGAGGCCAGCTCGTTCTGCACGCCCGTGAAGGCGGTGAATTTGTTTTCGAGTCTCCTCTTCTTCTGCGGGTTCCTTGCGAGCATGAGGCCCCAGCCCTCGATGGCCTCGTCGGTCATGCCCGTCTCTTCCTTCAGCTTGGCTCTCGCGATGCCTCGCCTGGTACCTGCGTCCCTGTCGAACGCGTAGGGATCCGCCAAGAAGGCCCGGAAGAGCGCTTCCTCGTTGGCTTCCTGCGGGTCCTCCTCCGTGGCGGCGTCGACGGTGCCGCCCACGTCTTCGGCGTCGTAGGTGTCGTCGCGCTCGTCGTCGTCCGAGTCGAATGCTGCGAGGGCCGATAGGATGGCCGCCTTGTTGGGAGCGGTGGAGCGGTCTTGCAGGATGTCTTCTGCCGTGCGGCTGGACTCGTGCTTGCCGAAGTGGAGCTTGGAGGTGTCTACGACGAGCCTGTCCATCTCGTCGTCGTCGAAGACGTTGTGGCGCGTGGGAAGCTGATAAGACGGAGGAGGCGTTGACTTGGGTGCCAGGTCTTTGTGATGCTCTTTCTGCATGGCATTGGAGGTTCTGTTCATATGATTAGTCAATGCGCTGTAATGAAATCAAGAGACGACTTTTTGGCATAAAACCCACAATTGTTCACCGCGGTCGGCGCTCTTCAAGTGCGGCGGCAGTGTATCCTCGAGCAGATGTGCGATGACCTGTTCCGTGTCATCTCCGTACTCGTCGAGCAACCTGGCGACGAAGCCCGACCCGAGCTCCGGAAAGAGGTCTTGAATCTGCGTGATCTGGCTCATGCGGTGGACGTGGACCTGCTGCTCCACGGCGTCGTGGTCGACCACCTCGACGCCCTTGCCCTTGTCGATCTTCCTCCGGACGGGCCTCCTGGGCCGCATGCCCGCGCCGGGCTTGCGGAACGAGGCCAGGTCCCGGATCATGTTCCTGGTGCGGCCAGGGACCTCCACCGCAGCGGCCTCGAGCCTCCGCTGCACGTGCTGGAGGATCGGGGTCGTGGTGACGAGCTCGGCCACGAGCGAGTCGTTGGCGTTGAGCGGGCCGGCCCTGTGGGCGTCGGCGGCGGCCTTGAGCGCGTAGAGCCGGTCCGTCAGCATCGAGACCTTGGGCGGCTCGCCGTTGCCGGCGCCGTCGACGACGAGTAGCCCGGCCAGGCAGAGGTAGAGGTTCGTGACGATGGCGCGGCGCAGGGGCGGGTTCATGACGCGGAAGCAGGAGAGCAGGGCGTCGAGGTAGTCGTCGCCGGCGAGGAAGAAGGCGGCCACGCGGGCCGGGGAGGCGCCGACGAGGAAGTTGAGGCGGACGAGGCGCTGCTCCGCGGCCCGGAGGTCGCCGTTGATGCCCTTGTCCAGGTCCGCGATCAGGGCCTTCTTGAGCGCCTGGAGGGAGGAGGTCTCGAGGGCGGAGAGGGACGCCGGGGACAGGCTGGCGAGGAGCCGCGCCGTGCGTCTCCTGCCGTGCAGGCGGGCGAGGTCCGAGAGGAAGGACCACTGCAGGGCCCAGGGCGGGGGCGCGGCGGACCTGAGGACGCGGGCGGCGAGGCGGAAGGTCGACCTGAGCAGCAGCAGGCGCGAGCCCGCGCCGGCGGGGTCGTCTGAGCTGCCGCTGCCGAGGAGGCCGTCCTCCGGAGACTCCGCCGCCTCCCTGGCGAGGCCGGGGAGGAAGGACGAGAGGGACTCGTCGGCGAGGGAGGCGCGCGCGAAGTCGTCGTCCGGCAGGCTCAGGTGGGCCTCGGCCAGCAGGGTCCAGGCGCCGAGGAGGGCGGCCCAGTCGCCGGGCGGGCAGGCCCGTCTCCATTCTGCGGACGGGAAGGCCGCGAAGGGCGGTAGGGGGGCCGTCATTGCGAAGGGCCGGTTTTGCTCCCCTTTTTTGCTGCTTTTGCTGGGGGACTGACTGTATGAGAGGTGGAATGGATGGGATGGGATGAATGAGCGTCGTCCCGTTGATGATGGAGGGGTGCGTGCGGCGACCTCGATGAGGGGCACGATGTTGCTCTTTCTCTGTCCGCTTAGAAAAAAGGCGGGATTGAACAACGGAAATGCTGGAGGGAGGGAAAAAGCTGTGCGCCAGAAAGTCTAAATAATGAGAATTCACGGCATCCTGCATGTGTGCAACACAGGTGTACCGTGATCTTTATTTCACCTTGAAGTGGATAAAAGTCAAGATAATGGGATGGTTTGCTGGCCGGTTGACTCAGCTCAGTCTCAGCAGGCAGTTTGCAGGCTGGATCCACCAATGACGCGCTGGAACTGGAGCCCTAAATCCATTAATTAGTGTTAGCATCCATGGGTCATTAGTTAAGTATCATTCTCGGGTTTTATTTATTTGAAGTCTTGACTTGACGTATTGCACGGGTTATTTATTCATTTCAACCCAGTCTATGACTCTTCTCGAGGCAGTCCCCGGGATGTGATCAATTGTTCCCCGATTCGGTTCAATTTCCCATTGAGTTTACTTGGTACCCTTGTTCCGCTCACTGCCTGCTGGGTGGGATATGCTCGTCTTCCTCACTATCCAGAAAGTCCGTCCGATTATGGATGACTTGTCGTAACCAGTTCCCCGTCTTGGAAATCCCCTTCTCAACGCCGGGAAAAGCGACAACTCCCTCGTGGTATAGTAAAATGACGACGGCCTTTCCTTTCCTTTCCTTTCCCTTCCCTCGCTAGAAATCCCACGCGCACCACTCCCTCTTGGGCGGCACCTCGGGCATCACGCCGCCCTCGAACCTCCCCGTCCTCACAAAGGCCTCGTACGCCGCCCTGGTCCTGTCGTCGTACCTGCTGTCCTCCACCTCGGTGGCGCCGTAGTATAGGGGCGGGCCCCGGGGGAACCATATCTTGACGAAGGAGCCGTCAAAGTTCTGTACGCCCGCCATGGTCTCGCCGCCGTCCTTGGCGGTCTTGTACGCCACCTGCTTGCCCTTGAACGTGGCCAGGTTGCCGGACACGTCCTTGGTGCTGTAGCTCTCAAAGGGCGGGTGTTGGCGGGACGCGTTCGGCGGGTAAGGGTTGTTGGATGCGCCGCTTGCCGCCGCTCCTGCTCCTGCCGGTGGCGCTGCCGTAGTCTGCGGCGCCCCGAAACCACCACCCCCGGCACCGGGCTGGCCGAAGCCCGACGCAGCCTTGGTAAATGGGTTCGCTGCCGCCGGTTGCTGCGAGGGTGCCGCCGGTTGGCCAAACGGCGAGGGCGCAGGAGCGGCAGTCGACGTGTCCATGGCCGAAGACGCCGGCGCTGCACCGAATGGCGAGGGCTGTGAGGGCTTGCCAAACGGGTTGGCTGCGGCGGGTTGAGCGGTGCTTCCAAACGGCGATGGCCCGGTCGTGCCGGCCGCCTGTCCAAAGGGGCTTGTCGTTTGCCCGAGGGCAGAAGGCTTGCCGAATGCACCCGTCGTCTGAGACGCTGCTTGGTTTGAGGTGGCCGCTCCGAACGGAGACGGGCCGGGAGCCGCCTGCGCTGCTTGCCCGAACGGCGACGATGCTTGGTTGGCCGAGCCTGCACTTCCAAATGGACTGGGAGCGCTCGTATTGGATCCGAAGGGGTTGGGTTTCTGTCCCAACGCCGAAGCCTGACCAAAGGCCGAACCTCCTCCTCCTCCCATCTGTGACGGTTGGCCAAAAGCACCGCCTCCCGAAGCCCCGAGCTGTGAAGGTTGACCGAAAGCGCTACCGCCAGACTGCGAGGGTTGGCCAAACGCGCCGCCGCCGCCCGGTTGTGACGGCTGCCCGAAGGCAGGTGCGGCCGCCGTCGACGGCTGTGAGGGCTGTCCGAACGCCGGCGCCCCAAAGGGACTGGGCTTCTGGCCGCCCAGAGCGGAGGCTTGCCCGAACGCGGAGCCGCCGCCGCCGCCGCCGCCCATCTGCGACGGCTGGCCGAACGCCGAGGTGCCGCCTCCCAGCTGTGACGGTTGGCCGAACGCACCGCTCGGCTGCGACGGCTGACCGAAGGCGGGTGCGGGCTGTGAAGGCTGGCCGAAGGAGGACGACCCGCCGCCGAAGGGGTTCGGCTTGCTCGGTTGGCCAAAGGCAGACCCTGTCGCTGCCGCGGAGCCGAACGGATTTGAGGCCGGCGCGGCGCTCCCGCCGATTGTCCTCTTGCCCACCGCGAACTCGCCGTTGGTCCCTCCGGGCCGCGTTCCCTCCTTGCACACGTCGAGCCGATTCGGATGCCTGTTGCCCCCCTCGATAATGTACTGAATAGCGCCGTCTACGTTGCTGACGGCGTTTTGTATCCGCTGCTTCGCGCCCTGGTAGAGCTCTTCCATCTCGCTCACCTACAACCCCGTGATGTCAGTTTGGTTGTCACTCTGACCTGCATTTTGTCTTGAACGTACTGCTTTTTGCGGGTTGCCGGACAGGGCGCCCATCATGTAGTGTAGTCGGAGCTCCTCGAAGCTCTGCTCCAAGGGGAAGCCGCCCCAGAGCTGGTCCGGGGCGTCCTTGCCGGGACCGTATGCGGACAGTATCCATGACGGGGGGTCTTCAGTCAGGTCCTTCTTCAGGGTCTCCTTGCTGAGACTGTATGGTACTGTTGGAACAAGAACGATTGTTAGTGCCGGTCGAGTAGTGGGAGGAGAGTGTGTGTCTCTGAAGGTATCGCACATTGGTTGTTTCCGCCTCCGCCCGATCCTGGCCCCGATCCGCCGCCGAAAACGCCGAATCGATTGCTGTTCGCCCTCGGATGCTCGAATCTGCACGAGTCTAAACCAATTCAAAGGAGTCGGTCAGCCAGCAAGATCAACAAAAAGGCAACGGGTGAGACGCACCTCCGTAGCGGCAGTTGCCCTGCTGGAAGAAGCGGCAGACAGGCCGCGACATGGTGGCGACTGCGGCTGCGGCTGCGTCTGCGTCTCGGAAAACGCGATGTTACCGGGTCGCTGTAGTGGGGAGCATGCCTGGCCGAGGGGTCGCAGTGCTATGTTTTTATTGTGTCGTCGTCTTTGTTGTGCTATTTTGAGGGACTGATGGTCGAAAACTTTAGCCTTGTATGTAGCTCGAGCCTCACAGCAGATTCACTTTACCTACCTACTTGTGAGCGGCGCGCCAGAGCACGGACCACCTTTCGCTCTTCACATCAGCCACACACATCACCAGCTTCTTCTACTCATTCACGCTTCCAACAAAGACTCGGGTCTGTTCGTCTCTTTCTTTCTTCTCAGTCATGGCCATGGATAGAGATTCGCCTTCTTCCATTGATGCAGGTACTCGGACTCGGACACTTCAACTCCTTTGAAACTCATCACAAACATGCGAGGAAGTCAAATGTCTGGCTGATATTTCTCAGGCTACATAACTACATATATCTATCCATGCTACCTAGGTAGCTTTCCATCTTGACAACGTATTCTCTCGGCTCACCACGACAGACCTCCAGCAACTACGACAGCGTGCCCCGGACCATGGGGATCAGCGCCTGGTTGACATAGTCCGGGCTGCGCCAGGTCGACCAGTCGTGCGACAGCAGGCCCCAGCTCTCCTCGTAGTCGTGCGTGCCCGACCGGATGTAGTAGCTGCCGGCCAGCACCCACAGGAACCAGCCCGCCTTGTTGGCCGGCAGGAAGTCGGCCAGGCAGCTGGCGTACACACCCCTCCACGTCGACGCGTCCATCTGGAAGCCGAACTCGGTCAGCAGGACGGGGAACTTGTTGGCCGCCGAGGCCGACGTCATGGCCTCGAAGCCGTTGCGCACCAGGTTGCCCCGCAGGCTCGCGCAGCTCGTCGCCCCGTTCTCGTAGTTGTGGATCTCGAGCACGATCTTGCCGGCCGGGAAGTCGGCGGCGCTGAACCGCCCCTGGCCCGGCGTCAGCGCCGTGCCCTGCACCACGGGCGTCACGAAGGTGTCGTAGCCCAGCCCGGACAGGAAGATGAGCACGTCCGCGTTGGCCTCGTGGATGGCCGCCGCGCCCTGCCGGACGTACTTGTACCACGACTGCCAGCTGTAGTCGCCGCGCGCGGGCCCGCTGTCGGGCTGCCGCGGCTCGTTGCGCAGGGCCATGGACATGAGCGCCGGCCAGGCCTTGCCGTGGGCGGCCATGTAGGCCAGCCCGCGCGCCCAGTTGGCCACGGGGAACTCGGTGTCCCCCCACCAGCCGTTGCCGTCGTTGGTCGAGCAGCACCACTTGCCCTTGGAGATGTGGTTGTCGAGGTGCACGTAGATCTGCTGCCGCGCGCACTCGGCCGCGACGGCGTCAAACACCTGCAGCCGCGTGGTCGACGCCGTGAAGGAAGGGTTGTTGGCCAGCACCCTGGCCAGCACCTTGGGCCCGTCCGTGGCCCCCAGCCCCTGCGCGAAGGCCTTCTGCAGCGTGACGTCCTGGCCGTTGTTGGCGTAGATCTCGTCGATCATCTGGATGGCGTACGTAAGCCGGATCGCGTTCATGCCCAGGCTCTTGATCTTGGACACGATGGTCTCGATGCTCTGGTACTGCAGGCCCTCGGGGATCATGACCTCGCCCGCGCCGGGCCAGTTGACGCCGGCGTACGTGAGGCTCTGGCCCGAGGCGTCGAGGATGTCCTTGCCCGAGGTCACCAAGGGGCCGTTGGGCCAGGCTGCTCGCTCCTCGTGGAGGATGGACCTCGAGGCGGCGAGCCCGCCGAACGCGAGGAGCCCGCCGAAGATCTTGAAGCTCACCATCTTTTTGCGGATGACGACGAGATTGGCAAGGAAGGCCGAAGAGAGAGCACGCGCGCACACACACACACACAGGTGAGAATTGCAGGCTCGCAGCTACGATCCGCCTCTTTTCCCCGCAGACGGACGGCTGGTCTTTATTAATTGAATACCCTCCATATTGCCCGTGATGAGGTTGGCCTGCCTCGGCTCCTTCACCCGCGGAATCCAATGGGCTGCATTCCCTGGAAGGCTACCAAGCCCGGAGCCAGAGGAGGGGGACCTTGCCCGTAGTGACGAAGAGTACGACGGTGACATTGGGGTCCCCGTTGGTGGAGGAATTGTGTAGACGTACATCGCGCCGTTCGCACCGGCTCCGGGAACCCCGCGAGAGCGACGGGTCTCCATCGTCTCCATCGTCCCCATCAACTGCCGCCAGGCACCGTGTAAATGGGGGACATGGCTTCATGGCCCAGCTCCCCCGCAGACCAGACTTGAAAACCCCAGATCTCTCGACCCGACAGGGGTTCGTTTTGCCGAGATCTCCCACACTGCCGTGATTGAGGATCCAGAGTTACCAAGGACTCTTTTCTTGCACGCGCCTCTGTCGAATTGATACCTACTCCGTACTTCGAAAACAGCGTGGGCACTTCACACAAGACCAAAGGGAAAACGAGGCGAATGGGGAAAAGCAATATGCGTCACAAAACAGGCCCCTGCATCCCGACTTCCACCAGGATGGCCCTGCGAACTGGTCATTTTATGTCGTCAGCACTGGGAAGTCAGCCTTTTCGTACCAAAGTGGCACCTACAGGGATTCATTCCATCAAATAGGAGCCTCTGAAATGCTCTGATCAACAAAACAGTCACTTTAAGATACACGAGCTTGTCAGCCCTGTCAATGGTCAAGGTTTAATCACCAGTGAGTTCTATGGTCACAAGGATTGATCAGGGGATTGATCAGGGTTTAGCCAGGGATTTCAGCTACTTGATGTTGATCTTGTTGTAGATATCTGTACTGTAACAAGGTACTACGAAGCCGACCTCCAGCGATAGGGCATCGACAATTTCTGCCATGGGTGTGCTGGTCCTTGACCAGGGATCGTCGTGCAGTGCACGCGTGGCGTCGTGATGCGGCTGATGCCCAGCAGGCCCGGATTACCCCTTTTCCTTTGCAGCCTCCCCGAAACCGAATTGTCGTCCGTCACTCCCAATTGCAGTTCTTGCGTGCGTGCGTACGTACCGTCTCACGATCAAGCGCAGTACATACATCATACAAACAAACATACAGAAACAAATTACCAATCCATCGGCGTACGCAATGGCCCGTGGCCGGAGAAAGAAGAAGTCCGCCTCCAACGGCCAGCCCGCCTCCAATACTCAGTCCTCCTCCAATGGAGCCGCGGCCTCGAGCTCGACCCAGCCTGTCCCTGAAGACATCGAGGTGATCATATCAGCCAAGCCCCCCTCCCAAGAGGCAGAAGCAGAGGCGAGCATGCCGCCCAAGCCCGTTCCCAAAGGTCTAGACGAGGCCTTCTTCGAGCGTAGCTGGAGCCGGGACGACGAGGCCAGCGGGGGCGACTGGGATACCTACGACCAAATCATTGGCACAGACACGACGTACATTGGCTTTGGCAGTTCGTTTCAGTTGGCAGAGTAAGGAGAAAAAAAAAACCAAGATCCAGAGCATATCTAAAAGGCCCAAGCCCTGAATCATGCTAACTCGGCCTCGCGTGTCCAGCCGCCACATCGACGACATCCTGGCCTTGGGCAGCTCGGTCTGCGAGAACCTGTCGGAGTTTGAGTTTTGGTTCGAGGACGTGAGCTACGACGCCAGGAACGACGCGTGGGGCGTGACGACCGAGGGTCTTGTCCGCCTGGCGCGGGCCTGTCCCGGCCTGACGAGGGTCCAGCTCCAGCGCACGACGAGGATCAAGGACGCCGCCCTGCTCGCCTTTGTCGAGCACTGTCCCGGCCTGGTCTCGCTGGAGATCACAGACGGTCCGGGGCAGGAGCACTCCTTCACCGAGAGGGCGTTCGACGAGCTGCGCGAGCACCCGGACTGGGCCGACGAGCTGGACGCGCTGATCATCAGCCACGGGGGGCCTCGCAGGTCGATGAAGGCCCTCCGCCGCCTGGGCCGAAGGAGGCCTGGGCTCACGATCACCATGGTTGGGCTGTGCGAAGAGAAGAAATGGGGAGACTGGGAGCTGGAAAGGGTCGAGACCCAATACAGGGCGGGGCGCGAGTACCGCCCCAACTGGGGCTTCATTTACGATGAGGACTCTTGGTAACCTCGATTGATCGCTGGGGAAGATGAGAGGCTCCTCCTGCTCAAGCAAAGATCCAGGGCCGTATCGCAGAATCTACGTAGTACGGCAGCAGCAGCAGCAGCATGGTGCCAATATGTTTGCTAGACACGCCGGGTCGAGACGAGTGACCAGTCTGCCATGGGTTTTGAAGAAACCAGTCCGCGTATCTGCGGAGAAGTCTTCCCGGACTCCCGGGACGGTCAACCCTACATCTATGTAATCCCATGACGAAATGCGGCTCAAGACGTACGTTCCCCCCGCTTAGAGCCGGCACCGACACCAGCCGAGTTCCCCGCAAATGGGTCGCCCACTCGCCGCCAGAGTTCTGTTTCTCTCGTTAGCTCATCATCCAATGTTCATTGAGGAGCGGAACCAAGGAGAGCCCGTTGATTAAAAAAGAAGAGATGACCTGTGGGTTCTCGAGGAGGTGTAGTAGGCTATGCCGGGCTCCAAACCAATAACCGAGGAATGAGGCTTTGCAGAAAGAGACGGCCTTTGTTGGTACGGTGACCCTCCCGACCCGAGAGTTGGGCACTTTCGACGGGATTGGACCCTGACCAGCACCATCTTTGGGTCAGGAGTCATGCATCCTCTGCAGTGTATGCCGTGCCCGTGTCACGCATCTAATGCACGTCAGGTGAAGCCCAGTCCAGTCCGTCCGCAGCATGCTTGATATACGGAAAGATTCTCACATTTCTCGTCTCGTCGTCTCCGTGTCCTTTTCCTCAAATCAAAGAAGCAATGCTAAGATCCTCCAATAAACACACCCACCGTCCGACGACAACCCGCCAAGCCAGTCTCCAGTCTCCAGTCTCCAGTCTCCCCGGGCAAAGCCCACACTCACTCCAAGAAAAACCCGGGCCAGAGAGTGGGGCGGGCGTATTTCCGCCCGTTGCAACGAAGCTTTCCGCGCCGCCAGCGCCGTGTCAGGTGTGGAGCCCTTCCGCATCTAGCCGGCTCACACACCTTGGAATGGTCATCGTGACGACCGTAAAGAGCAAACAAAAAGCCAGAAATGTGTCTGTGTAAAATGCCCCTACAGAGCGGTTGACTGTCTGCCCATGTCCCTTGATCGAGTAACTAGTGTCAGCAGCACGGTATCGGAACTTGTAATCGGGATATCAGAAATGGCCGTCTTGTCCATTCTGGGGACGCCGTCCCTGTTGTCCACCGTTGCGGCGGTGGTGATTGTCGCGACAGCATATGTACGGCCCCGGAAACGCTGGAAATATTCACTCGATCAGCCAGTAACTGACAAAGCCTTCCAGGGACTCTGCCTCGTAGTATACAGACTCTTCCTGCACCCGCTGGCAGGATACCCCGGCCCCTTGCTGGGCAAGATCACGGCATGGCGGGACGTCTACCACGCCTACCAAGAGGACAAGCACCTCGATCTCTACGACCTGCATGAGAAATACGGTACGCCATTGCCCCCAAAAGCGTAGCACTTGGCTGTCTTTCTTTCTTCTCTCCCGTATCTACCTTACCCTGGACCACCGACCGACTGACCCCCCATTCCAAGGCTCCGTCGTCCGCTACGGCCCCAACACCCTCTCCTTCAACGACCCGGCCGCCCTCAAGGCCATCTACGGCCACAAGTCCAACGTGCGCAAGTCCGACTTCTACCTCTCCTTCCCGGCCCGCCCGGACGCCTTCTCGACGCACACGGCCATCGACCGCGCCGCCCACGCCCGCAAGCGCCGCGTCATGAGCCACGCCTTCTCCGAGGCCGCCCTGCGCGGCGTCGAGGAGTACGTCCTCGTCCACATCCGCCTCTTCGTCCAGAAGCTCGCGGCAACCAGCCAGAGCAACCCGGGAGCCTACTACACGCCCGGCGAGTGGACGGAGCCCAAGAACGTGGCCAAGTGGAGCACCTACCTCGGCTTCGACGTCATGGGCGACCTGAGCTTCGGCCGCTCGTTCGAGATGCTCGAGGGCAGCAGCGCCGAGAACAGGGACGCGCCGCGGCTGCTGGCGCAGGCGGCCAAGAGGCACAACACTGTAGGTTTATCCATGCATCCCCTTGCCAAACCCGTTTTTAAAGCAACCCTCACTAAACCATGACGATCCCAGACCGGCCCGATGCCCTGGCTGCACCAGTCGGGCCTCGACCGCCTGCTCTTCCGCAAGCTCAACCGGGACCGCGACCGGTACATGGCCTTCAGCAAGAAGCAGGTCGGCGCGCGCATGAACAGCGACATCTTCAACTCGTCCCGCAAGGACTTCTTCTACTACCTGCTCAACTCCAAGGACCCGGAGACGGGCCGCGGGTTCGCGCCCGGCGAGCTCTGGGGCGAGTCCAACACGCTCATCATCGCCGGCTCCGACACGACCTCGACCACCATGACGGCCACCGTCTTCTACCTCGCCCACAACCGCACGTGCCTCGAGCGCGCCTACCAGGAGGTCAAGTCCCGCTTCTCCTCGGCCGAGGACATCCGCGCCGGGCCGGAGCTCAACGCCTGCGCCTACGTCCGCGCCTGCATCGACGAGGCCATGCGCATGTCCCCGCCCGTCGGCGCCATCCTGCCCCGGCAGACCCTCGACGGCGGCCTCGACGTCCTGGGCCGGCACGTCCCCGCCGGCGTGGGCGTCGGCTGCCCCATCTACGCCCTGCACCACAACGCCCGCTACGTCGAGGACCCCTTCGCCTACCGGCCCGAGCGCTGGATCCCCTCCGGCGGCCAGGGCGGCGCGGCGACGGAGGACTCCCTGAGGGACCTGCACAGCGTCTTCAACCCCTTCAGCATCGGCCCGCGCGGCTGCATCGGCAAGCCCATGGCCTACATGGAGCTGACGATCGGCGTCGCGCGGCTGGTATTTGGCTACGACATGCAGCTCGCGCCCGGGGACCTCGGCCGCGTCGGCGAGGGCGACCCGTCGCTGGGCAAAGGCAGGGAGCGCGCGGGCGAGTTCCAGATGCGGGATATCTTTGTGAGCAAGATCGACGGTCCGTACGTGAGCTTCCGGCCGAGGCCCTGAGTGAGTTAGGGGAAGAAGCTGAAGTCGGGGGATGGGGTGGGTGGGAACTTACGGGTTTTATGTCCATTTCCTATCTGTACCAAAACGGGATTTCTCAACGATTTCGGTATCGTGTGCTCTGTTCAGGCATCTTTGGCGAACCAGGTCGCCCGCTCGCGAGGTAGACACAACTGTCGATAATGTCAATCTGACTGACCCTTTTCAATTACCATACCTGTCTTACACAGCTTATTGATACAATCAAACAAATGAAAACAAAAGATTCGAAACCGTGTGTTGCATGGCGAGCTCACTCTTCTTTCGTGCAGAGCCGCCCCATGATCACCAAGCCAGATCATTACTTTTCATCCCCCTTCCAATCATCCCCCCTTTTCAAATACCTCCCTCATCTACTTTCCATTCTCCTCCTTCACCATCCTCCACTTCTTCCAGTCAAGTTCACCCAGAACCCCAGCATTCTAATAGTTGAAATACCTCGGCTCGTCAAAGACATGGTACCTATGGCCCCGAACCCCCTCGCCGCGGAACACGGCCGGGAACCTCCACCCCTCGGGCACGTCGCGCTCCTCGACCCGGCTGTTGCGCGTCGCGTCGTCCACCTCCCACGCCCGCTGCGCCTGCAGCGCCGACTCGCCCGACCCGTCGGCGGGCGGGAGCACAAACTTGGCGACCTGCAGCTCCGTGTCGGTGATGGTGCTGCGGCTGACGCGCGCGTACCCGACGCGCCGCAGGCCCTTGTACAGGATGTACTCGCACCACCGGTCCCAGTCGCTCGGGTCCACGTCGTGCATGCCCGACGTCTCCGACACGTACGTGTTGTAGTTGCCCTCGAGCGGCTTGGTGACGAGGTAGCTCAGCAAAAAGGCCGGGCGGCTGGTGCTGCCCATCAGCTTGGACAGGTACTCGGACTGCAGGCGGCGGTCCTCGGGGTCCTCCTCCTGGCCCGAGTGGAAGACAAACACGTCGACGAGGGTGCCGTAGACGTCGAGCGTCGCGTGGATGGCCGGCGCCAGCTCGCCGACGGGCGAGGGCAGCAGGTGGTGCGTCGAGTTGAGGATGGGGAACTTGGAGAGCAGCGCCGCGCCCCACGTGTGCTTGTTGGGGCCCGGGCCGTAGTCGACCCACATGCCCAGCTCCTCGGCCAGGAGCTGCGTCGAGTCGCGGTTGCCCATGATGATGCGCTGCTGGTCCGACTCGAGCAGCCCGATGACGTCGACCTCCATCTCCTTGATCAGGTCGCGCATCCGGTACTCGGACGACCACATGTCGTTGTCCAGCGAGAAGTGGATCGTCCAGATACCCGCCGTGAGGACGCGGTCCTCGGCATGGTAGGGCTTGTAGTCGTTGGTCGGGAAGCGCAGGAAGGCGGCGGCCAGGAAGAGCACGTTGAGGACACCCATGGCGCCAAAGTGGTACTTGCGGTGGGCAGAGGCGTTGGGTCGCTTCTGGTACTTGGCCTTGGAGCGACCGGCGCGGGTCGAGGTAAGGTCGAACACACCCGCGCCGATACACAGCATCATAGTGATCATGATCCAGTCGGTGTGCTCACGGACCAAGGGACCACCGGGGACGAAGGCGTAGGCGACGACCCACACGTGGAACAGGACCAAGAAGTTGTAGAACAAGAAGCCAAGGCCAAAGGTGACGGCAGGGCTCTTCTTGATGGCACTGGTGATGAGCGGGATGGACACACCCATGAGATAGACGGAGAGAATCAGGGCGCCATAGTAGCCGAACCAGTTGCTGTAGAGGGTAACCATGGCGGCTCCGACACAGGCAATGCCATAAGCAGTCCAGGAGGCAACGAAGCCCGGCCGCAGGAGGCCGAGGACCATGCCACCGGTCATGGCGAAAATAGTGTACCAGGCATGGGTGTTGGAGAAGGGGCCGCGGATCGGGTATCCCTCCCACACCCACAGAATCATAGTGCTGGTGTCGGAAAGCAGCGAGTGGAGGCCGAAGAACAGACCAGCGATGGCAAAAGCAGACAGGATGCTGGAGCCGGCTTGACGGTCGCCGTTATCACCAGTGTGCAGAGGGCCCCTGCGGGTAGATCGCAGAACGGCCAGGAGACCCAAGATCAGGCCGGTGCCGTTCCACCCGCCGTTGGCAGCGTGCATGATGGGCCAGATGGGGTTGTTGGTCTGCCAGGCAAACTTGACAATGCTGGACATGAGCAGACCCCCGATCAGGGCAAGGATCTTGGCCTCGAGGCGGCCTTCATGCAGGGACTCGGAGTAGAGGGTGGCAGTCCAGGCGAGGCACTGCATCGAGACGCCGAAACCGACAGCGAACAGCCGGTAGACAGGGTTCTGTACCATGTAGGCCATGACGCCCGCGAGGGACAGGAGGTGCACCGCCCGCAGGTTGTTGACGACAAGAGAGCGGATGGGACGGATGCCGAGCAGGAGGGGCGAGATGCTGGACATGACGAACACCTCGTAGCCGGAGATGCCCATGTACCACAGCGGGAAGAACCAGACGACGACGCCGAGACTGGTCAGGACAGACCAGAAGACGAAGCCCAGATAGACGTCGGCAGCGGTATCGACGACGCCGCCGACGGTGTAGCCCTGCGAGAAGACTCCGCCAGTGGCCAGTTCCTTCTCCTTCTCGAGCTCGGCGGCGGATACGGAGGACGGGTGTGCACTAGTAGCGACTTAGAATGGGTTCATAACTTCATGATATATTTGGTGGTACAGCGTAGATGGAATAATGTACAGGCCAGGGGTCATAGGAACTATTTCGGAAGCCATTGCACGTACCCCTTGCTGAGTCCCTTGACGTCCTTGACCACCAGCTCGAAGGTCTGGAAGTCCAGAGCCGTCACCGCATCGTATCCAACATCAAACAGGATCAGGGCCCACTCGAAGAAGGCGTAGATGGTGTAAGCTGGCGTGCGAAAATCCGGTCAGCTTGGGAACATGAGCACGGCATTCAGAGCATTGAAACATACCACCAGGCACCCTGTGCACCTTGTGCTGGATAAAGAAGTAGACTAGAGGGATCATGGTCCCAAAGAACAAGCCGCAGAGGTACTTGCGGTACTTGATGGCCTTGGCATTGGGCGGGCTCAGGGCCAGGCAGCCAAAAGTCCAGGGGATGGTCGCGACGATGTAGGAGATCATAAAGATGTCGTGCCAGTCGTGGTCGTCGGTCGAGGTCACGTAGGTGAAGCCGCCGCAGGTCAGGGTGCGGAAGACACCCCAGAAGGCGACGAACTTGGGGAGGAACTGGCCAGGCTTGGCCGTCAGGAGATACCACAGGCCGACGAGCGCGAATCTCGGCCCTGCCAGAGTCAGTATGTCGTTGTCTGATGTGTGTCGAGGAGAGACATACCGGCCGTCATGGCAATGAAGACCATGAAAAAGGACCTCTCGGGGTATCGATCGCCAATGGTGGCGGAGACGGACGGGAACCACTCCTGAGGGTAGCCGTACCACTCATTCTGGACGATCTTGTGGTAGTGGAGGGAGACGCCGACGATGAAGGCGCTGATGAAGGCGGCTGCAGGAGGAGCAACGGGTTAGCCAAGAGAACCGACGGGATGCGCAGGCCTGCCGTGTCGAAGAAGAACAAGCGTACCGTAGGCGATGGCAGTGTGCGTCCAGCTCACCCACGAGCCGTTGAAGGAGAGCACGACGCCAGCATCCTTGTCCTTGTACTTGGAGGCCATGGCGACTTCGGCTGGAGAACAATCACCCAAAGAACCTCATCCAACAAGTCCGCAACTGAATGGGACGAGAGCGAGAGTGGTGAAGGGGAAGAGAGAAGGCAAGGAGGGCAAGAAATGTCAGCAAATTGGTGAAGGGATTGATCGAATCAATTGTGCGGGTGTGTCCCCTCGGGCGTGCATCAACGCGACTGCCAGCCAGGCAGAGAGATTGGAGAGATCCGTGTCAGGAGGGACAGCGACTAGGCCGGATCGGGATGAGTCGGTGGGGCGGATGGAGCTTTATCCCCCTGAAAGCACCTGAAAGCACCTGAAAGCACCCCCAAGCTAGGCTGCTGTTCCTTAGCTAAGCGTGCTAAGAAGCTCCGCGGCTCCCGGGCAGCTCCCGCTATCACGCAAAGCTAACGAGGCGGTGCCGAGGCTCACAGAACAATGGAACCTCGAGTGTCTGCTTTCTAGAGTATGGAATCTGGACTGAACAGCTCTTCCACATGTCTTTGAGTCAATTATGGCCTCGAAGACAGAGCTTGTGTCTTTGCGATGCTTTCATTAACTACAGTGGAGAGCTGAGAGAAGCTGCTTTGAGAGATAATGGTGTCGTGACATGATCCGAACCCTCGCCAAACTAGAGCGATGCAAATATCAAGATATGATTGCTCAAGTTCAGCAGTTGGTTGCTTAAGGCAAAACGCCTTAGATGTGCCCTAGGTGCATGTCGCTCAGGACTCAAAGTATCACTCGGTATGTTGGGCATAATGTTGGCTGTGCCCAGCGTACTGGGAATCATGTCCCTCCTCGGTGGATTTCCCATCTTTGTCCTGACCCAAGCAAGACCCGGGAATACGGTACCTGAAAAACCATCGGCTTTAGATCCAATTTTCTGAATGGCCTACAAAGCCAGGTACGGGCTGCGACCGAAACGATCTAGAACCTTATTAACGCTTGTTGGTCTTGCTGCGATCGATCTGTGGAGTCTCCCGAAAAGTTGGTGATGTCATGGCTGGGAGGTCAGACGTAGAGCCGCCAAACACCGCGTCTACTGGGCTTTGAAGACCCCCGAGATTGTACTCGAGGGACTGACTGTATCCAGGGGAACGTGTCCTCGACCTGCTACATGATTTCCTTCTTGCAGCCTTTCAATTGACTGAATTGGATATGGTCAATTGCACGCCAGAGACAAAGTGGCTCAAGATTAGTAGGTAGCTCGCTTCCCACCAAAAGCTAAGCTGTTGTTCGAGAGAATGCCTCAAGAGAAATGAGAAACGAGAATTGCAACGGTACTAGTCGCCCTGCACTGGATTCAGCTTGGAGTGGCCTTCACAAGGGCATGCATGTATGGGGTAAGGGATGGGTAGCTGTGCGGCTGTGAAACCTCTGAGCTCAAAGCTGCCCGGCCGGCCTAGCTCGAGGAGCTTCTGGTCCGCCACGAGTCACGATGACGTCGCGACTAAAGCAGAGACATTCTGCTGCCATTGCAGCGCAGTCGAGACAGAAATAAAGTAATTCCCCTGTGGTTTAGCTTCAGGTCACCGACTAATTGCGTCATTGTCGCTTTCTCACCCGCGATTGACTTTGTTCCACGAGCTCTTAAATACCCATCACTGGGTACCCTCTCACAACAAAAGCGTAGTTCCCTTCACGAAACACCAACTACGCCTCTCACCCTCTCACCTTCCTTCATCACCCCGAACCTACCTTCAAACATGCTGTCCCGAACCATCAGACCCGCGGCGCGCTGCGCCCGCCAGACCCCTCGCGTCCAGCTCGCCCAGAATGCCAGGACCCAGACGGCGCGCTCCTCGAAACGCTTCCAGAGCACCGGAAGCAGCAGTGCCTCTTCAGCGTCATCCGGCGCCTCGCCGGCCCTGGTCGGCGCCGCCAGCGGTGCCGCCGCCTCCGTCGTCGTCTTCTACACCTGGTACGCGACCAGCGGCATGAAGGACGTCGTCGCCGCCGGCAAGCAGGTGAAGCAGTACGCCGAGGCGGCCAAGCAGAAGGTGCAGGAGAAGACGCCCAACGCCGGCGAGGCCTACAAGTGGGTGCGCGACACGGCCAAGTCGTACGCCGCCTTCATCCCCGGCGCGGGGCGCTACATCGACCAGGCCTTCGACGACCTCGACGAGGTGCGCGAAAAGCACGGCGACGAGTTCGACAGGATCGCCACCGAGGCCTACAACGAGCTCAAGGACCTGAGCTACCGCGGCGGCGTCAACGCCGACACGGCCGCCAAGGCCTGGGAGATCATCTCCAAGCACGTGGACGCGCTCATGGACCTCGCCGGCGACGCCTCGGAGGACATCCTCAACAACCACCCCCAGCTCAAGGACAAGCTCGGCGGCAGCTTCGACCAGCTCAAGGAGATGGGCAACAACTTCGGCCCGCAGGCCAAGGAGGAGGTCGACAAGACCTGGAAGCAGGTCAAGGACATCGCCGCCGGCGGCATGGCGGCCGAGAACATCGACAAGGTCAAGAGCCTGATCAAGGAGAAGCAGGAGAAGCTCCGGGGCTTCGCCGACGAGGCCTGGCAGAAGGGCCTCGACAAGTCCAAGCCCTACCTCGACAAGAACCCCGAGATCAAGAAGCTGGTCGAGGACAACGCCGACCAGCTCAAGAAGGGCAACTTCATGCAGCTGTGGGGCCAGATCAAGGAGAGCGCGTCGAGCGGCGACACAAAGTCGCTCGAGAAGTACATCAAGACCGCCGTCGGCAAGGCCAAGGGCTTCGACCTGGGCGGCCTGGAGCAGTGGCTCAAGGCCGTGCCGGGAGGCAGCGAGATCCTGCCCAAGCTGCAGCAGCTGCAGGAGGTGGCCGACAAGCGCGGCGAGGACGCCGAGAAGCTGGTCAAGGAGACGATGAAGGACCTGCAGGAGGTGCTGGCGAAGCGGGCCGAGCAGGCCAAGGAGCTGGCCGAGGGAGTCAAGGACGACGCGAAGAAGCCTTCAAAATGAGGGATGAGGCACGAGAGAGGCATCCTGTACGAGTAGCAATTTTGGTGTGCTTGCATAAACTTACGTAGCTTTTAATTGCAGTAGGCGCTGAACAGGACACACAAACTCGCACACTGTGATTGATTACGGTGATGAGATCCATTCATCGCTGGATTCAGCCCTTGTTTGGAGACACTACACTCACCCAATTCTTACCCGCCGAAACGCCGCGGAGATAATTCTCCACAGCGCCAAACCACGCCAAAACCGCTCATCAGTTCATCATCGCAAAAGCTGCTCATCATGGACTCATAAGTGCACTTCAAGATGTGATTCCTTGATTTCATGAGTAGGCCTCTCTCTCTCTTTCTGTGACACATACTCTTTTCCTACTGCCAAAGGGCAAGCCTTTGTCTCATTCCTAGAGTGCCGCGCCTTCTCCAAAACCCGAGATGCTCCGACTCGCCACACGAGTGCCGGCATGGCGATGCGGCCCCAGCAGAGCCTCCTTGAAGCAGTTGATGCCCGTCGCGGTGCACGTCCGGCAGCAGTCGACAAGCTGCAAGAAGTCATGCCACGCGACGCCGCCAGGCACCGCCGAGCAGGCCGAGCCCGCCGCGATATCGCCACCGCCGCCCCTTACGACCCTGGCCTTCTGGTCCTCGCGGTCCGCGTGGCGGCGCGCCGGCGTCAACACCTTCCGGTGCCTCGTCGGCTGCACGACGGGCGACTTTGCCGCCATGTGGTACCTGCAGGCCTTCCACCCGGACGTGGGCATGTCGAGCATCATGGCTATTTCCAGTATGCTTTCTCCATTTCTTTCTTTTGGCTACCAAAACTTACCCTTGTGTGTTCTGAGCTACCTACCTTATCTGGGGGAACGAAACAAGCCCACAGGCATACAAGTACACGCAGAAGCCATGATACGGATGACTAATACAACCCGCAGTGGCCTCGGGCCTGACCACCTCGATGCTGCTCGAGACGGCTCTCCTGCACTGGGGGCGCGACCGCCTGCCCTGGCCCGCCGCCGCGCGCACGGCCGCCGGCATGAGCCTCATCTCCATGCTGACCATGGAGGCCGCCCAGAACGCCGTCGACTGGCACCTGACGGGCGGCGTCGTGGCCCTCGACAGCCCGGTCTTCTGGCTCGCGGCCGCCGTGTCCATGGCCGCCGGGTACCTGGCGCCGCTGCCGTACAACTACTTTAACCTGCGGAGGTTCGGGAAGGCCTGCCATTGATGGGATGTGCTTCTGTCTGTAAAGAAGGAAGAGTTCTGGTCCTGGATTCTTGATACCCCTGCTGTGTATGATGTGCTGAATGGATCGAGACCGGGTTGGATCGTCTCTTGTGTACTATTATCCGTGTAAAATACGATCCTCCTCATTCTAGTCTTGGCTGGAAACGTAAGTGCGCTATGAAAGGGCTATGACAGTAATGATACTCTACCATTTCAGGACGTAATGGCCTACGAAAGAGGTCCGATTCAACAAAGGAGGAAATACTATCTCCTTCCTCTCCACAGTCAGCCAAGTCACGGTTAGCTGTCTGTATGCGGAGGGCGTCACTCCGGTTGATATAGCCAAGCTCTATACCTGCCCATGTCACCGCTCGACCCCAGGACACACATCTTTGCTCGCCATGTTCGCAAGGGGTAAAATACTCTCCAGGGTTTCTAGGTATTGGTTCTTGAAATCCTCGCTTCCTTTTGATAATCCGGAAATACTCCGGGTTCCTGGACTGGCACAGTCGCCATGTTTCTGCCAATGCTGTTGAGCTCCGACCGGACAAACAAACGAACCCAACCGTGCCGTCGGACAACAGCTGCCTGGACGGAATCAACCGATTCGTGGCATTGAAATTCTCCGTTTAATGAAAGTCCTGGATGAAAAGTGTTCCTGCTGATCACACAGGCTGCGAGTTCATCTGTGGAGGAAAATTATATCAGGGTCGCAGCCCACGACCTCGATCTCCCGGCAAATATCACAAATTGCCGTGGGACCCCCCCAGGATCACTCCCGCGTTTCCAATACATTCCCGCTCCTCGCCCACCATTGGCGCGCCTGTCTGCCCCTTGGCAGCAGCACCAGGAGGAGGAATACCACGTACCCCACAGACGGAGGATATCTCAGCCTCAGCGAGATCGCCCTCGTGCTGCTATATACCCGGCTAATACAGTGGGCGGCCGGCAGTGCCAAGACGTGGAGCTTGCACCGCATGGAGCTCGCAGATCGTACCCGCGAGCCGGTCCCGCCATGGCAGTCGCATCCCCACAGTGCACCCTGGCATTCCCCTGAAAGGAGTTCGGACGCGGTGGGCCGGATAGATGAAGTCTGTACCCGGAAGATATGAGCGGAGGGGCCTCCGGCCCAAGGCTCAGGGTTCATGGAGAAGGGGGAGGCAAAACGAAGCTGGGAAGCTCGAGAGATCCTATATAAGTCTCCCCGTAGACTTGTTCCACAACAGACGCCCCGTCCTGCCCCAACCCGGTCCTACTATCCCTCCCTCCTTTTCCCCAGAGTAATACTAGCTGCCTGCCGCCGCCGCTATCACGATGAAGTCCGCCCTCCTCCTCCTCCTCGCCTCGCCCCTCGCGGCCCTCGCGGCCCCGGCCGTCCAAGGCCGCCAGGCGGCGCAGAGCATCGACGCCCTGATCAAGGCCAAGGGCAAGCTCTACTTCGGCACCTGCACCGACCAGGGCCGCCTGACGAGCGGCAAGAACGCCGCCATCATCGACGCCAACTTCGGCCAGGTCACGCCCGAGAACAGCATGAAGTGGCAGTCGCTCGAGAGCACGCGCGGCCAGTACAACTGGGCGCCCGCCGACTACCTCGTCAACTGGGCCACGACGCACAACAAGACGATCCGCGGCCACACCATCGTCTGGCACTCGCAGCTCGCCGGCTGGGTCGGCAACCTGCGCGACAAGACGCAGCTGACGCAGGCCATCCAGGAGCACGCCAAGACGGTCATCGGCCGCTGGAAGGGCAAGATCCGCGGCTGGGTGAGTTTCTCACATGATCAATCCCTCCCCTGGGGGTGTTTGAGATGATGGAAGAAGGACAAGGCGGTGGGAGACAGGAGATATCGAGTGGACTGGACGCTAACACTTACGCACCAAGGATGTCTGCAACGAGATCTTCAACGAGGACGGCTCCCTGCGCCAGTCCGTCTTCTCCCAGGTCCTCGGCGAGGACTTCGTGCGCATCGCCTTCGAGGCCGCCCGCGCCGCCGACCCGGACGCCGTGCTCTACATCAACGACTACAACCTCGACAGCCCCAACGCCGCCAAGCTGACCAACGGCATGGTCGCCCACGTCAAGAAGTGGATCGCCGCCGGCGTCCCCATCGACGGCATCGGCACCCAGGGCCACCTGAACGCGGGCCAGGGCAGCGCGCTCGCGGGCGCCATCAAGGCCCTCGCCGACAGCGGCGTCAAGGAGGTCGCTGTCACCGAGCTCGACATCCAGGGCAACAACGCCAACGACTACGCCACCATCACCAAGGGCTGCCTGGCCGTCAAGCAGTGCGTCGGCATCACCGTCTGGGGTGTCCGTGACCAGGTGAGTTTCGCGCTGGCTTTGATCAGGAAAAGGTTTGCATTTCAATGGGCGCCTGACTAAGAATACCCTCTCAGGATTCGTGGAGGCCTCAGGGCAACCCCCTGCTCTTCGACAGCGGTTTCAACCCCAAGGCTTCCTACAACGCCATCGTTCAGGCTCTGCAATAGGTCTGCCGTTTGGAACCTCAAGAATATGACTGGGTAAGGGGACCCAACCTTTGGTATAGCCGTGGCCAGAAGCTGGTGACGGAATCAAGAGAAATACTGTTCTAGATGATATTATACAAAAATTATTATCAGCAGAATAGCGTCCGGCCTTTAAGTTGTACTGAAATCAATAATAAACTCACGAGGTGTATGCCCAGTTTCATTTTGAATGTTGAAAGCACAGTGGGATCATTTGCTAAATACTTTTTAATGATCAAATCCCGCAAGCCGAGGTATTGAAAAATGGCCATCTAGGCTCAGATTATATATGTTAGACCCTGAACATGTCCCGCCTCGAACCAAGAGTTCCATTAAACCACCAGCCGTATCTTGTCCTACACATGAGCATCGCCGTGCCCTATTCAAAACATCCGACCAACCAAAGTATGTAGAGTCAAACTATGGGTATCCTAAGCTCGCCAAACCCCAAACCTTCCGTAGAGCCTTTCCAAAAGAAATGTCATACCCCGGCTAAACTCTGTACTGTATGGTCAAAATGACCTTCTGTTCCGTTTTGTTGTGGACCTGCCCATCAGGTCAAGTAGTTGGGCGAGGCAGCGTATCCCACCCTCTGGCAGACCTTGTGGAACAGCCGGTGCAGGATGGCGCGCATCCACTCGATCTGCGGCGCCTCGGTCGCCCAACGGCTCAGGTTCCTGTGCGCGGCCCGGATGTAGGCCGGCCAGTCCTCGGGCAGCATGACCCTGCCGCCGCTCAGGACGGCGGCCAGGACGTTGAGCGCGCAGGCGAGGGAGACGGCGCAGGAGAAGTAGGTCCCGCCGTGGCGGTGGTTGTGGTTCAGGTGCATGATGATCTTGGCGGACGAGTAGATCGACTGCTGCGCGATCTGCACCGGCTGGTCGAGCTCTGGGTTCTCGGGCGCGTGCGAGGCGGTGTGCAGCACGTAGTAGAGGATCGGGCGCGCGATGAGCTCGTCCCACATGAGCAGGCGGCCTTGCAAGAGCGAGGAGACCTCGTTTCGAGGGATCCCCGAGTCGTCGAACTGGACTTGGCCGGGGATATGTGATTTCCTGAAAGAATGTGCGGGTCAGATGGGGTTGCTAGTAACCCATCCCAGGTGTAACAGCCACTTACCATATGTCCACCTGCTGTTTGCACTCAGTGTAGTACCTCAATAGAAGCTTGATATTTCGGGTCCACTGCCTCTCCCCTCCACGGTACAGGACTGACATGACATCTGTGATGTTCTGACGGACAGAGATCTCGGTCAGGTAGAATATCCAGCCCTGTTGACCACCGGCAGCCGTGATTGCACTTTCATTGTTGACCGAGCTTGAATCATGAGCACCTGGGACTGGCGGTGATGGAAGAAGATCCGTATAGTGGTACTCCTGAATGCCGCTGGGCCTGAGCGGGATGTATGGGAGGAACTCGCTGTGTTCATATAAGCACACGCCATGAAGGTGGAAACAAAACGGCGATGGCTACTCACGACTCGGCCCGGACACAGGAAAGAAAGAGTCGCTGCTCAAGCTGATGTGTCTTTTCCGTCTCAGCATCGTGCTGCATCACATACCGTCTGTTCTTTCGTGCGAGGTGCGTCTGCAGTCTCAGAGACGCTGCCTGGATGTACTGCCACGACCGCAAGGGCCGCAGGAGAAACTTCTCATATATGCTGGCAATGAACAAGCATTGGAGATCGACGATTGCTGTTTGCAGGAGACCCATGCGCTTCTTTGCTTCAAGGAAGTACGCTTCGGCGCTCGCCATGTCTTCGCCCGTGCGGTCCATGTCATTTGACGCACTGGGGTCAATGTGATCCCGTGGGTGAGGCGGTTTCCAGGGCACTGCTATACATGCCAAGGCACAGGCGAGAAGCTGGAACATGCCCATTAGTGAGTTGCTCGGAGAGGACGGCTCATTTCTGCACTCAGCCTTACCACGAGACACGATGGCCCGTCCCAGCCGAGCCCATTCTCGGCTGCATCCCTGGCGTAACCGAGAAGGTCGGACTCGTCCAGGATAGGATTCTTGGCATGGACGAGACCGAGAAATTGCTTGCATAAAGGTACAAAGTCGGCTTGCTGAATGCCGGAACTCCCGCCGATGGGGTCGTTCCTGGCGGGGATCTGGCGAGGCAGAGCAGAGCCAGAGCACTCGAAATCTACCGGAGAATCGAGAACAAAAGACACGATCGCCTTGTCATCATCAAGCAGTAGATCCTGGAAGATGGGCCACCTGAGCATGGCCTCGCATGACGAATTGTGATGCGAGTCGTCGGGGTAAGCTGGCGGTTCGAGGTGCGCCCCGATGTACTCTTTCCGCGTAGTGGTAGAGTCGTCGATAGAACTGGGCTCCGTTTGGGCATGCCCCGGCGTTGAACCAGGGTCTGTCTCCGGCTGAGTCCTCGAACGGCTTTCATCTCTGGATGCCTGGAGCAGCTGCTTCAGCTCGTCCAAACGGTCCAGGATGATCCGGCTAGCAGGGTCGAAGCTGTTTGAGTCGCGTCAGTGAAGAGCGGTGCGATAGTCTGTCTGCTCGACGGCAGTCTAACCTCGTCTGGTCGTCAATCGCGTCCTGGTAGACGCACTCGACGCGATTGTAGACGCATGTACCGCAGGAGGGCCGCGCATTGTTGCAGCGCGTCTTGCGGCTGCGGCAGAAGTTGCATGCAGTGGCGGTGCGTCTCCGGGGAGCGCCTGCGGGACCCTTTAGGCGTTGCTTCTTGGCCTGCGGCGGCGCCGACAGCGCTGACGCGTCCTCGTTGCTGGAGTGGTCCGAGGCGGTCCGGCGCGGGACTGCCGGGGCGCCATCCGCGGCCGGGGACCGCAAGTGCACGGCCGCCGACGTAGGATCAAACGAGCGCGTCATGATCTCGTACGATCTTGGCGCACACGGGTCAATCCGAGCCAGCCCTGGAGGAGTGGAGGATGAGGCGATGTGGAGAGTTTTGGGGGGGACGGCGGATTGTGGATGGAGGCGATGGGGGGAATTTAAGGTTTTCGGGGTAGGGCGGTGAGCTCGGTCAAGCTGAACTTAAATCGCACCTCTCGCGCGCGCGCCTAGCGACATCATTGGGCGCAATCTATTTGCTGCTCGAGCCGCGCGGGCCTGGATTGTCGACTGTCTCTGGTTCCCGACAGAGGAATGATGGCTGCCATTGCCGGCAACGCAGCATGCCTCTTGTTCTTGTTGACCCGCAATGACAATGACGCCCCAACCCGCTTCTCTGTTGGCGGTCATACGAGTAGTGATGCAGCTGTATGCAAAGGTTCCTCGTCATGGGGTTAGACAAACCACATAGAGAGCTCTACGGCATACTGCGCTATGCCTACGTAGGGCACCATCCAGTCCGACTCTCTATGACGTTGATTGGGGGCTGAGATAAGCAAGTACAGGGTCTTGCTCGAATGCTCATCTTCTTGAGGTCCAGTGAAGCAATCGAGTCACCAACTCTGTGGCAAGCAGTTGAATCACAGCCAGGTATCTATCACAAACGCCCTCCGACGTTGCGTGTCACAGCCAAGACAAACTTGCTCTTCGTTCTTCTGATTGTTGGTGTATTCCAGTCACTGTGTGTGCTTGACCGGAGCTTGAGGAACTTCACATTGATCGCTCGTAATAAGAAGAAGCACTGCCGTGACCCAGTGCTGCGAGAACCCCATCGTGATGCTCTTGCCCCATCAAGGTGCTGATCATGTTGTGGCCCATTCACTTCAGCCTTGTATGCGTGTGAGCATGTGAAATGAGGCTGTGAATAGGTGCGATAGCTGAATCACAGCTGTCGTCGTCACAGCTTGATTCACGTTCCCTGTGGAGGAACAACATATATAAATGGCCGCTCTTTCTCATATGGCTACATCTAGGTTCGTTTCGTAACACAAGCACCTCAGATTTGCATTTCAATTCACCGTTGAGTTTTCTTTTGAAGCAAAAAAACCCACAAAAAAAACCGAGAAACCATCCTCACAATGCCTACCACGAAGCAGCAGACCGACCACGCCAGCCAAAGAACCGGGGCTGGACCATTCCAGGAGCGCGGACGCGGACAGAGAGTGGACTGCAAGAATGTCAATAAGTGGCCATGCGACTGCGATCGTTGCACTTGTGCCAACAAAGTCGAATTGGAATTCAGGATATGCTCTACCTGTGTCATCAAATGCTATGGGCGCGTTTAACTACGGCGTTTGCAACAGCCGGACATACGATTTCTTCGGCATTGGATCTGTCAACGTGCCATGACAGAGGGCATTGGATTCGATTCCTAGTCGACTATTCAGAGGCCACATACGTTGAAGTTCAGGGGAGGGGAGAGTAATGGTGGACTTTTGGAGGGGATGGGAGTTGTTGATACGGGTGCTTTCCGTGGGAATATGAGCTTTTTTACTCTTAGCATTAATTAGCGATTCAAATTTTGAGAAAATCCAATCATCATCCATATCGTTGACCTTGTCTTAGGAACACTGTGACTGGATCATTTCGTGAGCCTCCGTTGCCTTACTGTGACAGAACCACGCGTGGAACACTCACACAGTAGATCACTCTCCTGCCATTATGTGAAATGACTCGCTGGATGCTGTGATCTTGTACAAGCCCTGACACTCGACGAGTATTTGAGCAAGACACACAAACACACGAGGATGCCCTTCATCCATTATTTGTGAAGTCCCTGGACTGAAGTCGTCATGTGCACGTGAACTCAACACCCAAACAATAGCAACCTGGAAAACCCTTCACCTTGGAAGCCGTGAGTGCCATAAGCTATCTGCAAGCGAGCTATTGCCTCCTCTTGATGAAGGCTACCCGCCATGGATGTATTCGCCTAGAAGGGGGAAGTTGATGCCAAGGATGATTAATGTTTATTTGCGCTCTTGAAAGAGAACATCAGCAGCCTCCATTTCCACTCGGCTTGAGAGACATCTTCAAATACAGGACATGATGATTAAACAATTAACATACCTGCCGGACCTTATCATCGTTTGGTGGTGAGAACCGAAGCTGTGCTCTCCATAGGTAAGCGAACCTACCTGCTTATGTAGTGCTTACTTGTAGGATCTCTGCCGCAAATCTTGACCTCGTCCGGGTTAGGCCGCTCCGCCAAAGGACCAAGAAGGATCGATCATCTACATATAAAACGATCTCCAAGCCCCCCTCCAGAAACGTATAAATCGAAAAGCGAACATAGCTTGCCCGATTTCTCACATCAACGAATCTCTCAACAACCACACCCAAAAATCTTCGTTGCTCTCCCGACATGTCAGAACCCATCCGAGTCGCCATCGTCGGCGGCGGCATCGCCGGCGCCTCGCTCTTCCACGCCCTGCTCCAGCGCCCCCACCTGGACGTTCACATCTTCGAGTCCGCCGCCGAATTCAAAGAGGCCGGCGCCGCAATCGGGGTCGCTCGCAACGGCCTCGCAGCGCTGGACCTCATCGGGTCCTCCGCAGCCCAGTGCCTCGAGCGCGCCGGGGCGGTGGCCCAGAGGGGAGTGCGCGCCATGCTCGCGCAGGGCGAATTCCGGAACAGCATGATCGACGAGGCGCGAGACGACGACGGCCGGCGGCTGACGAGCATCGTGCACCGCGCGGCGTTCCTGCGGGAGCTCCTCGCCGGAGCGCCCGCCGCCCGCATGCATGTTTCCAAAAAGCTCGTGCGGGTCGAGAGGGCTGGCGATGACGCACCCGCAACGCTGCATTTCGTCGACGGCACTACCCACGAGTGCGACATCCTTGTCGGCGCGGACGGGATCCACAGCAAGGTGCGCAAGATCATCCTGGGCGAGGATGACCCTGCCGCAAGCCCGCGCAACGCGGGATGGTGGGCAGTTATGGCCCTCAAGCCGTACGCAGAGGCCAGAGCGAGCTTCGATGAATGGCTGATCGATGCCGACAATGCGCGCGAGCATGCGTGGGTCGGCGACGGGACATATCTCCTGCACAATGTCCTGAACGAGGGCTCTCTTGTGCAGATCGTGCTCTGCGCCGTGGATGAGGATGCCAAGACGTCAGAGCAGTGGCACCGGATGGCGAGCTCCGAAGAGATTTTGAAGCTATATCAGGACTGGCCGCCGTCTCTGAACAAAGCTGTCAAGGAGCTGCTCTGTGATCAGCCCCAGCAGCCGGCCATGTACTTGTGGGACCATCCACCTGCTCGCACCTATGTATCGGGGCCACTTTGCATTATGGGAGATGCACCACACCCTGGCAGGGTTCTGGCTGCGGTATGTCGCTAGAAGACACCCTGATCTTATCCACGCTGCTCGGGCGTGCCAGAACCCCCTCCGAAGCTCTCGTAGCTTTGAGTGTGTATGATCAGGTCCGCCGGCCACGTACGCAGCGCATTGTCGAATCGAGTAGGGAGACTGGAGTGATCATGACTGGAAGAGGGCCCGATGGGCTCGACCTGGGAAGCCTGAAGCACAAACTACTACAGCGATGGGACTTTATCATTGACTTTGATAACAAGAAGGCTCGAGACGAGGCAGTCGAAATGATGCGTGCTAAGCTGGAAAAGTAACCTTTGAGGTGATTGATGCTGTTCATGCCAGCGGATAGTTAGGTCAAGGGTTCGTTTTGCATTCTCAATATGGGCGTGAGACAAGACGGCTGAATAGACCTAGATTCCATGCGCAGCACTCGTAATCGAGTACATCATCGTCCCGTAGTTATCCACATCCTCCAGCCACAGTCGTATCCTTCGTATCCTCTCGTCTCTCGTAGCCACGTCTGCACCCGGAGCCAAGTTCCACAGCTCGTCAATACGGAAATGGGCATCAGGCCAATCTGCCAAGTGCCTATTATAAGCTCTCTCCCAAGTGTGGCGATCCTGCGCGTCCCATAAGGACCTCCGCGCAGGGGCCAAGAGCCCTTGTAGCTCGATGCCGAGAAACGGGGTGAGGCCGTCCTCGATCAAGAGTAGGCTGTCGAGGAGATACATGGTGTAGAGGGACCGCCTCTTGGATTCGGCGATAATCCACTCCTCCCAGCTGGGGCGGGAGTGCTGCATCTCCGCAACACACATAAGCCCCTGCTTGGCGCTTGATGACGCAAGCATTTGGATGTTGACTATGGCCTGTCGTAGGAACGACTTGGACTCGGTCTCGAAGATAAAGTACAGCATCAGGCAGTATATGAGGTAGGCCTGAAAAGCCGCTGTCAAGGTTGGCTGATCATAAGTGCTGTAGCCATCGACGATGGCGCTCATCTGGCCCTTGAGCAAGTCCAAGACGGCATCTTCACTACCAGGTAACGGTCGCTCGCAAGCCCTCACCAGGCTGAGGCAGGTCGACAGGGGCGCCTTGGCCGCAGTTCCAGCCGTCTGAACAGAATGAACAAAAGGAGGATAGTTCCGACCAGAGGCACTCATACTAGCGTACGAGTGCAGTATGCTCCGAAGAAAGACGGTAGTGCCGGTAGGATAGACTTTTACTCTTTGTCCGGGGGCGGGAACATACGTGTTCAGCCACCGATTGCTGATCTGTTCCGCATCGATAGGGCAGATGAGCCTGACAAGGGAAAAGTCTACCGTCTCAGGTCGCTCGGGAGGGTGGCCGGAGCTCGTCGGAGCTTTTGGAGAGATGTGTTCCGCGAAGATCGGCGGACTGAAGGTCACGGATGTGTCATCGCTCATCGGCCTGTCTGAGTTGTTTCCCAAAGCAACTTCATCGATGCTCGTTGGTAGCGTGGCATTATGAGCAAACAGCTGGTTTGGTGTGGCTGGAGAAGATCCAGGAGCCGGGGGAGCCGGGCTCGTTGTGCTATCATTGCGTCGTAATGGCGATGATACGGCTGGATAGACGCAAGGCACGTTTCTTTCGACGCAACGCGAGCAGCGTTCTCTGTTGCGGTCGCATTTGGCCTTGGCGATGGAGCATTGTTGGCAAGACTTTTGCCGAGAGGCGCTATATCTCAACTTCCGCATAGTTGTTGCATCACACCGAGATTACGTTCGGCAGTCACAATGCGACAGTGGCGGTCGGGGCAAGTGAGAATGAATGATGTGAACGTACTCCGTACGTCAATGCCAGAGTTGAACCATGAATCTGAACTCCGCTAGTGCTACCTGGAATGCGGGGCTCCCGCCGGGATTGACCGGGGCGGGCACAAGTTTACTGGTTAATCCTTGTGTGAGGGTCCCGGAGTTGAGAGAACATGCCGGACTTTGTTGACCACATGGTACTGGATGGCGGAATGATCCGGTGAGGCAAGAGACCAGTGGGCCGGGGGGTTCGAACATGACAGACTTATCTACGCAGTGTTTATCTCTACGTACAGTATTATTCCAAGCCTGTCTTTTGGCATTTATCTTGTTCAGCAACCCCAGCTTCTCCTGTCCTGAGCGGCCGACGGCTCCATGACTGCATCTCAATCATATGCCACCTCAAGGCTTCGGTAAGGACTTCGCGGTCCTCAATCTAGACTTTATGTCTATCTTGATGGAAGCAGTCGAGAAAACACCAAGTGGCCAACAGTTCATCTCTAGCTGTGTCAAATGGAACAACTCTATCCACCAACAGGAGCCGAAGCCACTGACAATTTTCACGACACTCTACTTTTCAACGAGAGAACAACATGAGCTAGACAAATCTTCTCCGTTTGCAGACTCGATCAAGACCTTTGGGACGTTCGAGAAAGGGTCTCATGATGTGCGGATTGACTCTCGCTTCCAAATGGACGAGCAAGACATTGAACTTCAAAAAACCAGATGGCATGCCGGGACTGGAAATGGCCTTCACCAAATCCTCAGGGCGCAGAACATCGACACAGTCGTTCTTGTAAGATGCAAAACTACATTCCCATCCGCGACTTCGAGTCTGACCAAGTCATCAGTCGGGGTTAAGCCTCTCCGCCGCCGTGATGAGCACCATATATCATCTGTTTGATTTGGACTACAAAATCTACGTCATTGCCGATAACGTGCTGGAGTTGCCCGGGGATAGCGTAGCTCATCAATCTAGAGAACGCCTTCTCGCGCATCTGAGAAAGATGCCGTTGCATGTCATATCGCTAGACGAGGCATGTACTATGTTGTCTGAGTCTTCCGGAGTAGATAACAGGGCACCAAGTGGCTAAGGCATAACCTGTAATTAGATCTTTTCTTCCTCTCTCTTTGACCAGTTCCAGCGGTAGTTCCATCTCTTGGGTATCGTCCGTAAAACAGACTGAAGAGTCTTCATGACCTAGAACAATAACTCATATTTTTCACGTGTCCCTGTTTTGCCCACTGTTTGAATTAGCCATACCCTACTGGATTTTGAACAATGCGCTAAGAGTGTCGGAGCAAATTCTTGAAACGGAGCTGAGAATGGTCTCCTATCCCACTAGACGCTTTCCAGCATGTACCGGAGTTGAGAGAACCCACACATCTCAAATCCTGACGTTTGCATCTGCATATAAGGCCTGCAAAACTGCACATACTTGTGACTGTCCGTGAAGAACCGTGTAAATGCTCTTGAATATTGCCGTTTCGTCATCTATCCCCCCTTTCCAATAGTCAAATCTACATAGCCGCGCTGAGACCGAAAACCACAGCGATTTCCATTGACATCATTCAACAAGCTGCACATTCAATTGAGGTCTTCTATCCCTCTTAATCTTCAGCGTCTACATGGCCTCAACAGAGGAGCCAGGCAGGCAACCCGCTGATGCCGGTTCCATTACCGCACCTGACGAGCCTTACAGCATCTTTGACAAGCGGCAAAAGGCTCTGATTGTTCTCATCATCTCTACCGCCGCGACTTGTATGTTCAAGCATCTCGGATCCACCATCTGCCCTCCTTAGCTGACCTTGAACAAGTCTCCGGCTTTGCGTCCAACATCTACTTCCCCGCCCTCCCGACGATCGCCGACGACCTCAACGTCTCTGTCGAGCTTGTCAACCTCACGGTCACGACCTACCTCATTTTTCAAGGCCTGGCACCGAGCCTCTGGGGCCCGATTTCTGATGTCCGAGGGCGCCGGCTGGCCTACTGCTGCACCTTCGTAGTCTTCCTTGGTGCCTGCGTCGGTCTCGCCCTGGCCAAGAACTACGCCACTGTCCTGGTCCTTCGATGCCTACAAAGCACGGGAAGTGCCAGCACCATCGCCATAGGCTCCGGCGTCATCGGGGACATAACGACTCGTGCCGAACGTGGAGGGTTTATGGGCATTTTCCAAGCGGGACTGCTCGTACCGGTTGCCATAGGGCCGGTGATTGGAGGAGCCCTGGCGGGATCCCTGGGCTGGCGGTCCATCTTTTGGTTCTTGGCGATCTACAGCGGAGTCTTTCTGCTGTGCCTGATCGTGCTTCTGCCAGAGACCCTACGATCAGTCGTCGGAAATGGTAGCTTGAGGCCATCGAATCTTTTGACAAGATATCCACTTGGGCTTTATCAGAAGAGCACCAAGGTTCCATGGAGACGGGAAGCCGCAACGGACGCCACGGCTCGGAAACATGTTGACCTCCTCGGGCCTTTACGAATTCTGACGAAAAGGTCAGCCGCACCTATCATCATGTGCCTGGCAGTCTACTACGCCGTCTGGCAGATGAGCATCACGGCCATGTCAACGCTATTCGAGGACCGATACCATCTCACAGAGACCGAAATCGGTTTGACATTTATAGCGAATGGTGTGGGATCGATGATTGGAACCCTCATCACGGGCAAAATCCTTGACGTCGATTATCGTCGGGTAAAAGCCAAGCACGAAAGTCGCGCCGCTCACATAGAGAACAACTTGTCTGTCTCCGAGCAAGAAGCCACCGATGATATCTCCGACTTTCCCATCGAAAAGGCCCGCCTACGGCTTGTGCCCGTATTCGCCTGCATCCAAGGCCTGTCCATCCTGCTCTTTGGCTGGACCGTCGAGTATCCAGAGCGTGTGCCTATCGCGGTGCCAATCGTGTCGACTTTCGTCACGGGATGGACAGCTGTGTCGATGCAGTCTGTCGTTATGACGTATCTAGTCGATGTCTTCTCCAGCCAGAGTGCAGCAGCCAGTGCAAGTCTCAACCTGGCGAGGTGTCTTCTCGCTGCGGGAGGGACCAGCTTTATCATGCCTATGGTCGATGGTATAGGGGTTGGCATAGCTTTCACTGTCTGTGCTATTGTTCAGGTTGTCTCTCTAGGTGGCATAGTTGTCCAATGGAAATTTGCTGCGACGTGGAGGAAGCAGGACGAAGACGCGAAGGGCAACTGACCTCTTCACAATGACTGTCCACGGGATGAGGCTTGCCAGCAAATCAATACTGTACAATATCATCCAATAGACCGGGCGATCATAGATGTCTTAATTATGAGCCTAAGTGCGGGACTGGCTCAAGGCCTCGAAGCCTCTGATCCTGGATGAACCGGCCCAAAACATCCCTCAGAAACCCGTTCGAGCCAAGGGATTCAGATCCACCAGCCAAACTTGTCAGAGCTGCCGCAGCTTCTATGTGGCGTCGAGCCGTGACGAAGTCGTCGAGTACATACTATGCAGATCAGCACATACAAGGCTCTAACTACATGTAGCCAATGCTTTATCACTCCTCACCTCATCGAAGGTTAGTGCCAACATCTTGGCAATGATCAGATCCTTGGAAGCCGTAGCATCCGAGGCAAGGTCCTTTCTAAGAGACTGAATGCACAAGACTTTGTACTCTGCTGCCAGCTGTGTAAAATACGGTGCGTGGTAGTCATTCCAGGCGAGATGACGGCAGGCGAGGAGGATGACGCCTTGGTAGAAGCCGGCGTCGGCCTGTAACATCCGGACCCACTCTGTGCCTGACCTTCTCACGCGATTGTGCATGTCCATGATATTGCCACACCTCATATGCGCCATGGGAGTACAGGTCTGTAAGGCTTGCACATCTGCAGGGGGGAATGGTAAGCAAATCGACCAGACAAGGGAATTCAAACTGTCTATATTGAGGATGCTTGGGACGTACAGTGATACAGCAGAAAGCTGTCCACTCGTTTGAAAGTAAAAGGAAGACTTGAGAACGGATCAATGGGATCAGAAGACGGCAAGTTGACGGGGCTGGGCGAAAAAGCTGGTGACCATCGCGCAAGTGCCTTCTGTGCGGCTGGCACTGTATGGCCGGTCTGGCTGTTCGCGGCCAGTCCCTCTTTGGGCTGCCCCGTATCCTTCTCTGCCGTCAGTGACTGATATCTAGCGGTTCGGAGTTGTCTAGACCTTGCGTGTGCTATCCGAGCTGCGTGCGAGCGCGACTGGCGCTGGGCTTCGGCCGGCAGTCCAGCTGAAGGATCGACGCAGTGGATGAACCGCACAGTATGCATCGACATGCCTCCAGCGGGGTCATCTATCCGATGAAGTTAACGAGTCTAATTCTGGCTCTCGGCGTTTGTAGTCATCTGTGTGAACACCGGCAATGATTGAGGAAACATTGTATAAACAGCCATCACGTTGACACAAGTCGACATTTGTCAGCAGCGGTTGAAGGATACCGGAATCTGTGGAGACCGCGCCAAGACCTGCGCCTTCCGTATCTGGAAATCAGAACGGCTTCGGGTTGAATCAAATCACTTGATCCGACGGACCAGGGATCGAAGTTGAATGCCGCCTCCTATTGTCGCCGCTCGTGATGTCTAAGCTCTCTGCTCCCAATGCTTCAAGACGTGCCAAATCACTTTGAAAACTCGGTCGTCTGCTTTATTTAAATACCGAGTCTGCCACCTATCCTAGAGATTACAACCGACCACGCAATCCACTGCTTTGTTGTATGCTCGCAAGAAGACAAATTGTATCTCCCACTCACAATCTGAAACATGCCTAGCTACGTCATTACAGGAGTTTCGAGGGGCCTGGGTGTAAGTGCCATCGAGTCAATGCCCATAGTGATTGTGATCAGGTCTAATCGTTTCGCGTGCGGGCAGTGGGAATTCCTGAAACAAACCTCCGACGACAACAAGAACACTGTCATTGGACTTGTTCGCGATAAGGCATCGACGGAGAAAAGGGTGGCAGAAGAGCTGGGCAGCCGCCAAAACGTGAAGATCCTGGAGGCCGATATAACTGATTATGCCTCCCTTCAGGTAAAGACCGAGCCACTCAACTGAGTGAGCACGCACCATTTGCTAATAGCCTGACCTTAGAAAGCTGCGACTAATACAGCTGCCATCACGGGTGGTGGCCTTGACTACCTCATAGCCAATGCCGGCTATATTCCGACCTGGGATGAGTTCAGTACCATAGGAGAGCTGTATGGCTCAGTTCCATCTCAAGAGAGTCGCAAATACTATTCAAATGATGACGTGTCTGCTCTCCAGGGCGACAACCCAACGTCACGAGCTCGCCGAGCGGTTCCATAAAGTAATGGATACCAACGTGCTTGGCAATATCAACCTCTACAGCCTGTTCATACCCATGATACTTAAGGGCAGTGTCAAGAAGGTCGTGTGCCTCAGCTCTGGGCTGGCTGATCTGGAGCCGGTGAGAGCGTTCGAGGTCGAAACGTCGCCACTCTACAGTTCAAGCAAGGCCGCGATGAACATGATCAATGCCAAATTCAGCGCCCAGTACAAGAAGGACGGCATTTTGTTCCTGAGCATCTCCCCAGGGGTAATTAACACTAAGCTTGAACCGCGTACGTGACAGAGTCCAGATCCCCCATTCCTTCATCTTCACACCTCTCATATCTTTGAACACTATTGTACTAACTTCTCATCAACAGCAACACCGGAACAGATGAAGATCAGTATGGCCTTGATGGTCAAGTTTCAACAATATGCACCGCACTTCAAGGGTCCTTCATCCCCTTCGGAAGCTGTCAGAAGCGTCCTTAATGTGGTCGAAAAGAGTAGCTTGGACAATGGAGATGGCGGCGCATTTCTATCGCATCACGGAAACAAGGAGTGGCTATAGCAGGAATAGAGGACCGTGCAGAGGACTCATAGAACTGCCATGGTTTAGTGGGAGCTTTATTCTCTTGGATCTCGAAAATCTTAAAAACGAGATAGGCCAGTCAACATTTTAGGCAGCGAGATAGCTTGGTAGTTGTTGACAGTGTACGCTCACTCTATCCTCACTTCCTTCCTTGTCCGGACATCTAGGAAAGCGATTTGAGCTTTCTGGCCAGTCAGATCAAATAGGCCCACTCGTCGATATGCTTCCCGTCCCCCTGAACTCCTCAAAAGAACTAGGCCGTTATTTGCTCTCGAATGAGTGCCTCGCGCACTCTTCCCGTTGCCCAACTGTAAGATAAGAAAGTCGGTAGCCGGGAGACAATCGATATCCTCATCGAAATAAACGCATACGTTGTACCCTTTGTGGAAGTATTGCTTATTAGAGATGGGTGACACACCCTCTTCAACAGCCACCCAGTCATCCTCTGAGAGCGTCAATCTCGCTGTCCAGCCACTCAGAACAAGCGAGCCGCCAGAGACACGGCCAAACATGTCTTCACTTGCGTGTTGGACGCTCTCGTCTAGGACCTCAACTTCGAGCGGTAACCTGGCCCATGTCTCCTTGCCGTCTTCTCCAATCACAGAGCCCCACCCGGTGCTGTACCACGACTCGCCGCAGTGCACAACCTCGCCGCTGTGAGAAGCCCACGACCAGGACGGAGATCCGCCGTCCGCGGGCGGCGGCGGCCATTCGCTCGCGCGAAGCGGGATGGGAGGCGAGGGCCTCTTGGGGATCCAGGCGATGCCCTTGAGGATATTGCTCTTCCAGATTCCCGCCAGGTACGTGTCTTCGCCCGAGCTGCGCGAGTGAAACAGGGCCGCTAGACCGGACACAGCGGGAAGTTTGTCCGTGGGCACCGACAGCTGCCGCCGGGAGAACATCTCCACGAGATGGTCCCACTTGTGGATCTGCGCCTTGACGCGGTTCGGGGTGTTCGAGTATGTGTAAGTGCCCTGGGTATCCATCACCCGATTCGTGGACAGATGGCCAGCCATCTGCGGATTCGTGGTCTCCTTCTTGTCCATGTGTCGGCTGTCCTCGGCGGCGTTGCATTCCCGACACTCCCAGAGCAGACGGTTGTGTGTGTAATGCAGTACCCGAGGGCTGAGCTCCCGTTCCTGCAAACACCAGCCACGACGAAAGACGGGGCCTCGCTCAACGGACTTGATCCAAGGACCGAAGTTGGGGTATATGGTGACTGATCCAGAGTCCGGGTCGTTGTCGAAGCGTCCGAATATGATGTCCATGATCCCGATCCTCTGATACTGTATGTTCATGTTCTTCAGCGTCAGACTAAGAGGCCGGATGCCGTCGACATCGCGCGGAAGAAAACAGCCGCCGTCACCATCCGGAGAGTCCGCTGCCTTGAATCAGACTAGTCAATACTGTGGCAGTAAAAGCTCAGGCCATGGCTGTGGGTTGCTTACCACGATGGTGCATTGTGCTTGCGAGTACACGAGATGCATTTGACTGCACTCTCGCTCAAAGTCCTGCCGGTCATCCTGCACAATGCACAGAGAGTCGATCCATATATAACGGTATCCAAGTTCCTTCACAACCGACATCGCGTCTCGGAAGGTTTTGGGCAACGACATGAGGCTGATGCCGTGCAGGTGATCCTGCAGGTTATCACGAACTGTCTTGGGGACAGTCTTTCCTCGGTCAGTACCCCAGCAGTAACTCAGGGTGATGTATTGTCGCTGCTGCATCATGCATGATTCGCCCTTAGTCTCAACGAGCCGCGGAGCGACTTCATCATGGCCGGGGTCGCCCAAGTCAATGAGCCTTGCCGGAAGGAACTCGTCGTCACTGTCGATACCACACGTGTCGTGTTCATAGAGGCACATGCTAAGCCAGGAATATGCCAATTTCATGTTCGCTTCACAGTCCGCCGTCTCGTTGACAGCCTCTATGGGCATTGATTTAGTGTCACGGCCGATTATTCGGATCCAGCGCCTGGATGAATGGACTCACCCCTTGCCTGCCCATACTCTCCGTACTTCCAATACAGACCGGCTTGTTTCTGACCATCGGCAACGATGAGCTCGCCCTCGTTTCGGACCACCATGGTGATTCCCTCCGGAGGTGGGCCCGACTGGTTACCCGTCCTGTTGAGGAGCATGTTATGGCCGCGGCTCGTGAAGGCTCCTCCAATAGCCCAAAACGGCTCCGCGGCGTCGAGGGCAGCCACAAGGATCTTGCACATCGGGCACCCGGCACTGGCAGACGCGGCGAGCTTTGCGGGGCCGTCCGCGCCCGGCGTGTGCATGTAGGCGCAGTGCCATGCTTTGCCGTTCTTGAAGCGCCTGTGGCTGCCCTGCAGCGGTAGGAACAAGTCCAGCGGGATGGACGCACAAGCTTTGCACAACATCTCTTTCGAGCGCCACTCGCTTCACCTTTGGTGATACAGAAGAGCAAAAGGAACAGCTCGTAATGGGGCTTGAGACGTGTTTTCGCGGATCCATGTCTTTCAGCTGATCTGCATAAGCGCGGAGCAATCGATCTCCGCCGAAGATGGCCAGACCAATCATGACGAAACGATGCGTTTGAATTGTCCCAAGTTAGCAATGAGCTGAAGAAGATCATGCGCAAAGTTCCACTCGCCAAGCCTAACCCCGCCGTTTAGAGAGGACCAAAGATGCCTGAAGCAAATCATGATGGCTCCCTGCCTTGTACAACCTAGAGATCCTGTGCCATAGTACAAGTTATCGCGGTGTGAGCAAAGCACGGTGACTGATTCGTCACCACGAACCTCGACCTCCACTTATGCAGTAAGTGGACGAGCACGATGACTATGAACCAGCCCATCACGCTAGGCCGCGTGAGACGGATGAAAGGAGACGAGGGTCGGGTTGTATTCGTTGTTCCTCTAATGCTAGCCTTGGCTTTCCATCCTACCATTCTCCGATTCTGATATAACTTCTATCTCAAGGCTGCCACGGTGACGGCCCTTCTGTTGATGTCATAGACATCAATTGAGCTTCCCTCTGTGCTAGGAGGGCTCTAAAGTGGAGGGGCATTTCGTTTGTCCGACCAGTTATAGAGGTAATTCGGATGTAGACTCTGGCAAGCGTCTTGGTAGTTCCATCAACCAATAGCCAGAGCCTAGTTGCTTTCGTTGATGTTGTCGCTGGAGCTGGAGCTGGAGCTTTCGTCGAAGTTGTCGTTGGAGCTTTCGTGGGAACTGCTGCTGGAACTGCTGCTGGAACTGCTGCTGGAACTGCTGCTGGAGCCAGATATAGGGCTACTTGGTATGTCGGGCAGTGAACAGTAGCTACCGCCGTTTCGTTCTCCAATCCTGAGGCCCAATTGTGTTTCCACGTCCCATTCTGAATACGACCGCATCCGCTCAGCAGCTCTATCTCGCCTTGTTGGTATGCCGCAGCAGGTCACTGGAGTGCAAAAGTCGATGATTGCGGCGCCGTATTCGACGTAGATGAAGCGTATCAAGTACGCAAGTGCTGTCAGCGGATATAATGCGGCCATGAGGAGGATGAGGACGGGCTCGGCGAGGTATCGGAAGCACCCATCTTGCGCGATTGAGAGGGGAAAGAACAGCGATGGGCGTAAAACCATAAAATTCCCTTCGGTCATTATTAATGCGAAGAGCGGTGAAAACATTGCTCCAATTACATATAGGATCAGGAACTCTTGCAACTCCCTCTCGTTGAAATTCATCCCTGCTGATATGGTCCAGTCAATCAGTTGGACGCCGATTAGGTGTTGTGTCAGTGCGAGAGAACTTTCGTCCACGTGGGGACGCAAAAAAATATTTTGATGTGCGATTTGAAGCAATAAAATGTGTCCCTCTGGCGAGCTTGGTTTGTGGCTACCATGGTAGAGAAGATCCGGTTCGGGATATCTCCAATCTCGCGGTCTTCCGTTCGCCCAGCTCTAATATTGCTATTGGGATTCAAGATCGAACCATCAGTGACCGCTTTGCTACCTCAGTCTCCGAGATTAGCCATACGGTTCTTATGGGCGCGATGTTGAGAAAATACTTGCGGTATCAAAATTTCAATCTAAGATGCTTGCAACGGCATAGCAGTCAAGACACGAAATGGTTGGAGCCAAGACAGACCGTGCAGCGATGGTAGGTCGACTTCTTGTCGCAGAGCTTCAGAGGATTTGCCATCGCAGAGTCTACTCCGTGGACAGAATTACAACACATGCATACTGGGCTTCCGTCAAATTCGAATCTCCTGACTCCGTCCGACGTAGGGTACGTCAGCCGACGCAACGAACTTGTAAACACTAACAACTTATGCCCAAGCTTTTGCATGACATTTATGTGAACGGATTCTTTCTAGTCAGACCCCTGCTGGTAGAGAGCTCTTCTATTTCAGCTTGTTGGTGTGACATGAATACCAACATAGTGGCATGAAAAGAAACAACAGACTCTTCCACTGGATAGATTACAAGACTTGACTAGACACGGATAGATACCCGAGTGAGCTTCCTCATACGCGTTAAATGACTCCCGGACAGGCAGTGGTCGGAGATCCTGATCATGGAGTTTGGCTCCCCTTGCTCGGAGGTGGGAGGCATTCGGACACCCCCCACGCTCGTTGCTCGATTTGAAACCGAGGTCCGAGTTAACATTACTGTCATAGTGCCAACAGCATTCCGATCCCGTCCAACACCTTCACCGCTGATCTGCTCTCATCGACCATCCTCAAAGCTCATCGGCAGCGCTTCCCTATCTTGTCACCGCCGTCAACCTACCCACTTCCCGACAGCAGTTGACCTAACGTCCCCTTCGCCACGCAGCATCACTGCAGCAGCGAGTAACGGTCCCTTTGGCAGCTCGCCATTGGAAGTCGCCATTGGACCCCTCACCTTGCCAGAGGAGAGATCCAACGACCGGGGACCATGCGGCCCTAGCCGGACCGCAGACGGAGACTTTTCCTTTTCCGTCTGCGGCCTAGCTCAATAGCCTGACAACTGTGACGGGAGCGTCGCACTACCTGCCACTTGCAGACGCTCTTGTGGGCGTGTTGCTGTGGCTTGACATGCAGGCAGGGTCCGTTGGCAGCTCTAGCTCCAGCCCGCCGACCCGCACTTCGCCGCCAACCTCAGCTTCACGTTGCCCCTCGGTCTCAGAGGAATTCAGGCAGCCAACGACTGGGTGTAGTAAGACTTTACTTCACGACTTTGGGATGCTTGTACAGTTGGGCCGCATGTTGAGGGGCATTGAACATGGCGGCGAGGGATTGTCTTTTGACGATTTTGCCCCTTCTCAAGATACCGCTGGTTTTCTGGGGACTGGTCTGGGAGTATCTGGGAGTGTAACTGGCATCGATGGAAGAGCATCGACTACTGGCAAAGTGGAGATAGCGGCGCGATGGACATCAGGGCCACCGAACATCAGGCAACATGCATCGGCCAGTTTTGGCCACACCGAGTTGACAATCACATCCTGCACGTTGCTGCATCTGGCCAGCGGTTCGGCTCTAACACGTTGCCATTAGCTGCGCAAGCGGTCGCTCTAGATGCCAGGTTTTAGGTAACCTGGTGTGATTGTACCAATGGAATGACAGAATCATGCAAAGACTCTCTGCAAGAGGTTGGTTGTCTGATAAAGGGCATCGGGTATCACCTGAATGTCTGCACCCCTGCAGGATCACAACCAACGACTTGGTGGTTTGGATGCTGGGCTGCCTGGCTCTCAAGGCTCTTTACGCTCTGGAATGTTATCTCCGTCACCCCCTTGTCTAGAGACCCTTGTCGGGTGCTGCGAGATTGCGCCAAACCAAGAAAGAAGCCATGGCAGTCTCCACAGTAAACGAGCCATCCCTGACAGTACTTCTACGTGCTCAGTACAGGTACCAAGGCTGGTCGGGATTTTATTCTATTTTTGACCGGCCACTGGTTGGTTGCAACTTGACAGAAGCTGTTCTTGTAGTCGCGGCATTGAAGGTGATATTCTCTCCGGCTTGTGGAGTAGAGTGGGCGAAAGGCCCATTTTCCGGACGATTGAACCTGTCTTTGCTCCTCTGGGTCTCCTGTCACTTCTTCAAAGGAGGCAGCCAACATTTCCCAAGCCCCTGCCGATGCTTGCTTTTCGTACAGGCGTACGCTAGACACCCCGGCAAACGTACTAAACCAGAAGCAAACTCAGCGAGGTGGGCGTTCTCCATGCAAAAGGACGGGTTTTACTTGCCAGCTCAACATGCGGGCCCATTTTCCTCAAAGGGAAGAAGCGAGAAAGAAAAAGGGCTCTCGTCCAGGATCCGCACAGGAGCAGACGGGCCGGACTGCACGCATGTGCGCGCAGTACCAAGACATTTCCCTAGTTCAGAAGCCTCCACAGCGGCCCATCGCGTAAACGGCGGCGTGGGCGGGCAAGTTCAGCATGGTTTTCGGGAGAGCGATAGCCGGCATGGCACAGAACACCTGGGGGAGGGGCAGCGGCACAGAATCACGTTAGAGGTGTCAAAGCCGATTTTCGGTATGGTCTGCATGGTGTTGTACTGAAAGGGGATAACTTATGGCTTGGCTCTTTTCCCACCCCTCCAGCACTTAAGAGCTGGGAAGGATATATATGCCGGGGGTGGGGGTCAGTCCAGGTGACATCTTCGGCGAGCCTTTCGTCATATCTCATAACATGGGCTTGCAGGGGTTTGTTGCACATCTTGCCCCTTTTTCACGAAATTACTTCCTTCGCTCCCAACGACGACGAAGGCTAGTACACGCGCTGGTAAAGAGTAGTGGCTGATTAGTATACACACTGGCGGTGAAGCACTGGGCCAATTCACTCGATTCATCACTGCTCAAACCATCTAGGTGATGGGTTCGTTGCATGGTGTCAAGGAAATCCAGTGCAGAAATGATCAAATTGAAATCAAAGCGGTAAATGCAACTACGGGTATGGGTATGATGCTGTGAAGCAGACGAACAGACATGCCTGACAATAGCAGGACGCATCTAATAATAATGGAAAACAAGAAAAAAGCAAAATGATCGGTCCCCAGAATTGCCTTGCCCCCTTTTCCGTCCCCGCCGTGCTCCCTCCGATCACTGCCATGAACGCGACTGGCTTCTAGAGTCTGCGCTGGTAGTGCTTCCCGATACGGATTTGCTGTTCAGCGACTCCATCTTGGCCATCTTTTTCCTCTTCTCAAACTCGTCCAGAAGCTCGTGAATCGTGCCCAGAGGGAACTCGTGGATCAGCGGCCGCGTAGACGCCGGGCAGACGTTGGACTCTTGGTCCTTGAACTCCTCCATCGCGAGGTTCAGGCGCAGGATCTGCTTCCAGGAAACGATGGCGTCGCCGATGAGGAAGGTTGGCACGCGCGCCATGGCCATCTCCTCGAGGATCCAGCGCCGGTGGAAGAAGTCGCGGTTCAGGAAGTCGGCCGTGCCGACGGCGGTGTCGGCGGCCGGGTCGAACAGGTCGATGACGGGGATCGCCCACTCGTGGTGCGGCGCGTAGTTCTCGGGGTGCGCTTCCCTATCGCCCTCCTCCTGCCAGTCCTCGGGCATGGCTTGGTCGAACGCCTGGATGAGCTGGATGCCGCGGTCCGTCTGGGGAATCTTGAGTCCGACCCATCCCACCACCATTTGCGCCTGCTGGTAGACGTGGTACATGATGACCCTGTGCTTGGAGTTTTCTCGCGCGTCGTTTGAGTTGAGGCAGATGCAGTCGATCCATACTCGTAGCTTCGGTCCACCGTCGTGCTCCTTGCCCGCCAAGTGTCTCAGTAAGGTCTTGAGCCAACCCGGCGAGTCCTTCTTCTTGCCCGCATTCTCCTGGCTCTTCTGGATCGCGGGATAGAACACGGCGCGCACATGCTTCAGGCCCAGGGCGATATGCGTCGGCACGGGTATCGGCGACCGGTCCAAGAGGATTCTCTCCTGTTGCGTCGCATCGCCCAGCAGCGACGAGATGGCGATGAATTCGGTCTCTTTGCGCAGAGGGAGGTTCACTAGGCGGCAGACGATGGGGTCGTTGATGCTGTTGGCGGGCTCGATCTCCAAGAAGCGAACCTCATCTCGCGATACGCTCAGCTTGCTGTAACGTATCCTGGGTCGTAAGGTATTTGACGCCATCGTAGCATCCGGCAGTCGTGCATGCAGCTCGCTCTGTCAGGAAAGAGGAACAGGTAAAAGGACTTGCGCGAAAGACGGGAAAATTCTGCATGGGGCGGTTCTTTTCCAGAATTCTCGCTTCGCACCATGCGCCCCCTCTCACGCGAGACACAGTCCACTTTTCATGACATTCCTTCTGCGAGACTGACAGGGCCCTTTTGGGCATACCTATCCTTTCCCCAACGGAGCAAGCCCCGTTAGCTTCAACGGCCAACGTGTACTTGTACAAGTACTTCGTAATGAGCGGTGAGGGATGATCCTGGTTGTGTGCAGCGGTTCCAGGCCCCTGGGTCTCCAGTAATCTCTTCGTCTCGGCCCGCTCTCTCTGTGACTGACTGCTCGTCAGGGACTAGGCAGGACAGTTTTGAGGGGTAGAGCCCCGTTTCCATGACCAAGTTGGGAAAAGTCCCCACGGGATTAAGCTCTTGATCCATGTTGTTTCCAACGCTGAGGCCCCTGTTCACCTCTGCTCCCAGATCCTTGCAACTCCATGCAGGCAACTCTTGACCAGGGTAGGCGTTATCTTGGAATAGTGGCAAACTAGCGAACATTATCCGAGCGGCCTGCCCTTGTACACGTGTATCGGGTGAACAAGAAGGGAGAGTGGCAAGGGTGGAATTACAGATTGGTGAACTTCAGAATACCTGTTCTGGCTTGACGGACTCCTGTCAAACTGTATGGCCCCATCGGCACGAGTGAAGGTATCAGATGTCTTGGGCATGATGTACCTCTCCAGGTGCTGGACGGACTGACGCCTGTCTCAATGTGGAGGTGGAAGGATTCTGGTTCTTTAGTTAGTTGTCACAAGATCCCAGCTCCTCCCGCCTTCTTCACCTTTCTTATTGTTCCAAGGGTTCTCCATCTTCTAGTGCGAGCGAACAGACCATCCCGTCTGAGAGCAAGAAAACCGTTGAGACACTAAGAGACTCCAGTCCGTGCGACATTGCGAACGATGGCACCCAGCGCCATGATCACGCCGCCACCGAGCCGTTCCGGGGCCTCTCCTGACAATGCTTACTTCGAACACGCCGCTCAGAATGGCGACAAGCTGAAGGAGTACGCCGATGGCCACTGGATCCGGCTCCCGGAGGCGCTCTTTTCCTCCATCATGTCGGTGGAACCCGCGGTCAACCCTTTGCACAGCACCTCGAAAGCCCTGTCGGATGAGTGGCTACGAAAGTAAGAAATCCTGAAGCTGCGCGCATGGTTCTTGGCAGAAACGGGGAAAAGACAAGCTTTGCGAAGTAATTGCTGTGAATGTTGACTGACAAAACCAATCCAAGTGCTCTGCGCATGGACGACAAGACAGCCAGCATCTGGAGCAAGCTGGACATCGCATACATGAGCGCCATTTGCGCGCCGAATGCAGACGTAGAGACGCTGAAGTTGATGAACGACTGGAATGGCTGGGTCTTTGCTTTTGACGACCGTAAGTGTTTCACCTAGGATAGCCAATTCCCCCTTTCAACGAGATTACGAGGCTGGGCGGGCACTCGGCGACTGGCCGACACACCGCTGCTAGCCTGGCTCGGTGTGAATTGCGATCGACGGCTTACTACCGTACCGCTGTATTATCGCCCGTGTTATATGTGGGAGAGACACTAGACAAGGGCGCAAACTTCCGCTAACGCGAGGAAATCCTTGGGCGAACCCTGCAGCTTTCGACGAGGGGAACTTTGCGAACAACCCCATCAAGGCCGCCGAGGAGGTCATTCACACGCTCTCGATGCTGGACGGTGTCCACCCCGTCGTGACGCCGGACGAGAACCCGCTGAGGCACACGCTCCAGTCGTGCTGGATGCGCTTCCGGGAGCGCGCGCCCCCGGGCTTGCAGTACCGGTGGAAGCGTCACTTGACGTTGTACTGCATTGGCGTGCTGCAGCAGGTCGCCGTCCAACACAGAGCCTCACGGCCGACTGTTGAAGATTACATGGACATGCGTGCGGGATGTGTAGGAGCGTATCCCTGCATTGGCCTCATGCAGTAAGTTGCTTACTCTCTGTCGTTGGCGGTGAAACAGAACCCGCAGACCAGGTGCATGGGAATTGTTTTTTTTTTCAGCCGCACACGGCACAATAAGTAGGCATGGGGTGCTCCAGCAATCAGGCTTCATACCCGATTGGCTTTACCCTGGCCAAGTGTCGATGTGACGGGTTGCGGGTTGTGACTGGCTGCTCGCTCCCCCCGAACAGCATTTTCGACAGCGGCGAATTGCCCCAATTGGAAGGGGAGATTGGAAACGCAGTGCTGACCTTTAATCTCTCGAAACAGGTATGCCGAGGGGATTGATCTGCCGCAATACGTGATGGACCACCCGTCCTTGGGAGCAATTTCCCGGATTACGTGCGATCTGGTTACACTGTAGGTGGCACCCCTGGCTCCAAACTCCGCAATTATCCCAAACTAACTGCTGCGTAGGCAAAATGACCTCTGCTCCTATCGGAAAGACCTGATCAAGGGCGAGGACAGCAATGTAATCTTCATCCTCAAAGACCAGGGCATGACGGATCAGGAGGCGGTCGACCATATCGGAGAGATGCTGTACGAGTGCTACCGGAGATGGTATGAGGCGCTGCGCAGCCTGCCCTTCTGGGGCGAGAAGATCGATCGGGATGTTGTCAAATTCATCAACGGCTGCCGAAATATCGCCCTAGGCAATCTACACTGGAGGTACGTGACAGAGTTGACTTTCATCAAATTGACTCTGACGATTGAGCTAACTCGGGAGGTCTAGCTTGTACACTTTCAGGTATCTGGGTACTGATGGAGCTGAGGTCAAGAGGACGCGGATGATGAAGTTGCCCTGATCGTAGCTCTGTTTAGATTTCGCACAGACATAACTTGAGAGGACTTGGCCATTGCGTTGCATTTCTCACATATATCCAACAGAGGCGGAGGCGATTTCGATATTCAATTTGCACTGGAGGTCTTTTACATATCGGTGATCAATCACCTAATACATTCCTTTATTTGAACCAATCACGATCAAACCAGTCTCTGTGATGATATCTATGTTGACAGGATACGGCAACATGAAATAAATGTAAGGACAATTGAGGAGTGGTTCAACTTGGTTCCGATTATTTCTTTCCTGCCTGAGGTCTAAAATCAACGTAAACCACATAGAATGCCAGGCCCTTCACGGTCTCCCATCAGCACAGATTGGAGCCGTTTCACCCTCTCAGGGATCCCCCGCTCGATAGCACGTCCTCGTCTTTCCGATTCGGTGCGGCAACTCAATTATTGTCCTCACCCCTGAGGAATCACCATGCCACACCAATCGCTGGGACCTTGGCCGGTGTAAACTGCGAGACAATCTGATGAGAATCAGCAGTGGCCAACAATGGCCTTCTATGGCAGATGATTGCATTGATGGTTCTTGAAAGTGCACCTGGAACTGTGAGCCTCACATTACAAATAACTATTGTGGAACCACATCAGTGAATGCCAACTGCCTCCAACGTGATAACAGGAATAAAATTGCATCTGGGAGCACACAAGGCGATGGAGGCATGACACAAAGTAGTTATGGAAGCGTCAAGCGGCACTTTCATGGACCTGTGTTGTGATAGACTCTAGGATTGTATGGCATTCATATTTGTTAGTTTGTTCTCAGATGACTGTCAATCATCTGTTGTTTGGGAGCCATGCCTTCCTGCATATAAGGACGACCTTGATCCTCTTTCCTTTCATAGTTGGTTTCTTATTCTGCATCCGAATAATCAACACTTTTGCCAGAGTACTTATACCTGGCTCGGACCACTGGTTAATAGGGGTTGTTGATAGCCTTCCATTATCCAAGCTGGTAATCAACTGTTGATATCCAAACGGCACCATCTTAGCAAGACAACTACGGCCTGATATATATTTGACCTGAAAAATCAATCTTAGCACATGCACTAGACCAAGTGGTCCTCGGAGTTCATTCGCAATGATCTGCGGCGGCCCATATCCTCCTTCGATACCCGGCGTTCCCTGCGTACTCCAATGACGCTTCCAGATGGTACTGTTACCTGGCTCAACAAGACCATTTTCCCTTGGACGTGCACCACGATCGAATTTGAGCCCGTCCCGAGGCAGCGTGAATATATCGCCAAGGAGACCTACGGCTCAAGCACCTGGTCGTCGACGAGGACACTGCCGTGGTTGATGCTAGAAGCATGAACGACCTGCTTGACAGCATTCACGAAGGGAAAGGCGGCACTACGGCTGTCTCTAATGTCCATTATCGGGAGTTCTCCATTCTCTTCCAGGACTCCAAGTTCGGCACTGTCTTGTTCAGGTCCTTCCTGGAGAACGCTGCCCCTAAGTGCAGGGCGAAGCTCTTCCAGGCTCTCAAGGAGCAAGAGGCCCACATCCCGGGCATGTCCCAAGCCCCCTGGAGACCCGAAGACCATCACATCCCAGGATGGACATGTGTCGACACACAAGGTGCCCGTCGCTAGTGCCGCCTGGGCTCAGTCGCTGGCCCAGACACCTATGAAAGCTCTACACAAGTACCGGCAATACACATGGGACTCTAACGCCATCCCTCCTCTCCATCCTCTCCCACTTATCAGCCAGATGGTTGACCGGACTCCCGCACTCCAGTTCCTCATCTCAAAGACACTTCGTCTTGCTATAGCGGACAAGCGCTCTACCCAGATGGTTGATCTTCACATCACGACTATATTTCCCTCAAGGTCGACTTCACCCTGTGAGGACAACCACTCCTTCCTTTCCCTCAGCGCGTACCCTCACGCAGTTCCGTGGACAATCAAAAACAAAAGCCAGCACCACCCGACACCAACGTCAGATTCCGGGATGATCTGACCATTTCCATGATGAGAACGCAAGAGTTCCAGGCCGAATTGATTCTGGCCTTGCATCCAAGACCGAGGCTGTTCATTTTCGAGAACGGTAAGCCGCGCTCCGGATGGTGGGATTCCTGGCTGAGCTTGTGGAAAACAATCCGTTGCTGTGTGAGGTATTCGGACCAGCAATCGTCAAACAACTCCATGTACTCAACACTGCGCAACCAGCTTGTGCGAATGGCAGAATGCCTCAGCACGATAGAACGACCAAGCCTAGATCACGGGTGTCTTCCTGGCGGCGTCGAGCACCCGACAAAATATCAGTTGCAGTGCTTCTTTGATGGATCAAAAGCAATCGGCCGCTCTCCAGAGTTTGTTGCGGGAGAAGGATCGGTTCCCACAACTCGAGCTTGCGAGGCTCAACGGTGAGGAATTATACCGCCGGGAGGGGGCAAAGGCTCATCGGCCACTGCCAATCGCTCTTAGCATCTGGGATGCCTTTTTGGCTGAGCATACTTGAGTAATCAGGGAAGTGTCTTATATACGAGTGATGGGCAGGTTATCCTACCACCAAACATTTAATGCGTCGAATTGTACAGGAAGATCGTCACATCCATCCAACTTGAAATTTCTGAGTGCCAATGTGATCGATTTCTCTGCAGACTATTCTCCATGCCCTAAACTTCAATCCCAGTCTCCATCCTCTGCCACTCCATCTCAGTCTTGACCTCCAGTCGGTCCCCGGACTGCTGGACTCCTGCTCGCTTTCTTCCATCACAACTTTCTTGGGACATCTCGCTGCCTTGGAGCAGAGCTCACTGCATAGAAAGCATATTACTGTACGGAAATGCGAGTGCTTTCCGATTCCTTGACATCCTTGCTCTCGGCCATGGGCTCGTCTATCACATCAAGGTTCCGGGAACATGATGCTGCCTTGTGTCCCAGTTCGCCGCATCGGAAGCACGTTACTGTGCGGATACATGAATGTTTCTTTCCGGCTCCGGGGGCCTCGTTTCTCGACACGACCCTGGACCCGTGTTAGTTCCTAGAAGTATCCTGGTGTGTTATTTGGGTGCGCACTGTCTGGATCTTGACTTTGCCGCCGTTGACCGCGATGTTATCAGTGTGCTTGGAGAGGGGAACCCTTAGCTGCTGTGAAGAAAGAGAGGAGGGGAGTCTCTTCCTTGAAAGAAGAGATGTGATAAATGGGTGATATCACAAGCCACAATGCACGCAATAGTGATGCAAGGGGCTGCCATCTTGGGCTGGCTCGACTGATGGCTGGAGAAAGAGATCGAAGAAAAGAAGACTCGCTAAAAGTGATCGGCGTCAGGACTTCGTCTTCATAATCGGGTGCCCTCAGCACAGGGCTCGTCGATCTCCTGAAATGCTGCAGGAACAATCTTTGTTGGCAGTGGAGTCCCTGCACTCTTCTTCTGGTACTGTTCTTCTTTTTCAGCCATCTCGACTTCATTGTCGTTTTCATCTTCGTCAGTGATGCGGGCTGCGATGGGCATGTCGCGTAGCCATCGTCGTCAGAGGTTTCGGTTGTTGGACAACAGTGTCTTCCGTTAAAATCTTTGCCTGGTGGCGCAGGCCAGCACAGGCACCCCAGAAATGCAGGTTTGCTTGAGAACCCTGGTGCCCATGAAGTGACAGGCGACATGGATCACAAATCTTGAGAGCATTTGATTCTTCCTTCCTCCTTCTTCTTCTCCAGCCCAACAGTCGCCGACGACGATCTTGACGATCTGGAAGGCCTCCATGGCGTCCAGGGTGTGCTTCACCATATCTAATAGGAGTAAGCAACGTAATTAGGCACTGCCGGTTGCATGGTGGTTGAATAGTACGGTTACTACGAGGAAGATGATGGACAATGTCTTCCGTCGGGGCGCCCAGTTCAAAGGTTTAAGCGGACCTTTGAAAAGCGTAGGGATGAGAATGCTGTTATCCTGTCCCTTGACGTGCCCAGTGGCAATATTCTGGTCCGGATGGAACAGATGGAAAGTGCTGTGAATGGCGTCTTTGTCCATCATTTCGAAGCGAAGGAAGCTCGGGAGTGGTACCGGCCATCTCATTAAGCTTAGTCTTTGTCATCTAGTCCCCGGAGAGTCACCATAACAACAGTAAAACTGATCCTTGCCATCTACGCCCAGCTGCAAGTGACAGAGAAACCGTTTAAGAATAAGTATTTACATGATAAAGAAGTCGTCAATGAGTCATGAGACCAGGTCTTCCGTCTCGCCCGAGGAGCAGATCAAGCCCATCAGGGCTCGTCGGGGTTAGATTCCCACAACTTCGGCCTGTATTCTCTGGGACCACAGTGTCCCATATGACTTCCAAAGTCCCCTTGACTTTCAGAAATGAACCAGAGCGCATAGTCGTGGACATCTCTCCAAGTCTACTGCGGATGATCCTGACTTGATCACCTCGTAGGACCGCACTCCCTATCATAAGAAGGGGCCAGAAGTGGAATCTCTCTCCAACCTGGAGCTGAATAATTTGCAAGGCTTGAGATAGGAGGTCTTGAATGGTCTGGCTGGCGACTGCCGCATCCGGATGCACGAGCTTGAACATGAGAATCTTGAGAGCGATCACGGACAAGCGCGCGCGTTGCTTGTATCGAAACACCGCCGTCGCTGGGTCCAACTCTGCCGTGTTCTCATCGCCTAGCATGGCTGTGCTCTCCCAAGCGTTGAGCCTGTCTGTTAGTGCTAGCGCGGACTCCAGGCCCAATGCATCCAGGGGTAACAGTCGGGCTAGTTGAGTGGCCTCCGATAGGAATCGATAGAGTTGCCATGGGACTCCGAGAACGGGGGAATTCTCCGCCTCCGAAGCCGCCGGGAAGGGTGGAGTGGCGAAGGCGGGCTCGAGGAAGTCCCACAGTTCGTTTAGGGGCATTGGTATCGGATTTCCGTTGAAGATGGACCAGTTGACGGTGTGGTAGACGACGGACTCCACCGCAATCCGTGCAGACACCTTGTCGTCTGGATGTGCAAGTTCATTCGACTCTGATCTCGAATGTGTGGTCCCCCGCAACATGAGCATTTGAGCCGCGCCTTGGATGTGGAGAAGACTGGGCGTCTGACTTGTCGCATTCCAGGCCTATGTTTATGCATACGTCAGAATTTGGACAAGCGTAGGAAAACAAGTAGCATAGCGACGAGAGAAGAGAGTGGCTGATGGCTTACCTCGAACAAGTTGAGATGCAGAACGTTCAACAGCACCCAGTCTTCCGTACCTTCGACCTTCCCCAGTGCAATATTTTCGCGTAGGACTTTGACTCCCTGGCCATAATACTTCATAGCCAAGCTTCGATAGCTGGGATCATTCTTTGCTAGATCGAGAGAGGCGCATGCGAGAAGGGGATCGGCCATCAATTGGAGCCGAGGAAGGATGGATGATGTCAAGAACTGTCGTTGGAATTGGGGATGGGCATCTTGGCTTATGATAAGATGGGAGAGTTTCGAAGCGTAATGGTTAAGAAGATCTTGATCTAATCCCAAGCCCTCCGAACGTTGATAGGTCGACGTGATAGGATAGCGTAGGCAAGGGGCCAGAGCCAGAGGCTTGCTCGTCTGCTGCGGGACCGGGGACTTTGATATCAAAATGCGGTCCCTCTTGGGACTCAGACTCACATGACTTGATATCTCGTCCGGAACAGCTTGAGCTCTCTGGTGGACTTGTCGAGGCGGACTCGGACCGGGAAACGGCCATGAACATTCGAGATTCCTTGTCGCGCAAGCAATGCATGTGGGATGCTGCTCGTCGCATTTCCGACGACGCGCCCGACCTGAAAAGCCATGTCAGCAACAGAGCTCTAGGGCACGAGACCAGCCCGCTCTTACAATTAGCACATCCTGTCTTGGTCCTCAGGGTTGCCGGGGGTCGCCGCTCCCTCCGACGTGATTTCGGCTTGTCCCCTAAATCCCGCATAGCATCCCACTCTGGACAACCTCGCACAAGCTTGGCTGGCAAGAATCAATAGCACGAGTGGGTTCCTTGGACGATGGCAGCCTATGGGGGGACCTTGATATGCGAATTCGGCGCAGCGGACGTGGGAGATGGCGACTCCGACGTGGACGGCGAGACTTGGGGCCGATGTTTGATAAGATCTGGGGAATCCCAGGCCTGGTTATCTCTCGTGTCCCGCTTTTCAGCGAGTCGGCCAATTGCCACAGCTTCCGCCAGTCTCCACATCCAGCTGGCTAGAGAATTCTGCCAAATTCCCCGCACACTCTCCGGACCACTGAGCCACTTGACCACATGCCTGCCTGCAGCTGATAACCCAAAATGTGGGCCTCCGACCGACCCAAGGAAGCGGGCAACCTTGAAGCCGCGGCCCTCGTCCTCGTGCTTGGAGCCGGATGCCGATTCATGTATAAATAATAGTCTCCCAGGGGCTCACGGTGGTAGGTCCTCGGGTTGTTTTCATCACATCTTTATTCACATCTCGTGCATCTCACTGATCAGTGGTCGGACTCTTTTTTGCAACTCACCGGACCATGGCTGCTACAAAGGACTGGAAGACCATCGCCGACGAAAAGGCAAGGTCTGTCTTTGACACGATTCCCAAGGAGTGGCTTCTCCCAGAGTCCTTCATGGCCGATGTTGATGAGACTTCAACAAAGGACGTCACGACTGTGCCACGAGAGTGTGGCATTTTGACACCAGACGAGGTAGACATCACGGAGAGCTACGATGCGACAGATCTTCTACCCAAGATCGCGGCTGGTCAATTCTCATCAACGGCTGTGGCTACTGCGTTCTGCAAAAGGGCGGCGATTGCTCAGCAGCTTGTAAGATACCCATGATACAGCCGCGTTTCTACTTGTCTAACCGTGTCTGTAGACTCATTGCTGCACCGAGATGTTCTTCGACGAAGCCCTCAATCGTGCCAAATTTCTCGATGAGTATTTTGCCAATCATAAGAAGCCTCTCGGACCTTTGCATGGTCTGCCAATCAGTCTCAAGGTGAGCTGCCCGTACCCTGCACAGCATCGAGACTCATGTCGCTGACGATGCAAAGGATTCCTTCAGCTATATCGGACAGCAAACCACTCTTGGCTTTGTGTCATTTGTGGAGCGCCCACCAGCTACGTTTCACAGCCCTCTGGTCCAGATCCTACTCGACCTCGGCGCTGTTCTCTATGTGAAGACAAATATCCCACAGACTCTCATGGTACGTGACACTTTACATCTACCATTCTGTTCCGTGTCATTGCTAATGGCCCGGACCAGACAGCGGATTCTCAAAATAACATCTTTGGGAGGACTCTTAATCCTCGCAACCTATCCTTGAATGCCGGTGGTTCCAGCGGTGGAGAAGGTGCCATTGTCGCCATGCGCGCTTCTCTGATGGGTGTCGGCACCGACATTGGAGGCTCCATTCGTATACCGGCTCTCTGCTGCGGTACTTTTGGCTTCAAGCCTACTGCCAGCCGCATTCCGTACGGTGGTCAAGCCATCCCAGGGAGGATAGGATCCCCCGGCGTCCTTGCGGCCGCTGGCCCCCTGACGACATCTTTCCGAGACATGCGCCTCTTCATGGACACTGTCATTGCGAAACAGCCATGGCTCTACGACCATAGCGCTCTCCACATGCCATGGAGGTCCGTCCCGGAAAAGCAAGTCCTCAGGATCGGTGTGTTTCCTGCAGACCCGGCTTTCCCCCTGCATCCTCCTGTGGAGCGGGCCAAGAGATCAGCGTTGGAAAAGCTCAAGGCTGCAGGCCATATCGTCGTCGAGATCCCGACCGCTCCTAGTATCGAAAAGGCCAACCACGAGATTATGGACTACTACACTCTGGATCCCAAGGCGAAATCGTTCAGGAATATCAAGGCGAGCGGAGAGCCCGTGATCAAATCTGTGGCAGAGTCTCCCTTTTTGTCGAAGCGGAGCAGCCCGCTGACTCTCGACGATCTCTGGGAAATGAATGCGATCAAAAGCCACTACCTCAAAGACTGGCACAAGGTCTTTGTTGACAACCAGTTGGACGTGATCGTCGGCCAGGCCGCAGAAACGACTGCCGTGCCTCACGACACTTTTGGTAACGTGCCATATACGACCTTGCACAACTATATGGATGTAAGAACTTTGATCCGCTCTAGATCTGGGCCGATGACATGTGCTAACTCTTTTTCCTAGTACCCCGCTCTCGTCATACCCTATCTTCAAGCGGACAAGGATGTTGATGTAGAGGATGGCTTCACCTCGTACAAACCCTGTGAGTCTTTGCAGAGCTGTCATATGCCTAGTCCAAGATTTATTGAATTACTAACTAACTGTTGGTGTACGTCAGACCGTGCTGAGGCAGTTGATAAGGCTCCAATCTCGATCCAGGTGGCTGCTCGTACCCATTTCGACGAAGAGCTGTTAGCGGCAGCCGCGACGATCTCCGAAGTCTTGAGCAAATAGGAATAGTGTAGTGACGAAGTGAGGCGACGCTATTTCATTATCCAGAAACAAATTTACCACCAGAGTATCATGCTATCTAGTCTTTGCTGAACACTCCAACTAAGGGTTAATTTCCTGAAGTCATGATATTGCCTGGTCGTCTGGGTTGCCGTCGACAACGGCATCTTTGCGCTGACACAGGTCATGTATTCTGTGACGAAACTCAAGCGATTGCTTAGTGGGCACAAGTGGCCGCTTTTTAGGCCTCTTCATTGCTCAGCTCACCTTCGGCTCAGGCCCTTGATCAGTTTTGACCACTTCACGTCGGTAGCGCTCGAAGAAGGCAACCCTGAGCTCCGGCAACGGGTTGTCGCCCATGCCCAGGGGGTCCCGGTGATCCGCAGTGATCGGATCAACAATGAATAGTTCTTAGCGATAATAAGTAATCTGTCCTACAAGCCTCGAGATGATATTAAGGCTCCTATCAAGAGCTCATTTCAGCTTGCATACAAAAGGCTCATCCTACTCCTGCTATATTGAGTCCATCCTCCACGATCCTCCACATCAAAACTCTCAAGTGTACACTCCATCAAAAAGCTCGACTAAGACTAGGGTTTGAGCTGAAAAAGGACATTCATCGACACGATGCCGACCTTCCTCATTCCCATCGTACCGAACAAGGAGAGAGGGCAGCTCTTTGGCAAAGTCAAAGATTCGCCTTCTCCAAGCCCAATCGACGCAGGCTCCGCGAAGCTGCCGCGTGTCTCATTATTCTGACCACCCTGGGCTTTGTTCCCCGCGGTAACTGCGCTTGGTTCCAGCTGGGCTAGTTCGACTTGGAGCGTTCCTTGTCCTTGGGCGGATACCCGACAACTATAGCCAGAAGCCAGAATGAATACAGCAAGAGCACGCTCCCGCAAATGTAAAAGGGCTTAGTGGCAAAGGTTTCGGGAAACGTCTGCGCAAACATGCTAAAGGGCGCAAACGTGAATATGACACATGCGATATTGACCACGCAAAAGCCGACGGCGAGGCCGTCCCTCGACCCGCGCCGCATGTACTCGTGCGTTGGGCCGACGATCATGATCGTGTTGGTCAATAGGCCCCAGTGCAGCATACATCCCTCCCCAAGCATGGAGGCCACCATAAGCACAGCGCAATACATGGCGGCCAGCATAAAGATCGTGTACCGAAGCGAGTTGCCCAAGCAGGCGGCTCTGTCTCCCAAAGCCGAGGAGAAGGTCTCCATGCGGTGGTATCGCAGGCCGTAATAAAGGCACCAGATTTCCAGCGCAGACCATAGTGCATAGGCTCTCGAGCTGCCCAGTAAGAAAAAGTGGCCACCGAAGCGGGAGCTGTCGCGTCCGAGTGTGTAGCTGAAGGACGAGTCGTGGGCGAGATAGAATATGTGCATCCAGACGGGCATCGGGCCCTTGCCGTCGGTCAGCATCAACTTGATTGCATAGTAATATTGCAAGTAACCGATCAAGAAAGCGGCCCCGGCGGCGACCAGCAACGGCGAGTTATCCCAAGTGAATTCTTGCGTGATTCGGTCGTAGTGAGACATGTCGCGCCCGGAGAAAAATAACATAAACCACCCTGGGAATGCGTGTGAGGAGACTAGCAGGTTTTCGTGTGGACAGTAGAGCGAATGTTCATGACGAGATTGACAGATTATTGAACCTTCCGAGTACAGGAGCAGGAGGGGAGCGCATATTATAGTCACTTTAACACCAGTAGCCGCAGCATATCGGCGAGAATTACCTCGGGAAACACCGAGCTCAGAAATAAACCGAGATTCTAGAAAGAATCCCGACTCTTTACTAAGCGGAAGACTTCTACTCAGAGAGAAATAGGGTACACAATGCAGGCGTCAACCACCATGGTTGTCCGTTCTCAAACAGCCTTGATTTCCACACCCTCAAAGTCGCCCCTCTTACGCCACTCTGCTATGGTCCGATCAAAGTCGGCTTGGCCCTTGCCCCAGGGAGCACTTCGAGCCATCCGGGCAAGCTTCACGGGGTCGGAGATCCCCTCAAACTCTCCCTCGGCGTTCATGTAGCTGGGCGTGCAGCCGGCGGTCGCACCGAACATGTGCGCATGCGAGGCGACGGCTTGCGACCACTTTTCCTCTCCCTCTGCCGTGGCCTCGACCGTGAAGTTGTACTTGTAAGGTGAAGTCCCAGATGCGGCCGAGCCGCTGCGTTGTAATCCAGCGGCCATGAGGTGCGCTACTTGAAAAGCACCCTGGTTGATGGTGTAGGTATAGTTGGCATTTCCGCCGGCCTGAATGAACCCAGGCCAGAACATGTTGGGAAAGTCGTGGCTCATCACACCATGGAGAGTGGTGACAGCAGTCGTCCACTTCTTGTCCAGGTCGATGCCGTTGCGGCCGGTGACAGTCACTCCGACCCGGCCCGGGGGGCTGTAGAGGAATGGGCTCTTGTAGCCAGTACCGAGGATCAGGATGTCGACGTCGTGGTGTTGTCCCTTGACTACAAGGCCCCTCTCCGTGATTTCGTCGATGCCCTGGCCATCGGTATCGACTAGCTTGACATTGGGTTCGTTGAAGCTCTGCAGGTAGGCGTCGTGGAAGCATGGGCGCTTGCAGAATCCCGCATACCAAGGCTTCAACTTGGCGGCAACAGCCGGATTTTTGACGACCGCGTCCACCCGGTCTCGGATCCTGTTCTGTCTTCCCAGGTCCACCTCGTGTAGGTACCTGTAGTAAGCCTTGATTTCGTCCCTGCTCTTAGGCTGTCTGGACGTGGTACCGACGAGTGCGCTGTACGACGTCATCGAGGTCCAGCCGTCGTTGACGAGATCCTCGTCCGGTTTGGGCTCTAGGTTGCCTTGGAAGGCATTGAAGTTCTCACAACGCGCCTGCCACCATCCGGGCTTGTTGCCAATCCTTTCTTTGAACCACGCCATATCAGTGTCCTTGTTGCCTCGGACATCAACAGCCGACGGGGTTCGTTGAAAGACCAAGACAGAGCCAGCATGCTTGGCCAGTTCGGGAACAATCTGCACAGACGATGCCCCGGTGCCGATAATTCCAACCTTCTTGCCCCTGAGGTTGACGAGCTCGGGCCTCTCGGGACTGCCCCCGGTGACGCTGTAGTCCCAGCGAGCGGCGTGGAAACAGTCGCCTGCGAAAGACTCTATACCCTTGATCTGCGGTACTTGGGGAATGAGCATCAGGCCGGTGGTAAGAATCACGAATCGCGATTTGACGACCGCAGGCTCGCGCTCCCCGCCGTCGCCAACCTGTTCCGAGAGTCTGACCACCCACTCTTTCGCCTTGTCGTCCCAAACCGAGTCGAGCATCCGTGTTCGAAACCAAGCCCTTTCGAACAGGCCGTACTGCTTGGCTATGCGCTCGCAATGCTCTCTGATCTCAGTACCCGAGGCATATTTCTGCTTCGGAATGTAGCCAGTCTCCTCAAGAAGCGGCATGTAGATGTAACTTTCGACATCGCACATGAGGCCGGGATACCGGTTCCAGTACCAGGTTCCGCCGAATCCGGAGGCGGTGTCGATGAACCGCATGTCGGTCGGCTTGAAGCCGGCATCTAGTAACCGGACAGCGAAGAGGAGAGCGGCAATGCCGGTGCCCATGATGAGGATCTCCTCCCTGTCCCCCTCCCTGGGACGGGGGAGCGTCTCATAGGCGGACACATCCGCCCACGGATCTTGCTTGAAGCGCCGGAATTTTTCCAAGGAATAAAGGTCGGTGAACTGGGCGGTGCCGTCGGAGCGGAGACGCTTGTCATGCTCCTTCCTGTACCTGACCTCCACTTCCTCGAGTGATTGTTCGGTGACTGAACCCATGATGAATTATGTGTCTGGGAAATCGGCGTGATATGCAGGCCAGGCAATAGGCTGGCTTGATATCACAAGAGTCACATAAATTTGATTGACAATTTTATTCATTTCGACCTTATGTATTCGCTGGCCTACGATCGTCCATGATAGAGCTTTGTACAAGAAGTATCGCCTTCGGTAACCTTGGTTACCATAGTGTTACCGAGGGGTTGCCTTGTGCTAAAATAACCCGAGGTGAAGGAGATCCCCCGGCATGAGTTGTGTTATTTTATGTTCTAAACTCGAAGGGGTGGATGGACCCGGGTCTGATCTGGCTAGTCCGTTTCGACCTGGTCATACTTCTGGTACGTTGACTCCAGGTTGTGAGTGATGCAATCCCGTCTATTGGCAAGCAACCTATTGGGAACTTCATTTGAATAGTAGAGCGAAAACCCTCAACAGGAGCCCCGTACTGATTCCCAGCTTTTTCAACTTGGTCATTCGAAAGCAAAAGTAGGCCGCCAGCTGGGGAATTGCTCATCTTCACCTCCAGGGACAGATCCCCTCGGCAACTATTGTTGTTATGACCTTAGCGCCGACTTTGATGCCAATCTCCTTAAATACGTTGCTAGTGTAGAAGGTTTGAGTGATTTCCGATTCGGGACTGCGCGATCTATGTTCATGCTTTTGAGACGTCAGCCATGCCTCTTCAGTACGACCCCGATTACCTCAAGGCTCTGGAGCCTCTGATCCCGGCCATTTCGGGAAGAAAACCATTGACCCATGATACCATCACTTCTAGCCGAAGGACCAGGGAGGCTGGCATAACCGCTCTGTTAAGCAGGCTCCCAAATGCGCCCAATGTAGAACAAACATATTATAACGCCATCGCCTCTGACGGCCACCAAGTACCGATACTAGCATTTGTGAAAAGGGGGACAAGTTCTACCACGGCAGGGCCGGCGCTACTTCACTTCCATGGTGGCGGCATGATCATGGGCAGCGCTCAACAGTTCGCGAGGCCTCTAGCATACCTGGTCGAAGAGACGGCTGTCCCGATCTTTAGCGTGGACTATCGCCTGGCACCGGAACATACAGGGAAAACCCTCGTCAACGATTGCTATGCCTCCTTGCTATGGCTGCAGCAGAATGCACACGAGCACAACGTCGACCCCGCTCGCATCGCCGTCTACGGAGAAAGCGCTGGCGGCGGTCTGGCCGCCGGCGTCGCACTCATGGCTCGCGATCGCAACCTCCAGCCACCCCTCGCGAAGCAGATCTTGATATACCCCATGCTTGACGACCGCAACATGACTCCCAATGAGGCTGTCCAGCCGCTCGCCTTTTGGAAGACCGAAGACAACGTGGTGGGTTGGACCGCCGTGCTGGGCGCGGACAAGGCTGGGAAGCCCGACGCCGAAGTGTCGCCTTACGTGGCCCCGGCCCGCGCAGAGAATCTTGCAGGCCTCCCACCTACCTATCTCGATGTCGGCGGGCTGGACATCTTCTGCAACGAGGTAGTCGCATATGCCGGACGGCTCTTGCGAGAGAACGTTGAAACCGAGCTCCACGTGTATCCCGGTGTACCACACGCTTTCGAGCCTATTGCGCCGAATATTTCGGTCACAAAGAGGGCTCTCGCGAATAGACAGAAGGCGATGCAAGGGTTTTGAGGGTGGAAAAGAGTTTTGTATCTCTACACTGTACCTGTCATCTACTATCAGCCGGATGAGAGACAGATATATAGATATCTAGCTATTTAGTTGTTCCTTGGTCTAACTGTTAGGTACAAAGATATATAGATATAGTGGATTGTATCTCGCGGTAAAGGGCACCTGTTCTATCACTGCCACCCATCAAATGGTGCAAATCTACCTCCCCCTCTACTGGGTGGCCTCGTCATAAGAAACACCAACCACCCTGTTCACTATGAGGAATGTACAAAGAGGCAAGGCGGAAAGGTGAAATTGACACGAGGCCTGTGTATTTAATTTAAAGGTCTTGGCTCGGAGTAGCAATATTGATATAAACTACCGAATCTCGAAATCCTCAAAGTTAGGCTTGAATATCATCCGGTGGTAGTCGGACGTGTACCAGGGCGTGTTGACACTTTGGCGCCCATGCTCATTGACATAATATGAGGAACCCTCAGACTCCCAGATGAGGCCCTTGTTCGCCTCGTCAAGTCTGAGGTTGTACTCGTCAAAGACGTCCTTCCTGCAGTCGATCGACTTCTTGTCGTTCTCAAGGAGGTGCACGATCATCTCACCAATGTACCGCATCCAAATCTCGCTCCAGGAGTAGAAGGCCCCCGCACGTGGCTGGTGGTTAGGTCCGTAGAGAATGAAAAAGTTGGGAAAGCCGGGGATGGTGAGGCCGAGATAGGACCGAGGACCATCCTTCTTCCACAGTTGCTCCATGGTCACGCCGTTGCGCCCAACGTATTCGCACGGCCAAAAATATTTCGATACCTTGAAACCAGTACCGAGCACAACAAGGTCGAAGGGCCTCTCCTTGCCGTCCTTGGTCTTGATTCCTTTCTGGGTGAAGCCGTCGATCTCATCGGTGACGAGCTCGACATTATCCCGCCTCAGCGTGTCGTAGAAGCCGTTGTCGACAACGAGTCGACGAACGAGAGGTGCGTACTTGGGCGTGAGCTTCTCTTTCAAGCCCGGGATGCCCTCGGACTTCTGTTCAATGTACTTGAGAAGGGCCTTGTGGACTAGATCATTGCGTTCGTTGATGACTCCTCCCTTGGCCTGCCACTCCCTGTCGTAGTCCTGCATGTATTGCAGCTGCTGGGTCGTCCTGTGTTGCGAATAGCAGAACCAGTTCCAGTAGTACGGCATGTTGTCGAACACGTAGCGCACCTCGTCGTCGATAGTCACTCGGTAACCGTCCATACTCATGATCCAATTCGGAGTGCGCTGATACACGGTAAGTGTCTTGGCCTTCTGAGCAACCGCTGAGGCAAGCTGGGTACCCGTAGAGCCGGTGCCGAGCAGTGCCACCCTCTTGTCGGTATAGTCCACCTTGTGGTCCCACCTGGCCGTGTGGAAGACGGGTCCTTCGAAGTCCTTGATGCCCTTGATGTCGGGCAGGTTGGGGGTGGCGAACAAGCCGGAACCGCTGATTATAGCGTTGCACCGCATAGTTTCGGTGCCGCCATTGCTGCGTTTGATGCTAAGCTCCCATTCGCCCTGGTCCTCGTGCCAGACGCAGCGGGTCAGCTCGCGGTTGAAGAGGAAATGCTCCCGGAGCTTGAACTTCTCAACAATGAAGTCCAGGTATTTCTGCGTCTCGCCGGCCGAGGCGAAGTACTCCGACCAGTGGTAATTCTTCACACACTTGAACTGGAAGAGGAAGCTTGACACGTCGACGCGAGCGTCGGGATACGAGTTGAGGAGCCAGGTCCCGCCAATGTCGTGCTGCCTTTCGAGCACTTCAAAGTTGATGCCGAGCCGGCTGAGGTGGATGGCGGCAGCAATGCCGCTGATGCCGGCCCCGACTACGATAACCTTGAACTTGGCAATCTTTTCAGGTGCGGGTTTCTTGTCTGACCAATCGGCTCTGCGGGGGAACTCGGCAAAGGCCAGCTCTTCGAACTCGTATTCCAACTCTGTTTCAGGAATGGGCTCGTCGCCGAAGACGTTAACCAGCTTCTTCACCTCTTCCCTCGAAGGCGGGCTGGGTATAGGATCGCTGGGCTTGCGCTTGGAAAGGAAGGCAAAGGCCTTCTCTTTCAGAGCAGGTGCGTCTTCCTCCGCGAGAACTTGCGCGTACATGGCACCGCCACGAATGGCATGGCGTCGCGTCCGCATCTTGGCCAGCTCCGGGTCGCCAGTGACCTGGAGAAGGGCGAGACGGAGGGCATTAAGGTTGGACTTGTCAATAGCCTTGCGAATGAATTCCTCCGTGACTGGGGTCGGCGTGCTTGTCCCCGGGGACGAAACCGGGACTGAGCCCATGATGTAATCAACGACAAGCGGGATGGTTCAAACTTGGTAGAGATGCGGGATGGTTAGGGGCCGTTCGCTCCATCGCAACTGGCATCCAAAGGGGAACAGTATCGGATTATATGAATCGTTGTCACAAAGACTGGGGGCGTCTGGGGAATTGTGTCGTCGTTAGGCGCCACATTTCCCCAGATAGGCAAGAGAGCAGACCGCCCATGAAGGCAAGCCGTTATGGCCACGCAGTATGAGGACATTGCCTCGGTCCGACATTTAGTTGGTGAGTTGAACAATTAGGGAAATCCCTCTCTCAATTCATGATAGAACAAAAGACATGTATAGCGTACAATGGATAGGTTTCCACGCTACCTCAGATACGGATAATAGTCATGCAGAATTGCCCGAGGTGGAACCCCGTGTTATGCGATTGACGGGTCCTCGGCTTCTACCAGATCTGCGTGGATATAGTCACTCTCATTCGAGGCCAAAAATACGGGAACTTCACCAAGGATTTCCCCAGACAGACCTCATCACGCAAGCACACACCCTTGAGCCAGCCGCCATCGAGATGGAACAGTTTTGGAAGTCGATTACCCCTTACTTTGCCACGCAGCCTTTCGATATAGGTCTTTATCGGATTGTCATGGAAGAATGCTCAAGTCTGGCCTCCGAACCTACTGACGTGACATACGAGGAGGTCAATTGCCCGGGCACCGTCCGACCAGCCATCTGGTGTAAGCCGGCATTAGCCTCACCATCACGCGCCATCCTCTATCTCCATGGAGGGGCTTTCATAGCCTGCTCTCCAGCCAGCCATCGCAAGCTGGCTGCACACCTAGCAAAGAAAACTGGGGCTTACGCCCTCTTGGTAGATTACCGGAGAGCCCCAGAGCATCAGTTTCCCTGTCAAATCGAGGACGTGGTATCCGCTTACAAGTGGCTTCTAAACAACCGCGGCATCTCGAACAGCAGCATATGCTTGGCAGGAGACTCGGCTGGAGGTAATCTGACTGTTTCCGTCTCTCTTGCGCTCAGGAACCAAGGTATTCCTATGCCGGCCGCCATCGCCGCCTTTTCTGCTTGGCTCGACATGCGCGTTGCGGGGGAGAGCTACAAGAGAAACGCCGTGAAGGACGTACTGGCAGACCCTGACACTCTTCCCGGTGTCATCGCCACGTACCTCGGGGGAGCCTCTCTGGACGATCCGCTGGTGGATGTGCTCCGCGCCGACCTAAAGGGCTTGCCGCCCATGTACCTGACGGCCGGCACCGCGGAAGTTTTAGAGAGCGATGCTATGACACTGGCCAGAAGGGCCCGGGAGGCAGGAATTGACGTGCAGCTGGAACTACCCAGCGACTTGCAACATATATGGATATGTCTGGCCGGGAACGCGGCGGAAGCCGACACTACCCTATCACAAGCAGCGGCCTTCCTCCGCAAGAGAATGGAGTGAGAATTAGATTGGCCATTTAATCTGAAGGGGCAGAGGATGCTTCTGCGCGCGAAGGAAAGCTCATCTTTGGCGTTCGCCCTTTTCCTAGGCTGTGAAAGTAGAGCAGGGTCTATATATTGCTCTACATAAAGCTACCGACTTCTGCCAATACACCTTGCCCTACAGCCTAAACTTGTCACCCCCCTGCCATTTGAGCCTCTCCATCCGCTTGACAGCCGCGTCTCCATAGGCCTTCTTCTTTTCGTAATATAAATGGCCAAACTCGCTGCTTGCTTGGCCACGGATAGTGCGGGCTTGAATGCCATGACTAATGGTCGCGCTTCGAATGAACTGGAAAATGGTGCCGATCTGCCAGTCTTTGCCCCCTCCATCGTTGCGTAAATCAAAGCCTACGATGCTCGTGTACCGGTCTAAGAGCTCGGATGGTTCTGGCATTCCACTAGCCTTTCGGTTCTCCGGTTTGTACGGGAGATCTTGTGCGGAAGCGCCTGGGGTTGGTTTCCCTGATCTGACGTAGTCATCCAGGAAAGGGCTGCAAAAGTGGATGACATCCATAAGCGGGTGTCCGATTGTGGACAGTTCCCAGTCGAGAATCGCAACCACCCTAGGCTCGGTAGGATGTAGCATCTGTAAGTCAGAGTCAGCACTTGAACAGGGAAGATTGCGAGAGATCTACTCTGCAGCCCTCGAAGTGTGACGACCAACAGGCGCACGCACCAGGTTGTCAAACTTGAAGTCGCCATGAACGATGGCCGCACGCTCTCCAGGTAGGTTGGCTCTGATGTAATTCATCACCCCGTCATATTTCTCGTGAGCACGGCCGAGAACCTTGCCGGTCTTTTTGTCTTTGACGCGAGCTTGTTGACCCTCAATGCGACTCCAGGTGATGCAGTGTCGACCGTAGAATCCATGCTTTTTGCCGTAGTCCCCGAGCCCAATCTTGTCCGGGTCGAGGGAGTGAAGCCAAGCAAGAGTTTCCATGGCGGAGAACCATCTGATGGGCGCCCGGATCAGTGTGGGCTTTCAGCAGTACAGGCTACGAAGTAAAGTTTAACAAGGGAAGTAACAGGAATTTTCACGCACGCTTGCCGTCTGTCAGCGGGGGAGAGATCCGTCATCTCTACATCAGTAATGATTCTGCCCTTGACGAACTCCATAACCTACGTTGACAGAGCGTCAGTTCACATGTACACCGTAATGCAGCGGCGGCTGAGCTTGTTTGCACACAGGCCGCACTAATGAGACTTACATAAAACGGAGTACCAATGATTGAGGAGTCGCGGTGAAACCCGTACACCTTGGGTACCGGGAAGCCGTCCACAGACCCCAGAGCCTTGAGCACTCTGTATTCGCGGTCGATCTGATGGGCTACCGGGCTGATGGACTGACCCTGTGGCTTTTTCCGAAGGATATAGCGGTTGGCTCTACAAGAGAACATATCAGCATGACAGGAGCCAGGGATCGCACGCGGGAGAGTAGTGACGATCGGCACCACAAACCTACCCAGCATCATCAATGAAGTACGTTGGATTACTCTGTCCAATGCCGATCTTGGTAGTTACAACCGGGAGCCTTAGGCCGGGGAGGCTGGCTGACTGGAGAAGGTAGCTCCCCAGCTTTTCGTCGTCAAGCCCGTGTCGCAAAGAAGCTGAAGTCATGTTGGGGAGAGCTCGCACAAGTTGAAACCTGCCCGCAGGCCGGATTCGAAGCGCAATTGGAAAGCGTAATGAGAATTTGAGGGTCCGCGTAGGAGGAATGCCTGCGGTCCGAGATGGTACATGTGCATACAGGATCAAGAAGGGGCACTATCTGGCAGACGTTTCACGATGAAGCTATGTGATCAGGCGTCGGATCGAATGCAGCGGCGGTCTACATTTACATAAGCCCGCTACTGCCGAGGCAGCAGGCGAGACCGCCAAGGTGGTAGTCTATCACGCCGCATGAACCAACAGGAGCGGACCCTCGCCCTCGGCTTTTTGGCCCCCGACTTCCCCTGCGCGGACTGATGGACCTCATGACCTCGCCTGCTCTGAAGTGTCATAAGCGACACAATTACCCAGTGTCCTATTCATACGGTTACCTAGCTGTAAATTCGGTCCCATCTCTCTAGACTTCGGTCTCAATATTTGCTTTGCTATTGTTCGAGAGCCACCTCATCCATTGACCGGTCATCACTATGAATTTCGAGCTTCCTGCGGACGTTCAAGCCTTCGTGGCGCGTGTGGACGGCTTTATCAACAAGACTGTACTGCCTCTGCAGTACAAAGATGACAACCAACGGTTCTTTGATTACCGCCGTGAAGCATCGCGCACGCAATGGGACAATCACGGCCTGCCGACCGAGGACTGGGAAAACCTGCTCAGGAAGACCAAGAGCCTTGCCAGGGAGGCTGGCCTCTACCAGTTCGCAGCGCCAGCAGAGTACGGCGGCTCGGGGTGCAAGACGCTGAACCTGCATATGTGCGCCGTCCGATACCACCTCACCTCCCATCCAGTCTATGGAGGGGGTGTCAGCCTGGCCAACGACCTGCAAAGCGAACACAGTGTTGTGGGAAACATGCCCTTTCTGATCATGATATCCCACTATGGCACCCAGGAGCAGAAGGACCGGCTTATTCCTGCGGTCCTCCGCGGTGATATCAGCGCCACCTTTGGCCTGACTGAGATTCATCACGGCTCTGATGCAACTCACATGGACACAGTCGCTCAGCAGATCACCCTTTCTAACGGCGAGCCTGGATATGAGATAGATGGAAATAAGAAGTGGCAGACAGGCATACACCATGCAGATGTCCTTACCATCTTTGCACGAACATCAGGCAAGGCAGGAGATGCTAAAGGGATCACCGCCTTCCTCGTCCCTCGTCACACGCCTGGAGTCGAGGTGGTGTCGTATGAGTGGACAATGAACATGCCTACCGACCACGGCACCATTCTCCTCAATAAGGTGTGCGTACCTGCTACAGCCATCCTAGGTCCCTTGGATCACGGCCTGGGGATCGCGCAGTCATTCACCCATGAGAACCGGATTCGCCAGGCCGCCTCGAGCTGCGGTGCGGCAAAGTACTGTATCGACCGGAGCATCGAGCATGCCAACCAGCGTATGGTATTTGGAAAGGCCCTGTCTAAGAACCAAGCTATCCAGTGGCCTGTAGTAGAGCTTGCGACTCAGGTCGAAATGCTGAGGCTCTTGATCCTCCGAACGGCGGTAGAAATGGATCAGCTCGATGCCGAGTGCAAAGCTGCCGGAACAGCGCCCTGGATCGCCATTGAGAAGCGACTTGGGCACAAGATTGGGATGTGCAACTACTACGCAGCCCGTCTGGCCTGTCAAGCGGCCGACCGTGCGATACAGATCCACGGCGGCGACGGATACTCCAGGCATCATCCCTTTGAGCACATGTGGCGTCACTTTAGACGGTACAGGATCACGGAAGGGAGCGAAGAGGTGCAGATCCGCAAGGTGGGCGCTTATCTGTTTGGTTACAAGACGACTGGCGAGCAGCCAACGAGTGCAGCAAAAGGGAGCGAGGCCAAGCTATGAGGGCACATAACCCATGGGATAGTTTGCCCTCCATTTCTCATGTCTTGGGCTGTACCAGTAACCCGTTTTGCTAGAATCAATCACAAGTTGGTGATCTATTGACGTGCTGGGCGGAAGGGTTGGCTCTGCTCAACACCACACTATTTGCATGGCCATAAAGATTACGCCTCAAACTTGCAGTTTCCTTTGTCTATGCGAGCAAATCATCTCATTTACTTGCGCTGTAGCCTGTAGGTAGTACCATTTCTTGGGTAACCTCGGGGTCGCCCGAGACACGTACACGTACGAAATCTACGATGTCGGGCCTCGGCCAAGTCCCATTACCGCCGCGCATCAATCCATGCAGTGGGGCCTTGTTGCGACCAGTCTCGGGGTCCAAGGGCATATAAGCAACAAGCACAAGAGAAGGGGCCAGAGTGGGCGTAGGGCCAACACCACTATCACATACCACTAGCATTTACCAAAATCCAGGACATTGAAGTCTGCCTATTTCTGGAATCCAGAGTCCCCTACAATGCCTTTACGGTACGACCCTGAATGGCGCTCGCAAGCAGGTCCGACGTTGCTGGACCAGGGCGAAGTGCTGCCAGTGGGGGATGTAGCTACGAGGAGGAGTAGATATGACGCCTTGTTTGTGCAGTATGTCTCTGAAGTTCCCGAAGACCTGGAACTGCAGGTATACAAAGCCCCAGCACCGGACGGGTATGAAGTAGAAATTTTCCACCTTTCACACAAGGAGACAAAAGCAAAGCTTGGTGCCGGCGACAAGACCCCAGCTGTCTTGCACGTACATGGTGGTGGTTTCATCTCCGTCCGCGCTCGCAACATCCTGGGCTCGATCGCTCCGTTCGTCAGGGAGTCGAAGGTGCCCTTCTTCTCAGTCGACTACCGGTGGGCACCGGAGAACCCCTTTCCTACGCCCGTAGAGGACTGCTGGACCGCACTTCAATACCTTCATTCCAACGCCGAGGCCTTGGGAGTCGACAAGAGCCGAATCGCCGTCATGGGGGAAAGTGCCGGCGGCGGTCTTGCCGCCGGTCTGGCGGTGATGGCGCGCGATCGACGGCTATCTCCATCATTGGCAAAGCAGATCCTCATTTACCCCATGCTTGATGACCGCACCGTTCTTGATCACTCGGACGGACTCGCCATCTTCAGCATCAACGATGTGTATACCGGCTGGCAGGCATATCTCGGAGACGACTACGGAACAGACCGTGTCTCGCCGGTTGCTGCGCCCGCTCGTATCACTACTGCCGAAGGTCTCCCAGAGCTGTACTTAGATGTTGGCCAGCTGGATATATTCCTTGGCGAGGATCTCGCGTACGCCACCAAGTTCCTTTCGGCGGGGATACAGACGGAGTTTCATGTATATCAGGGCGTCATACACGCATTTCAGCGATGGTCTCCCGGGTCCAGGATTGTCAAGCAGGCCTTTAGAAACAGGCTTGGAGCTATCTGTACGCTATGATACGAAGTGTTGAACCCTCTCAGAGGGCCGGGTCAAACGATTTGTCTATAATCAAAAACGATGTTATCAGACCCAAATGGTATCGAGATGAACAATGTTCCAAGCGAAAAGATGCTGTAGTCATCGCTAAAATCGATTTGGGGCTCAGCCAGTATCGTTCTTACATTCAGCATAGGGGCAGCGTAACATCTCTCGCTTGTTCTAGCCAGAATAGTCACAGTAAGGAGATCTGAGCGGTATGCACCAACTCTTGCATAGTTGATCGGGTCCTGAAACCGAGGTTTCAACGTAATACTAATTCAGGATCGGCTCATGAAGCTTCCAAGCCCTGTGGTCCGGGGCGGTGGCCAGCTCGACACCAGCCCTAGCGATATCGTTGGTGAACTCCGGTGCCTCCTTAACTCTAAAGCCGTCATCCCCAGGCAATAACTCTATGGCCTCTCCCGACACAACGCTCTCGCCCATGAGATGATCAAAAGCCTTTGTCATAGATTCCAGAGTGATGAGGAGCCCCCTCGCCCTAGCCTTATCGTAAAATGGCCCCGTTGAAATACCAGTCTCAACGATATTGGGGCATATAGTGTTTAGCGTGATGTTCTCCCGGGGCAGATACTTTCCAAATGCTCTCGTAAAGCCGACAATGCCACTAGCGAAACGTAGTCAGTATCATTCTGCGAATACCAATGGAAGGTCCAGCTGTGCGGTACTCACTGCTTTGCCGTCGTGTAGATGGGCAGCGTTGGGATATAGTAAAAGCCACAACCAGAGGAGACGCTGATTACTGTGGGGTAAATGGAGATTTAGCAAACGCCATGAGAATCACGAGACCGATCTCGACCAAGAAGTCCTCGCGACTTACTCTTGCCGCAAAAGCCATACTTGTTGAGCTTCTGCCGGCGGAATTGCTGGATGGCCAGAGCCGTGGTGTACAAGGGACCGTAGGCATTGACCTCAAACACTACCAGGTTGGGCTTCTCAAACCCGGAAGATCCTTTGCCGGCTTCCTTTGAAAGCCAGGGGACTTCGGAGATGCCAGCGATGGGAAAGACATAATCGATATGGTTCAGCTCCGCCACCGCGGCCTCAAACCCCCGGCGCTGTGATTCCCAATCCGCTACATCGACTTGCACAGGCCAGACGACCTGGGAGCCGGCAGCAGAGTTCAGTTCCTTGGCCACCTGCTCTGCAGCTTCGATATTGCGATCAGCAATGAAGATCTTCATCCTGAACATCGGCGGCCACCCAGAGTCAGCTCTGTCCACTGCGGAGAAACGCTTTTGTTGCTCACCCCTTGGCAGCGAGGTCTGCTGTGAGCGAACGAGCGATCCCGCTCGCACCACCTGGCGAATGATTTAGCAGCGGACACCAAAAGTACCTGCCAAAGGTCTATCTTACCAGTGATGTACGCAGTCTCTCCGGCGTACTTCATTTTGGTTGACACGAGTGTTTGTCGCGAATGGAGTGAAGAAGGGAATCAGAGCTGATCACAGAAAAAGGGCTACCATACTGATCAATTGGACCGCATATGTAAGACTTGCAGGCTAATATTTGGTTTTGTGGACCTAGCTGGGGAGAGGCCTCGGTTGTCGAAGCTTGTCTCATCAGGTAATACCCTCGGAGATGCAGCTACATACGCATCTGCGTTGGAGGTAGAAAGAGACCCGCAATTCGAATGCTGTCAGTTACCCTACGGGACAAGGCGATAATTAGAATCAAGGACTGGGTCTTGTTCCTGACGCATGATTCAGTACCCGGCTCATCGAACAGTGGCGTGGATCGTGCCGGCCTCCAGCAATTCCTGGCAAGGGCCACTTGCTGCTTGAGAGATCCTGAGATGGAAATCAGGGATTCAAGGCATATACCATTTAGAAAAGACTCCATGTTCGACTTTATGATACTGCCTAATGAAGCCGTGATGCTTTCACAACCTTGCCCGATCCTGAGCATCCTTGACCACAGGCCCAAGTGCTGCTCCCTTGTTCGCTTTGAGCACCCGCCGGAGAATCTTGCCACTAGGGTTCTTCGGTATCTCGGAGATGAACTCAACTTCCTTGACCCACTTGTATCGGACACGCCTCTCCTTGATGTACTTCATCAACTCGTGGCCTAGACTCTCGGTAGGCTCAATACCAGGCTTCAAGACAACGAATGCCTTGGGTCTCTCAGCACTGTAGTGGTCAGGCACCCCGATCACCGCGCAATCGGCAACGCTCGGGTGGCCGATCAAGAGGTGTTCTAGATCAGCAGGGGCGACTTGCTGGCCCTTGACCTTGATCATCTCCTTGATCCGGTCGACGATATGGATGAACCCTTGACTATCAATCTTGCCAACGTCGCCGGTGTGCAAGAAGCCGTCCGAACCAAAGGTCTCGGCTGTTTCCCTTGGGTTTGCCAGGTAACCCATCCCGACCTGCGGACCCTTAACAAGGATCTCTCCCGTCTCGTCTATCCCTAGCTCCTTACCCGTGATGGTATCAATGACCTTGACAACGGTTGAGCCGAGAAGAACGCCGCTATTATTTCCGTACTGGTAGTCGTAGTACTCGGGAGGGTGCGTTGAGACGCAACAGCATGACTCCGTCAACCCATAGCTTTGCCTGAAACCTGTCCAGGGCATCTTCTGACGAAGACGCTCCAGAACCTCGGCCCCGAGAGGCGCCGCGCCAGAGGCTAACCGCCGCAAAGATGATAGGTCGTACCGATCAACAACGGGGTCCCCTAGCAACCGTATGACAATCGACGGTACCAAGGAAAGATCGGTAATGCGATACTTGGCGATGGCTTCGAGGAACGACTCCATGGTAAATTGCGGAAGCATGACACACTCATCATTGCTCGCAACAGGCCACAGAACGAAACGGATGAGTCCACTAACTGTCGGCCAGCCCATTAGCGATGAGACATGACCTGCCTGTGCGCCGGCAAGGGAATGAAGCCGTCCTTCTTACTGTGAAACAAGGGAAGACAAGCAAGCTGGCGCTTCTTCTCGGGCAATGCCACGGCTTTCAGTTGAATGCACTGAGCAATCGCATTCTTGTGCGAGAGCATGACCTATGGTTCATTGCCCTTTAGCAGGCAATCGACACTTGTTGACCAAGAAAGGTCCCAAAATACGATCGGTTTTCAGGTAAGATAAGATCACACTTACGGCTTTTGGGAAACCCGTCGTACCGCTGCTGAAAGTGAGAAATCCACAGATGTCATTCGTCTTCCCAGGCGGTATTCGGAATATTGGGCTCTGTCCATATCGCCCATACTCGCGGCCGATATCTATGAGCTCAGATATCGTAGTGAGATCATCGTGCCGCCCCTCGAGGAGAAAGATCCTGTCTCGAGGGATTCCGGCTGCTTTGGCTGCTGCCAACGCGACCTGGATGCAGCTGGATGCCGCCATTATAAACCTGGTGTGCGCCGTCTTCAGGGCACTTGTCATTTCAGCCTCGCCATACGCGGGCGAGGCGCCGTTGACCGTTCCGCCTTTAAGTTCTCTCGATGAGCATATAACCGCAATCAAGATTCTAGAGGCTAGAGGGAGGGGTATGATTTTGATGACATACCAGCTCGCAAAGTGGCGAACATAGCCACCGGGTACCATATCGAGTTGCGACTAAATAGGGACATGGTGTCTTGGGGCTGAAGTCCATACTTCTTGACCAGTGCAGTGCACAGGTGTGTGGCATGTTCTTTCACTTGGAAGAAGTCGAGCCGCTGGGAGGTTGTTGCATCCGCATAGCCGCCGATCTCCTCTGGCGCGACGTTATACAGTAGCGACGATTTTGCATCTTCGAACGCCCATTCCCACACGGTCAGATGCGTTGGGCCTAAGAAGGAGTGAGACATTAGAGCCGGGTGAGATCCACGAGGTCGATAAGTTGATGGGTTGGCTTACATTCAATGTCGGGCAGCTTTGACTGTATAATCATGTTGAAGATCAAGACAGACTACACAAGCACAGGTGAAACCGGCGGCGCTCAATTGTAGCTTGGGCTCGACATGTAAAATTTTGCTCCTGGAGAGAGTCTATTGACAAATTAACTATGGAATCAGTGATTGGTATTGGAGGGCAGTCGGCCGTTGTTGTCCAGTGCTATGTGTGTTATCCGAGGCAACTCAAGCCCAGTACGGGATCCGGCAATCAGCGGCGGCGCTATGGCTGTAACCAGCCGATCTCCAGGTTAGGGGTCCCTTCCAAACTTGTGCCGTGGCATCATATAAGAGAAATAGCATCAAAGGATTCTTCAGATACTCTAAGCTACACGATATTCCAGACGAATCCAACTCCTTTGGGATTCTCATTTCTCGTCAACAGATTGGTTGATCCATCCAACGACATCATCTCAAGCGCTGAATCGTTATCTCACCATGGCTTCCTCCGGAACTGAGAACTCGGCATACGTGCTGGGTGTCGGCATGACCAAGTTCATCAAGCCCCGCGGTTTGCGTGAGTATCCAGATATGGGCTACGAAGCTGGTATCAAAGCCATGTTGGATGCTCAGATCAACTACGACGATGTCCAACATGGCGTGGCCTGTTTCGCGTACGGTGACTCCACCTCGGGTCAGCGTGTCTTTTACCAGTTTGGCATGTCCTCTATCCCCATCATCAACACCGCCAATGCTTGTGCCACTGGCTCTGTCGGCCTATATTTGGCCCGTACCCTTGTGCGGAGTGGGGCAGTTGACTGCGTCCTCGTGGTCGGCTTTGAGAAAATGAAGCCCGGCAGTCTCAAGAGCGTCTGGGACGACAGACCAAGTTCAAGCGGCCGATTTGCAGCCAAGCTGGCAGACCTCTCCCCTCTCAACAAGGCCGCCCCCTTGACAGCACAGTATTTTGGAAACGCAGGCCGGGAATATATGGAAAAGTGAGGAGACCTTCCCGTAATTGGAAAAAAACACAAGTCATAACAATATGAAACTTGACAGATATGGAGCCGAGGCGTCGGACTTTGCCGAGATTGGCCGCATCTCGCATGAGCATTCGCAGAGAAATCCATACGCACAGTTCCGCCAGTCGTACACCCTGCAGCAGATCAAAGACTCACCAACCATTCATTATCCGTTGACAAAGCTACAATGCAGTCCTACAAGCGACGGGGGTGCCGCTGCGGTTATCGTCTCGCAGCGCTTCCTCGATGCGAGACCGCACCTCAAGGGCCAAGCTATCTTGATGGCCGGTCAGGCCTTCCTTACGGACTCCCCTAAAGCCTTTGGCACCAGTGCAATTGAGCTGGTCGGCTATGACATGACGCAGCGGGCCGCTCGTGCTGCCCTGAAAGAGGCTGGCGTCCGACCTAGCGATATCAAGGTGTGCGAGCTTCACGACTGCTTCTCGACCAACGAGCTGCTTCTTCTCGATGCGCTGGATCTCTGCGAGCCTGGTAAGGCCCACCAGATGGTTCGCCGCGGCGACATTACTTATGGTGGCCGGATGGTCGTGAACCCGTCTGGGGGTCTCATTTCCAAGGGACATCCCATCGGAGCCACCGGACTAGCCCAGTGTGCCGAGCTTAGCTGGCACCTCCGCGGGTGGGCCAACAATAGGCTCGTCGACGGCACGGACGTTGCACTGCAGCACAACCTGGGTCTTGGCGGGGCGGTTGTGATCAACGTATACAAGCGGGCTGATGGGAAGACGAACTCGAGGGTGCCCAGTGATGAGGTTGCGCGGACCTCCTGGCTCGGCTACAACCCTGCAGTCGAAGCCCGCGGCATAACCGACAAGGACGCGGATCGGGTGAGGAGCAAGAAGAATAGAAATGACTTTGCCTTGGGAGGTATCCGGGCTAAGATTGCATCCGTAGCGCATCTGTAATTCTAGGGAGCAGCTATCTAGGCACATCACAAAAGAGAGAAAGAACATGACTCCCAGGCTCTCGCGCGCACCAAGAATGATAAGGCGAACCTCTCAGGTTAAAACGCCGACAATGGACACGCCTAGGGACAGCTCAAGATACTGTTGTCAGAGTCCGGGCGGTGTAGACAATGAACCCGCCTCGGGGACCAAGAATTGTATGGTTGCGGGGTTTCTGGGCTAACGATAACTCAGTGTTAAGTTGATGATCTCCCAACAAGGTGTCACCTCGGCTTTCAGTTGGGGGCTACAACTTCAAACTGGTCCTCCCCATCCCCATTCACCTTGCGCCTCTCCTCCCGCAAGAACTCCCTCAACACTCAACATACCGCCTCACTACGACACCTTACATGGCATTCGCGGGCAAGGTGATTGCTGTTACTGGCGGCGGCCAGGGCATTGGCCTAGTCACCGCGAAGATTCTCGCCAGCAGGGGTGCAAAGGTGTCCATTGCCGACGCCAACTCAGTCACACTGGCCCAAGTAGAGAAGGAATTCCAAGCCAACAACTGGCCCATACACACCTACACACTCGATGTCCGAGATGCGGGCAAGGTGGACCAATGGGTGGATTCCGCGGTGCAGAAGTTCGGAAGGCTCGACGGTGCCGTCAACGCCGCTGGTGTGATTGGCAAGCACTATGGGCAGAAGCCAGTTGGCGAGCAAGACGAGGACGACTGGAACTTCGTTCTGGGCGTCAATGTAACCGGTTTGTCTTTCTCCCTTTGGAAGACCGCGTCCCAATCTGCGGCCTCTATCCCTCGTGCCTTGGTTAGGTTCTCCAGCTCACGGACAGAGTATAGGAATGATGCACTGCCTCCGTGCCGAGTTCAAGCACATCGCTGACGGGGGGAGCATTGTCAATATCTCTTCGCACCAAGGATCGGAAGGTGGCCCGGGCTGTGCTGCGTATTCGACCTCGAAGCACGCCGTTCTGGGTCTCACAAAGTGTGCTGCACTGGACTACGGCTCTCGCAAGATTAGGGTCAATGCCGTCGCCCCTGCCGGGACTTTTGGGCCTCTCATGTCGAGTGTTGTCGGAGACAATCCCCCTCCCATCAGCAACGCCTTGAAGAAGTATGGAACGCCAGAGGAAGTGGCCTATATGATCATTTGGCTCCTGGGCTCGGAGAGCACGCACTGCTCTGGCGAATTATACCGCGTAGATGGTGGCATTTTTGCATAGTGGCTATGGCTTGGCACTTGTGTCAAATCCGTAGTCCCAATTGGAAATTCCATGCTTGTGTACTGGGTTGAAAACGCCATCGCTGGATGTATTGCCAACACTACAATCAGAAATCTAGAACCTCTCTCCGTTTTGGACGTCAATAAACTCCATTTCTAAATACTTATTGACCTAGATCTACAGCACAGTCTACCTTGGATGGTAGCCTTGGGCATTGATGGCACATTTTGCCCTAGGTGGTCTAATGCCCCAGTGCCAGTATGGATAAAGAGCTTATCAGAAGACTTCCTCTAAACAATAGCCTGATGTGTGTAGCATCTGTATGAGGTCCCGAGATTCCTGAGGGCACAGATGCTTTCGTCGTGTTGGTAGTCTCCAATGCGACGAGAGGGTTGCTAGGCAGCATATGGTCCGGAATCGCGCCAGTCTGTACCCTTGATCATTCGATGAACATGAATCATAACTAGGACCATGGTCTAACCCCAATCCCATACCGTGGTTTTCGGGCATATAGCGGGAGCCAGCCTGGACGAGGTCAGACGCTCGGCCCGAGGCAAGCCCAAGCTCGACAAGATATAACATCGCAACAGAACCGGAGGAGAGGGCATGAAAAAACACGAATATAAGAGGAACCATAATAGGTTGAGAATTTCGCACCACTGAACCATAGCCAAGTCTTGATCTGTCCTCATCACTACAATATCTCCCGTTCTGACATCACACAGCCAGCACCGATCATGACTCAAACTCCCGTCCCAGGGCGCGACTGGAACGACGACCCCATACGTCCTCCGAATGCTGAATCCCAAATAGGCTGGGCCGGAGTTCCCCTGTCGGAAACGCTAGGCTACTACGGCGTGATCAAGAGAGCGAAGCCGCCTACGAATGATCGGCTCGGATTTGTCCCGGACTATGCATCTGTTGATGTCAACAAGCTGGTCGGGCAGTTTCTCCCGTCTTTTGCGAAGGCCCTCGAAGCTCAGGATGTTGACGCTATTCTCGGGCACATCGATGAAGGCGGTTACTGGAAAGATGTTGAGATGCTCACTTGGGACATCCGGGCCCTGGCTGGTCACGAGAACATCCGCCCAATGCTCACGGAGAGACTCGCAAAAACGGGTATAAAGAATATTCGGATCAACCCTTACATGCCCCCTTCGTTGGAGAAGCTCGGAGATGATCTCTCCTTCGTCCTATTTCACTTCGAGTTCGCCTTCGCGCACGGCACGGGCATCGGTGCTGCTCGACTGAGCCCCTTCGCAGCCAAGACCGGATCGGCAGCCGAGCTTGCTGATGTTAAGTCGTGGAAGTTGTACACGATAGGTACTTCCATCGAGACGGTCGACGGCTGGGACTCTGAGAACGGAGACAAGGTCCGGTACCAGCATGCAAAGGTCCACGACCCGCTGCGCAAGGCCCGCAACTACCGGCAGCTGCGGGAAGACGAGCGCGAGTACAAGGACGGGTCCCAGCCCACAGTCGTCATTGTCGGTGCCGGCCACACCGGCCTGGTCTTGGCTGCACGCTTTAAGGTCCTGGGGATTCCACATCTGATCATTGAAAAGGAGGAGTGTGCCGGGTACAGCTGGGGGAGCCGCTATGAGTCTCTCTCCCTGCACGGTCCAACATTCACCAATCATCTCCCATGTATCCCTTTCCCCCATTGGTTTCCTTTGTTCCTGCCTGCCCAGCAGCTCTCTAAGTTCCTACAGCTATATGCCGAGATGATGGACCTTAACATCTGGACCAAGTCGCATATAGATGGCAAGAACGCAGTCTACAATGAGAAGGAAGGTCGGTGGACAGTCTCCATAACTCGCAGCGACGGGACTAAACGTGTGCTTCACCCTAAGCACCTCATGGTCGCAACAGGGATGACTGGTACCATGCCTAACATGCCCGACATTCCGGGAATGGACGAGTTCCAGCAGAACGGGGGTCTCATCGTCCACTCCTCGCGCCACCGCACAAGCTCTGAGTGGGAGGGCAAGAAGTGCATTGTTGTGGGCGCGGGCACTTCTGCTCACGACATCTCGTATGAGCTGAAGGACCACGGTTGCCAGATTACCATGATACAGCGGAGCGCGACACACGTCATGTCGGTGGAAAAGAGTGTCCGTGCGCTCTTCAAGCCTCGCGAGAACGCGAACCGGCGTGGCTTCCAGCAAACAGATCTTATGGATCAGGCCATGTACCTAAAGCAGCCATACCCGGTCGAGTACGAGCTACTTAATCGAGGGCAAAGAATAACCCGGGAGCTTGACGCGGAGCTCCTGCAGTCGCTCAGGAAGGTGGGCTACCGCCTACACGACGGCTACCACGGCGGGGGAGCATACTCCATGTTCCTGTTCGACCAGGGTGGCTTCTACTGGGATAACGGATGCTGTAAGTTCATCGCCAACAAGGAGATTACACTGAAGCACTCCGAGATCGACTTCTTTACAAAGGACGGTGTCGTGTATAAGGATGGCACCAGCGAGAAGGCCGACGCCGTCGTGTTTGCCACGGGGTGGATGAACTCCAAGAGTGCAATCCAGGCGCTGCTAGGGGACGAAATGGCCAAGAAGTGCCATGAGCGGTGGGAAAAGGGCAACGCATTCTTTCTCGGCCCCGAGGGCGAGTCGCTCATCAACTACTGCCCGCTGCCGCAGAAAGGCCTCTGGTCCATGTACCACCAGTTCGCCTTCAGCAGGTTCCATTCCGCGCGCCTCGCGCTTCGCATCAAGGCGGAGGAGCTGGGCATCGACGTAACGCCGTACGGAAACAAGCCGATTGGACCCAGCAGCACGGCCGCTGGCCGCCAACCTCGGAACCAGTGCTAGGCCAGCTATGGGCTGCACAGAACCCACTCCTTGTTTATTCTGTGCGATATGTAGGGTCAGCACATCTTCATGTTGTTCTGTGGTCTCCGGAGGGTTGCCAGAAGGTGCATTAGAAGGGCTCCTTGACAGTCGAAGCGGCGTCCAGACTGTACCTAGTAGCTACGAATGTGTGGCTTCACGTTTTAGAGGGCTGTCCATCATCCTCCAGCCTCTTAGCTGTTGTTGGGTTAGTTGCAGTGGAGACAAGTTGGTGGGGTGCGTTGTTTGTGCATATAACCGAGGGCTTCAAGCAAGGACATCTCCGGCAAACTCGGGATCGTGTTGGGATTCACTTGATAACCGAAGAGCGCAAACATGTGCCAGAGGAATATAGAACCGTGCGGGATTGGTCACATGAATAGCAATCCTGCATTTTGTCAGCATGACCTTGATGAACAGGCTACGGACCAAGACCAGTCTCCTTGTCAAGAGGAGACATGTCAGACAAACAGGGCATTCACCCCGTGCCTCTACCATTTGTCAGTCGACGAGACTCGCCCACGAAATAGATGATCGCCAAGACATGTTTCGAGTACCTGCATCTCAGGTCACCTCTATGCATCTCCGAACCATCAAATGCAGTCTCGATAGTCGGAACTCACTACACTAGGTACTGATAACTGTAGAAGTATTGGATATACACCTATCTAGCTAGTCTCCCGAGTAGGTATAGACTTAGGTAGACTAGCCCTCCCACAGCTAGCTAGCTAGTACGTATGTATCGTAGTCCCTTATTCCCCGCACCAACAGGCACCGACAGGGACCACAGATGCGGATACCCCGGATTCCAATGTGCACCCGGGTGCGGGGGAAATGGAGAAAAGGAGCAATGATGTCTGCCGAGCCAAGTAAGGCCAACATGATGAGCTACCCTGCTGGTACGACAGCCACTTCTCCGCCCTCCCTCCCCCCCCCCGGCCCTCCAGCTAGCTACCAGGACGACGTCTTTCCCGCATCCCATTTCCTTCGTTCCCCCTTGCTCCCTCTTCACGTCCTTTCGTTACCGCGGAACCTGAGCAGCAACGAGCCCCGTGCGAGCTGGCGATCCCACGATCCTATCCTTCCACAAAATTGACACAAGCAGGCAAATCAACTCGATGGACTCCTCCACTACGATCCGTGTGGCAACTGCCGAGCCCGAGCCCGAGTCTCGACCTGGGGCACCAAGTCGGAAACGTCCCGGCGAGGCGGCGAGCAACGACCGGGCGGCCAAGAGGCGCTCTTCGAGGGCCTGCCTCTCTTGCCGCAGCCGAAAGGTCCGCTGCGATGTAGTCAACAGCGGAGTTCCTTGCACAAACTGCCGCCTGGACGACGTTGACTGCGTTCTTAAGGAGTCGAGCCGGGGTCGTAAACCAAACAGCACCGTCGCTCGTCATCGAGCAGCGTCAAGCACTGCACCTCAGTCTGCAGGTCCTGCTCCACAGCAGGATACGTCGCCGCATAGTCACGACCACGATGCTGACCGGTACCTCGTGTCTCTGACATTCGATGGTGAGTAGAACCGCGATCCGGAGAGGTCTTTCTTCGAGAAGCTCCCCTCGTTCCCTGTTGTCGTGTTCATCTCGCTGATCCCCGCAGACCAGCAGAGCGGTGCTCAGTCCGAGGAGCTGGCGGAAGACAGTCTAGATGGCGATAGTCCCAGCGACGGCAACTATGTCAGCGAGATCCATCTTCCCTGCCATCATCGCCAAAATTCGTTCGTGGACCCGCCAGGCGAGATGATAGCCACCTCTGTCTCGCCTCAGAGGGGCCAGGGGAGCCAGCCGCGATCCAGTCACAGTCACGTTCCTTCACACGGCGGCTGCAGCGCCTCTCGGACTGGAGACTTCGCGCCCATCACCTTGCCTCCTTACATCAAGCCACTTCCAGGCAATATCGGGCCAAGAGACCTGGAGTACCTTGCCGGAAAAGACGCGATGACCATCCCCGACGACGGCCTCCGCGACGAGCTGCTACGCACCTATGTCAAGGTCATCCACTGCTTTATGCCTGCGATCAACCTGGACGAGTTCCTCGATCCAATCATCACCCAAGACGCAAGCCGCCCAGTCAGCCTGCTTCTCTTCCAGGCAGTCATGTTTGCCGGCGTCGTATTTCTCGACAGCAACCTGTTGCGGTCGCGAGGTTACTCGAGCAGAAAGTCAGCAAGGAAGATCTTCTTCAATCGGGTCCGCCTCCTCTATGGATTGGACTGCGAGCCGGATCGTATGGCTCTGATCCAGTCCTTGCTGCTTATGACCTATTGGTACGACTCTCCAGACGACGAGAAGGACACCTGGTATTGGATGGGCAACACCCTCTCTCTGTCTCAGATCATGGGACTGCACAGGGACCCAAGGACCTTGAATATAAGTGTGCGGGCCAAGAAGCTGAGACGCAGGATCTGGTGGTCCTGTTTCATCCGCGACCGGCAGCTGGCTCTGGCCATCCGGCGCCCTGCCAGGATCCGAGAAGAGGACTTCAACGTCACCATGCTGGAGCTAAATGACTTTGATCTCTGTCAGCCTAGTAAGGAGCAGATTGATTTTGTCCGGACATGCGGCTTCACAACTGTAGAGGAAGATGGACGAAAGAGGATGTGTCAGATCTGCATTGATCTGGCTAAACTGTGTGTCTGCATCGGGCATATTCTCCACACACAGTACTCGGTCGTCCCGCTCAACTCGGAGAGCTACAAGAACATCGTAGTCGTGCCTAGATTCTCCGACAAGCAGCTCTCCGATATCAACAAATGCGATCAAGAACTCCAAGACTGGTGCTGCAACCAGGAGACCACCTCCGTATACGCTCCGCCGTCGCCACCTGCATCTACATTCGGATCCGGGACCGGCGAAGACTGCGCCGATTGGGCAAACACCATCACCCGGCTCCACCAGGCTTTGCTGCGCATGGTTTATCTCAGTGCCCTTGGGGCGCTACATCGGCCACACGCCTTCATGGGCTCCTCCTCGCAGCCCGACTCTACCGAAGCAACTGACGGGAGTAAGAAATCCCTCCGAAAGGTCAAGGAAGCCGCCGTGGAAATGACCAAGCTGGCCTTTGAACTGCAGTGCGAAAACCAGCTACGCTACCTGCCAACGAGCAGCATCCCGGCATTCTTGTCCGCGACCATGATCCACATGCTATACATCCGTGATCCGGACGAAGAGGTCCGGAACCTCAGCCTGGGCCGGTTCCACCAGTGCTTCCACGCCTTGGGTGAGCTGCAGGGCATGTACACTGCTGTGGACTACGCCCTAAGCTTCTTGGAATCGGTACTGAAGAGGATGGGCACGAACGTCGCCATGCTGCCCATATGGAGGGCACGTAAGCACGCGAGAGCCACCACTCACTCGGACGATCCCCCCGTAGCATTGCCCCACCCTCCGCGCGGCTCTTTCAGCAACGCATCTTTCCAAGTCTACAATGCGTCCGCTATCGATCCTCGGCTCAAAACGCCACCCATCACTGCGAATGACCGTCTCGCCGAGCCGGTTCCAAATGCGATGCTGCAGCAGGCAGGCGTTAGGCAGGTGCATACCAACACCGAGGCTTTTCTCGAACTCGTCCACCCAATCAACCCTGGCATGATGCTTGGCGAGGGCGTTCCAGAGAATCACGAGCTGCTCCCGGAGCCTCCTGTCCGAGCCAGTCCCGGGTCGGCTGCCGTCACGAACCATGCGTCTCGGGGCCTCGGACCGATGCCGCATGACTTGGCAGGCGGGCCCCATCTCATGGACACCCCGTCCATGAATAGTTGGAATGAGTTCGACGCCCTGCTCCCCGCCCTCATCAACTTTGATGCAACGGACCTAGGCAGTATGGAGTCGAACCAAAGTACGGCATTATCCGCGGGAACGCCGTGGCAGCCATTCTTTTGAGAGATATGTACTCCCCACCCGGAACGCCTTTAGGCTGGAAAGAGCCTGAACAATTTCCAGACTACATGTCTGTCACCATTGGAGGCTGGGCGTTGCTTTGTGCTTGCTCCAGTGCATTTAAACTGGTTGTTGTATTGGCGTCCTTCGTACTTGCAAAGCCTTTCTATTAAGCAACTGCTTGTCTGAAAAGTTTTGACATATGTGATTAGCAATAATCAAGACAATGCAAGCCCCATCACATATTTCGGCTGACGCTGGGGGGTTCCTCAATTGCGTATCTAATTGCATATTTGATTGCATAGAATAGTAGATACTCGTCGCTTCGGTGGCATGATTGGCCAACGCTCCGGCAACTACAGTACAGTCCGCCGGACAAACGCCTTGGCCAGCTGGGTGCAAAGACGGGCATGGATCCGAAGTCGGCGTAGCCTACACGTGTTCTTTACTTAATTTTATCAGGAATGCCGGCGGTTACTTTGCCCTTTTGCCTTGTTAGATACCAGTTCCTCGCGGGCGCCAGGGAGCTCCTAAGCCGCCGTGTCAACTCGAGCGCTGGCCTCTCATCTTGCTTACCCACCAGATCTGAAACAATCCCTCGGAAGAAGGACAGCCTCGAAGAGGGGTCAACATGTGAAATTCAAGACGATTGGCCTTAACTATTGAGAGAGGGATGAAAAGATCCTTCTTCAAGTCCTGGATCTAACTTCGAGAGGCGTGTTTGCCAGTGATTATCTACAGCATTGTGAAAGAGCCATGTCTGTCGTATTGCTCGCTCCTGACCTTAGCTACTATAGACCTTCTCCCCCTTCCCATCGATGATATCTTGAATAAACGCCTCTAGGCTTTGGCCTTTGAGACCAGGATACAATTCGTCAGCGATGAGATACCCTAGATACTTGGCATACTCTGGTGTGTTATCACCCCGTAGACCCCACGAGTTCCAGTATTCGAACTGGGCCCGGACTTGGTTGATCGCAGAGGACTTCATGAGTTCCGCCACTTTTTGCTTCAGATTAGCTGCCGACAGCTGTAATGCAAATACAGGTGTTAGTAAGATGAAAGAATGCTGCAGGAGTGGTTTGTTTTACCTCGCTGCCTATCGGCTTCTCCCCGCTCATCTTCTGCACCAATTCGAAAACCTGGTTCTGGGTTTTCGTTTCCGTAAACGCAAACACTTTCTTATTCAGGGTGCGTGGATCGGTGATAATTTTCGCAACGTATACCCCTACGTCACGGACATCCGTTAGGGCGCAAGGTGTATCGCCTCCGGCGACAATGGTGTTACTTGGGGCCACGAGAGCGTAACTGAAGCGGCCGGAGGGCACATCTGGGAGCGTGAGCTGGAACCACCATCCGACGTCGATCACGGTATAAGGAAGACAAAGCCGTTGGATGTGATCCAGGATATCCTCCTTCTATCAATTATCGTTAGCTGTCAGGCCTCGAGACATGCCAGTAAGGATCTGGGCTTGCCCTGTCGCGTAACTGCATAATCCCCCGCGGTCCCACCGTGGCGAAGAAGCATGGAACATATCGTCCAACACCAGCGGCCTTGGCAGCGTTTGATAGTGGTATCTCATCCGCCAGAGATTGATAATGAATAGCAGATATGACGATGTCGACGCCATCCAAAACGCTGACAAGCTCGTTCAGCGGCCCTTGAAGATCAATTGGGACCACTTGCACCCCTTTTGTCTTTAGAGCTTGCACTGCTGGCTTATCCTTCGATGCGGGGCGCACCAGAGCTGTTATCTCCTGGTACCGGGGTCAGTAGAGACGACAAATGAGGATTGGAGATTTGGTGATGCCCACAAAAATAGTGGACGAGTTCGCCAGGCCATTGACGATGGATCGGCCGGTCTCGCCAGTGGCCCCGACGATTGCGACCTTCATTTTGCACCGAATTACTGTGATTGGCGATCAAGGAACCGATTTCGTCAGTTTGGGGACTGCTCAAAAGGTCCATGAATATTCAGAAAAGACTTATTAACGGCCTTTGGTCCCTTGTTCGCCCTAGCATTGAAGGCAAGCCGATTCTGGTGGGATTTCTGAATTAGCCTCGGTAATCTAAGCATTAGCCGCACAGTCATCGCAATACGTGAGGTTTGGACAGATTGTGTAGCGGTGTATCGTGATAGTATCTACGAGAACTATGCATACATGTGAGGAAGACAGTATGGCGTCGCCTTGTGTAATTAAGTGTCGAACAGTCGTCGCAGTCGTGCGTACTCTCTGCTGAACAACGTTTATCCGCTCCGTGGAGCCCCCCTAAGACTCCTCCTACACTTATAGTTTAGCTATACATTGAGGCCTTTAATCAATTTAACCTCGGAAGTTAACTATATACTACTGGGAGTGTTTGTTTCGGGGGGGGGCGGGGATTTGGCCCCATGTTGTGCAGTCAGCTTCGTCGTAACAACTTGAATCATTGCCTCTGGTGCTCAAGCTTTCATAGTGATTGCCGAGGAGCATAACCCATACTTGTCGCCTCGGTTAGGTCCCTGACTGGACTATCAATATCACAACAAACATGGTTTGAATTACATGGTCATAAGAAACACGTTCAGGCATTCACGCAACAGGAAACAGGACAAATTCGTCCGCTCCTGCCATGTCCATACAGGATCTGAGACGTTGAATATGGTTCCGCATAATACCCTGAAGTCGTCCGTAGCACGCACTACCGCCTTCCGCACCGGCGTTGCCAGATATAAGCGATCTTCTTTGCATTATTGGGGTTTACTCCCGTCGGCACGCTCCCTATCGTCAACCACCAGGCAGCCCGATGTTCGTATCATCGAGGTCGCCCCGAGGGACGGTTTGCAAAATCTCAAACAGTTGGTACCCCTTGGGGTCAAGGTCGAACTGATCCAGCGACTTGCGGAGACTGGCTTGAAAGACATTGAGGCGACCTCGTTTGTATCGCCGAAATGGGTCCCTCAACTTGCCGACGGCCACGAAGTCATGCAAGAGTCGCTTCGCTTCTCGAAGTCGCAGCCAGGCATGGGTAGCCTCCGCTTCCCCGTGCTGGCCCCAAATGCAAAGGGGTTGCAAAGGGCACACGCCGCCGGCGTCAAAGAGATCGTGGTGTTCTGCTCTGCCACCGAGGCGTTTAGCAAATCCAACCAAAACTGCACCATCGATGAAGCCATCGCCCAGGCCAGAGCGGTTACAAAGGATGCTCTTGCACTCGGAATCATGGTTCGCGGGTGAGTGAAAGGCAAACCCGTTTCCTTAAAGGCCAGATCCCTTCAGGCCAGCAACACGAGCTAACGCGCCATAACATTTATACAGGGTTGTATCTTGCATATTTTCCGACCCATTCACCGGTCCGACTGCACCTAGCGAGGTCCTGCGGAGGGTACAACAGTTCATCGACATGGGCTGCTACGAAGTCGGACTCGGGGACACTCTGGGTGTCGGTACTCCCAAAGACACGCAGACGCTGCTCGAGGTCCTCCTCCGCGACATTCCCGCCGACAAGCTTGCTGGTCATTTCCATGATACCTACGGCCAGGGCGTTGGAAACGTATATCGCGCTTATGAAATGGGCCTCAGAGTGTTCGACAGCAGCGTTGCCGGCCTCGGTGGATGCCCTTATGCCCCGGGGGCCAAAGGCAACGTTTCTACCGAGGATGTTGTCTACACGCTTGAAAAGGCTGGCATCAATACCGGTGTAGACCTGGACAAGCTCGTCAAAGTCGGCCAGTGGATCTCCGAGCAGCTTGGTATCCCTTACGGCAGCAGGGTGGGCGCGGCTCTGGCTTCCAAGTCGCGCCAGCCGTCTACCGGCTCTTCCCAGCCTGCCAAGAAGGAGGCAGTGGCACCCAAGAGAAAATGGGAGGTGGTCAAGGACACTGGGGAGTATCGAGTCTCGCGCTCAGGTGCAGTGCTAAAGGTCACACTGACTCGGCCGAAGAACGGAAATGCCATGACCGACGCCATGCTTGAGAGTCTGACCGAGTTGTTCAAGAACCTACACAAAGACCCCTCAGTATTCCATGTGGTTCTTGAAGCGGAGGGCAAGTTCTTTTGTACCGGGATGGACCTCAGCGGCAACAGCGAACTTAGCGACATGTCTCGGGAATACAACTATTATGAGAAGGTCGCGGGCCTCTTTGAGGCCGTCGACCGGGTTCCTCAGACCACCATCGCCCTCATCAACGGGCCGTGCTATGGAGGTGGAGTCGGCCTGGGCTTCGCCTGCGACGTGCGCATCGTGTCTCCTAAAGCCCGCTGGACCCTGAGCGAGGTCAAGATCGGCGTCAGCCCGGCTGTCATCTCCAAGTTCCTCGTACGGGAGTGGGGTTCGTCCATGGCGCGTGAGGGCATGCTTTCGGGGAGAGAGATCACCCCGACGGAGCTGTGGAGGATTGGGGCGGTCCACCAAATCGTCGCCGAGGGCGAAACACTCGAGTCTCGCCTCGAGAGTTATCTGTCACAGTTGGAGAGGGCCGCTCCGCGCGCCGCAGCGGTCAACAAGGAGCTTTCTAGGCGTGCTTGGCTCCAGCCGGAGAGCAAGGCCCAGACCGACCTTGTCCAGAAGGCCTTCCATGCCATGGTGGCCAAGGGCGGCGAAGGCGAGCACGGCATTGAGCAGTTGTTCCGCAACAAGAATAAGCTTTTCTCTTGGCAGGATTTCTGGGCCCGTCGAAACCCTTTTGCAAACCCGATATACCAGGAGCCCCGTGAGTGAAGGAAGAATGCCGTCTTCCCTAGCTGTGTAAACACAATCTTGGGCTGGTCACGGCTATCGAGAGAATGTACAGCACTAATTAGAAAGCTTGTGCACCACATTATTAGTTTCTCGCTTAATTCAATGGAGACCTATGGTGAGAAAGTCGGCGTGTGGATATCTATCGATTGCGAGGCAGCTGAGTCCACCGTTAGAATCCTTTGAAATGCCTTTCAGTGACCGTACTGTTTGATGTTCCATGTCCCAACTGGTATATTAACTGGCCATCCGAGCATAGCTACGTGTATTCTGCGACGAGAGACTTCACAGGACAGACTCATATTGCCTGGCCGAGCAAACGGGCTCGAAAGTGGATCACCCGGCTCGTTTTTTGTCGAGATAGTTGATAGCCTCGGCAATCAAATGTTACGCACTATGTAAGTAGGCATTGTATGGAGAACACACGAATGAAGATGCGACAAAAAATTAGCTGAAACGAGTGTGCTCTATCTCGGTTTTCGGTACGACGCAATGGGAAGAGATGAAACTAGCTACGGAATCACACCACGCCCGTTTGCCTCAATTCTTCTACCTCATCGGCATTGATGCCGAGGGTGCTGAGGACCTCAGTGGTGTGCTGGCCGAGCATAGGCGGCGAAGTTCGCAAGCTGGTCTTTGTCTCGCTGAACTTGACAGCCGGCCCAATGACGCGAATCTTTCCCGACTCCGCAGTGGGTGTCTGCATCTCGGCGACCATGGCCCGAGCCGCGGTCTGGGGGTGGGCGAACGCGCGCTCCATGTTGTTGATCGGGGCGAATGCGAGAGTTGTCTTCTCGAACAGGCTTGTCCACTCGTCTGTCGTCTTCTGCTTGAGGACGGCGCTGACAATCGAGTGCAGGGCCTCGCGATGTTCGACCCTCAGGGCGTTTGTCACGAACCGTTCGTCCATGATCAACTCTTCTAGCCCCAGAACCTCGCAGAAGGTGGCAAATTGTGCATCGTTGTTAGCCCCGCAGACGAGATAATTATCCTTTGTCTGAAAAGCATCGTAGGGCGATATGCTGGGATGTTGGCAGCCCCAGCGCTGGGCTTCAACGCCCAGGTTAAGCCACCCCAAGCCAACGTTGGTCAGCATGCTGATCTGCGTCTCGAAAAGCGACGCTTCAACTCGCTGGCCCTTTCCTCCACGGTCCCGAGCATAGAGTGCTGCTAGGATGGCTCCGTGCAGGTACAGCCCTGTTGACATGTCGACCATGCCGATGCCGGTTCGCACAGGAGGACCGGTCCGCTCGCCGGTAACATGGAGGAGGCCAGCTTCAGCAGCAGCGATAGGATCGTATCCTGCCCTTTTACCATAAGGCCCACTAGGCCCATACCCTGACAAATGTCCCTTGTGTCAGTGGCGTTGAGATCATCAAACACCTCCTGCGAACATGATCAAAATCAACATACCGGAAATGCTTGCATATATCAATCTCGGGTTCACTTCTTTGAGGGAATCGTACCCCAGGCCCAAACGGTCCATGGTGCCCGGCCTGAAGTTCTCGACCCTTGAGTCCACCAATAGCGTCAGCTTCAACAAGATGTTGATCCGGCTGTGGCATGTGGTCCACCTACAGGACGTCCGCCTTCTTCGCGAGCTCTCTCACAATCTCTTTTCCTCTAGTCTTCTTCATATTGAGCGTGATCGACTTTTTGTTGCGGTTCACCGAGGAGAAATAGTTCGACATGGGACCGACATTGGCCTTCCACGTCGGGCCTTCCCCGCTCATCTTCCAGTGTCTGGTGTCGTCCTAGATGGTGGGATATGGAACATGGCTTAGTCTCTAGCAACCTTTTGTCTCGTGGCCTGGGAATGAGACTTGCCCCTGTGCCAATGGCCTCGACCTTAATAACTTCGGCGCCATAGTCGGCCAGAATTTGCGTGCAAAACGGTGCCTTGATGGAGCGAGCAGTGCATCAGTTACCAGACCATCACAGCGCTCAAGGGAATACATCGGACTTACTGCCAAAACTCGGGACAAATCCAACACTTTGAGTCCCTGCAAGGATCCGCTTGGGCTCTGGTAGCCTTCTTCAGAGGGGCCAGAAGCAAATCGTCTTGTTGTAGTCCACTGATGTGGCTGGTTCACTCTACGAAATATCGCTCGTGGACCGCCTACATTAGCTAGAGCTGATCTCTGCGTAGTAAGAGGTATTGACGGCGTCATCATATAGCGCAACGCGGGCATTTTTGAGACGCAGTTGATGCACGATACCATGTAGGCCTTATGCTGAACTGGAGGACAGCGCACCGTCTATCTCTAGTTCTTATAGATTGGGGGAAGGATTTAAGAAGGATGGTACACGACATAAAGCATTGGCACACACAAGAAACATTGTATAGCCGAATCTCACCTCCGATGGTGTGTAAGCAGCATGTGGCGAGCAGTCGGGAGTGGGCCAAAGTCTACCTCGGATACGTAGGCGCATATATTTGGAGACCACCAGGATTGAATACCTAACTGGTGCTGGCCAAGATAGTCAAGCTGTTTGACCCTAGGGTCCGCTTGACAATTCAGAACCATGCTAGTGTTATAGTGGCTAGAGTTATAATTCAATTGCAACATAGCTCGACTTGCTCGTTGTTGAGTTGGGTCACTAAAACCACCGGCGACCTTCTCAATTCGATATGCGCGGCTAGCTAGGTATCTGATAATGCTCCTGTGCTTTTATGCTCTCGAATCTCCCCTCCTGGCTCGTCCTCGCAGGAAGAAGTGTTACCCGCAGACCCAATCGTCTTATATACATGCCTAATAGCTCTTCGGCAGCCCCAATACGCGCTGCCCGATGTAGTTCTTGATCATCTCAGCACTCACAGGTGCGATTCTCGATAGGGTCGCTTCCCTCATGTAACGCTCCACATGGTACTCCTTGGTGAATCCCATGCCTCCGAGAGACATGACGGCCCTCTGTGCCGTGTTGAACGCGGCTTCTGCGGCCAGATATTTGCCCGCGTTTGCGTAGTCGCCATCGGTGTAGCCCTCATCGTAGAGTCGGCCTGCTAGATAGACCATGAGCCGAGCAGCCTCGAGACTCATCCAGCACTCGGCAAGGGGGTGCTGGATGGCCTGGTATTTGCCGATGGGATTTCCAAATACGACTCTGTCTGCCGAGTAGTTGCAGGCACGGCGCAGAGCGGCGTATCCGATTCCCAGAGCCTCAGCGGCCACCAAGATACGTTCGGCATTAAGTCCGTGCATGATGATCTTGAACCCGTCCCCTTCCCCACCGATCATATCCTCTACAGGGACTTTCCAGTCCTCGAAGAACAAGGCGTTTGTGTCCACCGCGTTTCGGCCCATCTTTGGAATCTTGTTCACCTGGACGGCAGAACGGTCGAGGTCTGTATACCAGACCGAGAGTCCCTCGGTCGGCTTCTTACACTCTGCTAGAGGTGTTGTGCGGGCTAGGATGAGAATCTTCTCTGCCACTTGCGCCGTAGAAATAAATACTTTAGAGCCCTTCAGAGTGTAGTACTTTCCATCTGAGGACAGACGTGCCGAGGACTGTAGGCGCAGGGTATCTAGGCCAGTGTTGGGCTCCGTGACGCCAAAACAGGCGCGTTCCTTGCCCTGGATCAGAGGCGGCAGATATCGTTTCTTTTGTTCTTCTGTTCCGAACTTAACAACGGGCTCCAACCCGAAGATATTCATATGGACCGTAGAGGCTCCGTTGTTGCAGGCACCCGACTCGGAAATGGTCTGCATCATGACAGCTGCTTCTGATATGCCGAGGCTGGAGCCGCCGTACTTCTCGGGAAGACATATGCCCAGCCAGCCATTTTCTGCGAGCTCCTTCTGAAACTCCCAAGGGAACTTTTCCTGCGTGTCTTTCTCCAACCAGTACTCGTCGGGGAACTTGGAGCAGATCTTGGCAATAGCTTGGCGGACTTCAAGCTGAGACTCTGTCCACCCGGGCAGGTTGGTGGGCAGATACTCGGTGGCACGAGCGTGGATCTGCCTCCCCGACAACAGCGGCGCGAGGTTCCGGGGACGCGCTGCCAAGGCAGGTCGACTGGTGACGGCAGCGAAGGATACGGAGAGGAACGGCCGGGTCGCAGTGATTCGGGTTCGCATGCTGGGCCACGATAAACTTGATCAGAGGCAATGGCGAATATCATATGTCTGTGAGGAGAACGACAAGATAAAAGACCTCATAGAGGGCTTGCTTAGGAATGAAAGGGAGAGTTTCAGTGACGAGATAAAACTCGACTTCATGAAGAATAGACTAAATCGCAGGAACCATTGGATGTCGACGTAACTCGTATTTATCTAATAATTACAAAAGAAGAGCCCCAGTTGAAAGCGGATGTATCCTAGGCCCAAGAATAACGTTGGTGTAAGTCGTGATAGGATTCGGTTGTGTTGATAAACAGGGGCGCCAGCACGAGAATGCCGAGGTGACTTCTAGTGGCGCAAACGCTCTTGTTCTGCTGCATCACGGGCCAAGATCCGGGACAGGATTTAATGTGGAGAGCAAAGCGACGGAGATGGAAGTCATTGTCGGCTGCTTTACTCAGGTCCAGATCAGGATTATAGACAGAAGAAAAGCCCGAATGCGGACGAGCAGTTCGTCACAAGTTGCCGGCGTGGAAGCAGAACTGCGTCCTCGTACATGATCAAGCTATCGAGTTGAGATGATGGAAGCTCACCCGGAGCTGCGGAAGCAGACTTCCGTCCTCGGGTCCGTATTTGATGCCACCCTTCCTTTCACCATAGGCTGTACCGCGGGCATGTCTGCAGCCGTCTGCGTCCAACCCCTCGATACCCTCAAAGTGCGCATGCAACTCACGGTCCAGAGCACCGCCAGAACATCCCAACTAGCTCTCGCCAGGAACATTGTCGCACGAGATGGGTTCTGGAGTCTCTACCAGGGCCTGTCTGCCGCCCTCCTGCGGCAGATTGTCTACGGCAGCTTGCGACTTGGGTTTTTCAATACTTTCGAGCAGCAGCTGACACGCCGAGCGCGAGAGCAACACACCACCGTGGGGTTTGGGAGCAGAGCACTGGCGGGGATAACTGCGGGCGCACTTGCGGCAGTCATAGGTACACCTACCGAAGTAGCTCTCATTCAGATGCAGGCAGATAGGATGAGGCCGGTCGCCCAACGGATGAACTATACTTCTGCCGTTGACACCATCCGACGCCTCGTGAAGCAGGAGGGTATCGCAAGCCTGTGGAAGGGCACAAGCCCTACCATCATCCGGGCCATGTCGACCAACTTTGGCCAGCTCGCCTTCTTCTCCGAGTCAAAACACCAGATCCAGAAGTACTCAGCCATGTCGGTCGAGAATCGAACCATCCTCGCTGCCACCATTGCCGGCTTCGCCAGTTCACTCATAAGCCAGCCCTTCGATTTCGTCAAGACGCGGCTGCAGAATCAAGCCCTGAGCAACTCGGCGACGGGACTCACAAGGTACTCGGGCATCTTGGACTGCTTTATGAAGATCTTCCGGGCCGAAGGTGGGACCCGGTTCTATCGCGATTTCTGGCCGTACTTCTTGAGAGTCGCCCCTCAGTCGTTAAGTGTCATATTCCATACGTTGAATTACTGCTCAAGGGCCGGTTCTAACAGTCAAGGTAAAACCATTAGGATCATTGCTCTGTTCTTGTCGGACTGGCTTGCTCAAGAGGTCAAGAGGCTGAGGTGATCAACCAGCTATGCAAATGGGACCAGTAGCAGCCGGTCCAGAATAGGAGGCCCGAGGGAGACCGCTGAGAATTCATAGACGTTTGAGACGGTCGAGACTTATTGCATGTATACTTCACAGATCGCTGATTGCTCCAGGCGCGCCAATAGTGTAAATGACAGGCTACACTTGACCGGCAATCTTTTCTATGATCCAAGCTATCAACCTCGTGATAACTACGGGTTTGGGGTCCAGTTGCCTTGCCTCCTCGGAATAGCCGCGGAGCGCTGCGTGATGACTAGGATGATAGATATGCTCAGTAAGAAAGGTTTGGGGTAGGAAATCCGCCTTCCAGAGCCATGAACAATCATGCAAATCCCGTCCGACGAGAGCATCACACTTAATCAATATTACGGCAGGACCAGCCTGATCAGACCTTAGTACTCTCACACCCTCTACGGAGGACCGGGCCTGTGTAGGACTACAAGACGCCAGCCGGGTCTGACTTGGTGGTCTTTGGAAGCCGAACCCTCGGCAACTTACATCAGCTTACCCGCTGCCGACCTCATGACCTCACGACTGAACAGCTCTGAGCTGTGGCTTGCCACGAAAGAAGATAAGTGTGTCCTACAAACTCATAAATCGCGTCAAAATTGCGTCGCATATTGTCTCATGATCACTCCTAAAGATATCAGCCAACCCCAGCAGCTCGAGATGACGTCGCCCTCGGTACCGGTACCCTTTTCTGAGCCGCCATGGCTCATGGGGCAGGCCTCTCCCTATTACTCCGAGTCTCATCGGAAATGGCAAAAGACGTGTCGTGACTTCATCTCGGAGCACCTCACTCCCTATGCCCTGGATTGGGAGACCGAGGGCGAGGTCCCAGCGCATGTCTTTCAGACCTTCACCAAGCACAACATGCTGATCCCTAACCTGCCCGCTCCTCTGCCCATTCAATTTCTCAAAGATGCGGGTATCACCGAGCTTCGCGGCGGACTGAAGATCGAAGACTTTGACTACTTCCATTTCCTCATCTATGTGTCTGAGATGCGACGACTCGGAATCCACGGCCCAAGCTCGTCATTAACAACGGGTACTGCCTACGGGATGCCTGTCATCATCACATACGGTAGCCAAGAGCTCAAGCAGCGTATCCTCCCCGATCTTCTCAGCGGCAAGAAGAGGATCTGCATTGCGATCACCGAGCCGGGCGCAGGCAGCGACGTTGCCAACGTGTCCGCCACGGCCGAGAAAAGCCCCTGCGGGAGATACTACATTGTCAATGGGGAGAAGAAGTGGATCACGAACGGAATTTGGTCGCACTACGCGACCATGGCCGTCCGCACGGGTGGTCCTGGAATAAGCGGGCTCTCGCTGCTCGTGGTGCCTCTGCTTGGACAGGACGGTGTGACGATGCGCAGGATGAAGACCTCGGGCGGGACGACTAGCGGAACCACCTTTATCGACCTCGAGGACGTCAAAGTGCCCGTCGAGAACTTGATTGGCAAGGAGGGCCAGGGCATGAAGATGATTACACGAAACTTCAACCACGAGCGGCTCGCTATTTCCATCGGCGTTTGCCAGAGCGCCCGGGCCGTGCTCTCCGAGGCCTTCGGCTACGTCTTGAAACGGGAAGCCTTTGGAAAGCCGCTCATAGACCAGCCGGTCGTGAGGAACCGCTTGGCCAAGTGCGGGGGAGAACTGGAATCTCTCTGGGCCTGGATCGAGTCCCTGGTCTATCAAATGTCGAGCTCCAGAGAAGGGCACGGACGGGAGGAGCTCGGCGGTTCCCTGGCGCTCTTGAAGGCGAGGTCGGGCATGGTGCTCGACAAGTGTGCGAGAACCGCAGTCCTGCTGCTTGGCGGCAATGGATATACCCGCACGGGGCAGGGCGAGTTGGTGGACAAGATTTACCGCGAGGTCCCGGGTGCACGAGTACCAGGAGGAAGCGAGGATGTCATGCTGGACTTGGCTATCCGCCAGCTAGTCAAGGGCTTTCAGGCCAAGACCAGGGCGCTAGAGACCGCAAAGTTGTAAGATGTTTGATCATAGATTTTCCGATACATCTCCGTAATCTGCATGGCCTACGCTTCATTCCCGATCATAATACTTGCCCAAAGGAAGACTTGGAGCAGCATGAAGGCTCAACTATCCCTGGTCACGCTAGTATTAGATGAAGCACATAGGATGGTGAGCTGCTTCTACAAGCATGACCAACCAATATGGCATGAACGATTCTGAGCCCGTTGCAGTACGGTTGACTAAGATGTTTGCAGGACTGCCGGCTGTCGCCCGAGGTCAGCCACTCGCCATTGGCTAATCTGTGTTGATTCCCATTGCCGAGGCACCCAGCGGAACCGCCTCAGCCATGCGGAGCATGATCACCACAGCAGGGATTGATCCTAACCATACTATTTATATTTGTCCAAACACTGAGAAGACAGAGAGATCCCGGAGACGCAGCTCTCAGGTTCATTTAACAGGAACGTCTCTCTTCAGCACGCCCATTGACTGGTACAGTACAGCATGATGTCACAGTTACGCTTTGACGGACAGGTCGCCATCGTCACAGGCGCCGGAGGCGGACTTGGCAAGGCTCATTGTCTCTTGCTCGCCTCGCGGGGAGCCTCTGTCCTTGTCAACGATGTTTCGGCCCAAGCCGCCGACAACGTGGTCCGTGAGATCACGCAAGCTGGAGGGAAAGCTGCCGCCAACCACCACAGCGTCCTTGACGGGCAACAGATTATCCAGGACGCCGTTCAAAAGTTTGGCCGGCTCGACATCCTTATCAACAATGCCGGCATCCTGCGAGATGTCAGCTTCAAGAACATGACAGACAAGCATTGGGAGGATATAGATGCGGTCCACGTCAAGGGCACGTTCAGGTGCACTCAAGCCGCCTGGAAGATTTTCCGCAAGCAAAAGTACGGCCGCATCATCATGACCTCGTCCGCCTCGGGCCTGTTTGGCAACTTTGGCCAGTGCAACTACGCGGCCGCCAAGCTTGGCGTCTATGGCCTGGCTGAGACGCTGGCCAAGGAGGGCGCCAAGTACGACATTCTTGTCAACGCCGTCGCGCCGGTCGCCGCGAGCCAGATGACCGCAACCATCATGTCTGCCGAAAAGCTCCGGTACCTCGATCCTGCATACATCTCTCCGCTCGTGGCTTATTTGGTCCATCCTTCCAACAAGGAAAACGGATCCGTCTTTGAAGTCGGAGCTGGGCACGTCTCCAAGTACCGGTGGGAGCGATCGCCGGGTGCAGTCCTGAAGTGTACGCCATGCCGCGAAGCCGGCCCAGAATGCCGATAGTCTGCTAACAGTTGTTGTGGACAGGCGACGAAACGTTTACGCCGGGAGCAGTGCTGAAGCGATGGGCGGACGTCAATGACTTCTCGAAACCCGATCACCCGACGAGCACTGCGGACATGGCAGCTCATCTTGCTGCGGCCTCAAGGCAGAGTAGAAACGATCCGGGGGAGGACATTCGATACGATGGTAAAGTCGCGGTTGTTACCGGAGGTGGAGCAGGGTATGTACTCGCGAAACAATGGAAGACTTCCAGTCCTTCACAAGTGGACCACGAGCAATCCTAACTGGCCTGCGACGATATCAGACTTGGACGTGCATACAGCATTGAGCTTGCGAGACGGGGTGCTGCCGTTATTGTCAACGACCTTGCCAACCCCGACAAAGTGGTGCAGGAAATTCTTGCATTTGGAGGGAAGGCGGTTGGGAACAACTCGTCGGTCGAAGATGGAGCTGCAGTAATCAAGACAGGTAAAAATCCCAGCGCCAAGGGTTGATGCGCAGCAACACCCAGAACGAGGGCAAGACGTGCTGATCCACGACGAATCTGATGGTCTTAGCGATCGATAACTTTGGTCGGGTTGATATTCTGATCAACAATGCTGGCATCCTGCGCGATAAGGCATTCCACAACATGACCGAGAAGCAATGGGACGACATCGTCAACTGTCATCTTCGAGGTACCTATGCTTGTACCAAAGCTGCCTACCCGCACATGGTCAAGCAAAGATACGGACGCATCGTCAACACAAGCAGCACCAGTGGGATCTACGGGAACTTTGGCCAAGCCAACTATGCAACAGCAGTAAGTGTCTCGATGCACATGGCCGTGAGCGCAGGTACTGACGGTCCTGCCCAGAAAATGGCCATCCTTGGATTCTCTCGGGCCTTGGCCCAGGAGGGAGCAAAGTACAATATCTTCGTCAACACGATTGGTCCATCCGCCGGAACGCAACTCACTGCGACGGTGCATAGCGAGGAGCTCGTCAAGGCACGCAGGCCCGAGTATGTCGCACCTCTAGTCCTCGCTCTGTGCTCTGATATGGTCCAGCCAAACCCGACCGGAGGTCTGTATGAGGTGGGCTGTGGCTGGCAAGGACGGACTCGGTGGCAGCGCTCCGGAGGCGTCACGCTCGACGTCGACCAGTTCACACCCGAGGCGATCCAGTCTCACTGGGGTAGAATAATTGACTTTGACGACGGACGTGCCGACAGCCCCGAGACGCCCGAGGATGGGCGAAAGAACATCATGGGCATTGTTGGACGCCTTATGTCGACTACGTCGAAGGCGCCTTCCAACCCGTGGCTCGCGGCCATCAAGGCAGCCAAGGAGTTCCAACAGCCGGCATCCGAGCATACTTACAACGACAGGGATACCATCCTGTACAACATTTCGCTCGGCGCTACTAGCGATCAGCCAAGCTTGGTCTACGAAGGGGATCCCAATTTCCAGGTCCTGCCGACGTTTGGTGTCGTCATCCCTCCCGCACCTTCGAAAGGGTTCGACATGTCCAAGATAGTGCCAAACTACTCATACAAGATGGTTCTTCACGGCGAACAATACCTTGAGATTCGCAAATGGCCTATTCCTACCTCGGCCCGCGTGCGCTCTCGTCTGAAGCTGGTGGACGTTCTCGACAAGGGCAAGGATGCTATCATCATCACGGGCAGTACTATCGAGGACTGCCAGACCGGAGGGGTCTTGTTCTACAACGAGACTACGCTTTTCGCTCGGGGATCGGGAGGCTTCGGCGGTCCTAGGACCCGTGCCGACGGAGCCTCGGCCACTGCTTCGCCCCCGATGAGACGGCCTGATTTCATCGCCAAGGTCAATACAGAGAAGGATCAAGCCGCGATCTACCGCCTGAATGGTGACAGGAACCCGCTTCACATTGACCCTGCCGTCGCCCATGCGGCAGGATTTAACAGTGGACCCATCCTCCATGGGCTGTGCTCCTTCGGTCTCACGGGCAAGGCCCTCTTGAGCCACTACGGGCCCTTCAGAAACATGAAGACAAGGTTCTCTGCCAATGTGTTCCCCGGCCAGACTTTACAGGTCGAGATGTGGAAAGAGGACCGAGTCATCCTGTTTCAGACAAGGGTCCAAGAGACGGGCAAGCTATGTATCAGTAACGGAAGAGCCGAGCTACTGGGTTCGGGTCCAAGACTGTGATGCACGAGGGCGCTGGTACGGAAGTGACATCCGTGTAGTAGTGTACTTAGCTGGGAGATATACCAAAGCTAGGCATGAAAATTTCCGCGGAATCGATGTGCCCTGGAGTCCGCTCTAGGTTCATAATCTCGCAAAATACTATTGAATATCACACCGTCTACCTATATCTGGAAGGAGTTCCAGCAGAGTGACCCTCCTCCCTTTCTCAGCTCGACTGGTCGACACAATAGCGATGTATTGGGCTAGCCTATCGATGGGACAGTCCCCAGCTGTCGAATCAAACCCGTATCTCGCCTGCCGCATTCTTGACTTGTGTTAGACCGGATAAGAGGTCCTAGAGGGCTGGAAAAACAGTATATGTTTTTTAGCCTAGCGGTCCAACAACTTGCTCCCTTTGTTCGATTGACAATTTGGTGGACCTCAGGCTGCCCGAGCATTTTACGCCACCAGGACCCGCCCGGAACAAAACCTCGGCAACTTGAACGATGGAGTACTTGGATGGAAGGCAGCCCAGCTTCCTCGCCGTCACTTTGGAAACCACCAAGCATACATCACGCCGCTCTTGTCAAAATGTCGTACACTGGGGAAACAGCATACATCACGGGTGAGAACTCTATGATTCACTAAGATGAGGTCTTCGTGCGGAGGCTAACATCGGTCAACCAGGTGGTGCAAGTGGCATCGGCCGCTTCGTCGCCACGGCGCTCGCCAAGAAAGGGTATGCAGTGAAGGTCCTCGATTGACAAGGGTCCTAACAAACTCTTCTTGTAGCATGAAGATCTTTATTGCGGATCGCAACCTGGAAGGTGCCTTGGAGACGGTCAAGGCACTCAACAAGGACTGCCACACCGCGTGGGCAGTGAAGATTGACGTTGAGGACTGGGAGTCCCAGCGTGGTGGCTTCGAGGCGGCTGTCAAGGAGCTCGGCCGAATCGACTATGTTTTTGCTGTGGCCGGAATTTTCGAGCAGTCTTGGCTGCCTAACAGAGTCGGAGCCACGACATTCGAGAAGCCCAATCTTACTACAATCGACGTAAACGGAACTGGTGTGATGTACACCTCGGCGCTGGCGATTCAGCAATTTCGCCGTCAGGCGCCAAGCAAGTATGGGTTCCGTGGAAAGAGTAGGTCTCAATTCATACCACCGTCTTTCTAGGCTTCCCAAGCGCTCACCAGATAATACAGTTATCATTGTGTCCTCCGGTGCGAGTTTCTATAGCATTCCAGCCATGCCTATATACTGTGCCTCAAAGAAGTAAGTCTTCAATCGTTCTCTAATCACACGTCTATGCACTCGCTGACGGCGTGCGATGATAAACAGCGCCGTTGTTGGGTTCGTGCGCACAATGGGAAAGCTTGTGGCCGAGGAGCAGATGACTCTGAACGCCATCTGCCCCGGAATTGTAAGAACGGCTATTTCCGGGGGCAGCTTTTATGAAATTGCTGAAGAGAAGGGTGTCCTTGTGTCTCCGGAGACCATAGTGTCGTCTTTTGAGTCCCTCCTCGGCACGAACCCAGCATCTGGTGACGCTATCGAGGTGATGCCGGGACAATTCCTAGTCAAGCCTGGTGCTGAATTCACCAACGAGAAATGCGAGGAGAGCGTGGTCCTGACCTACAAGAGGACATTGGAAGCCAGAGCAAAGGCATCTTAGATAGTCTGGTGCCTTTCAAATCGAGCCCCGCTCAGTTTGCCGTGAAGACTGAGAAGACGTTACAAGATGAACGAACAATAGTACTTGGATTTACTCCGCATGGAACAGGTGTATATGAAGCGTCAGAAGAAAGTCTTGCGCCTGAAATAGCCATTATTTCCCAGCTAGTAGCATCACAGATTGGGCGCTGGACTTGCCAAACTGAGGCAGGGATGAAAAGGTCGAAGATTATCTCGGTTTCTGGTGCTATGTAAGGGATCTCAAACTTTACAACGTCTTGCGTTTGACTGGCATATAACAAGTCTCCATTTACACATAGTTAACAATGTAACCCCTCTTGACGGCGTTGACTAATTCTTCATGCTTCGCAGACTAAAAGTCAAACGCGTCTAGCACATCATGGTCATCCATGAAATCACAGATACGACCAAGGAAGTCCCTAGTAGTCGCTTCAGTCTGCATGTCCGGCATGAGTTTGGATGGAGTGAGAGTCAGCGTCCAGTAGGCGAGAGCACCGAGAGACTGGCGTCGGATCTCAAGCCACGCCTCATCCACTGTCACCTTTGGGCCACCCGCCTTCTCAAACTCGAATAGGTACAGCTCGACCATCTCTTTGTCCCAAAGACGACGCTTCTCCGTGGGGACACCGGTGCCCAAGACGTAGGCCACATCCCGAGACCAGTGACCCCGTGCCATAGCCTGCCAGTCTGCCAGACCCATGTGGCCGCTGGGCGTGATATACCAATTGCCTAGGTTGCGTGAAGTCTCCATCGTTAGCCATTCTCGATCTCTGTACGACCAGTCCCTGGGATTCATACCGAGATGGACATCCCCATGTACAGTCGTCTCCGGCAAGGAGGCGTTGCGCTCCACAGACTTCAACGTGGCAGGCCAGATTTCAGCCTCCCTAGCGAACAGTCTGGGAGGGATTTCTCTCCGTGCCTCCCTGAATCCGTTACGGCAGGCATCTTCGATTCCAATACTAATCAGATTCTGAATGCGGTCCTTGTAATGCAAAAGGCGGGGAAAGAACGGCTCCTTGGACTGATAGAATCGGCCGTGGAGCTTGGCCAGGATCTGGAACTGCTCCGCAAACTGAACCTTGGTGAGAGCCGTCTTGTACGTGCAGAAATGGGTGGCACTGCCCATGTCTTTAAGCATGATCATAGCCGCCCACGAGTCCGGGTTGTAACCGGCAAAGTACGCGGTCGGGGCCTCGATTTCGATCAAAGGCCGGACCTCGTTGAAGAAGCAGACTTCTGTGTAGGTACCTCCGACCGACAATGTAATGCGGTTATTGATGGAGTGGGCGGCCTTGCAGAATACTGACTTGGGCATCTTGTCAGCCTCAGCGCCTTCCCACTCGATGTCGATGCGCCGTCGCTCAGACGAGCCGTTGTCTTCCGGGCCCAGGGCGAAGTTTTTGACAGAAGTGTCTTTGCGATCTCGGGCCAGCGTGGCAGTCAACCACTCCCTTGTTATGCTGTCATACGAAACTGGGATGTCCCCATACTTGCGAGCAATGGGTGGGTTCTTCGCCTCTTCTGCACAGCACCCCTTGATAGATTCGACAGTGTCGCTTCTAAATCCGCCAATAAGAGACATAGTGCTTTTCGGTAACGCGAAGGAGACGTCTTGGAGATATGGTTTGATTGATTGGTTCGATGAAACGGAGAGCCGAGACGAAGGACCAAGACACTAATATAGCAACGAGCTAGCTCTAGACAAAAAGACCGAGCTGCGCTGTCCCCGTCCGTGCACCTTGGATAATTAACTCGGCATCCTTGTCTGACAACTGCCAGGCCTCCGTTGAATACCTCGGCGACCTTTTCAGTTTTCTTTGAGCAGCAATCTTCCTGACAATGGCAAGGCTGTGCTCAGCTGCAGCACTTCTTTCCCCGCGTCTTTCCCCGCGTCCCTCCCATCTTGACTGGCGGCCCCGCGTGACGTTTCCCCAAGATACAGACTAGTTCCCCTGATCTCGTATGAGGCTTATCAGTGCTCCATTATATAAAGAGGGGTTGTTTCCTGCTCTTGGGAGGAATTATATCATTTATCGGAGGACTCAAAGCCGACACTCATAGTTAAATATCGAATCCTTCTACTCTGCGGCCGAACTGTCATGGCCTCTCCCGGCACTCCCCGTCCCGCAATGACGCGTGTGGTTTCTTGTTCTCGGTCCACGGAGAAAGATCTACCCGCTGGCGCTGTTGATTACAAAGACCATGGCGAGGCGGCGATCAACAGCGCTGATGATGGCGGCAGCGACGCTATTGACGCCAAAGAAGTGGCCAAGACTCTCCGCAAGATGGACTTGATCGTCATGCCGATGATGACTATTATCCTGGCATTCTGCTACATTGACAGAACCAACATGGGCCTTGCCATGGTCGTTGGCATGGGTAAAGAGTTGCATTTTGGGACCTACGAGTACTCTATCGCCCTGCTGGTCTTCTTTCCCGGCTATGCCATCGCCGCTCTGCCTAGCAACTACGTCCTCGCAAAGGTGCCGGTCAGATACTGGCTTCCGCTCCTTTCGGTCTTGTTCGGTCTCCTCACACTTGGATGCGGGTTCGTGCGCGAGTTTGCTGGCCTCGCCAGCGTACGCGCTTTTCTCGGCGTGTGCGAAGCCGGGTCAGTTAGATCGTTGCCACTTTCGTTCCCGCGAAGTCCTGAACGCTAATCTAAGGTGCGAACAGCGTCTACCCGACAGTGGTCATGGTCCTCAGCTCGTGGTATCCTCGCTACCACTTTGGGAAGCGAATGGCCGTGGTCGGTTGCGGTGCCTCGTTGATATCGGCCCTGTCCGGGGTGCTCGCGTGGGCTTTTTCGCGGATAAGTACCCCCAACTATTCGGGCTGGAGATGGATCTTCATACTCGAAGGTTCCATCACCACTATCTTAGCCCTCGGCGCCTTCTTCGTGCTCGATGAGTATCCCAGCAAGTCCAAGTTTCTCAACGCAGAACAGCGCCGTACTGCCGTCAGGATGATTGCGGAAGATAGAGAAGAGCTTGAGGACCAGAAGTTGACGGTCGGTCTCGTATTCGAATGCCTCCATGACTGGAAGATCTGGATCTTCGGAGCGGTGTACATGTTCAGCGTGGCCGCGACGTATGGCCTGGCTTACTTCGTTCCGCTCATTCTGAACCAGAGGATGGGTTACAGCGGCGCGATCAGCCAGCTCATGTCGACTCCGCCGTACTTCTACGCCTTCATCCTCGCTGTGGGTCTCGCCACTGTCTCAGACCGCTGGCGTATGAGGTCGCCCTTTGTCATCTTTCTGCAGCTCAATGTGGTGCTGGGTATCACCTTGACGCGCTGGGGGCCAAACACTGGCTCCCAGTACCTGGGCCTGTTCTTTTGCATCGGTGCATCAATCGTCAACGGCCCTATGATCGTCATCTACGCCCAGAATAACGCACCGACCCGTGCGAAGAGGTCCGTCAGTTCAGGGCTGCAGCTTTCCTTCGGTGCTCTAGGAGGGATCATCGGATCGACAGTCTTTCGGTCCCAAGATGCTCCCACCTATACGCCGGGAATCATAGTTGTGCTTTGTTTCTCTGCAGCCATCATTGCCATTTGCAGCCTCATGAATATCTATTTGAACCGGCTCAACCGGTTGCAGAAGGAAACCGGTGTGGTTCTGGAAGGTCAACGGTCGTTCCTCTACACGCCATGAGCTCCTTTAATGGTAGCCAGCAGAATCATGTACTAGGACCACGTACCACTGCAGAACGAGATGAGAAATATTTGAAAAAGACGACTTGTTTCCTTTTAATAAAGTATTCAAACCATACCATACTAGTTGCACGCATTGAGCGGACAGTAGTGCTCTTTGGGTTACTCGGAAGTCAATTCTCAGTGGTACTGAAAGCAACAGTTCGGTCATCGCCTTATAGTGTAAGGCATCGCATAGTTATGTTCATGAATTCCGACACTGGACATCAACACTGTACTCACTGCTCACTTCCCTCTCCCCTGTCCTCCACGGGAGATCTAGCTTTGCTTCTTGTACAGGAAGCCACCGACTGGCTTCAGAAAGTGAGCCTTGGTTTCAACAGTGATGTCCTTCGTGGCGGCTTGAAATCTCTTGACCTCGGGACTTTCGATATGAACCTTGAAGTAGTGGTCCTGACTCTCGTAGACGCCCAGGAATCTGACGGTATCATTGTCCTTTGGATCCGGGTACACGCTGAACCCGAGCGTTCCCGAGTCACTCTTGCCGGCTTCAACAACCTTCCGAAGGGCTTCAAGGCCCTCAGGGCCGGCCCCGGACTTGAAAAACAGCTGCAAAATGCTGACGAAAGGGTCTGACAAGGCCGATACCTCAGGGCGAGAAAAGCCAAGTTCACAGTCAGCCCCGAGAACTAATGTCATAGCACCATCACCAAGCTCAGCCGTCTGGAGGCTCTTCGCCACCCTCTGGACCGTCTCCTGTTGGCAATGAAGAGCGAATGCGTCGCTGTTCTGGTATCTTCACCAATCGTGAGCTATCACGCGATGTATCGCTGGGGAACATCTCGGGCACTCACTCTTCGACCACGTATAGGCTTCCGGGATCAGCGGCATCCATCCCATGGGGCACGGCCACCAGGTACTTGAGAGTCCCCGATTCTTTCTTTTTTGCGACGGATGCTGTCTCCAGGAGGTCTTCAAGTATCTGTCATTCATCAGATATGTGCACATGTTTACGACTAGCTGGGCTGGACCAACACTGTCTCTGAGCGCTTTGCTTTTGAGTGGAAAACACGCGACAACGGACGCCATGGTGAATATCGACAGGGGTGCTCTTGGGAATGGCGTAGAGAGTGGATTTCTGCTATCGTTGCTAGTCTTTGCAATCGCTTGAGAGTTTCGCCGTAAAGTGGAATTTAGACTGATGTTTAAGTCTCCAGTCAAGAGCATGTCAGTGGTGTGCTTGCGTAAAAGCGTGTTACGTGGCTTTTATAGCCGAGGGACCACCTCTAGGAAGACTGGACGTCAGGCAGAGCAGAATTGCCTCTTTTGGTGTGCCCTCTCCAGAGTGCCAGTCTACAAGCGAAACTATAGACTCCCACCTCTTAAATATATTGGAGGTGATCAGCAACGTAGGAACTATTGTCCAGACGTCTATATCTCTTGCGTACCAATAGTCGCCTCTGCCGTTCCCCGTTTCGAGTGAAATGCAAGACAGAGTGATGCACCGGTCAACCGTCGGCTAATTATCTGGCCCCGGTCCGCATGTAATAAGTCTGTAAACTAGTACGTCAACCAAGCCTCAAGCCGTCAACAATGTCTACTGATCATCACTGAAGAGCGACTGGTTAATATGTCTGGGGCTTTAGCGTGTCAAGGCATTCACGTTCTCGAGCTGGCTCTTGCTGTCTCGGACGAGTGTGCTTTGATAAGCTCAGCACGTAGTCCTCTCTGTGGTGAATCTGCGGATCAATACCTCCTGTAGAAAGCTACGTGCCCCAGCTATTAAGAGTTACATAAACAGTAGGCATAGCTTTGCCCCAAAGTCTCGGCCTTGCAAATTCACTTACCGACGAAGCAAACGGGCTCCAGCGGCGAGACCGGGCGCTCCGCTCTGAAGGGGGTAGGTACTCGCCTGACCAGCCATCTTTGTGGTTATGGCTGGGTTGGTAGCCGGTCTTGTAATGGCTATGATCAACATGAACAGGGAGAATTGCAGCTCTTCCACGCACTACGTCACTGGATAAGCTGAGGTTAAAGGTAGGTCAAAAGTAGGGAGCCCCGAGCCGACCGATCTTCAAATGCCACCAGACAACCATATTAATACCCTGAAAGGTGTAGACGAGGTGCTTTCTGCCATTCAGCCCCAGGTCCTGAAGACGCCGGTGGTGGGTTATGTCCCATGTTTCCATTGCCACTGTCGTAGAATCACATGGGGTCATGGGACGGCCCGCGATGTGGCAAGCTATGGGTAGAGCCCGTTAGGGGTACAGAAAGTAAACGAGTGGCGAGTAGGTAACGTATTTAAGATACACTGGCAGCTAGGCTCTAAAGTACATGTACAAGTAGTCGTGTAAGTAGCCCACCAAAACTAGTGCTGTTGGGTCACAGCCATACATGGAAGTTCAAAGGCCGACTGACAAAACGAACGTCTAGAACCAATAATCCTCTTACATCTATCATCTGGATCTATGCCACAGACTAGTGAGGTTCCTCCTAAAACCCCGTTAACTTCTCTTCCACCACTAAGATCCCTCAGGGGATGAGGGGGATAGACTCTGGAGGCCCAGACTCTGGGACGATTTCTACTTGTATCGTGTAAAAGCCATGGGCCTGTCGGATGGAAAGGGGAGTTATGATGCCCTGCTTATTACTCGAGGTGGATACCCTGGGACCTGGGGTACCTGGGGACTGGGGTACCTGGGGACTGAGGCGGACACAAGGCTTCGGACTACGTAACCGAGGACAGTAGGAGGAGTCCTCGGCCACCATGGTTGTGGCCTGAGGTCAACATCTGTCAACTAGTAGGTATTTGAGAAGGCTTCATCCCGCATAACCGAGGGCAATAGAGTGCAAGCTGGCTTATGGCATCGTTCCTTACAAATATTAGGCAGAGAGGTATTCTTTTAACCAAATCTATTTAATTGTGAACTCTGATCCTGGCCTGTTAGACTCGAGACTAGACTTGAGGCATTGGTGACTGAAAGGCCCCAGTTCCTAACCATACTATCCCCTTGCCTTTGTACCATCATGCCTTCTGTCGTAGAGAGATTCTGTAGTCGGCTGACTCCGGCTTCCGTTCCCGTCGGAATAGTGTCACTGGTAAGTCACCGCTGTCTAGTATGCGGGCACGGCATGTCTATGTGGTCCCTTTTTTGGCGTTGGACTCTGGATGCTGAACTTGGTCGTCTAGTGGGCATTATATGTGGTCACTTCCGTGATTTACAACCTATTCTTTCATCCATTGAGAAGGTATCCGGGCCCAAAGCTCTGGGCTGCTTTCCAATTCCCATTCTCCCTGGCCTGGTTATCTGGACGCGGACACAGAATCATACTCGATCTGCACCTCAAGTACGGAGACATTGTCCGCATCGCCCCGAATGAACTCTCGTGCGGCTACCCAGAGGCATGGGAAGACATCTGCGGCCACCGGAAGAAGGGCGAGGACGAGAACGGGAAGGACCCGGCCTTCTGGAGAGGTGATGTCCTGACCATTGTCGGCTCTGACCGAGAGCGACACGCTCGCCTGCGAAAGATTGTGGCACATGGCTTTTCCGCGCAGTCTATGCTGGACCAGCAGCATGTCTTTACGCACTATGTGGACCTCATGATGGACAGGCTCCATACAGCAACGGCCAAGGGCGAGCCCCAGGACATGACGTCCTGGTACAACTGGGCGACATTCGACATGATCGGCGACCTGACTTTCGGCGAACCGTTTGGTTGTTTGGACAAGGCCCAGCATCACCCATGGCCCAGATTGATCTTTCAACACATCAAGGGGATCGCCATCGCGACGTCTCTGATCAGGTACCCATTTGCTAATAAGCTTATTGCACAGCTGACACCCAGGTCTGTGGCCAAGGACATAGCGGGCCACTGGGAGTTCACTAAGACGCAAGTGGCCAAGCGTATGGCTTACAAGGATGCACGGCCAGATTTTATGATGTCCATCATAAACGCCCACGAAAAGAAGGCAAGTTATCTTGTGGTTTTCTGTGATCCTCACAGGCGACGCTAGGCAGATCCCTGACTGCAACCTAGAACATCTCGCACGAGGAGATCGTCGCCAATGCCAACAACCTCGTGGTCGGCGGGTCCGAAACGACGGCGACCACGCTATCGGGGGCGACATACCTGCTGGTAACGAACAGGCCGGTCTTGGACAAGATCTACGCCGAGCTGAAGGCCAGTTTCACGCACCAAGACGAGATCAACCTCATCAGCGTCCAGAAGCTAGACTACATGCTGGCGGCGCTTAAAGAGTGCCTGCGCATGTACCCGGCGGTGGCGTCGGCCATACCGCGCGTCTCGCCGCCCGGGGGCTCGACCGTACGGGGAGAATGGATACCAGGCAATGCAAGTAACCACCTCGCCACGGCTTGAAAAAGCATAAAGCGCTGACAGTCGACCTCGTGCCAGACCATTCTTCAGATATGGCAATGGCCAATGTACCATAACCCCCGACTGTTCAAGGATCCCGAAGTCCTGGTCCCCGAGAGGTGGCTCGGTGACCCGAGGTACGACAGCGACAAGAGGGACGCCGTGCAGCCATTCTCCGTCGGTCCCCGCAACTGCGTGGGCAAGAAGTGGGTTTCTTTCGTCGTGTCTGCTGCGCAAGTAATGTTACCGTATCTTCCACTGATATACGTTGTCGATGCAGCCTCGCCTACGCCGAAATGCGCCTTATCTTGGCAAAGATGATTTGGAACTTTGACTTTCAACTTGACCCTTCCAGTGAGGGGTGGATGGATAGGAACCTTCTCTACTTCCTCTGGGAAAAGCCGCCACTGTATATCCGTTTGGTGCCTAGGGATACTGAGGGAGAAAAGGGGGCTGCAGCCATTAAGTGATCTTAGATATCATCTCGGCCAGGTATGCTATAATAAGTATAGGGAGATTATAACATGAAGAGGAGGTGAGAAACGATCCCCGACGCCCTGATCCATGATGCGACGGGCTTGCTTGTCTCCAAAGCTGGTCTAGATCTGCAGAAGTGCCAGGATGAGGATGGATTCGCGGATGCTCCGCGTCCAACAACACACATGCATTGCGACGTCAATGGTCTAGAGGTGGGACTCTCCAGTCGACGACGCTCTAGTTTCTAGGCGCCATGGACGGTGATCGAACTCACCAAGGTTCGCCCCCAGCGGATGGACTGATAAAAGCTTCCGATGATGATCTTCTGAATTGCGTTACGACCGCCGAAGGCCTGAGCCGAGCCTTGACTGTTCACTTTCTGCTCGAGGCCTCATAGCCCTAACCCGAACCAGAACTAGAGCAGCGCAAGGCGGCATAGCGAGAGTTTATCTGACAACGCTGCCCTCGCCTGATTACAGGGGCGGATCGACTGCAAGTTTTGCATCGTGCCATCTCTGTTGATTACGCAACAACTAGTGTTTAATCGATGTACACTGCTATATGCGTCCTTTGCTCGAACACTTTCCCAACCATGTCCCGACAACACGCAACTAACAATGAGATTTTGGCTTCTAGGGTTGCTTATTAACAAGATAGACAAGCTTTTCACCCCGAACCTTCCCGTCCTCCAGATCCTTCAAGCCCTTTGGAATGCCTTCAAGACCGCCAGCTGCAAGTCGATGACGGTGTGGTTTTACGAGGCCCTATGGCAGCATCTGGTTAGCTGAGAAGTCTTTCTGCACACTTATCCTCCCGCCATTGATTGCTCCACGACAGTCAGCTCAAAGGTGGCAATGCACAACTCGGCTCACCCTTCTGATCAGTCCCTCGGCGATGCCGTAAAACTTTTTGCCAAACTCAAAGTCCTCCTTGCTTCCCGGCATGAGGTCGGAGCCGAATTGGATATCCTTGCCGAAGACGGTGTACATGACTGTGGTTGTGGACTTGACGTCTGACCTCGGACATTGTTTCGGGTTAATGGTGCCGTACGCCGGACTCAGATCCGGAGAGTCTGTGAGTGCGTCCCCGCAGATTCGGGCCGTGCCCTCGGCGCCGATAGTGTCCCAAGCATATCTCAACTTGTTGTCCGTGTATCTGCGGACTTTGGCACCCACGTCCGCATCCCTGTAGTCAAGGGCCAGGTCTGCTCCGAGTCGTTTGACGTAGTCGAAACTCTCTTCCCCGCATATCGTGATAACAGAGTACCCAGAGCTAAGTTGAGACCAGGTCGTCAAAACCGGGCTTTACAAGCCTGAGAAGTAGAAGGATCGGGGAGGGGGGCTTGGTTGGTACATACAGCTTTGCGAACTGGATCGCCAGGGCTGCGGTAGAGGTGCCGCCACCATAGATCAAAACATGTTCATGCCTATTTCTCTCTGAAGGAGCCGAGGCCGAGGGGAGATCGAGTTGCATGGCCTTCTGGTACAGGCCCTGTCCGACAGTGATGGTTCCCAGGCCGAGGGTGGCCGCCTGGGTAAAGTCCATGCCCTCGGGAATCCTCATCTGCAGGTCCCCCTTGACGACTGCGACCTCTGCAAAGACACCGCCGTCCGGGTTGACTGGATTGGCGCCGTGGGCGCACCCAAAGATCCTGTCTCCGGGCCGCCACGACTTCTGGACGGCACTACCCACGGCCTCGACGATGCCAGCATAGTCGCACCCAACGATGCACCCGGGCTTGGCACGCTTGTACCTGACGTTCTTCCAATCGGTGGGGTTTAACGCCACGGCGACGGGCCTGACGATGACGGAGTCCTCGTCGAGCTTGGGACGCTGGCGTTGTGTGTCGATACCCGCTCCGTTACCGTCGAACACTACCGCCTTCATAGTCGAGTTCTGGCGGGTATGCATGGCAACACCACTGCGTGACAGAGAGACCACGCCGTTCAGGCTCGAGCCTGCAAATCCGAAGTGCCGGGCCCTTGCAAGAGCTGCATGGCCTTGGGAAAGGAGTGGAACAATCCGGGAAGAAGCCATAGTTGCGGCGGTCAGCTGGATTCTTGAACCGAGTATTATCCTGTGTAGCACGCATATTTATTCTTTTCAGAACTAGGTGAAGAGCATGTGCATGTGTAAGTGTGGATATTACGCCTATTTCCGGCGTCCGAAGAGTGGATAGAGAGGCCGGGAATGCTTATCGAGCTCGCCTGACCTAGCTATGCCGGATGGCCCTCGGCAATTTGCGGTGCAGGGCTGGTCGACGTATTCTCACCCTAGATATTGAGTGATTCTGGTTCAGGTCCAAAAAGCTCGTCACTGGAGTCTTTGAAAGTCATTCACCCTTATGCATGCACGATCTCGCCATACATTGGGGTGGATAGGCTGGACCTTCAATGTTGGCGTGCTGCTCCTGGCATGTAAGCCCTTACCGTCCCTTATCGAACAACATGGCCTATTTCGCTTGTCAGGTTATTACGCATGGTACGGGAACGTTTACATCGCGTGCGATTTATTATTTAAGTTCCTAGTTGCCTTGGCTTGGCCAGCTTTGCTTCATCTCTTCTCTTCCCACCACAGTGGTTCGGGAGAAGGAGTTAACCAGAAGGCAACTAGTCAGCCGCAGACATAACCATTTCCTGACTAGTGCACTACGCTGTGAGAATGACTTTTGCGTTGTGTTGCGGGCAGCGGGGTAAATTGACCACATTTGGCAAATCGCCATGGCTGAGAGAGTGGTCAAGGACTTGGAGGTAATACTCCTTGACCCGTAATAGTCTCCACCTCGGCTATCAGCTACTGCACAGTGTAACATGCAGTGTTCCACACTCTCAAGCGGGCCGATACATTCATCACTCGCCTAGGCTCATCATAGTCTTGACTATGAAGTCCTGAGTGGCGGTGACCTGAGATGGAGGATTCTTAAGAGCCTATATGGTGTATTTATCCATTGCGATTGTAGTACCTGTACTATCCGTATCATCAAGCGCTTAAAGCTCAACTTTGAAGGTCTTCCACTCTATCTTCTTTAGCTCCTCCATTAAAAATGGCAAATCAGAACACTAGTATTAGTGAGACTTCTATCATGCCATCGCCGGCGTGAATAGCCCGAAGCTCCAACTGGACCTAGCGAACAAGAGAAGGGCGGCCACGCGCCGTCATGACAAAAGGGTTGAATCTTGAATCGCAGAAAGCGCGCTAGGTACGCTTGTCTTTGCTGTCGGGCGAGGAAAGTTCGTTGCGATGTCATCGTTACGGGTATGCCATGTACAAGTTGCAATCTGGATGGCATGAGTTGTTCTGTCTGGCAAAGGATGTGTCGAAAGTGAGAAACCTCGTCTCTATGCCCTCTGCTCCATCACTCCAAGCTAGGAAAGGAGAAATGCAATAATGCATTTACAGAAATGGGTCAAAGTTATCCTTCATTATTACAAGGGACCTCGATATAACCTTGTAGCCCTCGGGGGCCATCGACAGAGGACGTACAACGGAACGGGCTATGCCCGATCTAGGAGGACAAGCCAACCACGATACCACCTATGACGGGTGCCGTGTGGAGTCTGACCGAGAACAATAATCTCCTTGAGGATGTTGATCTGGAACGGCTCTTCACCACCCTTAGTGTGAGCCAACCCGCAATGTCAGTTCCTCCGCTCATCGAGATGAGCTGAGCGTGATTTGGAAACGCCCCTTGATAGAACCACTGGTGAAGGTCTGGTGACAAGACAGATCCCGTGGACGTTACAACTTTTAATTCGCTCAAGTTGAAATGTCGCCCTTTATCAGCAACGAAGAGAGAAAGGAACAATAGCATTTGCAAGGTCCCGACGATAACGAGGATCTAATCTCGAAAACCTACCTGGTAGGATCCCTCTGGCTCGTATTTCTGACAGGTATCTCAGTGAGGTTCCAAATACCCTGACCCTGTTACGCGATGGCGTTAAATATTGATAGGAAGAATGCTAAGCAAGAGAGTAGAAATCTCAGCCAAGTAGACTATTGCGCAAGGAGGCCAGAAGTTTGAAAGCCTGAGTATGCATGTATGAACATAAATAGGCTCGATTTTATTTAAGATACCACTGGTGTACGGTAGAATCCAAGACTTACGAGACCCAAAAAGGTACGCCACATGGCACGCCTTCGAGCTCACAGTTCACATGTAGTCAAGCTTTCCGATGGCGTCACCAAGATAACCAGAGAAGTACATAGTACCAGGATGTTGGCTGTTGATATCGCAAGGCCCGAAGAGACTTGTAGGCGTCTCATACTCGACCAGTAGCCCCGTCTTTGGATCGTATTGACCAATACGATTTCCAGGAACAACTGTGACTATGCTTCCCATGACGAAGTAAATCTTCCCGTCGGTGCCAACACGAATTGGGCCTGGCAGAGGCACTAAAGCTGAACTGCCCAAGCTTGGACCCCCGACGACGGTAGACTTCCCAGTCAGGCGCAGCTGTGCGATAGAGATCTCCGTGACCACGCCAGTTTTCGTGTCAATGGTGCCGAAGTTTCCGCTGCCGGTTCCCGTCCACCAGATGATGCCGTCATCGTTGTTCGGATCGACAGCGACACCCTGAGGCAGTGACAAAGGTGTTGGGATCTCATATTCCTTGATCTCCTTGGTATGGACGTCTATGGTGCCAATTCTGTTTCCAAGGAGCTCCGAGAAAGTCATGGTAGTGCCAGGTCCTGGCCGGATGATCAGAGGCGCTGAGAGGATGCGCGGCAGTTCGAACAGGCTGTACTCATAAGTGTCGAGGTCCAGGCGGCCAATAGCATTGAGGCCGATGGCTGTGAACCAGGCTCCACGATCGCGGTTCCCGCCAACATCGATCGTTACACGAATGCCCACAGGTAAATTATCGATCAGAGTGAGGCCAGTCCAGGGGAAGCGATACTCTGTCATGCTGCCGTCGGATGGATCGAGTTTGACCATATTGTTCCCTGCAACCTCAGAGAACCAAAGATTCCCGTCAGCGAGAAATTCCATTCCGCTTGGGAGACCGACTGGGTTCTTGAGCTGAAACCGCTTCTGCTCGCCGCTGGTAAGGTTCACTCGTTGAATGGCATTTCCGAGAATGAGCTCTACCCAAGCCACATCTGGGTGATCGGGGTGGAACTCGGTCTCACAGCCGCCACTCAGGAGAGGCAAGGCGGCGACCTCCTGAATGCCAGCTTCCTTCGCCCTTCGCTGGTGTCCACGCGGGAGGGCTCCAGCAGCGGCTGACGCCGTGACGGCTGACGCCAACGAGGCTGTTGCCACAGCAGCGAGAGCAGTTAATCTCATCTCAAATAAGGCCTTGTCAGGAAACAAAAGGGGGATTGTAGAAGACAGTAGGCCGTAAGAAGATCCTGGGGTGGTGTTCTTTGGATGACCTTGTCTGTTGAGCAGAAAGCCTTTTCTTCCAGGGTTATGACCAGCTTTTACGATACCCTAAATTCCTCTAGATGAAGGACTATGACAGCTCATTTCGCTCCCTCGGCTTTCATGATTAGTCTGGCTATCAAGGAACTAAGAGATGGCGTTCAACACGCTAGCCTTCTTTACTTCCCCACGGGGTTTGCGAGTCCCCCTCAAGGCGGTGACGAAATTAGTTTAAGAGATAAGCTGGGGGTTAAAGAAGTCGACTATGGATCGACAAAGACTTTTACAGATCAGGATAGGACAATTGGAGTAGCTTAAACTTTGCTTCTTCAACATTGCCGAGGATAATTTGTACAGTAGGCTGTATCATTGAACCTGAAGAAAAAAACCGAAGAAACCATTGTTCCTCTCTTGAAGCGCATTGGTAAAGCGAATGAACGTGGACTAAATGATAACCAGCTTGAAACCCTTCTTCAGGGTTTTGAGTCCAAGAGCCAACCGGGATGTGCATGTGAGTCAAGACATGACCCACAGAGTGGTCATGATTATCTTGCGGGATGAATGGCTACAAAGTTCAGTGGTCCCTGTTCCAGGGACCTGGGAGGAATAGGACTACGCAGGTTGAAGCTTTGTGGGCCAACCCCGAGTAGCCGAGGGTATCCGCCACCCTTTTGATGAGATGCAATAATAATACGCTAAAAGAGCTCCGACCGAGCTTTTCATTCTGTACTTGTACATGCTTACTGAATTCGGTCTGTCAAAAGGGAAGCCAACGCCCCACATCCCGGACCATGAAACCCCAAAGCACTAGAATATGACCATTCAGAACTGCGTGTCACATTCGCCCAGGGGGGGCTCTAGTGCTGCACTACACTGGATGAGACATACAGGTTACCAGCTTCCTTGATCGGATCTAGAATTGGTACGTCTGCGTTGTTCCTTCAACTTGAACATGCTACACTTCCATCTTCTAAAACCGGGTTCGGCATAAAGTGGCCCCTCCAACTTGGCTGGACACCCAACATGATCTTGAGGGATTATGCAAGCTTTGTAGGAGTACTCAAGCACATTAATAATACACTAGAGAACTCACACGGGAGCGTCGTGTGTACGAGGCCTCAACCGAATAAAAAGTTGCGGCTTTTCCCATAGGAGGTAAACCTTGTTCTGTTCGATCCAGTCCTGGCTTCGGGGATCCAGCTCAAAGTCGAAGTTCCAGACAAGCTTTGCCATAACAAGACGCATCTCTGCGTACGCGAGGCTATACAGAGACATGTTCAGATAAAGTTTTGTAACTCCTGAGTACTTCTTCCAAGTGTAGATAGAGGTACAATTAAGGGTGTACTTACTTTTTGCCGATACAGTTTCGTGGTCCAACCGAGAATGGCTGGCAGGCATGCCCCTTGTCGCTCTCATATCGCGGGTCTCCTGTCCACCTTTCCGGAATGAACTCCTCAGGGTCTTTGAAGTAATGAGGGTTGTGAAACATAGGCCAATTCCAAACGCCGATGATAGTCTGAACACACACCGAGTTAGCTAATAGATCAATTGCCGTGTAGGCCAAAGAGCGGCGGTAAAGAATCATTGGAGTTTCAAGTCGTCCAGGTAGTAGCCGATCAAAAGCTGCTCTGGGACCGGAGCACATACATTTCCAGGTATAAATTCCTTTCCAATTTGAATACCCTCGGGAGGTGTCTTGCGAGGAATGTTGGTTGGAACAGCAGGATAGACACGAAGCCCTTCGTGGAGGACAGCGAACATGTACGTGAGTTTGTTCACACTAATGAGGTTGATCTCATCCTCGCTTTGAAAGGTAGCCCGAAGCTCTTCGTACATCCTCTGGAGTTTATCTCGATTGGTCGCCAGGAGATATGTAACGCCAGCTAGAGTAGTAGCTGTGGTCTCGGAACCGCCGACGATGAGATTGTGAGCATTTGCATGCAGCTCTTGCTTGGATACACGCTAAAGGAAGAATAAAGCCCGGAATGTCAGCTTCTGTATCAAATATAAACTCGGGGAAATCTGGTATCAGTCCTACATTCTCTTCATGCGCCCTGATCATCGATTCCATGAAATCAGGTCGAGGGTTTGGAAATGCCATTCGTTTAGCAACCTGAGCAACTGTAAACTCGTGGTGTGTCTGTATATCTCTTGCCACCTTCTTGGGTGTCATCATCTTGATCAGAAGATCACTGAAAGGAAATCTGATGACAGCGGTTGAGATTGCAATACCCTTGATATGCATAAAGATTAACTTGACCCAAGGGTGGTACCTTTCTTCATTGAGGCATCCAAAAGGTTCGCCGAAGATCAGATCGCCAGCCATATCAAAGAGCGTCCAATTGTAGTAAGATGTCATCTCGACAGACTGTCCATTAGAACAAGCCTTATGCAGCCTATCCACAAGCAGAGACGCGTATTGCTGGAAGATAGGCTGCTGATTGACCATGGCTTGTGCGGAAAATCCATGTGAGAGTACCTTGCGTAGTCGCCCGTGTCTCTCACGATTTGAACCCACAAGTGTGAGCTTATCTTCACCATGCCAGAAGTCCGGATCTTTACCATTCTCCTGCTGACCGTGCTTGCGATGACCCATGACATCATCCCAGGCTTCAGGATATCCAAAGCTGAGCTGATTCGGGGACACACGGATAATCTCTCCGTATTTCAGATGCAAGTCTAGGATTTTCTTGTGACTCTGGCCCGTGGTCCAGGCGATCGAGAATGGGATCTGTGATATCGCCCATAATTTCGGGCCTGGGTACTTGCTCAGGGGGCTCAAGTACAAGTTGTAGAATGCACTTCCAATAAGATAAACAGCTGTCTGTAGGGACCTATGTGTTATCACTCTTGTGCTGAAATACACGAAGTGTCTCGTTCGTCAGACTGCTCAATACTGGGTCAAGATGACATACTGCAACTACCACAACGGTCAATAAGGAAGTAATGGTTGCTCCTCGAAAGAAGGTAGAAATGAGCGGGGAGGACATTGCGGGTATTCTATAGGCCAGTTTGCTTTGTCGTCAGGTTGTCCTGGAGTCGGGCTGAACGCAATGGGTTGCTGAGGCCTGGGATGGTGAGAGAGTAGGCTTAGCTCAAATGGCGGAGTGGTCTTCTTCTACAAGGGGTCTTTCTTTAAAAGGAGGTCAAACAATGGGTGTCGATCTCTGGTGACCTCGGCTTTCTTGAATTACAATAATCATTGCGAACTGGGGTAGGTGGCCTTTGTCCACTCATTTCAATGACAACCGCCGATCATGTCACTAAGAAATGTACTTGGATATGCTTATGGTTATGGTGTTCGCTGTGTCTCTTCAACCCGTGTCAGAAATACCGTGTATCTCGGCTTGCACCTGATAGATAAATAAATAGACTTATATCTACTTAGTACCCTTTTCATGCAGATCACAATCGAAAGCCGGGGTAAAAAGTAAGCTATACGTCGTTCGGGATATCTAAGAAGCTTGAAGCTCTCTCCGATGAGAAAACCGGGTACATGATTGTATCTTTGTTCTTGTAGCGTTTGGTGTCTTCCTTTATTACTTCTATGGGGCTGGCCGCTTGGGTTGGGCTAGAAGTCGGTGCCGAGGCAACTAGCAGGGTAGAGCAGCAATGTTCTGGTCTGGTCCAATGCGGGCCTCGGGTACCTTCATTCCACAACACAGGCCAACTAGTTTATATACGTACACCGATTGGAGGCACATCAGGATTCGTCAGGTGTGTCTCACGAAAACGTCGTCTGTTGCCTTACCAGCCCCCCAGCTATGGTAGTCGAAACTCCGCTCTCCGGGTTGCGCGTCGTTGAACTCGCAGGCCTTGCCCCAGGTAAGTCATCACGAGGCGTTGTTGCCCTGGCCTTTGTTTTGAATTGGACCATCTGTTCGGAACGGCGGGAAAAGCTTACACAAGAAGCACGATCACACTAGCACCGTTCTGTGGGCAGCTGCTCTCGAGTAACGGGGCGTCAGTTCTCCGCGTGGACCGACCAGGCCAAGCTGACAGCTCGGACATATTGACCTCTTACAAGTCTTCCATCACACTCGACTTGAAAAATAAGAGCTGTATTGGTCTTCTACAAAGCTTACTTGGGCAGGCTGATGTATTCATCGACCCATATCGCCCTGGCGTGCTTGAACGCCTCGGATTAAGCCCCACCACCTTATTGGATGCAAACCCGCGCTTGATCGTTGTACGGATCACGGGCTACCGCCGCGATGGACCATACAAGGATATGGCAGGGCATGATATCAACTACTTGGCAGTATCTGGCGTCTTGAGCATGCTTGGGCCGAACGGACAACCGCCCATGCCACCTGCGAACCTTCTAGGTGATTACGCTGGCGGTGGCCTCGTAGCATTTGCAGGTGTTCTGTTGGCTGTGATACATCGTGGTGCCTGTGGAGAAGGACAGGTTGTCGAAGCGAACATGGTTGATGGCGCATCGTACATCGGGACGATCCCACGTCTGCGCCAGAAAGAGCCTGTTTGGAATGCCCCACGAGGTACCAACCTCTTAGACGGAGGCTGTCCATATTACCGATGCTACGAGTGCCAGGACGATGGGAGCTTCGTCTCGGTTGGTGCCCTGGAAGGTCCCTTCTTCACGCAGCTGCTTAAGGGCCTGGAACTGAGCCCAGACCAGGTTGTGCAGCACGGGATGCGGCGTGAAGACAAGGCGGCCTGGCCGTTCATGGAAGCCACATTGGCGAGACGATTTAAGCAGAAGACAAGAAAGGAATGGGAGCGCATCTTTGGAGGTATTGACGCTTGTGTTTCCCCCGTCCTAAGCAATGAAGAACTGGAATCGGCAGGATATCCACAGCGACCCATGGTGCATCTGACGAAGAGCGCGAGCCTCCCTGTTGATTCGCCGTGGAAGGGTAGGCGTCTCAAGGCTGGCGACGGCGGGGAAGCGATCCTGCGTCAGTGGATGGGCTGGAAGAAGGGAAAGGAGTTTGACATTACTAATGGGATATATGTGGAATTGGGCGCGACTCAGAGTAAGCTGTAAAATGTTGTATAACCAGGTTCTGTAAAGGCACTTCCGCGGTTCCTTCGTGATTCACAAAGGACCTCCCCTAGAGAGAATACATGAAGGAACCTCCCTCGGAAATACTTAAAAAAGCACTCTCAAAGTCAAATTCGGTTGGCACCACAGTGTCAGGCTCAGTCCAGCTGCCAAAAAGGGACGGGCAAGAAATAAGCTCGTGAAGTGGTGGGACTTCTCCATAAAGCTGCTCATCCAGCGGCAGCTCCCACTGGCACTGGACCATGTCTGTTGGGAGCGTTGTTGTTGGCGAGGGGCTGCCCTCCACGGGGTTATTGACTGACAGAGAGGCGCTCGGGCTCGGATACATGCATGCTGCTGCGACCTCACTTGGGTGCATGTCCATGGAAACGTTGTTTGTCAGGGTTTCACACTGTTTCGAGTTGGATCCATCATTCATCATCCACAGTGAGGAGCCTGGGACCCGTAGTCCGGCCTTGGCCAGAATAGATTTTAGGAAACAAACGGCGTAGTCGGCTGAGGAATAGATACTCTGGAGCCTCTGCAGCACGTAGACCGACTGGTAGAGACGGCCAAAGCTCAAATTTCGGTCTTTCTCATCGCCCTCTCTTGAGCCCAACAAGTGGACGAGTGACACAGACAAGAAGGCTGGTACTGCAGTTGTGGTAAGGTATCGAAGCTGGTCGTTCCGCTGCAAGTCGAAAGCCAACTTGATCATCTCTACGGCCGGGTCTAAGGCCATGTCGGTGGGAACGGATCCCCAGTCACCCGTAATTGGGTCTCGACAGAACACTGATGGCCTGCGCAGAGCACCCAGTGCAGCTAGATAGATCATGTGAAGTTGAATCCGATGGAACCGCCCGATATCCTCCTTCCAGTCGGCGGTTTCTCGAGGCAACGGCGGTTCATCTCCGGGAACATACAATACACGAGCGTTTTGCTTCTGGATCCATTCGCATAGTTCAGCCGCACACTGGGCTAGGGTGTTGATCTCGGCACTTGTTCTCTTGGGCTTGAACGGTCCGAGATACTCTGACCCGCCGTAGTATGCACCGACAGAGGTGTATTGAGTGTGTAGGATACGTCCCACAGTGAGACATAGTCGGGCAAGTTCGATGCTCGTTATTGCCGATTCAAGCTTTGAAGCTTGATCCGGGCAAGGAAATTTCGATGAGCGGAAGAAATGGATCAGAGTGGCCGACGGCAGAGTGAGGTCGAAGTCCGCCTCACACAGCATGCTGACATTGTAGTCACTGTCTCGAATTCGAGGAGGGCGGCGAAGACCCAAGGCAAGAAGCAGATCTCTCGTGAAGCAAGACCACCAAATCCGCCTTTGCAAGCTTGCAACCCGTTGTTGTTGTTGTTGCTGCTGCTGCTGCTGCTGCTGTTGTGGAACCCCCGCTGAAGCTGGATCGCGATGAAAACCAGCAACTTGGGCGGTCGTAAGGGCCGTGCCCATCCAGTACCAGGTGTCCTTGTCATCATCTGGAGCATCATACCAGTATGTGATGGCCAGGAGGGATTGAGTCAGCGCTACCCGGTCCCTCTCGTAATTCAGGCTGTACAAGATGCGGACTCGATTAAAGAAGTCCATGCGAGCTGACTTATGTGACGAATACCCCCTCGCCAGGAGATACTCAATATCGACGAATGCAACGGCTACAAACATGATGGCTTGGAATACAAGCAAGCTGATTGGGTTGCGACCGTCGTTTGCCACAACGGCTTCGATGAGCTCCTCAACATCAATAATAGGCATCAACGGGTACACAATGCTGATGAAAACACGGATAAGCTCATCACGCAACTCATCATCGGGTATTTGTAGGCAGCTCTTTGAAACCATGTAGTGCAGGTCTTCACTATCCAGGTGCCTGGGGACAGGCCTGATGTAGCTCGGAAGCCGCAGTGGCTCACCAGTCCCCGGAGGGCAGCGGGGATTGTGATCCAAATGATGGTAGTTGGAAAAGTGTGGATGATGTTGCGGGTGAAATCCTTGAGGCTTGAGAGTTCCAGGCTCTTGTTGAGAACATTGCTGAGATAGTCCAGGTAACGACAGCAGGGGGGATGGAGGGGGACTCTGCAGCCGCGGGATGTTTCCTTCTGGTTCCTCCGACAGTTCGTCCTCGACGTCAGACGGTGGTTTCGATTCCTCAGGAAGCGGCTGCTGTTGTGCTCTCGGCGTTTCCCACGGTTGGCAGTAGATGACAGACACCCCGTACAGCTCCGATTCCCCTTCTGCATCCGCTGTGCCCCCCTTATTTCCGTCGTCCAGTGTCGCCAACAGTCGCCATTCCTCTCCCGCTGTTGCGTGCTGCGAACAACTTTCCTGCACATAGCGGCTGAACCGCCGGGACGCATCGACTGCTTTGCCGTTCCGGACAGAAGAAGGCCTCCGTCCGCGCTGCGATTCCTTGACCTCGCATACGATGTCATCTATGCGGCAGTTTGTGCAGGGCATGCCACCAACGGTCACATCACAGCGCACTTTGCGATTGCGGCAGGATAAGCAGGCTTGTGTGGCTCGCCGCTTCACTGGAGGAGCATGGGAGCAGGCCGGTCGGTTTGGTGACAAAGGGCGCTTCTGGCATTGTGTCAAATCCATATTGGTGGTGATTTCCAACACGCTGACCAAACCACGAGCCGGCTATCGCTAATTTAGGCGATGTCCATAGAGATGTCTGCGGGAGACGGTGGTTTGGCGGTCGGTGGAGAGAGGAAGGGGGTGGGAGGAAGGGATGGACTATTCAAGTAGGTAATGAATCCCGGACTAGCGTTTGGCCCCGTCTCGTTGGTTCTATCCCGCTGCTGGCTTGGAGACAATACAGAACGCAGACTACCTAGCCAAATTGAGGCAAGGGTCCAGGCTACTGACGGTGGTCAACGGATCGCCACTGACGGCATCATTGTATGGTAACCTTTTCCCCACATCCCCCTCCCTTTTCCCCTCGCTCCGCATTCCCTCTTGCACAGTCATCACTGTTTTGGTTCCAGAACCAAGTAGCTGGACCTCTTTGAAATAATAGTCCTCCTGGTGTGCCTGGCAAGCATTTGCAACGTGCCTCAGAGGCCAACCACTAGGTTGCAATAATGCCACAACGACGTACGCAGCTGGGATCTCGTGATAAAGTGGAAATCGAGTACTCGCAATTCTACGCGGCGTGGCCGGTTTAAGCATAGCTGCGAAATAGATCCGCACCCAGGGCTTACGATGCACCAACATAAAATTAGTCGTCGATCACCAGCTTCTCTGCAGCCACTTTGCCCTTGGGCGGTCAAATGGCACTAACTGGTTTAGCCTGAAGACGAGAGTCAGACTAGCACTTGAGGAGGGTCACCTGCATTTCCTCTGGAATCTGGATGGAGCGTGCAGTCGAGGATATGCCGTCCACATCATGTTCAGCGTGGAGAGTGTCAACATGCTGTATGTTTCTGCTCTCCAGTCGTCTGAGAGGACGAGAACGAAGAGATAATGTTGGGTATAATACATGTATGATGTAGATAGCAATCCTTGGTTTGACCTTCAGTTGAACCAGGTTCAAACGGCCATGCTTCCGATTCGTACCTTCAGAGTATCGCCCTTGCCCGGGCCAATGTAGAAGTGATATTCTGATCCGTTCATAGTAGAGTCGCTGGAAAAGAACAACGATAGGGTCTCACACTGTACCAGGCTGCGACCTTGTTACTCGACTTGGAATCCCCCCAGTGCTGCAGTTTGCATGAGGATCTTTCGGATTTGTACGTTCACACCCAGTACGACGTGAAATACAGCATCGCTCTTGGGCGAGATCGGCGGAATTGTATGGACGTGAGGACTGATAACCACTCGTGCACAAGGAATGGTATAGGTTGGAAGTTGGAATTGTCTATTGCGCAGCTACTGATAAGTTCCTTAAGCGAACTCACCGCCATCAACACGGAAGATTTCGCCTGAAGTATGCGTGCTCTCAGGCCCTAGAAGCCAGGTGATCATCGACGCCACCTCCTCAGGCTGTGCGTACTTGCCAAGCACTGAAACTGGGGGAGGAGGTTTATCACCAACCACACTCTTCATCAGAGGCCCGTGAGTTCCTCCAGGAGCCACAACATTTACCCGAATTTGACGAGAGCCATAGTCATGCGCTGCGCATCGGGTAAGGCCGATGACAGCATGCTTCGATGTGGCATAAGGAGCGCAGCCTGGGGCGCCTCTGGACCCTTGGTTCGAAGCGATGTTGACAATGCTTCCTCCATCCTGAATATGACGAAGCTCGGCGCGGAGACAATGCATCATTCCTATAATGAAAGCGAACATCAGTAGAGGTCGTAAGATTATACCTTGACCAAATTTTTATTTCCCACAGGCCGCGTGCATGGTTCGAGAGGGGCATGGCCAGCTTCGGGAAGCGGCCGCAGAGATAGAGAATGCACCATACCGGTGACGTTAACGCCCAAGACAAGATGCCAATCTTCATCCTCAAGTTCGGCAATGGGCTTTTGACCATGGTACTTGCCGACGGTCCCAGCTGCGTTCACAGCACCATCAAGTCGGCCGAATCTTTCAACAGTTGCTTCGATCCACTCATTAACTTTCTCGGCATCGCGTATGTCGACAGAGCTGGTATATACTGGCCAGGATTTGGCCTTGAAGTCTTCCTCTACCTGAGCAAGAGTCGCAGGATTGCTATCTGCGATGCTCAAGCTGGCTCCCCTGCTGGCTAATAGCTTTGATGTAGCCAGCCCAATGCCCTGAGCGCCTCCAGTGACGGCAATCACCTTCCCATTGAAGGCCATGAGGTTGAGAGCTGGTAGGGCCTGCGAACAGCAAGCCTAAAACTGGAGATGTGCGAGTCTGTTTGATGAACTTGGCTCAATTGGAAGCCCAAGCACGTAAGAGCAAATATAATAAAAAGCTACGTCAATAGCGAGGGCTCAGGATTCTCGTTCCGAGGTGTCATTAACATGCCGGGCCGAGGCATCCTCAGTATAAGCTAGGACCATCCGTTTTCTGAATGCCGCGCTGTTGTAGGCTTCCCAGATAATTCATCGCGCGGAACAACCAAACCCTTTCGTCGTCCTGAAGGAGACAGTCGAGGCCAGTGACGGAATGGGCCATGGGCTGATGCAGTTTGTCGAAGAAAGAAAAGGGCGGTATGAAAGGAGATTTCCAAGAGCCCGAGCGGCAAGACCCTCAGGAGCAAAACACCGAGCAAGGTATTGTGGTGAAGGATAGGATAGTGCGATGTCGTCTGCGAATAAATTCACATTGAGCGGTAATTAGATGCCGTACATTATTCCTCGATGACACAGAAGGGTGTGACAACGTTTCATGACCATGTATAAAGCGCACATACCCTCGGCAAACTGGGCTTCCCGTTGACTTTCTATTAGTGGGGTAATGCCTTGTTCGTCTTCCATGAACTTCAGAAGCTGAACTCGTATGATCAGTCTCACAACAACTCGACAATATGGCATACACTGGAGAGACTGCTTACATTACGGGTAAGTGAGTAGGATAAGAGACTTTTGGAGCGCGCCAGTTAACTCGGTGCAGGAGGTGCCCGTGGCATTGCCTTGTATCTAGCAAAGGACCTTGCAGCTAAAGGGTGAGTGACCAGTTCACTGAATTCTGTATGTGACTAATATTTTCCTAGGATGAAGGTAGCGCTGGCCGATTTCAATTTTGAGGGCGCACAGAATGCTGCAAAGGAGCTCAATGCCTCTGGCCACGTTGCCATTGCCATTCAAGTAGATGTAGGAGACTGGGAGTCGCAGAAAACGGCCTTTGAGACAGCGGTGCAGGCTTTCGGTCGGATCAACTACGTATTTCCAATTGCAGGTATCACTGAACGGCCATGGCTGCCTTTCCAACCCTGCGAAGAGAAATATGTAAAGCCGGATTTATCCGTGATGGATGTGAATGCCACGGGTGCATTATACACCTGTGCTCTGGGGGTTCAGCATTTTCTAAGACAGAAGCCTGATAAATACGGCTTTCGAGGAAAAGGTGAGAGGTCATTAAGTCCGCTTGACATGGATCTGACTCAAGATTTGATACAGTCATCATTGTGGCATCTGCTTGTGGCTTTTACTACATACCAAGTCTCCCCGTGTACACGGCCTCGAAACAGTACGCGTCCTATCTTTGCGACCTGAAGCTGCCCTTAGTCCTTAAAATACCTTACTAATCCAAACAGTGCTGTCGTTGGCTTTGTCCGTACATATGGCCGACACTCTACTGCTGAGCAGATCACCATCAATGCAGTGTGCCCCACCATCGTTAAGACCGGCATCTCGGTTGGTGAGTTTTACGATAAGGCAGAAGCAAAGGGCCTGCTAGTAAGCATTGAGCACTTGGTGGAGGGCGTCGAATCTCTCTTGGGAGATTGTCAGACCTCTGGGGAGGCGCTTGAGGCATTGCCTGGTACCGGCGGGCTTAGGATTAAAGAACGAGCGGAGTACACCAATGATGGGTGCCGTGAGAGCGTGGAGATGACCGAGGAAAGGACTTTCAATGCTTTCAAGGCTCTTAGAACTAAGTCGCAGCAGTAAATTGAACTGCCGAAGTGTAAATGACATTTCCAATAGAATCTCAACAAGACCGTCGCGTGATCACACATTATGGAATCCAGCAGTCAATCTGTCCCTTGAGTGGGGATGCGGGAAAGACCAAGCTAGTCCGCAATTGGGTGCCCAAGGCGAGGTTCTCCCAATTTGAGTCTTACAAGTACAACATTCCAGAACACCTCATGCTGAATATCGTTGAAGCCCCTGGGCCAGACGGGCATACTATTGAGATCTATCATCTTGTGAAGAAAGACACCAATAATCGAAAGGCTTCAGCGGCTGTGCTTCATGTTCATGGAGGCGGGTAGACAGCAGTGAACGCTCGCCATGTACCCCTTCTCTAGTCGCCTTTGTCAGAGAGTCCTCCGTGCCTATGTTCTCAGTGGAGTACCGCCTTGCTCCAGAGTGTCTGTATCTAGGCCCTTTGGAGGACTGTTGGACAGCGCCGCAGCACCTCTTGGGCGAGAGTGCAGGAGGCGGACTTGCTGCTGGGCTGGCGATACTTGCCATGAGATCGCGTCCTGTCACCCCTACTGGCGAAACAGATTCTGATCTACCCGATGCTGGATGATCGGACCACGACAGACCATACCAATGGCCTTGCGGTCTTCAGTACGAAAGACATAGTGACAGGATGGAGTGCCTATCTTGGCAATTCCTATCTAGCGTCCGACATACCTGTCACATCTTCGCCCGGACGAATCATTAATGTTACGGGATTACCCCCGCTATACCTGGATGTTAGTCAATTAGATATCTTTCTACATGAGGATGTCAAACCACGGCAACATCTCGATACCGGAATGGAGACAGAGCTCCACGCCTACCCTAGAGTATTACACGCATTCCAACGCTGGGCGCCAGACTCATGCATTGTCAAGAAAGCCCTCGCTAACAGAACACGGGCAATGACTACTTTGTAGCTCTGAAACCAAAGAGTCGGATACAGTGACCCTCGATCTCTGCGAGTTCCTCACTCCACTCGACTCCACAGATTAGGGTTTCCCCGTACAATATCTAGGGTGTTGAGGGCTACTTATCCGAGGCAATCCACATACTGTAGGCATAAAGTACAGAAGTTACCGTATGGACGCTAATAACTAATAATCACCCCAGAATGACCACATGTTCACAAACTCCCTTCAAAAGCTGAAAGGCTGATGCAGTTGGTCCAGAAGACACCATCGCATTGAGATTTGCAAGCGCATCCGGTTGGGGGGTCGCGGACCATTCTAGTGGACAAAATAACATATAATGCAGATGTGGGATTCGTAGTTGAATTACATCTGGGGTAGGAAGGGATGATACGAATACAGGGCGCGACAAAGTTTGACAAGAAGCTGGGGGAAGTGGATCAAAGCTGGGGAAATGGGTCACAGCTGGGATAGCATACCAGCGGGTGTCAGTAATACCCGAGGGGTGGGGAGAAGGTCTGATCACCTTTAGGTATATTACCGAGGAGAATTAGGCGATTGACATTCCTTTGTCTGACCTCATCCCTAGAACGGAAAGCAATTGATATAAATGGGGTTGTGGCACGATATTAGTTAGGAAGACTTCACACGAGAGCTTACACGGCGGCGGGAGGCTAGACTTAATAGCTTCAGTTAAGATAGTAACCGAGGGATTGGATTAAATTAAGCAATACACTCGACACATTGTCTGCAACCCATTGCTGTGACGGCCCTGTGCAGGAGGTGTCTAAAAGTATTTATATTTGCAGAGTCCTGCCGCTGTTTTCGGATCATTTGTTGTCCAGACAAGGAGAAAACTCAGTTTTCATTCAGAACTCATTACCTCAATCCGGGACCATGTCTGTGGCCGAGGACAATACCAAGCCAGCTGCCAAGCATGAAGAATCCAGTGAAAATACTTCGGATGATATGCCTGTCATCACAGGCTTCAACAGGCGGGTTTTGTTTATCCTGGTCCTACTGGGATTCGGCTCCGCTTCTATGGGATATGCCGCCTCTATCATCGCTACGACTCTAACTCAGCCCTCGTTCTATGTCAAGCTGAACTTGACCAATGCAACAAACTTGACTGCACTGATTGGTGCTACAAATGGCCTCTTCTACACCGGAGGAGCCTTTGGTTCGATCTTCAGTGGCTATGTTGCTCATAAATACGGCCGAAAAATAAGTGCAGGCGCGGCAGCTTTGACAATCCTCATCTCGAGCGCGATCATTTGTGGCTCGACTCATATAGCCATGTTCATCACATTCCGGTTCTTCCAAGGATATGGTTGCTTCAATATGATGTCTACTATTCCGATGTGGATGGCCGAACTTGTTCCCCCGAAGAAGAGAGGCATGCTGGTCCAGATCCATCCAGCGATGATCAACTTCGGTTACGTTGTTGCCTCTTACACCGGAATAGGGTTTTACTACTTCCATGATCCTAGTAACAACCAATGGAGGGGCCCAATGGGCCTTGCTGGGTTCTTCCCTTTCCTGTTCCTCCTCGGCATCTACTGGATCCCCGAGTCCCCACGGTATCTTTTGGCCAACGACAAGACAGACGCAGCCTGGGAAATTCTTCGTCAACTTCACTCGCACCCAAGGGACCCGGAACACCTCTATGCGAAGAAAGAGCTCTACCAGATCCAGCAACAGATGCAGTTGGATAAGGAGTTCTCTGCACCGACCGGTTTCGGGAACTATGGAAGGATCGCTATGAAGAAATCTCTTCGAAACCGGGCTCTTCTTACCATGTTCGTGACCTTCGCCCAGATGGGGTCAGGCGCGCTAGTGATTAACAGTTGGTAATCCAAGAGTTGATGCCGGAAGACATGATACTGACGAGAATTTCAGATTATGGAGGCTTAATCTACAAGAGCCTTGGCTTCGGCGAAGAGGATATACTCCAGTTCCAAGGCGGCTACCAACTCTGTGCCTGGGTCATGAACACAGCCGGCATGCTGACCATTGATTTATTCCCAAGAAATAAGCTCATGTCGTTTGGTTTTGCTACCATGGTCGTCACCGTCATTATTGAGACAGCCTTGCAGAAGAATTTCCTTGGTACCACTAACCAGACGGGATTGAGCGCCTGTGTCGCGTTACTTTTTCTCAACGTCACATTATACGGTCTCTCCGTCGAGGGCGTTGGCTTCTTGTATATTGCTGAGATCTGGCCCTCGTACGCGCGCACAGAGGGATATGCTCTGGGCATGTTCTCTCTCTGTGTATCCAGCATCATTTGGACGCAGGCCGCCCCAACAGCATTTGCAAACATTGGATGGAAGTATTATATCATCTTTATTGTTGTGAATGCAGTTGCCTCGGCGGTGCTGTATTTCGTTCCGGATACTCGGGGCAAACCTTTGGAGGAGATTGCCGCTCTTTTTGGCGATGGTGACCAGGTTGCCGTTTATCAAGATGGAATACAGTCTGAGAAGCTTAGGGAACCGCACTGGGGCGAACATGGGATTGATCCTTGACAATCTGCAGACGAGTATTTGGGGAAGCCGGCCAAGCTATGACCTGCGGAGATTGAGATTCTGCAGCTGTCGGTACTAGTGGTTTGCGACTGTCTCTTCCTAATCTCATATAGATCAAACTCCTTGTCCCATGAATGCGCGCAGTTACCGAAAGTACATCAGTGGTATTACGTTACCTTCCGGGTCGAGTAATGGCTGAGCTAATCACCTAGCAAACAATCAAGTTTCCAAAGGGGTCATGTGCCAAGCCATCTACCGCTCCCAGTTCATGAGTTCATTATTGTGTCGGCAGCTCGGAGCCTTTATCTTGACTATTCTGCGCGGTTTGTTAGCTACAAAGAATGCCAAGACTAATAGGTGCCAGGCTGTTGGCCATACTGGAGGCCTTAGAGATCCAGGACTATAGATCAGACCATAACAATCGTAAGGATAACTCCATTCTCTAAATACAGTCTGGTCTCGAACCAATAGGCTGCAGACCGCCCAACACCACTGATGAGAAGTCGCCTCGAGAAGGCATTAAAACTTTAGTCAAGAAGCGAGCCCTCCCCGCGGACTAACCCAGCTCTCCACACACACCATGTACTTAGCTGTTCTGAAAGCCTCCAGTGCAAGATTGTGTCTAGGGAGTAGTTGCCGAGGGTATCATGCTGAGGAATGAGAGGATCCGAGGACGGCAGCTCTGGAAACCTTTGGGCACTGCCTGTTAAAATACAGCCAGGAAGTGTAGGAAATCAAGACTACCATATTGATAGAGAGAGAAGTGCTTTATCTTGTGGTCGAAGGGATAGGCTGTGAAGAATAAAGTTCAAGATAGGCTGATGACAATAGTGACAGGCAATTGGTCTGTCACGTCGGAATGCCATATGGGAGTGACGGATTGGCAGGCAATGGCAAGAGGCCACTGGTCCTATGACCTAGCCTATGTCCTCGGTACCAGCATATCTACAGAGCATCGGCGTCTCTGGGAGGACGAACTTGTTAGAACCTACCTTGCGGAGTTCGTGAATGCTAGGGGAACCAAAGTACCTGTGGAAGAAGCGTGGATTGAGCTTCGGAGACAGCCACTTGGGGCCTTGGCTTATGGGACATTGACACTTACACCATCCTAAGCCACGCCTGACATGCAGACGGTCGGTACCACAATGTGCTTCATGGGAAAGATAACTGCCTTTATCAATGATCACCAGGTCCTTGATGCTTTTGACTTTTGAAGGAGGAACACCTGAAGCAGAAGATTCCGAGATGGTATCTATGAGATATTTGGTAGGTGGAAGATTCCATTTGCGGGAATCAGCTAGATAACATGGCGAAACGAGTTATTCAACGACCACATTGCCCCTTGTAACAGACATTTTCACATGCCGCAGATCAATGCACAGTGATACTTATGGCGTTTTGCAGTGCACCACTTCTCGCATTGAAGCGCATCTGTAGGTTGCGTAAAGGTATTGTTCCTCAACTCCCCTCAAACGACCTCCGTCTTGTGGTTCAAATACCCCTTGTCCAGCCTCCATCAACGGGTATATTTTGGCCGGTGATCTGTTCGAAATTCAATACACATCGCACATATAAGCACATAAGTAGATGAGTGTACGACTGACATAACTTGCTCGCTCAGAAGCAAGAAACAGAACCTGGGCCGCGATTTCTTCAGGAATACCCGGGCGCCTCATTGAGATGACGGGCTGAGGCTCAGCTTGAGGGATTGCGTGAGCTTCTCCATCTTTAATGATTTTCTCAGCCGTGCCGGTGTCAACAAGGCCTATTGCCACAGTGTTGAAAGTAATACCGAACGAAGAGAACTCGTTTGAGAGAGATCGTAAGAGTCCAACGGCAGCCCTAGAAGTTTGATCTTAGGACATCGGGACGGAGCAAGGAGTTATTGATCATGTGGGGTTACGTACAGCCTAAAAGTGTTCCCCAGAACAATGTGATGCCATCTATGGGGCTCCAACGTGCAGACGCTGCCCAAGTTGATAAATCGGCCCCATCCCCGGGCCTTCCAATGGGGTAGAACGGCCTTTGCCAAATGCACAACACTGAGAACACACTGCTCCGAGCTTACGCGAAAGTCCTCCGCAGTGGCCTCTTCGAAACCGAACTTGATCAGTGACCTGACGTTGCAGACGACAACATCTGGCATGGAGCCAAATGCCTTCATTGATTCCGCAATTGCGGTCTTGACACCATCTTCCTGTGTCATATCCGCGGAAACATAAGCTGCTCGGGTGGTGATCTCCTGAACCAACTTGACGGTTTCTTGTAGGGGCTCAATTCGCCGCGCGACCACTAGGACAGCAGCATGTTGTCTTGCAAAATCCAGGGCGATTGCCTTACCGATTCCACTAGAACCACCCGAGACTAGGACGACTTTGTCTTTCAAGCCTAAGTCCATGTTGCTCCAATTTGATTTCGCCAATGTAAGTCGTAGTTTCAGTGGTATTGCTTTCTAGGCGGCACCCACAAAGGCCATAGGGTCGGGAAGGACTTCAGATAAATCTAATAGTGTTAATAAGTACATGGTTGTGTGCCTGTACGCACATTTGATCCACTTAAAGGATGCTGTGGATGCCCCCTTCCAAAAGTCTATGATTGCTGTGACATATTGCACATAGCCGAAGCATTGACGTCCTAGCACTTTGCCGCGGCTGGCTACTTCGTAGGAGGCAGTGGAAGTGCTAGAGATAACCGCGGCAACGCCAGCTCCCATAAAAGCTGCCATGAAAGCCTCGGGTGCTATTACGGACTCAATATCAAGGAATTAATTAAACGGATATAAGTGTATCTTTGTTGGCATGGAAATTCCTCCCTTGACAACGAAACCGTGCTTTTCAACACTTAGCAACATGGCAGCATTTGACGCTAGTAAGAGAGAATGGTTCCTAGAAGTTCCTATCAACCCAGGAACTCTCGAAAAGCGGCTAGCACTACGTGGACAACATATTGCGGATGCGATGCCCAAGGTCGAGGCTGGCATCATCACGCTGGCAGCGAGCATTTTATCCAAGCCCACCGAGGACGGCGATAACAAGGACATGATCAAAGCAATCGCCACAGTTGTTGCAAAGACCGAAGAAGAGGCCAGGAACATTCTGGTCGACGATGTGTATACAAGGGAAGGGATATGGGACTCGGATAAAATTCAGGTCTACCCATTGAGGACGGGCATCAGAACGCAGAAATGACAGAACCAGCGTGATGAGACGAACAGGTTTCTTATTAGAGAAGGCAGAAAGCTACTGAGCTTTGCGACGGCGTATTTATAATGTCGATGGAGCTCTTGTGATTCGGATTCTCATACGTGCTTGGGTTAATTCGTGACACGAGCATTCTCCAGCTTGACATCCTTTGTGGCTTTCTCGGAATACCTTACCTCACACAGAACCCCCGTAAGCGATGATGTTGATTTGTAATTTGGAAGGCGTGAAGTGAGAATGCTCTGGCCAAATGTGTCTGGTTTCAAAACCTCTTACATCTAATAGCATAGCCAATCACATCATCGCTCGGTCCTTGGGGCTACTGAGTGGCCCGATATGTGTCCTCTCTTGCATCCCATAGCCAGCCCGTTCGGACTTACGGGTAAACGCTTCCTGTGTTCTGGGAATCACTATGGAGGCCGAAACTCAGTCGCCGAGTGCGAAGCGCAGAAAGATGAGGAAGGGAACGTGGAGCTGCTGGGAGTGTAAACGGAGAAGGATCAGGTGTACGTTCGCTCCGGACCAGCCCGACACGGTCTGCATTGGCTGCGCTCGGCGTTGCACCCAATGCGTGCCGCAGGAGCAACCGTAGAAACGGTCGACTCCGGTCGGGCAAAGTCGCCTCATTGGGGGCCGCATTGAGCGCATGGAGGTCATGGTCGCGCAGCTGGTGCAGCAGAACGCCGCCGAGCAGGCTGCTCCGCAGAGTTCACCAACACCTGTAATCCCTGGAGGGCGTTCTGGAAGTAAATCTGGTACTATCCTTACCCCAAGCTCCAGGTTCGGGACGCCAGTCTCGGGTGGCATGCCGCTACCCGGCAACTCTTCTATACCGGTGAGTTATTCACTAGCCACCTAAAGGGGGGACAATGAACGAACCAGGCTCATAGCGACAACTGACAGGATCGCATGCTCTTCGAGCCTGGAAGGTATCGAATACGCTATGTTGCAGTCATTTTATCAGGAAGAAAGAGGCAATTTGCTGCAGGCTTGGTTAGCATGGAGACGTGTCATGACCGTTGCCCAGGCCATGGGTCTTCATCGTGACACAGAAACGCGTGTCGAGTCTCTCTGTGAGGCTGAAGGTGTCGATGCTCGAGCGGTATGGAATCGACTAGTCTACCATGATCGTTATCTGAGTCTCATGTTGGGGCTACCTTCCCCTTTGTCAGAGCTCGTGGGTTCAAATAAGACACACCACATGCTTTGGGTTGCAATTGAGATTTTTGATGTGGAAAGTCTAGCCGAGGCCCAATACAAGGCGATTGCCCAAAAGTTGGGACCTGGCAAGAGGTACATGCCCAGAGAAGGACCCATTCATGCACAGAGGCCTATTTTCAGGCGTATACTCATCCTGGCTCATGCTTGACTCACTCTGCCCCCCCCCCCCCCCCCCCCTCCCCCCCCCCCCCCCCCCCTCCCTGGCCCATCCTGGCTCATCCTGTCTCAGTCTCGACTTCGTGTTGCTCACTGTTGCTAGGATCAGCTCAGCTCAGGGCGGCACGAGCTCACTCCGAAAGACGAAAATGGATTTTCGTGTGCTTGAGTTTCGTCACTGAGTATAGTGGTATTGACGCGTCACAAGATCTCTGTAATCACTCAGACTAGCGAGGCTGCGCCTCTAGTTGATAGATAATACAGGTTGATCCTCAGATCACATCAGCGTTTCTTTAGACAACCACAGTGAGCAATGGGTATTAGGATACACCTGATATAAGGGGAAGTCTTTTGAGGGTACCTGGGGCTAAATCAACCAAGGCTGCTGATGTTTAACTTCTCAAGGCTACTGTCTACGCCTGCTCCTTCATCGCATCTGCGATATTGTCAGCACCACCTCCGCCGCCTCCCCTCAGATCTTTGTTTGTCGTCTGGATCATGATGCGCTTGTAGCTGGTCAGAGATGGAGTCCCATCATCTGTGACCTCGAGGATGAGATGCAACACCTGGCCCCTGGGCACCGGCTTCCTGCTGATCAGCTCGGCACAGCACTTTTCCGGCCCCGGCAGCTGCACCTCGACCTGCCGTCCGCCGCCATCTAGCAATCTGATCTGCATCTCGTCGACCTCAAAGTGCACCGTCCACTGCGTCGCGCTCGGGTCCCGGTAGTGCCACCACCGGAACTTCAGCCCGCCGTCCCGCCCGTCCGGGTCGTATGTCTCCCGCGCGTCGAACCTCAGGACGCTGCCCGCCTCGGCCTCGACGCGGATGGGCGCCGGGCCCGCGCTGCCGTTGACGTTCACGACGGGGTGGTGATTGCCCTCGCCGAAGCTCCCGGCCGTCGACCATCGGATGCGGGCGGCGAAGTCGTTTTGGAAGGCGTCTCGCCACCGCCAGATGGTGGCGTGGTTGGAGTGGTAGGTGCGGCCGTCCTGCCCGACCACGACGTCCTTGGCGTCGGAGAAGTGCCGCGCCTGCTGGCCGGCCGTGCTTACGTCGGTGAGCTGGTAGCGGCCTCCCCACGACCCGGCGCTGGGGTCTTCGGGTACGCCGAGGCCGTTCTGGATCAGGTAGAGGAACGTCGGCGTGTCGCCCTCGGGAATGAACATGTAGTCCGGGTAGGCGGAGCCCAGGGGTCCGATCTGAATGTTGTCTTTGATCCACTCCTTGGTCATCTTGCTGAAGTCTGGCCCACCCTGGTCGAAGTGGTAGTACTTGTCGCCCGAGATGCCAGTCCAAGCGGCCATGCCGTATTGATTCCAGCCATGGACCGACGATATGTAGAAAACGTCGGGGAACTGGGTGCGGATCCAGGCCGCGGTGTCATCTTGGTCAGAGATGGTGTAGACACGGAGCTTGGCGCGCAGGGCGCCGGCCTGATCGGCAGGGTACTGGTTCCGGATCTTCAACAGCACTTGGGCCAGGACGTTGACGCCACCCCAGCACAGCACCCACAGCGGCTGGTCATCGGGCGCGGTGATCCTCTCGAGCAGCAGATCTCCTCCTTCGCTCAGCGGGATGTCGTCACCGACTACTGCGAACCCATACACTGGCGGACCAGACTTGACGATACTCCTCAAATAGTCGGCGGATGGGTAAGGGAAGTCGGGATGTGTATGTTTCTGCAGGTTATCAACAGCCCCCGCGTAGGCGTCGATGATCTTGATCATGTCCTGGGGACACGTCTTGTTCCGCAGCCATGTCGACGTGCATGCGACGAGACCCTCGGTCTGGAACTGGTTCGAGTAGAGCAAGTAGCGGACCAGAGACTCTGCGTCGTCGGGCTCGTTCGAGATGTCTGAAATGATGAAGACCCTTGGCTTGGCCGGGAAACTCTGCAACGTTGTCGTGGGCAACATCTTGTTGCCGGACTGGGATACGCAGACCTAGAGCACGGCATTGAAGTGCCGAGGAAGATGTTCAGGTTTGTCTTGATGAAAGAAGTGTCGTGGAAGGGCTTGGGGCACTGTCTGCCAGTTGCGGCATGATGCGTTCTGTCCGAACTTTAGCCGTATATTAGGTGCCCAAGCCAAGCGCAAGTCAGTTGTCCGAAATGGAAATACCAGACGCCTGCGGTTACGCATATTGGTTGTTGCAATAAAGGGTGGTTCACTCCACTCAAACTGTCTATGGCCTGCCGGGGTGTAACGACTCCTCGTGTGACTTCGGGTCGGATGAAGACCGACCCCAGAATTGTGTGATTCCTAGGGAAGAATTGATCGTCGTGTGGGGTTGGGCGGGATTCTGGGGAGCAATCCGGGGCAGAGAGAGTCCGGTTTGGGGAATCCTAAACGCCCGCCCACATCTCAGGGGCTGAAAATAACTAACGAGTCCGAGATCGCAGCCCGATCTAGCCGCTTCCGACTTCCTTGCCCTGAACCCTCCCACGAGCAACCTGTCCAAAAGGGAAGAGTTAAGCGCCTTGGAGGGGCGCCCTCGGCTTCGTAGCGCCCTTTCCTAGGCCTTGGTGAGGGATTCGGACGAAGCGCTAAGCTAGCTCTGGAGAGCCCGCCGGGAATGCGAGTCGAGGACGTGTCGATGCAGCACTCGGCAAATTTCAATCGGACCACTCAGCGGCCCCCGTGAACGCAGAAGCAGGTAAGCCGGGGAGATGCAAAAGCCTCGACTGTATAAAGCAAACGGGATACCCCAAAGTCCATTTTGCAGCATGAAGCCTTGTCTTGGCAAACCTAGAATTCATAACCAACAAAGTCTCCAACATCGCCTTGGTTGACAAAACAAGGAAGGCGTTATCAGAGTTGATCTACCCTTCCTGCAAGGTTCACAATGGCAGACCTCAAGTCAACCACCGATGCAGGGCATGTTGAACAGCCCAGCGAACAACTTGCCCGCCTCGGCAACCAAGACGATCATGATCTCGGCAAGATAGCCTCGCTGCGGCGGTACCCCTGGGCCTGCTTCTGGTGTGTCTACGCTGTGTGGTGCGTGCTGCTTGTCAGTTTCGAAAACCAGGCTTCGGGAAACATCTTGGGTATCCCCAGGTTCCGCGAGGACTTTGGCTCCTACTATGAGGGCGGCTACGTTCTTGCCTCGAAATGGCAGTCTGCTTTCCAAGGTGCACCCATTGCATCGTAAGTCCAGTACAGCAACCACCCCTCAGGTAGGACCATACACGCTAATACTGTTGTTGTGTCTCGAAAGATCGATCGTCGGTTCTCTTGGATCTGCGGCCCTCGCCGACTGGCTTGGTCGCCGAGCCGTCATCATGATGGCCCTTGTCATCAGCTACGCCGCTATCACCATGGAATTTGTCGCAACGACTCCTGAACTCTTCTTCGGTGGAAAGTTCCTGAATGGCTTCGCAACTGGAGCCTTGGCATCGGTTACTGTCACATACATCGGAGAGGTATGATGCGCACAACAACCCCCGTAGATGAGGCATACTGCTAACCGCAAACCTGTCCAGGTCACGCCTCTTGCCCTCCGAGGACTTTTCACCTGCTTCTCCGCCTTGTCATATACCCTGGGACCGCTCGTATGTGCCCTCATTGTCAACGATACCGGCGATTTGCCCAACCGGTGGGCTTATCGAGCTGTCTTCTGCGCTCAATATGGCTTTGCTGCCGTGGCTACAGCCGGAGTATTCTTCATGCCGGAGTAGGTTGCCTGGCGTCTTCATCCTTATTCTTCAAGGCCATGGAGCTGACTGTACGACAGGTCGCCTTGGTGGCTCGCCTCTCGCAACGAAAAGAGCAAGGCTTTGAACAACCTTGCGAAATTGGGCTACTCCGAGGGAGAGACTGTCAAGCGTTTTGCCATCATCGAGCTTACCCTCAACGAGATCAGCCAGGAGACCGCCGGCGTGACCTACTTGGAGTGCTTTCGCAAGTCCAACCTCCGCCGCACCCTGGTCAGCATCGCACCCCTGTGCATCCAGTCCCTCTCGGGTATCGCATTCATCGCCTCCTACGCGACGTACTACATCCAGCTCGCCGGCTACAGCACCTCCGAGAGCTTCAAGCTCCAAATCGTGCAGCAGGTGCTCTCGCTGGTCGGCAACGTCATGTCGTGGTGGCTGGTGGACCACGTCGGCCGGCGGAGCCTGACCATCTACGGCCTGGTCTTCCTCACCGCCGTGCTGTTCCTGACCGGCGGGCTCGCCGTCGCGGGCACCCCCGGCGCCATCAAGGGCACGGTCGCCATGATCATGATCTACTGCTGGTCGTACAACGTCACCATCGGCGCCACGGCCTTCACCGTCCTCTGCGAGGTCTCGACCTCGCGCCTGCGCGTCAAGACCATCGCCATCGGCCTGGCGGCGCAGAGCGCCCTCAACGTCATGTGGAGCTTCGTGCTGCCCTACCTCTTCAACCCAGACCGGGCGAACCTCGGCGCCAAGGTCGCGTTCATCTTTGGGGGGCTCTCGGTGCCCTCCCTGCTTTACCTGTGGTTCTGCCTGCCCGAGACGGCCGGCCGCAGCTACGAGGAGCTCGACGAGATGTTCGTCAAGGGCGTTTCCGCTCGCAAGTTCAAGACGTACAAGCCCGATGCCCAGGTAATGGGTGAGGTTGTTAAGCTGGCGATGAAAACTGAGGGGGCGACTGAAAAGCAAGAAGTCTGACGGGCCATCCTCGCATCGGGCACGACAACGTCAGGTAAATCAAAGCGATCAGTACTCAAAGGAAATGCTGTAACGAGTTCAATACAAGAGTCATTTGATTGAGCATTCTTCAAATCGACCTTTATCCTACGGCTCCCCGGGAGCTGCCGAATGTCATGTAATTTGCGGTCAACTTCGCGATACCGAAATTCCGCATCCTAGGTCTCCTTGGTAGCAGCGAGGGCCAGGCTTACATCTAAATCTGGCTATTTGATTTGGTGGAGGGTTATTGATCCCGTCCATTCCATGTATTCCTACGGAATCCTGCTCAGCGCTCTGCATGACTGTTACGTATGTCACATTGTTATGTATGGCCCAAGAAGTCGCAGTTGAGACAGATATTGCATACAGTGCGCCAAGTAGCCTATCTTGAAATTGCTCTTTCATGCCGGTGTGGCACACCACGGGCCGTGTGTCTTCCATACAACCTGATGGAGGGAAGTGCACAATGTACGTCAGGCCAATCACCAGGGTTGGATATGCTCTGGCTATCTGACAGGGCCTTTCGCGACTGCATCATCGAGCACAGTGACTGGCTAGGTTCAGCTGGTGCCAAGCTGTCTCAGTCACAGGGTCAGGTCGCACATCTAGACCTCACTGCTGTTCTCATTAATGATACCCAGTGGTCCTTGTGCGGATTGAGCATTCCGAATGCAACTCATTACTCAGTTCGGCATCATCACACGGACACGTCTTTTGAATAACCAATCAGATAGGAGACTCTGACGCAGTTGATGCATTTCCACTGCAGTGTGTGAAATGGGCTTATTAAGACACGTGCAAGGCTTTCAGATGGTGCTTGCCAGGAATGAGATATGAACGGCTTCGCTTCCCGTCCCGATGGGCTGCTCCTCTTACCATAGTGCGATAATAGCCCAAAGGCCAGGGGCTCTGTCATAACTACGAGATCTAGAGAAGGTGTTGTGGCTTGCTAGCGATATGGCCGCTCCAAACCCGATCTTCATTCTCATAGGGGTACTCGCTGTCCATGCGGTGTACCGGATCCTTATCATAGGCCGAAGGCACCCGCGAATGCCAAGAGGGCCTCCAACCCTGCCCTTTTTGGGAAACGCTCATCAGATACCGAGGACAGGGCTCCAGAAACAGTATGTGCATCCCGGCCATAGAAGATATACAACACTTCCTCGGACACTTCACTGGACTAATCTCTGACCTCATCGCTTTCAGGTTCGCGAAATGGGCTAAGGAATACGGGCCCATCTTCAGCCTGACAGTTGGACCTACGAATATTGTGGTACTTTGCGACCGCCGCGCAGCACACAAGCTACTAGTCGAGAAGGGCAATATCTATTCGGAGAGACCCCACAACCATGTCGCAGACCTCCTGAGCTCCGGGGAGCAAATCTCCTTTGGCTCGCTGACACCGGCTTGGAGGGAGAAGAGGAAGATCGTCTCGCATAACTTCTCGCCGAAGCGACTTGACGAAGACCACTTCAAGGTCCAAGAGGCAGAGTAAGGCTTTGAACCCCTTTACTCTATACTGGAACGTCACTCAGTAATGGCATTCAGGAAGACTGTCCTCATGACGAATCTATTGCATCATCCGGAGACCTTTTATCAAGAAATACGCCGTTATACAGCTTCTGTTGTCACATCAATCACCTTTGGCTACCGAGCGCCTACATATGATTCCTTCTGGGGACGTGTAAGTCCCGCAATCTACTATAAGCCCAAAAGTCAAAGGCGAATCTAACGCGACTAAACTAGACTGTATACGATTTCATGGACGAGGTAAGAGATCATCAGTAGCCTCGTAAAAACATCCAGCTCAGATTTATGTAGTGGACGGTTTGTTTAGAACCAGGTGTGAACCCACCGGTCGATGAATTCCCGATTCTGCAATACCTCCCGACCCCTCTAGCAGCGTGGAAGCGCCGAGCTCTGGCTGCGAGAGACCATACTTACGAGTTCTTGAGCGAGGCCAGGGATCGTGTCGAAAAGCGCCGTGCCAAGGGTGAGAAGCGAGACTGCATTATGGATCGTCTCTTGGATGAATCCGAAAAGCAAGGACGTCCAGCAGCCCTGACTGAACGAGGGTTCATCAATGCCATGGGAGAGGTTGTCGAGGGAGGGGCCGACACAACGGCTTCTCAGCTGTTGACACTGATCTTGGCTCTCACCCTTTACCCAGAAGTCCAAGAGCGAGCCCGACGTGAGATCGACGCGGTTTGTGGCACACAGAGGTCGCCACGCTGGGACGACTTCTCAAGCTTGCCCTATATCAACTGTATCGTCAAGGAAGGAATGCGGTGGAGGCCAAAGCAAGTGTGCCCTTCGAATCACAGCTGTGTCCCATATATTGCTAACCCGAGCGGTGGCCGTAGTACCCCAGTAGGATTCCCTCATAGGGTGACACAGGGTAAGCGCCGCTCCAAATATGTCTCGTGCCATTGTTATTCGTCTGCTTATGACAGTCTAGATGATGAATATGAAGGCATGTTCATTCCCAAGGACTCCATAGTCTTTCTTCCGTCTTTGGTGATCAATTACGATCAGGATTTCTACAAAGACCCGGACTCTTTCAAGCCTGAGAGGTATCTATCTCATCCAAAGCTAGCGAACGACTACGCTGGCAGTCCGGACTGGGCGAACCGGGATCACTACAGCTACGGGATTGGCCGACGCATCTGTCCCGGCATCCACTTGGCCGAGCGCAACCAGTGGCGCATCGCTGCCAACTTGCTCTGGGCATTTGAATTCTCGGAGCCCGTCAACCCCGAGACGGGGGAGATTGAGCATCTAGACCCGGAAGCATACACCCCCGGGCTTTTGCAGACGCCGTTGCCTTTCAAAGTCCAGATCAAGGTCCGCTCTCAAGCGCATGCAGAGACTATTCAACGAGAATATGCCGAGGCATTGGACTTTATGAAGCAGTATGAGTAGGTTGGTGGAGCATACGAATGCTTTGGTGGTCTGGCTTCCTTATGTTTATTGCAGCCTATGGGCTGAAATCATCGTCTAGTATCCTTCACTCTCGATCCATAGTGTTTCCCGGGGCGATAGCTAGCCTTCTGGAGGTTACGAGGTCAAATTAGGTAGAGTCTGATAGCTGTTCAGATTCATCATGATACATGCGTTCATTCCAGCACTTCTGATATCCACGAGCAAATCAGAGACCGCACTTACATCATGCCATGGCAACCAGGCCCTGGATGCCAGATTCCGTTAGCAAATGCAGGGACAGCGTCAAATCTAGGTGTCAATAGTGCCGTCTGCCATCCACGCCAGACCTTCTAGCGCCGGACAATTCCATGGCAGTTGTATTGGTGCACTCGGCTAGCTCGGGAAGGTGTCCGTAGTGTGTGGTTCTCACACATAGTCTACCTAGATGTTTGCAACCTCAAGGGTGGCCATCCGCGTATCCGCCCTGGCGCTAAGCCTGAACCAGCACTCGTGCCTGGGCCGCAATGCAAGGGAAACACCATTCGTTTCCCAAAAGACCTTATCTGGAAGAAGAGTGGGCGTCTGGCATGCAAATAATGTATTGATGCAACAAAAGAAAGCAAGCCCCACGAGTAGGCTTGGTTCGTCCTCGGCACTCGTGTGCCACGGACGCCATGGCGTCGACCGGCCTGGTCTCTACTCTTTTAAGAAGCCATGGCGCCCGTTGGACTGGAGTTACGGCCGCCGATCTATTTCTTCAATATCGATGATCATCCTCCAGACCCTCGTTCTGATTCCAAGTAGATTATTGTTTGGTCTTGCCATGATGTCGAGCACTCGCCTACTCACCCTGGTGGGTCTTCTGGTCGCGGCCAGTGCTGTCGATGCCACCCCCGCCTCTCCTCTCGAGGCGAGAGCAAGCAGCTGCAACGCCGACAACCTCTTGAGGCGCTTCAGAGACACCCGGTACTCTGATGGTGCCACCTCTTTCTGCCAGACGTTTATCGACGCGTACACGCACACCACTGTCACTGTGACCACTGTTGCCTCTGCGTAAGTAACCTGTTACATGCGATGCCTCCTTGGTAGAAACATATGTTGATCGGAGGCGGCTAGCATCCCTTCGGTGACCACTACGCCGTATTCCTACCCCTCGCCACTCCTGACTACCTCCTACCCCGACGAGCGCCTGTCGAGTGCCTGCAGCTGCATCGACCTCGCCACCAAGACCAAGACGGATACGACGTATGTCCCTGCGCCCACCGACACCGCCCTCGGCTGCTGGACCGAGGGCATCGGCGGCGCCAAGGCCCTGTCCGAGAAGCACTTCAACACGTCCATGACCGTCGAGAAGTGCGCCTCCCTCTGCACAGGCTCTGCCTTCTACGGCGTCGAGTACGGCGTCGAGTGCTACTGCGGCGACGCCGTCCAGAACGGCGCCTTCCGCACCGACGTCAAGGCCTGCGACATCCCCTGCGCCGGCAACCTGGCCCAGCAGTGCGGCGGCCGCTCCTTCATCAACATCTACCAGGTCGCCGGCTCGACGGCCACCCTGCCGCCCGCGACCCCGACCCAGGCGGTCTACCCGTACGCCTACGCCGGCTGCTACGCCGAGCCCGCGAGCGGCGCCAAGGCCCTGAGCACCGTGTACCAGGTCGCCGACATGACGCGGGAGATGTGCTTCTACGACTGCTACAACGGCGGCTACAAGTTCGCCGGCCTCGAGTACGGCACCGAGTGTTGGTGCGGCAACGAGTTGGCCAACGGCACCGCGCACGTCGACGACGCCGTGTGCAATATGCCCTGCGGCGGTAACCCTGCCGAAACCTGCGGTGCTGGCAACACCCTCCAGCTTTATGTCAATGGGGTTGCTGCGTCTTAGATGCTGTTGTTCTTGACGCGAGGCTTGGATAGGCTCTCGGATCAATGGTGCGGCAACGGATATCTCCAGCGTAGCCGATTTTTCTCCCTAGAAATCGTCTCACCATTCGCACTCAATCGCTTAACTGCCTATTGAATTCCTTAGCTTGTGTTGCCGTCTTCCACGGTACCAATCAACCAATCCCAATCACACCTTGATACCAATTGTAGATGCGTACTAAGCTGCCTATACGACAACGACAATAACATAATGTATCTTAAATTGTAGGCCCTCTCTAGGTTGTTAAGTGATGATCGGGGCCAGTCCCCCTTGAGCCTACAACCCAACCCTGACCCAGCATGTAACTATCGCGAGTCGTGACTTCCTATTGAACCATTGAATATTGCACACCGCACGCTGAATTGGCATTAACAAAACCACCTGATCAGGCCATCCGGGTAACGATTCCTGATGGGTCTATTTGCATGAACTTTCCATAGCTTCGTTTTCCTTTCTCGTACTCTTCTCCAGTTACACATTCAGGTAAATCTTCGCACCACACTACCAACAGTCCCCTAACCTTGTGATAGTCACCCTATCTCTCTCTCACGCACACACATACATAATTAGGTATCTATATCATTTCCAGCAAAGTCCAGCTTGTCTTATGGTATCATCATCGCATGCAAGAATCACAGCGCCAGGCCGGCTAACCCCTTTTTCTTCACCCAGAATAACAACTAATATGTTAAATGGTCCCCTTTGCCTCTGTAGAAGGAGGTAGAAACTTTTCTCGAGAAAACCTCTTCTTCTTTTTTTCGGAGCAACCGAAGAGACGGACTCTGATGAAGTGGTTTCCTCCGACGAGAAGAAAATACAGAACCAAATCACGGTCAACGGCGGCAAGGCGCAAATACAAACGATGAGCACCAAAATGACACACTAGGATAGTAACATGAGCGCAAGGCCGAGTCGAGAGGCGTGAATCCCGTACGGGAAGAACCCCGGCTCGAAATTTCAGACAAGGACATGTTTCTGGGGCGGGAAACTGGCTATGATACAGCCAAATGCCACCGCACTGTTAACACAAATACCACTGCTCTGAAAGTGCTATCCCACTATCTAAAGCCGACTAGATTTGATGATTGTCAAGGAAAGTCGTTCACAGCAAACTAGAAAGGCTATCCCACTACCTAAGAAAACCGATTTGGTTTGATGGGTAGTCAAGGTCCTGCATTCATTGAGCCTATCTCACTTTCTACTGTCCAATCATAGAGCTCCCAAGCTGCGTGAATGATGGAGTTTATGTTCGCTTGCCGCCTAGCTGCAGATCTCGTGACTGTGGCTGAACCTCGGGCTTTGCCCAAGACGTCCCTGCCTCCGATGGTTTGATCAGGCTGCAATTCAGGCACAACATCTTTCAACATCGACACAAGACTAGATCATCAATAAGGTACTCATTCCAACATCCAATCTTCTCTCGCATTGTTGTCGAAAGCTCCTCGCTAGGATTCTTTGTGTGTTCCCAAATTTAACACCCACTCGGTGGTAGTATCAGAGGCACGAGATTACACTTGGTATATTCAAAGATTCCCGATCCAAACCATACACGATGGAGGCTCTTGCAGCACTATCGGTCGCATGTAACGTGATGCAGGTAATCAGCTTTGGTTACGATGCCATCGAAATCACGAACAAGCTGCGTGTGGATCGATCGCCAGATCCGGACCTCGGCTCCGCAACGAGGCAGCTCAAGGCCATCGGCGAAGAGCTTGAACGCGCTGTTCATGCCGCGCCGGCTGCATGCACAGGGCCTGCGGTCGTTGGCCCTTCTACTTCGAATACATCCACTCCTTATCCCGCAACCAGCTCCCCGCACCTCTCTAGCGGCGACGAGTTGCGAAAAGTGGCCCACGAGGTCGTGCGTATCTCCGACTCTCTAGCCCAGGAATTGGAGAGGTACAATAGGGGAACGAAGCGTACATTGGGGCGTCTCGTCAAAGCGGTCACGTACAAATGGAAGAAGCCCAAGATTGATGGTTTGGAGAAGGGCTTGCATCGGGCACAGGATATAATGCAGACACGCATTCTGGTCAAATTATGGCAAGTCTTCTGGATAAAGCGGACTGATGAAGATGGCGGCGACTGACTCGACGCAGCCAAGAGGTAAAGGATACCCATGTCGACGTGACTCGACTCGACCAGAAGACGCAAGCCTTCGTCGACAAACTTCAACAAGGACAAATCAACTTGTCTCAGTTGATACTCAAGGACGGCAAAACAACTCAAGACCTTGTGGCTTCAGAATCAAAGCGAATCATCGGCGAAATGCAGCAAGAGCATAGGAACATTTCTCAGCATATGTTCGAGAACGGGAGGGATACTCGAAACCTTGTGACCGCAGAAGGAAGTGAGACCAGAAGGCACCTCGCGGTTCAGCTGGAAAGCCTGCATGCCCATGTTTCCGATGGCATCCAAGATACTAATTCATATCACATCGAGGCCGAGAAGGGAAAGCAAGTTGATCGCTTGCTAAACAGCCTTCGATACGAAAACATGAACCAACGCCTCAATAACATCACTACCAGGCATGAGAAAACCTTTGAATGGCTTTTTGTTGATCGACCCACAAGCCAAGAAATGGACGATGACATCGGTGGTGACAGCCTGGAAGATATTCACGAATCAGATGCTGAACTGAGAGATCATTCCATCGGTGATACCTCGTCCGAGTGTACTGACGATGGGACTGATGACTATGTGCCGGGCTGGGATGAGTTCAGCAAGTGGCTTTGCTCAGAAGATCGATTGTACTGGATTAGCGGCAAACCTGGCTCGGGAAAGAGCACTCTCATGAAATTCCTGGCTCAAGACGATCGCACAACTACATATCTCCGGCAATGGAGATCCGATCCATCAGTCCTCTCTGTTTTTATATTCAAGGCAGGCACGCCGATGCAAAGTAGTCTCTCCGGAGTTCTCCTCAGCCTATTTCATCAATGCCTCCTCACTTGTCCCGAGACAAGTGCCAGACTCCTCCAGGAAAACCCAGCTTTGATGAGAAAGTCATCATATCATGACTGGTCGGTTGGAGAACTCGAACTGCTATTGGGTAGCGTGATAGCCAAGTCAGACCGCAGTTTTTGCATCTTCATTGACGGCTTGGACGAGATCAAACGCAAGTCTCCTGACGAGGCTCCGGGACTCTTGAGAACTATCGATATCTTGCGAACGTTGTCGAATGTCAAATTTTGTGTGTCTAGTCGACCTGAAGCTTTCTTTGAAAGAAGGCTTCAAGGACATCCGTTGCTGAGACTCCAAGACCTGAACGAGGAAGATATAAGGCACTACGTGGAAAGTGCCCTCGAAGACCTATCCCACCAATTTGATTGGCTGGCCACGAAACAGAATTACACGGAAAGCAGTTCTAAGAAAGACGACTTTTCGGCAGATGAGTTGTCGGAAGCCACTTCTGTGGAAGACGAGTTGCACTATTCGACAAAGACCCGCATCATCAACCTCATAGTTTTCAAGGCACAGGGTGTATTCCTTTGGGTTGCACTTGTGGTGCGGAGCGTCATCTCCGGTTTGAACAACCGAGATGACTGGGGAAATCTATATGGGAGGATCCGTGAGCTCGACGATGACTTGGCGATGCTCTATAACAGCATGTGGAAACGATTGAATGAAGACACCAAGGTTTACCGAGAACAGGCGGCATTCTATCTCCAAGTTGTCCTCGAGTCGCAACAGCACCCTCAGTCTGAGCTATGGAGAGGCGCCCCTTTGACTTTGTTCAGCATGGTGGCTATGGTCTCAGAGAAGCCATTTCGAGATATGATTTGGAGGCGGTGGGGCCCTATGACTTCAGACTTCTCTGCATTCATATCCCAAAAATGCGAGACCACAAAGCGGCAGGTGCTTGCCAGGTCTGCTGGACTACTCGAGATCAATCCAGTCGGTGGTAATCCGTGGGAGCAAAGTGTGGACTTCATCCATCGCAGTGCCTATGACTTTCTCAATGATACCGACGAAGGGCAAGCAATACTGGAATTTGGCAGACGGTCAACGGACGATCTAAATATCTTGGGAGTGGAGTCGGAACTATGCAGAATATCATACTTCTCACACGATCCTGATCGCCAGAAGTGGCTGCGAGGCCCACTGTTTGAAGTGGGGCAATTCTACACGTTTTACCTGTCTGATGATGCACGAAAGACTTGTTTGGCAGTGGTAAAATATTGGATGGGGTTGGCTTTGACCAGCAACGACGCACATCGCGAGGTGACAGAGGCTGCTGCGGACGGTCGCTTCTGGGAGGTAGTAGAGCACTCACTAGCACTGTTGCCACCTCCTGCGCCGTTCATGTTATGCGACTGGACAACCAGGTTGTTGCATTATGCAGTCATCCGCCGTGCTTGGGACAGGATGCCATGGCTATTGAAGGAAGGGGCGGATCCGAACTGGCGACACGAGATACTCGGTACTTGCTTTTCGCCCTTTCCAGCTCATCTTTTCGGGTTTGGGAGAGCGGCTGATTTATTTCTTGGAAACTTTTATGATCTGGACGCTACGCTCGGGGTATTAAGGGCTTTTCTAGATCATGGACTCGACCCAGAAACTCGCACCCTCGCCTTTGTGACATCGGACGTTCACAAGAGTGAATTGTTTCCATTTTCAACGCTTACTAACTGCTACGAGCCGACTAGCTGGACCCTCTCTCGCTGGCACAGCCCTGGCACCATGGGTCTCATTCTCGAATTGTCATATGCTCAGCTTGCTATGCTCACCCTATCCAACGCCCGTGGTATTTTCAACACTCGTTTCACCTGGAACAAGCTCTGGGCCCAGTGCCCCGAAATCTTCCCCAGCGCGACCACGGCACCGCTGAAAATGACGCACCTCGTTATACGCCGTTCCATACCTAGCGACAGCTATGAGTCGGTTGCTAACAGTCTCGACTTTTGTGCCCTCAGCAGTCATTCTGCCAGGCCTGAATTCGTCTTGGCTGGATTCTGCCTCGATTCTGACCTCAACGAAACTCTCAGGCCAGGTAACGGGAAATGCCCCTACCCACCCCGCCTCCAGTTAGAACAACACACGCCGGACTGTCCGGGACCACGACTCACAGTTTCCAAACTCCCATCACAGAATAGAAAGAATGATACTGAACGTAGACGGATAGAGCAGTTCTTCCAAGAACCAGAGAGCCACGGGAAAGAGATCTTTACTGTTGAGGGAGACATAAATCCTCGGGAAGTTAACCAACAGATGTGTGGTGTTTTGAGGAGGAACTATCCCGATGACCAGGTACACACCGGTGAGCTATATAAAGATGTAGTCTTGGGAGAAGTATAACATGGGTAGGATTGCATTCTTTTATGTAGGCCTTGAACTTCAACCGCTCAATTAGTTACTCCTAAGATTACAGATTCACATTTAATAGTGTGGCCGTCTTATTTTCCATCATGATATGCATTTACATTGACCTCTGGTCATATTGCAGTCAAAGGAGCGGTCTCGTGTCTCAGTGACTAATCAAAAGGACATGTCACCCGACTTACCCCGAGCAGCTATAGATTGCGATGAGCCCCGTCGAGAGTTGAAAGAGCACGCTTAACAAGTAGATATTCAGTCGCTCAATATGGAACGTGGCAGTTGGCTACTGAGTACTGTTCATACGCTCTGCAAGCAACAGTAGGGGCATCTTGACGGATGGAACCTTGTTCGAATTGAAGACAATGAAGTATCATGAAGATAATTGAATACTTCAGGGTACCAAGTGTTGGAAGAACCTTGATCATCTTCTAACGATTCGACCGCAGAGACGTTTGAGTACACTCAACAACCCATTGGCCTGCTTAAAATGAAAGACTGTTCATCACAATAGAACCCAGCTGCTGATTTTAGACATAGCAGAAGCTTGGACGAGGACAGTGGCAAGTTACGAATGTAACAGACGGTGGGCAACAACGGAGTACTGTCATGCGGCCAGAATCAGAAGCAGCGGTGTAGCTCAGGTAGGTTTGCAGGGACTGGCTCGGTGAGTATTAACGGCATGTATTGCAAGAATCCCAAAAATTGCTGGAAATAAGATAAACAGCTATTGATCCTAGATTCTTAGGTGGTTACACTTAATGAGCCAAGTGGAAACATCTAAGCACAGGAATAAAATGACTGGAGTCCATGCAACTTAGGTTGACCCCGACAAGAATATGTTTCTGCATTTTCGGGCTGTTTTCGTATCGGGGATTGGCCATTTCAGTCACCAACAGTTTGCACTTCTTCAGCAACAAGTCTAGCCATCGTATACAAGCTAAATGACTGCTCTTATCACAAAAACGTTCAGGTCTTTTAGAGAAGCTATTTATGGCAAGTGCGCTCTAAAAATGCCCGTTTTGAAAACAAATTGAATGTTTCATGAAAACCTCCAGCTGGTGATCGGTCCATGACATTGTTCGTAAAGTTCAGGATTCACCTTGAAATACAGCCGGGTTCCATCTTCTGCCCCAAAGCATTATTTACAGTGAACAACTCAATCATCTGCCCAAATGCATTTCCTACAACAGAATAAATTTCCTTTCTGTGCTCACTCCGAATACACCAGGGTGTTATCTCCCAGTCCCGACACCTTCTCATGATCGCTTCAAAGGGTCGACATCTCTGAAGATGCGAGTCATGGCGCGAAAGTGCTGGCGAAACTCACGGTACTCGGCGCGAGACATGACGATCTCACCTGCCCAGGCGCACGGCTCGCTGTTGACGACGACCCTCAGGGGGGATAGCGACAGCTCGTTATTTGTTTCATTGCATGTGTGAGGATCCTTCATCTCGTCATCCGTCTTGTCGTCATCCTCATACTGATGCTGATTAATCGGCTTCCAGGTGCTCATCATTGGAACGCCGGAATACTTTGCTTGGAGATCCAGTGCAGCGGCGGCGATTCTCCTAGCCCTGGCTGCCGCCACTGCCGCTGACGCCGACACCGTGTCGGCAGCAGTGATTGTCGTGCGTGGGTACGCGGCAGCAGACGCCTTGCGGACCTTCCGTGGCTGCGCGTGGGCCTGGGCCTGGGCCTGCTGCCGGCGCGCCACGGCGGCCAGCCTCTCGCGCTTGCGCTCCTGGCGCTCCTCCTCGGGCCGCGGGTGCACGCGCTTGGAGTGGTTGAGCTTGGCGCCGATGGAGGAGAAGAAGATGTCGCAGTCGCGGCAGAGGCGCTGCTTGGCCGACTTGATGTTGCGCTTGAAGGGGCAGTCGGGCCGGTGCGAGAGCAGCTCCCAGGCGTTCTCGGGCGTGAAGTCGGAGCACACCTTGTCGCAGCAGGGGCAGCGGACGGTGTCGTCGGCGATGACGTTGCCGCTGCTGCTGTCGATGTCCACGGGCTGGTAGAAGTAGCCCGCGGCGGCGACGGCCTCGGCGCGGGGCTCGGCGTGGGGCCAGCCTTCGAAGGAGTAGAGGCGGGTGTCGTCGTCGATGTACTTTGCGTATTCGGACATCGTGGGCGAGCACGGGCCGTGGATGGGAAGGATTTGTGGACAAGACTATGGGGATTATCACGAGTTGTGGTTGGCTTTGTTTGACCAAAGCTCTGATCTGTCAATCCATGTGATAGAACATGCGTGTTGACGTCTTTACCATCGAAGAAACAGCAGTTGGGATAGGCTTTATGCGATTACGTGCCAGCCAGCTTTCCAGGCTACGATGTTTGGCAGCAGCAACGGCCAAAAAAGCCTTTTGTGCATAATGTCTTTGTATCATGCCCATACATCACGGTGCCAGATCAAAGCCTTCAATCCTAAAGAGATTTTGTATAGAATAAAGAGAAACATTGGACAAAGGAATTGTGTAAGCCGCCGGATTCTCCAGGCCAAGAAGGGTTTGGCAAACAGGAGAGGGAACTCTCCGAACGCAAACAAGCACCCATGTGCCTTCAGTTTCGGCCTCTGCTTCAGGTGTGTTCTGCATTCTCTGCACTGCTTTCTTCGTGTGCTTCTACCTTTTGCTGTATTCCGACGACATGTAAAGAGATTTTGCATTGTTCCTTTGTTTCATTTGAGATAACATGCATTGTTAAGCAAACTTGACGACTGGCCAGGAACACTCCTCTCTCACACGTGAGCAACTAACTTTCAACCAATGACAACTTGCCTGAAAGACAGTCACCTTTCGAGCTTCGATCTTCCAACTCTTTCTTCTTTGAATCATGATTCAAGTAAGCTAAATGAGTATTGCGGGAGAAGACGAGGTGAGGTCGGAGATGTTAGCTTAGTCATAAACGGCTGTGCGGGTGTGGCCCGAGCTTCTCCAAATTCCTAGCTCCGCCGCCGCCTCTGATCAGATCTGCACCAACCTTTCCCAGAGAACCGAGCAATCGCAAAAAGACGCCCGATACAATGAACCATTGAGCCTCCATTGCTGCTTTTCACGTGGTCGCATTTGATACCTGCCGCTTCTGAGCGTTTCAAGTTTGCCCTGAGCTGCAGATTGTTCTCCCAAGATGACGCGCATCCCTACAGCTCAGCTCTGGAGGTACCTCCTGAGCGGCCGGCTCTCACGCCATGGCTGTCTTCAGACCAGCAATCCTTTGCGGAGACCCCCGTTGACACCCTCTATACGTGCCATTGCCTTGTCGCCACTGCAGCAGACTCGCAGCCTCTCCCACGCACTGGAACCAAGCCCCAATAATCCTGCGATGAAGCAAACCCCCGTGGTGCCGCTGCGCAAACAGCTCAAGGACGAAGCCAAAGCTGCGAAAGCCGCAGGCAAGAACAAGAAAAAGAAGAAGAATGCGGACAACCAGACGGTGCCGGGCTGGGAGCTGACGGTCGGAATCGAGATTCACGCCCAGCTCAACACAGCGCGCAAGCTCTTCTCCGCCGCGAGCACCTCGTTCAACGACGACCCCAATACCCACGTCGCGCTCTTTGACGTTGCCGTGCCCGGCTCGCACCCTCGATTCCAACAAGAGACCTTGATACCCGCGCTGCGCGCTGCCCTCGCTCTGAACTGCGACATACAGAAGATCAGCCACTTTGACCGAAAGCATTACTTCCACTGGGACCAGCCGTCCGGTTACCAGATCACGCAGTACTACGAGCCATTTGCCAAGAATGGATACATCACGTTATATGCGAGGGATGGGATCGCTGCTCAGGACGGAGAGGAGATCCGGATTGGCATACAGCAGATACAGATGGAGCAGGACACGGGCAAGACCATTGCCCGGCCGGGCGACGTGCACCTCTTGGACTTCAACCGGGTGGGCGCGCCGCTGATCGAGATCATCACCCTGCCGCAGATGCACCACCCAGCCACCGCGGCGGCGCTGGTGAGGAAGATCCAGCTGCTGCTGAATTCGGTCGACTCGTGCGTGTCGGGGATGGAGTCCGGCGGGCTGCGAGCCGACGTTAACGTGTCGGTCCGCCGCGCAGACGACCCGGCGGGGAAGCTGGGTCAGCGCACCGAGATCAAGAACCTGAGCAGCTTCAAGGCCGTTGAGGACGCCATCATCGCCGAGCGCGACCGCCAGATCGCCGTGATCGAGGCCGGCGGCGTCGTCCTGGGCGAGACGCGCGGCTGGTCGCTGGGCAGCACCGAGACGCGGAGGCTGCGCGGCAAGGAGGGCGAGGTCGACTATCGGTACATGCCCGACCCGGACCTGGGGCCGGTGGTCATTGGCGACGATCTCGTGAGCCGGCTGGCGGAGACGATGGGGGCGCTGCCCGACGCCGAGCTCGACGATCTTATTCAGAACTACGGCCTGTCCTCAAAGGATGCGGTGTCGCTCATGCTGCTTGACCAGGGCGGGCGCATCCAGTTCTTCTACGACGTCGTCGACTCGCTGGAGGAGAGAATGAAGGAGGATCTGCAGGGCAAAGTCGACGTCAAGGAGCTACGTGTCCTGGCTGGCAACTGGGTCCTTCACGAATTGGGCCGTCTCACCTCGGACCGCAACACGGACGGCGAGACCGACAATGACCTGCAGATGACGCGCGAGGGCCAGTGTCGCATCCGCGCCGCCGACCTCGCCGAGATTCTTGCCTATCTCCTGCAGAAGCGCGTCACTGCGCGCGTGGCAAAGGAGCTGCTGTTCGCCCTCTTCCGAGGTGACATTGGGGGCTCGTCGTCGGAAGGCCGCGTCGGCAGCGTGACCGAGGCCATCGAGAGGGACGGTCTGTGGTTCGACGAGCTGACTACGGAAGAGTACGGCGCCCTAGCGGAGGAGGCGATGGTGGACCAGGACAAGGTGCTCAGGGAGTTTGTAGACTACAGGCAGTATCCTCAGGGGAAGCTCATGTTCCTGGTGGGTAAGATGATGCGGCTGGGCCCACAGGAGCGGATCGACCCGGCCACGGCAGAGAAGGTCATGAAGGCCAAGGTGGAGGAGCGCCTGGCCGGCAGTGTACGATAGGGCTTACCGAGATTGGACGGTGGAATGGTCTGGCCTGTTTCCATGCATAACAACGCAACATGATCGTATTCGCGGCTACAGGCCACGGGCTAGCATGCGCCAAGCGCTTGGGTGCTGTTCAGAAGAGCTAACAGGAGCTCATCAGGAGATACCTCATGATGGAAATGCGTCTCTTTGGGTTAATTACCTATTCCACTACTGAGAATCGATTGGTTTGGCTTGATTACCAGCAGTTGACAGGTTACCTATCCCACTACTCCGTACGTCCCTAATAAGATTAATTATGCATGCCTGACATCGGAAAAGATGCTCCCATGTTGTGTCTGGAATGTTGCTTCGATGCGGGCCCACGTGGATGGCACTGATGGGTCGCAGTCCCACTCCCAAAAGACATTGTTTCGTCCACGTTTATTTCCTCTTCAATCCCGTCACGGCGGATCACCAGATTTCGCACCACCACCACCACCACCAAAACCACCACAAAAGTTCAAACATTCACAACCACCACAGCGAGGCCAATTGTGTAGCCCGCGCCCGAACTCTTTGCTAGTCTGCCATCTCAAATGCCATGCGACCCGGCCCGTCATGGCGGTGACGATCGCAAAGGATCACCAGCCCCTGGCCAACGGCAGTGGCGACAGCGGCGAGCTCAAGTCTCGGCCCCGGCGGATGTCCTCTGCTCGCCGCCGCTCCTGCGATGTCGTGCCTAGCTCCGGCATTCACGCAGATGCCGGCTTCCACCCCGTCGAGCGCATCCCCACATACCTGCAGCCCGAGATCCCCTTGCGCCAGCGGCTGCACCATTTCACTTTTGCCTGGTACACGGTAACGTAGGTGTTTCTGTCCCTGTCTTTTTGACGCACGCTGCGCGCGCCCGTCTCCGAAGTTTGAATGGGAGCGTCGCTGACTAGGTCGAGCAGCATGTCAACAAGCGGCATCTCACTCGTGATGGCCTTGACGCCCCATCGCTTTGAAGGCCTCAACTACATCGGCCTCGTTCTGTTTATTTTTGACCTGCTGCTCTTCATCCTCATCACCGTCTCTCTCATCTTCCGCTTCACCATCCACCGCCACACCTTCCGGAAGGCCCTCACCCACCCGACCGAGGCCCTCTTCATCTCCACCTTCTTCCTGTCCATCGCCGCCATCCTCACCAACATGGACGAGTACGGCAACATCTTCCTCGGCGACACGGCCAAGACGGGCCTCTCCAAGTTCCTGCAGGCCGCCTTCTGGATCTACCTAACCGTCACCTTCCTCTTCTCGGTGCTCATGTACCACCTGCTCTTCACCGTCAAGGAGGAGCGCCGCCTCACCGTCGACGTCATGACCCCCGCCTGGATCCTGCCCATCTTCCCCGTCATGCTCGCGGGCACGCTGGCGGGCTCCTTCTCCCGCCAGCTGCCCGCGGGCCAGGCCTTCGCCGTGCTCTGCGCCGGCCTCGCCGCCCAAGGGCTGGGCCTGCTGGTCTCGCTCTTCATGTACTCGACCTACCTCTCCCGCCTCATGGCCTACGGCCTCCCCGGCCAGCGGCCCGGTATGTTCATCGCCGTGGGCCCGCCGAGCTTCACCTGCGCCGCCCTCGTGGCCATGGCGGCCGACGTGCCCCGCGTCTTCACGCAGCTGGCCTCGGACTCGTCCGGTTCGGCCGTCGAGCTGTCCGCCCTCACGGGCCGAGGGGACGTGGCCACCCTGGCCGCGGGCGTCCGGCTGCTCGCCATCGCCGCCTCCATGTTCCTCTGGGGCCTGAGCTTCTGGTTCCTGGTCTCGGCGCTCGCCGGCGTGGCGAGCGGCATGCCGGACCGCAAGTTTCATTTATCTTGGTGGTCCTTCGTGTTCCCCAACGTCGGCTTCACCATCGCGACGATACGCATGGGCGGCGCCATCGGGAGCGAGGGCCTGCTGTGGGCCTCTACGGGGATGACGATCTGCCTGGTCATTGTGTGGCTGTTCATCGTCTTCCGATGCATCTTGGCTGTGTTCAGGCGCGAGATCGTCTGGCCTGGGCACGACGAGGACCAGTGACAGAAAGAAGATGCTGCTTTGTCGCAGCTGCTATTTGTGTTGAAAAGGGAAGACTTATGACTATAGATTGGGATGAAAGGGGGCATGCTCATTGATACCATATAGACTGCGAGTGTTTTTTTTATAGTTTGATCAGTACTAATCTTTATACTATACTTTCATGTAATGACAAAGCACGGGTGTGAAAAAGGCTGTGAGACAATAACTTGAAGCATTTCACAAACGCCTTTGCTCATCCAACAAGCACATAGCGTTAAAGCAGTAGATAACCCGCGCCACGTCATATCTGAGCTCAGTAATGACAGTTTGTCAGGGGTGAGTTGCCCACGCCTTGGTCTTCATCCTCGTTCAGCTTGTACAGATGTATGCAATTCTGGTGGTGGAGGGGCAGATCTTGCAGGAGACAAGATGAGATGGCCTGGGATTGGGCTTCTTTCTCTTGCGAGCTGCTTCTGGATAATATTCCCACGTCTGCCGACTGGCTGCCGACTGTCTATCAAGACTCTGAGTGGATCAAACCATCATCTACCCTTTGCAGTTTTCATGAGAGCTTTCCGGAGCACAAACATTCTGGTTCTGGCAGTGCATGTCTGGCGACAAAGCCAAGGCCATATCAGAATCCATTCACTTCCACCTCACTTTCTGCTCAGTCACTGGCCATCAACCAACCCAGCAAAGAGCATCATTGAGGTCACTTGAAGCCTTATCACCTTCTTTGCATTTCTAAAACTCCATTCAACCATTTTATTTGTTGTCTGCTCTGACCCCTCTGCCCTGGTCTGGAAAAGGAAAATCTCTACTACACAGATTCATCTCCCAATTTCAGGCCACATTCTCGCCTCTTCTGCAATGTCGGACCAAGTATCGTCCCAAGATACATCGTCGGGTCTCCCCATCAAGACCCTTCGAGAAGTCTACGACCTGGTCGACTGGGCCGAGTCGCTCCGCACTCACCTCGACGAGCTCGGCGTCGACTACCTGCTCGACAACCAGCCGGACCCGGCCCTGAAGCGCGACGACGAAGATGACGACGACAACAAGGTCGTCGACCAAAGCGCCAGCGTCGCCGCCAGCGCGCGCAAGCACCGCAAGAAGAAGCGTCGCCAGGACGTCCGGATCGTCACGGAGCTGATCCGCGCCTCGGTGCAGCCCGCCGCCGCCGTCCTCCAGGACAACGGCTACGCGCTCGACGCGCCGATGCAGCCGCGCGGCCGCTTCGACGCCGTCATCTACGCCATGCAGCAGCACGCCTGGCGCTCGGGCCTCGTGCGCGACCTGGTGCTGCGGCTGTGCGTCGTCGACGCCGACAGCTGCGACACGCTGGCCGCCTACCAGGGCGAGCTCGTCGAGCTGCGCCGCCGCATGCACTGCGCCGGCTGCTACCCGGGCGACGCGCACTTCATGTGGGCCGCCGTCCTGGGCCTGCGCCTCGCGTACCCGGCGCTGTTTGCCGAGCTCGACGAGCGCCTGCGCGCCCGCGAGCTGGACCTGCCCAGGCTGATGCAGCGGATCGCGCGCAAGGCCATCAAGGAGACCGTCGTCGTGAGCCCGAGCAAGGGCACGCCGGTCAGGGAGCGCCCGTGAAGGGGGGGACGGGGGTGTGTGGCGTCGGATGCCTTTCTACAAGTAGAAGGCAGGGTGGCAGAGACTGATGCGTTGTATTGACATGGTTCATGCGAATAAGATGGAGCTTCGACACGACACACGGCCACGATGTATTGCGGAAGGGGAGAGGAGATAATACTGTGTGCAAGGAGAACAGGTTGCCATTGGTTCAACAACGGAACAAGACAACCCGAGGACCGGGATTCAGGAACGTCCAGGTAGTATTAATCATACCACTCTATCTAGACGTGCGCCTACTCCGTGATTTAAGGTTATTGCCTGTGTGCCGAGGAGACACCTTGATAGACCAAAGAGTGCTTCCCGTGGATGATTCATGCTGACCGCAAGGAAAAGACCTGGGCAATAAGCACTATGCGTGGAGAGAGAATAATACGAGACCACGCTCCGCTCTCTGCATCACATGCATGCTCTTCATCATCGAGCATCATTAATACTACTCTCCTCTCTTAACCACTGGCTAATTCGGACCGAATTATTGCGTTTCTTGGGAACGCACAAATTGTTCCGCCCATTCACTGGAAGCTCGTCCCATCTCTCCACCGCGTCGCTAGGCTGGAGACGGCAACTGGTTGTATATTCCTGCAGAAGCGGCACATTGCCGAGAGGATCTACAGTTGCATCGAGATGCAAGGCCCAGTGCCCCCAATGCGCACCAATCGGCCACGATCCCTCACTTGCAAGCTTCCCCGCACCGGACGCGTTGGAGAAGCTCGCGATCACACCGGCCCGTGGCGGTCCGGGACTCCTCCATCGTGTAAACAAAAAGGCTGATGGGCGTTTCCTCTTCTTCTCCCGAATTGGCCTCTAGCTATACAGCCACGAGTGGTTTGTATCCCCGTCATTGCGTCAAATCTCGAGAAACAATGGGGATCCGACGAGAGGCTTTCGCCTCCTTTGCCGTCATCCTCCTCAGCCTCGTGCTGTTACTCGCCTACGTGCCTTCACCAGCGTCGGCGGCCACCCTCAAATGCCGCGACAGGCCCGCCGGCCGCGAGCGCACCAGTCTCAACGTCGGCTGGCGCTTCCAGCGCTCCGAAACCAGCCCGGACGGCCTCAGCTACGACCAGCTCAAGGCCTACATCCTGCCCTCGGCCAACGACTTCATCAAGGACCCGGCGCAGCACCACCAGCGGCCGTCCTCGCCGCCGCCGCCGGTCGACAGGGCGCAGGCGGGTTACGACGACAGCCAGTGGGAGCAGCTCGACCTGCCGCACGACTGGGCCGTCAAGGGGCCCTTCTACACCGGCGCCGACCCCGTCATCGACGGCAGCATGGGCCGCCTGCCCATCCAGGGCGTCGGGTGGTACCGCCGGACGTTCGCGCTCGGGCCCGCCGACGAGGGCAAGGCGGTGTACCTCGACGTCGACGGCGCCATGTCGTACGCCATGGTCTGGGTCAACGGCAACCTGGTCGGCGGGTGGCCGTACGGCTACGCCTCTTTCCGCCTCGACCTGACGCCCTACGTCAACAAGGGCGGGGAGGAGAACCAGCTCGCGATCCGGCTCGACAACGCGGTCGACAGCTCGCGCTTCTACCCCGGCGCCGGAATCTACCGCAACGTGTGGCTGACGAAGGTGTCGCCCGTGCACATCGGGAGGTCGGGCACGTGGGTCAGGTCTAGGGACATTTCGACCACATCGGCGACACTGGATATCACTGTGCAGCTAGAGAACACGGCGAAGAGTGGCGGCAAGGCAGTCGACGTCAGCGTCGTGACCGACGTGCATGTCATGGACGCAGCCAGCGGCAAGGCCGGCGACAAGGTGGCCACCTTTCCCAACGCGACGGCCAGCCTCGACGCCGGCGGCAAGCAATCCGTCAACGGCTCGGTCTCACTGCAAAACCCGCGCCTGTGGGGGCCCAGACCGGAGCAGGAGCCCAACATGTACGTCGCCGTGAGCCACGTGTACGTCGGCGGCAAGGAGGTCGACACCTACGAGACGCCGTTTGGCGTGCGCACCGTCGAGTACAGCGGCGAGACGGGCCTCAGCGTCAACGGGCAGCACGTCTTCCTCAAGGGCATCTGCCAGCACCACGACCTGGGCGCGCTCGGCGCGGCCTTCAGCGTCCCCGCCGCCGAGCGCCAGCTGCAGGTCATGCAGGACATGGGCGTCAACTCGCTGCGCACGTCGCACAACCCCCCGGCGCCGGAGCTGCTCCAGCTGGCCGACCGCATGGGCATCCTGGTCCTCGACGAGATCTTCGACACGTGGCGCACGGCCAAGGTGACCAACGACTTCCACCGCATCTTTGACGACTGGCACGAGGCCGACACGCGGGCGTTTGTGCGCCGCGACCGCAACCACCCGTCCGTCTTCCTCTGGTCCTTTGGCAACGAGGTCGCCGAGCAGAGCCAGGGCGACGCGGGCGCCGCGACGGCGCGCGCGCTGCACGCCATCGTGCGCGACGAGGACCCGACGCGGCAGACGTGCGTGGGCATGGACCAGGCGCGGCCCGGCAGCGCCTTCACCCAGGCCGTCGACACCATCGGGCTCAACTACCAGGGCGAGGGCCGCGGCGACGGCCCGCCCGCCTTCCCCTCCTTCCACGCCGCGTCGCCGGGCAAGATGATCTTCAGCACCGAGTCCTCGTCGGCTGTCAGCAGCCGCGGCACCTTCCTCTTCCCCGTCACGCCGGCCAACAGCTCCATCGTGCGCGACGGCAACGGCGCCGACGACGCGACCATGACCGTCAGCTCGTATGACCTCTACGCCGTGAGCTGGGGCGCGAGCCCGGAGAAGGTCTTCTTCGCGCAGGACACGTACCCCTGGGTCGCGGGCGAGTACGTGTGGACGGGCTGGGACTACGTCGGCGAGCCGACGCCCTACGCCGACCGCGCCCGCAGCAGCTACTTTGGCATCGTCGACCTGGCCGGCTTCCCCAAGGAGCGGTACTACCTGTACCAGTCGCGCTGGCGGCCCGACGTGCGCAACGCGCACATCCTGCCGCACTGGGACTGGCCCGGCCGCGTCGGGCAGGTGACGCCCGTGCACGTCTTCTCGTCGGCCGACGAGGCGGAGCTGTTTGTGAACGGGGAGTCGCAGGGCCGGGTCAGGAGGGCCGCCAGGACGTACCGCTTCCGGTGGGACCAGGTCGTCTACCAGCCGGGCGAGGTGCGCGTCGAGACGTACAAGGACGGCGCCGCGTGGGCCAGCGCGACGGTGCGGACGACCGGCAAGGCCAAGGGGCTGCGCCTGTCGACGTACAAGGGCCGCGCCGGCATCAGGGCCGGAGGGGACGACCTGGCGTTTGTGAGCCTCGACATCGTCGACGAGCGGGGCGACGTGGTCCCGCTCGCGGGCGACGACATCACCTTCTCGGTGGACGGGCCGGGGGAGATCGTGGCCACGGATAACGGCGACCCGCGGGACTACGTGGCGTTCCCGTCCAAGGAGCGCAAGGCGTTCAACGGGCACGCGCTGGCGATCGTGCGGGCCAGGGCCGGCGCCACGGAGCCGATTACCGTCAAGGCTTCGGCCGATGGGCTCGAGGCCGGGGAGGTAACGCTCAAGATCGAGTAGGTGGTAGAGAGAGAGGGAGCCAGGGACAAAGAGAGACGTGTGTTTAGGGTATGGTCTGCACCACGAAGACTTCGAAATACGACGAGTAAAATTGAAATATGAAATATGAATTACCTACTATCATGCTGTGCAACTTAGTGTGTCTAGTGAATTGATGAGAGGGTGTCAACCTCAACACAGGGTGTCAGGAGTAGTATCAGCAGCATTCACTGACTGAACACCATCATCGATCGAAGGACCTACATAGAAAGGAGGTCGCGCGACACATGCCAGAGAATGGCTAGGCCAATTCTTGTCTCCCTCCTCATTCTTCGGGCGACCGATGACAGCCACAGTCGAGCTTCAGATCGATCTCGGCTCGGCAGGAGCCGTCAAATTGACGACGAAGAGGACCTACTGCATTTCTAGTCACCGGCTCTTGGCGATCACGTCGTGGTTGACATCGCGGTGCTAACTAGACGTGAGAGCAACAGACAGAAATGGTCACCGAAGTCGCTTGGCCTTCCGGGGTTTGTCAACCAGCTGCCTGAGAGCGACGAAAGAAAACCTGCAAGGCATGTGGTGCCTCAGTGCCCAACTAAGACAGGGCGGAGATAAATCTCCATAATTCAGCGCAACCCGGCCGGTCGGGCTGAGATTGTCAATTTCCTTGCCCTGTTGCGTACGGAGTAGATGTGTAACATTGGGCTGGATCGAGACAGGATCGTGAAAATCCATCCCTTAACAGCACGCCCGCACGCTGCAGGGAGAGGTAGATAATACGCAGAGCGGCTCATGGACGGCTGTCGGTGGCCCGGGGAGGAATTCTCGAAGAATCAACGGTAGTTTTGTCTTGGCGGCGCGCTCGGCCGAGCCTGGGCTGGCCTTGGCTATCTTGGCCGTCTTGGCCTCTGCTTGGCAGACGATCGTGGCGCCCAATTAGGGGGCGAGACTCGTCAATTGGCTTGGTGGCATCGGGGAAGGCCTCTGACGGTGTACCATGATGTTCTGCGGGTTTGATATGACGATAGGGAGGGAAACTCGAGCATATGGACCTCCGGACAGGCTCCGGAGGGCAGCGGCATCGCCGTCCCCGGCCCCGCGGTCGACCTGCAGCCGGAATAGTGGGCTTGCACGGCTCTCTCGGCAGCAAAGACGTGGCCGGAGTTCTGAAAAAATGGGTCGTCATCGATGACCAAAGGCCCAAGCCGGTTCCGGAGTCTCCCCGAGCGGACATGGGTTGGGTGTAATTTTCATCCTTGTTAGGGGGTGGAGGAGGCGAAGAAAGAGGTGGGCACCGACCCGGCCAGGGCGGCCTTCGGGAGTCGTGCATGACAGCGTCTGGGGTAGAATGCGGCTATCGGTGGGTTTCTCCTCTGCCCAGACGGCACGGCGCCGTCGCTCGCTGGGCTGGGCGCTGCATCCATTTTGACTTGAGCCTCTTGAATTTGACGACAGCCAAAGGTACTGTGAGAGGACAAGACCGGGAATTGCGATACTGTTGGTGAATGGGATCGGGTTGAATGCATCAGCATCGCCATCATCATCGTTGTCATCGTCGTCCCGGGCTGGGACGAGTCGCGAGGGACCTCGTCTGGGGTGAAGCAGCGAAAAGAAAAGACCAACAGCGACGGCCGCGCTGGCCCGGCACACGCATGTCATGTTGGTGGAGAAGCCGCCCTCGCCCTCGCCCTCGCGGCCCGGTCTGCGATTTCGCGGGTGTCGTCCGACCAGAAAAAACCTGGTTATCTCGAACCACCACGCCATATATTCTTGGCCTTTTCCTCCTCTGCTGCCTGTGACTGATCTCTGTTTCTTGTGATCTTGGTCTCGTGTATCATAATTCCATATCACCAGCCTCAGTCTTTCTCCTGCCGTTTCGTGCTATTTCCTCACCTTCTTTGGCTCACCTTTGAAAGAAACAACATACCTAGACTCACCACCGTTTTCTCAACCCCCCTAACTACTATCTGGTTTGAGCTGGCACCACGGTAGAACAGCCACACATGCGCACTTGCCAGAAGTAAACCCGCCCTGAGCGTCTCTTGGAAAAAGTCTCTCGAGACAGAAAAATGGCGGAGGAGAAACCCGGACTCGGTGCCAGGCTGGCCAAAACGTGCCTGGGCATCGACATCTACGAGCGGAGCCCCCATGAGCCCCTGGACCTCGGCGCCCGTGCGGCGCAGGGCATCCAGCCGGCCCAGGCGTACTTCGAGGACGAGCCGACGGTCAAGGAGTGGCTGCTGGACCACCGGCCCACCATCCCCGGCACCGTCAGATACGTCCGCAGCCTGTTCCCCTTCACGACGTGGATCTACCGCTACAACCTGACCTGGCTGCTGGGCGACGTCATCGGCGGCATCACGCTCGGCTTCGTCGTCGTGCCCCAGGCCATGGCCTACGCCCTGCTCGCGCAGCTGAGCCCGCAGTACGGCCTGTACACGTCCTTCACGGGCGCCGTGCTCTACTGGCTCTTCGGCACGGCCAAGGACATCGCCATCGGCGCCACGGCCGTCGTCTCCCTGCTCGTCGGCCGCATCCTGTCGCGCGTCGGGCCCGAGCACCCGGACATCCCGCTCGACCAGATCGCCAAGACCATCTCGGTCATGTCCGGGCTCATCCTGCTCGCGTTCGGCCTGCTGCGCCTCGACTGGATCATCGAGTTCATCCCGCACGTCGCCATCGCGGCCTTCGTCACGGGGGCGTCCATCACCATCACGCTGAGCCAGGCGCCGACCATGCTGGGCATCAAGGGCGTCGACACGCGCCAGCCGGCCTACCTCGTGTGCATCGACACGCTCAAGGCGCTGCCGCGCTGCACCGTCGACGCCGCCGTCGGACTCACAGCGCTGTTCCTGCTGCATCTCATCAAGTGGTACTGCGGCCGCATGGCCGTGCGCCAGAAGCACCGCCAGCGCCTCTGGGACACGCTGTCGTCGATCCGCATGACCTTTGTCATCCTGCTCTACACCCTCATCAGCTGGCTCGTCAACCGCGGCCTGGCCCTCGACCAGGTCAAGTTCCGCATCCTGGGCCCCGTGCCGACGGGCTTCCAGGCCGCCGGCCCGCCCAGCTTCGACCCCAACCTCATCAAGGCCATCATGCCGGACCTGCCGGCCGTGCTCATCATTCTGATCATCGAGCACATCGCCATCGGCAAGTCCTTCGCGCGCATCAACAACTACGTCGTCGTGCCCTCGCAGGAGATCATCTCCATCGGCGCGACCAACTTCCTCGGCCCCTTCCTGGGCGCCTACCCCTCGACGGGCTCCTTCACGGGCACGGCGGTGCTGTCCAAGGCCGGCGTGCGCACGCCATTCGCGGGCGTCTACAACGCGCTGATCCTGCTGCTCGCGCTCTACGCCCTGACCTCGGTCTTCTACTACATCCCCATGGCCTCGCTGTCGGGCCTCATCATCCACGCCGTCAGCAACCTCATCACGCGGCCGGCGACCCTGCACCACTACTGGATGGTCTCGCCGTTCGAGGTCTTTGTCTTCTTCGTCGGCGTCGTCGTGTCCGTCTTCGAGTCGCTCGAGACGGGCATCTACTGCACCGTCGCCATCTCCATCGCCCTGCTGCTGCTGCGCCTGGCCCGCACGCGCGGCCGCTTCATGGGCCGCGTGCGCGTGCGCCGCCACGGCAACAAGGCGGCCGACGACGACGACGAGCCTGACGCCGACAGCGACAGCGTGGAAGGGAAGACGGCCAGTTGTTCGTCCGAAACCCACCACCACCACCAGCATCACCACCACAATCATCAGCACGACGAGGACTCCGTCTCGGCGACGCGCAGCGTCTTCCTCCCGCTCGACCGCCAGGACGGGTCCAACCCGGACATCGAGGTCGAGGCGCCGTACCCGGGCGTGTTCGTCTACCGCTTCTCCGAGGGCTACAACTACCTCAACCAGGCGCAGCACATCGAGACGCTGACGTCGCACATCCGCGCCAGCACCAAGCAGGCCGTGGCCAACCAGTACGAGCGGCCCGGCGACCGGCCGTGGAACGACCCGGCCCCGCCCAAGGGCCACGCCGAGCGCGTGGCGACGCTGCCGCTGCTGCGGGCCGTCGTGCTCGACTGCTCGGCCGTCAACAACATCGACATGACGGCCTGGGAGGGCCTGTGCGACATGCGCGCGCAGCTCGACCGGTGGGCCAGCCCGGAGCCCGTCGAGTGGCACTTTGCGGCCGTCAACAACACGTGGACGCGCCGGGCGCTGGCGGCCGGCGGGTTCGGGTTCCCGAGCGCGCGGCACGCCGACGAGTGGGCGCGGTGGCGGCCGACGTGCAGCGTGGCGGAGCTCGTGGAGAGGAGGAGCGGGCACCCCGGCGGAGCCGCGCAGCGCGACGAGGAGTCGGCCGTGGAAGGGGAGGAGCGGCGGCCGGAGACGCGCGAGGGTCCCAGCGCCGTCACGAGCGGGACGCTGACGCCGGCCATGGAGGGCTGCGGGCCGCGGCCGGACCCGGACGCCAAGGTCGTCGTCGGCGCGGCGGTGGTCGTGGGCGCGGCCAAGCTGCGCAAGGGCAGCACGACGACGGGCAGCGGCGAGGTGCCGCTCGAGAAGATGGGCGCCGTGCAGGGCGTCGACCGGCCCTTCTTCCACATCGACCTCGCGTCGGCGGTCGAGTCGGCCGTCAGCGGGGCGGTGCGGCGGGACCGGAGGAGGGCGATGGCCGCCCGCGCGGGCCCTGCGGCGGTGGGCTCCGGGTCGGATACGGAGCACGAGGGCCGGGAGGAGGTGGAGGAGGCGGAGACGCTGACGATCGAGGAGCAGGTCGTCGAGAGGGCGAGGGATTAAAAAGCAGAGAGGGCGACACCCAAGATACTCTCAGGAAGTAGAGGCTTTGTCTGGCTACCTGCTATCTTTGCATGCATGCATTGGCGTTTTGGATGGGATGTTTTGAGAGCAAGAAAAGAACGAGGGCATTGAGTTTGCGGCCTATATGATACCATGCATCTCTGGCGGGGAGATACAGTATAGATACACATTTTGCATAGATGTGATAATTAATATTCAAGATGAAGTAGTTACAACATGCAGAGATCTCGGGCTTTTCGCCTCCCGTGGTGAATGATGTTGTCGTTTGTAGTTGAAGCTGTACCTGGACGGATCCCATGGATGGAGGCTGACCGGATTGATAGGTAGCTACAGCCCTGGAGTTAGCCCTGGAGGGCCCCTTAATTGGCGTGGATAATGGGCCACTCAGTGACATTAACTACCTGTACCTAGCGCTTGCCCCGCGACGCGCGCCACGCTTCCATTGCTTCCAGAGAGATCGTCGACCGCCGGGCCTTGAACCTCGTTCAATGTTCTACTTGCCGCCAGTCTGGGTCGGTGTCACTCTTTCCACTGTCATAGATTTGGGGGCGCTGTTCGAGGCACTTTCTTTTCTTTTCATTCCGACACAGACATCTTCTCTTTGTCTTTGCGTCGGTCAGCAAACATCGACGCATTCTCGACGGGTTCAATCCATGCCTTGATCTGACCATGGAGGCCGCTACTCGCCGGCACTTCTTCCACCACGGCGGAGACGACGTACGCTCCTCCATGTTCTATCCTTCGCCTCTCCGCGCTTGAGGAGACAGTCTTGATACTGACAAGCTCGTCTTACCAGCCCTCCGCCTCCCCAGCCGAGCGCGACGGCTGCCACTGGTGCCAGCTCCGCAGCTTCGCGACGCACAAGGCCCTGCCCATCACCGTCGTCAACGAGACCGACGACGGCGCCGTCCTGCCCCCAGACTTTCGCTTCATCGACCGCTCCGAGTTTGGCGACGGGGTCGAGCCCGCGGCGGCTAACTTCCGCAGCGGGTGCGAGTGCGCCGACGACGACGAGGAGTGCATGTACGAAGGGTGCCACTGCCTGGGCGAGATGGAGGCCGACTCGGACGGCGCCGATGGGGGGAGAGCAGGTCCGCGCAGGAAGATCTTTGCGTACCACAGCCACGGGGCCAAGGCCGGGATGCTGAGGAGCAAAGTGCTGCAGTCGCGCGAGCCCATCTACGAGTGCCACGAGGGGTGCGCGTGCTCGTCGAGGTGTCCGAACCGGGTCGTGGAGAGGGGCAGGCAGATCCCGCTGCAGATCTTCCGGACGGAGAACCGAGGCTGGGGTGAGTTGTCTTCGCTAGTGCTGCTAGCTATCTAGACTGTCGCATTTCCGGGCCCTTCCTCACTGACAAGCCGCACAAAAACAAGGCGTCCGGTCCCTCGTCGACGTCAAGCGCGGCCAGTTCGTCGACCTCTACCTCGGCGAGGTCATCGCCGCGCGCGAGGCCGACCGCCGGCGCGCCGCGTCGTCCCGGGCGCAGCGCAAGGACGTCTACCTCTTCGCGCTCGACAAGTTCTCGGACGAGGCCTCGCTGGACCCGCGGCTCGCGGGCCCGCCGCTCGAGGTCGACGGCGAGTTCCGGTCCGGCCCGACGCGGTTCGTCAACCACAGCTGCGAGCCCAACATGCGCATCTTTGCGCGCGTGGGCGACCACGCGGACAAGCACGTGCACGACCTGGCGCTGTTTGCGGTGCGCGACATCCCCAAGGGCGAGGAGCTGACGTTTGACTACGTCGACGGGCTCGAGTCGATGGACGACGACGCCAACGACCCGCGCACGAGGGACGACATGACGCGGTGCCTGTGCGGGAGCAAGAAGTGCCGCGGGTACTTGTGGTGATGGGGGCCGGGATATTGGCTTTGGGGTTGGGGGGGTGTGTTTATGACATGAATTGGTGGTTTGTATCGTTGGCTTACCTCACAGGAACGAGAATGAGTGAGGATACAGATACAGATACAGATACCCAGGGGGCGTTGTAGACATGACATGATTTTCCATGAACAGAGTAGTCCATGCCGACTGTTTAACTTTGGACAACAGAGGCTAGTTACTTGCTACTTGCAAATGGTCTTGTAATCCGGAAGAAACCGTGATCACTGCCAACAATAAACTTTGAGAAGGACGGAGCTACCAGCTGAGAGCTGAGCATCATTAGCAGCAGGTGCATGACCAGAGGCCAGCTTGTACTTCTTGTACAATAAGCTGTGAGCAGCTACTCTGCGTCGCCAGGATCTGTGCAGTGCCCTCTGGCGTGGGGAGAAGCCGAGGGAGGTGATCGCCCTTTAAGCGCAGCAGGGTAGCAGATCCAGCCTAACCGGGTTACGGTCGACGACTTGGTCACCAGTGTACTCAACTATTCATTCGTATTATCGCCAGCATCGTCACGACGGCTCTTGATGAACAACGCCCGCCCTCTTCAACCTGAGCTTCTTAAAAGGCCACATTGGCTCTCTCTCTCTCCATTGTCGGACACCCTCTGTGCCACCAACCAACCTGTTTCCCAGCCCTACCTTCAACAGCTTTGCCTCCGTGAGTACTCGACTTAACTACTGAAATAGCCCTCTCTCCCTCTACCTCTCCCTCTCCCTCTCCCTCTCTTCCCCGCTTTCTTTTGACGACGACCCGCGCGGCCTGCTATTTAGTTAGTCTGCCCAAGTGTTCTAGATGATCTGATCTGCCCCACTAGTTTACTCGCCCGGCCCCCAGTCAAGTCAATTGCTGGGCTGATCGAATGAACTTGCGTCGTCACAAGCCACCGGGCAATTGACTTCAGGCGAACGCATAGAGCTAATCAGTAGCAATAAGGGCCAAGACTTTTGCAACCCCTGCTTTTGCTCTCCCCTCCTTCTCCTCCTCCTCTTCGTCGTCCACACTTCGCCTCTCCCTTCGATAGCTGAACGACAGCAGAGCCAACTACGTGCGCGGCAATCGCTCCTCGCAATCTTGCTGCTCTTCTCGTTCTCGATCATGTATCTCTAATCGCAGCGCTGTCCCACATAGTGTGTTGTCAAGGCGTTCAAAGATGGTATGTACCTCTCTTATCCCAGAAGGCCCAGCCTCGTCTTCATTCTGGCCCGCCGCCTCCCCCCCCCCTCCGCAAAACAAATACAACAGCGACAGACACAAATACTCACACTCTCTCCGACCGACAGGGCTGCTGCTTCTCCTCGCCGGGCGAAGGCCCCAACTCGCCCTACCCAGGAGGCGGCGCCGACGACCCAGCCGCCTCCTCGACCCGCCCCATCAACAACAGCAACAACGCCAACGCCGTCACCAACCCCCGTGCCCAAGGCACCGCCGCCGCCTGCGCCACCGCAGCAGCTTCCTCCGCCGGGACCACCTCCACCTCCACCTCCACCGCCGGCCCGACCAGCAACAGCAGCAGCGCCAGACACCACCACCGCCGCCGCAGCCGCACCCACCGCCACAGCCAGCAGCCGCTGTCGCAGCACATCAACAAGCCCCTCCGCCGCCACACCTGGGCCTCCCCCTCCAGCCTGTCCACCGCCCGCCGCGGCGCCGGCGCCGCCGCCAACCGCCGCCGCTGGAGCCGGCGCGCCATCGACCGCGAGCGCGCCGACTTCTTCGACACGCGCGTCGCCGGCCGCGCCCCCGCCGCCGGCGCCTCCAAGCTATCGGATACATGCTCCGTAAAACGAAGCCCAAATTTCGCTCCTTGCTGGGGGGTCCTTTGCTCATCTGCGAGAGAAGCTACGTCATCGTGTAA